CTTGAATTGGGATCGTTTCAGCATCTCCTGTTGGTTTTGATCACGATACACTTTGATTTTTGCGTTGTTGTTGCGCAAGCCTGCCTTTTGAGGCTGGTAAATATGAAATTGGCATCTGATATGAAGAATTTTCCTACACCTCGATCCGAGGGTGGCAGGACCGACAGACTGGGTTCATTGTCCTGAGACAGAACCGAGAAAGCAAAGCCGAGAGAGAAAAAAACGAACAATAGGGATCCCGAACCGAATGTTGGGAAAGGTGAAAGTGGGGATCGCCCGGCAGAAAACGGAAAGCGCAGGCCACTCCATTCTTGACGCCTTCCTTTGTTGTTTTTCGCATTGATTAGAGTCCGGTTCCTGGGATTTTGGGTGAGAGGCACCACACCATATGTAAGTACCGTCGCTGGATATGTATGTATGTTCCATTCGGAATTCACGTCGGCGCATATATGTGACATGCGAATTTCGAGGTGGAGGTTGGGCAACGGCTCTGATAGGCGCGATGCATCATGTTAGGAGGGGACACAACTCCCGCCGCCACCAAAAGGCACATGACAAACAATAGGCTTGGGTTGGTCCCTTGATTAAATTTATTCTGGTTGGAATATTTCTCATCAAAGGCTTACTCTGCAATACGGACTAGCGTTGCAGATTATTTTCACTCGGCATTTTTGCAGGCCGAGTCTGAATGGGATACTTTGCTCGAGTCAGTGAATACTTAGTATGTAACGCTTTCTTTCTTTCTGTGACGGATGCATTTCAAGGCGAGATAAATCTTTAGGAGGGCCACTAGCGATTGAGGCTGCTAGGATCTCAGAGGCAATAAAGCGACGGAATTGTTCTCGAAACCTGCCGGTTAGCATCATGATCATGTCATTGCAGCTGTCACGGACCTACCCGACTGTCTAAAAGTCGTTCTAAGGCTGATCAACAAGAGAAACATATTGTGTATACTACATACTAAGCAGTATGAAGCATTGGGGAGTTCGAGTGATGAAGGATGCTAGCAGTGTTTGGGTGGGTGATAGCCAACCGTGTCGTCCAGGGTCTGTTTGTCGGGTGAAGAAAGGACTTCCCGCTTCTCCATCCACAGCCCCACCGGTTTGAACAGCTCGTCTCTGAATGGCAGCATCAAGGCCTTTTTTGTTTTTTTGTTTTTTTTGCTTGTTTTTTTTTTTTTCCTTCGCGCTAATCTGACCACCATGGAGGCCACCGGCGGCCTGGATTCGTCATTAGGCCCAGGGAGCATCCAGGGATTACCGAACGAGTGTTGGGGTTTTTCCTTGTCGTTGTTGGTAGCTTGACAGGACGGTTGAATTTCGTGCCAGTTATCGAGCTGTATATGTATACAAGTAAGTACTTCCTTAAGTACTTATATATTGTCGCCTTGGTCTATTTTGAAAAGAGGTTTCGGAGAAAGTTTCGTGTGATCGACCCGGGAAGATTTTTTGCATGATGGCTGAACGCCACGATTGGGGAAACAGGGAACAAGCATTGCTGAACTTTTTTTTGGAGTGATCCAGACCATAAACTGCATGCACAGCGTAAAAACAGGTTCGGTCGACATTGCTCTAGCCGTATCGAAACACCGAAACCCTAAGTAAAGACTGCACGATGTGTTGATACAGACATTCTGACATTTGTATGTATGTACGCTTGGGACTTGGGATGCTAGTGCTGAAACTGGGGCTACCGTTCTGGATCCCGTGGACCAAGACATGATTAAGTACGTATTTGGTTCTTTGGAAATAGAGGATTGTCAGTAAAAAGATTACAGGTTGCAGCTGTTGGGACGGACGGAGCCACTCTGATCAGTTGGTAGGTACTAAGGATTCTTTGAAACGTCTTCATGCGGGACAATATCACACTGGTACTGTGCCTGAAGATCTTTGACGAAGACTGTCCCGAGCGGGTCTCGCTAATACTCATATACACAGTACTTACATTGTGCCGAGATAATACTTAAATGCTAGATCAATCGAAGAAGCATAAGAGACTGAATATCCATTCCCTTACATAGGGGAGGCCGGCCGGGGTGAGACTGATTTCTTTGTCCGAGCGGACAACATAACATGTTCTTCAAATTTAAGGTTAAATTCGAGAATGCTGTGCTCAGAAAAAAAGGGGATCTGAAGTCAGTACCTATGTAAGTACTTACTTAAGTAAAGTACAACCAGTTGAAATTAGACCACAGACAGAATCCGAGAGGATCAGTGTGAAACGGCTGGGCCGTGTGCTCGAAGAGACCATGAAACGCTACGCTCTGCAGAGAAAAGTTTGCGCGGAACCGGATCTCCTATCTTGTTTGGGTTGCCGGTTTTTGCCCCGAAAGTCTGGTTTGTCTGGGTTCATGGGCCGAGCTGAGAAATTCATGCTCATTTCGCTGGGACTGCCGGAAAAAGGGCAGGTCAGATCGCTGAATCCTTCTGCAGGCTGCCATTTTTAATTTGTATGGCAAATACTAGTAAGCATTTTATCTGCCTGTTCCTGCTCGTGATAATGTTGCTACGGCATACATCGCACATACATTAGTTACAGTGAACTTTGAATGATCGATCCCAGGTTCTTTTGTTTCTCCGACACACATCGCTTAAGCAGGACAAAGTCTGTTTTTCTCACTCTTCGGCCCGACGTGATGCATCTGATTTCACATTGCATGGTCATAATCAGGAGCAAACCCGTCCTCGAGATTGCCCTCTCTATAAAAAGTCCTATTATGTAAGTACTGCTTAGTATGTACGTAGGATGTAAAAAAACAGGAGCTTCGAGGGGGAGGTTCCCGTTGGCTTCCCGTGAGCATAGCCAATTGAGGAACCTGGGCTTCCCATAGCGGGGACCATCGTGTATGCATAATATCAGCCACTGTCTAGAATACCAGAATATGATAGGCCGTGCGTAGAGGAGAAGAAACATGGACATAAGGTTGAACCAATCTCAGGAAATGTCCTGCACCAAGTCGCGTTTTGGATACGAAGGCCATGCACGAGAGAGACATCGCACGAGAGGAGAGGAGCACATGGCAAATCGGGCCCTGAGATCCTCTCTCGCTCTCTCGCTCGCTCGCTTCTGGTGTCTCTCAGGTTGGACTCTGAGACTCTGAATGGGAACAAACAAAAATCATTTCCCGTTCGATCGTTTGGGGGTGACACTTCTATTACATCTTTCCTGCCCGCATTGGTTTAGTCGAGAGTGGGTTTTGCTCCAATATGACACCACGAGCCGTCCCGGGAGGGTATCTCTCAAAAGAGATCTGTTCGGGAACAGCATTTGTGTGTGATGTATGTATATATGTATGTACTTATCTGTGTACTGTGTATTGTCAGTCCAAAATTATATTAGGCATATTCCGTCCGAGTACTTAGTAGAAGGCTGACCGGGGGATAGAGCTAGTAGGTGTTGGAGATAGTTCTTTTTTATGGTTTAGAATTAATATACCTCAGCACTAAACTACGAGTGTGATTATCTACATTCAACGTTGGAATCTTGTACCGGTGTGCAGGTGTCTACATAGTAATGTAATAAGTATATATTTGATTTAAAAGACACGGGAGGTTTGTATCTCTCAGCAGTTTGGAACCACATGTGTGTCTACACATAATTCTTATCATGCACTACACAGTACTCTGTACATACACCGTAGTGGTAGTATATTTGCATGCAGGTGTGGAAGCATGGTTCAGGCATGAAGAGGTGAGGGGCAAACGGCATTGTGGTAGATTCCCAAGTCTCACCTGGCACAGTCCTCATCCCCTTGAAGCGGTACGCCTTCCTTGCCTGTCGTTTCCCCCCCAAAAAAAAACATTCTCAATCAACCATCAACCTTAATTACTCGACACTTTTGACCGTGGGATCACAGCTGGTTGGCTACCACGAATGATGAATGATTCGTCCTCAGGCTAAATCAAAAAAGAAAGTGCTTTCTAAAAAAACTCAAAAAAGGGTGGGTGGATTCGACTCCTCCTGTGAAAGCAAGGTCCCCGCCAGACGGAAAAAAAAAGACTTACGGTACACACATCGTCAAGAGGAAACACCAGACCAGAAGAGGTCTTTCCCTGTCCCCCGACCAATTGCTTTTTTCATACCGGAATTTCTTCTTCCCTTTTCACTGCAATTTGGCTAGGGAAACGAAGCAACCAGGGCTAAAAAAGGACAAGGGCCAGGATTGGACAGGACCTAGTCCGAGTGGGAGGGGTGGGAACGAGGAAATCAGGCCGATTTCCAGTCGCTCGCTCAGCAGGAATTTGAGACTGGGCTTGGGCTTGGGCTGGGATGGGTCCGTTTTTCTGGCTTGGGAAAACCAACTGGGCATTCCTTTTTACCCAAGTCTCGTCCTGCTGAACCTGTTCCTTTTCACTCCTCTCCCTCTTTTATTCTGCTTGGGACTTATTCTTACCGACGACAACCCTTCGACTCTCGCCCGCCGACCAGGAATCGACAAGTTTTTCTCATAAGGGTCGAGACGACGATAGGATCTTTTGGTAGACCCGAATATACCTTAGGCTCGGGGACATATCACTGTTGAGAGATAGACACTTTTTTTTTTTCAAAGCAGAGACATCGAAAGAAAGGTTATATATAGTATCCGGCTTCATTTCTTGAGACACATCTTCTCCCTCTCTCCCTCTCTCCCTCCCTCTCCCTCTTTTCTTTCCTTCTCTTTCCTTCCTTCTTTTTTCGTGCTTGAAACCTCTTCGTTATTTTGCATCGTTCAAGTTTGTGGTTATTTCTGCTACACGGCCATCCTTCCAACCTCCATCGTTCGCTGCCGACCTACTCACTGAGGAGCCATCTTTTTTTAAAGGACAAAAAATAAAATAAAAGTAAAAGTAAAGAGTCGTTGTATTCTATATAATTTTCGACGGTCGACCCTACTGCTGGACGAAGAGTGGATCTTTTCGATATCACGAACCCGACTCAAGATTGAAATTTACACCCCATATATACCTCTATATCTACCCTTCCGACACCTCATTGAGGAGGATAGTTTTTAGACTTTTAACATGTCGGCCGCCGACAAATCCCTAGTACCGGAAACGGTTGCCTTTGCCGAACGTCGCCTTCGCGATGGGTCGATGCTCAAATATAAATTGACTGTTCTCCAACAGCCAGAGCGTGCTCGAGCCTGTGGCCAGGGTGCCAAATGTAAGGCTAAACCCCTCGCAAACCTCTTTGTTTTTATCCTCTGGCAAATAGCAAAGATGCTAACATGGCTATTGTTAAAGCCCACGCCGATAGACGACCTGTGGACCCTCCTCCAGTTGTGGAACTGAAATTGTTCCAAGGCGAGGATAACACTGATGTGTAAGCTCGCATCATTCCTTAGAGGTCGGCGTTTGAAGATAATTTATTAACGGAAACGGCCTTTTTTTTTTTGTAGGACATTCTCCTTTAATTCAAACTTCTTCCTTTTCGCCACGTTGGAGAGTGCCCGTCCGATCGCCAATGGCCGGGTTCAACCACCCCCTGCCCTTCAACCAGTCTTAACTGGTGTTCCCGTCTCAGGAATGGCATATCTTGATAGACCGGCGCCGGCAGGATACTTTATCTTCCCGGACCTTTCGGTTCGGCATGAGGGCAAGTATCGCCTCCACTTCGCGCTTTATGAAGAATGCAAAGAAGAGGACGATCGCATCGCCATGAACGGCCAGGATGTTACCCACTTCAGAGTTGAAGTCAAGTCCAAACCATTTACGGTTTTCTCTGCAAAGAAGTTCCCTGGCCTTGCTGAGAGCACATCGCTCTCGCGTATTGTTGCCGAACAGGGTTGCCGTGTTCGAATTCGCCGTGATGTTCGTATGAGGAGGCGCTCCGACAAGCCAGGCGGGGATGATATGTACGAAGATGGTGGGCATTATGTTCGCAACCAAAGGAGGGAAACTCCCGAGATTCCTCGCGCCTACCCCCCACAACCTCCCTCGGAATCTATACCTCCCTTGGAGGTCCCACATCGTTCTTCCGCCGCGACACCGAATGGTCAGGCTGATAAGAGGACTCGAAGCGACTCGGATGTCTCGACAGCTTCTCGCCCCGATTACAACAGAATGAATCCTGTATATCCTGAGAGATCGAACTTCAACCAATCATCTGCTCCTCCACCACCTCCGCCTGCTCCGGCGCTGCCTGCTTCTGGAAACTATCTTAATTTTGGCGGTCAAGCGGTTCCGCAGGCTCCCATGGTTGCACCTTCCAACCCACCACCATCCCAGCCATGGAACCAGGGCTACCAGGCTCATGATGTGAACTACCAGTCTTCCCAGGGACCCGAGCATCGCCGCGATTCCGTTGATTATAATAGCAATTACTATCCCCAATCGCAATACCCCCAGAGATCTCAAACTCCTGTCAGCGACCGCAGCTATCCCTCAAGCTACACCCAATCAACGCCTCAATACAACCACCCCAACACATATCAGCAACCACCTCAGGCGCACACTCCTGCCCCTCAACCGAAGCCACATCGTCAGACTCGTGAGGATCTACCTCCGCTCAAACTTACTGCTCTCGAGCCGAGACTGCCAAGCCTGAATTCGCCATCGAGTGCGACCCCAAATTCCGGGTACATCCCCCCAAGATCGTCAGCATCGCAAGGTGCCCTGCCTTCTCCAACATCTTATGCTCCACAGTCCCAAGGTTCTTCTTACCATTATCCGCAATCCACGGAAGGTTCACATGGATCAGTTCCACCCTCTCAGAATGGTTGGGGCTATTCCATGATCAAGCCATCGGAGCCGGCACCGCGCCATGCTGGTCAGAAGCGAACTTGGGATCGCGTGTTCAACAGTGACCAACATTCTCGTGAACGTCTTACCAATGGCTCAAGACCGACACAGAACAACTACGGTCTTGATGTTGATGAGGAAGATGACGATGAGATTGATTTTACAAAGATGAGGATGAGCTACAGAAGAGCTGATGGCGTACAGATTACTCGGGCTCTTCCTGATGATATCGAATAAAAGTACACTAGTTTCGCTATTTCCCTCCATTCGACTACCCATCTTTTGCCATCAACCCTTTCGTTTCTCTGGAGATCCTCAACCTCCAAACACCTCCGGCTTTGTTGTTTTCATGGTAATATTAAAAAACATGAATCCTCTGGTGCCGGTTCTCTTGCCCTTTTATCTCTATTGTGGGTTACTTTGGAGACAGATCTGCAAGACGGAGTTATGGTTTTACGGGCATCTGTGTGCTTTGTTTCTTTAGGTCACCGAACGGCGTTTCTGGCGCATTGATTGCTCCTTTCCCCTCCTTTTTTTTCCTCTTTTTTTATTTTTATTTTTTACTTTTCCTTTTCTTCCATTCAAACCAAAAAATTTCTGTTATGGATTGTTTTAACTATCAAATTCTTTCCGCCAAAAGAAATCTCAGGCTTTGGTGTGGCAATCGTCGGTTTTCTAGCTGTTTGTCGTCGCTATCTTCGCGCGTAGCGGGATGGCCAATATACTGGAGTATATGGGAGCGGCATCTCCCTTAGCTCTTCACTGAGCAAACCCCAACCAGAAGTTTTGGTGGGTGGGTTCAAAAAATATTTCCTTGTGTCTTCTTTTGTGTTCGCGGATACAAATGCTTAACATCTTCTAGTTTTTTCCGTTGCTTTCCTTTTTTTTTTGTTCTTTGATTTTATTTAGTCTTCTCTTTCCTTTTACCTCTTTCCCTTCCTGTTCTTTTTATTTCGACACTTTTCGAAATTATCTTGCCTATACTTGGTAGTAATTTGATGGGCGATGGGAGAGTTCTTTCGCAGCAGTATAACACTCATTGATTCTTCCATACTCTCATGATCCAAAGCTTGATACATCTATATACCCTTCTTACGGTCGACTGAAGTTTTTTACCTGTTGGCCATTTGCTAACCCTCGTTTCTTGTCAGTCATTTCCCATTGCATCTGTATTTTGATAAATATTACTTCATTCCGTTGATATTATTGGCCTCATACCCCTATCACATTCTCTTACGCCAGTTATTTTCTCCAACTTCTTATTTTTATCATCGTGTTTTTTAGCTTAGAAGATCTTTTTTTTCCCTTTTGGTGCTCTTCTGATTGAATTCAATGTTTTGTATATCATAATTGGCGATGCAATTGTAATGCTCCCACTTCTCCTCAGCGCAGTTTTCCATTTGCATACTGAAATGGTCACATAACAGAAGACGAGATTGAATACCTCCCATAACGCGCTATCCCGTAGAACTGAATTTAAAAATATCCCGTTGAAGCGAATAAAATATTAAAACAGCTGAGTGCTGGTGGTTGGCTTTGTTGTTGAGACTCGATTGTTAGCTGGGCCAGGTCTGGGTTGTGAGGTCAAACCAAAACAAAGCAAAACACAACAAGGTTCCGCGCTCCTGTTTCGCTGCCACCCACTCCTCCTCATCACCACCATCATCATCGCCATCATCTTCTCCTCCTCTTCTCGTAAACGAATACTTCTTCTTCGGCATCAACCGACCTGCAACCCTCCGAATTCTACCTCGATTCCCTTAACGGGTATCTCATAATCGCATTGATCCTCAAACCCGAGTTCGGTGACCTAGCAATACAGCCTCCCTTCCCGTCGGCCTGGGCGATACCGCGCAACTGCGCAAAGCGATTCGCCTCCAGATACGAGATCAACCCTACCTCACTGATTGTACCCTGCCCCATAAACTCGATCGCAAACGCAACTCCCTCTCTGGTGGGCGTGCGCCAGTAACCGGCACGTCCTATGCCAAGCTCTGACCATCTATCTACTCCCCAGCGTGTAAGCTTTGTCCATGCCCATCTCCATGTTCCGTCGCTTTTCGGGTCCGGTTCCCAGTATCCCGTGCGTCGGGTACTCGCAGAGAATCAATCCGTTACCGTTTGCTATTATCTCGCTTTCGTTTTTTTTTTTTTTTTTAACTCGCAGTTTTAACGCGACTTTTGCCTCGCCGTCTAAAAGCAGACGCACTCTCACTCTATGGATTATCTTGCTAATAGGCGGTGGATAGATTCTTCGCACTTCTCAGTTAAATAAAATAGCCGTTCTGCCGGACGGAATGGCGATACCATTACCACCATCCTTCTTGCCCCCGCCCCCGCCCCCGCCATCGTTCGGCCGTAAGCGCCAACGTGGTGGCAATTCCACCATCGCAGAGCAAACCATCGACGACGAAGACGCGAACTACATCGTCTATCCGAGTGATGATGAACAGGTCGTACCGCTTCAGGATGAACGTCAAATTTTTGCTGAAGATCAAATTGAAGACTACAGTGATGGTATCGAAACCTCCAGAAATCTGAGAGCTGATTTTCATAGCGACTTTGAGATGGAATCGGACGCTGTCTTCTCAGAAGACCAAGAACCTCAGCGAAAACGTGCGAAAGCTGGCGGTGAAGGGGGGCTAGAGGATGACAATGATGACGAATACGACGACGATAGCGAAGTTGACGGCTATGATGCAAACAATTCGTTGGTTGCCGGAATTAACAAAGGCAAGCGTCGAGTATCCCAAAGGTGGCGAGAAGACGTTTACAGACCTACCCCTGGAGCCGACTCGGACGACTCAGACCTTAATTTGGCAGAAGTCACGCCTGAGAAGAAACGAGGGAAGCGGAAAAGCGTCGGGAAGATCACTAGCGGCAGCTCTAGGAAACCGACTGCATCTGCGAACGGGCTGGTTAGGAATAAGAGCAAGAGCACGCCTAATCTCAGAACAGAAGACATTCCGGAACCAAGCAAGATTCGGAAAAGCAGGTTTTACGAGGGAAGCATGAACGACCGGTTAACAAGAAAAGGCGGCGTCCCGCCGTTCGTAAACTACGAATCGACGGAACAAGCGGATACTGGGGCACCTGAGTACAATAGCTTCGGTATGATTGTATCATCAACTTCATCGTCGGCTATGCCGCCACCCCCTCGCCCTTTCCCTCGGAGTGATTTACCACAATCTACCCCGCCTCCCCCGAAAAGCAAGTTTACATTCTTTGCGCCCATCAGCAACTGGTTCTCAAGGAGATGGCAAAAAGCCACGCAAGAGTATGAAGAGCGAGAGAGGAAGAAGGACCAGGAAGAGGAGGTCCAGAAGCAAGTCAGGGTTCTGATGGAGAGGAAGGCGAAAGCGGAGAAATTATATGCGGAAAATAAAGTCAAGGGAATTAACCAGCCTAGAGTGTTGGATCAGCGAATTGGGCGAGAGCCTTTGGTTACAGAGGATCAGGTCCTGCAACTCTTGGATACGCCAACTGAAATTGGAATTGCCTACACCACTGATGATGTCTACGCGGCCCCAAAGATGAATGAATCGGCAATGAGTTTAGCAACCATCAGAGCTATACCTTCATTGCAAGGGCCCACACCCCGCGCCTCGACAGAATCAACTGGGTCAGGCGGGTTCATTGATAGATCACGGAGCTCCCACGCAGCCCTCGGGGGGTTTCACCAATACAGAGATACAAATTTTCGAGATGGTACACCTCTAACTACGGATACTACAGATCGAGATGTTGAAGGCTTTCGGAGTAGGAGTAGATCTCCTGTTTTAACTCCTATAAAACCTCTCACAAAAGCGGAACAAAAGAAAAAGGAGCGCCTTGAGAAGAAAATGTTAGATCTTAAGAAAAAGTTGGCTGAAACGGAGTTGGACTTGTCACAAGTCCTGGGGAACGAGCCACTGGCAACCTCTACACCTGCACCCAAGGCGGCAACGATTCAAAAGGTCCTAAATGCGGATGAGACTATAATCCTCATTCACGAGGATGGCGAGAATCGAGTAGAGGTAGATGAGGCGGACAAGATTGTAGAGAGTGTCATGGGCGCTCCTGAGCCAACTGCCGCGCTACCTGCCCGAAATCGGTCGATGTCACCCCTCAAGAAACTTCTAAACATTGGCACGAAAAAGACCAAGGAGACAAGCAATACCCTCCACGCTGTCAATGAAAGCGCAAAGATAAAGAAGTCCTCTCCTAGCAGCAGGGGGAGGGGCGGCGGTGCTAGAGGTGGAGGGAGAGGCGGGAAAGCCACCTCTAAGAAGAGGAATGAATCTCCCGACGAACTAACTGCTGTTTAAAAGGAGAGTTTTGCACACTATCCTATTTATTATATCTTTTATAATTTTTTTTTTTATAATTTTTTTTTAACCCTTTACCTCTCAAGCCCTCTTCCCCCCGTCTTTTGGGAATTGAGCTTTTGACACCGATTGGCCCAAATCTTTCATGATCTGAAAGCCTGGTTTCATACTTGTCGACCTACCCTTCTGAAACAAACTTCCTGGGGCTATGAAGACCGTCCAGAAAACACCATCGTCTAGGACCTTCAACTTTCTACTCTTAAGCATCTCTTTATTGGTTGCACCGTGGTAAATGATAATTTTTTTTAATGTATTGCACTTCTCCTTCATCCCCATTAGCCTTGAGTATTAGAAACAACCCTAGGCGGATTTATCCCTGTTTTGTAGTTGCTTGTATTTGAGAAGAGCGATGAAGTTATGACCTTTTACTGGAACCAATACCCATTTTCGCGCTTTTTTATTTTGCCTTTCTCCTTCAACCTGGTGCATTGTCAAGAGCGAGTACGATGTTTTTCTAAGGGGTTGTATATTGATGGAATTTTGTATTCTTGATGCATTAGTCGTTTGACCAGGATCTTAACCTACCGTACTATGTTCTACTGGTTAATATTTGGTTAGCTAATCCTATCAAAATCCCGGATGCAATGATGATGATGCTGGTCATACATCGCCATCTCATTGGATTTTTCCGTATATGTTGTGCATGTTGTATTTTGGAATTCGAAAGGGCCGCTTCCAAAGTGTGGCTAGTGAACAGTGGCTTAGTAACCGGGAATATACAGGTTGTGGCTGCTGCCGACGCGAAAGTAACGGTGATGCCAGCCAACGCGATGGCAAACGACCAGTTGAAAACTTCGAAGGGTCCCATCATCGCCGACGAGTTTATGATAAGCTCAACGCAAAACCAGAACGTCGCCGATTTTTCGGAACTTTTCCAACTCTCAACTTGAATCCTGTTGCCCGCTGACTAAGTAGAAAGCTCTTTCCGTATATTTGAGAGCTCAACGCGTCCCCAAGCTCATGCTCCAACATCATCTCCAAAACCTTGTTTTAACTCCTCAACCTGGCAACAGCCTCCCGTTAAATCTTCACCTTGACACTATCCTCTCGATTCCACCACCTGCACCAGCTCCTATAATACCCATCGCAGGAATTGTCTTCGCGAAGAAAGACGCTCTCCATCCGTCATGTCGGACGAAATCGTCATCGACAAGCAGAATTTCTCAACTCGCATCGCGACCCTCATTTCAGCATGGCGATCGCAGCGTAACGAACAATTCGGAGGTGCCAGCTCTCTACTCTTGCTGTTGGGAAAATCAGACTCTAGTGGCTACACGAAGACTCTGTCCCTGTTCGTAAGTCTTGAAACCACGTGTGGAATCGGAACCATTTTTTAAGGACGCCTGTATTCAAGAAAGGGGACAAAACAAAGGTTTTACTGACGGCCCAATGCAAATTTAGTATTGGCTACTTGGATATGAGTTTCCTGCTACTTTGATGCTTCTGACTTTCGACAAAGTTTATGTTGTCACAACAGCAAAAAAAGGTTGGTTAGGTCGCCCTATGAATGTTGGATCTTGACGGTTAACTTAGCTTCCGCTCAGCTAAATTATTACATCCTTTATCGACACCCAAATACCCTGTGGAAGTGCTCATCCGCGGCAAAGATGAAGCTGAAAACAAAAAGCAACTACAAACGATCGTTGACCATATTAAGGATGCTGGCGTATGTCATTTTTGCTCTCAGATGCTTTTTACCTCTCTTTGTCTCTCTTCCTTTTTTTTTTTTTTTTTTTGGCTTTGTCCGTTATCAGCTAATTGGTTCCTCTTGTCTTGGTGTGTAGAAAAAAATAGGTATCTTGCAAAAGGATTATGGTGTTGCGCAAGGGCCATTGGTTACCGACTGGAACAGCATTTACAAGCCTTCTGTAGAGGCCGGAGACATCGAAGAACAAGATTTTGCCATTGGGGCTAGTACTGCGCTTCAAACATACGATGAAGCTGGGTCGGTAAGAAAACAGCGCTGAAGTCTTACTTCTAAACCCCAAACTAACCCTTTACCACAGAAAAGTATACGCCAGGCTGCCAAGGCCTCTGTCGCTGTCATCCATAAATACTTCCTCGAGGAAATGTCTGTCATTATCGACGAGGAGAAGAAAGTCACCCACGACACTATCGGCAAGAAAGTAGAGGCGCAGATTGATAAAGAGGAATTCTTCAAAGAGAAGGATCACAAACTGGGGGCAGATTTTGCCCCGTCTCAGCTCGACTGGGCTTATGGGCCTTCAATCCAGAGTGGTGGAAAATATGATCTTAAGGTTCCTGGTGAGACCGAAAACGATAAGAGCAACCTACATAGTGGTGTTATCATAGCATCTATGGGATTCCGATACAAGAACTACTGCAGCGTCGTCGGAAGAACTTACATGATTGACCCGAATAAGACACAGGAAAATCATTATTATTTCCTCATCAAGTTGCACACACTCATCATTAGCACACTTCGAGACGGAGTCACCTGTAAGGACGTATACAGCAAAGCGCTCAATCTTGTCAAATCTCAACACCCCGAACTCGAGAAAAATTTCTTCCGAAATGTGGGCTACGGCATTAATATGGAGAGCCGTGATAGTACGCTCATTCTCAACGGCAAGAACGCCCGTACTCTTCAAGAAGGTATGACCTTGGTCATTCACGTCGGATTTCAGGATCTCGAAAACCCGAAGGCAGACGACAAGCGAGGCAAGACCTACGCGCTCGCCCTCACAGATACCGTAGAGGTTGGGGGGAAGAACACAGAAGCTATCGTCTTAACTCGCGGTGCACCTGTTGCCAAAGACGAGGTTGCATTCTACTTCAAAGATGAAAATCCGCCTGAGCAGAAGGCGAAGCAGGCCAAACCTCCACCAAAGGCCTCTGCTTCGTCGAAGAATACTGCCATTATGAAGACGAAGTTGCGTGGGAAGCGTGAGGAGGTTGACGATGGAAAAGAGCAACGTAGGAAAGAAAATCAAAAGCAACTGGCTGCGAAGAAGCGAGCCGAAGGTCTCGAAAGATTTCCTGCCGGCGGGGCCGCCAGCAACGGCGTCGAAAAGAAGCAGATCAAGAAGTTTGAGTCCTATAAGCGAGAAAACCAATTCCCGCACGGTGTTGGAGATTTGAAAATTATGGTTGACGTCAAAGCACAGACCGTAATTCTCCCTATCTTTGGCAGACCCGTCCCGTTCCACATTTCCACCATCAAGAACGTCAGCAAAAACGAAGAAGATCCTTACACACATTTACGTATCAATCTCGTTAGCCCCGGACAGGGTGTTGGGAAAAAAGACGAACTGCCCCTCGAGGAGCCTAGCGCGCATTTCGTCCGCAGTTTGTCTTATCGAAGCACAGATCGTGTCAGGATGGCAGATATAAGTCAAGTCATCCAAGACATGAAAAAGCAAGCTTTGAAGCGTGAACAGGAGAAGAAAGAGATGGAGGATGTTGTCACTCAAGACAATTTGATTGAAATTAAGAGTAAGTTATCAATTTCTCGGTCCGGAAAAAGCCAACAAGCCCAGTGAAGCTAACAAACCTCATCTAGACCGACGGCCCCAACGTTTGCAAGAAGTTTATGTCCGTCCAGCCCTTGATGGGAAGCGTGTCGCTGGTGACATTGAGATCCACCAGAATGGCCTGCGTTATGTGTCGCCTGCTCGATCGGAGAGAATCGACATTTTATTTTCAAATGTCAAGCACCTGTTCTTCCAGCCTTGTGAACACGAATTAATTGTGATAATACACGTTCATTTGAAGACTCCCATAATGGTTGGCAAGAAGAAGACCAAGGATGTTCAGTTTTACCGAGAAGCCATGGACATACAATTCGACGAGACGGGTAACCGCAAGAGAAAGTATAAATATGGCGATGAAGAGGAGTTTGAGGCCGAGCAGGAAGAACGACGACGAAGGGCCCAACTTGACAAGGAATTCCGAGCGTTTGCGGAAAAGATCTCCGAGGCCACGAAGGACGAGGGTCTCGACGTCGACATCCCTTTCCGCGAGCTTGGGTTCTATGGCGTTCCGTTCCGTGCCAATGTTCTCTGCCAGCCGACTACCGAGTGCCTTGTTCAACTCACCGACCCACCATTCTTGGTCATCACCCTTGATGAGATTGAAGTTGCCCACCTGGAGCGTGTGCAGTTTGGCTTGAAGAATTTCGATATGGCGTTTGTCTTCAAAGACTTTTCGCGACCCGTTGTCCATGTCAACTCAATCCCAATGGAGACCCTAGAGAGCGTGAAGGACTGGCTTGATAGCGTAAACATTGCATTTACCGAGGGACCGTTAAACCTTAATTGGGTTCAAATCATGAAGACGGTCACTGCGGACCCCCACCTGTTCTTTTTCGATGGTGGCTGGAAGTTCTTGAGCACTGACACAGATGACGAAGAGGAGGAAGAAGAAGATGAGGAAAGTGAGTATGAAGAATCTGAGAGCGATTTTAGCGACGGCGAGGACAGCGAGGACAGCTTTGGAAGTGAAGACGATGACGCAAGCGAGGATGAAGGCAGTGATGCCAGTGACTTCTCCGAGGGTGGTAAGTTATAACAGAGCTAATACCCGTATACCCATGAATGAGTACTAATGGTGATCCCTTCCTATCATATAGAATCGTGGGATGAAATGGAGGAGAAAGCTAAGAAGAAGGATAAGGACAGGGACCTCAGTGACGAGGAACGACCGAAGAAATCTAAGAAGCGCTAAAGGGCTTGGATCCGCAAACCCTCTTTTTTCTTTCTTAACATCTGGCAATGAAGAAAAACTTTTGCGATGGAGACAATATAACTTTCTAACACCTGAAAAACGAAGTAACGATTTGTTTCTGGTTGCTTTTTTCATGAAAATTCGCTGCTCTCCCATTTCTTCCTCTTTTTATTTTTCCTCGGTCTCTTCCCCCTTCACCATCTCTTTTTCCTCTGACGATTTGCCTCGTGTTTCGAAGACATATCTCCCTCGATTCTTTGATCATTGTTTACCTTGTGACGCAAGCCCTAAATTTCGTTACTGAAATAGATAAAATCAATAATAAGCAGTCCGCCTGATCACCGGAGTGACCTTCTTAAGTTGAAAGCAAGGGACAATGCAAAGTATGGGGATGACGAAAGCTACCGGATCCTACATAATGTACGAACTGGCATCGATCAATAATCGGGGCGATGAAAGACATAGAATTAAAGCCGCCCCGTAAAAGCGAACTCGACTGAGGTAGGGGAAGAAACCCCTTGTCAAGCGCGATTTTTTAACATCCTAGAAATTGTTGCAAGGACGATGCGGAATTCTGTGGGTATGCCGTACAACGATCGGTCGTCGTCTAAGCCCTGCATGAGCGGGTCGCCCCACAGGCAACTTGCAGGACTATGTAACTTGCACTTGTCCTTCTCAAACATGTTTGTTGGGGGCAAGCGCTATCTCATATCCGGACCCTATGCAAATATGGTGGCAATATTGTATCTTTACCGTTGGCTCTGGATAATAATGTTAAACGTACTGAGTGAGGGAACCCTAAGAGGGGAATAGACATATGTATACAAACAAAGACCACGACCACGGCCGTTGGTTGTAAATTCCGCAGCAAGCCCATACGCTAGTTCGCTTAAGTAGAATATCGGAAATTGAAGGCAGGTCACAGCCCGATTTCGACCCTAACGTAAGTAAGTACTTAACATATGTACTTACACGCTTCTCAGGCCTTCTCGGGCAATTGGGCGGATTACATAAGAAGTCACGTTGTTTTGGCCAATTAGGTTGCTGTGCTTAGACCGGTGGTTAACGAGAGCCGATGGTGGCTGAGTCAGGAATCCCCACTTTGACCCTGTGGAACTTGCGACTTGGCGGACAATCACATATGCACATATCATATATCGCATAACTCCTTAAGATCATGATCAAGATCAAAATCGAGGTCGAAATCACGTTGATGCTAATGTTGATATCTAGAGTTTAGAGATATCAAAATATTCGACAGGTATAATCGTGCACTAAATTGATCATGAAATGTCAATACAAGATCGATATCGATATCTATTGCATTGCATTGGTTTAATTTTTAGGCCCATGTACCAGATCTGACCTATGCATTGGAAACGTACAGAGTATATCAAAGTGCGAGTTCGAATTCTAGCGGATAGATTCCAGCAGGCTGGGTCACCCTTGTTCATGCAGCAACCTCCAAGTGCCTTTTGAATTTTGAATTCGAGGCTCATATGCATGCCGTTATGATAGCTAGTTTCCGACCTTGTGCACTGCCCGGCCCTGCCAGAATTCAGGTGGTGATGATTCAAAGGCAACGAAGATTAGGTTACCATCAGATGACGATATATCGCAGAACAGGCAGTCTTGGAGGCTGTCTCGAATCAGTCAATGAGCCCGGCCATCAAAGCTTGAAGCTCCAACCAGGAACACCTCCCATTTGCTCGCTTCATCTCTCCGTTTTAGAATGCCTTGTCATCACCGGTCTCATAAGAAAAGCTTGAATGTGTAACGGTTAGTTAGGACATGGCACTCAAAACAAGGTTTAGAAGATCCACGAGGGCGCTGCTAGCCTTTTCGGGGGGTCGGAGGGGGGGGTAGGGGTCTTGCAAAGCCCCGTTCTTCTTCTTCTTCTTCTTCGTCCTCTTCGTCCTCTTCTTCATGATTCATCATTACATTAAGCCAACTTCGACACAATCCGACGTATGTATGCGGGCCAGTACTTAAGTAGGTAATTGTTTTTTCTTCTTTTTCTTTTCCGTTTTCTTTTTCTTTTCGTTGATCAATAATTTATCCGTTCCAGATCGATTGCTGACCGACTTCACACAAGTAAATACTGAATGAAGTACCTATATCGTGAACGAACAGAGGAGGCTATAAACCCCCAACCCGGCGTTTTGGCCCTTATATCTACCACCACCACCCCTCTCCACGACTTTGCAAAGCCTCATTCTTCACACTATTTAGCGCACCCAGATTTCTAGGCATCTAGTCCATCTCTTAGCCTTACCAGACGGTCGAAGCGAACTGCGACTTCGTAGGGCTGCTTTGTCGCCCCGAGTCCATTATCCCTCATATATTCTATACTCTCACAATCTCATATCTCCGTCGAGTCTCTTCCTTTGTGGCTTGTCACTGGGCTATACACTATACCCCGTGATAGCCGAATCGCAATCTCCTCCAATTGCATTGCATTTCACAAGTCGATTGTCAATCCTTCTCTGTGACATATTATACGGTTTCCCACATTGCTCGGGATCGTACATCCGCCCCTACCCCCTTCTTAATCGTGGGACGAGCTCTCTTTGACCTATCACATCACCAGCTTTCCACATCTAAACCCTAGTTAGAGCGGCGACTCCGCATTAGACAAGAAAGGCGTGTGCGTTTTATACTGCAGCGGCTCGTTCCATCCGAACAATCTACCTCGCTAAGACTCTTCCAGAAGCATCATAACGACCTCTCCAAAGTCAAAAGAGGGCAGAGCCGTGAAACTTCCCATTTCACTTGACTTCATCCAATCGCTAAGCCGCCTTATGAACCTGGTAAGTGAAGCCTCATGCCTCGTGTGACGATATACCATCGCCATTGTTTTGTCTTCTTGGGTACAATTGGTCTGTTGTTTTTTCAATCTTGGGATTACATGATCGAGTCTTCGAAGATGTATATAAGTTCTTCGCGATCTCTGCTACGTTGTCGAATCACTCATCATTCAATCCCAGATCAAATTCAGGCACAAGAACCCAGAAGCATTTTCTATAGGGCTTCAACTCTATACATTGACTTTTTGTATAACTTCCCCAATTTTCGTTCTGTAAAAAAACCACAAAATTCATCGAGATATCGATTGCCATCGAAAAAAAAAAACACATCTTCTACCTACGACCTGTAGTTCGCGATAACATCCTCTGTTCGAATAATTTCCGAGGCGCGCACACGTTAAAGACGGAAAGAGAAAGAGGAAGAAGAACAAGTCTCCAAGTCTAACCATCTTGAAATTCTCAATGCATATAGTAGAAATCAATCTTGGTTATATGGTAGATTACATTGAACTCGACGACGAGCAATACGAAAATTTACAGCAATTATATTATCGAGCTTTCCAGATTCACGCTGCACGACAGAGGGCGCAGCAGCAGCAGCAACAGCAGAATCAACCGCAGTACCACGCTAGCCAGCCTAGGTCACACGCTTCCCCTGCCGCAGCGAGTACTATAAGTACCCCAACAACCACCGTTTCTTCAAGCTCTTTGCATTCTTCCTCCTCAGTAGCAACTACTGTCACCATTGACGGTTCTATTATTGAAGTCGACGGAGAAACTGGCCAGGTTAGGGTTAGAAGCGCAAATACAACTAGTTCATCTAGACGGAGCTCTCAACATCATCGAAGGGCTTAAGGTCAACCAGATACTTTATCAGTACTTCTCATATATAATCAAACAAAATGGTCAAACTCGGTTCAGGATTCTGTAAGTTACTACCCACAGAAATAGAAATATGTTGAATTGGTTATTAATCATTTTGTCCTAGGTGAGTATGAGCCCGGAAAATGGTCCTACTGGCTGTACTGTCCGGACGAGACTCTTCCTATTGTCTTTGCTGTCCTATTTTTCGTTTCAGGTATCGCACATGCCTATCAAGCATGGTAAGTTATAGGCCACGGAACCTACCCTTGTGACACAGGTCGATAATAACTTTGAATAGGCATTATAGAAACAAGTATATGCCAATCTATACACTTGGCTGCATTCTCCTTACCGCCGGTCTTGTGCTTCGTGCTTACACCGCCCAATCCAAAGACCTTCAGAGTTTGGGATTGCTCATCCCATCTCAAGTCTTCGTCTATTCTGGCCCCCCTATTTTCTCTGCAGCTCTTTACTTTGTTTTCGCAAGGATTTGTTATTATGTTCCCCATGCTGCTCCGATCACGCCGTATCGTATTGTTCGGACTTTCATATCCCTCGATGGTATTTGTGAACTCCTCGTCGGCGCTGGTACGGGAATGTTCGTTAATACCCAGGCCCCCGAGCGCCAAAAGATTGGCCAGGGCCTCCTCCGTGCCGCTTTAATCCTTCAAGTCCTGCTCATCCTCGCCTTCGCCTATTTTGCCGTCAAGCTCCAGATCAATGCGCATCGTCTTGGCCTTAAGGGGAAATGGAAGAACTCCTTATATACCCTCTACGTATGCGAGATCTTCATCATGATCCGCTGTTTCTACCGTCTTGTCGAATTCTTTGAGGGCATTCCTGGGCATCTCCTCCTCCATGAGGCCTACTTCTATGCTCTAGAGTGTATCCCGATGATTATTAGCGCGGGATATATGAACTTTATGCACGTGAGTAGATGGTTGCCCCGCAGCTCGAATGTATATTTGACGGAAGATGGTGTGACGGAGGCTGAGGGTGAGGGTTTTCACGATAACCGCCCCACCTGGAAAAAAATTGCCGACCCATATGATCTCGAGGGGATATTTGAGGGGCTTAAGAGCCTGGTTCTGACACTTGCGGGGAAGAAGCCGAAGAAAGAGAGGGTTGGAAGGCAATTCGAGGAGGACGAAGTGCGGCTCGAGGCTAGGAAGAGTCCAACAGTGGGTCTAGAGGAGGGGAGAGTCTGATTGACCTGATTGAAGAAGAAGAAATCGTATGGATAATATAGAAGAAAGCCCGGGCTTACCGCGTAAGCTGCAGGGATAAAAGAATGCGGAAGGCGGCAGCTGAGGCCTCGGTCTCGTTATTATAATCTAATTTTTATTTTTATTTTGTATTGTGTCTTATTGTCATCTCATTTGTACCCCTTTGCTTTCTTTGTTCCTCTCCTCCTCATCCTCATCCTCTTCTTCTTCTTCGTTCTTTGTCTCACGGTTGGAGAAATCGTCTTTAATATTTCTTGCTCCTTTCAACGTTTTGGAGGATATAATTTGTCCTCTTATTTTGATTTTTAGTGTCGTTATATTGCGTTCAACTTCAATGGATCTGTGGGAAACGCCATCCAGAAGCAGCATCACATCAACGAGTCAGTGCAGTGTTTGTTAATTCGAAATTTCTTTCTTACCTCTTTTTTCTTTTTTCTTTCCATTAGCAGTTCATCAAAAACCCGTGGAATTATTACGGGTGTGTACAATGCGAAAGAGGCGTATTTTATAATTCATCACTGCACTGAGGAATAATATTAATATTCTACCCATTTGAGAAGCGTAAATGTATGAATTCGTGGGGTTACGGTTTGAGGACGGGACCAAGCAAGCTATATGTGACAGGAGATTGGAAGGGTAAACGGATAAGTAATTATTAAAAGGCTTTCCCGGCAAGGTAATTAAGTAATTATAAAGTAGTAGCCCTTTCCTCTAAAAACCGATACAGTCGGAGCTCAGGTGGCGTTGTGCGTTGTTGCTGTTGTATTTTCGTTTTAGTCTTTGAGGCCAAGATTTCTTTACAAGAAACCTGCCTTTAAATTTATCGTATAACTATCACCAGAATTCGATGATGGTAAGTAGGTAGGTAAGTACTTTAAGTAGGTAAGTACCTAAAAGCCAAAGTCTTCGCTCTCACTCACTTGCATTTGAGGTTTTATTCATCACAGTAGTTATATAAATATAAGTATCTAAGAAAGTTGATTCTGAACAATTAACCCCCGTCATGTCTTTGTCGGCGAGTGCGTCGACAACCTAACTATCGATGCGATATCGAGCTCACTGGCTATCGGTGTTAATGGGATCGAGGATTCTCCAGCGGGGCAAGAGGCAAGCACAGTAAGAAATTTACTGAATTAGAGGCTCATGACCATGGTCAACTCTGGTATAAACTTTGTCACATGACTTGGGTCAGAGGAGCTCATGATATCGATACGCAAGCCTCTGGCTAAACATTAACAGCCATCTTCAAAACTTTAAGAGAAGACTTTGGAGAAAGAAGATTCTCCTTTCAAATCCAGCCTAGTGTCAGGAATCAAGCCGCCTTGACATGCCATTGACAAGAGGTGAGCTCAACCGCATCTGCGTTTGATAACAGATCAATTAATTTGTTAACAGTATCCAAGATCGTTACGTTTCAAGGCAGATACATAAATACTTAGTATGCACATGTGCATCCGAATATTATTCCGTTAGCGAAAGTCAAAGAAGCCACCCTTTCTAGGAAACAGCGGAAAGTGGGGAATACATTCATCGAATCTCTAGCACCAACATCTTCCTTTTTCTGTTCCAGTTAGCAAAGGGACGTAATGGCTTTTGCTTGCTTGCTTGTTAAGCTTCCCCAGACTTATATGCCATGGAGCTCACCGTTTCTGCCCCTTCACCTGTCTGCCCCAACCAACGAAACCAACCAACCGCCAACTATTATTACACTTCCTTACTTACTTTGGATCGCGAATTATATCGTGTAAACTACCGACCTACGGTTTTGGCGGGGTAGAAATAATACATGCATATCCCGCGCGCGCGTGCTTCAATAAAAAACGGCAGGTTCCTGGATAATACATAGTACTGCATCCCTAGTCACCATCCTGTTTTTTTTTTCTGTTGAAAAGCAGCTAGCGAAGAAGCTCTCAATCTTTGTGGTGGTTGCAATCAAATCCCATGGTAGCGAATCCATTGAGCTCCGTCTGACGAAACCGGGTAAAACATTGTGCAGCGCCGCCTTAGCTTTCGATTTTTCCCACCAGTTTATCTCTTATGTATGTACGGTACATATTGTGTATATCTGTATCGCCTTTTTAGCCATTTCTTATTAGGGTTGGATTAGGTCTGGCGAAACCATGCACGTACATACGGGCCATGTTAAAGGGCACTTACTATCTCCATGAATTCGAATGTCGCACGAATCAAATTGTCTCCGTCCCAGGATGGCCTGCTTAAGCTCTGCCGTGGAACAATCGACAGTTTCTCGATCGAATCCTCCACCGCTGCACTACGAACAACCTTGTCATTTTTGGATGTCTCTCATCAAGTTAAGCTTGTGATATTAGAGATTGACAGTACGTAATTGGAAAGCTTAGCTTGTTCCACAGCAGTCTGCACAGCACCGGCCGTTTCTTTTCCCCCATCGATGTTATGCTCGCTACTATGTTATGATATTATATATATTACCCGATATCGGAAACCAGGCACGTTGTTAGTTTCCCGTTTCAGGCACGAGGCGCTCACCTTTTGACATTCTGTTTGGTTAGGAGGTTGGGTGGAGAGGGAGAGATATCTCAGAGGTGCACGGATACGATTGTGTTGATATGTGCTTATTCGAAGGTTAGAAACTCCATACTTCTTTACATGTACATACTTTGTAGGTATGTACTTATGTATGTACTTATGTATGTATATCAAATTCAGTCACGAGGGCCGGCACTTATTACATGTCAATTGTTGGTCATTTGCATTATTTAGATAAGAGGGGGGAAGGAAGTGCAAGTGGAAGGACGCCCCAATGGCCAAGATTTTTTCCCTCTCCCTTTTCTGTACACCCGCCCGCCGGCTTTGATTAATCTGTTATAAAATAAAATGGGATATATGATATATATGTCAAGGTATTATGCATAAAGGGGCAATGGTCGGTTTACTCGCAAACTCCTACGTATAGCCGGTACCGTCATGGGGAAGATATGCAAGGTAGTCACGGCTATCAGCAGTAGGAGAATGAGAAGGAGGGACGTGTGCATTTTGGGGCGAACGTTCGAACCGTCATACCGTATCATACGTATATACACAGTAGTAAACGAACGTGGGGTGCGTCTACTGGCCCCCCCTCCTCCTCTTGACCCTAGCATTTCCATCGGTTTGCATTTCCATCGATTTGAATTCATGCATTAGATCTCATGGCTTGCTGCTGTGCGGTTTGTCTGGTCTGGATTACTGAAAATGATATGTGACGAAGATAAACTGTTCGGGCTGCGTCTAAGGCGGTTCAACCCTGATTTTTATATAACAACTGCAAGCTTGGGAATACATAGTACAACCCAGTTTGGGTTATTTGCATATGCACGAAAGTGGTTGATCACGCGGGTGCGGGGTAGAAAGGAGGTCGCGAGAGAGGTGTGTGTGTGTGTGTGTGTGTGTGTGTGTAATTTGATTAGGTTAGGATAACGAGGGGCAAAGATTCAATATCAAAGTGCTGACATGTAATGTAAGTACGTTATCAGATGAGACAATAAAATCCAATTTCTTTTGGGGAACGACGAGGAGAAGCACAAGCCTGGTTAGATGATATGTATGTAAGTATGTATGTAAGTAAGTATGTAAGTACATAGCTTGCGGGGCTGGTAACTAGGGTTGATGATCATGACAATTGCAATTGGGTGTGTAGTTGAGTAATTGACTTCCAGAAGAGGTTTATCTGCCAATATAAGGTTATGTATGGGTTATCCGATTGAATTCATCAGCCTGAAATGTACGGAACCAAGTTGTGGGGGAGCTGAATTGAATGAATTCTATAACTGCAGGTCCAAGCAATTGTATCCATCGACCTTAGGATTCTTCCTTTCTTCACGGGCCACATACATACATACATACATACCTACATACATAGCACATCCATGCCGGCCGTTTCTCTTGATTAATTTATTTATCAAGGTATTTTGGTATTATAGATCCACCTATCCAGATCTAAAGTGGATAACGCGCTAGTAGTTAAGTAGGTTGTGATTGTGATCTGAAGGTGCTGGAAGCTGGAAACTGGAGGAGCCCATGCGTTGGGGGGGTGGAATTGGATTGGTTGGAAGTCACGGTTTATGCTGGCTGATGCTGGCTGATGCTATGCTAGATTGAGATGAATAATTGAGAGAGATATGTATACGGAGAGGGAAAGAGAGAGAGAAAGCGAGAGAAAGAGGGAAAACGAGGCTGGACGGCGAGGATGGGCGATCGATTGATCCGTTGAGGTTCTTAACGTTGAATTACCAATCGGAATTACCTCCATCGGACGAAGAAGCGAACGGCGAATCGGTCTTCAATACTTAACGCCGTCCTCTCTCTCTATCTCAAATAATAAGATCTGATCGCCTCCCAAGCATTGTAAATTAGTATTGATGTACCGTATGCATTGTAGGATTCGAGGCCAGTATCTATGTATCTGTGAAGGTACTACGGTACCTACCTAGGTGCTTGACTGAGTCGTGCAAAGCTTGGATTTCTGCCTAAGCTTACTCCCTGACAGATACACTCACTCCCTGGACTTCCATGTAATGCAAAGGATATCCTGGGGGTTAGTTAGGCGCGGGCGAAAAGGGAATGTCGAAACTTGCTCGGAGAATTCAGTTTAAATGCATGTTCGTGGAAAGCCAAGACGGATGCTCATTCTTGATATCGAATGAACGACGGCTAAGCTTCTTGGGATTATTCTAGATTCGAGTCGGCATCACCATCACGATCGAGATCGAGCCTGAAGAGTCCGTTTTGAGGATCCGACAGTTCATCCATTCATCCATCCATTCGTTCGAACATCCATTCGAACATTCGTGGAGTTCGTTATCACTGAAAGCCTCTGACCAAGCAGATTATCCGCCCTGCGCCAGCCTCGATTGGGCTGATATCACGATACCAGCCAGTTGGCAACACAAACGTTCGAACTCAATTTGAGGCTGTCTGGCCTGGTCGTAATCAGCAGCCAGATTTGAATACTCCCAAGGTGCAGCGACCTGCAGCTGGATACTTACATCGTAATAGCATGCAAGGCAAGTTTACGAACCACACGAACGAACCCAGCCTGGGACAAGGGCAATCGATTGGAGTGGAAAGCTTGGGCCGTGGTTCCTTTTGCGGTTAGTAGTGGCCGACGTCGCTGCGAAATGGTTTGTAACCAACCAAACGGCCCATGAACCCCCACTGGCACCTCGCGAGCACTTGCAAACGAATCGAATTCATCCTTTGATGTGTGGCAGACCTATCATCAGGTGTGGTGGTGGTGGTCGGTGCTAGTGCCAGTGGTGCTAAGAAATCGCACCGGTCACTGAAGGGAGTCGCAGCCGCGCGAAGTCTGTAGTCTGACCCATACGTATAATGCCATCTGAAATCAAAATCAAGATCGAATCGAAAGGCTGCACATGCCGACATGTGAATATCGAACGGATAGAAAAACCTTCAAACGTGTTCAGCAATGAGGTGACATTTTGATATTCCTGGCTGGTCAATTAAGTATTACCACGACATTTTACATCACCTCGGGGTTTCCCAAAGGCCACTACAAGGCTTTTGGAAGTAAGAGTACCGTGTCAAGTGCCAAAAAGCATCAAGTATCGGCGTAGTATGAGACTCGAGACAACCATCCATGATGAAGAAAAGAAAATAAAGACAAGTAAAAAGAAAACCAGCCCGTAGAAGAATATTCGCCGTGATAGAACAACATTAATACTGGTAATGCAATGCTGATGTGAAAAAACAAAAAAAAGTTTAATCGCAAACAAAAAAGGAACGAAAGGATGTAGCAAACCGAGTCGCCTATTTTCCTCATGGGGGAAATGCTGTATGCGGATTACGCAGACAGGGACTGCTTGTTCGGCAGGAAGAGATGTCTCCGTTCTCCGAGACCAGTGGGATACTACCGTTGACTTTACCCACCGATTCGTCTCTTTTGATGGTTGGGTTTGAGGTTTGGGGTTTGGTGGGATAGCTGATATTAGATATATGATAATATGCCCCTCTCTGTCTCTCTCCTGTACCTGGGAACCTGACAAGTCTCAATTATTCATTTTCTTGCACATTTGCAAATAGATTACTCCATCTATATCAACATCATCAGCTGCCTGTGGACATACAAACCGTAAAAAGTCGTACGTTGTGCAACCCGACCCAAAAGCCAAGTTGTGCGCCGGACGATCCAATTAGACGGAGGCGGCTTCCCTCGACCGGATTCATATGCCAGGTAGATACCGGTGTGACCGCCCAGCCAGTGCCCAGCAGTAATCCGTACCACAGCACTCTATATCAACGTTCCATTCCCTCAGCTCGATCTGTCTAGTCAGCCCGGCCCGGGGAGAATCCAACAAAAATATATGGTATAAAAGAAAAAAAAGAGCCAGAGGAAAAGAAAGAGAAACCAGAAACCAAAAAACAATATCATTCCTCCACGTATTATCCGGCAATTTACAAAGCTGCGCCTGAAGTATTGTTAGCCAGCCAGCCTTGTTGGATATCCAAAATAAATAAAACAGGGTAAAAGAAGTGCGACCTTAGGAACAGGTCACCATCCAGCGATAGTGGTGTGCTGTGCTGTTAAAATTGTTTTATTTTGGCTGCTGAGACAGCCACTGGTTTGATTTCCAGGCAGATATCGCTGGGTTGCTCTCGTTCGGGCCTAATTAAGCCAACCAACCCTCAACCTGGCAGCCAGGAGAAGAACTACCAGACGAAGCATAGCGCTCCGTAAAGGAGGGCGAGAGAGAGAGCCAGAGAGTAAGAGTCAGTCTCACTAGCCCTGCCAACAACTAGCCGCCGTAATCCGGTGCCGCGACATCAACAAGTAACAGCAATTCCTCACGGCGGTCTGCCATATCGATCGAAGGAGGAAAAAAGAACGTGGGTCCTCCCCCAAGACCAAAGGCCAAAAAGACCAAAGAGATCCTTTTGTACCAAGGAAGTGGGAGTCAGTCTGATCAGATCCGATCAGGTAGAGTGAGAGTGGTCCCCGTTGGGCCCTTCATTAGCGGTTTGCATACGCAGCCATCCAAGAACCTGTTGCCTCTTGCCTGGCCCTGTTGACGGTCTTGGTCCAAGGCATAACGACGTCAACCCTATTTGGGCTTTGATATTTAAGCCAGGAGGTGCCCTACCAATATCGGATCAAAAAGCACCTTCATCCATCAGCGATTAACATTTCGACAAATAGTCATCAAAGATATATACCGACTAGAAAGGGGATAAATAAATAAAAATAAAAAATAAAAATACTGACCGACTTACTTAATACTAAGAAAGCTGGGATTTATTTGAACCGGAGTACCCTTGATTCGAACAGATCAATAGACGAGCCCCTCCAGGCCATATTCCTCCATCGACTCGCCCACAACAACATATAAACTTTTGCAGTCCACCACAGAGGTTTTCGCCCTCTTCTTTTTTTTATACAAAACAAAACAGTTGTAAAGGTATAGGAACAAACCCCGCCAAATCTGCTCAAACCCCAGCCATCCTATAATCCCAAGTCTATCACTGCATAATCATCCGTCTCAATTGTATTTCGTTGTACTGTACTGTATTGTATTGCATTGGTGTGTGGGTGCAAGTGGGTGGGTGTGTGTCTGTGTTTAATTAGTTTTAGTGTTGTAGAGACCAGAAGCAGGATATAGCTTGCGTCCCTTCCCCTTCGAACTTCCCTTCCCCTTCCTGTTCACGTATTCTTTGTTTAACATTACCACAAACCACCAAAACCCATCGCCATCACCACTTACAAAAAATATTGGCATCGCTCGGGCTAACTGACGGCTGTGCCTTAGATTCTGGAATCCGCCCATAACAAGGCCGAGATTCCTGTTTTTACTGACAAAACGTTTACCTCGATTTTTCACCGTTTTCTTGCTGCGATGAGCCACAAGGCTTCTTGTGGCAATCAGAGCGCAGACCAACAACCTCAACTTCACCCTTCCACTGACCTCTCAAAGGGCCCCACTGCCGCCGTCGCGACGGAGAAGAAATCAGACACCAAACATCATCACCACCATCACTTCCACTTCCACCATCACTCCAACGCTAATATCACCAAGACCCATTCGGACCCTGCTTCTTCTCCTCCATCTTCTCCAACTGAATCCACTGCTTCTGTCAAACTTATCGATTCTCCTGAACTCAAACCTCGTCAAGCCACAACCACACCCACACCCACACCCACTAACAATGTTCCGTCTATCAAAGTAGCCAAGGCCGAAAATGGTAACGGCCAATCCACTCCTACCATCCCGAAGAATGTTCCCTCGAAGCCGACCGGTAGGCATTCCGAGATTGCTAAAGCCGCCACCATTGCCTCTACTCAGGCTGTGGCCGCGAGCTCTGGCAACAAGGATATGCTCCTTCCGGCCAGCATTCAGAACGCTACTCCAATCAATGGCACTACCACTGGCACCCTTAGTCCAATGAAGTCCTCTGATACTCCTCTAGCTAGCTCCCCGAGTTCACCGCGACTTCATGCGACAACGCTCAATATCCCTGGTCTTACCAAAAGTAAGGTTTCCGTAGATGGACGAATCCCTGCTCGAGACATTGGCTCCAAATTGGTCATAGTTATGGTCGGTTTGCCAGCCAGAGGAAAGAGCTATATCACTAGAAAGCTAGCTCGTTATCTCGGATGGCTCCAGTATGACGTTAAGGTCTTCAACGTTGGTAATCGTCGTCGTATTGCAGCCAACCAGCCCCAGCCACCCACACCTCCAGAACATGGCTCTCACGACGTTGTCCACCAAGCCGTCCGAGCTCTCAAAGATGTCCAATTGGACCAGGACGGTACGGTTAAGCAACCGTTCCGTGGTACTGGACTTCTTGGATCTCTTGATATTAAGGCCGGTTCGCCTCCCAAGTTCAGCCTCGACGCTGGGAACGTTGCCTTCCAGACCACAAACCTCGACGGGCCCCAGGAAGATACCAATGATAAGGATGAGGGCATCTCCCAATCGGCCGAATTCTTTGATCCTACCAACGTTAAAGCCAAAAGGTTACGTGAGAGAGTTGCCATGGAGACCCTCGATGAGGCTCTCGATTACGTCATGAATGGAGAAGGTAGTGTCGCCATTTTAGACGCGACGAACAGCACAATCGAGAGACGTACCGCTATCGTCGACCACATTCGCGGGGTCGCCGGGAACGACCTCGGGATCCTCTTCATCGAATCCATCTGTGAGGACGAGCAGGTCCTCGAAGCTAACATGCGCTTGAAGCTTTCTGGGCCCGACTACAAGGGGTTGGATCCTGAAAAATCATACAATGACTTCAAGAAACGTGTCAAAATGTACGAAGGAGCCTACGTTCCTATCGGCGCGTATGAGGAAAAGAAAGGATGGGCCTATCTTAAATTAATCGACGTTGGGCGAAAGTTTGTTGCTCACGGAATCCGTGGGTTCCTTGCCAACCACTCCGCTTACTACCTCATGAACTTCAACTTGGCGTCCCGACAGATCTGGATTACTCGTCACGGTGAGTCGATGGATAACGTCCAAGGCAGAATCGGAGGAAATTCCAGCCTGAGTGGTAAAGGCGACAAGTATGCGAAAGCATTAGCCAGTTTTATCCAGGAAGAGAGGAAGAAGTTCCACAGGCATGAAATAGAAAAGCATCATGCGGCACAGCTTCCTCCTAGGTCTGGAGATATTACACCACCTAATCCGGATGCTTCGATGCATTTTGCCGGGGAGGACGATTATTGTCCTGCCGAAAAGCCGTTCTGCGTCTGGACAAGTATGCTCAACCGAAGCGTGGAGACAGCTAAATACTTTAACGACGAAGAGTACGACATCAAACAGTGGAGGATGCTTGACGAGCTCAATGCTGGGTTGGCTGAGGGTAAAACGTATGACGAAATCCGACGCGACCTTCCCGGCGAGTACGAGAATCGTATTGCAGACAAGCTCCACTATAGGTACCCAGGGCCCGGCGGAGAGTCGTACTTGGACGTTATTCACCGTCTTAAAGAAATCATTATCGAAGTTGAGCGAACGACCGACCATGTGCTCATAGTTGCGCATAGAGTCGTTGCGCGTGTTCTTCTTGGATACTACACCGGGCAACCTCGTGACAAGGTTGCTAACCTTGACGTACCTCTTGGGATGGTATTCTGTCTAGAACCAAGTAAGCTTAACCCCAACCCTTTTTTTCTCAATGTGTGCGTGTGTACGGAAGTAGACTAACCGATGCATTTATTTAGGGCCATACGGTGTCGAACTTAAAGCATTCAAGTTTGACCTTGCGACCGACAAGTTCTACCAGATTCCAGATTTCGAACTTCGCACGACGACACCAGAGAAGAGCGAACGTGAATCCATGGAATAGTGGCGCATGGATTACTTCGACATCGACTCCGACTGAATTGTCGTCAATCTGGGGGGTTTTATCTTCTCTTTTCTTTTTCTTTTCTTCTTCTCTTCTTCTCTTCTTCTTTTCTTCATCATCTTCATCTTCTTTCTTTTTCAGTTCGCGGTTTGTTCCTTTCGATTGTCTTCGAGGAAAGGCCTACAGCCATCGGCAATATTCGTCCTTTATAATTACCCGCCTCCGTTCGATGAATCCTCTCTTCTTGTCCATACTTGTCATTCGATACGCGATCTCTTTTTTTCGTGCTGGCTCCGCGTGCCCACCCTCACTATGGATCATTAGCTTTCTTTTTCTTTTTCTTTTCTTTTTCTTTTTTCTTCTTTTCCATTTTTCTCTTTTTTACTCTCAACCGGCGTATCAGGTTTTGTCTTATGGGATGGTCCTTGAATTATTTTACATTATCGGTTGATCAAGGGTTGTCCTTATACCTCTATTATAAACGGCGTTTGAGAATATCGTTCCTATTGTGCTTTACGGGGGGCAGTTAACTTTTTTTTTTATCTTCATCTTTCATCTTTCATCTTTCATCTTTCGTCTTTCATCTTTCGTCTTTCGTCTTTCGTCATTCGTCATTCGTCATTATTCCGCCTTTATGATTTTGTTACATCAAACCTTTTCCTTTTTTGTGTGATTCTTATTTATGACATGCAATGATAAGCTGGACAAAGAATTCAACAGCAGCAAGAGGCGATAAACTGGAGCCTTTTTTGAAATAGACACAGGGGCTCTTTTCGATAGAATGCTTGTTTTTATTTGATAACTTTCTATCATTATTATTATCATTATTCTTATGATTATTACTATTGCTCACTCGACGGAAGGAACGGCTGTGTTAAGATCAGCTGCTCCTTTTTGCCTTTTCTTTCTTCCTTTTCGCTTAAACTTATCGCTGTTGCTGCTATGGTGATGATGGCGTTTATTTACATATGGTACGGGGCGTTTTTCTTCTTTTCTTTTTTCCTGACTTTTCTTCTTCTCTCTTTCTGTGGCTAGTTTTAGTTCTTATTTAGACTTGCTGGTTCATTAATCATTCTATGAAAGGAGGATATACATAGCTAGACAGTATTGGTGGGTGTTCAGGAAGGGGGCCGAATGGGACATGTATATATACTGACTTTCTTTATATATTAGAAGGGGCAACCGGCAATGCAAGGTAGAACTGTCAAATCAAACAGCAATAGATTTATTGTACTTGTTTAGTCTACGAGTTAGATAAGAGGCGCCGGCATGGACGGATGAACCGAGATATGCGGTAACCGTAAAAGTATAATGTGAATACCTACTTTACCTACCGAGGTATTTACTAAAGTAGGTACTTACAAAGTTTTTAAATGAATGTTGAGGTTGAGGTTGTTGTTATTGTTGCAGATTTTGTATGTGTGCATGTGAGTGAATGGGTACGTCCTAGCTACTATATATATAGCTATAGACACTGACCTGGCATCTCATTAATCGGGAATATTGATTTGTAGGTGGTAAGTCGTAGATACGGCACGGTAAACTATGTAGCCACAGTACCAACATATCGGATTAACAAGAGATAATTAACATGACTACTGAGCTGAGGACCCGATCGGCGCGCGACAGTAGCTTCAAATCGCTGATGTGCAATAGATCGTCCCGGGAGACCCTATATATTGTTATATATAACACCTTCGTCGGCCACGTTGGGCTACCTACCCCGTGGCTATTACGTCCCGATAGTCTCTCAGAGCACTCCAGGTACCACCCAGTGTGCAGTTAGTGCGCCACTCAGTGTCCCTCCTCACCAACAACTCAAATAGTACGGGCGAGAATGTGAAATTGATCCTGTCGACTTCCACTCAAGGATCCAGCCTTCATCGGATACCATTCAGAATATGGATTCGTTCGATGACGAAGACTCCCTGATTCTTCCATTTACTTCCGTCTCTTCGTCTGGTCATCACCCTCATCATTATCCTCGATCGATCACTGCCGCTACATCGGCCACTAGATTTGGCCTGGGTCAGGTCCATACTACTCAAGACCTAGATAGTGAGGATTATATCTACACTACTATCAATCCCCTCCTTACCATCTCTCATCATCACGATCATGTTGATCCTCATTCTCTTCCCCCTCCCATGCATCCTGGAACCTCTTTAAACCCTGATGATACTGCCAATATAGCACCGGATGCTCAAGAAGATATATTCGATGCCGGCCAATTACCATCAGTAGCCTATAACGACTTTAGTTATAATTCAATTTTCGGAAACTCATTAAACGATCCGATAAACAATTTTACACTACCTACCGACGACGAACCATTGAGACAGCTTGGTACAGAATTCACGTCAAATAATGGAGCTGCAGTCGGGTTCCAGCACATGCCGCCGCCTGCACAGTCTGCGAGTGCTTTAAGGTCACTGCAACGACCTAGACAGCCCGTGTTGCATTTCCATCGCCCCATGCACTTCCCGATTCATTACTCTATGCAAAGACCTTTTGACCCCCTTATTGACCCCGATATGGGTCTTTATATAAACCCGTATACGAACACCCGGATGCATTTTCCCACACAGACAGTGCGTCAGCCTATGCATAAAATGCATACGCGGGGCATAATGCCCGACCTTGTACGAACAAGGGAGGAGGATGAAGCGGAGGAAAAAATGGGAAGATCTGCCGAGATAGCTGCTAGATTTCCACCGGAAATGATTCCGGTAAACTATACAACGGCGCCCGAGGCTAATTTAGATGAACCATTTGATTTAACTAAATTGCTTGGAGAGGAACCTGAGGCTGAACCTGGAGTGGAGATAGAGGTAGAATCTTGGGATGAGGGAGATCAAGGCGGAACGCAGCTGGCCTCATCAATGGCTGCTTCTGCTACCAAGAGGAGCTCTCCACGGGCCCGAGATTCTCATCTTTCGGGTCAGCGCTGTTCTCGTGCAATCGGGTCAGGGAGTTTGAAGAACCATCGAAGGCTGGATTATGTAAAGCGAAAGAAGGAGTTGATGAAACGAAGGTATGGGTTTTTGGGACTTCGAGAACGGCATCAAATGTTTTATGTCCAGGATGTGCGGAACCACTGTCGTAGCTCTGGAGTAGATGATCCGGAGAATCCATGGCTTAAATATAATTTCGAGGCCGAACTTAAGGCTTTCAGAAATATTGGGAAGTCTCTATTGGGGCCGCTATCCGAGCTACCTCAGCTGCCAGAGCAGGATAGCCATACGTCACCATCTATCGATCATAGTACCGCCGATCAGAAGTCTAGAGCCTCCACTAGTACAACGAAAGGAGCTACAAAAAAGACCGACGATAGCTCCGCTGAAAAAAAACCCTCAGTATCCGCTGCGGATAGATTGGAGAAGGAGCAAGACGATAGAGATCGGCTTGCAAGGTATCATCGAGCTTGCATTCTTCGCTCTATCCCTCGTGCATTATTCAACACAAAGTTACTAGATCCTCTCAACCCGGACATAGGCAAACCGTACGAAACAAATCTTCAGCTTCATGGAACATTTTTATCGCAGGGACTAATAAATTTTTAATATCTATATAGTGGGAGGTACTTAGATCTTATCCGAAAGATACACCGAGCAAATGTCCGCCCTTGCCTCAAGTACTTTCTTTACAGAGAACTGGATTTTGTTCAGTCTACAGCACTTAATGAGGGCGGTAGCTCTGCCTTAGCAGATCGCATTTCGTCTCTCGAGTGGGATATCCGAGATTATATGAAAAGGGGTGAGGTACGAGTGACCCAAAATATCCGAGTGGTCGTAAGAGACTACCGTGCCGGGTTCATTAAGTTGCCCCAGGAAGGTTCTTGTATCCTGTATCATGATGGAAAGCTGCTCGGTCACTTCAGGGCTAATAGACTTCTTCCTTTCCTCTACCCATTTCTGGGGAGGACGGCTGGTCCGGTATGGAAAGAGGACGTAAGTACAAACGCTCTTACTATATTATAGAACACCACAACGCTAAATATTTTATATTAGGGGAATCAACCGAAGCCGGTACCCGAAGTATACATGCGGGCTTACGCGCAGATGTTCCCAGAGGACTTGCTGCAGCTTGGCTACTGTAGGCATGGGCGTCCAGTTAATAACCCGCAAACCCGTGGCCGCCACAGTAACTAGAACCGGAAAACCTAGACGATTGACGGCCTGGACAGAGCACATCGTTGTCGATGATACCAACCCGGAAACAAAACCGAAAGATAGTTTTTTTTTAAAAAAAAAAAAACGGAATATTGGTTATAAGCTTCATTTCATAACTTCTCTCGGCGGCCTGCCTAGTACAGCGTTGCTCCAGGTAAATGAATGGCTTGGTATTGTCCTCGAATGCAATTTCCTAGTTCGTTGCTTTGTGTGCTTCTTTCCTTACAAGAAAACATTTATATCCCTTCCTTTCGTACACTAGCCCCATGGCTCATTCCTTTCCCTGTTTTCTGGGTCGATAGGTTTCCGATTAATGGTTCCTTTTCTTCTGCACGCATTAGTGGTGTTTATTGCCTACATTGAGCGTGTATTTTACCAAATAACGGAGCGAAATGTTACAGTGAGGCTTTGGATTGCATGGTGTTAGTGTCCTGATGAAGAAAATCCAACAAAAGCTGATACTTATTTCCCTGGCCTATACTGGTCCGGACCACGTCTTCCTTCAAAAGCCTGGCTTGATATGGGGGTCGCTTTTACTTGATTTGGATGTCGTTACCGGATCTAGTATGGTGGGGGATTGTTGTTTATGCAGTGTAACGATGGAGGGGTTTGATATTCTGTGGGGTCGTTTGCTTGGTGCCACTAACCACGTATTGTGACCTTCTTTTGTTACGAATGGTGTGCTGGTACTTGTACTGTATGACGAAGATCCGGATCCCGAGGGCGCCAGTTGGAGATTGGGTTTCAGTATACTTTCATTTATTTAGCCCTTTTCTGGGATATAAGTTTCGCTGTAACAAGAGCTTTGTATCTAACATATGGTAACGAATGGCAAGGGAAAAAAAGGGGAAGGGAAATTTCGAAACCAAAAAAATACTGGATAGGGTTTTTTTGTTTGTTTTGTGCTTAGTGAGTTTACATGGGATGAATGGATTTTCTCGTTGTTGTTGCATTTTATTTTACCTTTGTTCCTTCTCGAACGAGCAATAAGAAGAGGGAGAGGAAGAGGAAGTTGAATTGTAATCCTTAACATCTTCGATTTATAGATAAGATTAAATCAATGTCAATCTATTATCCACTTGCGATCTAAAGAGCAAAGCAAAAGACAAGGAACTCCTTAACACCAGGCTAAAAGGGCGAATGAACGTTAAGAAAGGAAAGAGACGGAAAGAAGAAGGAAAAGAATATAAAGGAAACAAATGAAACTAACGGAATAAGAAGAAGAGGAAGCAGGGAAGTACCACTCGCTATGCGCCTGTATTTTGGTTCGAGTCTACATGAGGGACGAGAGAGTGCCGAAGAATAAAGTAAGGTGTGCGAGTTAAGTAGCATGAAAATCAAAAACGCCATATGAAGGATGCAAACCACCTAAAGTTAGTGGGGCTTTGGTTGGCAAAGATATTCCATGCATTCGGCTCTTCTATCTCCTCCTTAGCAAAAGGAAGAGGAAATTCTGTTTTATGCCAGTACAAAAGAGTGTGAATGCGTGAAAAACAAACAAGAACGAAGTTGAAAACCTTCGTATTCCTCCCCGCCATAAACCGACGGAAAAAAAGAAAGCCGTAATTCGTTAGTCATTTAGAATAGGAGGAACAGAAAAAGGGAATAAACACTATAATGAGTTTGCTGCAGATTCTGGCGGAAGCATGTAGGAAGGTTGGAGCCTCAAGCGTGGAGGCGGTCATTGGTCGCGCCTTGCCACTCTATATCCGCATTCCACTCTTCTTCATCCTCTGTAGGCTTATAGCGGAAGCACAAAAATTTCCAGTTAAGCTTCTCACGCCAAAACAAGCCGTAGCCATCACCTGGATTGTGGTCGTATTTAGGAAAACTCGAGTTGGTTTTATCCTCGAGTAAACGGAATGGACGTGTGGGCCTGACAAGTTCATCTGGCTCAAGGTCTTCCTCGGATTCTTTTTTGGCCTCGGTTGGATCGGTAACTTTATCTTCTTTGTCGTCATTATTGGCTTCCGCTTCCGCATTCGGCGATACCGGACGCGATTGGGGTAAGGCGGTACCGGTGTTCTCATCTTCGTTGACATCTAGAGATGGGATGGATTGGGCATTGGTAGAACTTCCGTGCGTGTTGGAGTCATTAGTGGCCTCTTCCTTAGTGGAGACCTCCTTCCCTTCTTCGTTGACTTCAACAATCTCAAATCCTTCGGCATTACCAGGAGTGGCGTTTTCATCAGTAGTGGCCTTCTTCTTACGAGATCGCTTCTTCTTCTTCTTCTTCTTCTTTTTCTCACCATCACCTTCAGCGGTATCAGGGACTTCAACAGTCATAAGGTCGAAAGCCGCTCCGACATCGAGGTCACTATCCTCTTCACATCCGGTTCCAGCAGTTTCTTCGCCACCGCTAGTGGTGAAGTCGTTGTCTGGGGTCGATCCGGAAGGTTGTGGATCTGGTGAGCCGTAGCTGACATTAACAGCCACGAAATCGCCCGTGCCTGGCTTGAATGGAGCGGGAATTCTACTCCTGCCACGTTCAGCCCCCTCGGTCGAGATGTCAGTGGCTATACCCTTTCCCTTAACATCTTCATTCTGTCCAGTAGTTATTAGGGTCCTATCCTCGTTCACTCCGACGATATCAATGTTGCCTAAGCCACCAAAGCCCTCTGGGCTGTGCTCTCGTGAAGATTTCCCTCTGACTCCCTCGCCCTTAGTCAGTGTTAACTCTCCTTCGATCAAGAGTTCTTGCCCATCTGCATTATATTTAGGAACGATCTTGACAGGGATGACTCCATCAACCATGTTCTTAGCGTGGTTATCAAAGACATCACAAGTTTGTGCGAACTTGCCATTATCTGAGGGGTCAGTATCCGGGATATGAGAGGTCTGAGCAGCGGAGTTTCGCATATTCTCTTTGGAGACTGATGACGATGATGCAGCTTGCTCGGTATTCTTGCTTGGGTCCGAGGTTCCGATTTTGACATTTGAGGTAGAGCCAAGGTAATCCTCGCCGTCATTAATGGAGTCGAAAATTTTGGCAGTCTGGGTAGCTTTGTCCATCGTGTTACCCTTGCGATTGACTTCTTTCGTAGCTGCAATCCTGGCTTGAGTCTTCGCCTCTGCCTCTTGCTTGTCACGCTCGTTTAACAAAGCCCTTCTAAGTGCTTGGAAAAACGATATATCCGACTTCCTCTTTTCTTTGTGGAAGGCTTTGTCCTTGCAAGCTTCGATGATCGCTTCATCGGTTTTAAGGGAGGGGTCGATTGGTGCCCATTCTTTCTTCAACCTAGCCACCTGTTCCTTCATAAACTGTTCCTTCGTTTGTCCTTCAGTACGTCGTCCCTTCCCTTTGCCAACGGGTAGCTTGACACGGATAGTAGAATCTGCTCCAGCGTCGTCATCTCCACCCCCGAACAGCCCTTCGGTAGTGCGCCTTTGACGATTATCTGGCTCAGGTATACCATGGCGGCGGCGATAGTCAGTGACGTCCTCATCCGTGACGCCTCTAAAAGGAAGGCTGTGGCCTTCTGCGGGTGCAAGATCAGCGTGAAGGCCTCCGCTAACCATTGGCTCGCTATAAACAAGGCAGCCAATTCTACTATGCACCATAGCCATTGAACACATGACACAAGGTTCGTGAGTCATGAAGACAACAAGATCATTCATGAGATACCCATCTGGGTCACCAGGGACTCTGTCATAATAATCATCTTCCATTGGAGAGTTTGGTCCATTGAGGGAAAACATGTTGACCTTCGGCTTGTGGCGCGCTGTAACTTCAACCCTCTTTCTACCAACAAGGGAGATAGCCCGATAACAGGCATGCGCAAGAGGGTTGTTTGCCTGAGTTCTCGCATCATGAGCGACCGCCATTACTCTCCCGTGCCTAGGGCCGTCGCGCTCCTTCAATTCAACCACGACGCAGCCGATTCGAAGACCCGCGCCTCTCACTTCACCTTCCTCGGCGACCTTGCGAGCTAGTCGCATGTAATACTCCCCCATAGTCAGTTCTTTACCGTCATATTCAACATAGTCCATTTCAAAAACGGGATATGGGGCATGAAGCTTATCTTCCCACTTATTAGTGAGAAAGGGGTGTGGCCCGTAAGGATTCGTACGGCGGTAAATGGTTGGCCAATACTTCTCAGTCCAGGAATTAGATTGCCTGAGATTACAGGGAGCCCATTGTGGAACTGTATGTTTGATAATTTGTGGGATGTCTTGAGAGTCGAAGGGGACTTCGCAATCAAGATCAACTCCGGCGAAGAGTGGGTGGGGAGATAATATTTCGTATAGCTCGCGGATCGTCATCGCAACGACTGGACACAGCAAAACATATAAAGGTTTCTCACCCTTTCGATACGAGGCGTTCCTGCGGCGTCGTTGTGCTCGCGACGCCCCACGAGATCTTGCGACTGTCTCAACGGTACCATCCGGATTGACCTTAACACTGGGGGACTGGTTTTCCGTAGAGTAATCAATGAATAAACTGTCAGGCAAGCCGGTGAGAGAGGGAGGTAGGTTCTCAGGCTTAACGAGGCGTCGTAAATGCTGGCAATCTGGAACCCCTTCCTTGAGGTTGTCTGTGATTTTTTTGATGGTGCTGTATTGTCCCGTTAGCTGCAGAAACTCGTGACCCTATCCTCAGGAAAGACTTACTTCACCACTTCATTCGCAGCTCTACTATGAACGACTACGGTGTAAACCTCCACTAATCAGATAGTTAGAATGCATCAGTACATATAGCTAGGGTATACTTACTCTGCTCAATCGCAGTGGTCAGCTCTCTTCGAGTTGGGAGAAGACTAAAACGGCTATCCTTTCTCCTGTATTCCTCTAGCATGGGGCGGGTGGCTTCCTTATTGCCACCTTCACTTGCTTTAGGCTCTTGAGTATCGCCCTGGTCAGCCGGCAAATCGCTCTTCGCATTTCCGGGCACCGGGATCATCGTGATAGTAGTCTCCGGAGTAACAATAGAAGCCGTAACGAGGTCTGTGCCGAACCTGATAGCCACCGGAGACGCAGATGCATCTTCGGAACCGCTAGTTCCTTCGTTGTCTGCATCATCTACGTTGGTATCTGGTTCTTCACGCTTTCCTCTGTTTTTCTTCTTTGGTCGGTTTCGCTTCCCTTTCTTAACGGGAGCATCTGCAACATCTGCGGCTGGTTTGTTCTCAGCATTTGTATTGATTGCGAGTTCAGGCTTAGAGGATGGGCCAGCAATTAGCGGGACTGGGACCTGAATGTCCTCGGCCTTGGAAACATTGCTCGTTGTTGATTTATTGATATTGGATAAGACGGAGGTATCCGTGGGAGCGGGTTGAGAAGCTTGGGCAATCTGGTTTGATATAACCGGCTCTTCGTTGGCCTCCTTAGGCTCCTCAGTGCGATTTGGAGGGTTCCATTGGGGAGGTTTTGGGGAGTGGTCATTCTCCCGAGGCTTTCCATCACCTTGACTCTGGTTGCGGCCACCTCTGCTGTCACCACGACCGGCGCCGCGATTACCGCGACCGCCTCCTCTGTTACCTCTATTTCCACCTCTACCGCGTCCATTAAAATCGCTGATGAAACCGGTCTCTTGTGGTGCTCGAGAACCTGATCGACTTCCGCCGGAGCTGCTATATCCGCCGGGGTAGGGACTACCACCCGATGAGGACCTGTACCGGCTTCCGTTATCGATGTTGTAACCACCTCCAGCGCCTCGGCCACCGCGATGATCACCGCGGAAATTCCCGCGAAAGGAGCCACGCTCGTTTCCACTAGAAGACGACCTGTTCCTGAAATTATTACTGTTGTTACCGTTGTTGTTGTGGTAGTGATGGTTGTTATTGTAAGGATGAGGACTTCGAGAGCCCTGCCGTTGGTTGTGGGACTTGTTCCCTGGATAACCACTACGGGATTGGCTCCGCGGACCACTGGGAGCATTCGTAGGAGGGCCTTGATAACCAGAAACAACAGGCTGCGCGGTGTCTGCCTGTGTAGGCTTAGGGTCTTGAGGAGCCGACATCACGAATCTGCTTGAATTTGATGAAGGAAAGCGAGAGAAAGAAGATGGGAAAAGAACCGCAGCTACGGGTGATAGCTGGGCCTTGGATAGTGATAATCGGGAGGTTTGTACTCCGGGGATTTGTCGCCAGTACCGATGGATTTGATAAATGAACTTATCTTTGCGAGCTTTTTATCAAGCGATACGAAGGTGAGGAAACGAGAGTAGGGGTCTAAAGATGCAAGTCTGTTAAGTTTGGAAATCGTAGAGACAGACGGAATGCCAGCGACCAGGGGAGCAGAGTTGCACCGTAGGTACTTGGTATTAGAATTGATATTGATATTGATGAGGTATGTTGGTGTTCTAGAGCTTCCTAGACGTCTAGATGACAACGGAAGAAAGTAGGATGGGAAGTTAGGAGAAGAGAGGAGAAGCCAGCGAAGCTAAGATGGAATATTAAACGGCCAATTAGTCACAAGTGTCCAGAAGGTCGATGAGATGTTGCGGTAGAAGAAAAAATACATAAAAGAAAGAAGAGGGGGGATGGCGAAAGGATTATGTAGAAGAGAGGAGAAGAGAGGAGAACTCAGGAAGAACTTACATGGGAGAAACTGGGATGCTTCTAGCAGTTGCAATGGAGAAGAGCAACGGCAGGAGCAGCAGATTATTTGAGCGAAGCTACGTCGAGGGCAACGAAATGAGAGAGAGCAAGCTGGAAGCTAAGAAATGAAAGATGGAGGTTATTGCGACACGGCTGATCTAATGTTTGCTGAGAGCGTACAGTATACGTATACAGTTCCTACCAACGTAATGTTGTGGAGGAAGCTGGGGAAAGAGGAGATATGAATGGGAATGGAGAAAATGTAGGATGTAGGGTGAAAGATGGCGGAAGAGAGGGGAAGCTGGCTTGAGACGATTGCTAGAAGGGGAAGAAGCAGACGTTATTGTTGTGCATAGGCATAGGTGGTTGCCGTGGGTAGGTGGGTGGTGGGGTGGTGAGGATGTTGCTGATTGAAATCACTTAAGTATTTTATTTTTTTATTTTTATTTTTTTCTATTTTTTGGGCGCGGGATGATCAAACAACACACACAACACATCTTGTTGACCCCAAGGTACTTCTTCTGACACGATTTGCTGGCATCGTTTCATTCATTCTGTTCAAATGTACTCGGTCTTGCTTGGATATGTCCCTCATATGCTTCATTCGCCCGCTTGCTTGAACATCAAACGGGTTATTTTCAACACTAACTTAGGTAGATAGTGTGTGTCTAGGTATCTAGGCCGATTCTCGTTTTGGTGACCTCATCGCTGTTGTCTTGGCACCTGCAGGGTCCATCTTAAGCGAGCTGATTGATAACCTTAGATAACGATTTACCACAGCTCAACACTTTCTTCGGTCTCCCACGATTGGCTCAGGGCTAGGGCAACGATAGTATATATAGATGGTATGAACTTAAATATATATCTACGTTGTCGGGTAGTGTCTATCTATTCGTATACTCTTTCTAAGCGCAAAGAGTATGAAAGGGTTCGCCATAAATACTTCCACTAGCCGCCTAAGACACTTAGAACACCTAAGGGATTGCCTGGTGAACCGACGGTTCGTTGAATCGATTCCTCCCTAGGCCCTGCCCGAGAAATAGAGTCTAGATTGCATAGGACCTGTTAAAGGATTGCTCAACCACTAGGACCAAACTAAGCTACCATAAAGGCTTCCATTGGCGGGCATTGGGTATACGCACTATGCTAATGCGATGGGCTATGTCCGAAGTAAATGTTTTAGTCACACCTGTTAAATATACTATTCATATCAGGTTTGGGAACTACTAACAATCTCAGAGAACCTAAATATAGTTCATCGAATGTCAAGTCGGCTTCGACTAGTCTAGGGCTATAAAAGAGTCCTCTAGTAAGATACCAATTACCGTCAAACTTCTTTACTCTCGAGGTTATGTATGTACAGCGTGATCACAAGGCCACAAGTAGTTTATTCGCCGCTTAGAGGTAGCCATGCATGTATGCATATGATCCTATCGACAAGTTCTGGTTAGATGTTCAGCATTTCACTTGCAAAGACCCTACTGTTACTTAAAGAATGATAGTAATTTAAGCAGGGCAAGCCGATCTATGTGCCCTTAACGCCTTGTTCGCCCATTCCGACATCTTGTTAATTCATCAAAAAAAAAAAAAAAAAGCCACCTAACGATCGTACGAGCTAGCTATAAAGAACAAAATGTTTCCGCTCAAGGTGGCTCTATGCCGAAATAGAGTATGTAATCAATACTATATCCTACCGGTGTATACGTATGGAACTCGCCTCTCCAAGTTTCATCACATACCTATGCCCAACAGTGTAGAATCAATGCAATATTTATATAATCTCCGCTTAATTAATAGGGGAATTCAATGCAATCTGTCTTACGAGGCTGCCTTGGTATTGGTATATTTATTTGAACACCTCTTCCGTTCAGATATCTATGGTATGACTTGAGGAGTCAACCATACATTATACCTCCTGCTAACTCCTCGTGATATCGATCCCTCCCTAGTGCCGAGTGCATCGCAACAGTAAATTTAAATCTTTAATGCCATTGGTTATATGTCCGTTATAGATTGAGCGGAATTAATCAAACCATGGCCGCATCCACAAGGCACATAGGTACTGGCACAATCCCAAGGAAATGGTTCGCGGGATCCCGACTGCATGAGTGCTTCGACGATAACTTCCCCAAACTCCGCGCGAGTATAATGGAATACAGCCCCTGCTTTCTTGATGTCAGTTCACTTGTGTATTTCTCTGCACGTAGTACGCCACAGCTTAGGAATATATCTCAGCCATAGCGTCTATTCAAGTACATATTAACATCTCAAAGACGATCCCACCCCAAACAAGCCCTTTCAAACCCCAATTCAACAACCACCGCCCGCCGTACCTTGCATATAGTTAAACCAATGGAATCCCAATACTCCAAAAAGGCCTTAATTCGTAAATCCCTGGCAATACTTCCTGCCGTGTGCCCTCTTTGTTTTCTTTTTTGTTTTTTTGCTCCGATTCGGCGGCGCACAAGTACAAGCTGCCGGAGGCGCTGCAGGTACCCTATCCTCCCTCAAAGATGCTCTTTTCACCGGCCCCACGGTTGTACAAATGATTATTATGTGGAACGATATACCGCTCGACCGCTCCCAGTGCCATGGTATTTTTTCTTAAACAATCTACGAAAGGGAAGTAGTTGTCCAACATGATGCGTGCAAATTACCGGGTTCTCACAACTTGTCAACCTGCGTTGTGTTACCGACTCCATTCCAGTACTCGCCTGGCGGTTTCTTTAATTGGTGGAGATAATACACATGGGCTTCATCCACTAAAATGCCTCCCTTCTCTCTGTGCCGTCCATTCTCATAATTTCAAAGTCTAGAACTTTACTAAGAAAACCAAATTTCTTGACACAAAAACTCGGTCATATGATCATTTAATTGCTAGCCTCCAACGCCTCTTCATCATGAGAAAAGACGGGCTGGTATTGGCGTCATCATGCTTCCTCGTGCCCCAGAACCCACGCTGTTCATTCCAAAACTCAAAGACATGTAAGCCCACTTCAGCCTTACCGTGAGACATACGCATAGCCCACAGCATGTGTTGTGAAATTTAAAGCTAACGGCGTACGGCGGACGAAAAGTCAAGAACGCAATTGCACAAGGGAGGAGTTCGTCTCCTTCTTTCACAACCGCCGATCAATGTTTAGCTTATGTGGGCGGGCCTTTCCAGTTTCCATTGTCTATTCGCATTCGGGGAGGCAAAATTGATTCCCTGATCGCGATCGTGAAATGGAATCGAAAATATCGAAGTTGAAAGAAATAAAAGGCGCTCGCCAATTTCTCATGGCCAAGTAAGACAACTAAAGACATCTGTGCACGAGACAACAGTTCCTTGGATGCTGAATACGAGTTTAAGGTTACAGTACCCAGATACACCAGACTAGCCAGCCATCTAAGCGCCATTATCTCACCAGACGAAAATCGCTCCCCCAATTATGCCGAGGGGCGAAGCAAGAGCCGACAATGTCCGTTTATCCCAAAGGTTCAAAGGTTAGCCCGAGCAGTGGCATACAGGACTAGCCTAAACCTTGTGCCAGTTCAATAAGCACCCATACTCCATCATCCATCACAACTCCTGCCCATCCTCAACCGTTTGATCTATCACGGACAGCGGGTCATGCATGTTTCCCCGCAAAATGTGTGTAATCAAAAGGATAGGCGCATGTTAAACTAGGAGCCCGTCGGGGGAAAGGAGAGAGGGGCTAACCCAAGGAGGGGTAGACTGCATGAAAATAATATATGCACTTACACAGGATGTCAGTTCCTAAGTACTCATGTATAACTGAATTATCGCGAATGTGTAGCCACACCTCTCAGACGAATATGCAATTCAACTTGCGTCTGCTGCTGTTACTGCATCAATTGAGGCCTTTTCCCCCCTTTGCTTATAGTCGAAACCTATTATCGTTCAAACGCAGAACCTCATAATTGCGTAATTATTGGATAACATCGACACCAAGCATGCAGCTCCGCTAGCAAGAATTAGGAAGATCCTGCTTGGATAGCAAAGCAGCATTCTTTAGGAGCTGCTTGATGCATAAAGTGTGCGTCTAATTCACGCAAAGCCATGGTATAGTAAACCTAGCCCCGAAAAAAAGAACAAAAAAAGGACACTATATCTAGGCGATATCGATAGGGGAATCGCAGAAAGTTCCGTTTCAAGGCAGATCCCTAGTTACTCTTGTTCATCTTGGATCGAGGCTAAAATAGTTGGACGGTAAATTTAAGTAATCAGATTTCCTCATCCTGCATGATATAATCGGTATAAATGTGTAAATGTGTACGCCAGAAGAGCCCGATTCCGATACGGAATGCAATGATGGACAGGGCCATGTGAGCCGTTACACATAGGCGCGGCCGGCCGAGAGTGTTCGCTCGTCAGTTTGCCAGTCTCCCACATGCAGGGAGAACGAAGCTAATGCGACGACATGACGAGAGAAAAAAAAGACAACTAGCAAGTTTTCCTGGAAGAAGAGTGTACTTCAAGGTACACATAATAGTATTCTACTAATAGCTACATACTTCCCATGTAGTTAATGTCGAAAAGTGGGTTGTTTTCATGAATTTCAGCTGGCGTTCGCGCCCAACGTGCAGAGGTTCGTATGTCAAGTAATCAAAAGAGGGACGGGAAGGGCCATCCCATGCACGAAACTAAAGCTCGACATCTAAATTGAGATCAAGTTGGTCCCATACCAGGATCAGATGGAAGATCTATCCAGCGCAGAATCACTCGATGCCGCTGTTATCATAGGTTGCGCAAAGTTGGCTGACATGAAAGGTGAAACTTGGTTTGCATGATGGGACGGCTGCCGCTGCCGCTGCCCAAGTTAGACAAAGAAATCAGCATCATGCATTTGTTTAAACACAAGGAATTGCGATGAGGAAGGACTGCAGCCAGTAGTGGAGAGGTATCGCTAAAGATGCATCGAGAGAATGTCTGTTCCACCGCTTTTGCGACAATCCGTTCGAGTCAGCAATGCTCAAAATTACAATATATGTATGCATGTATATGGCAATGTTGCCGAATCTTCGTGCCGTAGCCTCGAGACCAGTTCGTGCCGAAATTTGGGGGTTCACAAAAAAGTATGCACAGTCCTCTCACGTCGGTCCTTGTGAGGAGTGGAGGTCAAGCCTCTGAGATCCAGCAATTTAAATCTCGGACAAGAGATCCAGACTTGTCGAATGGCAGAAGCAAATTCCCACGCGGCTCCAAGCCTTAATTGCAAGCAATCAACCTGCGACGTGGGGAGGGGTCAAGCTCTCCTTGAGTCGTGGCTCCAAGGGAAAGCTTGCCGGTAGCGAACGTGCCAGAAAAGGGTAAGGGACATGGCTTGTCGGGTCGAATCCGAGGTTTTAACGTTTTACGAGATGCAATATCGTTATATTCACTCGATTTGTCGCCACAGCCGCCTCATTCCTTTCACCAGCCTGTGTCTACATGTCGACTCGGGGACTTTGTCAAGCGAAGAGGTTGGGGTGAGGAGGTGTGAAATCACCTGCGGATTCCGTGAAAACAGTACGGCACATGCACGAGCGCCGGGCTTTTCGTACGATGACGGGGACGGAGTTCCTGATAACCAACTTTCTTTTGTATTATACCATCTTCATAGTTCTTTTTAGTTTTAAATTTCCCCCATTTCATGTGCCCAATCAATCCGCAGTGTTCTCTGGACCGCAATTTCGATCGATGCCAACTGCTTAGTTTCCAAATCCGGGGCGACTAAATCTACGATGAAGCTAGGACCGAAAACTCCTTTAGCGTCAAACAAGAGAGAGCTGCTTCGCCCCGATGGTACAGATGTCGACGGAATAACTCCACATGTCCGTTCAAAGGCTTCGTGCATATACAGCACGGCACCTAGGGAAACCCGTCCGGTCTGGGTTTTCGGTCTGCGAAGGGGCAGAAACATTCAATTCTCCAGCGAATCGCGTACCCGGAAGTCTCAACAGATATCATGCACAGATGCAAGTGTCTACGAACATCAACTGTGTGGTTGGGTTTTGGTGTGGGCTCTGGTGAGAGTGTGTGGGGAAGTTGCCTGAAAAAGAAACATCCATGGCGCGCGCGGAGCTCGATAACTTTAAAAACGTCAAACCCAAGACTGAGTGCAGGTACAGTTCAGATACACCTGGAACTCCACTAACCACGAAGGGATCCGAGGTACTCCAGGGGTTTCCCCCCTCTTTTTTTTTTTTTTTTTTTTTGCCTTTTGCCTGATCCCGGCTTCTGTTCTGAACTCTTCAAGTGCCATTTCTAGCCTCCTCGAATTCAGCTGGGCGTGGAAATGGAAAAAAAAACCCATTCAAGTGAAAGCTAGTATGTAGCTGCTGTGCTCCACCCTTGCGGGTTTTTCTTGCATCTATAAAGATGCTTTTATACGTCGATCAGACTTTAGCCTGCGACCGTACTGGCTCGCATGCAAAAGGTCGGATATGTCAAGAACATGTTACTAGCTATATCAGTTTTCGCTATGTGAAATAAGAGTTGGTAGATGCATCATGTATAGGAACATCGTTTCGAGGTGATACTCAAAAGGTATGTATGCGCGGCAGAGCATTGGGGACCGGAAATACGTTAATACCTGCAGGCCACGCACTAGTGAGAACGGACTGGGCCCGGCCATTACGAGCGTTATTTTTCCACTCTCAAGCTGAGCTGTCTCTTATAGAAACCATGCTCGAGGATTATCGATGTGGACGAGGATATCTGCAGGATGCTGCCTCAAACTTGATGTGTTATTGACATCCTGCATCGGAGAGCTATTTAGGTCTATCTTACCATTCCAATTTCAAGGCAGGGAATTGGGGGGGTTCGAAAACCGGAATTACAATAGTTAGATGCAGGTTTAAGACGTATTTCTTAAAAAAGGCGTTGGAGGTTGTATCAAATAGGGTTCGGTACAGGGAAAAGCATTTCTATGAATATCCGCCGTTGCAGTTGCACCGTCAATGCTAGCTAAGCACGAAAAAGAAGCTGACGGCGAGCGATGATGCACAATTTGTAGTATGTAGGAAGTCTAAATAAATGGCAACCTGTCGAATGGCGAATATGAAACACTTCCAGGGCTGCTATTCGAAGTAACAAAATATCTCAAGACAGACACTCGGTGAAAAAAAAACACCTGGAGAGCCCTTTAACTCGAGCTCCTCTCTAAGTTTTAGACGATAGCGAAATCATGCGCCGGAAACTTTGGCGTTATTGAGCCACAGCTGTCTTAATATATGCTTACCGAAGTATCCTATAATCTAACGAATCGTTCGGGCAGTATGCAGTCTCTCTCTCTCCCTTTTTTTTTTTTTTTTTCTCTTTCTAAAAGGAAGACACTACTCAGAGTGAACTGTAGACGACAATTGGGACGGCGAGGACACCTGATAATGGGATCACTCGCCTTCCTAATATCTGCCACCGACGGTGCACAAGGGGAAAAAAGGGAGGAAAGAAAATAGATACATCCGTGAATGTCTTTTCCCTATGCCTCTCACCCGAGCAGAAGCCGAATTGAACAACGACTAAGTATTAGCCAAAGTGAACGTAATTGAAACCTTGTCCCGAGAATCGATAGCACAAGGCCACTAGGAAAAAGGCCGCGCGATACCAATGATGTTTCCAAACCAAGAACAGTTCTGGGCCTAGCCTATCGGGCTAGTAAGTAGCGTCGACATCGTTCTTGTCAAGTGATAGAGCTAGCCCAGACTTCCCAATCTTCCTCAGGCAAAAATAAGAAAATGCCAGTGTGGCTGGCTTAGCTCCCTTTCTCGACGTCGGAGTGCACTGCGCTGTCCGCTTCCCCCATGCATCTTAAGATGGTGTTTGGGCTAGCCTCTGCCCCAGTTTCTTGGTTGCGGGCACTCGTCAAAGACTGACTCTTGGGAGTTCGTTCGTTCGTTCGTTCATCCTTCCTTCTTTCCTTGTCGGGTCCGCCGGCACCAAACACGGCCGGTGTAAAAACGGATGGAAGAGGCAAGAAGCAAAATAAGGTAGCGTATTCTTGGGAGTGCTGTACGGAGTACTGTGTATATTATCAATCGGCAATTCCCCTGTAAACTGGACGATACGATTCCATTCTCTTTCTTCTGGCACGCCGTTGGTGAACTCTGCCGTGCATATTTCTTGCTGCACAAGAGCGGAGCCATTGTCTCTTTCGCCTCCCTCCCTTTCCCCTTTGCTGCAGCTCCGGGTCTGCCCTATCGAGTCGCTTAGAAAGGGAACGACGACGAAAGTCTTGGACATAGTTAGGAAGATTTCACACCTTGGTGTATTATTGCCCGGTCCTTGCTTGATATAGGGCTCTCAGTCTTTCCTCCCTTCGTTTCTTTTTTCTTTCCGGTGGTCTTTGAACATATAACAAGATCCCCATCCAAGAACGAACCTCTTTTCCTCCGGGTATTTCTTTTGTTTGTTTCTGGATGCTGTGGTAGAGACGCCGACGTCAAGGTTTTTTATTTTACAATCAAATTTCAAATCGAATCTCGAGGCTTATTTGAAGTCTTCGTTCCCATCCGTCCTTGGTCAGTCCTTCTTATTCAAGCCAATTGGCTCCCTCCAACAACACACCAACACAATTATATATCACCACTTCTCTCTCATGCCTGGTCGTGAGGACATCTACTTTGTTCCCTTGCGATAGTAGTAGTAGCAGTAGCAGCAGTAGCAGTAGAAGAAGAAGAAGAAGAAGAAGAAGACGACGACGACAACAACGAAGACGAAGACGAAGACGAAGATAAGAAGTCTACAGGAAAAGGCTTTGTGAGCTCTATCAATAATATCATATCAATTGGATTCATCAACAGAAAGAGAGCCCCGATACCTATCTACCGCATATATATATACATATCTTAAGTATATATATTATACATACTTAGGTATATATATCCTACTATTCTCCTTCGACGCTATACCGCCACCCATTGGACCGCCATATCCGCCATTCTTTCGAGAATGAGAGCGGACCGACACCTTGCGAAGGCATCTTCGTCAGATAACATTCGACCTTCGACTCCGGAGAGAAGAACCAGCAGTCCTTTCACACTCCCAATCCAGGGGACAACGAATCTATCGCTACATACAGATTTTGAGAAGAGACCCCACTCTGCGTGTTCATTTGTTTCCTCGGCTCCTTCTTTAGAGCTAACGAACTATGATTCCAACGTTGGAAGTCCCCTTCACACAAGGGAGCAGCGTAGTCAATACCTGCCTGAAGTTTTGGAGAGAGAACGTAGGGCTCGTCAACGAGAGGACGATGAGCACACGCGGAAAGAACAAGAAATCCAAAGGATGAGACAATATCAGAAGGAACTCAACAGCAGTCACAGATTGAGCGCTATCAGCCAAATCTCCGATAACCAACAAGAGGATTCACATCAAAATACTCCACAGGAAGAGTCTCCCCGAGGAAGACAAGATTCGATTGCTTCAACCTTGGGAGCGGACTCGGAGGCGCCCTTAAGGTCCCAACGGGGACGTCGAATCCGAAGCGTCTCTTCGGCGGGCCAACTTTCTACCCCGGTCTGCCGGAACTCAGTCGTCAGCTCGTCTCTGAGAAGAGTATCTCGTGCTATGACGTTTGCCGGTAGAACAGACTCTACACATATTGATTACTACTCGAGAAGACAGCACATCGATTTGGCTACTTTGAAAACAATCAGCCCGTCATCAAAGAGCCTTTTCAACTTGACTTCCAAAGGCTCCATCATAACGAGGGACGGCTCCCAGCCTCCTCATAAATCAGATGGAAGCCTTCTAGATACTGAAGCGCAGCGAGAGAAGGGCGAATTTCACTATCCCGACGGGGGTTTCCACGCCTGGGTTCAGGTATTTGCTGCCTTCCTCCTTCTCTGCACCGGATGGGGCATTGTCGTGTCCTACGGTGTTTTTGAAACCTACTACAGCACTGGTTTGGAGAAGCCGTTGGCAAATTCTGCCGGAACATCCCTAATAGGATCGATCCAGGCTTTCCTTTTGCTTTTCGTGGGCTTCTTCACCGGTCGTCTTTACGACGCAGGACATTTCAGAGCCATCATGTCGACTGGAAGCATTCTCATGTGGCTAGGATTGTTCACTACCGGGTTCTGTGGCCAGGTCTATTGGAAAATCCTCCTCTGCCAGGGCATTATCACTGGAACTGGGATGGGTTTCCTGTTCACTCCTTCGGTCGCCATCGTTTCAACGTATTTTTACAAAAAGAGGGCTCTGGCAAACGGATTCGTCGCATCTGGGAGTTCCGTCGGCGGCATTATTTTCCCGATTCTTACTCGGAAATTGATACCCGCCCTTGGTTTCAGATACGCGATGATTGCAAACTCATTCATTGTACTCTCCCTCCTTATCCTCAGCAACCTCATCCTCCAACCACGAAAAGACATCCCACCAAGAACCAGAGGTCCTATGATCGACTTCAAGTCGTTCAAGGATCCAACATACATGCTATTTGTTTTTGGAATGCTTGCGGCATACTCCGGCCTCTACATGCCGTTCTTCTATGTTGAGGTTTGGGCTAAGAAGATGGGATTGGACAAGCATGGTCTCGAGACTTTCTATCTCGTCAGCATTCTTAATGGGGCTAGCACCTTTGGAAGGGTGCTCCCCAACTTCATTGCTGATAGGTAATTTTATCTTTTTCAATATAAGGACTTGAACATTTGCTAACTCATAGTCTAGAATTGGTTCCATAAACATGCAAATTCCTGCCATGATAATATCTGGTATTCTCATCCTCTGCTGGTTGCCCATGACCTCATTCAATGAACTCATACTCTTCGTTGTTCTTTACGGATTTTTTTCTGGGGTATTCATATCCCTACCGCCGGCTTCGGTCGCATCTATCACACCGGACGTAACCTACTTTGGAGTGCGGATGGGGATGATGTTCAGTATCGCTTCCGTTGGAAGTTTGACAGGGACACCCATCTCCGGTGCCTTGATCCATGCTCAAGGCGGAAGTCTCGATGGGGCAAGGATTTGGAGTGGGTGCATCATGCTGTCTAGTGCTGCCCTCATTATCGCTGCTAGAATCAACGCAAGCGGATGGAAATGGCGATGCAAAATCTAATCTTCTCAACACCCGACGGCCGACCCATCGTACATCAGCCATCGAGGCCATCACATCATTTCCCCCCTCTCGTTTTCTCTTTCTGTTCCCCATTGCTTGTTCTATTTCTATATTTTGTCTCATTTCTTCAACATTTTTCTTGCTCGGAGCTCTTGCGCATTTTTTGCAACTGGTGCATAACGAACTGGAGTTCAACTGATATTTATCATTAAGTCATATTGTCTAATCCGGGGTTTCATATCGATCATTCCTTTTTTATCGTTGATTTTTTTTATTTTATTTGCATTGATATGAATACAAACGAGGAGGAATAACCAGGAGGCCACGAAGGGAGTTTTATGGGCTTCAGATGTGACATGAGCGAGCATACTTTATTACAATCTCTCTTTTTTTTTCTTCTTTTTTTTTCTCCTTCTCATTTTCAAGTTTAGCGGTTTACTGTATTGGGGGAAAGAGGAATTGGGACAGGATCTTTCCTTGAATTCAGGGCTCTGACGTATTATGGTAGATACAATTGTTGTACATATAAATCGCATTGCGCGAGCATGGTATAGCGCTGGAAGACATGAGCTTCCAATTTATCTGATACCAATCAAAAGATAATCCTTAGATCGAGTTTGTTTGCTAGTAAACTTTTATAACAAGTAGAGCCCTCGAGACTATGATGCAGCTGGCTATTCTTGCGTGCTTTGCAATATCATATCATCTTAGAAGCGCTCTTTCACCACCATTGCGCAATACATACTTCTAGATATACTACCTTGAAAACACCTCATCCCGAGAATTCGAGTCCCTAAACTTCATATTCGACATATTCAATGGACGAAGGTGGTCAAATAATAATTCCGACCGACAAGGGTCTTCAAGGGTCTGTGCGGTCACAAAGCGAAAAACGGGTGGATTGGCATCGACATGTCGACGACGGGGCGAACAGATCCGTGCTCTTTAATGCAAGCGTGGCTGTCTATCATCACTTCTTTCAACCCCTCCCCTCGCCAGATCAGGGATAAGCTTAAGCTCAGGCGAATACGAACAATTCAGATCCAGGTCTCGAACTCTACATCCGTTCTGTTTAGGATAAGGGTGTGTTCGCACACACAAACCTGGCGGTAGAATGCAACTTCGGGAGCCATTTTGTGGGGTTCGTTCACTGTCGACTCTAGTTACTTTTTTTTTGTTTTTTTTTTTGGTGAAAAGGACAAGAGGTATCCGGTCCCCTCACCCCAGCCGCCTTAACTCCCAACTAGGTCTTGCTTTGGCGATGATGCTTGTCTGCATTGCAGTAGTATGTGGGTTATGTATCTCCAAACAAAAAGCATGAGGCTTTAAACTCCATTGATTGTTAATTAGATTCAAACCGTCCCCGGCAGTTTCTATATCGATACGCCACCTTGCTAGAACCATACCATATCGATGCATTTCTGGACCAATGCAATTGGAGGCGACACTCCAAGGCCCTTGGCCTTGTCGAACGAGATAAGAAGATATTTCATGCATCCGAGCCGTTTACCTTTCGAAGAGAACGAGCAATACGAGAACCACAGACCTATCTCGTGAAGTTGCAGACTTCCACGACAATAAGAATAGAATAACAAAAAAATTAAATACATCTTGACTGGGCTTGACAAGGGAAAAATGATCAAAAGGAAAAAAAAACCGTAATCCCGAGCCGTGAACCGCTTGTTCATCCGATTCGTACAAAAAGAAGGACCCTACCACACTCTCACATGATCCTTGTCCCCCTTCAACCCCAGGTCTTCCTTTTCGATATAATGCATTCCTCGTCGAAGTCGATGGAATGCAAAGAAGGCACCTTTTTAGTTGTTTCTTGCGATCGGGTTTCAGAAAATGTCACAGGCACCGCGCGGCCTAGGGAAGACGAGGTGGAGAAATCACCTTCGTGGCAATAGCCCTGTGGAATACCGAACTACAATCTCGACACTAATGCAGCTTCAACCCGTCCTAAATTTCTGTCCAGCATCGATATATTTTTGCTCCATACGAATTTCAGAATAAAACAAATCATATCTAGAGATTTGGCTGAACAGAAGCAGAACGAAAACGAAAAAGAATGAAAAAAATAAAATAAGAAAAGAAAAAAAAAACGAAAGCAAAAGAAAATGGAATTGGTGGCAATGTAACGGACGATAACGAAGAAAACTCGGAATCTCGATTTCATGTTGTTTCCCTAGGTCTTGGTCTCCAGACACATCCAATTAGCAAATAGATCCACCTTGATTGGAGGGATAAATAGGGCGAGATCTCTAGGGTCTGCAGGAGGGCCTAGCCGGCTTAATGGACCGGAAGCGAGCCAGCTTGCCGATAAATATTATGTAGACTCCGAATACCCGGCTCGAATTCGAGTCGAATACCTGTTCTGATCTGACAGAGTCCGAAGACCGAAACTCTTCAGCGCGGATCCGTACGGAGAATCTTCGACGGCATGCCGAATTGATAAAGGGCAGTGGCTTTGCACGCTCTTCCATCCCCGGATTCTGTTTCGATTCATACAAGCGCCAATGCAATTGGCATATAAAAAAAAACAAAATTCCCGGAAGACGTTACCCAACATCTGTCAAAAACGGAAGAAGTGCACGAGGACTGTAGCAGAAAAGCACGAAGGACAGAGTACCACGTCGCACCGGGTACAAATAGTACAGGCTGTTTTAGCTAATTTGGACGTCATCAGCTCCGTAAATTCCGGCTGTTCTTTACATAAATTCAAAGAGCACTGCAGTTGGAATTCGCAACGTGCAGGTTGTATCCTGCACCTCGTCGACGTCTCTTCACATTTCACAAGGTTGGCCAAGGATCTTAAGAGTGCAAGGAATAGCAGCGAAGTCGGAAGGCCGAAGAGAGAAGGGACTAGATTGGGACCAAGGCAAGCCACAAGATACAACAAAATCAACACGCTAGCGATCTAAGAGTATAGAGTATCACGATGTCGGAGCTCAGAAAGTGGGATGCAAAGGAAGGTTGAAAAACGCCCCCCTTTTCCCCGAGACAAAATCATGTAAAAGCGAAAGGTCAAATGATAGGGGCCACGATCTAATACTATTTCTTCTTTCTTTATCACACTACAGTTGCAAAGCATAATACACCAGAAAGCTGCTGGGTCATCCTCTATGGAAACGTCTACGACGTAACCGACTTTCTCTCGTCACATCCAGGTGGCGCTAAAATAATTCTTCAACTAGCTGGTAAAGATGCTACGGAAGACTATGATCCGGTGCACCCGCGGGGAACTCTCGAATCGTCTTTGCCTCTTTCCGCAAATCTAGGCCCCATCGACGAATCTACCGTTGACAGAGCCGAGTCTACAGTGGGCAATAACCCGAACCTCGTGGTCGAAAATGTCCCAATTGCCAATCTCCTGAATCTTAATGATTTTGAAGCCGAAGCGAAGAAAAAGCTATCGGAGAAAGCATGGGCGTACTACTACTCCGGTGCGGACGATTTGCTATCTAAAGAACTGAACAACACCGTATATTCCCAGATTCTGTTTCGACCACGTGTGTTCATCGATGTCACAGAATGCGACCTTTCCACGACGATAATGGGGATAAAAGCCGCGTCACCATTGTACGTCGCCCCAGCAGCGATGGCAAGGCTGGGTCACCCGGATGGTGAACGGGGTATTGCCATCGCATGCGGTAAGAAGGGTATCATTCAAGTTGTCTCAAACAATGCGTCCATGTCGGTAGAGGACGTCGTCGACTCACCGGTTACGCCAGAGCAATCCTGGGGGTTCCAGTTGTACGTCCAGGACAAACGAGAAAAGTCGATTGACATACTTCGTAGAATCGAGGCGACTGGGAAGTACAAGTTCGTAGTCCTAACCCTCGATGCACCGGTCCCAGGGAAGCGGGAGCATGATGAAAGGGCGAAGAACTCTGGGAATTTGACATTGACTTCTGGGGTTGGCACTGGCACGGCTGCAGCTGGGGGTGGTGGGTTGGGGAAGGCTTTATTCGCGGGAACCGCTGCAGACCTCACCTGGAAAAGTACCTTGCCTTGGCTAAGAAATGCGACTAAGCTCCCGATAATCCTCAAAGGATTGCAAACATGGGAGGATGCTAAATTGGCAAGCGAAGAGCCGAATGTAGCGGGCATCGTTCTGTCCAACCATGGTGGAAGAGGATTAGATACCGCGCCACCATCAGTACACACACTTTTAGAGATGAGGCGGTATTGTCCGGAGGTATTCGATAAAATTGAGGTGTGGGTGGACGGCGGAATCAAGAGAGGAACTGATGTTGTCAAGGCGCTCTGCCTTGGTGCAAAGGCGGTCGGTATTGGGCGAGGAGCTCTCTTTGGCCTTAGCGTTGGCGGAATCGAAGGCGTGGAGCGAGTCATTGATAGTAAGTTTTCCGATGGGTATATTTTCTTTCCCGCGTGGGTCTAATTTAGCTTCGATACAGTACTTCACGAGGAGATGGCAACATGTATTAGACTATTAGGTGCAGGATGCATCGGTGACCTTGGAATGCAATATGTATGGCTTCTTTACTCCCGTTCTAGTTGAGCTCCGCTAACGGTCTCGTTAACAGATTAACACCCGAGCTCTTGATCCACTTATTTGGTGTCCAGAAGATGACATTTTGAGATATACGCCGAGGGCGAAGCTTTAAGGAATAATTTGGTTTTTAGCGTAGGAATTCGAATTGTAGGATAGGATTGATAGGCTCTCTCAGTTTCAATGGGATCAGGGACTCGTAATTATTGCATTGACAGCGTTTTATGATTTAAACCCCCAGACCAAGTTCCTTGGTAATTATGAACATGAACAATATAACTTCAAATCACTATTACTACAATTACTATAGGGTACATACAATAAGAATCCAAACGAGCCAGTAGTTCCTGAAATAAAATAAAAATAATTTTTTTTAAAAAAAACCGATAAGCCTGCTATCTTGGGTCAATAATGATAAAAAGAGAGCTAAATCTTAGATGTTCCGCATCCGATGCAGCAAGACCAAAACACAAATGCGAAAAGATATCTATCCCACCTTTTCTAAACCCGATTTCCCCATCTTGGAGATGTAAGATTCTATAAACAGTAAACGCCCCCAATTTGATTCATATTTACGCCCAAGAGAGGCCAAGGATAGAAGCCGGGTAGCCAGAGACCCTATTCCCGACCCGCTCGTTACCCTTCTCGAATTCTCCCTCCAAAGCATCAAGGCCAAGCATGTGATGCGCCGTTTTGAGTCCCTGTTTCCTCAAACGTTCAACGGTCTCCCAGTCCCATTTTGTGATCTTATCAACCAACTCCAACTGTTCTTCTTCAATGGCGAGATCGTCATCCGAAGACGATTGTTTGAGAATCGCAGGAGTACTTGTGCCTGCATCACTTCCGGCGTTCGACTCAGTGTCTAAATGCTGCAAATGTGGATGCAGCACCTCCGTTTTAACAATCAAGTCTGCACTCTCCATCAAGCCAGCTGGCTTCGCCATCTTTGAATCTTCGACTACAACCGGAGCTTCCGGTTTCTTCGGTAGCAAGCCAGATTCTTCAAGGACTTCGTTTGGTGGTATCGTCTTTCTCTCCACTTTGAACACGTACTTGCTCAAGGAGCTAGCGTATATCTTTCTCTTGCCACCGTGCTTAGGGTCACCCTTCGCGCTTACGAAATGGCTGACGACGAAGAACCATTTGTTATCCCATCCGAGGACACGGCTCCACACTTCATACTTTTCATAAGGCTTAATCTCCCGTCTAAATAGCGACATAACACCTCCCAATGCCACATAGAGCGGTTTGTCACCCCTCTGCCGTCGCAATCGGAGAGATTTCTTAATAAGATGCGCGACCAGGTGCGTACGCGCTATATCGAGGTCGGAGAAGTAGGTAGAGTTCGACTTGTGGTAATTAAAATCACATTCGTATAATGGCGCCCGGGCAACGATTTTAACGGGTGCGAAGAGCTGTGTATGGTTCGGCAGGATACGGCGACGTAGGAGGAGGTGAGTATAGAGAGCATACCAAAAGCGTGACTACGTAACACACAACCGCGAACATTAGTTTTCACGAACTACAACGAGACATCGGAAGGAGCGGATACTTACGTGCCAGAAGAAAGGAATGACCTTAAGATTCGCAAGAACGATAAGGACAGCCAGCAGACGCCCAAGCTTGCTGACAGTCAAGCTTCGCGGGTTGGCGTATGCTGCACCAGCAAGCAGCAGCGAACGAAGGTTGTTCACGAGTGGGGTGGTGATTGTGCTTATAAGAGGCATCGTGGGTTCCCTCGAGGACCAGCGATCCGGATGTACTACCTGGTAGAAAGAAATATATAATATATGATAGATCTAACGCCCGCAAGGGATTGGAAGTTGAAGTTGAAGTCGTCAGTTCAACGTCACGGCCAACACAACAACGCAGCCTGGATATAGTCTTGTCAAGGCTGAGTAACCAGCTGCAGGGGCTTGTTTACTAGTAGAAAAGGGGTAGTTTATCCGAATCGAATGAGGCTCCAACGAGATCAAAATGGTAGACGGGTCGACGACAAACAAAGAACAAGATGTCAAAAGAAAGAAAAGGAAGGAGGGATGTTTATAAGATCTTGAGGAAGTATTTCCGGCTGAATCCGCCAACGGTTCTGCCGTAAAAAAAGGCTCCGTTGACGTGGTCTCCACAAGTGTCTCGATGTCGTATGTGCTCCGAATCGTTTGCTACATACAATGTCTAGGTTTGAAATTAAAAGCACATGCCACTTTTCTGAGGGGAAACAAGGAAACCTGTCAGCAATGGACAGATCGGATGAAGGAATACTGGTAGTTCTTTTTGTTAGCGTGGGGGATCTCGAGGGAAGGCAGGCTTAGTCAGTGAGAAGATGCCGAGGGACAAGACTTTGATTGTCGCGCACCTCTCTGACGCTGTGGAAAAGTGGAGGGCAAACGTGGTCTGGTTCAACGGTTTCAACATCACTCTTGAAGTGAAATGGGTAAATTGGTCGTTGGGGAAGGCTGATATAACATACTATGTACGTCTATATATCCAATTTCCGCAGCCCCGAAATGTCTTATCTTAGTGGTTTTATGAAGATGTGCGAGGTCGAGGTGTTTGGTATATTGATGATGAAGGTTGGGGTTGCACAACGCAGATGAGGGTTCAAAATGCAACAGATCTGTATAGATGCCTCGTCGACATGTTCATTACAATACTGCAATTCACGATCTGATGCTGGCGGGAACCCTGGTATAAATACGTCCCACTTGGAACCGCAAGGAGGAAAGTGTAGCTGACTTCATTCGTGAAATTACATCAGTTGCTGCGAAAGGCCCAAGTATTTGTCGCCTGAGCCGGCTGAAATGTGACCAATATTTCGTCGAAACGGGTTCTCGATCCCATTGAATAGCTGGAATCCTAGCGACATCTTTCGATGCGTAGATTTGATAGGTTTAAGCTATAGGAAGTATGGCGAAGTCCTATGAGAAGAGCCCGGCTTGGAATTCCGGCGAGATCCATGGAGGAGTTCGTCCATCGTCGATCCCACTGCTAGAAGGGAATATATATTGCCAGTTGTAGCTCACACTGCCGCATCAACCAGCTGAGAAGCTGGGGCGATTGTGTGGCCATGGAGGCGATTTGAGCAATTTGGACTAATAGGGGAGTTTGCCAGACCAGAAGGGAAGATAGCTTGTTGGAATGTATGTCGAGAGAGGAGGTGGCTTATCGAGGGGTCGACCTACATTTCTATCAATATTCGATTGTTTCTTTCAATATTTTGAACCTTGACGACAAAGAATGGCTTGTAGTAGACCCACTTTATATACTGTGTATATGATTATCCCATGCTAGACCACCCTCGTGCATTATAGACACCTAGGCGTATACGGTCCCTAACCCTAGCTATGAGACTCCAAATGAGGCAGGGTGATGGGTTACTTTCATAGTTGCAATATATATGAAACAATTCTGATCATCTACTACTAGAACTCGATAGACACAAGTCCGCTAAATGGTGGTCATCGGAAGGGGAAGTGGGGTACACGGATACTCGAGTTAGCTGGGCTGGGGGGTACCAACCATGGTCCAAAGAATGCTGAGTGTCCTGACTCGCGAGTCAGCCTGGTCAATTTACATTCCTACGCTTTGATACTCTGGCAGGAGTCATTTATCATGGCATGAAATTCAAGAGTGCTGGCTGAGACTGGTCCACGCACATATCCGATAGGTATCAGCTCAGCGCACCACAATCAAATTGTTCACCCTCTTCTTAGTTAAGTAGTCAGGTCTTGATCTCTGCACAATCCCAGGCGCTATTATGTGGAGTTAATAGTTGACAGCTCCTCCACAACTGATGCATGGCTGCACGCAACAGACCGTGGTATGCAATGGGAAATGATGCGTGCGACGACCAATTAACGTGGGCTTCGTTTGTCCGGGACGAATACCTCAATTGGACAGCTGTCCGGAAAATATCATTTTTATCCCCAACAAAAAAAAAACGAAAAGTATGAAGGCTCAACGCAAATATAAAAAAACAGTGCATTTGGCCGCCGACGCTAACTGATCGAGGAAAGATCTAGGCGACCCTGCATGACGGCGGCAAGGTATATTATTGGTTAGTGGAGCTCGATCCAGAGCTAGGGGTGATCCCTTTTTCACATGCTAGTTTTGATGGAGCCGATATCGAACAATGAGGGTTTTTTGGCAAAAGTTTTCCATCTGATATCGATAATGGACGGGACATATCGATAATTAACAGCGTCAAGCTTTTTTTTCTTCTGGGAACCCTAACGCAACTTCTCCATTTGATCGCGAAAATGCGGAGAAATCGGGAGACGGCTGAGCAGCTGAGGCAAGGCTTTCCAGCGATATTGCCCTGAAACCTGTTGAACTGGAGCACAAATCCTGCTGCTTCCTGCCCCTCGTCATATGAGATGGCATGCAGCTCAATGCAAAACATGTATATGTATGTGTCTGTTGTAACATAAGCTTGACCCTTTCAATTCGGTTGAAAATGCGGGCCAATGGAAGGGTCGGTCGATTGCAAACAGTTTGACTTTAGTATTTGAGACTTTTCAACATTCGATAATAACTGCGAGCGTAGTATATGTGCGAGAGAATCTGCGTGTGGATGTGCAGTTTTCGACCCCCATGCAGGCATTTTTCTTCTTCTTCTTCTTCTATTTTCGCACTCGCCCTCACATTCTCGTCCAAGTTGGCTAGCGTAGTCAGCTTGCCATAAATCTGGCCATGATATTCATGTAATCCACAGAGAGATAATATAGGAGAAGAAGAAGAAAGACATAAAAAAGTTGCCCACCGTGGTCATGCTCTTTGCCATTCGCTTGAACTGTCCAGGCCTCCCTGCTCCCCCAAGCTTGTGACAGGACTTGGTTTTAAGAAAATTCAACGCCATGCATGTTAAATTTTGCCGTCGAGGTCGGGGCCACTGAGACTGATGTCTTGTGAGCGCTATCAACAATGCATTGATCATGAAAGAGGGATATGTTGTCGAAGTTGGTCCACTGAGACGTTTGCGATTGATAAGAACTCTGTGTTATAACTGGGGGGTGGGAAGGCGTATAAAACCCTCCACGCATCCGCAAAACCTGGAGAAAGAAAGGATACAATTTCTTTTGAAGTTCAGTCGATAGTCAGGCCACGGTCGATGAGATAGAGACAGCCCGGCCCCAGGAAGTTGTCTACTTTGATACAATTATAGGTGCTGCAGAAGCTTTAGAGTCGTCTGCTTGGCTGAATTTTGTTGAGGAGAATCTCAAACAGGTCCCACATTTGCGTCCCTTTCTTAACCAGCTCAGATCTTTCCCTCCGCTCGACTCTTCTCTCTCTCCCTTCTCCCTCTTCCCCCCATCAGCAAACCCTTCTGGTCAACTGCCTTTAATTTTTTCTGGTAGGTCTATTCGATATCACCTGGACTTCATCGTGGTGTCATTTTTTCAGATCAATGGTCTAACGGTCTTTCTTTCTTTCTTTCTTTTTAATAGGACGTACTGTAGCTGTTTTGGCAGGCTTGTTGTAGCTTGAAGGCACAACACAAAAACCGAGAGACTCTGAATATAAATTCCCAGCAAAGATGCCGGCGACAGTTCGACCAGCTGCTGCCAAACGGGCCAGCACGGAGAAATCAGCCTATTCGACCTCGAATTCGGTTTCTCCTTCCGACTCTCCATCTTTCAACCCATCTCCTCATTCCTCAAACACCTCTCTCAGCGACCTTGATGTCAAGACCAACAGCCATCCCAAGCTCATCAATACGTATGGTCAGGAATTCAAGATTCCAGACTATACCATTAAGGACATCTATGATGCTATTCCAAAGCACTGCTTCAAGCGAAGTGCTTTGAAGTCATTGAGCTATGTTTTCCGGGATATGGTTTACTTGACTGTCACATTCATTGCCTTCAACAACTATATCATCCCAGCTATTCCTAATGTCTACGGTCGAGCTGTAGCCTGGGCAGTCTACACTGTCCTTCAAGGTCTCTTCGGAACTGGTTTGTGGGTCATGGCTCATGAATGTGGTCATGGTGCTTTCTCGGATTCTAAGACTATCAACAACACAGTCGGCTGGATTCTTCACTCATCGCTCTTGGTCCCATACTTCTCATGGCAAATCTCCCATCACAAGCACCACAAGGCAACTGGTCATATGCAGCGTGATATGGTTTTCGTTCCACGCACACGCGCCGAATACGCCCTTAAGTTTGGTGCTCAGGTCAGTGAATTGATGGAAGAAACTCCTCTCTACACTGCCGGCCATATGATTGCCCAACAGCTTTTCGGATGGCCGTTGTATTTGATCACTAATGTCACTGGCCACAATTTCCACGAGAGACAATCCGAGGGCCGTGGTAAGGGAAAGAAAAATGGTTGGTTTACTGGTGTCAACCACTTCGATCCTGCCTCTCCACTTTATGAGTTCAAGCACAGCAAATTGATCTTGTTGAGCGATCTGGGTTTGGCTATTATGGGCTTCATCCTGTACACCGCCTGCCAGAGGTGGGGTGCTGCCAATGTTCTAGTTTGGTACGGTATTCCGTATCTTTGGGTTAACCACTGGTTGGGTAAGTTACCATATATGTATTACATAATGATTTTGCGAATAGGAGGCTAACTATTTATATTTTTTTCACACTAGTTGCCATCACATACCTCCAGCACACAGACCCCACTCTCCCTCACTATGACCAAGCTGCCTGGAACTTCACACGTGGTGCTGCTGCTACTATTGACCGTGAGTTCGGTTTCATTGGCCGTCATCTCCTCCACGGTATCATCGAAACCCACGTTGCCCATCACTACGTTTCTTCAATCCCATTCTACAACGCCGATGAGGCCACCGAGGCCCTCAAGGAGGTCATGGGTGAACATTACCGTTCCAATACCGAGGGCGGCAGCTGGGGTTTCCTCGCTGCTTTGTGGCATTCTGCTAGGTGGTGCCACTTTGTTGAGGAGCCAGTTGGTGCTGAGGGAAGTGGTGTCTTGTTCTTCAGGAACAGGAACGGGCTCGGTGTCGCACCGCGTAAGGAAGGGGATTTGAAGAAGGAGATTATCATTGGAGCCGACGAGTAAAAGTATGGCTACATAGCAGACTTTTTTGATATCTTGTTATGTTCTTGCCTTGCTTTTACCAATACCTATAAATGGAAGTCCTGCCCGATAGAGGGACTCATTTTATATGAGTGATAATATGACCGGGAAATGATTGAGATATGCGCGTGTACGCTGCAATATACTACAACTGCCACCCTTGCGGTTTCCATTTGGAAAGAGTCGGCACGGGTGGTATTGAATCGCTGCCCCGTCAGTAGAGGCGATTCAATACGGATTTGCTTGGTTGATTCCCGACTTTGTTGACTTACTTGTTCCCGATGAAGCGTTTTTCTTGTTCTTCCTCCGTCCCACTGTACATAATATATACACTTAGATATCTTGCCTGGATAGATGAACTTGATAGAGCCAAAAGAACTGAATTGAAACCAAGATAAATATCAATCATTAAAATAGCCTGATCTGATAGTAAATAATGTGTTGTTTTTGGTGGCAGCGGTAGTGGCAGACTCCTCCTGCCGGCCTCCTCTCCCTCCCTCCTCCCTTCCTTGCCCCCAACTAACCTCTCTCCGTCTCCTCCGTGCCACAAACCTCACCATTGGCCTCGACTTCCATTGTACTCTTGCCCATCGACGCGACTCATTCGGTACCTCTAGACCAAGCGATATCTAGCAATTGAAGGTACCATTCCCTGCTTTGTTCTTTGTTAGGTATTGTCCGATATTCAAATAAGGTGAGGCGTGCACGTTTTTGGCAGCCTTGCGATGAGCACCAACCGCTAATTCGACTTCTCGTAGCTCCGACACCGCATTACTTGGACCATATCTACATACCTCTGCCGTAAATCGTATAGGATCGCTGCATCGAGATACCCTTTCATCTGAATTCATCCTGCGCGCTATATTACCTTCCGGGGTTTATTTTTATATTTTTGACGGTTGTCTCCTCCACTGAGATTTTTTAGTGGATCACCATCTGCCTACCATCCCGCGTCAGAAACCCCTCCTCCAGCTCCTCCGTCGCTACAACGTAGCCCTGGCCGAAATGCTCAAACGAAAGCGTCCAGCCTCCGAGACTACTAAGTTCTACGCTGTCCGTACTGGTTTTACACCCGGAATCTACAAAACCTATCAGGACTGCCTCGCGCAAGTCACCGGCTTCAAGAAAGCCGAGTTCAAATCATTCACCACTCAGGGAGAAGCAGAACAATATCTCTCCGGAAAGGACCCGAGCAATGATCCTAACAGTCCATCTTACGTTCCTAAATTTTACGGTGTCAGGAGTGGTGGCACGCCTGGTGTCTACACGAGTTGGGAGGAGTGCCAGAAACACGTTGTCGGAGTGAAGAACCCGAAGTTTAGGCAGTTCTCGACAAGAGAGGAGGCCGAAGCCTTTGTGAGAGGTGTCGGGGAGCATAGTGGCCTCGCCGAAAGCGTAAGCGCTGCTAACGCTGCAGCAGCCGCAGCCGCAGCCGCCGGGGGGGACACGAGAGAGGATGAGGACATTAGGAATACGCGTCGCAAGATGTCGGGTGCTGGGACCGCTGGTAGCAGAAGGAGCAGTACCGCTATTGAGAGTATTCTCGACGATAACGAGGATCTTAATGCAGATCTCAGGGAGGCTGGTCTGCTCGATGATGCCGGTAAGGAACAAACCGAGATTTTGGATGATAATATTCTGGAAGAGGTGGAAATAGAGACTTCGGGAAATATCGTCAAGCGCTCGTCGCCTAAGTTGATGCGGAACGTTCTAGTGCCGAAGAAAACCGCTGTGCTGAAGATATACACCGATGGAAGCTCCCTCATGAATGGAAGTGCCAGCGCCAGAGCTGGCGTAGGTATTTGGTTCGGACCAGGGGACAAAAGGTAAGCTGCATCATACCCGCTACATTAGTAGCCAATATGCAAATTAACTGGGTAATCCTACAGGAACGTCTCGGAACCATTGAACGACTCGCGAGCGACAAACAACCGTGCTGAGCTCTCGGCTATCCTCCGTGCCATCGAGATCGCTCCTAAACATCGAGAGATCCTTATCTTCACAGACAGTAAATATGCGATCCAGTGTGTCACTGAGTGGTTCCAGAAGTGGCGATCCAATGGTTGGCAGACTGCCGCCGGGAAACCGGTTGAAAATCAGGATATCATTGAAGAAATCCTGAACCTTATCGAGGAACGGATAACGCAGGGGGGGGCAAAGACGAAATTTGAATGGGTTAATGGGCATAAAGGAGTCGTAGGAAACGAAATGGCAGATAAATTGGCGAGAGATGGAGCTATTCGGGATGGGGCCGCTTAATATTGAAACGTGATAATAGGGAATAATCTTGCGTGTACAGAGGCTGTCTACTGGCGTATTCTTTTTGAGGGGTGGCTTCCTTTCTTCATTCTCAACTCTATGTGATCCAGAAGAGGGAATGGTATTTTTGTATAGGGCCCGGCCTACGGTTTGGAACTGGGTATCGATGTAGCACTTTTTCTCCTTTTTCTCCTTTCAAAAGCTTCTTTTTACTGGGACATGAGATCATCTCTGCTCTTGCGTTATCCATTTACATTCCCCTTCATTCTTTTGGATTCATTCTACATCTGTTTTCCCAAGCGACAATTGGTTCGCAGTACTCGGGTCTTTCAAATATTTGGGGTCTTGGGTATTAGTTCCCGCACTACATATATCCTTTGGTTGTTTGGATCATACTTTTAACACTCTATTTTTAGCAGATTAATCTTCGATTTGGGTTCTCGCAAACGTATATACTTGAATCGGGTTTCCCCCCTTTTTTTCGGGTTGCTTCCCGTCTGCCTGGTGCTTACCGCTCAAGCAGTTACAATTTATTTGTTGAGTATTTTTGAATTCTGTAGTTATACCATATTGAAGGCGGAACTAATGGAGGGCAGGAGTAAGAAAGATTCGCTATCTGTAGCTATGTCTGACTAATTATTGTGTTTTGTATGTAATACTAGGTAGTTATGTCCTATCTTGATCTCGTATTGATTATACCCTTCATCGACCCATTCCCATCGCTATTGCCCGATGCGCATGCATTTTTCAGAAATAATACTCTTAATTAGTATATACATATGCTTACGTTGGTATTTGAATATATAAGGACCGACTGTGGTTAGGACGGAGTTTTTATATATCGAAAGCAATGGGAATATGAATCGTTTGACACCAAGTCCTTTTCAGCTCTCCCGTTCGACGGTCAGATTTCATACATGTAATCTTGATTCTTTAGGTGGTAGAATTTTCTTCTTTTGCGGGGGCTTGTTATGCGTAACACTATCACCACAGATTGCGAAAACCCAGCGGCTATAAGATAAGCTGTAGATATATATATATATATAGCCTAGTCTCGTACTGCAGACGCGGTCCACACTTTGTCGAGTAGTTTCTACCGCGTGCCTTAAGTCATGATCACCCAAGCTGTATACTATCTTCCAAGTCTGGGTACGAGACAAGTATATATACTCTATATAATCGTCTTTTTGTGCTTGCTTTGTCTTGTGTTACGCATATATGATTCATGCTCAGAAATATTCCGTGAGTAGTAATTAGTAATACCCCCTTCCTCATTGATCAATTAATACATGTAAATAGTCCTCGAGTGCTTCTACCCAACGAAGCCTCACTGACAAAGGGGTAAGCGAATTCCTTCCTTTTAATATATCTTAATAATTGGCGTTCGTGTAACCTGACTAGACTAGTTACACATGCTCGTCGACTTTGTCTGAAGGAATATGACTGTGAAACTCTGGTGTATGACCCGTTTGGGAGGCTTTTTAGTCGACATGTTAGCCTTTATGGAAATATCCGTATGATGGGTCTAATATACCGTGCCTATTACTCATTTAAGTTTCTCCAGTGTGAAGCTTTACCAAGCCCGCCTTGTCTACGGGATCGAATTCTATAAGATGTATCTCGTGACATCTTATATGTATACTTAGTATATAGACAGCTACGCCGTAATCTGGCTATCCAAGCTGAGGTTAAGAGCGAACCTTCCTAATATCAATCCATTCAATCCGGTTGTCTTGTGCTAGTTGGCGTGCAGAGCAACTTTTTAAACTAGATAGAGACCCTAATAGAACGGCTTTACACCGTAAACCGGCTGTGATTTAGTATATCATGTACCTAATATCTGCGGTCCACGCATGATGGCTTGGCGGTTTTATTTATTAATGAAGTACATACGTCGGTTTCCTACATCACAGTCGTATTTCGATCAATAATTCCCAATACGTACAAGGTATAATAATAATTCTTTTCATATGCCCTTCCCCCCAGTTGCTAAGATGTACTCTAAGTAATTAACTTTTGATATTCTAATAGGCGCCACTTTTGTGCAAGCAGAATGAGCGTAGGTCGGATGCATAATCGCAGCATTTTAGACTCTTCGGCGATGTAAAGCTCTTATCCCTCTGTATATCTATGGCGGAATTATTACGAGACTATGGCGGAATACCAATTTTGTGGAAACATCATTGTTAATTCCGGGGTACGCCTGCGTCTTTGAAAAAAAAGGACGACGAGATGAATGTTAACATGTCAAGATTGTGATGAAAACTTATTTCACCCATTTAAAACTCCTTACTAGATACCCTCAAGCGAAGTGGTGAAAACGATATCTCGCAAGTAGTAATATGAAAAGAAAAATATCTGATGTGTGAACCAACCACAAGTCCCCAGGCTATGAGTCTCCCATAAGAATGGCACACAAAGCTACAGTGCCTACTCTTATTCTAGCTAGTTACTCCGCAATAGCTTGAAGTTGTTTGAGGTTTGTTAGGGAAAGAATTGGATTTCTCGATGCGATTTGTAAGAGGCCAGGGATTTAGTACCGGCCCAAAAACGTTTAGCTCTTACAAAGCCCTTTATAGATTACTTAAATGATAAATTAATAGTAGTAGATCGACCCTAGGAATAGAATATCGCAAAATCACTGGTTTGTGATTACAGCCTGGGTATTAAGGATTAAAGTATTCGGGTCCAGTTCCAACGGCAACACTTTGATGTGTCTGGGTACGAAGCCAGTTCCAACCTTAAACTCTAACCCAGTACGTATTACCCATAAATATATTGCTGTGTAAATTTCTCCCACGTGAGAAAATAGCGGTATTTGAGTGGGATAGCGAGAATAGCCTAGGTAGACGGGGCCCCACGTAAGACGACGAGAGTTAAAACCCACTAATGCCTCGTGCTTTTTTCTAGTCCGCGTGGTCGCTCTGTTTTCGCCTGAGTTGATTAGATTTCTAGAAGGTTATTATGTGCTAGAACCCGTATGCGCCCAAAGGCTCGCCTGTAGGAAATCCGCTTTGGGAATTTGAGCCCTCCGGGCACATTATTTGAGTGCTACGGGACTAGTGCCGTGTAAAGTCTGAAGCCATCATGGTGGTTGTCTTCTGGCCTCGAGATTGGTCTTCTGATTTCGCGACCTTTCATAGAATGACATGTAGAATAAGCCTTATTTTTAGACTTAGCGAGGCTAGTGTCGGCAAGATGCCTTGGTGACGAAAGCTTGGAGGTGATTTGCACGGTACCTCACGTCCTTCAATATCCGTCTGTGCAATCGGGGTATTTGACAGAGGTGCTTGAATTCCTGAGGGATGTCCCAGTTTCAGCTATTCAGGACGTTGAAGATCTTAGGAAGGATATCTGGAGATGTCTCAAAGGTAAGCTATAGACGGCATTAGGTGAGAGAGCCGGAAAGAGATCGATATTTTATTGGATATGAGGCTACACGAACAGAGCCTTGGGCCTAGGTGATGGAATTTATGAAGAGGTGTGAGGGATAGACTCATAGGAGCCGGAGCTCGAAAGAGGAGGTTAACTAGGTTTTGCCTAGTACATATGCAGCTTCGTTAGCGAGCGAATCCACGAACCATGGCAGAGAGAAGGTTTAGTCGCATATACTCAAAGAAGAGTACTCGAGTACTTAATTGAGAATATCACATAGTTCCTCAACACAGTTGAGGAGCCTGGCGACGAGATAATCGCATAGTGTAGATGTGTAATATCATGTTCTGTTGAAGCCTGATAGTGTAGACACCGAAGGTATGGCGCCTCGGTGGTCAAGTCCTAGTCCCTGCGCTTCGTTTTGGCGAGATGCACGTCATGACCTTTTACTGTTGTAGTTGAACGTTCTACCGGTGAAGTATTAGAAACCAACTAAAGTCCGGTCGGCCGGCTAGATCATAAGCAGGGGGTAAGCTGAGTTATAGATTTCATATATCTCATGAGCTAGAAGAGCAATGGCGCTATACCTAGGATCCGATTTCCCTTCTATGTGCCTTTTTGTGACTATAATTAAGTATATAAGGCGGACTATGTAAACCAAATATTCATTTTAATCCTAGACCTTCAGCACTCGCCTAGCGACTAGGCTGTCCTAGGCTACAAAACGAAGAAAGATCGATTACCAAACGCAGGTCACCAGCCCTGACGATACGTAAGGATAGCTACCCGAGGAATTTCGGGAGACTCGGTGGCCCTGAGGGTCGCTCAGAAACTCTTAATTATATTACTTGGGATTTAGCAAGTACCCAAAATTCAGAGCGAGGCATTTTGGAGGCATTCTAAGATGTCAAATCCAGCTCAACGTCATAATTTCCACCAGGTCCTAGGCCAGGTGTGTCCGTAGATACATATACAGTACGCGGTTGGCTAAGACGCTAGTTAGAATTCCCAATCGGGTAGTATCCAGATTCAGAAATAAGCGACGTCTGCCAACACAAAAAATCCAACAGATCCGTCTAGCTGATTGTCTTGGAGATCGAGACTCGAGAAAATGTATCGATATTCGGCAGTAAGTGGTTCGATGTGATGTAGTGGGCCCTATCGAACTGATGTCAGATATTAGCCTGGAAAACTATAAGGAATATTGAACATGGACAGCAGCGAAAAGCATGTATACTGAACGCCCTAGCGACAACACGTGTAGCAGTTGTGAATACTCGAGATTGTCTGAGTACTAGGGTATAATGACGGGAATCTGAGACTCTCGATGCGCAAATAGCATATCGGAGGCGTATTGAAATCTTCGAAGGGTGGTTAGAGCACAGTAGATGATAGACTTTGTATATTACGCGTCTCAAAGGATGTTTGCATAGGCGGTATCTGTAACCACGAAGAGGAATAAAGGTCTCTTTTCAGCGCGTATACGAGAAATTATTGGAGCCGTCGTCTGCAGTTTAGGGCTTAACTACCGTAGATCTAGACTTGGTAATATAAATTTGGCGATACTTGATGAGACTATCCGCAATCGAAAATGTACCTAGAGACGAACCTAAAAAAGCAGATGTTTTAAACAGTTGAGATACATGTTCAAAGAGCATCCACAGGGTACTCGGGATGACAAAGAACGATGAGCAGAAGGCACTGATAGGCTTCCGCGTAGTTTTATTCGTATTAGGTCGCCCTAGACGCATTTTCGGTGGTGAGATTCAACAGGTGATTCGGAGTGGGAGTACCACACCGATCGATAATACAATATTTCATCGTCGGGTAGAACGTATATCAATCACAGAATACCTGTAAACATACGCTCATAGATCTAAGGGTCTCTAGGTGTGTTCCTATGACGACACAGGATATGATAGACATTGAGTAGACGAGTTGACGTCGCCGAGACAGCATATTTATGTGAAAGTTTCCCTCGCCGAGAAATGTGATTATAAAAGGACCCCCCCTCTATCTCCATCCTTCTTTCTTCTTCCTCCCTTCTTTCTTCTCCATCGCGTCCAAGCTTCCTCTTCTGAGAAACCTTCGTGATAACTCCTCCTCCTCCACGCTCTCATCATCTCATCTCTACCTTCATCTCCATCTTCATATTCATCATCAACTTCTTCCATCGACCGAGCCGTCATGGAATTCACCTTCGCCTTCGGAGCTACTGCTCCCACCACTACTCCTGTGGCTCCAGCTTCTGCCGCCACCACCACCACCACTACAATTACAGCAGCAGCTCCGGCTACAACTGCTGGGTCTAGTATCGCGTCTGTTTCTGTTGCTCCGTCGGCTCCTGTAGCTCCCAAGCAGCGAAAGATCGCTGCTTGTCGAGCCAAGAAGCCTGTTTCCATTCCGGCGGAGTTTGCTTTTAGCTTCCCAATCACGCCCTCCCCTGCTACCCCTCCCCCTGCTGCTGCTACTCCCATGGAGATTTCGACTCCCATGGAATCGCCACCGACTCCTATGGATATCTGTTTTCCTTCTCCTAGGATGGAGCCGGTTGGTTGCCTCATGCCTGCTCCCATTGTTTCTGCCCTAGTTTGCCCATCTGTTACTGCCACCCTTCTCGCCTTCGTCCGTGCCAGCAATGTCGCCCAGTTGATGGAGGCCAACTCACCTGCTATGCAGATGAAGGCCGTTCGTGTTCCACGACCAAAGACTGAGGCTGAAATCCTCCGCGAGGAAGCTGAGCGTTCCAAAAAACGATGGGAGCAGGAATGCGCTAAAGAGGCCGCTTGGGAGGAGATGGCCCGTAGAGCATTACCTCCGGTGGCACGAACCAAATTCACGATGAAGCCTGCGAGTTTCTGGGTCGATTTGACCCCGGTTCACGAAGTCAGAGTGGATTCTGGGAACAAAGCCCCGGTAGTTTCGGCCGCTCGTAGCAAGGCTGGCGGAGTTGAGGTTGACCAGCAATGGTTCAACCGAAACACTGCTAAGCACAAGCTCGAGCGAATGCTCGCTATTGGTAAGTTGGAGCGCGAGGCGAAAAAGAGAGCACAGGCTGAGAGGGAAGCAGAAAACGCCGCCAAGATTGCCATTGCGCTCGATGGCCTCTCTGCATGCGCAGAGAGAAAGCCCACTTTCGTAGAGCGTGCAATCAAGGCGGTTGCCCCACTTGCTCCCCTCGCAAAGTATGTTGTGCCTTTCATGACATACATCACCATGGAGATGCTTCAGCGTTAAGCTGTTGTTGAACAAATCGTGGTCGGTGTACGAATGTCAAACGGGCAGCGGGTCGGTCACCGGTATCATAGATAACATTTCACGTTTGGTTTACTGGGATACTAACCAAGAGGCAGATATCGGAGGACAACCGGTGGGGCCCGCTCCTGGCACAATCAAAGGTACGTGGAAACTTTTTAGCAAAAAAAAAAACAAAAAAAAATGAAAACAAAAAACCTTGCAAAAAAATAAAACCAAAAAACCAAAAAAACCAAAAAAAAATTGAAAACCCCAAAAAAAAAAAAAAAAAAAAAAAAAACTTAGCTTAGATTGTTTAGATTGTTTGTTTACTTTTCATATTTACGATTTTATATTTTCTTTATTCTACTTTCTTTCTTTTGGGGTCAGCGGTCTCGACGGGGGCCGTTGCAAATACTGCTAACGTTTCCACTACACTTTCTTTATCTAGGTTTCGGTGCCCGGTTGACAACAACAATTAGTTAGTTTTATATGCATATAAACAAAAAGGTACTTGTTTATCCTTCTTGCAGTTTACTAACAGGTTGGAAATTCGTCTCTGGTCCCTTGGTTGCCATGTGACATAGCTCCTTCCGCTGCATATATCAAACCGCTGCAGCCCAAAAGAGACTGGCCTTTGCGCACTCAAGCCTTTCTCTTAGTTGGCCATCAGCAACATACCTTTACCTCATTTTCACATACTTTGTACATATATATTTTATAGATACTTAAGTACCTAGGTAGATAGATATCATGTTTCATACCTCAGACCTGTATATAACAGAACAATGCAATACGTTTACCCCCCCATTTCGCCTTCATTAGGTAGTAAGTAGGTACTTAGGATATGCTGTCATAGATAGGAACACTATACTATTAGCTACCGTTTTCTAAAATTGGCTGAAGTTCATATCCGCAGTATGCATAGCAACCTGTAGATAGATAAATTCTTATGATGTCAGCCGTTGCGAGGATACAGTCTCGTAGCGAGGATATTTCCCAAATAGCTGTTGTATTTTGTGTGTTGCCCTCCCCCTCACATCCTGCCAAACCCCGTAATAGCTCTCAACAGTTCCATAGCAACCAGCCACATTAGGAAAACGGCTTATCTCTTCATCGCCGAGACCACAGACCTTTCTACCTAGTTGCCTGGGTATTGAGATTCGCCTAGCCCCGAGCACCGAGACTAAAGGGTTCTATACCCTGTATACTAGTCTAATACAGCCAAGTACCTAGCCTAGCTATAAGAGTAACGATAGGTATGAGGTATAAAGATGGTTTGCGGGACACCCCCTTGCTACCGAGACCTGGTGGACCGTTCCCCGTCTGAAATAAGAGAATACATTCAACTACACACAAGGTGTAGGTTGTTCCCCCGACTATATGTGGAGTTTATGCCAGACGGTGGTCGGATTTATCAGTGTGGGCGACGGAGATGCGGGTTCAAGACAGAATATAAGGTGGAGATGCAGGTACATGGGGATATGAGACGACATTGGACTCGAATGTAAGTGTGATTTCTCTCACTCCTCCCTCTTTTTATTAGAATCTAGAGCATTGTAAATATACATGATGGTGTATAAGGTGATTTGATAACCTAGTCTGACTTGGATCATGGCCAGGACTTGTATGTGCAATGGACTTGGTGGGCCGAAGGATGTCGGTTATGGACCCGATTGATATCTTTGAATTTGATTTTACTGGATCGATATCGATTAAACGGATATGAGGGTGGTTTTAACGTCAGGAATAATTCGAGGATTATACTTGGGTCGGCGCAGGAGGCCAGTTCCTAAGACACCTAGATAGTCTTCATGCATCCAGTCACATATCCTTTGTCTCTATCGCAATTTGAATTAATCGAATTTTATGTTGATTTGCTGCAGGTTGTTGCATGTTGCAAGTGTATGTGTCCAGCCAATATTACCAGATCAGGAACTACTAAATTGAAATCTGAAGCATCGCTTACCGTATTAGGGAGTATTTCCATTTTAGGCAATTTACCATTCGCCCCACCGCGTTCTTGGGTGTCTTATCCTGTTAGTAAGTGTTGGGTAACAGAACAGCAACAATTCATTCTGATTTCATCGGGTTGAGTCACGTCGTATATCCTCCGTTTTTTCTTATTTTATCTTTTGCTTGTTCTCGCTAGCCTGGGAGGGGTTTATAAAGCTGCAGCTGTTGCATCTTAGTCGTGAATTAGTACGTCAGGTCAAGGTTGGTTGTTTATCGAATATTGGGGCCTTGTTAGGTTACAAGTACTTGGTTATCTATAAATTCACAAGAGGACGACCAGTTCAGGCACAATAATTTCCAACTTCAACAATGTTCAAGAAGAAACCAACGGTATAACCCCTCCCCGTTTCCTCCATATTAACCAAAAATCATCATGATAGGCGAGTTACTGATGAACAAATTTATCAGGTAAAACCGGCAGCTCCAATCCGGTCTTCAGACCGCCGAAAGCTAGTCACCGGCATAATCACCGATTTCAACATCCCACTCCCCTCCACAGCATCTACGACCAACACAGCCGCTGCAGAACCTACTCCCGAAGAACCCACCGCTGGTTCGTCTACAAATAATACTATCGATCCGGCAGTGACTGCCCTTCGAAACGCTCTTCTCCCAGAATCTACTGTCGCTGCCAAATTTACTACAACGCTTGGGCCGCAGTTATCGCCCGTCAACGGTATAATCTACTCGGGAGTACACCATGATTCTACTATTCTCACAGACGGAAAGACAAGGCCGCTGTGGGTTAAAAGCGACGAAGGATGGTTTCCGAGCGTGTATACCTGTTGGGAAGCGGCCAAATATGAGGTTTTACCAGTGGTGTATACACATGATGCCGTGATGGAGAAGGTCTACGGAGGAGCTGATTTGATGATGCCTGGTGTTTTTGGAGTAAGAAGACCGGGGGGCGACGGCGGGGTGAAGGCTGGCGAGATTGTAGGGGTAGCGGATTATAAAAAAGAGAATGTGGTACTTGCTGTTGGAGTTGCAGAGACCGATATTGAGAGTGGTGGTGGAAGAGGAGGTAAGGGAAAGGCAGTGAGAGTTTTGCATTGGGTTGGGGATGAGCTTTGGGGGCTTGGTGGGAGTGGAGTAAATCCTCCGGAGATCTTAGAGGTTGCCACTACTACTGCAGCTGATGTAGCTGGGGAAGTGGAAGGGCAGGATGGAGGAGTTTCGCTAGAGGGGCTCAGCATCGGGGAGGAAGTGGTTGGAGAGAGTTCCAAGTCTGCTGAGAAGAGGGTGGAGAAGGAAGAAAGTGATGATGAACCTGCATTTCCGGATATGACGACGAATGGTACATACCCTTCACCCTTTTTGGGTCTACTGAGTCTATTTACTGATGAAGAATACAGAAATCGACAGTGCCTTCCGCGATGCCCTGATTTATTCGCTCCATGCGATTTTGAACTCCCCAGAACGAGTCTCGAATGCTCACCACTCTCTGAACTTTCCACTCCCATCGTCTTACGTTCTCGCAAATCTCATAATTCCAAAACTTCCGAACACCCAAAACCCAAACTACTCAATCCAAAAGACCAGCTGGAAGAAAATCCAAAAGATGTTGAAACAAATGGATAAAGAGGACCTTTTGAAAATTAAGGAACGGGGTGGCGATGTCTTCGTCTACGCCGTCAATTGGGATTCTCCCCGACTTGCCAATTTTACACCTTACCCGATTGTTACCCCAAAGCCAAAGAAGAAACCAGTCGACGAGTCTGCTGCGGGCCCTTCCTCCAGTTCTTCGTCGGGCTCATCAACGGCGATCAAGGTTGTAGAGCTCTATAAACCACCTGCGAAGCTAAACATCCTCTACGAAGCAGCCGGTGTTTCCAGCAAGGCATTCTATACATCCTCGCAAGTTAGGGATACCCTCTACAAATACTTTACTTCTCCTACCCCCTCCGATCCATCGGAGACGCTAGTATCATCAACAAACGCACGAATGGTAACGCTAAATCCATTGCTCTCCAATCTACTCCTTGACGATACCAAAGATGCGAGATTATTACATTCCGGCAGTGCAACACGGGATCTACTCGCAGAGAGATTTCTACGTCTTCACCAACAGTATTATACGATAATCTCCCCTTCAGGCGAGGAATCAAAACCGAAATCAGGCCAGCCACCTAAAATCACTATTACCCTTGAAAGTAGACAGGGTAAGAAAGTGGTAACTAGGATAAAGGGGTTGGAGGTGTTTGGTGTTGATGTAGGGAAGTTTATGGACGAGTTGAAGAGTGTAGCGGCCAGCAGCGTTACGAAGGGGCCCATCGAAGGTGGCGGGAAGGCGGCAGAGGGGTTAGTGGAAGTTATGGTGCAGGGCGATAAGAGTGCCGAAGTTGATAAGTTACTCGTCAAGGCTGGGATTAGGAAGGCGGATGTTGTCGTTGATAATAAATTGAAGAAGAAGAAGTGATTGGGTATGTTTGTAGTGAGTATTTCACGATTATCTAACCAGAAATGGATTCATCAATTCATATGATATCATTAAGTAACTTATTTTGTAGAAGTTGGTTTTTTTTTTAGCTCCCTTCTGTTTGCTTATGAGCTGTCATGATACCTGACTCGTGGGACCATAAATTAGCCGCTGATGTTGCCTGTTGTACGCCAAACAACAGCGCTTCCTGACTAATCGAGCCGAGTAGTGACTTAATCATCGGTAAGGTAAAAACGGTAGTTGAAATAATGTTTAAGATATAGGACGATGCCGACGTATTCTCCAAATAGCGTCTAATAGGGTATAGCATACTCGCATATAGCCGACTCCGGAACCGAACCTTCATACCGGAGTCTCCCTCTAGTGTCGATATTACGTATTAAACCCTCTCGAGCTCTTCGATGTCCGGGGCTGTATTTCCGTCCGTCCATAAAATATCTCGTGCGGGTCGTTAGTAATCAAGACCGGTCTGGATGACCACTAGTATGCACGGTCGCATCGATTCTCCACGGGAGTGCACGACTGCACACAGACAAGATGTCATCCTGCATGGAGTCAAGTCTCTCCGGCTCACCCGATCAGGATTTTCTGGGGCCCCAAAACGGCAATGTTCTAGAAGGAATGGCCAAAAATCCAAGCCCGGCCTTTTGTGTGGGTGAAAGCGTGGGAGACAAGACTAGACCCCTTTGGGCAAGGTTTTGTCGAGTGTGGTCTGACGCAAGGCTCTTCCGACAGGACGTTACATAATTCTTCGGTGCTTTGTCGGACATTTCCGGCTGCAGAGAATTCTTGTCTGTTCGAATTGGATAAGTTAAAGGGAGAGCTATTAATACCTTCGCTGATTGGAAAACGGTATAAATACTAAGTCATTTCTGGCTTGGTCGTGAGGTTCATCACTCTCGTGTCGCTATAATTTACTTGCTTCTTGCTTTCGATTATTGCCCAGAAAAGCATTTCTGCTTTCGAATTCTATTCATTCAGTTCAACTTCATCCACTCTTTTATCAGAACAAACAAACACCCCTCAAAAAATACCCCACCATGAAGATCTTAACAAAAGAAGAGGAAGATGGTATGCTTTGGCCCTTTACTATATCTGTGTATCGCCGTCATCGAATCCATGCTAACAGATATATCTAGCTCATTACGCTGCCACCGTCAAGGGCGGCCTCAAGGGCGGCGCCTATGGCCTCGGAATCGGTCTCGCCTCTGCCTTCTTGCTGAACCACCGATATCCCTTCTTCCGCAACCTTACTCTCCCACTCAAGGCCTTCTTCGTCACCTCTAGTGCTACATTCGCTTTAATTGTCACTGCCGAAAACACTAGCCGACAATTCGAGATCAACCGTCTAAAAGCCAATATCACATACCAAGACCGTACGGCTGCAATTCTAGCCCAAAACAGGGCTAACATGTCCCAGCAAGAGAAAATGATGGACTGGGGTCGTGAGAACAGATATAAAATCGTCGGAGCCTCATGGATTGCCTCAATGGCCGGAAGTTTGGCACTAGTATACCGTGACAAGTATCTGACTCGTGCGCAGAAATTGGTGCAGGCTCGTGTCTACGCTCAGGGCCTCACTTTGATGGTCTTGCTCGCCTCCGCTGCTTTCGAGATTTCAGATGCTAGGAGTGGGAAGAGACGAGACATCATCATGGTACCTGATCCATCTGATCCAACCGGCCAGAAGATGATTGAGAAGAAGGTACATCATGAACAGTACGAGGGGCAGGATTTGTGGATGGATATGGTCAAGGATGAGGAGGAGAGGATTAGGAGGAGAAAGGAGGCTGCTAGAGCTCTGGAAAGCCAGAAGCAGGAGGCTCAGTAAAAGCAGCTTCTTCGACCAATATGTATATGTTATTAACCGAAGAGATACGAACAAAGGACTGGAGCCTAAAACTCCGATGAGCTGGCTCCGGTTTGACTTTGGCTAGGGAGGGAAGCAATGGGATTACAACAAAAGCATTACCGATAGATTGGGCTTTTTTTAATGGGTTTTAATTCACTGCTTTTGTGCTTTCATGATAGTTCTTTTGCTCTGAGTTCACTATCTATGGCTGGTGTTTGATTTTTTGCTTATTCTCAACTTGTATAATATGAATACTCTCCTTTACACAATCGACCTATCAGATTTTAATCTTTTCAAAGTATAATGACTTCTATAATATAACAGGACGCGATAAGCCGGCGACTACTCGGACAGTTTCTAACGGGCGGGTGGATGTTGCGACAATATATCATACCACCGTATGTATTTGAGCCACTCAGCCGATGCCGAATGAATTTAGCCAGCCGAGATACACAGGGTATTTTGATATCTAAATCGTGGCAATGGAACGTTGTCTTCCATTGCATTCCGATAGAGCCAAGTTTATGAAGCCCGTGTCGATATCTCGCATTCGCGTGACCGAAGTCATAGTCGGTACTTCTGCTCTTATAAGTATTATCGTATTACAATAAGCATGTTTGAGAGAATACAAGAACAAACATCTACGAGAGTAGAAAAACCTCTCCATAAGAACAGTCCAGTTACGTACAATTAATGGACTCAATTCTCGCGGAGCACATGGCCTCCACGTTTAATTTATTGCATCGTGGCTGCGTGGCTACACCCATGCTCTCTTCAGCTTGGTGGTGGTGAAATTCGAATTGGTTATAGGCGTAGATATCAAATACAAAATGATCGCTTTATTATTCGTATCTTTATTCGGAACGATTACTTCGGCGTTTTATGTCGAAGTGGTACCCGTAAGCTTTCCTGATTTAGGTCCCTGGCAGTGTAAGTAATTCCTAATTAGTATCATTCCCAATGGAGAATTAATTACTTACCCCTACGGACCCTAGTGTGCCATAGCACCCGCCCTGCACAAGGAAAATACGAATTAACCCTTTGGGCGATCGATATCGTCTCTACAAGTTGTGAAGCCACCAAGGGGGATCCACATTTTCAGTTACATGAAGATGTTGATCCGGACCTTGGGAGGTATGCTTTGGGGGGTGATAAACCTAAAGCTCGGGACGAACGCGAAGAAGAAATCGGGAATAGAAGGCTAAAGCCCATGATAATGACGGAGAAGAATCTAAATGTGGCGCTGACCTATCAAGTTGGAGCCGTCGGGGACGATATTATTGCTTTGTAAGTTATTTTGCTTGCAGTATTCCTTCTGTTTATTCGTATTTCTGTTTCTTACGAGTTTTTAGGTTCGAGCCTCGGAGATATGGGTCTGAGATACCGGAGGAACCTGTTATTGGAGATGTTTTGAAGTTTGTGGGTGGTTCCAACGATCTTCTCGATCAGAATGAACTAGGTCTACAGAGTAAGGAGGTATACTACGACCCTCTTTATGATTTAAACTACTAATAGAAAACCACTTTCTATAGTCGACCTTGTCCAAACCGATGCCGGCGATGTATATGCCGGCAAAGAGAATGCCGGTAGGAAATCAATTTTCCGAAGCGAATCGAACCCTTCTCCAGATGCCAACTCCCCAGAGGTTATATTCCGAATTTCCAGCCCTCAACGCATCTACGAATTAAATCGAGAAATATTAGCCGCACAGAGGAAGCCCAAAAAGGGGTTTGCGCCAAAGGAGGCAGTCAAGAATTTCTTTGGAGGAATTACGAAGTCTATCTCTAATAAAGTATCGAATGCGAAGGAGACTGTTAAATATGGGTTGGAAAGGGGGCTGGCAAGTGTTATGGGAGGTGATAGGATGCATATTCATGGGCTTGAAGAGACTTTCGAAGAGGAGAAGGAGCAGGATGGTGGGCGAAAAGGGGACTCGGAAGATCGGATTACATGGCAGGATCGATTTGGGAACGATCAGGATGATAACTGGGAAAGGAGGCTTGCTAGATTCTATGGGGAGGGATCAAATGCTGGTAATGTTCCACAGCTTTATGATAATGGGGAAGAAAAGGAAATGAAGGATAGCTTGGAGGATATAGAAGAGGGCGGTGAGTATTACGGTGAAGGAAGGATAATCGATCCTGGTATTGTTCAGGGTAATTATATTGATGGGATCAAGGTTGAAGAGAAACCGAAGAGTATGGAGATTTTCGAGGTGGAGCAAGGGAAGCCGAGTCCTAATTTAGGTAGTAGAAATCAAGTCTAGAACTAGTCTCGTATTGTAGGTCTAGAACTGGTCTGGTATTATATATCTAAACACCTTCTCCAGAACACAATACTTTTATATATGTGGGGGCTAGGATCAAGTAGATTGATCAGATAGACATATTGTTTTCGAATTCCAACGAGCTTAAAGACAAATTGTGTGAGTAGAAATAACCGCGCGTAAACCCAAAGCCTTGCGCCAAAAGCGGAATGGCCATAGTCAAGCGCAAGCCTACTTAAAATTGATTGAATCTACGAGGTGGGGGCTTAGAGCTACCCGATCCCTGCCCACCCGATCTCTGCCCAACCATACCTAAGAGAATGGCACGCCCGTCGTTATTAGGAAGGACATTAAGTACTCCGCTTGATTCATCATAAGTCGCCTTATGCGTGGTCTTCTCGGTCTCCTTAGTACTTTCGCCACCCAGAGCAATATCAATTCCAAAGATAACAAATCCGCCCTCTTGTTTTGTAATAGACTTAAAGTGGGAATTGAAATCCGTTGCAAATTGGTCTTTGAATTGGACCTTCATGCCGATAGTATAGGCGACAACTACAGACTTAGGTTGGATAAAATCCATCATATCCTTCGGGGCACCCTCTTCGAGTTTGGGGAAAACATGCACAACGTCGGGTATGTCCCTAGTATGTTGTATTAGAAGAAGCTTCTGGTAAAGCTGAGAAAGATGATAGTCTTACCACTGTCCTGGTTGTAGTGGGAATATTTCCTGCCCGTAGATTTCTAGGGTGGCTTGATAGTCATTGGCAGTCATGGAGTTGAATGTTTTGTCAAATTCATCTTTGCGATTGTAGTTCCCCCAAGCCCCGATGAAAAACCCGACAAGGCCATCACCGGATACGTTATTGAATCCCTTTTCTTCCCAGTCTGCCTTAATAAACTTCTCAACTTCGAGCTCAATAGTCTTTGGCTCGAGTTTGTTGGCCGACATCTCCGCGGCCCAGGTTCCTATCTGGTCTTTGTAATTACCTACGATCGAATAGGATGGAGAGAAAATATTGGCATGTGGCGGGAAATCCACTTTTTTACCTCTAGCAGCTGCGAGGGATTGTTCTCTGTCAAGTTGGACATTGTCGGCTGTGGTGGGCATATTAAAACTGTTGCAGATTCTCTGCGTTAGTCAACAGTTTGTGAATACGTAAACAGAATTTAATGCAAGGTTATCTTCATACTGAGGTTCAGAGGTAGTTGCAAGAGCCAGGCCGATGTTTCCAAGGGCATCATTCTTGGGTGCAGCCTCTGGGCCGTAAACTTGGAGACGAAGGTCTGCTTCGTTGCCAACAGCCGACTGCATGGCTGCCTTTGCCTCGTTGAAGGAGGGGTAATTGGCCTCCGCCCATTCGTCAATTGTGGTGTAAGAACCAGGCATCTCCTTATATAGTTCAAGAGCTTGTTTGAGTGCTGCCAGGTAATCTTCGTTGGCTTGTGTAGCTTGCTTCACGGCCTGAATATATGCATCATATTTGCCGGGGGAAGGATCGGAGCCCTAAGAAAGCCAAATATATGAGTTAAAATAGTCTTTTCTATTTTATTTGGCGGTTGTATATTAGGTAGATGCATATCTCGACTTACAACGTCTACGTAGCTCACATATCTAAAATTCGCACATAAAAAGTTAATTAGAATAATACTGTCATAACAGGCTACGGATTTTGAATGAACTACTCACTGCTGCAGATTGCGAATATAGCTTCCCGACCCTCCGCCAAGATACAACGGCTGGCTAGGGGACATGACACCATCCCCCCATTTGTATATACCGTAGTTTGTAACCTCTGGAGGTACATTGTCGCCGGCTAGTACTCCCACGGTGCTCTGGAGAGCAGGAAAGAAAATCTGCTCCGGGTTTGGCTCTGGCATGACCTCTTCTTGAAGGGTGAAGGTATAGGCCTTCCAAAAGGCTTCTTGGTCAGGAGAGAGCTTTGGCTCTTCCTTTGGCGTTCCCATGACACGGCTGAAAACCTTTGGCACGAATGACATTGTAGAATAATGTCCAAAAAAAAGATATTTGAAGGAAGGAAGGAAACTCGATGAGTACTCGTAAATAGGCTCAAGTTTTCAAGCGGCTTGATGCTGTAAGGTAAATATCAAAACTCAAATCTCGAGGGGGGGTGTCCTTTTATAAACTTCAACAGTTGAACGGCCATTATGGAGGCTGCTGTCGCCATTGAAAATAGCCTGCGATTTAATCCTTCAGGAGGCAGCTAGTATACCGCTAAGAATGGCACCTTCAACCAAAAGGTTAACCTTGGTTTCCCGTGGAGATACCTGAAAAACCATTCCTAATGTTACTAGATTCGTTTATCAAGCGTGTAGGCCCTGCCCACCAATGAGCAAAGAACGCATGAACAAGGTCCGTTGATCAATTGAACAAGCGGGGTAATCAGTCGAAGCTCGGTATTTTGTGTATCGGAGTATGACGGGGCTGCATCGTGACTGCGACTATTCGTAAGCTGTGATATCGTTAATGCATTGCACGAAAACTGTGTTACATGCCAACCACTAATGCTAATTAATGTACGTGCTCCACCCCCAAATTTTGGCGAGTTAGGCAATCCGGGGAGACTATCAAGAGGCGAGACGTCGAACGGGAGGAAAGTGTGCAGTTCGCACATTCCATCTATTGCAGCTTGCATGCATGAACATTCTTCCGATGCCGCTTGAGTTTCCAGCTGAACGCCTTTTTTGTTTTTTGGATCTGTCTAAGCGATCTGATCGATATCGTGATTGGTCCACCTTCAGGTGTGTTATTTCTGAGTGGATCATACAACGGCCGGCAGCGGGTGGTGCCTTATGCATATGCAGTTGATCGATGATCTAGGTCAGTGTGTGCAGATTTTAGAAAGTTAAGCCTGATGCGGATTTTATCCTCACTGTGGGACGGCATATTGCATAAGTTCAACGTGAGAATCGATACCAGGCCATATGCATCGAGTCCCACGGAATATAAACTTGATTAAGGGTCGGTATTTCAGATTGGGCAGTCTAAACGAACCCAAATTCTGAGTATTTGAAGACCTGCAAGATGCAGCATATATCACCTCGGACATCTAAATACCTTCCACCGCTCCAATTCGCATTCGGTATCTACAACGAACCATCTATCAAACGAGGAGGGCAGCACGGACTTAACGCGCAATGCACCAAGCCGAATTCGAAAGTGCTTTTAGAAAAACCTGTATTCCAGTCTGCCAATATGACGTGGAAATTGACCTGCCCGAATGCGATCAAATATTGAGACGTTCGCTGCGGGGTAATCTGCGCGTGCGATTTGCTACGATACTCCCCGCTTTTTTGTTTCTGCCATCGGTGCTCGGATCGGACACTTTGTCAGTACGTGTTTGGACATTTCCTTTGGTCGGATCACTTTTAGATTAAAATTTGCTAAGTATGACATACTGTAGTCAATAAATGGGATCCCTTCAAATCCCACAGTTCTAGGCTTTACTACATTCCCAGGAGCCACCGACATTGCAGCCATGTCGAGAATGGGTGCCCTCGTTCAGAAGGAACAATGCCTGTGTAACTTGGACCATGTTAGCCTTGAAACAAAGCCCAAACAGAAGCCAGGAGACCCATTCAATGGAAACTCCGCACTTCTCTTCGCCTACGCCCGAACCCTAGCAAATATAGCCGCCCCGGATATGGGCATGACGGGTTCTCAGATGGCTCTCTACATCACACCGCCATTTTACCCCGGTATCGTTGTTGAACAACCTGATCCTGTACCATTGATGAACTATCAGCTATGGCAATATGCGGACGGTTTGCTTCCAACGGATTACCCTGTTTGGGACCACGATGGTGGGAGCTATTTTGACTTTTATAACGGGTATGCGGGTTCCTTTCCACCCTTGCTTTCGTATCACAGGAGAGAAAGCCAGTTAACGAAATTGGGGAGTCGACAGATATCTAAGTTATGCATCTGATAATGGCTCCGTGGTATGCTGTGCCGTCCCCCATGATATATGAAGTTAAAGGCAAACATTTTACTTCGTAGGAGCCAAACCCAGCGGCACGTAACAATATGCTACATCTATTCGGCCAATTGAAAACTGCAGCTAAAGCAGTTGATAAAGCTAAGGTAGATGCAATAGCGACATACAAGCAAGTGGTGCTTCAGGCAACAGGCGCAGGGGAGGACCTACCTCCAGAGCTACGGAATCTTACAATATGGCTTGAAGAAAACGCTACATATCGTATCAGCCAACAAAACCTCAACGAGATCACACAACTCTATAACCATGCCCGAACAGAGTACTACGGCCCGGGCGTACAGGAAATTTGTGATCTTTTAGCCAAAGTAAGCTTGGCTAAAGAATACTTGAAGCCTATTCCTGGGTAAGAGAACCTCCGCTTAGGATGTCAGGGAATGAAATCTCGAGACTAGTTCAGACCAAAAACGAGTAACTCAGTTGTGTAGCAACCTTAACATGCCCTGTACGAGTTCATCCCAGAGCTGGGCAGAGCGCCTCGAAGAAGCTCGGTCTGGGAAGAATTCAACTTCTAGGTCACCTGGGGATTTATTCTACAAACCGAAGTATGGTTTGAATGCCGACTACGTCGAGACGGTTAGTCTCTGGAGCGAGGAGTATCGTAGTAACCCCAACCTAAAACCTATTTTCACCTTTTCGCTTGATGACCTCCCGACTGTCAATATTGACTGGACCACACTCGGGTTTCCAAACATTGAGAAAGGGCGAGATGAGGATATCTTTCCTAAAGATACGATTCTATCGCTTCAAACAGAAACACAGACTTTAACTCCGCAGGTGGAGGAGATTGTCATTTCGGCGACTAATTTACAGACATTCAGTATTAATCGAGGGGATTGGTGAGTTAGAGCCGTTATTGAGCCGTAGCATTACAAGGACTAGGTTGACAAACCAAAGGGACAAGCCGGACTTCAAAAAATATTTTCCTCGACTCCGCGCCGACGCACCAATCCGGTTCACAGCGCCCATTGTTCGTCCCTGTCGATTTTTATTCGCCTATGGGGTACAAATCGACGTTCGGATTGATGGGGGTAGTGTCAGAGAATTTGCATACGAGTTAGACAAGATGGTGACGAACAGCGCAACTTTGCTGGGTGCCACCCGTCCTTTGAAGATGGAGGGTAATGTCGTCAGTACGAAGAAGGATCCGGATCTCGGGTATCCCTATTTGTTGGCAGTATTGGGAGAGCGATTGTAAATTTTGTGAACATTTTTATGAGATATATATATGGAAGCGTGTTAGTAGGAATAGTAGAGGTTTAGATATTACTGCCCGAAGTATTGCCTTGAGCTCGAGAATGCATTTTGTTGCATTTTTGGGTTGTCTGGTATCCCTCCGAAGGTTGGTGGATGGGCTTCTGCAAGCTAATTCGCCTAGGGTTTTAAAGAGGGAATACATAAATAAGGTACTAGAATTTCTCTAGATGCACTCTAAATGCAGGATCCAGATAACTCTTAGAAAAGCGGGGTAGAGGCAAATTTAGGTTTCGGTTGGCACCCGCGCGGGCCTGCTCAACCGCCCAAAAGCCGGATTTTATTTGCCCATATCACTACTGGATCTGATGGACAACTTAAGAAAAGTAGAATTAACCCCCAAGAAAAAAGTGACTATATATGTATTGTACAGAAATATGACGAACAACGTGGTATCCAACATCATTACTCGTCAATCATTAAGGATTAGAAAGTGAAAAGAGGGGAAAAAGATGTCCAGCACGTAATTTTAAAAGCAAATCCACCTGCGTTTCCTACTGGGGCGGTCAATACTACTAAACGAACTGGACGCCCTTCGTTGTCATTCCTCGAGATGGTTATAATGTGAAACCTCAATATGAGATTGCCTCAACATCGGAGGATCTGACTTTTCGAATATCTGTAAGAACCGAACTTTGGGACTTCTCGAAAAGCACATTATCTCTGTTGCCACAACTTGTCGTGGTGTTCGTACGATATACTCGTACCAGACGTAATGATCACTTGTTAACCTCCGCTCAGTCCATATCTGAATCTCATTGACTTGTCCGTCTACAAACAGGTCTTCTAATTGGAAAGAATGTTCTCTCTTCCATGTTTCGTTTGGATTTTGCTGATTGAATGTGACCTTTCGGCTATATCGACTTATACTGATTTCAAGTTCTGCAAGATTTCGATTATCCAAGAGCGATATTGTGAGATAATCTGGATGATTTACATCGAGAAGATGGCAATCTCCAAGATTAAACACTAATAGCTCTTCTTCACTTGTCCCAACAAATGGATGTGCAAGAACATAAGTCTCATTTCGATCGACGTTGTGGTCCTTTTCTGACACTCTCGAAGGTGTAGGTGCAGGTGGTACAAGCTGTTCAGGAATTGTTTCAATAGGGTCTATTTGTGACGGTGGAGAGCGTTTTGTGAATACGCTGGCTCGAAGGGATCTAGGTACGGGCTGCGGGGGGTCCCAAATTCGCAAGTTAAATATGGGTCTGTTTCGGCCAACTCGGAGGAAATCGAGGATACTAACCCTCTCGTTATATTGAGGCTCTGTGGTTCCCGACGCATCTGCAGGCGGCTGCGCCTTGAAGCAAAGCAGTGATTTCAATAGCTGCATTATTGGTTGGATATAAGCTCGTTCGGTGGGGGTTTAACGTTTTATAAATTCGTTTTCTTGTGGACGAGTGACGAGTGCAGGAAGTATTAAAAATTATGGGACGGAAAGCCGGACGATATGATGATAGGCTATTGGCTGACTCGCAACTTCAACCGAGGGGGCCTTCTGGGTGGATAAAGCCTTAAGAATAAAAAAGATACATGAATAAGTACACGTTAACAATCCTTCCTTATTCTGCCTCATGTACCTCCAGCTACATCTTATACTACGTGTAAATTTGTATCTATTGTTAATGTTTCGCTTCTTTTCGCTTTAGCCAGCCACTAGAATAAACAAAAAGGATCACACAGCTGCGCTCTCCTAAGTTGTTTCATTTCATCAAAGTGAACGCGATAGACTTTGTAAGAGACATACATGCCGTGCGTGCAGTTTCCGTTGCGAGACGGAGCTATTCTACTCTAGATACCACTTTGGGCATACGGAGTCACGTGGGAGGCGCGAGACCCTGGGATCGTATGCATGGTGAGTTCAGCGTCGGAACCAGAGCCAATAGAGAAAATGTTGACGGGGACTGGTGCCTGGTACACTTTCTCTCAGGTTAAGGTAGAACGTCCCTGACAACCGTTTTTTTTTGATCCACCTGTCCTGGCCCGGAAGTCGAAGAAATCCGCGTTGGCTACACAAAAATGCAACAAATGCATATGTGGACATATCGATTCTATACTTATGCGATACCCAGACGTGGTCGCATCTTCGTACGCGTACTTGGCGCCTTAACTCGACCGACGATCAAATAAGGTACATGTAGGTACATGCGCTTCGGACTATCTCCTTTTGGTAGAAAAGCCTTCTGTGGATCTGGCCCGTGGAAAGAGCATATTCCGTATGCTAGTGGAAAGGGCCAGCCTCCAGAAGTACTAGCCCAGCCATCTGCGCAGGCGGCAGGCGGATGACTTTCTCAATAAGTTCAAATTCAGGTAATACGGTTATGCGCCGCTGGAGCGCCTCGTCGGGCTGGTTTCTATATTTTGATAATTTCATGTTTGAGAAATTTAGTCTCGAAAAACCAAAAAAAAAAAAACTTAACTTCGCAACTGCATGTTGGTGCTAGAGTCGGAATTAAGACTGTAATGAACTGAGAGAGTGTGTGGAGTAGCATTATTCTAAATCTTAAGAGCACTGGAAGTGGCGAATCAACCAATAGTGGCTGGCCCATGCCGACAGATCGATCAAATTCGATGTTATGCATGCACCTATAGTGGAGCCGAAAGTCGGAGTGCATATAAAAAGCCTTCGGGCCTAGGAACGAGACAATATAAAACAGGTAGCAAGAATGTGCTGCAGACGCCCGCTAAATTATATCAACATGTTATGAAATCATAAGCTGCAAAAATACCAAGGACCTGTGTTTTATCTGGACCCTTCCTCTCTATATAATTCGCAAAATTAGAGACTCCTTGCAGTCCATATAGCATAAAAGATCGTCGCAACCATTACTCCGACAGCGCCAAAACGTTGTGCGATAAAAGGATAAAGAACCACCAAAAGAATCAGTAAGCCGACAGCTTGATATCGACGTCGTAACGCTCCGCTGTCAGCAGCGGCTTGGTTGCGCTGGCGGAACTGGATTCGATCACGGACTGGAGGCCGATTCGGGTTTAAACCACGATCTCTAATGGCATTCCTTCGAGTTGGAAACGCAGTATTCAAATTACCCGGAGGTGGTATCGCTATTATTTTTCGTTGAGTACCCGAAACGCCTATGTACAGAGAAAAGGAGGCATTGTTAGCCTCCTCTTTCAAACCATCTGAAAATAGAAGGATGTCCAAGAATATATCCGCAAAAAAAAAAAAAAAGCAACAGAAGGCGCGAAGATATTAAACCGCCAGACGGAATCAGATAATGAAAAATATACTGACAGTCAGTCTCATGCTGAGTGTGCTGGTATGATTTAAACTCAAAAACTCGACGCCCCGAGAACTTATATGCGACATAACCATGTATCCCAATGTAATAACCACCATACCCAAAAATACTCATCAAGAAGGAGGAATGCAAAACCATCAAACATTCAACTTGGAGACTTCAAACGGCCAAAGCAATGCGCGTAATCTCTATGGTTGCAGCAGCTGGGGTATTACCACTTGTAACCTCCTTGCACCTTGGTCTGGTACAGGTTGGGCTTCTGCAATACATATGTTCACCATCTCTCCTATCGTTTCGCTCGTAATTCGGGTCTTCTGCCCAACCGTCCCTATACTTTTCGTTTCCATCCCTCGGCGGCTTGTCGACGAATACTACGCCGTCGCAGTGTCGCACTTCCATGGCCTTGCAAGTGCTAAAGTGTCGATTTGCAACACGTTCGCTATGCGGAATATCGTTACCCACGATTGCTTTGCAATCCCAACAAAAGTTTGTGCCACATCCACCTCTGTGAGAAACTTCCAAACATGCTTCTCGCTTCTCAATTGGGATGCCACAACCACGGGCTGGGCATCTTTTGGTAGTTTTAAGGATAAGTGCTTCGGACTGAGAGGTCGCTAGGTTGGCTTGATATTCTGCACAGGTTTCGCCTCTATGCCAGATCACGCGGCAAGTGTAACAGTGGTGGGTGTCGCATTCGGAGCAGATGATACGGGGTTGCGAATCACGTTCTGGGTGGAGTTGGCCATGACCGCATGTGAAGTTCTCGCCAGGACACCAGCGAAATTCTTCATCGCCTTCAAGAGCTTTCATCAATTGAAACTTTTCCCATCTAAAATAAAAAGATAGATCATTAGCTAAGATTATTTTTATTGGAAGGGGAGCCATGGTAATTTACTTCGCATAAGCTGCTTCGGAGGCGTATCTCTTCACAGCTGCAGAGTCGAGCCCTGCCTGACAGTCGAGTTCGGGACATTTGAGGTCTCCCCACATGGCGTTGCGGACAGCAGAGTCAATCATGGATTTGAGACATTCCAAGCAGCATGATGACTCGGCGTGTTTGCAGCCCGGGGCGATTTTACCCTTTGGCTGGTACCGCCTATCTACTTCAGAAAGACAGATAGCACATTCAAATGTATCGGCGTGATAAGCATTTAATAGAGTGAAATAGCTAGGTAAAGAGTTAATCATCGGTGATATAGAATGAAAGGTAGAGCTGGATGGGAGAAGCCTTACTCATCTAATAGACCAGATCTTTCATTCGCCAACTTTTCAGAAACGATGGTCCGGTCAACCTTTAATTCCTCTTTACATCCTTTCTCAAAACAAGGAACCCCAACAGTTGTAATGTCGAATACTAAATCCTCATCGCACTTCTTGCATACGCAGAAGCCTCCTCGTGAATTATGCCCGCAGTCGGCATATGTCGCTGTGGACGCAAAGCCGCTGTGGAATTTTCCTTCTGAGTCGGCGAGTGCCGTATTACATTTGATGCAACGACTCCGGTTTACAGAGGCGCTGGTCATAAACGATAGGTTGACCTCCCAGCATAGTGTCCATAGACTATCGTATGTCGCATTTTCTTCTAATGTCTTTATGATTGCGGCCTTGGCGGGGTCGGCATATTTAGGTTTTGGGCCTATAGGTGCTGCAGCGGATTTCTTAAAAAAGACGAAGGGTGCCATTTTCTTTTTGCCTTTGAGGTCGGTATTATCTTTTTGATCTTCAAGGTTATCTTTTTTATCTACGGTGGTTTCATTGGTTCCCTTGGTGGTGGTTTCGAACTTCCAAGGATTGTTCTCAGGATCGAGCTCTGATCTAATGAATATCAAAGGAAAAAAGGATTAATTGGCATTCTAGATGTTAATGAATTGAGAAAAGCTACCTATTAAGTTTAAAGGGTCTTAATTTTGATTGAGGAGTAGCCTTATCGTCCCCACCGACGTCTAGAGCCCAACTATAGTCGTCAAGACTGGTTTTGGTGTTTTTCGTTGCATTAGACTTGGAACCTGAGGCTGAACTTGAACTCGTACCGGCTGGGCGGTTCAATCTTTTTTAATTCCCAGCAAGAAGGTTAGAAATCGTGACTTTTGAATTCACAAACAAGTATTAAAATGCTCTGGTGGTATGCAGATATATATGGTTAAGGTCATCCGCTTTAATTTGAAGGCGGAGTATCTCGGTAAAGATACGGTGATAGTGATAGGAGAAGGAGAAGGAGAAGGAGAAGAGAAGTAGAAGTAATTCAGAACGGGGACGGCGGGACACAACAGAACAGAGCAGAACAGGGGAGAGGGATATTAACACACCTCGGGCCAGTTTTGGGGTAAAGAAGGAACATGTTTCCACCACCTCGTCGGTGCACACCGTGTGCCTTCATGCAACTAGGGACGCTGCTGAATTCAACGCCCCGGTTTTATATGAAATCGTGAAGCCTCGTTCCCAAAGTTCAGCTCCTTCACTAATTCTGCAAGTTAAATCGGCGTGTTGGGATCGGACCACAATCCGCCAACTATTCGTTCCTTGCCCTTGTCCGTATTATTCTCAGAGGTAATGTCGGTGTTAATATTAATATCATTCGGCCGATGATCGTGGGTGCTAGTACTAATCGTCTGTAGCAGGGAATACAAAAAAAAAAAAGCGACTACGTATGCAATGCAATCGCGACAGAGGCTCCAATTGTTCAGTGGGTTGTGGAGGTCTTTATTTGTTTTACTGTCTCCTTGGTTCAATGCTCCCGTAACGAAGCTTGGCTGAAGCAGCTGCTATCGCACCAAACATACATGGGCATTCCCTCCACATTCCCTGTTTATTCCGACGGCACGCTAGCGACAGCCCAAATTTGTCATGATCGAGTTGCCGACAACATAGCCTCCAAGAAAATGCTGCTAGGCTAAGCACCCGCAGCATTTGGATGGGGGGTCTCCAAAATGGGGCCGTTGATGGACGCCTAGACAGCCAATCGCTGGAATGCAGGTCTTGTGAGTCTTCGAGTCCAACTACCTGCACGGTTTTTGGAAGCCTTGTTTGGAAGGCCTCCTGGGCACCGAAAAGTCCTAAGTGCGGCTCAAAATAGTGCTAGGGGCGTCACATCAGCCTGAAGAATAGCAGGGAGATCGGGTCCAAAACAAATAGTGTCTTTCAGATTCATCCATGTGCTCCACCAGCAGGCTCACGTCCATGGTGGCGCGGCTTGGGAGCTGCTACCAGATTAGCAGACGAGGCAGTTCGGGCGAAGGCATCACAGTATGTACGAAAAACTCGCATCAGCGATTCCATCTCTATTTACAGTCAAGCGGTTGGCAAAACGTGGTCAGTTTAAGATTGTGAGCAAGGTCGTTCGCCACTGTTCTAGTTTTCCAGGAGGTCTTGAGACCCGGACCAAGAACCTCCAGGCGGCGGGTTATCCCTTAATCCTTGCTCACAATTCCAAGGATCTGGATAGCCCTCATTTAGAGGCGGCGTGTCGCATCATTTGGCTGGAACAACTTATATGCACACAACGTGTATTCGCCATATCAAGTTTAGAACGAATGACCTCGATCGAAGAGATATCTTTCAGAATACTCCCCCAAAATATATTCTTTGGAGCGGTTGTAAAGTCAGTAAGAACGAAGGACGCGAAAGCATAAAAAAGGAGAGAGGCACCTGGCTTGCGACCACATTGGCTTAATTCCGACGATATCACACCTTCAACCGGTCCCCCAACAGGCAAGCTGAACGAGAAGGCTGTCGTACAACGAATTACGGCTGTATGCATTCCACATTTCCGCTTCCCCGCCATATAATACGAATTTTTGAACTCCTTTCGCCGCTATGAATACCCCTTAACGGGATTCTAGCTTACCGATTGTTATAAGCGCAAATCTTTACCTTGAGAATATTTTTTGAGGGCCTATCAGACTCGGAACTACGTTATTCCACGAGAAACCGGTCCACAATGAAGCTCTTTCTCCGTCGAAAGTCGTCCAAGGTGAACGGGGAGGAAAAAGACAACAAAAACAACGCAAAAGTCAACAGCCTTGCGGTTATCGAAGACAATGAGGCTCAAGGTCGGAATTCGAATGAGGGTCCGACTCAAGAAACAGATGGCGGAATTGTGCCGGCTAGGAACAGAAGACCAAGCATAGCAGAGACTGTGGATAGCACATCTACGACAGATTCGAAAAAAAAGGAAGGATATCGTGCAAGATTGGCCGCTCAAAGCCAACAACCACAGCTTCAACCATGGATGGCAGCCATGACTCCAATGTCACATTCTGCAATGTCGGCCCCCAAGCCGAAGCCGAAGCCGAGACTCAAGCCTGCGGGATCTATAGTTTCCGCAGGACAAAGCACGGAAAGCGTCCCCGCAAGTATCGGTAGCATTGTTCCCATCAATGTTACGAGCGTCGAGGCGCCAAACGCTCCCCCGTCTCCTTCATATCCACCACCCGATGTACCATCTTCTATGAGTTCACCCCGCAGTCGCTCTCCCGTAGGCGGCTCTTCGATGAGAGTTTCCCCAATTGCATTGGGTCCCTCATCTGGATTTTCTCCTGGCTCTGCTCGAAGTTCGTTAATGGTCCCCCCTAGCCCATCGGTTTACGTTACTCCCCCCGCTCTGCCCCCCAGGCCCCCTCCAGCTGGTCCCTTGCCTCAACTACCTGTATCCATGCCTGGCCCTTCATACCAGCCGGTCATGGTTGCCCCGTTGGGGCCGCTAGCCAATCCATTCCGTTCAGAGACCCCTGTATCATATCGTGAACATCCCGAACCTACTAGCCCAGTTCGCCCGCCGCCGCCGCCGCCGCCACCCCCAGCAGCCCCTCCTAAGCTTCAACGAAACCCAAGTAGAGGGATGCCACCACCGAGCGCATTCATCAAACATAAACGCTCAATATCAGGACGCACATCGCCGAACCCTAGCTTACCAAGTCTTCCTGTCCCCCCTCCCCCCTCCCCCTCCCCCTCCCCCACCACCCTCTGGTGCCCAAGCATCCACAGGATTCTCCAACGTATCTTCTTTCCCTCCCCAATCGGATAGGGATCCCGTTGTCAGCCCTGCTGGCTCGGGTTCACATTTCCGTAATGAAAGCCTAAGCAACTTCCCAGAACCACCGTCAGCCACAGGGTCACAGCGCAGTGCCTCCTGGGATAACTTTGTACCCGACCTGACGGGCTACTACGGTGGACCCGCCCCATTTGTGGCCGAGTTGGAGACTATACCGACTTTCCCTGAACCGCCATCCGGAAACCCGAGCTTTGAACGTCAGGAGCTCGATGTTACAAGCCCATCCAATGATGAAGAGTTACAAGCTGCGGAAGATAAGAGAGAAGCCAGCAAGGTCCTCCTTCCCGAGGGCATGGCTTTGCACCCAGTTCTAGCCACTCCCTCCGACACGGGTACTAATCGAAATGACTCGGTATTTTCGTACGTATCCCTACCATAACCACAACTTACCTTCGATCTCACTAACAGGAACCCTTAAAGTAACCCAAGCGACGCCCAGCCTAAAATGACGGACGGAGTTTTCCTCTCAAACGCAGAGCATACGGCACTTCTATCAGATTTAGCCGACCTTCGTGCTCGCCTAGCAGACCTTGATAGACTACATACCAACTCTCTAGACCGCATCAGCGAATGGGAGGCTTATAAGGCCAATATCGACATTTACGTAGAAAAGACAGCCCAAGATCGCCAAGGGCTAATTGACAAGCTCCAGAACTCGGCTCAAGCTCACTCCACCGTCATCGCTGAAAAGGAAAGACAGTTCAACGAACTCGCGACTACGGCGAACAATATGAAGCAAACAATACATGATTGGCAGACATATTCACAGAGACTTGAAGCGGATAAAACAGAGGCTATATCGCGTATGAAAGGAGATATTGAGAGGGAGAAAACAGATAATTTGGCAAATATCCAGGCGATGGAGGTTGCACATAACGATGAGGTAAACAGGTATAAATCAGCAAATGCGATAGAAATGGAACGCCTCCGGGCAGACCATGCAGCAGAAAAGGAACGCCTTCGAGCAGATAATTCGTCGGAGAGGAACCGACTTACTCTTGCAAACGATTCAGCTCGTACAGAGTATGAGCAGCAGAAATCAGAGCTTATGGGCCAATTATCGGCACTTGATGCCCAGAACAAGGAATTGATGCCCCAGATGGTAGATCTCGATACAAAACGAAGAAAGCTTCAAGGGGAGCTTGTGGAGGCCAATGCCGATAGGGAAGAGTTTAGGCAACAGATTCAGACACTGAATGCTGCTAAGGCATCAACCCTAAAGGAGTTAACGGCAACCAAGATCAAACTAGCAAATCTCACTTCGGAATGCGATAAAGTCAAACGATTGCTAGAGGAGGCACAACCGAAGATCGACCAACTGGCAGAAACAAGAAGTGCGATGGAAAGAATGAAAGAGACAGAGATCAGCATGGAAAAGTTCTTGCAGACAGCGAATGACGAGAAAGATGCATTGAAAGAAAAGTTGAAGCAATCCATGGTGGCCAAAGCGCGCCTCGGGACGCAGTTGAGTAAGGTAGAATCCCAAGTTAAGGAAAAGGATACTAAGATTGCAGCATTGGAGAAGTCAAACGAGGCCCTGAAGACGAGGATGTATTTGCTTGGGCAAAGAATGGCAGAGAAGGTAGAATGGTGGCAAGGACAGGCTGGCTCGCAGGCCCAGACAGCAGCATAAGTTTTTGCCTGGTTATTCCCCGTAATATTCGAGTGCATTGGGTGCCTTTCAGATTTCGAAACGATTTTTTTCGGAACTTACAATTTCTTGTACATATACCTAATTCATTACTTATTTACCAGACATATTTTCAGTTATAGTTGTATCTATGCACTTATAGGATTTAACTCCCCTCCCGCTTGGCTTTGTACAGCGGAATCCCCGGCCACAACTGTCTTAGAACTTAATCGTTCCGTCGACTAAAAGACGAGAGCGAATTGAACCATTGGGTAGATTTTGTCAGCTTGGATCTATTAAGCTTGTCCAAGTCAGTCGCCACATAGTTGGCCTGCGAATATGAGTTAGCGCATTAGTATCGACGCGGGTGCATGTATGAATAAGTCTAGTCGGATGCTGCCCCGGGAATTTAAGTACCCCGCTACCAGATATACCTAAGAATAGGTGGGAGATGGATGTATATGTCTTGAGTGCCATGCCTCGTGCGCGACCATCAGACGGTATATGTCATTTCGGTGCCGACAATGCAATATGTAACATATATATATAAGTCTGCACCTATATCACACATCTCATCAGTTTCCAGGTCCGCAAAAGTGACAGTCGATTGTTGATATCACTTTTCTTAGAAATTATGGGATATCGCCCCTCAATCGCAATTAACGATCAGATCAGCACGGATAACGTATATAACCTGATCTCGACAGGGATAGCAGCCGAAGTTGCTGTCAGACGTATGCGCGGTGTGTTGGTATTGTTGTAGTTACTCCGAGGCCAACGTTAGCCGGTAATTGCTTATTCCTTGCTTGTGACGACAGGTTGCCATTCTCAACGCTTCGCCAAAACAGGCACATGGACGGCCTCTTAGCTCTCTCCTGACCTCCCTTTGTTCCATCCAGCGCTTCCATCCCACCCAGTTCCAGTGTCCTTTGCCTGCCAGCATCAACTCAACAGATAATCTCTTTGGTCCAGGCATATAGACCGTCTCTCCTGAATATTCCAACCCACAAAATTCTTTCCCAGTTATATTTCGGGTTCAGACCGAGGTAGCACCAATTTGCCCGGGTTTTGTGGATTACCGTAGCTGATATAGCTTCAAAGCACTCTCGTTAGCATCGACACAATCTGATCACCCCACCAACCCCCCGCCTCTAAGCTGCAGAGCTTTTCAGCACGAACATGGCTACAAATGGTGTGAATGGGTCGGCCACTAATGGCGACGACTATGAAGGAGAATTCGGCCATGGGATTCAAGTTATTGACGAGAACAAAGAGTTTACGTGCGTCCTTTTGCCCTCTATCCGACCTTCTTTAGCTCTGGGAAAGTTGTCGTAGCTCACATTTCCACAGTTCGACCATGCCGGAGTACCTCACTAGCACAAATGTCCTACAGGCTGGGTTTTCTTATCATTTAATTTCCGTCTTCGGTTCGCAGTCAACAGGAAAATCGACACTTTTGAACCATCTCTTCAATACGGCATTCCCGGTTATGTCAGAGTCAAGACGGCAACAGACAACCAAGGGTATTTGGATGTCACTGGCAACGGATCCAAATGCTTCTTCGAATCCCGACGAGCCTCACCTAGGGAAGAACATCCTGGTTATGGATGTAGAGGGAACGGATGGTAGAGAACGAGGTGAAGATCAGGATTTTGAGCGAAAGTCCGCTTTATTCGCCATTGCCACTTCCGAAGTCCTGATCGTAAATATCTGGGAACATCAAGTCGGTTTGTACCAGGGTGCAAATATGGGCCTGCTGAAAACTGTCTTCGAGGTCAACCTTCAACTCTTCCAAAAGGACAAGTCTACAGTCCACCGATCTCTGTTGTTCTTTGTCATCCGTGACCACATCGGCCATACTCCACTCGAAAATCTCAAGAATACGCTACTTGCTGACTTGAATAATATCTGGCACGGTCTCTCCAAACCGCCCGGCCTTGAAACATCGACAATTAGCGATTTCTTCGACTTCACTTTCGCTACCCTCCCACATAAACTCCTCCAGCCAGACCAGTTCAAACTGGAGACTCAAAGGTTGAAGCTCCGTTTCCGTGAAGAAAGCCCAACGAATGCCAACTACTCTGCGGATGGCGTTTTGGATACCTCCAAGACTGGTGTTTTCCTCCCCGCCTACCACCGCCGTATCCCTGCTGATGGTCTCCCACATTATGCTGGTAATATTTGGCGAATGATTACCGAAAACAAGGATCTTGATCTTCCGACACAACAAGAGCTCCTTGCCCAGTACCGCTGTGACGAGATCTCAGTGGTTTGCGTTGAGCTGTTCGATGAAGTGGTCACCCCATTTGAAGCAGCGTTGAGCCAAAAGATCGTGCAATCAGACCTTGGGCCAGCCATGAAGACTGCCTTAGATACCTCACTCATCAAGTTCAAAGAAGAAGCGGGGCGTTACCATAAAGTTGTGTATAAACGAAAACTCGAGGATCTTGAGAAAAAGCTGCAGGCTAGGTTGAAGGTTCTCTACGTTGCCCAGCTTACTGCAGCGCACAAGAATGCCATCGCTGTGTTTGCCGATACTATTCAGAAGGGCATCAAACGGTCCGGTGCGGACTTTGCGTCTCTTGTCACTGAGACTCGGGCCACTGTTCTTGCGGACTTTACCACTGAGGCCGAATCCTGTAGCTTGGAGGGCGCTTTCAGTTATACTGACGAACTTCACGCAGTTGAGAAGGAGCTCGACGAAGGCGCCACCCGTTTGCGTGGTGAAGAAATGACTCGATTGTTAGCCCGTATGGAGAAGAGTTTGAGGACCAAGTTCACTTCTGAGGATGACGGCGTCGCATATATGTTCAAAACCATCTCGCCATCTTTGTACCCACGCATCTGGAACCTTTTTACTACCGGAGTTACCGACCAGATCTCGCTCTTCACCCAAAGATCGACAGCGTTGAATGCTACTTCCGAAGAGAACGAACAGGCCGTTTATAAATTGAAGAAGCGTGCCTGGAAGGTGCTAAGGATGATTTTGGACGAAGAGACGAAGGAGCAAAGTTTGATTACTCGCTTGATGGGCTATTTCGACAAGGATTTCCGATACGATGATCAGGGTGTCCCAAGAGTCTGGAAGGCCGGCGAAGACATCGAGGGCACATTCGCAAAGAGCAAGGAGACCGTGATGAAGTTGATACCCAACCTAGCAACCTTCCAACTCGAAGACTCAACCAAGCCACCTTTGGCAACTTTCATTGGGGACGCTCCAGAAGGCGTTGAGGAGGAAGTTGGCGTTGCTGCTGAAGAAGACGAAGAAGAAGATGTTGCTTCTCCAACGTCAACGAAGACTTTCACAATCCTGACACCTGGCAGAATAACATCATTGACCGAGAGCTTCAACCGTCAGGCTGACCAGGCTTTCGTGGACGCCAAGAGAGGAACCATCTCCAGCGTTTCTCAGATCCCTGTGTGGTTCTATGGCTTGTTGGTCATTCTGGGGTGGAATGAATTCTGGGCGGTCATCCGAAACCCATTATACTTCATGATGCTTTTGCTTGCTGCGGTTGGCGCATATGCAGCCCATACACTGAATCTATGGGGCCCTATTTTGACTGTCGGGGGTGCTACAGGACGGCAAGCGTTAGAGGTCGGAAAGGTAAGCTAAAATAAGGCCTGGACTGAAACTGGAAGAGGTATAAAACTGACCTGTTTACTCCCTTGTTCTTTTTCCAGGAAAAACTCCGCGAATTCCTAGAGATGCCTCAACCAGGCCACCAAGGTGCCCACGCTTTCTCCAGCGGCAACTCGACATCATCGACTCAGGGTGAGAGCATCCGTATGAGAAACTTAACCAGCGAGGGTAAAAACAACGGATTTGACGATGATGACTAGATGGAAGATAAAAATACGGACAGTTGCATGTTCAAGTTGTTTCTTTCTTTATTTCTTCCACCGAGCCGTTGTGCGTCAGGGTCCACCTGCCACTTACTTTTTTTCCAATACAAAAGTTACCGTGAGTTTCCACGATGTGGCGGTTAGTCAACGTGGGAATGTTTCTATAGCATAAACTGGGAGGGAATTGTTCTTTTGCTTTCTACAATCTTGTATTCCTTCTTCCTCTTCTTTTGTCAAAATTTGCTACGAGCTAGCTTCTCGATCATTTCTCCTCACTCTTATTCTTTATCAAACTTTTTTTTTCTTATGGCTTTTCATTCTGTGTATATTTTGGAAGGCTGTGTTAGAAAATGTACTAGAGCATTGTTTCTGCATAGTAAGGTTTGTAAATCTCCCTTTATTTATTTACCATGAGTTTGTACATTCATATGTAGTAATAATCTATTCGCAGTCCCAGCTCATATATGGGTTTTGTTATATCAATTTATTTATACCTATCAGCTAGACCATATACAGATATTAGGAGTTCATGCTTTCAAAAATTAACTACTAGATAAACCCGAGACGTAGAAGCTGTCATCGATACACCACCGTAAGTGTACTTACCTACTACTTAAGTAGTAGGTAAGTACCCAGGTGGGTGACCAAGGCTAGAAGTTATAAATTATTCCAAAGCACCAGTTTCCCTTACCAGTTCTTATTCGCCTATAAAGTCCCAATTATTATAACTTGCAGGCAGTTATGTGATAGTGTTTACGTCGGTATGTATGCATATAAATACTCTTCAAGCCACCCGCAACGTTCGAAGGAAACATGAAATTGGAAGGCAAATAAAAGAAAAATGCAAGGTTTTGAATTAGAACGGTAACTATCCCGCTATATACCTAGGTATTAAGTAAGTAAGTATATATCCACGCACCAGAAACACCCGCGAAGCCCACAAGCCCAGTATATTGTCGGACAGATGATCTTAAAGGTAAGGCGCCCTGTACAACTTCCAATCCGCTACTAGAAATTCTTCAGTGGTTGATACCTTAATATAACTAGCCCAGACATTCTCTCCCAAATAATCTGCAATCTTCTTAGCATTCGACCACCCTCCTCTACACGAAAGAAGCTTGATATCGTTTGACCAGCCAGGATCTAGAGGAGCTTGGTTAAAAAAGTTACGTGCTTGTTCTGCCAATAAAGTGGGTTTTATTGGTCGGTAAACAATGTTGTTACCATATTTGACGGTCGCATACAGGCGGCCGGCGTCACCATGGGCGATGATGGTTCGGTGTGGTCGGCCACTTTGACTGGTATAAAGGATTCTACTTGTGTCATAAGTACAGAACTGTTTGGTATTCTCTATAGGATGGGTCATGTTATAAACTTTGTGATCCCCAAACTCTTTTGAGGGAACCCGGCCACGGACAATGGTGTTTTCTTCCCCTCCAAGGGCTATATCCGCTGCAGTAAGCTCTATCGGAAGGGTATCTATGTCGCCGTATGCAAGGCATGTTCCGCCGTGTATGAATGCCCCGCCGGCTCCCGCGAGCATGCCAGTGATGGCGGCATATGCTGTGTTCAAAGAGAATAGTGGTTGATGGTGTATCCCTGCGAAGGTTGCAGCGGATGCAAAACTTCCACTACCTCCACCGAGGACAGTAGAAATGGCCGTTCCTAGCCTGGAGATGGCCTGTACAGACCATTTTGCTGACATGGCCATTCGCATCGCTGAACTACTCACTGCCCCACCTACTCCTGCCCCAACTGCCCCTCCGATTGCACCAACCAGCAGGTCTTCGCCAGCACGAGCAGTCGTGAACGACTCTCCTGAGATAGCAGCAGCTGTGGCATCACCGGCTAGAGTTCCCAGAGCACCAGATATCGTTCCTGCACCGATGCTTATAGCTGTTAAAGAAAGGCCAGTGAAGCTGAACCCAAGCCAGCTTAATGTTCCGCCAGATGCAATCGTTACAACGGCGCCGACAACCATACCAGCAACCGCTCCTACAGTAGCCGCACTGTGCCCCGTACTATCTATAGCATTAATGGGATCTCCATTGCAATAAGCATACCGGTTCTCTTGTTTGCGAGAACCATCCATTGTGATGAATGCCATGTTGCTCGACTGATAGAATCTCGAACGAAGGTAAGTCAACCCAGTGCTATCATCACCAAGCTCCTGTTGCCAGCCGAAGCGGGATTTTTCATCGAGAGAAGGCTCCTCGCCGTATGCTTCGTAGTGATGCGTAGACGAGCCGCTGCTGTTGAGAGTCATCTTGACTGAGTTCCGACTTTCGAGGAAATATGAAGTTCCCTTGCCCTCTACTTCAGCCGCCACTCGACCTTTCGGCTCTAGTAGATACGAGGTCCAGGTTGAGTGATCTTTAGTTACACCTTGAGAGGAGCTCACGGCTCCACCACTGTAGTAGAAGGCACTGGTTTCTGCTGCTTTCGATATTGTGGCAAGTGACTCGTCTGGATTGTATGAATAGGTTGTAGTCGTTGAATGTGTGACTGAAATCAGTTTGTCTTCTGAATCGTACTTATAAAGTCGACCAGCAGCTCCCTGAATTAACCTACCATTTCCGTCGTAAGCAAAACCAGGGTCTTGCCGTTGGTCTAAGGCATTGTAGGTAAAGGATTCTGGCACACCATTGATGATTTTCTGTATAATGTTGAAATTACCATCGTATCTAAAGAGTTTTGTCTGAGGCGGCGCAAGATCTCGTTCGTACTGTGTAGAGTGTGAAACGAGTTGGCCGAAACCGTCGTACTGAAATTGCTCTTTCTGGTTGATATTAAAAGCCTGGGGATTCTGTTTCGAACTGAGCTCATGAGCCAGCAACCGGCCTCGACTATCGTATAGGTATACAGAATCCAATATAACCTTTCCCTCCAGGTCTCGATCCGTTGTATTGACCTGTCTCCCGAACCCATCGTACTTAATGTTTCGATGATATGACTAGGATCCGGAAACGGAGGTTCCAACCAGCTGACCTTCAACGTGATTGACTGTGCCGAAGTGATAGACGATCTTGCTACCTCCCATTTTTTTTGACATAAGCCGGCCATAAGCATCAAAAGAGTTTTCGGTCGTACATCCGGCGACGTCTGTTTCTTGGATCACTCTAGAGGTTTCATCAATGACATAGATCTGCTTCCGGCCGTTCGGGTACTCGGTTGACATTATGCAGCCGTCAGAGGCGTACGTGTGTTTAACCTTTTCTTCATTTTTCGCGACACTGGCTAGCCTGCCATTTGGCAGATACTCATAGACTCTCGACCCTTCAGGAGAGGTTGACATGATCATGTGGCTAAGTTTGTCGTATGCGTATGTGTGCTTCGTCCCATCGTAACGTGTCATAGCAATTACATGTCCCTCAGCGTCGAATTCGTTATTTTCTATTTGGCCGAGTTGGTTTCGAAGCTTTACCATTCGATTGCATGCATCAAATATGCTCAACGGGCCATCGCAGACAAACTGGCGCCCATCTGCGTAGGACACCGTTTTCTTATATGTCACCGAGTTGCCAAAGATGTCAATTGTGTACTCTCGAAGGACTTTATCAGGGTTGCCTGATAGACCGCTTGAAATTACGCTGGATGCGACCTTGTGGGAATTGCCTTCGACATCATGAACAAAGTCTACCTGCGCTAATAGAATCGACTGAGAGTCGTCAAGGGATTGCTGAAGCTTCCTGCTGCTAGTGACGTTACCAAAAGCATCGTATGATTGCTCCGCTACGAGTTTGTAGGAACTACCTTCAGCTGCGGAATCACTGTATGTGATACTCTTGATCTGTCTACCGAGAGCATCCGTGAATGTATTGCTGCGAAGGTCGCCATTCACTTTGAGTTCAGCTGTAAGCTCCGAATCGTTATATTCATAGGTGGTGGAATTGCCATATACGTCAATAGATTTGGTGACTCGATTAAGATCATCGTATTCCGTCGTGATCACTAAGCCGAGCTCATTAGTTGATTTGACAAGTCTCGAAAGCGCATCATATTCAGACCGGGATAGAATCCTGTCCGCTTTTGTGCCAGCCCGATTACCACTGTCCCTGATCGCAGTTTTTCTACCTAAGACATCATAGTCCGTGCAAGTAATGTACCCCGTCGAAGTAACATTCTGTGCGAAATTTTGACCTAGACCAATGAAATAGGACGTTTTTATTGTTGCGCCGAGTGCATCTGTAGTCTCGACAATTCTGCCTAAGAGGTCGTATTTCATCGTCTCATGCGATCCCAGAGGTGATAGCTTGATCACCAACGGACCTCCTTTGATTCGCATGTCATAGCTCATTGTGCCGGCATTTCCTAAGGGATCGGTAATTGTCTCATTATAAAGACTAGTTTGGGGATCGAAAGAGTGTGCCTTTTTGTAGGTGTACTGCTTGATACTTTCCGCAGGGAAAGTTGTTCCGTCGCTCCATGCAACCGACTCTTCTTTGACTCTTCCGATATCATCGTAAACATACGATTTTGTCTTCCACGGCATCCATGTGGCACCGCCATCGTCTCTGTATGTGACTGCGGAGCTCGCGATATTCCGTTCGTCGAATGTGAGTTGATATGTGATACGTTTCTCACGGGAAGTGACATGGTCTGTATATGTCTCGGTTTCAAGCAACTCGCCGCCCCAAGCTGTAATCTTATACGTGCTCGTGACGCTCTTTTGCATCACCAAGTTATTCTTTTGCTTGTCCCACATCCACTCAGTCATGGTCAACGGGAAGCCGAATGCATCATATGTAGAAGCCGCTCTGCGGAGCAGCTTGAAATCTGATTCGGAGTAGTGCAGTTGGTCTACCTGGATCGGCTGACTATAGGTAGTTGATCGAGCATGGTGATCTATGGGAATGTCGTAACTGTTGATCGTACGATGTGAAAATGTGTCTTTCCCTTGGGTATTGACATGGTAATGATCCTCTTGCATAGGAAGGTGTAGGTAATTGTAGTAGACACGTGATATCTGACGAGCCTCTCCCTTGGTATCCAGGCGTGTGATAGTAACATCGTATCTTGAGGCTTAGAATTAGCAGACATACTTTATAGCTACTTATCTACACGGCGCGATAAAATATATCCTCAACTCACCGATAGTCTTGATTTTCGGACTCCATCAAGGAATCATGCGACGATTGCATCCGGCAGCCAATGCTGGCCCCCGTGAAGTTCGCAAACCCGGTATCCACACCATATTCGTATTGCGTCTCCATGAGTTTATTTTCATGGATATCTTGATGTGTATGATAGGAACACGCCGGAATACTGAAGGGGTTGCCATCCCTGTCCAGTGCTGAGAGCATATTATAATCGAATTTGGACTGCAGCCCGGACGGGAACGTTATAGTGTCAATTAAGGTCTGGCCAGCCAATGGAATATATGTGAATTCAGTTATGTAGCCCATGGGATCTTTTATGCTCTCGACCCCATGGGTTGCAAACTCAACCTTTGTCTGTCCGCCATTGGGTGCGTGTAAATACATTGCGCCATCCAGATCATACTCGAAACTTATTTTTTGATCCCACGAATCAAGGATATAGTCGACTTTGGCAGTCATTGGACCTGCCAGATCGTCGACGTAGGAGAAATAGATAGAGTTTCCGTAGAGGTCGGAGTGCTCGAGGAGCTTGCCATAGGGATCAAAATATTCAGTGCTTCCGTCGATTGTTTTAAAACGCCATTCATAGTCACCGGGTCTGTTTGGCCGGTTCGATGGCAAAGGCTCAGCAGCGAATACATGTTCAAAAAAACATTCCGTGGTTGTTCACATATTTCAAGCCAGATTTCCAGCCATCCTGATCCGCCCAGTTTGGATCGACTATGAATGTTTTTCCTTGGGATGTGAGACTCTTTCTGGGGATGGTGAAGGGGATCTCGAGACCCCAGTTTTTTGGTGCACCAAATGAGCCCTTTACGCCTGGCGTATAGGACAACTTGAGCTGCAATCCGATGGAGGATGTTTTGCCACGAAGATCAACGAGGGTCTTAGAAAAGCCCACGCTGCCAGAGTTTGGTGAAACTGACTCCTCTGAAAGGACATTCGCCGCATAGGCTTGCGAGCCCTGGTACTGACTCTCGGAGGTCATTTTTTGAACTGAGGTATGTATGAGAGAAGAAATTCGTAATTGAGGATAGAGAGGATTGCTTTTCTGCTTGATTGTTCGGTGAACTTCGAAGCCAGCTATGGCCTATATAGCTGTGGCCGATATAGCTATGGTCGGGATCAGCTGGTCTCGTTCCCAGAAGCCACAAAGGGTAACAAGGATCAGCCTACAATATACAGTCTATTTAGGACATTTAAGATAGAAGCTATGTACGAGACAAGGCTGTCTCTATCAATTTACACTGTGGTTGAAGCTGAAGTTGCATCCATCATGTATTATGGTTTTTGGGTCGTCCGCACATATGCGTATTGAATCTGCTGAGTCATAACCTTGGATACCGCTTTCCGCTCAAGATAGGCCCAGCCTCGGTACTAAACAATGCAAAGCTTGGTTAACAATATGAAGCTGAGAGCACGATAATGCCCTCAGTGGTGTCATTGACCTGATATAGCCGTCCCGTCCCGTCTCATGTGATGCTGCCGTAGATTGGTAGCCTGGAGCTATAAGCATATACCTGCAATGCAAATGCGAATATCGCGTGGCGCGCCAGCTCGAACCCCCTAGTTTAGGGAGCAAAAAACAAAACCGTAAGAGATTCATTGTAGGCAGAGCTCACCGCTCAGCTGTTCCTATCCGCGTTGTTATACGTTGTATTTTTGTCTGGCGTTAACATTAGGATAGCTTGCTGGTGGGGTTGTATATTCTCCGGAACGCCACCAGTTCAAGTACACTGCACCGCAATGCAGGATCCAATTTAAATTCAACAGTAGTACAAAAAGTCTCATTGATTCATTGCTGAACACTTCTGCATTTCCATTGGACCCTGATCGATGATCCTTGTAATATGCAGGTATGCAGCTCGACATGCCTTCCAGGAGACCCCGCCGCCGCAAATGATGGGCTAATAAACCGAGGCAGAGAAATCGGCAAATAGGAATGTTAGTAGAGTGTTTTGTAGAGTCCGGTCAAAGATACATAGACGGATTTTAGACTGCTATAGAAGTTGTGAAGTTAGTGGATTCTCGTAAACCTGAGACCGGTCCAAGAGACGCGGATGAGGGTAGGGGTTAATTCTCATCTGCGCCTGATCTCGAGGCTAGGTTAATTAGATCGTCATGTCGAATTAGGATGCATGTATGAGAGTCAATGGCTTCAGTTCTCCAGTTGAGGCTGTTCTTCCTTGGGTTCGAAGCTACTATCGCTCCCTCGCTCCATCATCTCTTCAGCTCTCTCTAGGCCCTAGCGGTCATCATTGTTGTCATCTGGGCCAACGGCAGCTTGCAACTGATATAAAGAGTAGCGAGCCAGTCCTTCAAGTTTTTTCTGGGAATATCATCATAAATCAGCAGAAACATCAAACATCAAGACATTAAGGCATCAAGACATCAAGACATCAAGACATCTCTCAAAGTGGTTACCCTTCGCACTCTTACTATAGCCTCTCTTATAACTTTCCTCGGCCACCTAGACGTCGCCCTCGCGGGAGCAGGTAATTAACATCATCTCCAATACATTCACATTCCTCCCACATCACTAAGAAATTTCTTTGTATGGAATCTAGGTGCCCAAGTCCACGCCTGTGTCCATCTCTCCAACAGTGTCAAAGACCCCTTCATAGTCAACTTCGACCCCAACAACGGCGCAAACCAGTGCATGAACGAAGTTGGCAACTATAAATCCGTCACAGTCAGCTCCGCGGGTATTACCTGCGCGGAAATCGGCTACGTTGAAGCAAAATTCAGCACCTCCGGCGGTAATCTCTGCGCTACCGATCCCAGTTACTGGAATATCGGGTATAGCACTGAGAAGCTTAAGATTCCCAAGTCCGGGAATATAAAATCGCGGTGGAGGAAACAATGGGGGTCTCCTGTCAATGAGATAACGCTTAAGGAGGGTCCGCCGGGTGATATGGTTTGCGGGTCTGAGCCCTTGTGTTACTCGCAAATATTTACTTGGGATGAAGGAACTGCGCCGAATGTTTATGTAAGTTTTTTTCTATTAATCTATGAATTTTTTAGGGACGATTTTGGCTAACTGGGAACATGATTACTTTCGTCAGTTTATCTTTCAGCCGGATAAGCAAGATTCCGCCTACATCGAAGTAGAGTATAAGGAAGACAGCTCCCCTATTAAAGAGCATACTTCCGAAAGAGCTCCCCAAGTTGTCCTCAACCGGAGGCGAATGAAGAAGAAATCGAATATTGCTGCATGACCGCTCTAGCGCTCTATACGGGTTGGGAGTTATCTCGTAAACCAGGTTGCATTAGGAGCTTTCTTAGTTTAGATTTGTCCATTTATAAACATTTCAAGGTTGAGTCACGGGCCGCGCGCGGGTACTTAATATAGAAGCACGCCCCGTTTAACACTACTTAAGTCTTGTGTTGTTTTATGTGGCATTTAAGCTATCGCAATAAAATATCAGTCTCAAAACTAGAACAGATAAAATATAATACTCAACTCCCCTGTTTCCTTCGTAATTAAGTAAATACCAAGGTACTTAAGTATATAAGTACTTATATAGTACCTTAACTATTCAGCTCGTACGGAAACTCATTATATATAGCCTAGCATGGAAGCGGTATATTTAACGTGGATGTACTAGTTAGCTCTTTGGTGATTTGGGACATCGCAGCTAGTTTACGTTTGGGGGTTTAGGGATGTCGACGTCACAAGCCGAAGTATATAAGATACATCTGTAAATGTGCCCCTCTACTCTAGAACACCTTCTCAGGCCATATAAGTATATATATCTAGATCGTATAGAAAGATTTGAGTACTTGATTCGTTTCGTTAATAAGCCTTATAATCCGATGCCGGGGTACAATCGACATGATTACATTAACGTCTTATCTATTGAAGTTTTGGGCGTTCTTCACCTCTCCTCGGGAAGGGACCCTCATATTTACGATTGAGGGACTTGATGTGATATATGCGTCTTTGAACTCAAACCCGAGATTCGACCTAGTGTTTAAAAACCTCAAGGGTCGGCGGCCGCATGGTACTATACATGTAGCGGGTGCTAGAGCTCGAGCTTCCCTGCCGTTAATTTTTGGAAAATCTGCAATGTCTTAATGTGTGTACGTTTTTTTTTTTTTGTTTTTTTTTACACTTTTGATTAGCCCGTGTAACTGCATATGCAAGAGAGTGGATATCGATATTGATATCCGTATTATGGGCCCTCCTTTGATGATCTGTGGTAGGGAGACGGATCGATGGAGTTGATGGGGATACGCCGAATATCGATTGGTGGAGAATCCTATTGCAGGGAGACACTTAAGTACCTTTCCAATGATTTTCTATAGTACGAAGAGTCCCATTCCGGTAGCTTGGTGGATTATCAGCTCGGTCGAGTCTTTCCGAGATGGCTGCATATGAAAAGCCTGACAGGTGGGTACCCGCGTATAACGAGTACGAAGAGATATAAATACATACTTACTTAACATACATATTTCCAACCCTTCTAACTTGATCGAAGCGGAACTAGCAGATAAGAGACATGGAGATACCTGATAGAGGGGGGGGAAAGGATTAGGGAGGTTATCATATGTTATTGGAGGCTAGCACATCGGATTCATCAGCTTGCCTGCATATCCTCTTTATTTCGTAATGAAAAAGGAACTTTTTCGAGCGAACAAAAAAAAATTTTAAACGCCTCAGACATTGCGATATCAGCTAATCATGCAGCTACCCAGTTGGATAAAAACATATGTGTGTTTATGTCAGTAATTGTCTGGGTGATTGATTGAATCATAAGCCCGAGCCCCCCTCTTGCTTTTTTTCTCGCCGTTTTCAACTGCGAGAAGGGGGCTGCGCATTTTATGATACTCGATATCCATGGTACTGAAATATGTATGTGCGTGTGTACGCACGTTAATGTTCGGGTGAGTGCTCGGACACGGACCTGGTCAGCTCTGTATTAAGCTAGTTAGATCTTTGCCCAGTTAGTAACGAAAGAAGACGCAATCTAGCAAATATATTTTATTTAGTACTTAAGTACCTGGCAGAGAGGAACATCATGGCCCATGCGTGGGAAGAAAATAACGCTCTTTTGACGACGAGAATACGCCGGGACCGAGGTGGCATCCGAGCACTGACATGACTGACATGTTGCGAACTATGGTTCAGGCCGCCCCGAAAGAGGAAAAAAAAGGAAAGGAAACAAAACGGTACAACGTTAGCTGGAAAGGTATCATCAACCGTCCAATCACGTTCAGTTGAAAGAGACATTCTATAGAGTTCTTTCCACCCGTCTATGCAATGCTTTGGTAAATTAAAAAAAAAAACGGTTACCGGTTTGCAGCATTGACGTTGCGCATCAAACCGATTGCGAACGACAGTCGTTGTTGCATATGGAGCCTTTGCCACGGCACAAGCCAAAATGAAAGAAGGAATCCGGCCTTGCTGGGAAATCCTGGTTCGAATTATAGGCGGTACCTACCGGCCACGGTTCTTTTTCTTTTTTTTTTGACGGTGATGGTGACGGGAACCAATCGCATCACCGATGTAAATGATATTGGCGAATGTATTCCCTGCTTAGCGAATCCGACTGTCGAGGTACTTGCCTATTAATATTTGAACTAACTTGCACTGTGTAAGTTGTAGTTACAGATGTCGTCGTCGTCGTTGCGTTCCGAAGCATGGTCTAGGTATGTAAATACTTATGTAAGTACTTAAACATGGTTAACAAGAACTAAGTAGTCAGGTTGTAGACTATTAATATATGTTATCGATTCGGGATGCTGATTATCGTGCCGTGCATGCAGTTTTGGCATAACTCGACTATGAAGTAGTATCTCCGGGCAGCCTTCATACGAAAAAGGGAATTATCAATTACATGATAATACATTAGTTAACCACTTATGTATGTTGATAGTAAGTCATAGACCTATAGTTTGCATGCCGTGCCGTCAGGAACAGCAGCTGGCCATGGACCGGGTTCGAGGGGAGGGGAGGGGAGGGGTATGGAAAAGGCAAGCGGCATATACCTGTGCTCATCGATTCAAGACTATATATCAGTCGGTACTTACTAGTTTCTTTTTTAACATTTGACAGGGTAGGGTCATGGCTAGCCAAGATCAGAATAGTCTCGAAGGCCAGGAACGGGAAGAATCGAGTCGAATCGAGTATCAAGTCGATGCTGAAATGAAAAAAAAATGAGATAAAATATAATTCACGGAAGGAGCCTCCAGCTCTTTACATACGACATATATCAGCCTGGATGGCCGCCGCCCCCTCCAATTGATTGTATCGGATAGTCAGTCCTCCGTTAGATTTGAAAGCCACGAAATCTTAAAAGTTGATTAGAGGTAGGTACTTACATACTGGTGTTTGAGGCTAGAGAGAAGTGTATCCGTATCTGTATCCGTATCTGTGTGTGCATTTGCATTTGCATCTGCATCTGCTGCATCTGGGTCTGTGTCTTGTGCTTGCATGTGTAGCACCGGTATATTATATTATATTCTATCGATTATCTATTATCGTCCTTGTCATTTCTCGAGCCTCTCCCGCTTTCACTCCCACTTTCACTCTCACTTCCACTGTTGCTTTCACTTGCACATGCAGTTTCCTTCCTTCTTTCCTTTTTGCAAAAGCTCCTGATTATATTAAGTCTATACTTACTTACTACTCAAGTATAAGGTATATTAATACACACGACAGAGCACGGTATACAAATATATACCTAACCAGCCAATTGCGTGGTGACAGAAATTCCCCCCGGCACCGCTTCGATTGCCTTGACTCGATCGACGCTACTCGACTCGACCCGAACCGATTTAGATTGTGGCTATTGCATTATTCTCATTCTTTGGCTTGTGAAGTTCGAGAAGATACCACTTATATTATCAAAGAGTGGGGGCTTCTAATGGATCTGAGACTCGACGACGCCCATTCCAGCTAACATCCAGCAAACAAGGAACCCCCAAAAAAAAAAAAAAGAGAGAGAGAAATACGATAGCTTTGCTATTATGTGCGTGTGCCTGTCCAAGCCCGTTTTATTCCTGAAGCATATCTCCATATCAAATCTTCTTAAATCTAACATCATGACATACAATATTCATATATATTCACACATACATCCTGATCATGATTAACTAACTATCTAATTGACAGACCGGCTTTTTCCCTTTTCCTTTGCAGAGTTTTTACCTCAATTCAGGCAAATTTCCTGCGGGTTTCTTGCTGGTGCTGACGGCTACGCAGCCAACTCCCAAGAACTACGCCGACATCGCAGGCGGAATTCGGGTTCGAACAAACAAACAAACCAACCGGTGTTCCTATCCCTTCGTTATCGACGTCTCCTTGCAGCAGTAGCGAGGGGGAAGACGACGACGACGACGACGACGACAAGGAACAACAGGAAGAATAAGAATACGAAAGCGAACATCAGCTGTGAAGCTGACTTTAAACCTGCATCGACCGGCCCCGGCTGTCCTTCCGAGGCTTACTCTTACTCTTACACTACTTCTACCTCCTTCTACTCCCACCTTTCTGCATCTGCTTCTGATAAGAAGTCCTTGGATTGGATATTATCACATTACTTACGCATCTTGACGTCCGGTCACGTTCACCCACACCCACCTATCCATCCACCCACACACACACCAAGGCAAAGTCTCGGAGTTTTTTTTCTGTAATAGTAGTCAGTCGGAGCGCCGTGCACCTGAACCACCCAAGTACCCGACCGAACTTCCTCCGTTAGCTAAAAATCCCATCATTCATTCGTTCATTTCGTCTCATCTGTTCGGTTGTCCATTACTACTCGATCATTCGAATTTATATTATATGCCTTTTAGGGGGGGCCAGCCTGTCATCTTGGGGATTTCAAGGCTGTCGTGATTGCTCCCTCTTCCTCCTTCTCTCTTCTTCTTCTCCTTGTGGCTCTCGCGAGCTCTAACCTTTCGTCGATATATTCCGTCTCGAACGCCCTATTCTGTCGTCATCATTTCTACTATACCCTGATCAAATCTTTTTGACTACATTACACATTGCATATACATTACACGCTAGCAGCCTTGTCAAGTGGAGTTTCCTGGAGAAAAATAACAGCCTCGGTATGTCTTCCGTTTGAATGGTGGTTAATTGTCGTTGTGGTGGTGGTGGTGGTACTGGTACTGGTAGTCTTGGTACCTAGCCGTCCAGGGTCTTCTTTTTTGTTGAGAATGCGGCTTTGCTGACGTTTACCTCCTCGAGTTCGTTCAGGTTCTCTCGATACTATCTTTTTTAAATCTATTTTCTTTGACTCAACGCCCCGCCCGACCTCATCCGCTGTCTAAGGCGCATTAGATACCCCTTTCGCCGAGTTCCGGGGGATATATATTCGATCCAACAGGAGTATATTTTGGGGAAAAGGAAAAAAAAAAACAGACAGGAGGGAAAGCCATCTGGGAATCGATATTCAGGGCGAACCGTTTCCTTTCTCCACGACACGAGAGTATACACTCGAGGTATACCTCTTATAGGCATGAAGTCTGAACCAACACACATGACCGACGGTAGAGACTTCAACTTTGCAGAGTTCACAAATCAGGACGATCTTCTTCAATCTCTGGGTGGGGATGCACACAATGCTGCTGCTTCGATAAACGGCTCCGACTCCTCATACTTGTTGGGGCTTGACAACGACTACCTGCTCGCGCCGTTCGAGAGCGGGAACGACATTTTCGCCTTTCGCGGTGGCGCTGGTACGGCAGCACTCGGGTACCGACTTGGGAATCTCAAGAGCGTAACTAACTCAGTAGAATTCGTAGGCTCGCCGTCTCCTCCAGAGTCACAGGAGCAGTCGCCAAAATCGATCAATACATCGCCAAACTCGTCCGAATCCTCCCCTCCACAGATACCTGGTGTCAAGGGTCCTGACGGACTCACGATGATGCACGATGTCGAGGACGATTTTCCCATGCTCGACGAGACTAGCGGCACTATCACGTTTCCATTATCGTCGTCGTCGTCAAATGGATTCTTTGGTAGTAACTTTACCCCGCTAGTACCAGCGCCGACGCACCTGCCTGTTTCGTTAGGGGATAAGATGGCTGTCGACGACACCGCAAAATTCTTTGATTTCGAAAGTGCTGCTAGTTCGCCTCTAGCCGTAAAACTTGAAAGCCAGCGACAGTCCAGCGTACCTAGATTCTTCCCAGAAAACCAGTCGACACTGAATCCGCAGCTTAGCTTTAACCCCGACAGTATTCAGACGGTATCGACACCCACATACCCAAATAACCGCAAGAAGAGGCGATCCTCCGTTACACTATCCCCGAACTCGACAGAAGCGCTTGCTTCTTTCACATTTGACTCCCATGGCCACCCTTCTCCAGCGAGTTCGGCGGCAAACGGGATTTCTCAGCAGCGAAATGGCAAACGGCACAATTCGACAAGCACGTCTGGCGAGGACGAAACAGCGACACTCATGAAGTCTACAGGGTTCCGCCCGACAAAAGCCTTCAGCATTAGCAATATGTGGAGTCCATCTTCGTTTTCTAGCGCTTCGCCGATGCCCAATATGCTCGCGTATACACCAGTACCAGCCAACGGCGACTTTTCGTATAAGCTGACATTGAGAGGCGACCAACCCGGTGGAAGGATAAATGAGAAGTCTAGGGTGGAAACCCAGATCAGGGTCAATCTGAATCTAGCACCGCTCCCGCCGGGAGTAACGAAACTACACCTGCCGACACATACCATCTCGAAACCTAAGTTACTGTCTAAGCCGCCGCATCAGAAGACCACAGATACCTTGGAGTTATATACAAGTTTAATATGTGCCTCTTCTGTTGAAGGAAGCCCGGAGTTATTGCAAAGGGTGCTACAACGAGCCATTGACGATCCGCTACAGGAGAGAGTCTTTGGTTCTGGAAAGCCAATTAGCGAAGATGGCAAGGAAGGGTACACTGCGGAAGAGGATAAGCCACTAAATGGAGGCGAGGTCAGGATCTGCTCCGGTTGTATCACTCGGGAGCGGAAACGGGCTGCGCGAAAGAAGATCAAGAAAGTCGAGGAGGAAGAGTCTTGGGCGCGTGATGAGAGTAAGCGAATTATAGTTTTCAACTGCTCTGAGGTTCTTGAATGGGGTCCACCGGAAGCACAGAAGAAGGCAGAGATGGAGGCCAATGATGGGGAGATTGTGTCCCCTATTGATGGTAATGCAGAAATTTGGCTGCCTATGAGAATAGCCTGCTACTGCAGGCACCAGAGCGAGAAGAGCGGGTTCAGGTAAGGCCATAATCTTGGCCGCCCTTGAATTACTAGCTAGTACTAACACCCTATAGGATAATTCTCACTATAAAGGACCATAATGACAATCTTGTCGCTCAAAACATCACACCTCCCATTCTCATCACCGACGATCACAAGACCAATGCGCCTTCACAACCCGCCGCCCAGCAACCGGTGGCTGCCGCTCCTACTTCTAAAGGGGCCACGTCCCCCTCCGCCATCGCCCCTGGACCGATCCCGGTTGCCCCTGCTCCTCCGAGCAATGCGCTTCCTTACTCTGCTTCGGACACGAATCTTTTAACGATGGGCCAAATTGATAGACCGTCAAAAGCTAGTAAGACTGGGCACTCGAGACAAAATTCACGGCAATCATCTGTAGGGGCCATGCAATCACCACCCCCATACGCTGCAGCTGCTGGGCCTTCTGCCAAAAAACGGAAGGCCAATCCATCATCCAAAACCAGATCTGAGCTCACAATGACAAAAATCGATACCTCCGTGCCATCGACATCTGCTCAACAATCTCAATTCTCGCAACCGCCGTTCACACCTTCCAGTCAAAATGTCACAATGGGTGGCATGTTTGAGCAATCCCAACCTGTTCCTTTCACACCATCCACGCCCTTGGAGAATGGAGCTGGGCCAAACTACTTTGGCTTCCACAACCGTAACCATAGCATTGACAGCCTCCATGGGCTGCAAATATTTTCCGCACCAACATCTGCACAAGGGTCTCGTGTCCCATCACGTGTCGCAAGCCCAGTTCAGCAATTCAGCGTTCCTCAGGGCCAGCGACCAGTATTCACACCTGCTCAGTTCGCCCAAGTCCAGTCCCAGCTTCTCAACGTCGCCAATGGACAGCTCTCACAAGCCCTTCTACCCTTTGATATTACCCGTATTGTACCCACCGAGGGACCTTGCCAAGGCGGTATCGAGGTCACTATCCTCGGTAGTGGCTTCCAGCGATCTCACACCGTTTACTTTGGTGACAAGCAGTCTCCCCGGACCGAATTCTGGAGCGACACCACCATTGTCTGTCTTCTGCCACCTTCGAGTACCCCTGGTAGCGTACCTGTCGTCATGAGATACGCTGCTCAGGCTAATCTCACATTACCAGGCCGTTCAGGTAGATTCATCTACACGGACGATACGGAGCAAAAGATGTTGGCGCTAGCATTGCAAGTTATCAATGCCAAGTGGAGCGGGAAGATCGAGCCGCCGAAAGATATTGCTATGAGGTTGCTAATGGATGAGAAGAGTCCTGGTAATGCCGGGGGCTCGGTTAGCGGAGGTCGGACTCACTCTTCAGGAGGTAACAGCTATAACATGCAAGCGTTACAATTCTTACAATCTCCGCTACCTTCTATGGATATGGAAGCACAGCTCCTTAAGCTTCTAGACATCATCGACATGGACGACTCCCCATTTCCCGCCAAGCTGAATCTAAGGAATAGGCAAGGACAAACATTGCTACACCATGCCTGTGCACTTGGATACAACCGGTTCACAGCTGCTCTTCTTGCTCGTGGAGCCAACCCCGATGCGGCAGATAAGGGCGGGTTCACACCAGCCCATTTCGCAGCGCTTAAGGGCCACAAGGACATCGTGAGACGATTGAGATTGAACAAAGCCGATTTCAACATTCTCAGCCTTAGTGGCGTTGCTCCAGAGGGCCTTACAGACGCTGAAGATATTAGAGCTGAGCTAGGTAGCAGGCGAACTAGGAGTCGCCGGCCTTCGGTTAGCAGTGTCTCCAGTGCTCCTGGTAGGGTTGTCAGCGGCCGTAGAAGTCGGAGCGGAAGCATCGCGTCAGCTATGGCAAGTTGGGAGCCGTTCGCTACCCACGATGAAGAACATGATGAGAATACTGAAGAGGATGATGAGGTCGATGACGAAGAGCTGTGGATCCGACCAAAGAGAACATTCAGCGGGCGTAACCTAAGGGACCTAGCGGCTGGCAAGCTCACAATGATACCACGAACAGCAGAGAAGCCACTGTCTAGATCCGCTAGTAAGAGCAATCTCGCCGCTCTCGCAGAGGTATCTACTTCTTTGCAGTTACCGACAGATATGCAAATCGATGAGGGCGATGCCGCCCCGGCCGCAGCGACGGCTGCAGCATTAGTAGCCATCCGAGAGCAGTTAGCGAACCTTACGTTGAACTTGCCAAATTTCCACAACATGAATTGGAATCTTCCGAACCTTAATCTCCAGAACTTCCAACAGCAGATGCATCTCAACTTACAAAACCTTCAAGGCCAAACAGCAAGGTTCAATGCGCTGCTGCAAGGCCAACGGGCCGCCGATGCCGCCGCAGTTGCCGGTGACAACGGCGTTGCTCCCGTCGCTCCTCCCGTTACTACCCCACAGACTCTACGGCCCACAAATACCGAAGGCACTGGTAGCCCCAACTCCGATTACAAGTGGTGGGAGTTGTTTTCACCACCAAATGCCCCTCCGGCTTATGAGGAGTTGTATCCAGATGGCACCCCCCGTACCAATGATAGCGATAACAAGCTACGTGTTATTGGCGAAGCTGTAGCCCAAGTGATGGATGCTAAAGTCGCAGCAGCAACAGCAGTGGTCACTCAGAGTGCAACAAAACGAACGACAGCAGGAACCATCTCTTCCTCTTCATCAAAGAGTCTGACCAAGAGCAAGAGAAGGCTTTTGACAACTGAGGAACAAGACGCCTTGCGGATACATCATGAGAAGATGAAGCGAATCAAAGGTGATCAGAGGCTTCTGTTTTTCTGGGTATGTAAAAAAATTTCTCGACTCCTAGTTTGTCGTTTCAGAATGCTAACGTTTTGATTTATAGCTCCCGATATTCGTTCTCGTCCTATTCACTTTGTTGACTAGCTGGGGTAGCAAGACATGGATTGTGGTGCGGACAACATACGATGTTGTAAAGGAGAGGATGGCAGAGGCTGCTGAGGCTACTGCTGGGGCTGGAAGGAGGGTCGTTGAGGTCGGCGGTCTATAGTGGTATATCCAACTACCTACGGCTTGATACGGCGAAGTTCATTTTTTTATTATTCGTTTATATACCTCTTGCGATTTCCCTTTTAATACGGCGGCATGGACGGATATTGCCGTAGTAACTTTTTCCCCCGGGTTTATTCTCTTCTTTGACATTCCCGCTCAAGGGAATTACGACATTTATTTTCCATATACACAGTATAATACCCCCCTTATTTCTTTATTGTTCTCATTACTATTATCACTATAGCGGCGGTAGCACGGCGATCGAGCAGTTAACTAGTAACTTTCTTCTTGTACTTCCTTGTTTCATTACTCTTCATGTCTCATTTGTTTATTATTCACATACTTTCTTATTGGAGCAACAAAAAACAACCGGTAGGATAACGGCGGGTGGCTTTTGGAATATTCGAATATCAGGTTTCCGGATTTTTATTACTTTTTCTTCTCTCGTCTCTTCTTTAGTTCCTCCCATCTTTCTCTTTTCACATCTTCCCTCTTCCCCCCCTTCTCTCTCTCTCTTTTTTCCTTTTTCCTTTTTTTTCCTCTTGCGAAGAAAAAAGAAACAAAAAAAAAAGATTTACTCATATTATCGTTTTTGATGCGACGGGTGGCTTGGGACATTTCATTACTCTACACTGTACTTTTACTTATTTTTTTTATATATTTTTTTTGTGAGAAGATGGATTTTTTTTAACTCTTTTCTCTGTATTTGACTACACCCAAAAAAAAGAATCATTGGATTTATTTTGTTATCTGTATGTACTTTAACTTTTTTTTCTTTTTCTTTCTCTTATATCGAACTTTACCAAGCAAACAAAAATTAGTCTTTCTCTTTTTTTATGAATCTGAGGAGGTCATGATAATTATCAATATAAGATTTTTTTAACTAGCGATACTAGTATTGATAAGAATGGAGAGTGAATAGTATACAAGTGTAGTAGTAGATAGGTAGTACTTATGTTCAAGGGCTACTACTATAGAGGGGCTTGTGATTCGGGGATCGTGCTTGTTTAACTTAGTCAGGAGTTTAAAATTTAAAGTTTACCCCGTGCTTTTTTACATAGACGATAGCTACTTAAGTAAGTAAGTAAGTACCTAGGTAAGCAAGTAAGTAGGAGGTAAGTAGCTATCAGTCGGTGCATTACATGGGTTTTGAAAAAGTTAAGATAAGAGGGGGTGTGAGGGGTGTGAGGGATGTGATGTGTGTGGGTTTGCAATTGATGTCAGTTATGGCACATGTGCGGTGATGGTTAGTTGCTTGCTTGCTTGCTTTGGGTTCCGAGTCGGTACCGGAGTTCTTGTATACATGAGTGCATGTATAGATATGTATCGTATTTTTGAGGTTTCGGGTGGATGGTACTTTTATGTTTAACCCTGCCTCGGTTGAGTTATCTTGTGATTGAGGGTTTGGAAGGGTTTAAAGAGGGTTGATTGATTGTTAAGTGAGAATGTAAGACGGAGTGGGAGGGTATAGTATTAGGTATGTATTTAAGTATGATATCTGGCGAGAATATTACGTCTTTATCGGGCTTGAGGGATCGATCAAAATTATAATTATAATTCCTCGCCCAAACAATGGGACTTTTGAGTGTTGAAAATGTTGGAGTTTTTCTATATCTTTTGTTGTAGGATAACTCGACCAGTAGGAAAGAGGGTAATCACACGTACGAACGAATATGCAGGGGACCCGGGTTGGGTTTTTTAGACTAAACCTTTTTTATAATTTTTTGTTACGAAATTTTAAGGTAATGGAATTGGATGAAAAGGTTAGGTACTTAGTTGATACATGAAGGCGGAAAAGGGTTCTAGAACTTATTGAGTTTTTTTTTGTTCCCGGGCGCTTGAATTGAATGTTACTTACTGAGTGATCTATTCGCAAGGGTACCTATGGGAGCTCGAAGGCTTGATCGGTAGATTTTTTGGGACTAGTGAAGTGCTTAAGTTAGTTGATGTTTTGCAGGGCGTGTAGAGGGTTTGGAGCTCCTGCAGCTGCCGGTGTCGGGTTTTAAGGGTTTACTGATAACGAACATTTAGATACTTTAATCTACTTAAGTACGTAGTAGTACTATTACATGTAGTATTAATAAACATATATAATAGACCCTTTTTGTGTCTTTAATATCCGCTATCAGGACTTTTTTTTCTTTTATCGGAGTGTGAGGATTAGTTCAATCCCCGAATTCTTAATATGCGCTAAGAAACTTGGGAATGCTTGAAATACTACTGACCTGCCTACTTTGTTTGTGAGGGACCGTGTCGATAATCGTCAACCGAAGGGGAGAACGACTTCATGGATTAGCGGGGATAGCTCAGTTTGGGAGAGCGCCAGACTGAAGAAAAGAAACTTCGGTTTAGAATATATTATGATATCTGGAGGCCGGGTGTTCGATCCACCCTCACCGCATTTCCTTTTGATTCTTATATATATATATTTCTTATAGTTCTGCTTCGGCTTCTATTCTTCTTTTTGGTTGCATGTTGAGAGATCGAGACGGGTTTGGGGTTGGATATGCTGGGGGTCGGAGTAATTTATGGAATCACGAGTTTATATAAATGGAGATATAAATAAAAGTACTCAAGCGGGTTGACTAGAAGATATACATTACGATATCCCATTTTTTATTATATTTTAATGATTTAGAGAAGATATCACCAGTGTTTAACGTGTACTATGTAAACTCAGTTGATATCTTCGTTAATCATCATCTTATCGGCTTGACGTAGCGTGGGGTTCGTTTAAGCACTAACTATTTCATGTTTATCACGCGAGATCCACAGCTAGCGGGTTTTTTTTAAATCTCTAGCGCTTTTAGCTCATCGATAAGAAATCGCATTTTTGATAGTATGTGTGTATGTAAGAGGGTATCATGATGTTCAATGGGTATTACATGTCCTTGCCTCGATAACCGACTTAAGTAAGTAGTTAAGAAGTCTATCGGTATAAGTATGTGATATGTAAAGCAAATCCCGGCACGAACATCAGAAGCTAGCGCACCTCAGGAGAGTTTCTCCTCGTTTCATTGGAGGAGATAGCTTAAAAGCTATTTGTAGTAGTCTGCTCCTGCTTGTTCTGTTCGACTGTTCAGCTGTGTACTGTGTACGGCATGGCCTTTCAATCGGCGGCGCTCTCGCTTCGCTTATCATTCTTCTGGCCTCCCCCATCCGAATGCGACTCAACAAAGTCCCGATGCCGCAAAGATCTGGCTATGATAGGAAGAAGAAGGGCTGGCTGGGGAAGCGGGATGTATGTAAGTATCTTTGGAAGAGGAAGGGATCTTGCATACCACCTTTCGGTTCCGGCTCCGGCTTTTTTCTTTCTTTCTTTCTTGTTATGTTAATAAATCATGGGGTTGCTTGGTACTGCACACGATGAGATCGATCTGGGATTTTAACGATTGATAGATTAGCTTGCAGGATGACGAAACGTCACAGCAGCTGCTGCTGTGGACTCGGGGTCCCCTTCTTGTGCACCAGTAAGGCAAGTAAGTGTCCGCTTAATGAAGTCAGTGTAATAGTATGCAAGTAGTACGGAGTAATACGGGGTTTCCAATTCGAAAACAAGATATCGGATGAGACCCTAGTTCGGTCCCAGCTCTTACAGACTGACCAGACCCGACTCGACCTGACCTGGGCTGTGCGAGTGTGAGAGTGTGAGTCGGTTCAAAAAGCAAAACAGACCCTCCCCTCCCTTGACACAGACAGACAGGGAAATTCGGAAAAACAAAAGAAAAAAAGTTGGGGAATGATAGGATCATAAGGCAAAGAGAACGAGAATGAGAATGAATAGGAAGAGAAAGAAAGAAAGAAAGAAAAGAAGAAGAAGAAGAAACACCAGAATAGATAAGACCGCGGGCGGTGGTTTTCATGGCGGTCAGCTGTATGTCTGTATGTAACTTAGTAACGATTAATGCGGCCATGCATTACCACCACCCTTTTGGGGTCTTGATAACAGGTCTCGGGGAGAGAAGGGAAGGGAAGGGGGAAGAGGAAGTCATAAGAACGACGATTCTTCCTTCCTCCTCGGACCCCCCTTCCTCAAATAGTCTCCCTTCCCTCGGACTGACTCTTGTGACCTCTTTTTATTTTTTTATTTCTTACCCCAATTCTACTTTTTATTATTATTTACCACTTGATCTCTTTTACTATACTCGTCCATTCATCTAGATTTTCAATTTAAAAGAGTGGTAATTACAGCAACGACTCGACTCGACTGGAGCAGGAAGCGAATTTAAAGATAAGAACATCGATATATCTCGGGTCAACAATAATATTCGGTACGAAGCGACGACGGCGATAAACATCAAAACACCTCAAAGCATCCATTCTTTATATATTTAGACATCTCTCGTCTCCTTATCATTATCATTATTTGATTTATTACCGTCCCTACGGAGAGCCCCGACAGCTGTCCAGTTCAACTTCAATTATTTCTTTGGGAAGAAACGAGACAATAGATCCAGAGAAGGAGCGGTAACGGAGGAACTTCAGTCAGAGGTACCATAGGTACCAGGTGTACCGGACCAGGTATCTTTATCTTCTGGTTAGTATCCCCGGATAACCTCGTGAACCTTTTCCCCTTCGAAGATGACGGCTGTTCTGTCCTGTCCTGTGATCCTTTCCAACACAACAGGCAACACAACCTCACTTCAACAGACAGTCTCGATCTTGATAATTCAAAACAATTCAAAACAATTCAAGTTCTTTTTATTTTATTCATGAAACTATTAAAATACTAACTTCAGGTTTTCCTACTTTCTTTCTTTCTCTACAGATCTCTCAATCATGGAGTCCCTTCTACTAAAGTCCCGTTTCACGGACTCCTCAATCTTCTCTGGAAATTCAACCACTCCGCTCCCTTCCCTTCCTTACTGCCATCCGCAGAACGATTTCCTGTTATTCGTCTCCCAACAGCTGCAAACATGCATCCCTACACCGGCCACATTCCTCTCAACCCTCTGTGGCACCCTGAGCATCACCTCCTGGCTGTTCGCCCAACTTCCACAGATTATCAAAAATTACAGGCTTAAATCCTCGGAATCTCTGAGTTTCCTCTTTATTTTAATATGGTGCTTTGGTGACTCTTCGAATTTCGTCGGGGCGGTGCTGTTAAATCAGATGACCTTCCAAAAAGTAATTGCGGCGTATTATGTTGCGGTGGATGTTGTGTTAGTCTGGCAGTGGATCCAATATTCCAAACAGAACACCGAGTACGCTCCTATTCCGACAACGGACGACATTAGGCGACCGAGCGAAGGAGGTAGCGGAAGGGATAAGGAATCACGAGCTGCAGCTGTGATAATTACTCCACCACCATCAATTGTCACAGCCCGTACCGGCACTAGCACCAACAGGACTTCAGGGATACTATTGGCTTTTTCAACCTTTTTCAATTTATCTCGTGCTGCTCCGATTACCACAGCTGCCACAACTTTTGGTTTCTTTGACGAAGAAACCATTAGAATCCTGGGAATCATTATTGGGTGGTCTTCAACATTCCTATACCTGTCCTCCCGGCTTCCACAGATCTACCTGAACCACAAACGCCGTTCGGTATCCGGTCTTTCGCCTTTGTTGTTCCTCGCTGCTTTCTGTGGAAACTTCTTTTACTCCAGCAGTTTATTATTGAACCCTAGCGCATGGCACAACATTGGCCCCTTTGGCGAAGGCGGATGGGTTGGTGAGGATGGCACCACGACATCGGAATGGTGGACTAACACCCTCCCATTCCTCCTCGGGAGCGCAGGAGTTCTCGCCATGGATGGGTACATTGGTTTGCAATTCTGGAAATGGGGTGGAAACGACGAAGAATTCATCGGAGAGCCAATCGTTCAGGTTATAGTTGGCATCGAAGGGGATGATGAAAGCGATGATGATGAACGACCGATGAAAGGCCGACAGGTTACCGTCAGCGTGGAACCAACGAAGGAAAGGAGTTATTTTGACGAACAAACTGCTTTGTTGGCGCAGATGAATAATGGCGTTTATGGAACAAGTGCTGGAAGCAGTTCTTCCAGCGGGTATTAGATCTGACCGTCTCTAACATCTTTTTTTTCCGATAAGATGCGGTCGACGAGTTCCCTTCTCTTTTTTTTTCTTTTTAAAGGGTCGTTATTGGAGATATCGTTTTGATCAATTGAGCATTTTGCGTTTTTCTTTTTGACATGCATATGCATATATATCCATACAGGTTTTGGTTGGGTACACATGGCCGCACGATAAATCTTGTTTAGATTTTTTTTGAAGAAGGGGTGTTCTTCATTTTCTCATTATTTCAATTGTTATCCGTTTTTCTTTTTTTTCTTCTTCTTTATTATCGGTTTCTGGCGTTTAGCGGTTGCATATATGGAGTATAATGTCGAATGGCATTGCATTGCATCGTTTGCTTTTCGCTGCGATTCTCGCACAGTACAGTACAGTACAGTATCCATTGGATGTTTTGTTTGATGCATATACATACCTACATTTACATACATACATTCCTCAGATTGTCTTTCTTCTTCCTCTTCTCTTCTCTTTTTTTCTTTTCTTTTCTGTCTTTCGCCCTGCAGTTTATAACGCTAGTTTAACATTTATGATTTCTCGGATTATTAACCCATATAACGATGTCAATATTAGATATTTTCAATCTCACTGGCGTACTTACTTCCGATAGTATCTCTTTTGCTTAGTTAATCATTTGAGTTGATTCTCTTTATATGGTCATTTATATAATATTCTCGTTGGTGATAAGATAAAGAAGAAGAAGGGTTTCTTATGTTCAATTGCAGAGTATAGTATACTAGTATTGGCTTAGTACCACCGTTTGGAGCGAGACATCTATGCGGCCTTACATGTACAGCTAGCCGCCCTAGAACATACATATCATACATATATCCATAAGATACTTTCCGAATATGCAATCCCAGGTTCTATTACCCATAAAAAAAATATGGCATTTGCGTAACCTCAAGAATAGCATTTCGAGAAGGAAAAAGAGGAATAGGAAGAAGAGAGAGAGAGAGATAAAGCCTCTGTATTCGTGTCACGCATCCGCATCTTCCCTGCAAAAAACCAGCATTGTAATGTAGGGTAGATAGACAAAGAGTTCGGAGCTCTTCGTAACAACCTAGCTACTACCTACATGGTGGTGCATTTCATGCGGCTATATATATAATATAAAAATAAAAAAGATACTTCCATCGCTGTAGCTTTTTCGTGAGAAGGTCGTCGAATGATTAAAAGTATGATTACATACATACTATAGATACGAGAAATACCAGAGCTCGAGTAGAAGAAAAGAATTGGACTACCGACTCTTAATCTTGGGCTGTTTAGATGTGTTGGCGAAAGTGGTTGTTACACGAAAGAAAAAGAGAGAGAAAAAAACATCCATAACTAGCGTATTTCCTATTTGGGATGGAAATCTACCCATTTCAGGTCGAAAGGTTAGGTATCTTGAGTTGGCCTTGCGGGAGCTGGGCCTTGTAGTCGACGTCGACGGTTTAACGTTAGTCTTTGAGGGTTAATTTGTGATTTTAGAGTTTTTTTTTCTTTGATAGTGGTGGATAATGGTTCCGGACGTTTTGTCTCTATTGAGGAGGGGAAGTGTAGAAGGTTGGGGTAGTCTTATGGGAATCGAATGGGAGAGGCTTTGTCGAGGAAGTTATAAAACACCCTATGTTGGGAGACCTTTGTCGGGATATTTAAACTCCTAGCTCCTCTATGATCATCCACCGAATATAATTCACCATTTGCACTTATGGTCCAGTTGGAAGGATTTCATCAATTACAATTTGATTTTTAGGTTATACAGACTAGCTTGGAGCAATCAGCTGTGCCTCCTATTCTCTACTTCTTCCAGAGCCTCATAATTCCAAGCTGTCTCTCTCTTGTTATAGATATCCCAATCATATATATCCCTTCTGAGTTCCAATCTTGATCAGTTTCCCCTACGGCCTTCAAAGATCACAAAAGAAGAAAAAGCCATGACGAATACGATCCCATTACTCCCCGAACTCATCTTCGAAACATTGGGACACTGCAACATTGAAACTGTCTGGAACTTCGCAAAGACCTCAAGGGCTTCCTACCTCATAGCCTTCAGGGTCTTAGCATCGGGGTACCGATTCCCATTGACTATTCCCCATGCTCTACGCTCTGGATTAGTAGAGAGACACCGGGAAGGCGGGTTTTATGATAGAATAGAGTAAGTCTGACTTCAAATATAACCTATACCCCCGACCCCCCAAATACATCATACGAAAACCTATGAAAGAAATTTAATAACTAACTTATAACCCTCTCTTCCCTCTCTCTCTTTCTTGGTTCTATCAAAAGCACGGTGGCCATCGACGTCACCGAAACATCATGGCACCCTTCCAGTCTCCCCAATCTCCTAGATTTCCTAAAATCAAAACGCGAAAACAATGCCAGTGCCAATGTCATAATTTACAGTCATCAAAACGAACACTGTTCCATCAACGCCCTCACCACGGTCTTCAAAGAGATATTTGTCCAATTCTATGATACAATCAAAGGGCTAAGTATCCGCGTCGGTATCGCTCAGGTGGATGAAGGAGTATTGGTGAAAAGAATAAATGAACTATATACCACTATCAGAACAAGGATTACTTCGCACAAGATTTCCAGGGGTAGAGAAGGTCATGAACCATTACCTCTGAAATCACTGGATCTTCGGATACAAGCCTATAGTGCCCGAAGCACGATGGATTTGTTCTTACGGGCCGTGAGTCATGTCATTTCTGTAGCTGGTGGCGCGGAAGGGAATAGATTGGAAGACATCAAACTTGTTGTCAGATGGGCGGTTTATAATAGCGTGGAAGCGTCGGCTATTTCCCCTTTGGATATTAACCTGCTAAAATCGGAGTATGTAAGGAAGGTGTGGCTTGAAGATAAGAATTGGTTTGGAGCCAGAAATCGGGTTGGTGAGATCGTGAGATTTTGGCCGAAAGTCGAGGAGTTACATTTGGATTGTGGGGTTGGAGGGAGTCTCGTAAGTACCTATATTTACATATGTTCGATGTCCAAGCTGTCTGCTCCTGATGTCTTTTCAAAAGGTTAGGGTGCATTGTGGGATATTGACTGCTAGCTGACAAAATAATTATCTTTTTATTGGACCATTTGAATGGTTTTAGGTTGATTATGAAGGTTTGCGGGTCCTGAAAACCCTGCGAACGTTATCGATCCCGTTCCCATACGCGGGCTGGCTCGCCGGAGAAGAGGGCTTTTGCTGCATGAGATCTCTGTTTTGGACCTACTTTTCCCAAGAGTCGAGGTTACTACAAGAAGATGGACCTCTCAGGCAAATCCAGTTTCATTACTTGCGAAGAGACGGCCTAATGACAAACTATACAAAAATAAGATTAAGAAAGAAGAGGGTTGATAGTTTAGAAGATGCGAATGGAGGGCATGCTTCGCAGCTTGGAGGTGGGGCCGCGACTGCTGCCATGGTAATTCTAGCAGACGATTCTCCTGATTGGTTTGCTTTCACCATGGAGGATCTTGGAGATAGGCCAACGGATCCGATCGATTTGTCTGCAATATGTCAATTGATGTTGGCAGCTAGTTCAAGGATTGAGAAGTTCCGATGGACTAGGATGCATCGCGAGTTTTTGAATCCCTTTCTGAACGGAATTGCGGAGAGTATGATGGCAGTAGGGGACCGGCCGGAACATTGGAGTGGGCTGGAGGATGCTGTTTCCAATCCAAATATCAACAGGGCTGGTATTAAGTGCACTGATTACAATTGTATTGCTTGAGTCTTCACTGAGTTTGATGAATTTTCAATTTTTCTTGGTTTTGTTCTTTCTAGATAGTTATCATTTGTTTTTGTTAATCTCTCGACCACCGTCCAAATGCTCCTTTCCCTCTTCTTTCGTTTTCCGTTAGCAAGTGATCTAGATTTTTCTCTTCCTGCTTTTCTTCCTTAAACAACTCTACGAACTCGATGTCACCCTAAAACGGTCAGTTTATTCAATCCACTCATACAAGAATTCAGCTATGACCTACTTTGATCATAAACCCACCCCATTGGCCAACGCTGCCACCATGCCTTTCAGCCACGGTCTCTATTATGAATTTGTCTTGGCCACCGCTTCTGCGTCTGTGCGATGTTACCTCGTTTTGGGGGTATCTAGATACCATGATATTATGATCAAGACAGGATCCTAGCGTTCGGGGTAATCCTTCCGTAGGTTGTATTCTTGCGAATATACTAGAGTTTTTGATATAAGTATCTTTCTTCTGCTCTTTTGTATTAGGTGGCAGGATTGCAGGGGTGGAAAGAAGCTGGATAGTATTATATGAATTTTGTTAGTTAGTTATGTCCCTCCTTCCCCCGGTCTTGATGGGTTTATATGATATGTGGGGCTTATTTTTACCAAAATTGCAATTCCCTGATCTCGAGCTAGGGATCTTAGACCTTGTGATAGAAGGGTGAGTTTTGAGTTCGCCTCTACTTCGCCTTTTTCTAGGAGATTCTCGAGGGGTCGTGAAATATTGTCGAATACTATAACGCCAAAATTCCTTCCTGGGAGTGGCTGTGGTAGCGCTTCTGCTAGGTCGGGCGGGACGGGTATCTCCTCCCTTTCTGCTTCTCCTTCTCCTTCTTCCGTTGTAGCTAGGGATCTAGACGGTTCTGGATCATTCTCATGAAGATCTCTTGTTTCTCCGCTTATAACAGCTGTTTCAAGTCCGGATTCAGTTTCCCTGATGTCTCTCCGTCGTTTCCTGTTCCCTTGCAGGCCTGGGTCGTGTTTCGGTAACAATGGAATTGGCCAGAATATCTCTTCATCCGAGTCAGCTTCGGAATCTGGGATGGCTGTCCGCTCGCCTAGTTGTTCCGCGGGTGATCCCGCGGGTTCTACCTCCATATGATCCTCGTTCTCTGGGGTTTGTTCCTTTTTGACTTCTTCTTCTTCTCCTTCTTCTGGGGTTGTAATCCTTGATTTCGGGTTCACTTCCTCTTCCTCCTTCTCCTCCACTATTGAATCTTGAATAGCCTCCTCGGCATCATGTAATCCTAACCCCTTCGATTCAGCTTCGACATTCACTTCTTCTTCTTCGTCTTCAGCTCCCACCCGTTCAACTCCCGTCTTTGGCATCCCTCCAAAAACCTCAGCTACAGTTTCCATCACCCCATCAAAGTCAAACGTTCGCATATACTGCACGCGATCCAATAATTCCACCGCATGCTGCCTTACATCATTCCGACCAATACTCCCACCAGGGGCAGTCCTAGTACTGGTACCACTACCATCACCACCAGCAATAGCAGCAGTATTAGTATTATTAGTAGTAGTAGAAGACCCTCGTTCTTGCGTTGCACCCTGTTGTAATCTATATTCCAACACTTTGAGTAAATTAACAGCGGAGAAGCTACCCGTCGTGTCGACGTACGCGACCTGTGATCTTTCGGCTGCTTGTGATGGGTCTAGGAGGTGAGAAGCTATGATGTGATGGGATAACTATATTATTTTATTTTATTTTACTTTTTTAGCCCTTAAACTTGATAACACATAGTGTAAATATAGAGTGTTTTGAACAACGTACAACAGTCCCATGATTCGCGATTTCACATTGGATATTTGTGATACGACCGTATTTAATGCCGTTTATGGCTGTGTCTATGGGTGGGAATGAGGTTTTTAGGGTACGAGGATGAGGAGCAGATGTAGATGAATGGCTTGCTTTTGTGAGTAGGTCTGATCCCAAGGATGGGAGTGGTGGGTTTGTCATGACATTATATTGGGACTCGCGCGAGTATGATGTTTATGATGTTGTAGTTTGGAGGGCGGGATGGTTGAGAAGATCGGTATATATTTTACTGTGATGTTTGTGCTAAGGATATAGTTGTACTTCCATTTTTATAACCTAAACCTCCCGCAATAGATTTAAACCACAAGTTCTGAAGCTTTGGCCATTCAAGAGTAGACTTCAGAAATGCTTTTTTTTTGTGTGAGAAATCGATATTCTAACTTGTATAGGAATTACAATGAAGATAAAATGGGACCGAATATTAGACAATTAGTAACGTTTGTATTCAATCATATACACAAACTCTCCGAATAGAATATCATATCGTGATATTGCCATCAATACCAAAATCCCACAATCAACTATAGACCCAATATAACGCCCCGCAAAAAAAATGCATCTCATACCCATCTCTAAACAATCGGTCAAAATCATCTCTGCTGATTCATATCCTCAGCTTTAGCTCCCAACATCCACCCAAGCCCACTAGCAAGCCCACTGGTAACCATCCCACTGATAACATCCCGTTTCCTAACCCTCTCCCCATCCTCTCCAATGGTCCACCCACCCCCTCTGTCAAACTCCCCACTACCCCTCTGACTTCCCCCTTCCTCACTCTGCCGACTCACACTCCTAAGCGGGAACGCCGTGCTACCTAGTCCCTTAACCATCCTTCCACCTGCGGAACTAGCAGCCCCCAATAGACTCATCGGTGCCTTCAATAATCCCCCACCTGTGGCCGCCCGTTTCGACATATCAATCGTACTACCCACCCACTCCCCAAGTTTCCCAGCATGTTGTCTTTCCTCTTGAATCTCCAATTCCAGTAACCTTTCCAATTCATCTTCACAGTTCTTCCAGGTCCTTAATACATCCATCACCGCCTCCCCAGGACATATAACCAACGCCTGTGATAATACTTCCATTCGTTTCATAACTTGTTCTATCCCCTTAGCCGTAGCAACACCTTCCATACTCTCTACTAGCATCGTAGGACTTCTATACCTCCCCGCCTGTAAAGCCGCCTGCCATGCTGTATCCGAATTATTCCCCGTAAAAGCCGACGCCGTTGTTGATGATGATAGTGTGGTAGACGCCCTAAGATTCTGATACCCAGGCACAAGTTTATTAACCACGTAACTAAACGCCGTTTCAAAATCATCTTCAGCAAGTGCAGCCTCCACACACATCCCCACAACCCGTCTTTTGATAGCCGAAACCTCTTCCTTTGTCATTTCTCCACCTTTTCTTTCTTCCATTTCTTCGTCATGGTGAGGTTTTGAAACCCCATATACTAAATCCTGTGCGATTTTTACAAGCGAGTTAAGTTGTAAATACGCCTTCGGATTCGATTGCAGTACCCTTGATATTAACTCCACGGGTTCGGGGAATAGTCGTATTTGTACTGGTTTTAGCGGTACACCCGGTGTAAGCGTTAACGAGTATTCGGATAAGGCATGCGTGGCTTCTATCAGCTTCGATAGTCGTCGTAATGGTACTGAATTTGAGTGTGAAGGAAATAATATCGCAAGTCTGTACCCATAAATATATATATATATATATTAGATGACAAGTGTCATAATAAATTAAAATATTGAGGAAAGGGATCACTTACGCATTAGAGGCATTCTTCATACCCCCCCTCATTCGATTTCCATTCGTAGCGTTATCGTAAAAATCGCCAACGGCATGAATAACGGCCTTCTCCACGACGAAAGATGGTAATAATGCTTTCCCTTTTGGCGTCACATAGGTTGCCGTGACCGCTGCGAATTCTATAGTTATTAACGAAAGGGTTAGTAACAAAATCCTCATAGCTATTGAAAAGGAATGGGGGGAAGAGCATACTCCCTGCGGCCAACATATCCCTCAAAACCTCCAGCTCCACATCTCCAGCCTCAAGTCTCCCAAATACTCTACTGGTAGCTCTTAAATATTCGCAAATACCTCTGACCTCGTTATACCAATTGTCGTTCCTCCCTTTTCCTCCACTATTAACACTCAACCCCCTCTTCAATAATCCCAATTGATCCCCCTTCGACCCCCAAAACCTCATCCTCATAACTTCTTTAACAGTCAACCCCAACGGGAAAACTCCAAACATTCGAACCGAAACGATCAACTGCTCCAATAACTTCAAACTAGCGGCGGAAGGAACCACTAGTTCTCCCATATCCCATTCGTGTCCACCACCAGCACCCGTAGAATTCAAATATCTTTCCACAAATCTTTCAACTTCTTCTACCCCAACATGATCCAACCCAGCGCCCACCATCCCCGCGATTTTATAAACCACATCCAACATCCACCCTACAATATCCCCTCCACCTGACGGTCCACCAGAGGAATAACATCTCGCCATCAACATCTTAAAATACCCTTCACCGTCCTCAACAGGGCCATTCCACTCCTTAACAACCCTCCACAGAACGCCAAACTCCTGTCTCGTCATCCATTCGTAAACATACCCCCAGAACCTCTTCCCTCCTTTCTTATAATGAAGATAACCAGCGAGAAGCCCCATCCCATCCGAAACATCCCCGTCCCTAACCATCCGGTCAAGAATAAGATTGACACCTTCCCTCCCCTCCAACCTTTCAAACTCTTCGATCCCAATCACCCCTCCTCCTCCTCCCGATTGACCCTCTTCCCTCTCTGCAGCAATAAAAATAAGCCGTTCAACAACTCCCAATACCCCAAACCCCCATTCCCCCACCGTCCCATCATCGTCACCAAAAACCTCCACCAACTCCCTCACAAGCCTCAAATCCCCAGTCTCCTTATCAACAACCCTCGCCCTCTCCCTCACAAACTCCATCAAAACCCCATCTCCACCTCCAAACCCACCACCAGGAAACCCAACCCCTTCCAAAGTCTTCTTCGCAGAAACCTCATTAACATCCTTCACAAACCCTCCATCAACTTTCGCCCTCCCTCCTTCTTCCTCACCATCAGGTAATACCACTCCTTCTCTAATAACCTCCTTCGCCAACCCGGCGTATACACCTACAGCAGTACTCTCCGGCACAAACCGTAGGATAACTTCTAACACAACATCCCGTCTAAACACCGCCGGGTATGTGATAATCAACCTTCTTAATCCTGTGATATCGCATTGTGATGCGAAATGTAAGGACAATAGGAGGGCGCGGGATGGTGATAATTCCTCTTCTACTGTTTCTCCAATTATAGGGTCTTTAGAGACCGCTGGCTCTGTTGTTGTAGTAGCTGTAGCAGGAGCTGTAGCAGTAGGTCCCCCCATCGTATGTTTTTCAGTTTTCGTTTTTCGGTTTCGAGTATTTCTTCCGCTCGTTTTTAGAAATGAAACATATAGTAGGTAAAGTAGGTACGGTACGTATGAGTGTTCAAACGGCGGCGGCGATAGCGTAAGTAAAGGCTAGGTCTTCTATTCCAAAGCTTTCGGTTTTATCGACATTAATATTCGCATCGTGGAGAAAGGGGCCTCGGTTTCCGAAAGAGAATAGTTTAAGCTCTGATACTTAATTCTCGAAGGCAAGGTTAGGTAGTGAGGTAGTATGTTCTTGAGCGACAAGGTAGCAATCTGGTCGTAAATGTAAAATGGGTTTACGTTTTGGTTTATACACACTGAAACGGGAAGAGGCCAGCAACACACACACACGAAAAGCTCGAAGCTCCAAATGACGTTGGGGAAACGAGTCACGTGAGATACTTTTTTTTTTTTTTTGGAAAGAAATCTACGTCAAGGCAGCTTAAATACTGTCAAAGCTTCAGAGCGGATACGCTGGCACGATCTCATCTGGGGTTTTACGTAAAACTACTCCACAGGCGATTATCGAAAGCTAAGCCAAGTCTACAGGTCTACAATGATGGGAAATGATTTTTCATGCTTCAAGTCTGGGGTATTTCATTACTATCTTTTAGCTATACAGGATATAGAGGAAGGAGGGAGTGTTCGAGGAGGTTGAGGGATCGTAAAAAGTTATTCCATCAAGTCATAGTCTATTCGTGAACAAAGAAAAACCCCATGGAACGTAGAAACTTTTTATTAAAATTTAACAAAGGAAAAGAGCCGTCCTGGAAAAAAAAGTAGATAGACGGTTATCGTTCATGATAGTGAAACCCATGAGCTTATAGACATGAAAAAATGTTCAAGGAAAAGAAGAAGCTGCTAAGAAATAAGAAACCCGACACAAAATCAAAAACTTTATTTTGACTCTGGTAAGGAAATTTATTTCTTGGAGGCCTTGGCAGCGGACTTGGTGACCTTGCCACCAGCCTTGTCGTCCTGTAGAGAGCATGAGTATTAGTAGATGTAGGAGATAGAGGGGGTGGAGGGGGGATGGGTGGAGGAGTTCTTACCTTGTCGACAGTCTTGATGACACCGACGGCGACGGTTTGACGCATGTCACGGACGGCGAAACGACCGAGTGGTGGGTACTCAGTGAAAGACTCAACGCACATTGGCTTGGATGGAATCATCTTGACGATAGCGGCATCACCGGACTTGATGAACTTGGGGTTCTCTTCGGTGGCCTTACCGGTACGACGATCGATCTTCTGGAGGAGTTCAGCGAACTTGCAGGCAATGTGGGCAGTGTGGCAATCCAAGACTGGAGCGTAACCGGCACCGACTTGACCGGGGTGGTTAAGGACGATGACCTGGGCGTTGAAGGAAGCGGCACCCTTTGGTGGATCGTTCTTGGAGTCACCGCAGACGTTTCCACGACGGATATCCTTGACGGAGACGTTCTTTACGTTGAAACCAACGTTGTCACCGGGGCAACCCTCAACGAGCTGTTCGTGGTGCATTTCGACGGACTTGACTTCAGTGGTGACGTTGGATGGAGCGAAGGTAACGACCATACCGGCCTTGATGACACCGGTCTCAACACGACCGACTGGAACAGTTCCGATACCACCGATCTTGTAGACGTCCTGGAGTGGGAGACGGAGAGGCTTGTCGGATGGACGAACTGGGGGCTCGATGGCATCGATAGCCTCCAAGAGGGTCTTACCGGTGGTCTTGCCGGCCTTGGTCTCCTTGTCCCAACCCTTGTACCATGGGCAGTTCTCAGAGGCATCAATCATGTTGTCACCGTTGAAGCCAGAGATAGGAACGAATGGTACGCTCTTGGGGTTGAAACCAACTATTTGAAATCGTCAGTATATCTATGTATATATTTATAGGGTGAAAAGCACTGGGAAAGATGGAGGCAACATACCCTTCTTGATGAAGGAAGAGGCTTCCTTCTTGATTTCCTCGTAACGGGCCTGGGACCATGGTGGAGCGGTGGTGTCCATCTTGTTCATGGCAATGATGAGCTGCTTAACACCGAGGGTGAAGGCCAAGAGGGCGTGTTCACGGGTCTGGCCATCCTTGGAGATACCGGCCTCGAATTCACCAGTACCGGAGGCAATGATGAGGATAGCACAATCGGCCTGGGAGGTACCAGTGATCATGTTCTTGATAAAGTCACGATGTCCGGGAGCGTCTATCCATATTCATTAGTCATGAATTCTTTATCAAAAAAAAAAAATTTTATTCCCATGACATCTGGGACATCTCATCTATATCTTCTATCCTTATCTTATCTCAATGTGTTGTTTTGGGGCTAAAAAATTTTTTAACCCCGCACAAACACAACCCCACCATGATGACCACACAAAACACGGCGGAGGCATCGAGACGAGGAAGAGATGAAGAAATGAGATGTCACCAGCACAATGAGAGGGAAGAGTTAAGCAACTTACCAATGACGGTGACGTAGAACTTTGGAGTCTCGAACTTCCAGAGGGCGATATCGATAGTGATACCACGTTCACGCTCAGCCTTGAGCTTGTCCAAAACCCAGGCATACTTGAAGGAACCCTTGCCCAATTCGGCGGCTTCCTTCTCGAACTTTTCAATGGTACGCTTGTCGATACCACCGCACTTGTAGATCAAGTGACCGGTAGTGGTGGACTTGCCACTGTAGTTCCAGTTAGAATCACGTTTTGATGCTCGAGATGCAAGGGAAATAGATGCATCGGGATCAGCAAGGGAGAGCGGGGAGGGGAAGCTTACCTGTCGACGTGTCCAATGACGACGACGTTGATATGAGTCTTTTCCTTACTATCGAGCTGTTAGTATCATCATCGTCATCGTTACCATCGTCTCGATCTCCACCTTCATCGAAGCTTTTTGCTAGCTGACACGAAGTACCAACCAGCAAAGCAACGGCGAGGAGGAGGTCAAGACGGGTATCAAAAGAACGGGAAAAGCTTACCCCATTGTGATGGATGAAGAGTATAAAGGTTATAAAAGGTGTAGAAGTGTGAGAAATGAAGAAAGCAAGCAGATGAACGTGTGGTACACTTTGTTCGGTATGCTTTAGACAAAGAAGAGAAGAGGAGGAGGAAGAGAAGAGAAGAGAAGAAGAGGACCAAAAAAAATTGGCGGTGGCCTTTTATTTCTATTACCCAACAACACCCCCTCCGACTCCCCAACTCAGTTGCCAATCCAATCGACCATCCTTTTTTTTTTTTTTTTTTTTTAACTCACCCACAAAACAAAAACTTTCTTGCTCGGCCAGGACACAGGTGTGCCCCTACTCACCCAGACAACGGACTAGAGACTACTGAGACAGGACAGCAGCAGAGTTTTCTGCCCTTTGGCTGGCTGGGTTTAACAGCTTGCCGTCTATAGCCTGGTCGCTCTTGACCCCGTTGCTTTTTTCCCTCGTCTTCTGTAGCTAGCGGCGGGGCTCCAACAGCTTATTCTCCCCATGTCCTGTCCTTGTCCTGTCCAGCCCAGACAATATCTTGAAGAGCAGACATGCTATGCTATCTTTGCCATTGCCTTCGCTCGTCTCTCTAACAACCAGACAGGAAACCGAGCAAGCATCGTGACTCCCACGAACAAAGAATACCCTCAAGACACTATACATAATTACTATACTACCTAGGTACCTACTTGGTAACTGCCCGCTACAGGCCACAAAAGCCCCTCATCCACATTTTATCTTCTCGTCAACCTTCATCATTTACATCACACTACAATACAATCATTTCATGACTATGACCATCGTGACTTTTTTTTTTCACTGTTGATTCCCTAAAAGAGGAATGTCCACGCCTACCACCCATGCACTATACATTTGCCTACCCATCTAGCTAACCCGTGAAAAAAATTAGTAAGAAAGAAAGAAAGAAAGAAAAGAAAATTTAGAGTATGGAAAGATAGTCGACCGTATGTACGTTACATGGTCATGGCCCCCTCCAAGAAACAAGCTAGCTAGCTGGTCGTGCGCCTGCATGACATGTACTACCGTATCAGTCTCAAACTGCATGATTCGCTCCTCCATTCCAATGCAAAGCGGCGTCTACTGGTGTATAGCCTGTCCAATCTCACACTCAAACTATATCAATCAATCCAATCTTGCATTTCTCACTCACACACCGTATGTACCGTATGTATGTACATAGCCTATTCTATTCTATTGTATTCGTTTCTATTTAAAAAAACACACAGGGTGTCTTCTTTCTCCGGAGCTTTCAAAACCTTAGATGCTGGTGGTCATATGCCCGCCGCCCCCCCTCGGCCCTAGATATCAATGAACTCTCTTCAATTAGGAGTTATAATGGCCTAGTCTTTTAGTCCCAGTCAGCTACCCAGCTAGCTTCGCATGAATCGATTATCCAAACATCATGATCATGCCGAAATAATACCCCATCTGTTGATCAACATTCGATCTTTCACTGGTTATATCCAAACATTTCGATCCCACTTTTTTTTTTTTCATGGTGGGGCAAACTTTTTTTTTTGCCTTTCTGTTTTTTTTTCTTTCAACCCCGCAGTCAAGCGCCAGCCACTTAGAAAATGTCTAAGTCCAGGGCTTCACGCTAACCCTCATAAAAAATACCACACCAACGCACTTCAATTGACACATCCACATCCACATCCACATCCACATCCACATCCACATCCACATCCACACCCACCCACATCCACATATTAGGACTCACCACCTGGCTTACTTGCTGGCTTACTAGCTTACACCCCACTCAACTTCAGTTCTCATTTCACAATCACATCACAATACATAGTGTATCAAAAACATACGGATATCCACGGTATAAACTCTAATAAATAAGAGAGCATTTCTAACTCTCGCAAAGACGATAATCAAAACCACTATGACTCACATAACCAAAAATCTTCGAATAGGGGGTGGGGGTCAGCCATCGGGTACAACCGAGTGACTTTCCTTCAAACGTCAGTTGGCTTACCACCCTGTTCTCCATGTTCATCATTCCCGTATCAATATCTGAGTATCTAACTGCAACCAGATATTTCCAAGTTCTTTCATACCTGGAAACGGTTTCTTTCTCTTCCGGAATCCAGGTCCGGTGGTTTCCATACTAATTCAATATGAACGGATGGATAGAGAATAGTAATGGGATGATAAACAGTCATAGATGCCTTAATCCACTTAACAGCAATATCTTAGATTGATCTCACTCAAATATTCATTTATCTTCACACATATAGGCTAAGTAGTTACATAACAAATATCCTTTATGCTATATGAAAAACAATGATTGTTCTTCAAAGCCCCATATTTGCGTCCAGCCCTGTACTGCAAAACATATATCTTGATCCCCGGCAATAATAAGAAGAAAAAAGGAGTAGAGTGTATATATTGCATTCCCCATTATCGTGTCAAATACTCTTTATACGCACACGCTCCCAGCAAATAACATAAGCTTTGAAATAAGAGAAAAAAATAGACTTACCTATTACACCCAAGCCAAAAATCAACCAGAACGGGACCGTATATAAAAAATAAAATAAAAATGCAATAAATCTTCTTCATATATCATCCCGCATCTCTCATCAAAGGAAGTTTCGAAATCAATACATACCGAGTGCAAACCGGGTCGATCTTTCAGAAAATATGCAAAACAGAAAGTTACCACCGATTTTTTTTGGTTTCTGCTTCGATCAAATCAAATCAAATCAAATCAAAAAATGCTTCAATACTGGGGAATCAATGTCAAAATCGAGATCCGAGTAGAAAGTAAAAAATAAAATAATCATCTCTCGTTGTTCAAACACTTCGAAGGGGGCAAAACTGATATAAAAAGAAAATTCATTATCCATTCGTATATCCCACTCGCTTCTTCTCTCTCCCTCACTCTCCTCATCGCCTTATCGTTCTCCTTCTTAAGTTTCTCGCTGCAATCGTCTCTTCAACTCCAAAGATAGGTAGGTAGGTATGAAACGGGTGTATAAATGACAGTAAAGAATCGAAATCAAACAAAAGATTTTTTTCCGAAGTCCTCGAATATAAACACGGCAAGATTGAAGAAGAAGGACAAGAAAAATAGTATACGCCCCAGAAAGGTATTCGAAATCCAAGCATAGTGCAAGAAAGAAAGAAACAAAAGGACAAAAGAAAAGAAGAAAAAAGGAAGGCTATCCGGAGTATTAAGGTATCTCAAAGAGCGACAAGAAAGGGATATAAAACATATACATCGAAGTATAAAAAAAAATGATACCTCAACAGATGGGGGGAGAAAACAGAAGAAAAAAGCTATGCTTTTAACGCAACAAAAAAGGGAAAAGCTTCAGCAATGTAAGCAGTAAATGCCTTTCAGTAAGATATCAACCCAAGGAAATTCGTCTCTCGCACAATCAGAACTCAATGAAATAAAACAAAAAAACTCAGTCATCATCTCTACTCTACTCTTCAGAGTATATCTTTTTCTACTCTGTATATATTCGAAATAGGGAATCATGTTTACCGCCTTGTGGTATTCAAAACTCCTCGGTCTCGCCCCAGACCTAACCCTTCGACTCTTCCGCTTCCAGACGCCACGTAATTGCTACCCAGCATATTCGTCGTCCGCGCTCTCACACTGCCCACCCGGCTACTCACGCTCGCCGTCCTACTCCTGCCGCCCATGCTACCCCCACTTACACTCTGTGGTGGCGAGTATCCCATCTCCGTTTGAATTTGCTGTTGTTGTTGTTGTTCGCCATTGGCAGCGCGGAGATACTCTGTTCGGCGGCGGCTGATATCAATGGGCTGGGCAGCACTTCCAACACCAGAACCAGTAGTCAATGCGGTACCGATAATATTATCAGTAATACCGCGTTCTCTATCGAGGTACGAGCGGCGTTGAGTCGTCAGTCCCAATCCGGAAGACGAAGTTGGGGTGATCGTAGAAGCAGTGCTATAGGTTCTACGATGCTGAAGGCCGGATGCAGACAAGTAACTATTGCTTGCAATTTCCAAGTTCGTTTGTGCTTGTTGAAATTGCTCTAATTGCTGTGCCTGTTGAGCAGCACGCTGCTCACGGAGGGTAAGGGTTCTCTGCATTGGTGAAACCTCGTAGCTCTGTCCAGTAAATGTGGTGCGGAGCGGTGAGAGGTGGGCTGTTGATGTGTTTAGATTAGAAGCACGGGATGGCGAGCGGTAGTTTGGGATCTGTTGCATGTCGAGTTCGTCTTCTGGCTCAATCATACTTCTACGGTCACCACCACCACGAAGTGACATCGAATTTCGGTGGGAGAGACGGGTAGCACCCGGCTGTGGGGACGGGGATGCTTCTTGTCGTGAGATGTATTGTGGAGATGGTGCTCCGAGCAAACTAGCCCGGCGAGCTTCAAATCGAGCGTGTGCGCGCGCAGCTGAATTTGGTGTCACGGTCGCTTCTCGGTCAATCTTATGTCCGATAGCGCTAGGGCTCCTATAATCGAAGGCGGTGTTGGTTCGCTCGATGGGGTCCTCAACGCGAGGAGGGAACACCGATGTTTGAACCTGCGGTGGGGGCTGCTGAGGTGGTTGCTGGATTTGCGGTTGCTGGATTTGTGGTTGTGGTACAACTGGCATGGTTTGTACTTGGTTGTCTGGTGGAGGATCAAATGGCATCCTTCCATCGGCCAACGACACGCAGAGCTCAGTCAAGCTGCGGCAGATATTATCCACCTTCCTGCGAATCTGTCTATCGGTCACTAGCTGCTTCTCCGGGCTGTTGAGCGCCGGATTGATCGACATCGTCGACTGTCCCGTGCTCCCCACGGCCTCCGCAAGGTTCAGAGTATCATTCGCTAGAGCATCAAGTGCTTTAATGATGTGATCAGGCAAAACTATCTTCGTCTTGGCCAGTGCCGCATGAAGCACGGGATGAATAGTCGGAGGCGGCCCCGTGGCTGTCGGCGACGGTGCAGCCGCAGCTTCGTTATTGTTATTATTACTGTTAGACTGCTGGGGCTGGTGCCTCGGAGAGTTAGATACGGTAGTGGCGGCCGTGGTACCTGTTCGCGGCCGGTCACCAGATGAGTTTGATATTCCCGACCCTACACCGCTCAAAGAAGATGACGCTGGAGGTAAAGTACCAGTTAATTCCAGCCTCTTGATCCGCATCTTCAGTTCGTCTAGTTCATCCCAGACTGTTCCTGATGATATCGTAGATTGCGCATCATCATTGATTCCTAGTCTTGCCTGTGCGGCATTCTTTGCCCGGTCGCTTTCAATCAATGTGCTGATAGGGCTTCTCAGAACACTTTGTGAAGGCCGAGGGGCTCCCGAAGGCAATTCACCAGAGGTGCCATTAGCACGAGTGAGAGTTGTCCTAGGAGGTGCTTCCGAAATGCTTCGTACGTGTCCATTCTGAGATTCCCTTTGTCTCCTGAGGAATGAAGATCGATGACTGAGGGAATGATCGGCTTCTATGTTTTGCTCAGGAGCCTGGTATTGTGGCTCTTGTGACAACTCAACACCCCCATAAGAATCATCGGAAACGATTGTTGAAGCCGTGCTCTTAGTCGGGCGCGAAGATGTAGTTGAGGAATACTCATGAGCAAGATTCGATGTCCGACCGTTGTTTACCGAGTATTGCATCATCCTCGATCGTCTTCTCTCCTGTCGTGCCTGAGCATCGAGTAAAGCCTGGCTCCTCGGTGTACTGGACCTCGCCAAGTTAAGAAACGGGTCATCTCCATTTTGTGATGGAGCAGTTCTAGATGACGTTAACGGATTTGGTGAACTGGCGAAACTTCTTTCCTCTTGAGCGATCCGTTGAATATCCCTTAACGTTGTGATTGTTGGCTCATCATCCTCCACGGTTGCATTGTATTTGCCCGCAAATCCATTGGTGAGAACGCCGCCGTTTGATCGTGAATATTGTTCTGTTTCATATGTCGTCATGGTTTCTTCTTGTGTTTGTTGTGTCGGCGGTGACAGGTATCTGTCATCAACCTCTATTGTGACAAGTGCCTTACTATTACTATTGTCCTCTTCCAATGGGGGCGGATACTGAAAGTCTTCAACCTCGTCTTCCACAGATGGCCTCGGAGGAGGGGGTTGCGGGGCCGGCGGAGGGGGAGGGATGGCAGGTGGTGGGGGAGGAGCGGCAGTCAAGGGGATTTGTCTGTATGCAAGCGATGGCGGAGGTGCATCGGCGGTCGCTATACCATTTGAACTAAATCTTGCTGGTGCTTTAGCTCGCCTAGGAGGTTGCGTTACCTGAATAGACGCGTTCTTGTCTAATTCTGCTTGTATCTGCGGAGGTATACCGGCTGAACTTGCCTCGGGGGGTGGAGGAGCGGATGGAGGATTGGCAGATGACGGCACGGGAGGAGCAGGTTGAGGGGGGATGGGGCTAGTGCTTGCGCGACTCGAGCGACTCGATGGGACAGATGCCGAGTCTGCACGCCTATGTGTAGGTTTAGAGACAGGAGGCTGGGGTTTAGCCGCTGCAGATGATCTGCTGGCTGCAGGTGTTCTAGCCGGAGACGAAGTGGCTGTTCTTCTAGTTGTGGAAGTGGTTGCAGGTGTCCGAGCAGGTGATGAGGCAGCTGCCGTTGTGCGTGATGTTCGGGAGGAGCCAAGAGTGGAAGTTCTAGAGGTTCTGGTGGTGGTCGCAGAATCTGGGCCTCTCCCTGTCGTAACCGATGGCCCGTCACTCGGTTTTCTAGAGTGTCTTGTGGGTGCAGGAGAGGAAGATGATGAAGCAGAGCGCTGATGTAAGGGGTTAGTAGGCCGCGACCTGGTGGTAATCAAGTCGGCAGAGGGGGCGGAATGCCTTTTGTTAGGAACGACAGGCGGATTCACGGCGGATACGGTGGTGGTGGAGCTGTCCTGCCTACCGGAAACGGAATTGTTTGGAGCCAAAGGAGAAACTGACACGGATTGAGATTGAGAGAGACTTGAGGAATGCCGCTTGGTTGAAGTCAGCCGTCGGCGAGCGGACTGGGGCTGAGGGGCAGCGGCAGGGTCGTGATTGGCAGACGATGTCGATGCGGTTGAACTCTTGGACAGCAGCCGTTGATGTTGGGGTGTCGTCAAAGACGCTGCGGTTGGAGTAGCGGTTGTTGAAGAAGTTGAAAAGTTTCTGTTGGAGTTATTTCGGGTGGCTGTTGTAGTGGTACTGCCCACAGGAGTACTGTTTGACCGCTGATGGCCTCCTCTTTCCCTCCTCCCTGCAACCGCCGCCATTTTTGTTTTTCTCTTTCGTGGATTTCTTTCTCTTCTTTCGGGAGGCCTTTTCTGGGGGGGGCCTTTTGGGGCCCGTTCGAGTAGCAAAATAGTCGTAGTAAAAGTTCGATCCGTCACATTATCCACCTCTTTGACCGCTAAAGCTGGTATCCCTTCCCTTTAAACCGATCTTAATCTTGAAGTCTGGCACACGAACTGTCTGTGAAATACTAGTTGCCCCCAATATAATATATCCTGTTCAGGGATGTATCGCCTGTCTCCACGAAACCCTCGTGCATAAGATGTTCTGCGCAGCTTAGGGGGCCGAAACGGACTTTTTTGGGCAGTCCCAAAAAATGTCCGTAAACCCTTAGCCGTTAGGATGCGGTAGTCAGAAACGCGACGAGCGAATCGAATCTGACGACTCTGGCCTCAAAGCGTGTGTCGGTAAGAATAGAAAATAGAAAAGGGAGGCGACTAGCATGCAACAAGCAAAATAATGAAATATGCAACTGCAACTTGTAGAAGATACTGTGAGACTTTGGGATTTTTTAGGACCTCACTGATCTTTCTTCAGGAAACTTTGTTTCTTTTCTCTGTTTTTGTCTGGCTTTCTCCTGCTCGTTTGTGCCAGTGGATTTGGGGGATAACGCCGCCTCGACCTTCTCGTGGTCCGACTTGTTGGATAGCCGAAATTTCGAGGTTTTTTTAATGATGGTTCGAATACCCTGGCACTATTGTCTTCTGGAAAAAGGGTGCCTTTCCGTCACCGCACACCCTCAATAGACACTTGCCCTGTTGCCTTCCAATCTACCTGCGAAATTCGACGTCCAAGGATAATGCAGAATGGTCTTAGAAACCCGTGATTGCAAAACTTCCCACCCTCGTTCGATCTTCTTCAACTCTCACAGGAATTCACGATTATGTCGAGGCTACACAAAGTAACAGCAAGGGTGTTTGTCAAGGGAGAGACAACCTCCCTTGCTTTATCCCCTTGGCATATACACGTCGGAAGTAAAAAACAAAAACGTCGTCTTTTGGATCGGATTTCGCTCCGTCGGTGCCCTCGATACCAGAATCTCGGTCGATCTGAATCCGGACTCCAGATTCTGTAAGGAGTTGCTGTAGGGTGCGTCTGTTGTATTCCAATAATGTCTTGAACCTGCCTGAGAGTCGACCCAAATTTCTGGGCTGTTCGTCGCTAAGGCAGAAGGCCAACGGATAGATGCAGCAGGGTCGATCCTGGGGTCAGTTCTCAAACTTCAAGTTGGTACCTGTCGAAAAAGGGTTTCTCCAATCCACGGTAGTCGGCGAGAGGGTATGGGATTTCCAGGTGATACTTGAATTATACCTCGTCTTCTTTCTTGGTAAAATCCCCGCAATCCGTAAGAGTAAAGTATTATAAACTAAGAAGTTGGCTTGTCTGGTTCCGGAATTGGGTCTTTGTCGGGAAAATATATGTGGTCGATATCAGCTCCGATAATGCCGTCGTGACTGCACCGGTTTGTCGGGTGGTCCAAGCTAGATCCAGCTGCCTGGTAGTCCTTCTAGAAAATTGTTCTCCCGGCAAGAGGCGTCCACTAAAAAGACAAGATAGATGTGATATATATCTATGTGTGAAGGAAATATCGCGAAAGATAACAGAGACATGTGGCCACCCGAACATTAATATCTTCACAGCGGGTGGTTGGCGGAGTCAAGAAGAGACTACCACTACTTCGCTTAGTCACTCCTCAATCGTGCTTCTGCGGATTTGCCAATCACATCGTGAGTGCGGCCTCCAAAGCTGCGAATCTTTCCGGAACAGTGACCAGCCATTTCCTGCGTGGTTCGATCGTGATTGGAGCTTTAAATGCAATAGCAAACAGCCTCAATAAAAGTCTCAATGATTGCGACAGTTTGTGACGTCCGTGAGACAGGCTAGCCGGTACCTACATATATGGATCTGTTAGAGCTGTCCGGGAGCTATGCAGGAGCAATTGGGATAAAATACCCGTGATGATGAGCTGTCCTATAACAGGCTTTGATATGAAGAGGATGTGAAGTTTGAGGCGGATGGAATAATAATAATTGTGTTGTGGCTCATATTCCAACGACATCGACAACACAAAGCGATGAGAACATGTCGTTCACGTTCACATTCAAGGCGCCTCATCATATGCATCCCGTGACTGACTCGGAGCCATATGTCGCTTTTAGCTTTCGTTAATACCCTTGTCGAAGTACCGAGGGTGACGTTGTTCTTCACCTATTCCGTTTACATTCTTTTGGAAATATTTATTCCCTGCCATTTTGACCCAAATAGCGGATCCGAGCAGTCCAATACTATTAATAAGTATTCCCGCCAGTCGTTCCTCGGAATTCCAATATTGATACAGTCTGCGTAGTTCTAGCAAAGGGCCACGGTTATTAAATAGATGCGTTACTGAGGCCATATATTGTTACTCTTGACATTATTCTAGACATATATCCTAATATGAAAATTTGGGAAGTAATACTTCAAGTCAACATGAATATATCATCGATGTTCACCTGTATCTATAACTATAGCATCGATTTTACCAACTATGACACTTTTTTTAAAAAAAACCTGTATAGGATTCGGAATTATGCATCACTAAATTCCATTGCGTGCATATATATGTCGTATGTATTGCCACCCGTTTTAATAGTCCTTAGGTCTGTAGTATATATAGTAGACGCAGGTGATAGTATTTGAACAAATGCCGGATGTGCCGATGTCTAAGACACACGATACCAACAACATATCACAACATCACTAACATTAGAACTTCTACATCCAACCGGTTGTGACCTGGCATATCAACACCAACGTGCAACATTCTAAATCCCTAAAATAGTGCTCAGGATTTTCCTAGCATCTAGCTACGGCTGGCCTGGGGTACTTCATGCAGCGCCCCTCGCTTACCATCTTCGCATAAGCATCTGCACTGACGATCCATCTGACGCTAAATATAAGCTTATCCATGGATCCAAGAGTCGGCGACCACGACAGTGCGACTGACATACATTCCTCAGCCTTTCAGTCCAAAGAGCTACATGAAATACGCAAAGAGAAGCATGTTGGTGAGTGGTTTTCCGTGTTCATACGATTTCCAACTCAAATCAACTCTGTGTTGAATGTTGGAAAAAGAGTTAACGTTCCCTGGACCTGGCTGCCGGATGATACTGGTCTCATCTATCAATATTAACAATACGAGAGATCGTACGATACTAGCAAGATTAGGTATCTGGATCCTAGACATAACCAGCATGTAAGCTTAATCATACGCCTCGGCATCAAATCTCGCGCCAAAGGAATACCCAAGCAATGATTGATAAACATCAGTGGGAAATGTCCTCTGCTGCCTAGTTGCCCAATCAAACAAGCAAAAGCACGAGTACTACACAGTAATCTAACACACAGAAGGGCTACAGGTCCATGGGAACTCGATCAGCAAACGTGAACTCTTACGTCCCTTCTCATGGATCGAACACGGATTGTATAGCTAAAAAGGCATGTAGGTTTTGAAACCTGAAAATCGGAAACAGAGTTACGACCGGGGATATGTATCGATCCGATCTGCCTGCCTGCCTGGTGGATTTCGGGGACTGGGAGCGTACCGAGTTTCGGCTCGCTAGTCTGGGGAGGTGATTTGTGAAAGAGGCTCTGTGATATCTTGTATGCATGCAGCGGATATTTACAACATATGTGAATGTCGAAACTCTAGACTATGCGGGCTTCACGTCACAAATCTATCGAGACTACTACGGAAAGATAAGGTCTATCTCGCGCGCGGTTGAAAGATCCAAATAACAATACTATTGTGTGAAATGGTTACAGTCGTAAACAAGGGGTAATAGTACTAAAAAAATAAAATAAAAAAAAGGGAAAATGTCAATTATCGTGCATTGACGTCTCATATATATGGTGGTATCGATAACGTTCCCCCACCGATATTCAGGTACCCGTTCACCTGCAATCTAACCTCATATCAAGCAACCCCGGACCGCACAGAAATCGCGGCTCTTTTCTGCAGCGAAATTGCGTTGCAGGGCACGTCAGTCGCCATGTCATCAATAAACATTAACTGGCCCTGTCAAACGGCACCGGCATCATGATGCGAGATTTGATATTGATCCAATCTAAACAATTCATCTATAAGTTCGTAATTTACCGTGCCGTTCGCTCCCTCCGTCATCTTATTGCGGTTTCTGAAACCTACAAGGGGCTATTCGCACAGAGGGGAATAACAAGAACAATAAAAATCCAACATTAAGATATGCATATATGTCTGTATTGGGATATTGATTTGATAGTGAATGGAGTATGACGACTTTTGAGTTGGGTTCTTTGATACATACCCGTGCAGGAAGTTTAACAGCGATGAAGAAGAGGAAGAAGAAGAAGAAGAAGAAGACGACGACATGAGGCATGCACAGCTCCCGCATCCGATTCCTGTCCCTTGAACTTCGCTTAATTAACTGGATCCTTTTCTCTGTGTGGAATTCTTTCAATAGAAATGCACTTTTAATTCACACCCTGTGCAACCGTGATACAAATCCCATATATCTCCATGCTGTGCGAGGTCCAGCTGGGATCGAGATGAATTAATTGCAATCAATTTGCAATCAATCAAAGCGAGCCGAAAGCAACATAACTCAGTCGCACATATGGATTGTCGCCCTGGAAAACTCTCTTCTAAGATGGAGAACATTTCTCCAAAAGTTTAATGATTTCTAGTCAAGTGTTCGTCCCTGGATGACGGGAATCTTTATTCCCCTTCCTGCTGAGCATTCCAATCTCCCATATCCCTGGGAGCGGGAAATGGTTGGATATGTGTAATTTCCTTGTGAAAGTGTAGACCTTATACTACTCTGTAGTCGTCACGCGAGTGCGAACACGATTATGTTTCAACCGCCAGAAGTTCTAGACGTCTGATGCCTCAAGAACCATGAGTCGTTTTGGCCCTTCTGTAATGTCACGACCCCGCATGTCGGTTTGTTAATCCGAGTTTTCCAGATCCGTTTTTTTTTCGCCCTCACGATCTGCAACGGAAAGCGTGGGTGAGGAAGACAGGCAAAAATAAAAACTTTGGAATAAGCAAAATGGGGAAGAGGAAACAAAAAGGTCTCCACAAAGCCCCTGATCGAGGGGAAAGGGCCAAAGACTAGTCCTAATTGAATAGCCTGAAACATGCAGCCTTCAAGGATTTGAAAGAACCCCCATTTGCATTTCACTAGTCCCTTTTTGGGAAAGTATAGATTCGATTCGAGAAGGGTGTCGAAAAGGATGAAAATTTTGTGTGCAAGGGAGGTGTGCAACCAGAAAGCAAGACAGATCTAAAAATAGGCCTGTTTGGGTGTGAGCGAGAGAAGCAAAGTTAACGTGATCTGGCGGCGTCATTGGTAGAGGGTCTTCGACAGACAAGACAAGACAGACAGGTCATCGTTCCGTGGGATAAGAAAGTTTCTACCAGGAAATTTTTTCTCTCTTGCACGTTTGATCGCTGAGTGGCGAGGTCAGATGGGACGAGCAGAGGCAGCTTCTCGACCGGTGCCGAAAGAAGATGATGTGCTTGCAAAAGTCATCGTCGGCATGTTTTCTTTCGTGCATGGGGGGCATATGGGGCGAGATTCGCTCACAAGAAGGGGAAAAGTAAAAGGCTCCCTCCTTTCTCGAATGCAGAAAGCTCATGCCGTTTTGCAGAATGCATGCATACACAGTAGGAAATGCAATATGTCACTGGTGAACATTTACAAGATGATGCTTGCTCGGTTTCCACCCGTTGGGCAATAGGAAGCAAAGATGACAAGATCTTAGGACCAGGCCATGCCATCATGCCGAACGAACGAGCGAGCGTTTTGCTCTTCGGCTGTATGCATGCCAACGAAAAAAGATCCTGATGATAGTTAAAAAAAAATAAAAAAGAGAGAGGGGGAAGAAACCAGAGAATTGCCTGCTGGTCGTTTCGTATTTTTTGACAACCGACCCGGGATGCCTCCCAGATCCGCCTGGCTGGAAGGACAAGATGCAGAAAGAAGCAGTGACAGCCGTGCTGGGACGTCTGGGATCAACCCACGGTCACGACGGAGGGCTCCCACCTTAGGCTTGAGGGAACTCTCTTGGTTTCAAACATTCGTACACCGTGGAGGTCGCGATTCGATTCGATTGGGGGGGGTTTTTCTAGTTAGGAAGCTAGCTGCTCATCTTGTGCAGTGACCAAGCCGAGCATCTCCTCAGTCGATGCTAGGTGCAAGCGGTCATTAGTCAGAATAGTGGGACGGGTGGTGGTTGATTGGACTGAGGTTGTGGTGCTGTTGGAAATCAAAGGCAGTCGGCCATCCCCCACAATTTTGCCTGGCAGCCCAGCCTAATCAAATCTCTCAATCAGTCGAACAATCCTTTTCCAACCCAACCCACCTTGCCTTTCAACTTCATTTCTTTCTAGACTATTCACACCCACACCTCTACTCACCTTCACACCACACGACATCCTTCCTCCCTCCCCCTCGGAAGCCCGTCGGTACATCAAGGTACCAGTCGACAATCAATATCTGTTCTGTCGAATCTCCTTTGTCTTGGCTTGCCGGTTTTCCCTTCCCTTCCCTTTCGCTTGCCGTTCCACGACGTCTCTGTTCAGTTACACTGGAATCGTTTTCTGACACGTTAAATCCGCCCTTCCGTTCGACCTTTTTTTGGTTTTTGTTACTAGCATCTAGTCTTCCGATATCAAGTGTGGAGTAATAGGGAAACGAGAGAACAAAAGGGTCCTGGAGCGAGTCATACAACTGGATTTTCAACAGCGCACAGAAGGGAAATAAGGGAAGAGAAAAATAGAGAATTGGAGAATTAGAGGTCAATTAGTGGAAGCAACCTCGCCGCCAATTTTCAAATTGAATTATCTTTACACACATTCGACAAATCTATAAGCTATTAGGGCTATATACGACACTTGATACCACGAAGGGGAATTTAAAAAAAAGGGTCATTCTTTAATCTTTCAAAAGTTGACTGCTGGCCGTTCAACATTCATATCTTCCAACGTATTTCGCAGGCGACGGACGGGTACATCACGTTACGTTATATATCGACAGCTTTTTTCGCAGCCACCGTCTCAGCCATAATTGCTTGAAAGAGAGGCAGCAAACGAGAAACCTCAAAAAGGTGTGAGGAGAGCTCTGTTCCGTCAATCAAAGGAAGTGGCTTGGAAGGATATCCATCGACCTTCATCCAGTTTTGAGTACACACCTGACCCAGGAAAAGACGCTACATTCTCGTCTGGATCCGGTAGTGTCGCCCCGTCTTTGATTATCATCATCATCTCTTCATCCGTCAAAATATCCTTTTTATAGTACCGACAACTGCCCTTATTTTATATTGCAAGCGGTTGCTTCGGATCTTAATTTACTGCATTCGCCAGAAGACGACAACGGCAACACACAATTACATACATTACATTCCTCCACGCTGCGACGGTAACTGTCTTGCTTTAACCACGTTCCAAGATTAGAACGCCGCGCTCACGTTGCTGCTGTTACAACGTTGCCATTTCGGCAAGGAGGATCAAGCCATAAACTGAGTAAGTCACAGATGGACCGCACGCGAGGGTTGGAATTCTTGCGCCTTCAACTGTTTGGGCTGCATTTCACTTGGATTTCGCATCGCGGGTTCCGAAACGTCATGACCCTCTAACTAACTCACTGGGCCACCAATTGTGCGCTGATAGGGAACTGGAACGAAGCTTGTTTTGTGGTGTATTAATACAGTTGTTGGTCCTCCAAATACTTTAATAATTCGGTAGTACCGCACAATTGTTAGCTCTTATATACTCGAATACGGACATCATCGAGGTGAGTTATAGTTTTTGCTTTGCCGCCCGGCCAATAATTGGCCTGTTTCAATGAGCACTTTTCATTGGATTATACCCCGATCCCCCAATTTCAGTGGCTCCGTCCATCTTGCTTGTTGTGTGGTGGTTTGCGCCAATCCCAGGCCTTGCTTTTCCCTTGCCTGCCGGGCTGAGAAGGGTGGCTTGGAAATATTGGAACACCGCTGCTATTCCGCTCCCTTCCTATGACTACCCTACTGTTCGCGCTGCCTTCTCGAACAAAAAAGAACAAACACATCAGCTGTATTTTGCCCTTCTTTTTTTTTTTGTCGTTCTTTTCTCGGGGTAGTTGGACCAGACCGAGGCTAGAGCCCAAGAAAGAAGTCATTTCAATACCGCAAGTCTGCGCAGAATATTGGATATTGGCCTGGGTCCAATACTAGTAAGTTTTGCACGATTTGAGTTACCGCTTGCTTGACCTTGTGCTTCTCGGGGTCCCAGCAAATCAAATAGCTGGGTCGGCACTGGTACTAGCGTCTCGCCGCTGACCCTGGTCCGCTTTATATGATTTATTGGGTCCCCAGATTCTTAAAATAAACCATCGCAAAGAGGTTCCCCGTAAGGCAAATCGTCAGCAAACCGGTACTTGTTACCCTTCACCCGCACGTACATGCCACTTCCTTTAACCTTTTACTCTATTTTGTTCCTCCCGATATCTATTATAGATATTTGCCATCCACTATCTACGTACCCTCCGCCGCCAGTGTTTACTGTCCCGGGAGAAAAAGGACTACGCAATCTCAATCACTTTTCTTATTCCCTGCCCTTCCATTCTATTTCCATACCTTGCACCTGCAGCCCCGGGCACAGGACGTTCCTTTAACATCAAAAGTTGCTAGCCAACTTGTACCCTCCGTGCAGAACTCCTACTACAAGGTTACATCTTCCTCTTTTTTTCTTATAATATACCCTTTGCATAACTCCCACATCACAGGCCCAGCGGGGCATGACCTGTCATTAAGGTAAACGCTCGGCTACCTTCTTCGTCTACTTGCATGCATAGAACAATAGCTTCCTCACCCTTCTTTAATTTCCTTCCCACTGGTTCATACCGTTCCTTCGTTCTTCCTTGATCCATATCGCTTTGACAAGTCGCTGCTGTTTTGTCTCTTCTTCTTTTTTTCTGTTATAACGCTTTGCCAGCCCGACCTCCCCGAATAGGGCGACATTTCCATCTGCACCTGCTGCCATTATGGACGATCCGTTGATATTAAGATCCCGAGCTAACAATAATGCCCGACGGCGTAGATATCGCCTAGCTTCTATTCCTTCACCGTTAAGCCCAATCCGAGAAGTATTGCATGAACCCTGCTCCTCGCCTCGAGTTCGAAAACCTATAGAACGACAGCAGCGTCGTTGCAAAAGAGATTTTCACAAACGACAAATCATAACCCGCAAGAAAACAAGAGAACAATCGGCAGGAGCTCTACCATCGCCGTTGCTTTTGACTGCAGAGGAGTCGCTTCATCTCACGGCCTTGAGCATGGATGTCGAAATGACAGGAGGGGAGTCGCTGGGTGGTTTAGGGTTCAATAGCTTAACAAAATCATTTATTCCCTCTCCGGGTCATTTACATCCTCGACATCACAAGAACGATAGCCTATCCTCGACATCAGCAGCTTCATCGACAAATTCTTCTCCCACAACTACAGTGTCGACAGTAGAATCATCGTCATCAAACGACGACAAATCTCCTGCATCTTCTCCCGACTCACCTCGAAACATAATACCCCTCGGAATCTTCCCGAAACAAGGGCTCTCAGCCTTAAACCTAACCTCTTCAACTATGGCGAGCTCACCCAACCATCCCTACAGGTCGTTATCACCGATCAAAAAAGCTAGAAATACCAAAAACCTTTCCTTAAATATGTCGGGTAGCTCGGGCAGACCTGGCACAGCTTCTTCTTTTCAAAGCAATGCTAGTTTGAATGATAATAACAGATCGTCTTCGGCGCCCTCTTCACCTGGATTCATTCTTCCTAGCACGATGCCGCGGCGGCGTCCTAGTAACTTAGGGCTTACTATCAAATTACCGGGCCCCGAAAAATCGATACAAAAGTCCACTCGACCTAGCTTACGACATCATGTGTCTTCTCCTTCACTATTTACTCCGGGTGGCCAAGGAAAAACGCTATCAGGCCGACCATCGAGATTATTTACGCCGCCAAATCACTTTTCCCCTGTTGAAACAGTCTCCTCGCAATCTTTCTCGACGCAAATTCCCTCCAGCCCGATTGAAGCACCGGGCCCAATCATAGAGATGGATGAGGAAGACATTGCTATGATGGAAAACGACGGCGAAGGCCCTAAATCGCCTGCCTACCCCAATGGTCCAGCATGCATTTACGAACCAAACATCTACCTTTTCTCTGAACCTAATGCAGATATGGCAAGGAATTTCGACGTCGTATTTAATGTAGCTAGGGAAGTTGTTAACCCCATGAAAAAAGAGAGGGAAGAGGAAGAGAAGAAGAAGATTCTTTCACCACCATTGGAGACGGCTTGCTCTACCGATAGCTTTATGACTGCCTTTGAATCTCCACAAGCATCGCAGTCAACTAACCCGAACTCAACTTCACAAGACAAAAAGGACCCCGAATACATCCACATGCCATGGGATCACAACACACCTATTGTAGGTGATCTGCCGAGATTGGTTGAGATGATAAAGCAAAAGAGTGCCGAAGGCAAGAAGATTCTTGTTCACTGCCAATGCGGTGTGAGCAGATCTGCGAGTTTGATAATCGCCTATGGACTCTATATGAACCCGCGACAAACGGTACAGGAAGCCTATGACTTTGTCAAGCAGCGTAGCAAGTGGATCGGCCCCAACATGAGTTTGATATATCAACTCTCTGATTGGAAAGCTAAACTTGCAGCTCAAAACAGTGTTGGGAGAGCAGGCAAAAGCTCGGTACGAGGTGGTGCGAACGGAATGGCAAGGCCGAAACTTGGACATCCTTCCAGGGCGGCGAATAGCTCTGATCCTACACCCTACACCCCTGAACTCGAGGAGCCAATGACAGCACCACTACCATATATTCCTGGACAGGTTGCCCCACCGAGGCCGCCATCCCCAGATCCTAGGGATTTCCCAATGATGAACATCCAGACAAGAAATGCAGACGGTGGGATTATTACAGGTATCGAGCCTGGCCCAATGTCGGCACCACCTGGCATGATCAATATCCCTGGAACAGCTTCAGCAACAAACCACGGTGTCGGATGGGGTTCTGGAGATGCTAGGACTGGGTATGCCCCCCCACCACCGCCCCCAGTTACCACATTCCCATCCGAACCGGAGGGTGATGCTGTTGGTGCCCTTGTCGGCTTTCCAGCTCGGAGAGGTAGTGATCAAGGTGATCTCCCACCTCCAACCCCATCCTTTGCGCCAAAAGGCGGTATGATATTTGAGAAGAGACAACTTCGAAATAGGAACAGGAAGTTACTGCAGTCGCTACGCGCAGAAGAGAATAGCATGCCGCCGCCTAGCCCGGTGACAGCGACGAATCCGGGTCTGCTTGGTCACCACCCTTCCAACTCTCCGCCGCAGCGTTCCCATTCGCCTCAACCAACCATCAAAGCTATCTTACCAAAAACAACAGGGCTTGCTGCCTTGAGGGCGAAAAAGAACAAAGCCGAACTATCGCGTGCGATGAGTGATCAATCCGGTGTCCGACGCGCCGATTCGGGAGCTGCAAGACCAAATCCCGAATTCCATCGCCGGTTTCCGAGTATCATGTCGAGCATCGACGAACCCCCACCGACTCCATCATTCACACAACCACCGAGTTCATTCGGCTTCCCAGTACGAATGCCCACAATTACTGGAAAGTCGCATTCAGATAGCCATATTCTAACACGCAAGAGTGAAGCAACAGGAGGAGCCGTATCGGCCAGTTTCTCGGGACCGGCAAATTCGTCGTCAAACGAAATCGCTAGCCCTATCGACCAGCCGATGAGCGGAACGGATAACATGGATGGGATTGATATTTTCTCAGACCCTCGGAGCCCCGTGAATCAGCACGACACACTACCCACCATTCGTAATATCTACGACGTCCTATAAGTTGCTTCCATCCATGATACCACATTTCCTTTTACACTTTATTGATATTGGGCCTCTCTTTTTTTTTTTTCTTCCTTATTTTTTCTCCGGACTACATCGGGCGGGTGTTTTAGTTGCCTCTCTTACCAAAACTTCAATATACCACGGGACTTTTCCTACATCTTTTCACCTTCCATTGTGAATATTTCCTTTTGCAAAATGGGTTCGGGCATCTCAAATTTTCCCTTCAATTCAAAATATTTCACGGAAACCCCGTCTGGAATCTCGTTCATTTGATATCTTCACTCTTTTTATTAACGGGAAACAGCAACGGGGTCCTTGTACAACAGCTAAACAGCCGGTACAGAGGATCTGGGTCGTCGTTTTCCAATTACGTTCACTTTGTTCTTTTTACCCCTTTGCTTATTATTTCCTTAAACCTGTATTTCATATATACCACCAGCATTATCTTTGCGGCTCCGTTTAGCGATATCTTCTCCTTTTCAAAAAATTTCCCATATACCGCTTGTCATTTATTTTCTTATGTTTGTTTATACCTCTTGCATGCATCATCTACATAATTGGTTTTCCTTTATTTTTTTCATTTGTTCTTCATCTCTTTATCTTATGGCGGGCTCACAAAAAATCGGTTCTAAATTTTCTTGGTTCTTTTGTTTGTGAAATTTGTGATATCAAGGTCCTTTTGAAGTTGCCTTAGTGGCCAGAGCGACAAAGCTTCTTCCTTTTTTCTTCTTTTTTTTTTTAGCAGTTACCAGTGGAGGGAAAGGTTTCGGTAGATACCCCCGAGAAGGAATAGGAACAGGATACATTGAACAGAAATGGATTATTTTGACTGCTATCTTGGTGTTCCCGGTGGTGTTTCCGTGCATGTGAGATCCGCAGGCACCCATAGTAGCTGAAAATAGCATCGTAGTTAGGCAACCTAGAAGGCAGTGTCCTTTACGTATACGACAAGAGGAAAAAAGCCGAAAACCTTGTAGGGTCACAAGCTGTTTGAATTGATTGTAGACACGTACACAAAGGATCCAAACGGTAACAGATTGTATACAGGTAGGTAAGTAAGTACTTACACAGGTTTTTTCCTCACAAGAGCTCACCGCTTCCTCCCATCTTCTTCGAGGGAAAGTTTGCTCTTGACGTCAGAAAGAAAGCAAACAAGTGGCTTTAAATAGCAGTCATTCCCGAGCTTGAGTGAAACTAACGAGTCGCAGATCGTGAAGAAGATCTTACAGGAGACAAAAGAGATGTATTGGTGCAATGCATGCTGTTTCATATCGTCGGTTAGAACAACCACGTGCCGTGCCGAGAGTTTACAATACTATTCATGCGGAGATCGATCTATAATTTGATCCTGGCCTAGGCCGGCTTTTGATTTATATATATATCCTTTCTTCTGATGTGGAAAGTGTTAATTCTCAACTACTGTGGAGAGCTCTAGAGGTTGTTTGTTGAATAATTGGATGTAGATATATATTATAACGTCGTACGTATGTACATCCAAACATGGTACTTAAAGCCGATTGCTTTTGTTGGGCTGCGTAGGGGAAAACGTCGTATACTATATTTGGAGATATTCCTTACAATATCTGTCGTAACCTCGCAACTAGAATTGTATATGTTCGAACGAGGATGTTGGAAAGCTAAAGGCTCATAAGTTATTTCGGCCATTGAAAAGAATCTAGATTATGGGTTTTAAGGCTTTCTATTCCATTCTAGTTTTATTGTCTAAGTTCTTTGCATATATGTGTCAAACATTTTTTATAAAAAAAAATTGTATAGTTTGCATTGAACTTTGCCTCCTCGAGGCCTACTCCAGACGTCTGAGGTTATATATCTGGTCTATGATCTATATTTATCCAGCTACCAAGAATGTTGTGCGGAATGAAGTTTAATTTTATCAGACATTTTATGGATTATGTCCATTGAGACTTCCCGTCATATTCGTGTATAGCTTCCCTCAAGCCCTCGGACAGCGGTAGCAAGTCTAATAAAAGGTATTCGGGTCCCTAAACAAGTAATTACCGTTATAGCTATTATACAGCCCTTAAGTATATACGGGAAACAAGTTGTAAGTGTTATTCATATCAAATGACGCAATATTCTAAGAATGCCGGAAAAAATAAGACAATCGATATCGTGACGAGACTAAATCGATACGATAGTCTGTCTGGTAACTAGTAAAAAGATAGACATATATGTACCCCATAGATATAGAAAGCATTCTTTAGACATACGTCTGTCAATTAATTGAATGGGAATTAAATCCTGCTGTCGACCCTATGCGAGTGATGTAACTAATTCTCACATCAAAACGTGTACATACCCCGGCCTCAGTTGTCTCTCTGCAGGTACCTTTTTTTCTTTCCCACCCCCCCGTATTATGATTTGTCTGCTTTTTCGTGGGGAAGAACGAGATAAACATGTCAGACTTCTGTTTTAGTTTTTTGCGGGTTGGGGGAAAAAATCGGTGAGCGCTCCTTGGTCGTTTATGGCGGCATGGAAAAGCGTGGGGTGGTGCATAAAATAAATAGGAGGTGTGGGTGGAAAATATAATTTATAGACGAGGATTTAATGAAACGGTCTGCTAACCGATGCATGACCATGACTATTGGATCGGGAGGAGGGATTGATAGACGATGGGGCAGACAATATTTCTATCGTGGGGTTCTTGGAGAAGTGTGGGAGTTGAGGACATGGGGATTCCTTTTTTTTCTTCTTTTCTCTTTCTATCAATTCCTCTTTTTTTAATTTCGACGATCTAAACGGGTTTAAGTTAAAAAAGGAAATCCATGACAATGGATGTTTATTCTAGGAGGATTTGATGTCAATATGCACCTTGTCTATCGATCATAGAAGGATGCGGTGTAGTGACATATGCCATTGCCTCCGAAGGACGGGACGGGAAAACTATTTCCTGTAACTATCCAAAGCCCAGAGTAATATTAATATGCAATTGGACCCTATAAGAGACTAATCATACCAAAGAGAGTGCTCGAGCTCCTATTAGGGAAATCAATGGGCCATATTCAATTCTCGAATAAAGATCGCAATCGATCGACGGGAAGGCATACTAGAAAAAAAAGACGTCATGGAATCCTTAGACTTGAAAGGCTTAAGCTTGCAAGCTGGATTTCAAATCTTCAAGAACAAACATTGCAGCAGAATTATACAATTTAGAGCACCAGGCATGCAAGGACAAGAGAAACTAAACCAGACTGTGCTAAGTACCCAACTTGCAGAATGACGCGGGTTGAAGCTTCTATAGTTAGCCTCAAATATCCAATCGCCCCCTAGTACTGCGGTAGTTACGTTGAACCAAAAAAAAGGGAAAGAGATAGATAAACAGATATCATGGATATGCCCGAACAACTTCGAGATATCTGCATATACGATAAACTAGTGCCCCGTCAATGGGCGAGACCGAAAGAAAAAAAAATCTTATTACTTTGTGACACCTCAGATCATATCCTTGACGAACGGCGTTTCCTTCCCTTCCTGGGACGGACCATGGCGGGCCTTGGGGTTGCTTGCTCACACTATGCATGCATGCCTTCATGCAGACGGGGGCCTGCTTGTCCTGTCTGGTAGGTCGGTACCTACCATTAGACCCCCACGATGAGAGTTGAAAAAAAAAAAGAGAGAGAGACGGAGCTAGGCGAGGAGACGTGGTTCCATTGGCTCGCTCGCATACGCGTGCAGCGGACGGGCATGTTAAATTTTTTTCGTTCTCTTTCATTAGTTGTAGTTTTATTGATTTTTTATTGATTTTTTTTATCGTTGTGCAGGAAGAACCCCACCTTCCGAACTAGATGTCTCACCGATTGCCCCTCATTTGTGGTTCTTTTTTTTTTGTCTATTCTTTTTTTATTTTATTTTTTTCCCATATTTTCTCTTCTGGTACATTTCAAATTAAAGTATTAAACTGGGATATTTAAGGGGGGAATGGACAACTAAATCAAGGAGCTTTTCAAGTGTTATATTTTTTGCAGTTGTGTATCGTAAGGACCTTGTCTATAGAACCCCCACCGTAAACTGAGAAAGTAAGGAAATATTAGAGAGAATCGGGAAGGAACGCCCTAGGAAAATCATATGCATGAACGTGGGAAGAAAGTATAGGGCAAAAAAAAAAAAGTTCGGAAGCCGATGCATCGAAGATCTATGGTGGTCTTTGGCGAAAACGAAAATAAAAAAAGGACAAATGGAAAACGGGAAAGCGCTGCTCTAAAGAAGTATCTACGGTACTGCTCCGTTAGTAACCGATTGGATGAATAAGAAGGGACCTTGAAAGGAAGAACGGCAGCTTTATACACAATGTTCTATCTCTAATCCTGCGTGATGCATGATTCGTGGCAGACAAGACTCATGCATGATGCAATCAAAATGTAACAAAAGTGAAAGGAAAGAAACGGCGAGGAAGGGACACGAGGCGCATTTGCGACTTACCATGAGTAAAGAAAATGTGATCTGGTCGTGATGTAAAAGTTTTCTCACAGAGAAAAGAAGAAAATTATGAACCATTACCATTCGCGGACCGAGCCGTCTGGACCGTGGAACTCGAGGGCTCTCCAGGCTTTGCAATCCTTTGAAACCTTGCGGACTTCCTCTTCATTAACTTCAATGCCCAATCCCACGCCAGTGGGGACTTGAACATAGCCATCCTTGACATCGAAGATCTTAGGGTTCTTCGTATAGTTAAGAAGGTCGTATTTGCTCTGATGCATGCTATTGTAGTGGATCCCCAAGGACATCTCTTGGATGACGAAATTGGGGCAAGCGGCATCGATTTGAAGAGCCGCTGCGAGTGCAATTGGTCCGAGAGGACAGTGGGGGGCAACTCCAACGTCGTAGGCTTCGCACATAGCGGCAATACGCCGAGCCTCACTGATGCCACCACAATGACTGACGTCGGGTTGGAGGATATCGATTGCGGATGCTTCGAGGAATGGTTTGACGTCCCAACGGTGGTACAATCGTTCTCCAAGGGCGATTGGGATGGTGGTTTGACTGGAAAAATGTTTGATGCCTTCGATGTGTTCCGATAAGAGAGGCTCTTCAATGAACAGCGGTTGGTGAGGCTCCAGCAATTTTGCAAGTTGTTTAGCCATTGGCTTGTGAACACGTCCGTGGAAATCCAGTCCAACATCGAGTCCAAGCTTTTTGACAGCTTCGAGACGCTTAACTGAAGCTTGTAAGGCAGCTGGTGAATCAAGCCAACCAAGATCCTCCGTGGCGTTCATTTTAATGGTCTTGAATCCTTGAGCCAAACGAACTTTTCTGTAGAGTGCATCATGCAAGTAAGCGGCAGGTTCGAGAAACCCATGTATCTTTGAAAACTGGAGCCTTACCCTTGGGCTTCGACATCACTCGGTCTGTCACCTCCAATCCAGGCATAAACCAAGCACTTGTCTCTGACCTTGCCTCCGAGCAATTGATAAACGGGGACTCCTAGTTTGCGCCCTGCAGGAAAAATCATATGTTCAGCCAGATGACAGGCATGAGAGACGGTTCAGGAAGTTCTAACCTTTCAGATCCCACAAAGCAATATCGAGGCCTGCGAGAGCAGACATGAAGACGGCCCCCCCACGGTAAAACCCCAAACGCCATGCTGTCTGCCAGATGTGTTCGATGTTGCTAAAATTTCAAGAATTGATTGGTTAGTGGCAAAAAAAGACCACCCCACGCTGATTGAGCATTTTCTCGCGACAGCTGAACTAAGAGAAGAACTACTTACTCAGGGTCATATCCGACGAAGCGAATTTTGAGCTCTTCTAAGGCCCCTTCGACTGCTTCGGTGTGACCTTCGAGTGTGGCTTCACCCCAACCGTACTGGCCGTCATCGGAGCAGACTTTAACAAAGAGCCAACGGGGAAGGACCCTGAAGTACTCTATCGATGTGATCTTAGCCATTGCTGGATATTTGTTGTGGAAAGGTGGGATGATTTGTCGTGTGGAGGGGAGCTTATGTGTTCAATGGTTTGACGTGCTTGGCTCGTTGGCTTGTTATATGAACGTTGCAAGTTGATGGTTAGGTGCAGAAGAGGAACAGCTGAGCTGGCAGTTGGGTGAGTATAGAGAAGAAATGGGGGAGGAATGGGGGAGGAATGGGGGAGGGAAGAAGGGAAAAGTAGGAAGTCAATGGTGGAATATATAGAAGCTATTGTGTCAAGCAGGGGGGTTTACAAGTGGGAGGGAGGAAAACCAGCGCGCCAGACGGAAAAATCCAGCCAGGGCTCCATGGCAATAAATAATGCGATCACTTGGGAGGAACTTGTGCCTGAAGAAACCGTAGCTCGGCAGGAATATGTCGGGGGGGCATAGTGGAGAAGCAACGACGACGACGGTATCAGGAGCAGGCAGGAGCGGGCAGGACCAACCCTCCAACCGGATCTCCTGCTCGTGCGTCAACAGGGCCTGTTGGCTACTTTCGAGGGAAAGCAGAGCTGACGAAAACCATATCCTGCTTTTTTTTTTCCCGCTATGGCCCCGCTAATATTGATACGTAGCCTAGGAGCAGGAGCCTTTCATCTGAATCTACGGGATAAAATCGGCCATTGTCGTGGACCGAGTCGGAGCGAAGTTTCAAAAGGTATGAGCCGAGTAAAATCTCGAAGGATGGCTCCGAATAATTCCAAAAGCCAGGGTTTTTATTTTAGCTCCTGGTTCAACAGTCGGAAAAACCAGCCAATGCCTCAAACGGGTCTAGAATACCGGAGGATAAAGGTCATTTTGCGTCATGATGGGGCTGTTGGCACTGTTCTGAGATCTGTGCGAGCTGCATCGAACTATTGGCGCTTGCTTGAGCATGCTTCATGTATGTACGTTCTGGCATGGTTTGTCTGTCCACCTTCTTTGCTTTTCTTTCCCTCTAGTTAGCCTCTTAGCCCTATCCTAACCCCAGTAGTCGGTTCTCAAACTTAGCATGCCCTCTGACCCCGAACGAAATTTAGCAATCTATCGTGGGTGGGATAGTGGTTGTGAACAGCTTGCAACTATCACTCGCCAGCAAACTGGATATTGGCTAAAAGACGAGCAAGTCCGTGAGCTAGAAGAGCCAGGAACCGGAGCTAATCGGGTGGGTCATCCTATGGAAGATTTCCAACACGACGAAGCCCGGATTATGCCAGCATATCTCTGATATTCTAGCTAGCGAGTTGGTGGCCTCCATCAAGCAATGTGATCATCAAGATTGGGAGAGATGCAAGCTTGCAACTGTCGAATCAAAACACGACTTCCTGTTCGGGGACAAGGAAGCATGCATGGAGCAAAGGAGCCAGCCAGCTATCGCTGTTATAGGGCAGCCTGCTTGAACCGCGCAGAAACATAAAAGAAGGTTCGCTGACTGGTACAGAAGCGAAACCGATCTGCCATGTGGCGGGGTCCTGACAGGGATCCTGCTCCGGCGGTGACGATTTCTTGGGTCCTCAGTTGGGGCTTCTTGATCTCGCTAAAGTCGTAAGTGTTCAGGATTATGCTGTGATGGTAGTTAAAGTATGAAGGATGTTGAGATAGATAGCACTTTCCGACATCTTCTTTCGCCGGAAACAAGGTAGCCTAATTCATGTCACTGTAGAGCCCTTTGGAGCGGCCTCGTTCTGTCACCTCAGTGCATGTGCAGGTTGGTTTGGCGTGGTTCGTCTGGCGGTGCTTGTTGGATGGTCTTTCGAAGGGGAAAAAAAAACCTTTCTACTAGCACCAACCTATAAAAGGAATCGCTATTGATTGTTTGCGATAAGAGCCGTTTTCTTGAGGCGAGGCGTGATACCGTTCTTAGAGCTGAAAGATAATGCTGCGGGTTAGCTCCATGCAGCAGCTCTTAGTACTCCGTAGAACGGTTTTGCAGTTGCACAAAAGTCGAAACGAACCCAGGAGACTTTCTGCCCATCGGAGGCGCTCCCAGGGACTAAGCTCTATCCGGCCAGATTAGTTGAATGAAGGAAGTTTTCATACCAACAACCTTGAACGTTGCAAAACTAACATCTAGAAGGACATATAGTTACAGCTCTTTATCCTTCTGGCAAGGAAGTCGGAGTTAGTTACATTAGTATTGAGGCGGCGCGGTGAGCTGAATCATTAGACTTTTGCTTGTTTCTAGGGTCGTAGCCGAGGCGAGGCATTGGAAGAAGAAAAGAAGAAAAGAAAGAAAACGCTTCTTTCTTGCATGCACAATCTTCTGGATGCATATCAATTGCTGTCTCGAGTGAGCTGCGAACTGCGTCCCTGCATGCTGTCGCATCATGTGATCCCATACATGTTCAAGAATGGGAAGTAAGATACTCCCTGATCACTCGCAGGCTCCGGTTTGGGGTTTTAGATCGGAACCAATGGATTGCTCTCGGAATTGGAGGTTTGGCCCCGTCCAGGAATGAAAGCTAACAGTTCCATCGCACCAGCAGGACAGAAGCAGTGAATGACCGGGAACCGGTTGATTGCTGACTGCTTCCTATGATGCTCTCATGTGTTCCCATCCGAACTGTTTTGGAGCTTGTGGCATCTTAGCCGGTCACGCCATGGAAGATCCGGAGCTCCATGGTTTTATGCACTCCGGAACCGAGTCAAGCCACCGGCTTTTTGACAGACACAAAACTCAAATATTGCAGAAGCAGATGTCGCAGAGGATTGGTGTTTTTTCTTTGGGGGGTGCTACGGAGCACAGACGGATGTACATATGCAGTATAGACGGCTCGCGGACAATATACGAATGCTGAAGTCTGTATAAGTAGGCATAAATTGGGATGTATCAATGGGATGCAAAGCGGGTACATCGATGTCTTGTATGCATGTATGATTCTCGGAAAACAAGAGTTTACACTCTGGCTAAAGTAAAAAGTAGGTATACGCATGGTACGTGAGTACTTGAGCTCAGGTAAGTCCTTAGTACCTAACCTAGTATAACTATACCATCGAGGATATAACTAGGATCCCATCATCAGCGATACGGCCGTGGTGACAAATATAAATGTAATAGACCCCTGGACGTATATTGACTTACTTGGATGTTGAACTGGTGTATTCGGGGTGTACTCGGCCAATATTATATCAGATTCCAATAGGACAGTCTTCGGTCGGCTGGATTTGGTATGTGCTCGCAGGCGAATTTGCTAGCAGTTGCTGGTTCGAGGTTGGTGGCTGAGGTTTGAGGGGCAAAGAAGAAGTAGTTGAGTCTAAAATTGCCTCTTCCGGCAATTCCTTTTATTAAATGTGCCTCCTCACTCCAAAAAAGCCGATTCTTTCTCTCTGTCAAATCAAATGACCCGACTGCGAACAAACTCCAGCAAATCATCATCAACCTCCCAAACCCGCTCGACCGTCGTCGCCAAACCCGCCGTTACCACTACCCAGATGCTTTGAGAATCACCGTAGACCGGATTCTTCACTTCTAGGCTCATCGTAGTCGCCTTATTCCATGGTTTGAGGTGTGTGCATTCGCTTCTTTCTCCGCCGACGTTCGTCTTTCTCTACGTTCCGTCGTCGCAGTTTCCCGTGCGACTGCTTATGCCTATTCCGTCCTGCTGACAGGGGAGAATAGCGATATAAACTATTACCTTCGATCAATTTTATCAGCGACCTGCAATAGCGGTCCTCCTTACCCTCCCCATGCCGCCTGCAAATTCGCCGATTGTAAGTCCGAACGGTTCTCGCTGAAGATTTGCTTTAAATCTCTTCGTATGCTCTCCCAGGCGCCTTGAAACTGCAACTGGACTCGAACGGAAACATGCTAGTGGAGAACGAATGCCTGCCTTGTTCTTAGCAATCCTTCTATGCATAGTTTCATTAAGATCGGACAGGTGCTAGAGCGGAGGAGCTATTTTTTTATGCAATCGTCTGCATGCCTTTTCTGTGGCTCGACCAGGCTTCCGAACAGTGTGGGAAAGAGGAAACGAGGAAAATTGTTCTGTTCCGGGTATGGATTATAAGAACTGACATGTCTGGTGCGCTGGCTTTGCAGGAACTCCCTCCTATAACCGCTTATCTGGACCTACTAGAACCATCAGTAGCCCAGTCCCACCACCAGGCCAACAGCCAGCATTCCCAGCAATCACAGCATGCAAATATGCAGCCTACAACGGTACCCAATCCTTCTGAATCGCGACCTGCTAGGTCAAGGCGTGAACCGTTGTTACCAAGATCACGGGCTGTCCGGACCCCACCCCCGTCATCGATAATTAGTGCTGTTGCTCCCATGAACTTAGTCGACTTGGAAGAAGCACGGACTATCGAAAGCGCTGTCGGTTTAGCGCAACGTGCCCTAGAAGAAGCTACTAGTTTTGCTCGGCATTCTGCCAATCGTAGAAGCAGGGAACGCCAGAGATATCAGGAAAGCTCGCCACCCTTATCTAGGCGATCTATTGAAGAACGCAATAATAGTGGATATGGCTCCCGACCCACAGTTCTCAGACCTGGCCAGTCGCAGTCGTTGTACGGTTGGGCCCCACTGACTGCCTCCGCCTCTCAAGAAGCCACATCTTCACAAGCTGCTCCAAGAACCACCACGTCATCTTCGTCATTCGAAAGTTTATTACGAAGAGAAATCTTGCCTCCCCGTGCTCCAAGTCCTCCCAGAAGACGTCAACCGCAGGCGAATTCCGCTAATGCAGCTCCCGGTTCCACGCCTCCACCACCTCGACAGCCCCGCCAATATTCATTAGTCGGTGAAAGAGTAGATCGTGGAACTGGCCAATCGACAAGTCCCTACCTGTCGCCACTACCGCCAAGAAGATGGCAAGATTGGCTAGACGCCATGAACGGCCTTGATGACGAACAAGAGGCGACCACACCTGTGCAGCCACCAGCTCAAACCCAACGTCAACCTTCCAGCAGAGGGAGCCGAACCCAGAGTGCTAGTGCTGCCCTTTTGCGAGAGGCTGCGCGAAGCAGTAGAAAACAGCCCATCGAGGAAGCCATTAAATATCTTACTCGAATTCAAGATAAGGGCTTCCATTGGACGATTGATGAGGCTGAAGGATTGATTTCGTGCATATATGGGAACAAAGTTCCTGAAGACTGTTTGGATTTCATCACTGACACCAGCACTTTATATGTCGCCCCAACTTCGTGGCTGACGGCTGGGAGCATATACACGGGTGCCCAGTACGCTACTCATCAGAAACAACCACCAAGTGCCACTTTTCGTGCAACCGATGCTTCTACCCCGGCCGGCGACGGAAATAGCGACGGCGACGGAAGTACGGGCCAGCCCTCTGCTCCTGCAGCCGCAGCCGCAGCCAATGACAGGAAGGAACCAGAAGAACACTGGAACGTTGCCGTTGTGATACAGGAGGTAGATCATGCGCGTAACCGCATATCCGGGTCCATGCGAGCCTACGACGTGCCAGATACACAGTCTCCGACGGGTACCAGCAGCATCAACACATTCTGGGAAGGAGAGATCATCGATTTTCATACGAACGGACTCGAAACTCTCAACTCAATAATGCCAAGCAGTGCCCGGATAGATGGGAACTATTGGAAGAAGCTGGAGCCTTTTGCTGGGTATAGTGATTCGGAACTGTCGCAGAAGTTGACAAGCAAGCGGTTTTTGGAGAATCTAGCGGAGAACTATGTTCTGATGAGGTGGAAAGGTGAGGATTAACCTCAATGCGTAGCTGATTTTAGTATACTAACTAACACCCGTTTACAGAACAATGCTTCGTCGAGCCTGGCTCTCAAGACTCTGGTTTAACTATTACGGGTTTTTACTTCGTGAGCCTCTCGAGGAGCACTGGCCACATCGAGGGATACTATTACGACCCGCACAGCGCTCCGTACCAGAGATTAGAGCTTACTTCAACTCCGAAGCGCTATTTCCCGGCTTACGATTTCCGATGAAGTTATTGCTTCGACTTTTGGCGGGGCATGATTTTCCTAAGGTTTCAAATTTCAGACTATAAAGCCTCTGCTGATATGTGGTATCCACCTGAAAGCTTTAAAATTTTTGGTTTTGCTTTTGTTGGGACTATTTTTTCTGGGTATAAAAGGTGATGGGGCAATCGATAGTTTTCCTTTGACGAAAAGCGATTGATGAATATTTTTGGTTTCCTTTATCTGCTTGTTTATCTCACCAACGCCAGACGGCTTTCCTGTCCCTTTCACTTCTTTTCCTTGTACACTTTTTTCATTACCTTTGACTTTTATTCCTGATCTGCCATTTCCAACTGTACTTTGATCAGACTCATTCTCCTATGGGACTCCATTACTCCTTTCTGATCCCTCTTCCCTGCAGCTCTTTGATTTCAATATCGAAGCTCGAGTCTTCGAATGCAGTCACTTCCATGGCTACAATTCTTTTCCTTCTTGTACCTTGTTCTATCTCAATGCTTTACTGCCGACCGCTGGAATGACGACAAACTGGGGGGCGTTTTTTATTATGTTTATTTCATGGAGTTTCCCCCACCCTATTTTCATAGTTGCCGCTGGCGTTCTTACATCCGTCTATCGCCCAACTTTTACACTCCTTTCATTCACATTTTGACTTCGGGCAAAGAACGTTTTTTTTTTTTTGCCTCCCTTTTTCTCTCCTATTTTTTCCTATCATTTTTTCGTTCCAAAATGAATGAGGAGGACTGCAGTAGATACAAACTGCTTGGATGATATCTAAAATCGGGACTTTCTTTTCCACAAACCCTTTCTTTTCATTTCTGGCTCCTTTTTTCTTCTTCTCTCCTACTTCTTTTTCTTTATAGTACACCGGGCGTCGACATCCTTTTATGTCGATGCTTCAAACCTCCTTCAAGACGGGAGGTTTGTTTTTCTATGTGATATAGATCCTTCAATGTCAGCGATGCCAAATGCCGACTAAAATTTGATCAAAATTTTAAGTAGACATCAAAATCAAAAGTCTTAGGCTTATTTATATATCTTCGAACTCGAATATCGAATGCTATCAAATATATCCACTTGGTATGGTTCAAGTACCTATATACAAGTACTTGTAGATCGACATCTTGATTGTTTTTTATGTATCTTGAAGAGGGAAAGGTGTGTTTATATATTGATAGGAATTAATTGTGACAATATGAAAATGAGTATAAGGGGTTTGTATTATTTGGAGGGTATGTTCGTGTGATTACGGCCCTTTTATAACCCTTATTCAGTTCGATTCACATAACTGCAAGATCACTGAATCGATCGTGGTCAACGTCGCACCTGAAGCCGAGATTCATCATAATCGATAGTCCATCCTTATAATCTAGAATATATATTGGTTGAAGGATACCAATAAAATTAAAACCACACCATGTTCGCTACCATCTCACAAACTTCAAAGAACCCAGCCGGAGCAGGAGAACATGAACTCCTCAGTCTCCCTACTTCGATTCTGTCACACATCGTTGAACCCGTGGGTAACGTTGCACCAAAAAACGAAAAAAAATACCACATTTGTCAACACCATATTTCTCGTACCCCCCCCCCCCCCCCTTCCGGTCTATAAATTCACATTCTTGAATTCTCTCTTTACTTCATCGCCCCATTGAGAACAAAATAGTAATATTATATCTACAAAGTCGATATATTCCATAATTTTAAATTATGAAGATAGATCCATTGATTTTTTTGTTCGAAAATATTCAAGAATTGGTTATACAACCGCCGCCGCCGCATGCGAATTTATCAAGTCAAGAGGGGGGTGTAGAACGCTCTAATGAGGAGTATATACAACTATTACATATTTGTATCAACAGGATCAAGGATCTCAAGTCATTAGATTACCCCCTTTCCATAAACTCCATATGCATAAATATATAAATCTGCTAACCTTATTGCCTTTTATCAAAAGCTACGGTCTCTCGACCCCACTTTCCACCCCCCCCAAAAAAAATCCTCAAAACCAGAACCCTTTTTCACCAGCCCCCCCAAAACCCCAGAGACATTAGACATCTGCCAGCACATTCGCAGACATTCGATTCAATACCCAAAAACCCCCAAAACCTTCTCCCAATCCATAAACCTCCTCGCCCTCTTATACTTAATCTCCTACACATCCCCTTCACCAACCTCAATCATCCTTATTAACCTATAAATCCTCCTTGATCCCTACGAATCGAGAGATACCACGCTCTACACCGAATTCGTACAATCGTTCTGGTCGTATGGTTTGAGTCATCATAGGTATTCATTAAACAAACTACTACTAAACCTCCAACACCTAAAACTCAGCGGTCTTTCAAGAGAAAGGGATTTTTCTTGTGAAGTAATAGAGTTGGTTATTCTTGAGTTTTATATTTGATAATAAGGAGTTAGTACGTTGAGTATGGCATTTCGATGGGATTGACTCTGATAGTTATGGGACGGATGAGAAAGTGAAGAAGGAGGGAGGTTAGAGCTTTTGTAAAGGGGATGAAGTGGAAATGGCATCGTGGGTTTGAAAGGGAGATTGGGGTTAGGATTATATAATTATTCCTGGTGGTGGGATGAGGTTTGTGGTTGAGAAGGGGGTATTGGAAGCTTATTCCTATTTCTACTATCACTACCACTACTATATAAATACTTAATAACCATTTGGCAGTGTTCTACGATCACGACGAGTATAAAGGCGATTTTCTCTCTCTTTCAATCGATATATTAATATCTCAAGTATTTTCCTCACATAAATCATATACACACCGAAAGAAAATTACTCTAAAAAGAGAAAAAAAAATTGGTTCGGAGGGTAGAGGAATGGTTTAAGTCTCAAAACTATTCCTCATTGATATATATATAGATTTTTTTTATTTTTTTATTTCTTTCCCAGTGAGAGAGGCCCTTGTATGCAAAAAGTAGTATAAAACACCCCAAGGAAAAAAAAAAAAAAAAAAGATATTAGACACAAAAAAAAAAGAGAACAAAGGAAAAAAGAAAGCCGTGAAACATGGTTTGGGGGAATAGAGCTCAAGGTTTTTGGTCTCGTCGGGTGGAGGTAGAGGAGGAGATATACAATTGGATCGGTATCGAGGAGTAGTAGTAATGACTTTCGGATGAAGTGGTAGTAGTAGTAGTAGTAGTAGTGGTAGTAGTGAGTAAGAAGAAAGGGATCAGAAAATTCCATCGAGCGACGTCACGATGAAAATATCCCCGTTAAATTATATAAATTTTTGCAATTGGAGAGCAAAAAAAGGAAGACGCAGAAGGGAACGGGAATAGGACGGGGGACGAAAGAAAACTAAAGAAGAAAAAAATAACTTCGTTAAATAATCTAATATCCATACGAAGCCAGCTTCTCGTCCGCGGCCGTTGTGGTAGCCTTCTGTGCTTGCGAAAGAGTCTTGATCTGTGCCTTCTTGCGGGCGTAGTAAGCAGCTCCCTTGACTTTTCGGCGTTCCTCCAACCTATTGTTTTAGAAAAAATTGATACGTTAGCAATCAGATTCTGTCTTCCTTCCACCATTTTTTTCCAATTCTCCAAGGAAATGGGTGATGATAACATACTTGCTAACAACATCAGCATATTTCCATCCAACTTCCTTGCTCAGTCTTCCGACGGAGCAGTACTTCCTTCCGGGCCTCAATCTCAAAACCCTAAGAGCCTGGGGAACAACCATTCTCTTCTTCTTGTCGTATGGTGGGGGAACACCTTCGAAGACCTTGAGACGTTCCATGGCGGCGGTACCGCGGGCGGTCTTGTGTGGCATCATACCACGGACGGCCTTGTAGAAGATGCGGGAGGGAGCACGGAAATGGAAAGGACCGTGAGTCTTGTTGAAACGGGTGGCCTTGCGGAGGTAGGCATGGTACTTGACTGTATTTCATCCAAAAAAAAGAATGTTAGTTTTAAAGATTCAATTCCTTCTTCCCTTTCCCAATCATGTAGTCGAAAATTCGAGGTCGGTGGCAGCATCCCAATTCTCCGCTCCAGCAATAATCCCAATCAATACCCCCCATCGAATGTCCATATCTCAAAGATCCAAAATATCGACGAATGCTGCCACCAAAAATATCCTCCAAAGCTTCAAACCACAATCGGGAGAAAAGATCAAGAATCAAAGGAAGATGAGAAGGTGAATATCACATACGCTTCGCCCTGAAGAACTCCCCAGAGATATTCAAATCCTCACACCTGACGACAACGATCTTCTGGCCGTTCAAGAGCTGCTTGGCGACAATGGAAGCAAGACGACCGAGGAGATGGCCCTTGCCGTCGATGACGACCTAATCACACCCACAAAAATATCCCAATCAGCATTTCTCTTTCTTCTTCGTTTCTCATATATATGTTGTTCCACCAAAAACAATCCTTTCTTTTCGCAAAAAGAAAAGGACTTATCGGTTTTATTTTCCGGTCGGGAAAAAAAAAAGGATTCAATAAAAACGTACGACTTCTTCAAATGTCGACATTGCTGTTTAATTGGGGGTGTTAAATCGTTAGTAAAGAGAGAGGTAGGGAGGAGGAGGGTCGGCGGGGGTGGTCGTGAAACTGGTGATGGTGTTGTCGTTGGTTTTGTCGATGATTGAGATTTTGAAGTTCTTAATTCTATTTCTTTTTCGATATAGCCCAGCACAAAGGCCCCGGAACTTCTGGTCCAGGGCTAATCGGACAGAGCTCCTGACTGCTTTTCCTGTTTCGGGTATGTCATGTGACCGTAGGGTTTGCAACACGGGAAGGCACAAACATAGCAACGCGGCAACACGACAACACGACAACACACGACTTCTATAACATCGACACGATAGTGCCAATACCTAAAACCATCTACAATCCTAGTCTCGTATTGCAGACGCGCGCGGTCCACACTTTGCCACAATCCTTGGATTCGAGGCTACTACAACCCATCTAGATTCCAACCAAATACATACTAACAAAAATAAAAATAAAAATACTTCATACTTTAATTAAATTATCCTACATACGTCTCTCTATCAACATCAATTTCTTTTCTTCATTTCTTCATTGCATCTTCATAGTCATAATATTCTTCGTTCTTGTAATAATATAAATATAAACAGAAAAAAAAGCTACAATCTTAAAAACACATATATATACGTACTCCATCGATCTGATACTGCGATCTTATGCTATCGTTCTATAACAAATATCTGCTTACTTGTTTCTTTCTTTCTTTCTTTCTTTCTTTCTTTAAAACTCTCACCACCTACAGCTACCACTGCCTTCATTCGACTAGCTCTAGAGTAGTTAAAATATCTCCCTATACCTAGGTAGTTCCGTTCTCAACTTCATACCCCGCCATATTCGAATCCATATTTAAAAAGAGAGAGAGGAAGAAGCAGAAGAGGTCGAAGAGGTCGAAGATAAAAAGAGACCCACAAGAGGCTCGAAATATAAAAAAAAGGGTGGAAGTAAAGAAGAGTCGAAGAATCGAAAAGAAATAGTCTTAAGAAAAGCCAAAGATATAAAAAAAAAATAAAAGCGAGCGCTACCCATTGATGAATGTCGACGACAATAATCCCTCCATCCAATGCCATGAATCGAATCGTGAATGTCATAGCCGCCATCACCGTTTCCTCTATAATTCCCATCGAAAAATCCCATGTGAAAAAAACCAGGAAAGCATAAAACAAGAGGGAAAAACAAAACCCCTTCCACTCCAATAAACAGAAACAGAAAGAACCCCCCCAGTGTAACAGAGAAAGGAAAAACCAGGCGAGAACCTTTCAGCTACATGCAAGACGTCCAGATATGAAAGACAAAAAAGAACACCTCCCTACCCCTACCACCAAAAAAGCCCCCACTCATGACGACTGGGCTTAAAAACGAAGAAGGAAGGAGAATAAACCGTATCAACCCCTCCACAACCGATACTATCCTTTCTGAGCAACAGCTTGAGTCTGCGCACTTATCGTATCCAAAGGAGGCGGTGCCGGCAATACTGCGTTATGTTGCGAAGTACACCAAGGATGTTCAAGCACCTGGCTGATTGTCAATCGCTTTTCAACATCTCGGTTAAGCATGCCCTTTATCAGATCAATACTGTCATCACTAGTGCTCCAGGGGATACGTATATCGTGATCCATTATCTCGTCGATCTAACAATGACAATTAGTATCAATATTGATGATATTGGGGAATGGAAGACGCTTACATTGTAAAACGGATTCTCCTTATAGATGATCGTGTAAAGGAGAACGCCCAGAGCCCAGATATCCTGCTCCTTCCCTCGATACGACTTGCCCTTCAACACCTCTGGCGAAGCGTAGTCTGCAAACCTGATTAGCATGTATTTAAAATTTTGCGAGAAAAAGAAGAGAGGTAAATACCAATAGTTCCCACGAATACGTCAAAAGGCCCATTCTTAATGTATGCTGCGCTCCCAAAATCAATCAACTTGATCCTCCCCTCTCCATCCAAAACTACATTCTCATCTTTAACATCTCGATGCACAACTAGTGCTTTCGTGTGTAAGTGCTGTAATGCCTGCGCAACCTGTTGGAAAATACTCCTGCACTCTGCTTCATCCATCGTAACTTTCAACTCAATATAATCATACAGATCCATCCCGGGAAGGCCGTGCGGCTTCATTTCAATATAGTAATTGGTATCATCTTCAAAAAAGTCCTCCATCTCAACGATACACGGGTGTCGTAGATCTTCGCGTCGAAGGTAGTTTAATACGTGGATTTCCAATGGAACGGTACCGAGCTGTCGGTCGCGTGTCCAAGTGTCCACCAAAATTCGTGATTTGGTGACATACTTGAGCACCACCTTCTTATTCTGGTTTTTTCGGTACCGCGCGAGTTTGACTTGGCCGTATGCGCCTTGGCCCATGTCTTCCAGGATTACAAAGTCCCTCACCGTCTTCTTATGGCCATCTAGTTGTGAGTGTTCGACGGCCTCCTTCTTAGGCGCTGGAGGTTGTGGTTTCTTGATATTCTCCTCGGCGAGAACCCGTTCTAACTGTCGCGTTATGGCGGCGCCCTTGGGTACATTTTCCGGTTGAGGGGTGCTATCAACACGTTGTAAAATCGGAGTGCCGGTCTGACCAGGCGATGGTTGATGCGGTGGAGTTTCAGGTATCAGTTTTTGTAATCCCGTCAGGGGGTCAAGCTGTTCCTCAGATATCGCATGGTTTCGAGAATAGGTAACCCAAAGAGCGTACACCAGCTCAGATTTATCTCCAAGCAACTCCGATCCTTCAGGGTCTAAGATTGCAACATCAGACTCTGAAGTCACAACCCTCATCTGAACATCCACCCTCAGCTCTCCTCCATCTCTGTGTTTGGCGTTAAGCCCTGTCGGTCTAAAGAATGCAGCAGCAGCGTTTTCCTTCCCGTCTCTTAAGGCAAGTATGGCTCTGGTTCTTCTAAACGAATGTTCCGGAACCACAATTCCATCCACCAACTGAATCTTATCTTCTGTCTCCAAAAATTTTAACATTCTATCGAATCCAGGTAACAACTCGTTGACATGTAATCCTGCGGGTTTCGACTGTCCGAACAATGCCGATGAAAAGACGCTATTCGAGCTCTGAATAACTAGCGATGAAGCCGATAAGACGAGGATCCCCGCGATATGTGGGAAACTTGAGACTTTCAACTGATGTTCCGACGGCCTGTGCTCGACCGTGCACGGTACGGAAAGGCCGGCCACGTGCTTAGCGGTGTACTGTCCGTTGTCTTCCAGCCTGCCAAAGTCTATCAGGCCACTATCATCCTCACGCCTAGGTAGCCCAGGCAGCAGTCGCGCGACTGAGTCTCCAGCACTAATCGGTCGGTCCCCGAATATTTTTTCCGGCTCCCCGCTAGGCGCAACCGTGAAGCAAGATACATTTTCATCAATATTGAGATACACGACATCCTCATTAATCTCTTCCAGGACCCAGATCAAACCGGTCCTCTTCTCTTTAACCCAAAGACTTGCAGCCCCGACTTTACCGTTCCGCTTCTGGATGGGAACCACATCTCCACACAAAATAACACCTCTAGATTTATTCTTGTTATGATGTGGATTCGACATGTTCCTAGTGGCGGGATCGCGGCCAATGTTGTATAACTCCTCGGTTCTTGACTTTCGAGCCACCGATTTGGGTTTCGAGAGGGCTCGCTGGAGGGATGTCATTGGTGGAGGGGATGGCTGGCGGTACTGCCCGGATGCGCCGGGCCCTCTCAGTTTTTCGGCTAGCCATTCTCTTCGCTCTTCCTTCACGACTTCTAGGATACCGATTTTCCTGACTTCTGCTTTGGTGACGCCGAAGACGAGGCAAGCCAAATCGTTAGCGGCAAGGATAGTCCACGGGTAGCTGGACGTCGTTGTAAAGATTGCCTGGGAAGCAGGTGCATATCTATTGCTGTGATTGTGGACTGTTGAACCGCTGATGCTTCCCCCTCTGGCTGGGGTGGCCCCAATGGTTGATAGTGGGGTTTCACCGACGAGATATGGTTGTGCTAGAGCCTCCAGGAGCTTAGTCTGGAGGCTCAGCGGGGATGTGTCAGTGTAGGTGCGCTTGAGGCTAGTCCTGCGGGTCGGCGGAGGGGAGGTTTTAGCTGTGGAAGCGGATTCGTTGGTGGTACTGCGGGAAGAAGGTTGAGAGCCGAAAACACTCTCGGCAGGGTCCATCTGACCGGGTTCATCGGTGAATTGGAAGTTGCCGTCGGATTGCGGGGGGGATAGCGGGGAGGATGGCATGGAAGCCATTGCTTGATTTCTAGCCTGGAAATTCCTATCGAACGGGTTCGAGTCACCGGTCATAGCGGGACCCGTAGCGGGACCCGACATCGGGGTACTGAGGAGAAGATCCTTAGAGTCGGGACCGACAAGTAGGTTTGCCTTCTGCAGCAGCTCCATCATCTTGACCATCTCCTCGTCCCCCTCAACTTTAGCTTGCGCACTAGCAATCATGGGGTTCGAACCAGCCCAGCCCAAGCGATCTCTCATGAACTCTATGCTTCGTTTCAAGATGTTCTGGCGAGTGTGGATGGCATCGTCGGATTGATGAGCGAAGGAGAAGGAGTGAAGGGATTCTGTGGGGAAGCGTACTAGGTCCTCGCAGGCGCCAAGGGTGGGGGATGCGGACATGGATATAGATCCGACACGAGAGCCCGGGAGGGAGTGGGTAACGTGGATCGGGGAGGATGGGGCGATCTGCTGTCGGATCCGTCGCAAACCCGAAGAGTAGACGTGATCAGCATCGCCCACGACAGGGTTTCTATCAGAAATATCAGTCATTGAAAGCCATATGGAAATATATATAGAACAATTGATTTAAAGCTATATAAATCAATTGTCGATGATATATATATAAGTATATATATATATATCGATCTATATATATGATAGATGATTGAAGATAATTTGGAGGGAGGAGTACCTCGACAAGACGTCGCCGGTATCGGTATCGATGGAGAAACGTATCCTAGGTGGGTGATAGGAATTGAGGGCCGAAGGAAGGTTGATGAGACTGGTGCTCTTATGGACTGGGTAAGAGCGAAGGGTGGCACTCGGAGAGGAAGACGAAGATTGATCGGACCCTGCATTTTTCAGGGAAGAAGGAGCAGCAGTAGCTGGAGACTCGACAAAACGACCCATGGTAATAGAACACACACTTTAGTTAGCTTTCGGGAAAAGCTTTAAAATTTTCAAACGCTCCAATTTTAACTCGAAAAGAAAAAAGGGAGACGGGGAGATATATAGTTTGTAATTAGCAGGTTTTTGAGTGGTAGTGCATCGTTAGGACGGACAACTGGTGCGGTGGCAGCTGACCGACTAGAGGGAGAGGAAGAAGAGAACAGCACTTTTCCCTGCACGGCGATGCAGAGCTCACCAACCAACCCCACGAAACGGAGACGAAGTACTTGAAAGAAAGTACCTGAGGAAGGCTAAAAGAGACGAGAAGAGGAGAAAGAGGAGAATTACCGGTTTGGCTGCCATCTGGGAGGACCATTTTTTGGCGCGGGCCGAAGCCAGTTGAAGCTTGTTTGATATAGCTTAGACGTTGATGTTGTTGATGTTGACGTTGATGTTGTTGGTGATGTTGGCGTTGATTGAATCCGACCTAAAGTAAGGGGAAAGTCTCCGAGAGCGAATGGACAGCTATGCTGAACGAGCGTCGGAAAAGCGACCGGGGGAATTGGAGGATCTGCGGAAGAAGTCTGGATGGGTGGCGATGGTAGTTGATGAAGGATGAAGGATGTTGATGTTGATGTTGAAGTCGAAATGGTGGTGAGAGTTAGTTAGTTTAGGTTGAGAAATGGTGAGGAGGAGTCTGTTGTATGGATTGTTAGTGGTGAACTGACGTAAAACAATTAAACTGCAGAGGAACTCGACGACCCACCCCCACTACACTACACTGCGCTATACACTATACAATAGGTATATTATATCCTATCTATCTTTATATAAAACATGAAACAGACAATGGAAAAAAAGGAGGAATCTTCATATATCCATTCAATTGAATATACACGCAAAAGAGGGGAAGCCGCTAGCATCCTCAACAAATACATACATATACAGATGCAAGCACAGAAATTTCAGGTGCCAGCAATCAGCATTCCACGACGGAGTAAAAAGTGTTCTGTGTCTTTCTCTCTGGAACCAGGTCCGGCATTAGCTTGGGATTAGATACAGAACCAAGGTCACAAATCTGCTTGTCTGTCTGTCACTGCATATATACCCAAGTCAGTATTCAGCGGGGTCGGGGTGAATTGAATTCCCCGAAGCCGGTTGCAGACTAACAATCGATTTTTTTTTCTTCTCACTTTCAATATTTCATTCTTTGCCTCCGCATACACTTGTACATATCTATCTGTAAGTACCTCCAACTGTTCTGCAGCACGTTTATTACATTTACGTCTTCTTGCAGGGTCCAAGCTGAATTTTTGACCGGGGGGAACCCTTGTCATCGGGCGGATGCCGCATTACTCCTTGCAACATCAAACATGTATCGCTTGGTCATGTGGTCTTGAGGCTGTTTAAATTAAATCGGAATGGATGGTATTTATATTTATAAACAATGCTACTCTGCAATTTCCATTTATTTCAACGCTCACTCGACTTGTCTCAAGCGGGAGAGGGCTATTTTAAGGGCTATTTTAAGGGTTATAGAGTAGCCCGAATATATAGTGTATACACCTATTAAATCAAAATATTAAAAGTCCTTTGAGTGGTAAATTCAAGAAATTGAATGGGTAAGAGCGAGGTAACGTTACAGACGCGCGAAACATCAGTGTTCGACAATCAATCGTGTTCATACGGAGATACCCACTGTAGAGATATGAATATCCAGAGCAGATTACTCAGATATTGCTACATTAAATTTCTAAAGATCCAAATTTGGACCAAATATCGTCATAAACCCTCGCAGCGATCTGAAATAAAACACTCGAACACAAGAACCACGTGCGCAGCGACTATACAAACCAGTTGTCGATATTTTTATATGCAATGCACAAAATACTTTAATGTAGGGAAACAGGTAATTTCCGGGGATAGGAACAAGATAAATTTATAAAGCTGCTTAGGATTTAAAGTCGATATAGCTTATTTCCTGGATCCTGCGTATCTAGTTAAATATTTAAATAGACTTAGTAAGTACGTGTACATAGGCAACTACTGTGTCGAGGGGTGTATTTCGAATACCGGTCAATACCAATTATAAGAAATACACGGCTTTGAATTACCTTAAAATGTGTATTTATGGCTAAAATACTGGTTTATTTTAGTAATACTACAACTAATTATATTGATGCTGTAAGACTAGTTCTGTTGTGATAATATCACCCATTGGTCGGTATAGTAGGAGGTATATACCTACATAAATATTAAATCTCTATGAAAGTGTAACCCGACGCTTTCAAACCAATACCGACATCTCATCCCGTTTCAAACCTCAAGGCCTTAATCGTCGTTATGTTAATTACTACTTCTAAAGCAATTGCCAGCCATCTTTATTCTTATCTATATCTAAGCATACAAGTATATAATTTCGAAGGAGGTAGAATATTATTCCCCTCAAATAAATCTATAGACCCGTAGATCTGCCATGCACATGAGCTAGAATCTATACTCCCCACGACCTGCCACCAAGTCCCCATATATAGCCCATACGTAGACCCTTTTCATTCCAGATCTATAGTTATAGCTAAATATACACTTTAAAAATTTCCAAGATCTTTCTTCCCATCAATTGAAACCCCCGCTATATAAATATAAAATGTAGCATGAAATCCAATCCCCCCGACCCACATCTTCTTATCTAATCTTCCCCAAAACTTCACATTCTTAACTACCTAAAACCCTCATATACAAACCAATTACATACTCTATTACCATAATACAATATTAATACTTAATATATATAATATCCCAATCATGGACAACCCAAACGACCCCGAAAACCTAGCCTGTGAGCTAGAAAACCTCCGTCTCGAACGCATATTTCGACAAAGAGGTTTCCCCCCAGGTTTAATCTCCCCAAGTTTCTCAACTACCCGTCCGGCAGCTCGACATCAAATCCTTTCAACCGAAGAATACGATTATTCTCCACCTCAATTCATTCCAAACCAGACTTCCAGTCCCGCCAGAACACCGGGGTATACCCCGGTACCGCTTCTAAATCCCAATACCATATCTAGCCTTAGTAATCCGCCCTACTACTGTTCACAACATATTCCGTCTAATAGGATTGGAGATCTCGTTGAGGAGATACCAAGACCTAGACCTGACTGGCAACAATATGATCCCGATCCATCATCGTCATGCATATCATGTCAAACGGGACGACAGAGACAACAGCACCAGTTGCAGCAGCGAAGTAATTATCAACAATATCTACAACAACATCTACAACTCCATCACCAACAACAGCAACAGCAACAGCAACAATCATCGGCATTTTATAATCCATCATTTCACTTTAGAGCTGTGAATCCAAATCCTGAAGAACAGGAAAAGAGGATGAGAAGGTCCGCGGATGAGATTAGAAGGAATATGGATGATTGTAATAGACAGGAGAGTAATATTAGGGAATCTAATATGAAGGTTCAGTCTTGGTTGGATAGGTGGGGACTGAGTTTTGGGGATGAGGGGGGGGATGATGAGAATTTAGAGGAGGTGGAGTTGGTATAATCGTTGAAAACCCACTCACTCCTCTTGTTCCTCCCGTTATACATTAAGAGGTTTGGAGAAGAGACTAGGTCGGAAGTAATAGGTAATAGAGAATCGTCGCATCCAGATCACAAGGATAGTTCGGGATTTAACAGCGACGATTGGGGTACGAGATAAAATTTAATAGAACTTGAGTTGTTTTTGTTGGATTTATACTGGTCTCGTACCCGGATATATTACCTTCCTTTCTTTGACTTCCTTCTTTTCCACCTCTTTTGTATATAACTATAACAGTTTGGTTGATATCTGTTACTTTCCTGAGCAAGTAGCTAAGGATTCATGTCATTTCGACATTTATGTTTATTAATGGGCTTTTGCGTCTTGATCGTGGCATTGGAAATGTCAACTTATCGATCTTTAACATAAGCTTAGTCGCTGCGCATGCGCGCTGCGTTCAGCGATCATATTAATATAACAAAGCACAGTTTCATCCATTTCTTTCCTTTATTGCGTAGATCTAACAATTCGACAGAGATGAACGAAGTTTTCGATCTAGCTATTTCAATGGTAAAGTGGGAAGTATAATAAACGATACATTGACCTTTATTCCTTTTTCACTAAGTATAGTTATCCAATTTAATGGTTCACTTTTAATTTTCTCGCCTTCTTCGATTCTATAAAAGACCAACTTCGGATGTAAACGCCTGAAGTATTTATATGGCTTACCGATTCCAAGAGAGAGAAAATCCGCTACGGACGCTATAAAGCTGTTCTGCAAATTTTGATTCCCGCAGGACCTGGCATGCGTAGCTCGGAACACCTAGGAACTTTCCCTCGTATGACAAATAATTCGTATTTAAAGGTAGTTGAAGGATAAATCCCCGTCTCGTAGCCAAACCAAAAAAAAATACTACTCAAGAATTAAACCACGCCAGCCAGTATCTAGGTAAGATTAACCCCGAATAGGTACTACTTTCTTATTCATTGCCGGTCAGCTTATATATATATATATATTCTCCAACATGACGATATTAATACACAGGTACACTTCATGCCAATAACTCACTTATAATCAGCTTCGTATAATAAAAATAAACCTACACTGCCTGCTATTCCTCTCTTTTGTATAATATATACCGTAATGTGTATGATTAGTTATTACTCATGTACTACAAGGGATATAAACTCCCAATATATCAATTAACCACTACCGAATCTACAAAACAACGACCATTCGAGTTAACGATTAACGCATCCCCTATAAGTGTTATTATTTATGTGTTGAATTGTGGTTTTTAAGGCCAGTCAGCTTGAAGCTCAGTCTCGGCACTTGAAGCTACTTAGAACAATATGAAGTAGTAAATCGGAGCATACCCGAATTCCCATCCCCAATTCCTGATAAACATCAAGCAATCTGCAAAACATCTCGCATGATCCCATGTAGTACCTGAACATCAGCCTGTTTCTATCCATCCCATGACCTCTCTTCTCAAATGCAAATGAATTAAAGCAGCTCCAAAAGTTTATTTTATAAAAAAAAACAACAACAACATCATAATCATCCCACACACACACAATTAATCACGCCCAACTCTCCTGACTTAAGCTTGTTTGGTCCATACACACTTCTTATAGCTTATCCCAAGCAAGCATTACAAACAAGCACAAGACAAAGACTCGAAAGGCTTATTTTTTCTACATCCCCCGCGATATCGATTCGATCGACAAGGACCCTTCCCCCCCTTTCTAGTTGTCTTACCCACACACGCTAAGCTTAAGGAAGTCTTTTAATTCCCCCGGCCATCTATATTTATATCGGACATACATCGGATAATCGATATTAGAAAGATGTCGCGCGACCTATTCGGCGAATTTGGGGATTTCCAGAGTGGAGGTACCACTACAGGAGGTGGGAGTACAACAACCAACAACGCATTTTCAACAGCATCGTCTTATGCTACACAACCGAATACAAGTGGGAATTCGAACTTCGACGATTTATTGGGATTGTTTAATTCTCCAGCACCACCATCATCATCATTATCTTCTACTACAACTTATCCCCCCTCTTCTCAAGTTAATAATATTAATAATAATAACAAACCCCTCCATTCGAATTTCCAATCGACTACTTCGGAAGCAATCGTTTCCAATCAAAGCTTCACAAATACCCACAATTCCAATTCCAATTATAATTATAATTCTAATTATAATTCTAACCCTACTTCGACAACATTATTCACCACCTCCCCAAATCAAAACCCCATTTTCGATAATGACGACGACGATGACTTCGGAGACTTCGCGGTAGAACCTTTACCAAGTACAAACCCAACCTTCGGACCTCTCTCAAACAACTCCCCTCCTCAAAAGCCTTCCATCCCCACAATCCACCACCCCCAACCCCACCATCACCACCTTCAAGAACAAAATAAAACCAACGATGATAATAATAACAACAACGACGACGACGACTTCGGAACCTTCATCTCAACCCCCCGAATCCCCACTCCACCACCAACATTCTCCCTCTCCTCCACAATCACAAACACAAACTACCTCCACCCCCTCCACCCGCCACCAGCACTGCACACCCTCCTACCCCTCCTAACAACCCAATTACTATCCCCATCCCCCTTCCTAACACGTCTAAAACCCCTTTCCTACCCCGCAAAGCAAAGGTTATTGACATCAATCAAGGTTAAGACGTTTTTTATATCAATCGTCATGGTATCGCATGTTGTTGGTAGAATCATTGCTGGGAGGAAGGTTAGAGGTCGAAGGAGTTATAAAGGAAAGGGTATTGAGAGTAATGGTAGTAGCAGTAATAATAAAAAAAACGAGGGATTAAAAGATGAAAGAGAAGTAGGAGAGTGTGTAAGGGAATATAACGAGATAGTGGGTAGTTTGAGAGCGGTGGTTAGAGGGATGGGAGTTGTGGTTGTGGAATTGAGTGGTGAGATGAGTATTTCATCCCCTAGTACTTCGACTTTATCATCGGGGAATAAGAAAGGGAAGAAAGGAGGTAGTGGTAATACTACTACTACCGGTATAACGGAATTCTGCTGGTTATGTGGATTATCACCGGTGGATAAGGTGGTCAAGTTAAAAGAAGATGAAAGTATAGAAGTTGGGAAGGATATTGATGGTGGAGAGAGGTGGGTTAGTGGATGGGGACATCGTGGGTGTAGGAATTGGTGGGGGGAGTGTGGTGGTCGGTTTGGAAATTAAATATCTCCTCCTCCTCCTCCTCCTCCTCCTCCTCCTCCTCCTCCTCCTCCTCCTCCTCCTCCTACCATCTACTTACTACATATTAAATGCTTATTTAAGTAGATACTACTTAGATATATTGATAGAAGAGTAATTAATTTAATTAATAAAGGCACGAAGTTTTTCTTCATCGGCACAATCATTCTCCACCAACATCCTAACCGCCACGATGGATTGTCCTTCAACATCTATAATCGAGTACTTCCCCACCGTCGGAATAGCACCAACCCCCCATTCCGTTCTAAACACGTTATTCGCGTCTTTCCATCTATCCATTTTTCCATTTTTATTAGCACCAATACTATAATAAAAATAATAATAAAATAAATAACATACTCAGTCTTATCCCCAACCTCAACAGTAACAACCAAAAGCTCCTCCTCAACCTCTTCGAACACCCGATTGAACACCGGAATCGCGGCGCGCACGTCTGGACACCATGGTGTATTTGTGATTGGATCGGAAGAGGCGATGAAGAAGATGTAGAGCGGTTTTTGGGAGAGGGTTTCTAGGTAGGTTTGTAGTGTGGTTGTTGGGTCGGTTAGGGAGAGGGAGGTCGGTGGGAGGTGTTTTATTACCATCTTCTTCTTCTTTTTTTTTATTTATTTATATTATTCTTTAAGTATACTGGTGGTTTGGGAGTATGGTGGGGGAGTGGTGGGTGTGGATGTGGATGTGGATGTGGATGTGGATGTGGATGTGATGGTGGGGGTTTGAGAATGTTATTGTTGGTTGGTGGGGTTTGGTGGGTTTATACCTTCTCCATTCAATAAACTGTAATAAAGAGACAGACAGACGGACAGAGACAGACAGACAGACAGGTGGATTCTATGAAGAAAGCTAAGCTATGCCCGCATAATAACATACATTCATTCATAAAAAACCCTCAAATAAAAATAATAAAAAAAAAACAAAAAGCTCTAGTCAAGCTACGCTCCCGCCCTTTTAACAGTTAATTATCAATCAATCAATAAAAGTAATTCCACCACCAGACCAAATAATAATAAAAAAAAGAAAAAAGAAAAAGAAAAGAAAAAAGTAATTCACGTCTATTCCAAAGAAACACCATGAAAAAGTATTATATGGAAAAGAAGAAGAGATAAAAGAAAAGAATATTTATTCGGAATCACTAGCAGGTCCACTACCGGCTTCATCCAAATCTTCAATGATAATATCACCACCGTGTTTGGTCTGTCGGGCAATTTCGGCGTCGAAGGCTCGTTGCGCCGCTTCTTGGCGTGCTTCCTGTTCGATCTCTGCTTCGGCTTCTTGGAGGTATGAACGGATTTCCGGACAATTCGGATCTACCAGATCAACTGGTTTTTGGAGGCCCTTGTTTTTTATCCTTTTCCCCCATAATTCTATTAGTATGTTTTTAAGAAAAAAAGAGATGATGATGATGAGGGTAATGGGTTGGTTTACCTTGGGTCTGCACCAGCGTCTACTAACAGATGGATGAGGTATCCACCAACCTCTGGATCTTCAGAAGTAAATTGAGCGGCAACGTGTAACGGTGTATCCCCTTCCATCAAGCTCTCGGGATCGACTTCCAATCCTTCCTGATCCAGGAGCATATCCAAAATCTCCGGGTTACCGTACTTTGCCGCAACGTGAAGAGCCATTCTTCCCAGGGAATCGCGGGATTCGTTGAGGAATTTGGAGAGAGGGGTTGAGTCTTCGGAGTCTTCGGCACCATCCTTTGGAGGTTCCGTTGTGGTGGTGGTGGTGGGTTTGGTTTCTGTGGATTCTTTTGTTTCGTCTGCTTCATCTTTGGATTCTTCTTTTGATTCTTCGGTTTCAGGGAATTGAGAGAGGACTTCGGTCAGGAGGTCGGTGTTGTTTGAACGACAGGCGGCGAAGAGGAGTTCTTTCGGGGAGGCGCCTTGCTGTTTATCTTTGTTAGTTATTTGGTATTTTTGATACGAGTATGGTTAAGTGGGGAGAGAAAGAGAGAGGGTACCTCGTCATGGTCCTCGTCATCAACGGCTCGTGGGTCCTTGGCCATTTTTTTTTTGTAGTTGTCTTTTTTCAGCGGGGTATGTAGCTGTAGTAGCTGCTGTTGGAGCTGTAGGAGGTAGTGATGGTGATGGGTTTGAGTAGTAGGAAGGATAAGTTGATGGGAGAGATGATGGTGAGGTCGAAGATAAGGTAGAAGAAGATGTTGATGTAGAAGTAGTTTGTGGAAGTAGAAGTGGTCGTGGTGGTGAGAAGAGTCGTCTCTCGGATGGCTGAGCTGGGTTTGGTTTTAGGACGACCGACGCGGGGTGGCTGTTAATGTTAATGCTGTCAATGCTGGCTGACTGTTAGTTTGGTTTGGGTTGGTTTCACTTCCAACTCTGGAAAAGAAAAGAAAAGAAAAGAAAAAAAACCTTCCTCTGACAAAACCACCATCACGAACTCCTTCCTCCATACCTCCTCTACAAATAAAGAAAGTCCTATTCTAATTAATATTAATAATAATAATAATTTAATAAAAAGAAGAAGAAGAAAAAATGTTATTATTCTGCCCAACCTGTTCCAACTCTCTAACCGTCCACCGCCAATCGGCAACCGGTCAAAACGCCCTGACATGTCCAACATGTCCCTACACATACCCACTGACCCGTCGTCTCTTCGAACGTCGTCACATCCGTCGTAAGGAAGTCGACGATATCCTGGGAGGAGAGGGGAGTTGGGATAACGTCGATAATACGGAAGTGCAATGTCCCGATGAAGTTTGTGGAGGGGACAGGGCGTATTTTTATATGGTGCAGATTAGGAGTGCTGATGAGCCTATGACTACTTTTTATAAGGTATGATTGTTATTATTATTATTACTATTTATTATGGATGGAATGGGATTAAAGCTAACGATGGGATAGTGTATGAAGTGTGGGCATAAGTGGAGGGAAGGTTGATTCTATTGCGACTCTGATATCTTATTGTTATCACGAACTCTGCTCATCTTCATCACTTTATCAAAATAACATCAACTGCCAACCTACCAACCAACCATATACAACATCTCCTCTAAAGCCTCTACCTCTACCTCTACCCTAAACTAAAATACAAGACTACATCATCAAATATTAAAATGATTGTCGACGCCGGCCACCTCTTCACCGACCAAAAAATCAACCTCACCTACCCTTCCCAACTCCTCACCGTTCTCGAAACCCTCAAACGTCCGCTCTTCATCCTATTCATCCCCTCTGCCTCAGACGAATCGCCTCCAGATCCAGCCGTCAATTGGCGTTGTAGCAAAGAAGACGCCTATGAAGTCGTCTGTCGCGAATTCGGTAAAGGTCCTACTCCACGATACCTCGCCGTTTTGGAAGTTGGTAATAAGGATGAGTACGTTCTATTCATCCTCAAAAAATATAGAAAATTCTTGTTAAGAAAAAAATAGATGGACTTCACCAACAAACATTCTAAAATCCCGTTACAAAATCACAACCTGTCCCCTCCTCCTCCGTACCCAACTAACGACCCTCAAACCCTCAACCGAAACCGGTATCCAAACCGTCCAATTCACACAATTCGACGACATCCCCCACAAACTACGATTCTTCAAAAAGGCAGACATCTCCCACCTCCCGACCTCACACTCCCTCTACAAAACGGAAATTTACGAATCGAGAGATAAAGATGATGGAACGTTATGGGACGGATGGGATTATAGATTTGATATAATATCGTATCAAAACAATCGAAGAAGGAAACAGACGATTGCGAAGGAGAGGATGAAGATGAGGTATTTGCGGGAGATTGAGGATTTGAGGGAGGTTGATATGGAGATTATGAAGTTTATGGATGAGGGTCATGAGGTTGGGGGGTTTGGAAGTGGTGGTTGTGGTGGTGGTGGGTTTAGGTATGAAGTTCCTGAGAAGGGGCTCGCGCCGTCGATTATTGAGACTGAGGGAGGGGAACATCATTTAAATCGTGTTGAGACTTTGGAGGAAGAAGAAGGGGATGGAGAAGGGTTTGTGGTTGGGAAGGTGGAGGTTATGGAGAGTGATGATAGTGAGGATGAGAAGAGGAGGAGGAAGGGGAAGAAGAAGTGGAGGGGGGATGTGGAGTTGGAGAGTGCACTCGGAGAGGGGGTTGAGAAGGTTGATTTTGAGAAGAGGTTTGAAGTTTTAGATTAATTATTTTACTCTAATTAATTAATTTATCTATCTATCTAATTCAAATCTGATAAAGGCTAATGAATGAAATATTAATATTCCTTTTTGAAGTTATAATTTTAATGATATATATGTATATGAAGGTTTATAGTTTGGAGGGGTTGACATCCGAAGCAAGCGTCTCGGGTAAGGTACCGCCGTCGGAATATAACCCATGTAATATAGAATGGAAGTATATATAACCGATAAGGCCCGCCCAATGGATGCTGGATTATAAATACCACAAACTTATAAATCTATCCGATGTATATTTATATATAAAAGTAGTGGGGGTATATAAAGAACTACTTAACTATCTCGTACCTCAGCTTTCAACTTTACATCAAAGATCTAGAGTACAATAACATACTATATTATATATATATATACAACTTCATAAAAACGACAAAAGATGAGTAACACACCAGAACTCACGTTATACACCGGCCAGACGCCGAATGGGTATTCCCCCCCCCCTTCTCTTCCATCATCTCTTAATTCTAAATAAATAATTAATTCAATAACTAATGATGATGATTATAATAAAAAAAAAGAATAAAAATCTCCATCGCCCTATCCCTCCTCTCCCTACCCTACAAAACAGTTCCAATCTCCCTCTCAACCCACGAACAAAAATCCCCCTGGTTCACATCCATAAACCCCAACGGTCGTATCCCCGCCTTAACCGACCACTCCCCCCCTTCATCCCCAAAAACTCCCCTCCACATAATGGAATCCGGCGCCATACTCCTCTACCTCTCAGAAACCTACGACCCAAACCACAAAATCAGTTTTCCAAAAGGAAGTACAGAATACTGGGAAACGATCCAATGGGTATTCTGGCAAAACGCCGGATTGGGACCGATGCAAGGACAATCCAATCATTTCATAAGATACGCCGGCGAGGATATTAAATATGCTAAGGAAAGGTATGTAAACGAGACTAGAAGACTTTATTCTATTCTAGAGAAAAGACTTGAAGTTCAGGAGGTGGAAGGGGGCAGTGGATGGGTTGTGGGGGATCATGTTAGTATTGCTGATATTACGATTTTTGGATGGGCTGTGTTTGCGGAGTGGGCTGGGGTTGATTTGAAGGAGTTTGAGAGGGTGAGAAGGTGGAGGGAGAGGATGGAGGGGGTTGAAGGGGTTGAGGAGGGGAGGAATGTGCCGGAGCCGAGTGGGTTGAGGGCGATTATGGGGGATGAGAGGAAGATGGAGGAGTTTGCGGAGGGGAGTAAGAAGTGGATTTTGGAGGGTATGTTTTCCTCCCGTTTATGATGATATTATTTATTATATTTGAAGGTGGTTGGTTCCTAACTGAGTTTAATCAAATAGGAATGAAGAGAGATGCCAAATAACTGTTTATATACTCCATGATAAAAGAGAGTATAGAGAATAGATGATATAAATGATATTAATTGATTAATCACTAACCCCCCCAACATACTGCACCTCCTCCTCTCCAATAACTCCAAACTTCGGCGCCACACTCCCCCACGCCAAAGCTTCAACCCCACCATCCCCCGCCACCAAAGTCACAGCTTCACACCCATCATGTTGAAACCCCAACGTAGTGAATGGTAAATAACTCCTATTAACATCATTCGTAAACTCCACGTTCGGTGGGAACGGACTATTCCTCGCAACCAACAATGTAATATTATTATTCAATATCAAAGGAACACACGCGATTAGGTATAGACCGTTTTCTAGGGTGTCAGTTCCGATGTAGATACCGTCCAGACCGGATGAGCCTTGCATGTAGGTTAGACGGAGACCTCTGGCTCCCAGGGGGATTTGGGAGAGGGGTTGGAGGAGGACGCGGGAGAGGTTTGTGGCTGTTAGGTCGGATGGGAAGTAGATGAGGTGGTTTTGGAGGGTGTCTTGGGAGACGAATGAGGAGTTTGAGATGAAGGTTGGTGGTGGTGGAGAGGTGGTGGAGGTGAAGGGGAAGAGGATTAGACTGCCGGAGGGGGAGCGTTGGAGGTAGAGGTTTGTGGAGGGAGTGTGGATTGTGGTGTTTATTATCGTTTCGGCTGTACCTGTTGAAGATGTTAAGAAGAGGAGGAGGAGGAGGGTGGTTATTGTTTGGTGGAGCATTTTGTAGAATTTAATATATTTTATATTATAATATATTTGAATGGGGGTATTGATGATAATGAATAGAAGAAAGAATTATACTCTCCATCCAGATACAGTACTACATATAAAACATCTTCAACCACGTTTTTAGTACTTAATTTCTAAAAATGAGCTGTTATCCCCCCCCATCGACGCTCTAAATATGGGATCTGTGATGGTAAATCGGGATGTGAAAATGCAACATCATGGTGTGTTGCACAGATCTGACATTGACCGGAAGGTACCTGGTTACATTCTGGGGGGGGATTGTAGGTTGAATCTTCATCTGTGATTCATCCATTCATCCACCCATACGATCAATCAAATCTGATTCGAAGTTATCTCACAATGAGGCTCCCTCGATATATATACCCACTATCAACAGTGGTATCCCTCTTATCATATCTATCTTTTGTAAATGCACAAATAACAGTAATAGAAACTATAACCGTCCGTTCGAATTCAACTGTTACTGTTACCCGTCAATCTCTCGCGGATGTAACATCCTGTGGTGCTGCTGCACTCCCTCTTTGCAAAGACATTATCACACTATTTTCACCTTCATTCCCTTTTGCGTCAAATACTACTTCTCCTGCATCGTCAACTGAATTATCTTCAGTAGTTGAGACTTCAACATCGACTTTGGGCGTTGAAACACCGACTGGAACACCTATTGGTTTCTTGATCACCGCTACTATCGCTGGTGATGATGATTATTATTTCTCTTTTAATACTGGATTAGAAGGGGATGTAGGTGTTGGTCTTGTACCCCGGACTTGGGGTGGTAATGCTACTCGGTGGTTTTTGTATAACGGATATTTAAGGGATCATAATCCTCCTTTTTATAAGTTTTTATGGTTGGATCCGGATTTAACCTCTTCCACTCTCAAAAAGAAAAGAGATAATGGTGCGGTTGTGGTTTATAATCTAAATCGATCATACGACTACGACCGAGCAACTGAAAATCCATTGGATTCTTTACGAAGCGTTTCTAGTGGATATTCTGTTAGGAATTCTATCGATACGACTTTATTATTAAGATCAGATGGAGTTTCTTATTCCTTTGCTGCGGTGGAGGAAGGAGGGGTGTATAATGTTATTGGAGTACAATCAGATGATATTGGTGTTTTGGAGGAACGATATATTCCTATTACTTTAAAAGCCGCGATAAAGGCTTTACCCACCTCGTCGACGGTAATCAGTCCCAAAACGACGGGAACGAAGACTTCTACCTCTGTTACGACTACAACGGATATAGATTCGATTTCTAGTATTTCCGGTTACGCCGGTTCTGCCACGGACGATGGGGTGATGTACATCCAAACCTCACCTATAAACCTCGGTACCCCGGCCCCCGTCTATTTAAAACCCATATCACCGTTCGGTGGGATAGTCAATTCTAGTTCGTTGGATACCATAAAACCGGATGTTCAAGCTAAAATGTTTTATGGAGCGAAGGGACAGGATGGGGGGATGATTTTGGGGAATTTGAATGTGACTTTTCCTTATCGATCGGTTTATTTGGATCATAGTGGGTTTGTGGTTGGTATTGTTTGTAATGGGAATAATAGTATGACTGTTACTTGGGAGAGTTCGGACCGTGGGAAAGGGGCGTGGATGTTTGCGAGGGAGACGTGGGAGACGCCGGTATTGTTGATTTCGGCGGGGAGTTCGTGTCCTAGGTTTAGTAATGATACCGAATCGTTTCTTATCGCTGAAGATTTACAATTTTTGGAGGTATCGGGTGGATTGACGACGACGACGACGACGACAGTTGCTACTGGGACTTTCCAACCGCTTGAGGAGTTGATAGAGAGTCTTTCGTTGGATGTTGGGCCGGCGAGTTCGGGTGTTCCGTTTGATTATGTGCCTGATATTGGGACGCCGAATTCTGGGGATACAGGGTTGAAGTTTGTGAATATTGGGAGGGATTTTAATCAGCGGTTGAATCAGGAGATTGGGTTTTTTGATGTTTCGACTGATGGAGGGGTTGCTGCTGTTATGGAGGCTTTGTATCCTATGCCATCGATTGGGACGACGACGAGGACTATGAGGATGGAGAATATGAGGATGAGGAGGAGGATGGGGAATTCAAAACGTGGGTTTCTGTCAGGTCTTGCGGACGCTTTGGCGAGGACTGCTTTGGCTATAGCAGAAGCACTAGCCAAAGCAGCGATAGAACTTCTCGCAAAAGTCTTCGGCGATCAAGACGGTGCAATCGCCTGGAAAACCTTCTTCACACCAGACAGCATCGGAAGGGATTCTCTAAACCAAAGAACCAGTACCGCCTGCTCCAGTTATATTCGAAAAATAGGACCATGGGGTTGTCAAGTCCGTCTATGGATGTTCCTCCCCAAAACCGTTACGACGGCATACGCACAAATGAGCGATCAAATCTCCAAATGGGGTAATCAATTAGTCGGACAGACGACATATGCTACCCCTGGTATTGAAGTCTACTGCGTGGATTGTTATGTCGATTTAGCGCTTGACGTTAAATACTCTTTACGAAGTAATTCGACGGGGATCACGGAAGCATATGCGTTCGTAAAAGGGAATATGACGCTTCAATTACAGATCGGGATGAATGCTTATTGGGAGTATGTATGGAACGGAACTACGAAGTTGACGACGATAGGATTGGGACCTATCAACATTGGCAAGTTATTCCAGTTCGGACCGTACGTTGACGTACAATTCCAGAATGATGTGAAACTTGCACTTGTGGGACAGTTACTATTGGGGTTTTCGGCCAGATGGCCGACGGTGGATGGGAGGGTTGATTTTGTTAGTGTTGATAAGGGGGATAATTACATGTCCGGGTTGACTTCGCCGGCTGTTACGAAGATTTTGCAGGTTTATGGGAGTGTTACTATTACGTGGACGATTGGGTTGCCGGTTGCTATTGCTTTTGGGGTGAAGGTTGATGCTGGGAAGGTGTTTCAGTGGGAGAAGGATGTGAGGTTTTCGGTTACGCCGAGGGTGGTTGTGGCGGTTACTTTTATGGAGTCTGGGGCGGTTAGTGGGAGGTTGAGGAGGGATGTTGATGTTGATGTTGATGTTTTTGGATTTGATGGTGGTGGTGGTGATAAAGGTCTTATGGTTCGACCGCCTACTGATGTGGAGGTATTCGAACGACAGGATTCGTCGGAACAGTATTGTGTCGGAGCACTGGTTAGTGCGTACACACAAGTCATCTTCGAGTTCATATTCGGCGACATAGCGACATTACCACTATTCATCTGGCCGGCAGCCAGTAACCCGTTTTATCTATTCACTCCAACCTGCCTGGGGAGATGGGTAGACGTTCCCATGTGTCAAAAATCCGCCGTGGCGTCCCTAAAAGCCGATTCCAACAGGGAAATATTCTGTTCTGGAATCTACGGCTGGACGAGTAAAACTACTACTTCTACGGTGATAACCAGGGAGGTTAAGACGACTAGCGGGGTGGCGATGGGGTCTACTACCGAGACTGTTAATGTGCTGGGAAGACTGACGGCTACGCATAGGGTTTATACGCTGACAATTACGGGGTATGCTACTTCGAGGGTGTCGGCGGGGTGTACGGGGGCTGCGTCGGCCGAGACTTTGGCTAGTAGAGCTGTGGTTACGAGTGCACCTGTACCTGTACCTGTGTCTGTGGGTATGGATGTGGTTGAGAGGGCGGGGATTAGTACACCGTCATATTTTAAAGGGTGGAATGTGGCTTCGCTTTCGAGTGCCTGTGGTTGTCTGTTGATAGCACCGCCGGGGACGAAGGTTATCTACGTAAGTCTTTATTTATTTTATATTATTATACTATTATATTGTTATATTTTACTAATCTATACGGTTACATAGGAAACCTCAACAACCCCGGGAGGAACCAGTACCTCATTCTCCACGCAATGGATAACAACCAGCACCACAATCACCACTTCAAACATCACCGTAGAAACCGTAACTCGTACCGGCGCCACGGCTATCTACACCACACTACCCGCCGCCCTTACCCAATCCTTCCCAGCCGCTCAATACTCACTAGCATCCTACACCGCCACCGCAACCGCAGACGCAAGTTACACCATCCTCTTCAAGAACTACAACTTCGAAATCAACGGTGAAGACCTAGCATCCTGTCCCTGCGGCGGAAGTGGTCTAACATGTAACTGGATCGATCCCGTCCGTACAAACCCCTCTTATGACATGACATCCACCTGTTCAAACCTAAACGACTGTAACACAATCTGCACAAACATAAACTACCTCTACGGCGCCACAAACCTCTGCGTCGGAACCGTATTCTACCCTCCACCTAGGAATCTATGTGTTTTTAAACATAAATTACAAGGATTAAGTAATATTACGGATAATGCGGATTTGGTGGATGGGTGTGGTGTTGAGAAGGAGGTTGCGGGGGTTAAGGTTGAAAGTGGGGTTGTGGATTTTACGACGGTGGGTTGGTTGGAGTGGAGGTATGAGTATGGGTATACGCAGTTGGCGGTGGATTATTTGGGGGATCCGTTGACTTTTCATAGGATGTTGGAGGGGAGTGGGGTTGATTATCTTTGGTATATGGATGATGGGAGTACGATTGGGCTTAATTGGAATTATACTATATATGTTACTTGATATATATATATATATATATATACCTAGGTATATATATATTGTAGTTATCTAGTTAGTTAGTTAGTTATTGTGTTTATTATATTGGTATTAATGGTGGGAATTAATAAATTGGTTTTTTGGATTGGTGTATTAATATTGGTGATCGATTGTGTAGATGGGTATTGATGTGGGTTTTTGCTGTGATATCGTATAAGGTATGTTAAGTAGCATTTTATGAATTATACATGGTGTTTAAATCTGGTTTACGAGATATCTTAGAACGGTGTAGGAAAGAAAAGCTTTAAAAGTCTGGTACGAGACTGCTATTAATTAGTATTTTCGAATATATGATAAATGCGTTGAGTATGTTGCATTTTAGATTGTCAAACCTTCCCCTTTTGTCAACAATATCCTGCGTTGGCCTGTTGGCCTCCCTATTAGGACAGGACAGACCAGAATTTGCCTCACTTCTTGTTTTGTCATCGTTTCTACTCTCTACATAAAAACATCACCAGCATTCCTTTTCACTCTATCCCATCCTTTTCACCATCCCCAACCTCCCCCTACCCCATACATCGTTCTTACCGCATTTACATCTTATATACTTGTTTAACCTGACAAAAACTCAGCTCCAAGATGTCGCGCAGAAACCCCATGGGCATGACCGGTACGAATAATGTACCACTCGGCACTCGTCGTCGCTTTGGCGAACGAGGCGACGAGGATTCCGTGTCCCCACCTCCCCCTCCCTCACAGGGAGGAGGAGCCGAGTCGTTCCCGGTCTCTATCAGCAGTCTTTCTGAAGGCGCCCCTCCTAAGAGAGGGAGATCGCCTGTTAGAGGTATGTTTATTTCATCTTGTCGTTTGAGGGGCTACTTGGCTAATGAAGTGGGTTTTATAGAGGTGGAGTTGAATAATGACGGAACGCGTAAGAGGAAGAAGAAGAATCGATGGGGTGATGCTGTGGATAATAAAGCTGCAGGTCTTGTGGGGCTTCCTACCAAGATCGAGGCTGCAATGACCTCGGAACAGTTGGAGGCCTATACGTTGCATCTTCGTATTGAGGAAATCACTCAGAAACTTCGGATTAACGACGTCGTTCCTGCTGATGGTGATAGGTAAGCATTTTTCTTTTCTTCCTTTATCCGTTAAAAAAGATTGGTATATTGACGGTTTATGTAGATCTCCTTCTCCACCACCTCAGTACGACAACATGGGTCGTCGTATCAACACCCGTGAATACCGATACAGAAAGCGTCTTGAGGACGAGCGTCACAAACTAGTCGAGAAGGCTATGAAGGCTATTCCCAACTATCACCCACCATCCGACTATCGCCGACCCACTAAAACTCAAGAGAAAATTTACGTTCCGGTGAACGATTATCCGGAAATTAACTTTAGTACTAACCTCCCATTCTTTGCTCTGACTAACCCTTTTGCTTCTTTTTTCTCTGCTGTCGTTGTTCTGTTCCTATATGCGTGCTTTCCGAATACCTTCGGGAAGAGCATGAAGACTAAACACCAGGATCTTGCGCCTAACTCGTTTGAAAGCTTTTATATATATGACTTTGATACTAACATGCCTTAATTTGAAAAGTCGGTCTTCTGATTGGACCTCGTGGTAACACTTTGAAGAACATGGAAACTCAATCTGGTGCCAAGATTGCCATTCGTGGAAAGGGTTCCGTGAAGGAAGGAAAAGGGAGAAGCGATGCTGCTCACGCCTCTAATCAAGAAGAGGATCTTCACTGCCTCATCATGGCTGATAGCGAGGACAAGGTCATCAAGGCCAAGAAGCTCATCAACGATGTCATTGAAACTGTAAGTTATCTTCTTGGGTATTATCACTATATGTGTCGACTTGACTAACCCCCTTTTTTTAAACAAGGCCGCTTCCATCCCTGAAGGTCAAAATACGTTGAAGAGGAACCAGCTTCGTGAGCTTGCAGCTTTGAACGGTACTCTCCGTGATGACGAAAACCAGGCCTGCCAGAACTGTAAGTATTCTTTCTCTATCTATCTATCATTTGTTTTTTCCATCATACTAATTATCTACACAGGTGGTCAAATCGGACATCGTAAATACGACTGCCCAGAACAGAGGAATTTCACAGCCAACATAATCTGTCGTGTCTGTGGTAATGCCGGCCACATGGCCCGTGATTGTCCTGACAGACAGCGCGGTGCCTCTTGGAGGAATGATGACCGTGGCGGACCTGGAGGTCGCGGTGGATTTAGTGGCGGCAGCCGTCCGGCCGGTGGCATAGGAGACGCCGTCGATCGCGAATACGAGCAACTCATGCAAGAACTTTCAGGCGGCGGGGCTGCAGCTATTGGCGGTGGAACCGAACAACGAGCCATTGAAGCTGGACCTGGTGGTAACGAAGGCGGTCAGAGCGAAGGTGGGTATCGTGGCGGTTATGGCGGTCGTGATGACCGCGGTGGATACAATAACAACAACCAAGAAGGCGGCGAGCGAAACCTCAAGCCCTGGCAAAGAGGCCCTACTGGCGCTGCTGCACCATGGCAAAATCGTCCCCCACGTGAAGATCGCGGTAGCTATGGCGGTAGTGGTGGCGGCGGCGGCGGCGGTGGTGGCGGCCATCACCAAAACCGTGACCATGCTGGAGGTGCTCCACCATGGGCCGGCGGTAGCGGAGGCGGAGGCGGAGGAAACGACCATTACGGAGGTCGCGATCGCGGACAACCACCACCACCCCCTCCTCCTTCACAGGGTTCCGGGTATACACCTTGGGCTCAAGCCCCCGGTGGCAACTCTTACGGATCTTATGGATCTTATGGTGCTCCAGGTATGGGTGCTCCAGGAATGACAGCTCCACCAGGGATGTATGGACATTATTCGCAGTACGGACAGGGTGTCCCACCACCTCCACCACCCCCAGATGCAGGTGCACCACCACCACCACCCCCTCCACCAAGTGATTCCATCCCACCACCTCCACCACCAGCTTAGTCGCGCTGAATGTTACGGAAAGAACGGGGTGAATTTGTTAACCTATCGCGTTGGACCCGTTTCTCGGAAAAGTCGTTTTATTTTCCCTTTGATTTCAATCTGCACCTAACCAATTCGTAGAGTCCAGTTCTCGGGTCTCCCTGATTGCTTGTGTCATGGAGAAAGGCGTCTAACTTGATACTAACCCATCAAACTGACTCTAAAGGCACTCCTTATGATGTTTTTACTTATTTTCCTTATGTTTAGTGTGCTTTTTTTGTTCTTACTAACTGTTGACTAACCGTAACTTACTAATTGCGATCTTAATTAATGTACTAACGAACCGGGGGGGAAACGAGGAACTAACCGTGAGACAGGGTGCACTGACATGGCCCAGGTACATTCTACCATTCGTGACGACTAACTACTACTGGGCTGGCCGCTTTTGAACCATAAGGTCCTATCATACTGATACTAGCACTAACCCCACTAACATAATCCTCCTCCTCACTTACACCCTTCGTAGATCCTTACTATGTGTTCGACATGTCGAATTTGTGATTTCTAACACTTTTGGTTATTGCCTGCGATTGCTTATGATTCGAGCTCGCTGTAGTTGTAGTTGACTAGCGGGCAGATACTTTTCAACCAAGTTCTCCATTGCTGTCTTGGGGTATTATATATATACATCCTTCTAAGGTTAAGACTTGGCTTTTTTTTAGTCTTCTTTCAAGAAAAGACAGTGATACCTTGGAGAGATTTACACCTCTGTTGATAGGAATGTAGATACTCTTATTGAATATAATGATAAGATCTTTATGATGATTGTATACTGTATGTGAAGTAGTAGTAGTTTATTCAATGGGGAGTAGCAGCTAGGTTGTCTTTTGTGCTGAGGAGAAGGAGGGTATAGTCATCAGTGTGGTGATATGAGGACTGAGCATTGAACTCAGCACTCTGTTTCTTTAGCTAGCAACATCCTCCATCCTTCATCATCATCGTCATCCCATCACCATCTCATCAGCTCAAGACAGACTCATCATTGAAATCACATCGTCATCTTCATTCCATCATCTCGCTACTCCAATTACTCTCTCCATTATCAAAATCATCTCAAAGCCTCGGAGAAGCTTCTCTCTGATACACTCCTAGGAATCTACCTCCTCAGTTTGCCCTTAATACGGACTGTGAATCTTAAGCTACGGGCAACAGAGGTGTCAGGGTCGTGGGTCACCACCACCAAGTAACTTGACACGCACGCACCAAAAAAATGATGCCAGGAAGCGAGTTCGTGCGAACTGGAAATGGCCAATGGACTAAGGTACCGGGTTCTCGACTCGCCGAATCCATCCTCCATCGCAGTCTATCAAGGGAGCTAGGACTCAGTTTGCGTGCAGAAACGATTAACGACGGTAACGGGAATTTTTTCCCTCCTGTCGTAGCTGCACAGCGTATACTAGCCCCACAACCTCAGACTGCTGCTGCCGCTGCTGCCTCCATTTCCTCGATTGCAAATACTTTAGGTGAAGCTTCTTCTTCATCTCCGACGTCAACTATCACTACGACTAAAGAAATGGATACGACTCAAGACGAATATACATTGTTTACTCGACCTCGTCGAACCATGCTCCCGACGATATTGGCCGACCAGGCTAAGGGTAAGATCAAGGCTAAGGTTCAAGTACAGGCCCAAACTCAAGCTCAAATCACGGCTACGGCTACGACTACGGCTTCGACACCAGCTCCGGTTGCTGTTACTACTACTGTGACCGTCAATCTTCCTTCCCTTCCCTGGAGTATTGACGGGAAAGATAAGAACCTCTGGGTTAAGGAGAAGACGACTGACGGCCTTCCAACGACTGCATTTTCGGCTGCTAATCGTGCCGTGATGGAGAAATCGACTATGAAGCTCGAGCGTTTGATCCAGTATGAAGCTCGACTTGAAGAACAGAAGGCTACTGCTCCGGCTACACCTGTCCCTACTACCATTGATCCCGAGGACTTGCTTCCTAAGTACTGTCCGCTCAATCCTGACCTACCTGAAGAATGTAAGTGGTTCGAATTTAGGCTGTCTGGTATGAATTGATGCTAACTATCTCGATAGTCAGGAACATGACTGTCAACCAAATCTTCGAGACTTGTTACAAGCGTTTGATGGCTAGAGAAGAGCCTAAGATTGAAGAGGGTCCTCAAAATGGGGCCGAGCAAGCTCCTGAAGATGACGATGACAAGCAATCTGTCGATTCGATTGTCAGCTCTGAAGCTTGCAGTGAGGATCTTCCGTTCATTTCTTCGGTCAATGTTTACTCTATGCGAAAGCGAGAGATCCAACGTGCTCGCAAGAAGCAAGCTGCCATGAATGCAAAGCTTGGAGTTGTTACATCGTCATCCTCAGCTACCCCCCCAGAAGAAGAGACTATTCTTGATGCGGGGGAGGTCTCCTTCGCATCAGGGAATAGTGACCCGGGGCAAGGCGATGAAACTCCCTTGTTCACCATCCGTTCCAAGAAGCAACCGATCAAAATTGTCGACCCCAAAACGCTTCAACGCCCTGACAAACCTAAGTCTCCTAAAGACCTAGCTAACGACGTGGAATTTCTGAAGCGAGGATTGCTTGTGTTGAGTACTGGCGCCGAGCTAACCAGTCAATCCTATCAGATGTTCAAAGAAGTGGGTATGGATGCTACCATTCTCGCGCAGACTTCGGAGTGGTGTAGATACATCCATGAGTTTGTTAGGACGACGGGCGTCACCCTTCAAAACCTTGATAATTTGAAGAAGGCTCAGATGAGGAGCGCTATCTTCGAGCAGGTTGGACAGTGCATGGGGCATAAAAAGAAAATGGATAACTCGATTCTCGGATGGACAAACTTTGCTATCTCGATGTTTCCAGTCGAGGCTTCTTCAGACGGGAAGGAGTCTCCCCCAGAGAACACGGGAGGTGTCAGGCTTGACGATACAGTTCCGACTCCACAGACGAAGCTACCACCGAAGGTCACGCACATGCACAACAAGGCCTGCCAGGATCTGAACCATGAATTGCAAAGGTTGACAGAAGACAATAAGCTCAAGTTCAAAACGTTGCTTAGGATGCTGATTGACTCTCTGAGCGAGTGCAAAGACTGGATCATCAAGGCTCCCTCTTATGCAAAAGCGAAGCCTTTGAGGTATACCGAGCTCAAGCCGCTTGAAGGCTTGCTAGTCCCCTCGATCGAAGTTGAGGCACCCAGCGAGATGAAACGAGGAAAACAGATTGAGGTGGTTGTTAAGCAGGAGATATCTGAGCATGTTCATGTAAGTGCGGCCATAAAATTTTTTTTTTGAAAAAAAAAATTTCCGGTAAAAGAAAAGATTTGCTGATTCTTAGGGAAAGGTTACTGTGATTGAGAATGCAGGAAAACGCACCGTCGTTCAAGACGTTGAGATGAAAGAACATACGGAGCCAGGGCTTTCTACTGAACTCAACCAACAGGCATTTTATCATGCTCAACAGGCTCTTGGTTGGTATCAACCGGGGTTTGCTATGCATGGTTATGGTCAGCAAGGAAGAACTCGCGGGGAATATATGCAGCACAATGGAAATCAGGTCCTTCGTCCACGATCCGCTGTCAACCAGCAGATGAACAACGATGGGTACCAACAGGGCCAACATCATGGCAACTACCAACCGGAAGCAACGAATAGGCAACTGCATAGGAGCCAACATAACATCTCTCGCGGTAGACAAGGCACACGCTCGGGAGTTCAAAGTCGACAACCTTCCACCGTTGGTACTCGCCAAAATAACTATGGCAATGCTCACCAGGTTTCCCATGGTGGCCCGCAGTTCCCAACTTATGCTCCAACACCGAATAATGAATATCTTTACAACCCTGAAGCTGGTGGTTATCAGGATATGAGGTTCCAGTATAATCATAACCAACCCCAAGGTCCTCATCAACAACCTGTTCTTCAGCATCCGCAGCCATGGCGTACTATTGCAACTAGTGATGGTCCCTATTTGGAAACAGGACACCCTCACCAGTTCTCCCAAGCTCCACCTAATCCTCGTTCCACACCAGATACCGCGGTTACTTCTGGAGAGTATATGCGTCAAGACCGCCCTGTTACTCACGCTGTGCCTCAACCGCTGCAGCGCAGTATGACGGTCACGCCGCAGATTATGCAACACCCTGGTATCATCCACAATCATCATGGTGGGGGTGAGCAATATGGCGGTGGTCATGGGATGACGTTCCCTCAAGGTGGCGGTGGTGGACTTTACTCAGGATATGGGCATACAGGATGGCATTCGCATAATGGGCACCCGATGCAGCAGTCTCAACAGCAAGCTGTTCAGGGTCGCTCTGGTAAAGGTGTGATGTATCAACAGTATGGCCATCATCAAGGGCAATATCGTTGATGTTTTCTGTTCGTTGGTGTTCAAGTGTTTCGCTTGAATACAGGTTGGGACTTCTTTTGGTTACTCGCCTGTTCTTCCATCCTTTTCTTTATCTTTCCCTTCTTTCCCTTTGTTTTCGGTGTGCTGGCTGCTAATTCCATTGGAATGGTGCTGTTCTTAGCCGGGATCGGGAATACCCCTTTCACTTTTTCCGGATTTTAGAACCATTGACGTTGCGTTAATCGTGACGTTTTGGTTTCACTATTTCTTTTTGTATTTCTTTTTGTGCTTCGTTTCTTTCTTACTTTCTTTCTCATGATCCATGCAGATATCATGCGATGGATTGGGGATCTTAGGGGAGGCTGTAGATAGGAGACGAAAACGAAAAAAAATCAAAACTTTTACTCGAAAATATTTGTCTGGTTCTTTTTGCAGTCTCGCATTCTTTTTGATTTTACATCTGTGTCGTTGAAATCTGTGTTGATATGTGGTATTGTGCTTCTTGATCGCCGAATCTGGTTAGATGGTAGAAAGGGTCCTGGTCTGATTGGTGATACAGCCTCGAGCTAACAAGCTAACAAGCAGGGAACATCGAGTCTAATGATTAATTCGATTGACTTTGCTAGGAGCTTAACTCCAACCGTCCAACATCTCCAACATCGATCGATTGAGAGAGACCGGCCCCATGACCTCTCGGATTCTCCATGTTACCAATGCGCTTCCCTGATTCTTGAATGGCCACCACATCATCCCACGTCGATCCCGACTGCATTCCGCTGGCTTGGCGTGGGTGTTTTGTCTGATGCGGGTCTTGTCGCACGTTTCCCCACACCATGCGGAGGCTAACTAGGCAAGGGTTTTTTGTTCGTAAGGCGGCAGTCGGGCCAATTTACCCCATATTTTTTGTAACCATGATCGGGCTGAGCTGAGCTTCCAGTTTTTTGTCCTTCCCTCCATCTTCCCCTCCCCCCTCTTTTCTTCTCCGAGATTTCTTATTTTTATTTTTTTATTAAGATTGAATCTTCCGAGAGGATTAAGACTTCGGAAGATTTTTTGTTTAGAATATTTTATTTATATACGCTTTTTTTTATTGAGTGAGGGAATTCGAACAAACTGTTTATTGTTTACATCGGGGGGGATAGAAAGACCCGGCGGCTATTCGGCGTCATCATCGGCGAATTCGAAGCTGTTGCACGCTGACCTGCGGTTTCTTACTTTTTGATAGAAAGATTTTGAGGATTTTTTTTAAAAATTATTTTTAAACAGTTTTTTGAAGAATAAGCCCGTGAGCTTATTTCTCTTATCTTCAATCCTCTCGTCTCCCCGTCCCGGAAAACCCAAAAGAACCCTCTTCTAGCTACCCATTCACCGCCAACAAGAAGGAGGCCGGGTTGCCCACAACCCCTCCCGCCTTCACCACAATATAACAGTCATGAATATCCTCCTCCTCCTGATAACGTTCCTCCCGGCTACGATCCTCTCCGCCAGTTTAACACCCGCCACGATCCCACTGTTTGTTCGAAACCCCTACCTCTCACTATGGCTCCAAAACGCGCGTCAAGAGCCCTGGAGCCGGTGGCCGATGTTCTGGACCGGGATGGAAATCGGATTTGGGGTGTTACTCAAAGTGAATCACACCGTATACCCACTTTTGGGAAAACCGCATGATTCGTTGGATGGTAGTAATAATAAGGAAGGGGAGTATTTGGTTAAATATCCTGAGTACCATGGGGTAGATTTTGATGCGTCGACTACTTGGTTGAGGTACTCTGTTGGGGATGAGGTGGATGTGAAGTTGACGTTTACGAGTCCGGTTACGGTGAATGATACTATGAGGCAGAGTATTCCGGCTGGGTATTTGGAGGTTGAGGTTGTTGGGGTTGTGGATTGTGAGGTTTATGTTGATGTTAATGGGTGTATGTTCTCCCACTCCTCTTCTTTGGGTCGTCGTTACTTTTTACTAGGGGGTTTGAGGGCTAATTGATATATTGGGGGGGGTTTTTTTTAGTGTGGGTTACTGGTGATAGGGGGAGTCAGATACAATGGGAGATGGTGGAGCATGGAGGGTTGAGGAGTTGGAAGGTTACGAGGTCTAGAGAGGAGCATTTTTCGGAGAAGTGGGATAGAGCGGAGTGGGGGAGTTTGTATTTTACTGCTCCGAAGGTATGTATTCTTTTTCTTCTTCTACGTTTTTAATTTTATCATGGGTGATGATATTGAAGGAAGGTTTATTAGAACACTCACTACGAAAGTAACGATTCCGGACCTTTACGTCGACGATTCGCGAAGGGTAGTTCTCTTCGAAATGCGACAGATACTCGATTCCGAGAAGTAATGGACGCCGAACCGGTCTTTGCCTTTTCAAAGTACTTCCGTCTTTCCGAAAATTCCTCAGATGATTCTTCTTCCCCACGACGTGAATCTGCTATTTTTACTATCGCACATATTCAAGATGAAGTCGCACGCTTCGCCTCCGCACGAGGAATTACCAGCATGCGACCCCTCTGGAAGGGATACTTCGAAGATCATTTCGATTTAATCCATTTCCATTACCACGATTACTCCACATCATCTTTAGAGGCCGATAAGTTTAATAAACAACTAGTAGAACACGCATCCCGTGCCATGTCTGGCGTTGCGGCGGATACATACACCGATATCCTACTCCTTTCGACCCGACAAGTCCTCGGAGGAACATCATTCAGCGGAACCCCATCGCGACCATTACTATTTCTTAAAGAAATCAGTAGTGATGGCAATTTCCAAACGATAGATGTTATTTTCCCCGCCTTTCCGTTCTTTTTATACGTTAACCCCTCGTGGTTGAGATATCTGTTAGAACCGTTGTTGGAACATCAGTCCGCGGGGTTGTATCCTAATGATTATAGTATGCACGATTTGGGATCTAGTTTTCCTAATGCGACGGGTCATCCGGATGGGAGGGATGAGTATATGCCTGTTGAGGAGTGTGGGAATATGTTGATTATGGGGGCGGCGGTTGTGGGGAATTTGGTGGAGGAGAATGGGGGAGGGGAGAAAGGGAGGAAAGTTGCGAAGGAGTGGTTGGAAGGAGCGTGGGGGGATGGAGGGAGGTTTAGAGGGAGGTATGATCTTTGGAGGAAGTGGACGGGGTATTTGGTGGAGTTTGGGTTGTTGCCTGCTACGCAGTGTTAGTATTCCTTTCCCTTCCTTCCTTTCTTCTTTTTTTTTTTTTATTTGAGGGGAGAAGTGCTGATGATTAGGGGGGTTGGTGTAGTGTCTACCGATGACTTTGCGGGAAGATTAGCGAATCAGACGAATTTGGCATTGAAGGGGATATTGGGTATCAAAGCCATGGCGGAGTTGGCGAGCGTGGTGGGGAATAGTAAAGACGAGAAGCATTTTACCGTAAGTTCTTATTTTCCTCTTCTTCTTCTTTTTAATCTTTTACCATTTATAAACTATGATATACTAATTTGGAGGGAACAGGATATCGCGAACTCGTATATTAAAAAATGGCATTCCCTGGCCATCTCCCGAGATGGTACACATACAAAACTAGCGTATCACTGGCAAGGATCATGGGGTACTCTCTACAACCTCTACGCGGATAGTTTACTATGTTACCGAAAGGGATTACAAAGCCCCCTCGCCCAATTCTCAACTCTACAGAAGGGATCATCTAGAAAGGGACGGTTCCAAAGACCATTAAATGATGATGATGACGACAACAAAAAACCAACAGACGGTGGTTTCGTCCCCGAAGATATATATACAAAACAATCGGATTGGTATACCCTCGTCGAACAAAAATACGGATTACCGTTAGACTCACGACATTTATATACCAAATCCGATTGGGAATTCTTCGCTGCAGCTATATCCGCCAGAAAGACTCGAGAGAACATTATTTTGAGCGTGGGGAGGTGGGTTAATGAGACTAGTACTGATAGACCTTTTACGGATCTTTATGATACTGAAGGGTCAGGAGGGTTTCCGGGGATTTGGTTTATGGCTAGACCGGTTGTTGGAGGACATTTTGCGGTTTTGGCATTGGAGAGGGCGTGTGGTGGGAAAGGGTTGAAGGGGTTGGAGTATGAAGGGGATGTTTGGGGGATGGCGGGTGGTGAGAAGGGGGATGAGGGGAAGGGGGTGATTAAGAGTGGGCAGACTGTTTTTGGGAATTAAATGGGGGGTTTTTTTGAGATGTATAAGATAGTATTGAAGATATGGTTTTTTTTTCTCTCTTCGTTTTATTCGTAAGATTTTGTAGGAGAGTCGTTTATAAAGATAATAAAAACGGTTATCTTGTGAAGTTTTTTTTCTTCATTTGTGTACTTTCGAGATAAATACATAGGAAAGTAGAAATGAACAAAAAAAGAGGGTATATACATACATACATTGCATCCCAACATACTCTCCCGTCGTCAATCCCTCTCCTTTTTTTTATATCTTTCTCATTGAATACCATACCATATTTCTCGAGAATATAGAAAAGAAAAAAAAAAAGAGGGATATTGAAAAACCAAAAATATTTATTATTTAAAATAAATAATAATTTTGGGACGACGGGGAGCGATGTTAGTGTTTCCAAGGACCACCGGGGTTAACCGTTGTCTTACTGGAATCGTAAGAGCCTTTTACTAAACCTAATTTCTTCATTGCTGCGTCGTCACGGACGTGACCTAGACCCATTTCGTAGCGGCGGATTGCGTCGTTGATTTTGACGACTTTGTCCATCTGTATAGATCATTTTTTTGTTAGTATGGTATGTATGTATTTATGTATTTGTGTTTGAGGTTGGGGTTTGGAGTGGTTGTTTTGGATGATTCTGTTGGTAGAGGAGGCTTATAAAGGTATTCTCGTCGAAGTATATATCTGTATATGCCTTTCCTTTCACTCCGTTCTCTTCGTCTGATATCCATTCGATAGAATCTCTCCATAACCCCCTCTTCCTCTCCAGCAACCCTTTCAACCACTATAACAACCCATAACCACAACAATTCCATTCCATGTCGGGAACAATGATAGCAGGAGAATAACAGACTAACCTCCTTAGTATGATGCAAACACTCGTAATAATCGTCGCGATAAGGCCGGCAAAGTAGTTTTCCGGCGTCGGAGTATTTCGTCGTGTTCATGATGTAGCAGGCCAGGAAATCTTGCCAGAAAGGGAAGCAGGGTGTTACACCTATATTTGTCAACGGTTTTTGGTTAGCTTTATGTGGCTTTTATGGATAGTAGAATGGTGGTATGTAAGGTGGGTTTTGAAGGTCGGGGGAAGGGGATTATATGTACCGCCGGTGGCACCGTATCCTGACGCCATTGTCCAGGAGGATGAATGTGTATATGTATGGAATATGAAGGAGGTCCCCCTTTTTTTTGTCGATGGCCGTCGAGGAGGGGGGGGTAGCTGGGAATTTGGGATTCCTCTGGGTGGTGGGTGGCTTCTTAGTTGTCGGAAGTCAGTTGTGAGGTCACTTTTCTGTTATATTCGAAAGTCGTCGCATTGAATTGAAATCGGATGTTGTTCGATTGGCCGGTTTGGAGTTTTGTCTGTTTTTGGAAGGTTGGATGATGACAAACGGATTAGATGGACAACGCGACAACACATGGACGTCATATTGGTCATGGCGTGACGCCCAGACCTCCATCGGAGATATCTTGCTCCGACTGTTCCAACGGACTTCTAACCTCAACTTCAACTTCAACTTCAATTGATATTGATATTGACAAAAAATAAAAATAAAAAATTATAGTAATCAAATCTTTGAGAAATAAGAAATTTTTCAAAATGCCATTGATATCTACCGTCTACGCAGCCTCCCACCTGCTATCCTACAGCTTCCTCTTCGGAACTCAAATCTGGCACTCCTTCATCGGCGGCATCAGTACGTTTTCCCCTCACCATACATACATACAATTGTACAAAATAAATAAATCTAAATTACTAACTTACACTAAAAAAAGTCTCCTTCCGCGTCCTCCCCCGCGCCTACTTCAGCGCCCTCCAACGTCGTCTCTTCCCAATCTACTTCTCTCTCCAACTAATCCTCTCCCTCGCCCTCCTCCTCACAACCCCAACATCCCTAAAACAACTCCAACCCTCAAAAACCTATGGTTTCCTCCTAACCGTTCTCGCAACATCATTCCTAAACGCCGTTGTTGCCGGCCCTTTTACCACCAGAACTATGGATAAGAGGAAGGAACAGGAGGTATTCGATGGTAGAAGTTACGATGGGAGGAAATTACCGGGGGTTACCGAGGGAGCTGAGAGGGGTGGGGATAAGGAGAATGAAGAGGTTAGGGTTAGTGATGAGATGAGGACTTTGAATAAGAAGTTTGGGATGTGGCATGGGATTAGTAGTTTGTTTAATTTGGGAAGCGTGGTGGGGACTATTGGGTATGGTGTGCTTTTGGCGGATAAGATTAATTTTGATTAGGTCTTTTATTAGTAATATTGTCTCTGGGGGGTTTTTGTGGTCTACTTAGTATGTAAGTGGGTAAGTAGATACTAATGGGAGCTGATATGTGGGATGGAATGGATATGTATGTAAGTGGTCGGTAAGAAGTTGGCGATGTATGATAGAGATGGAGGGGGGGGGGTAGGAGGAGTTTATAATCTCAGCTTGGTCTTCACTCACTTAACTCAATTTACCTTGAACCTCAACTTGATTAACTTACGAATCTACGAAAGTATATAATCCGATTTAGAAAAAAAAACAACCATTTTCATTAATATATCTTTGCGACTAACAGTCGCAACAGCAATTCTTGGTTAAAAAAAAAAAATTAAAATTAAAAACGGGTGGCCCTCTCGGCCCGCAACAACAACTCCCCCGCCACGTCCCCCTCCGCCGCCAACTCCAAGATGATGTCCCTCTGGACCATCATCTCGCCGCTGACGACATCATCGGCGGACCACTCCCTGTACAGTGCCTGCAAGTATTTTGCACAGCACTTCATCATCTGCCCCAAGTTTTCACGGGCGGGCTTGGGGACCCGCGAGAAGGCCGCGACTGGGGTCACACGCCTGTGTGACCCCGGAGCCGTGTCCGGCTTGGACACGAAGATGTCGATCAGCTTGCAGATCGTCGTCGTCGTGTCGTAGTGGCGAAGGCGAAGGCGCATCAGGCGATCGCGTGGGATGAGGATAAGCAGGAGCTCGAGCACCTGCGTGATGCAAACGGCGGAGTCATTGAACCTCTTAATGATCTCCTGGTAGTGGTCCCCGTTGATGTTCGGGGGAGGGTTGAAGGCGTGCTCGGCACACCGGCGGCAGCGTTCGTACAAGCTGACCAAAGTGTCCCGGACTATATATATTCGCAAATACTTTTAGCATGTTGTCTCAGTATTAGTGATATAAACAAGAGGGTATACGTACTGTTGTTCCATCCGGTTTCGGTGCGACACTTCATCGCAGCGTTCTCTAGGGCGGCCTCGTTGGCCGCACCCAGAAGCTCCATCCCCATCTTTCGGAGCCCATCGTACCCCTTTGCTCTGTAGTCCTCCGGGACGTCGAAGTAGTTGACGTTCAAAAACGTCCCCGCCATCGTCTTGATGGTCGCCATGATGACTTCCTCGTCATGATACTTTTGGCTAACCTTCACAGCATAGTAGAACAAGGTGTATGCCGAGATGATGACACGGTCCTTGTTAGGATCGAAGATTGGGATGCGATCATCCTGATGTTGGTAGTCAAGCAAGCTCTAAGATCCTGTTAGAATATATTACCGTAGAGGGAACAATGGAACCAATAGAATAACTTACGATGGCTACCTCGATGCCAACCTTGTGGCGGAAGAGCTGACGCATAACCGGGTGGTTTTGCGGTTCAGTATGGCGAACTAACGTACCATACTTCTCGAGACCGTTCAAGAACCATCCCATCATCTGTAGAAACTAATGTCAGTATCTAAGTTTTCTATGGATATGCAAACATGGTTCTACTTACAATATCACAACATCTGTCGGGATCCTCCTCCCAGTTTTCTTTCAGGAGAGGGATGAACCATTCCTCATATTTCGTAAGAAGCTTGATAGCCTGGGGCAAGTAGAGTGGCTCGGTGTTCTGGTACGCATACTTGACGAAAACCCACCAGAGAAGGTTAATGATGGTTCGGCTGGGTCTGACTTCCCCTCGAGCTAGTGTACCGTTAACATATATATATATATATTGAGATATATCTCTGAGACTTCACTTACGAGTTCCACTGTTGGCAGCTCTTTCCGGAGAGCGAAGGTAGGCGTAAAGCAAGATGAGACGGATAAGAACGTCAGGATGTTCTCCAACCTTTCTGGGAAGGTTCTGTGGGTCTCCTTGATAGTCTGCTGGTAAAACCTCGGAACACTCTCTCAAAACATGCTTGGGGTCAAGTTTAGTCAAATACTTCCTGAGGGACTTGATGGCCGAATCAGGGATCTTTTCTTTCTCTCTCATAGCCAACAAATATTGAAGGCGGAAGCGAATGCCGTTATCCCCAAGTCGGATATCAAAGATACCCATTGGGCATTCGGTGATGACTGGAGCTCGAATCTTGACAGATCGCTGCCATTCGAGGGGGGGAAAATCATCGAGTCCATACAGACGCTCACCAGCGCTGACGAGTGTATCCTAAACAACATCGTCAAAGGCAAGACACTGAGTGGCAACTCGGCAATAGTTAATGAGTCTTTGACGGCCAGCAGAGAAGAAGTTGCGGGCGAAATGGTCAATGAGAGTCTTGTTGTGGTCATTACTTTCTTGGCTCTCGTAGATTTGAGTAAGGGTTTTGATGCAGGATCCAACGGAATCAATGATTTCCATTGGAAGTTCGATCGTTTCGTCGGTAGTATCAAAAAGATGGTTGTTGAGAAGGGTAAGGGCGTAATCAACCAACATTTTTGGAGTCTTTTCGCGGTCCATCAAGGTATGTTCGCAGTGAACGCCGAGTGGATAGCCAACGCTTTCGCGGTACAAGCGGTATCCGTAGAGCCAAAATCCATGGCTGCAAAGGAAGAAAGTTTTGGCATGGAGGTGGAGGATTTCAAAGTCCATCTTGGTAACTGTTGCCTGACTCTTGTGGAGGTAACGACAGACAGCCTCTGCAAAATCGATTTTACCTTGGTTGGAGACACAAATTCTGATCCACATCTCGCGAAAACCCTCAAAGAGACCATCAAGGTATCTAGTAGTTGGGTTTTGATGAACAAATGGATTGGTGCCTATTAAATTGAGATTTCTGTTAACAAGGTTTCCGATGAAGTAAAAAAGCATACGAAGAGAATGATGAAGAGAAACTTACGAGAGAGGTTCCAAAGGGTGATACCGACGACTTCATCCCAGGGACTCAACATACAGTCGTTGATCATTTCGTTGACGCGTTGGATTTTGTCTTTATGCATAGCACCAATACCTTTGCTCAACATCTTGAGCATCAAGGTACGAGCATGCTCTCGATAATCTCCCTCAAGTGGGATGGTGTATTCATCTTCGTCAATTTCGATTTCGGATTCATCTTGGTCTTTGGCCTCACCTAGCCCGACCCTTTGCATACTGCGACGAAGAGCATCCATATCTCCGTCGTTTTGATTTTTACTTACGTTATCGTTCTGACGCGCTGTTTTTGAAGCTAAGTTTTCGAAGAAGCCCTTGAAGACGATGGAAGGATCTTCAAGGCCGAGGTAGGCTTTGTTAAGGTGTTTGCAAACAATCGTGCAGGTAGAGACGACAGGGTCAAAGTGAGGTTCAGGATTACCAGTAGGATAGGTTAACTTGTTATTGTAATACGCGATCTCTGGTGAAGAAGGACAATGGGGAGGTGGAGGAGTAGATGAAGGTGAGTAAAGTCGTTGCTGCCAGAGGGGGGTAACACCAGCAGGTAGAAGGGTGTCGGGTGTGAAATCTGCTGGAGAAAGCTGCAGTCGAGGAGGCAAGTTGATTCGGTGCCTTGGATCCATTGTGGGACGTTTGTTTGATTCTGTGACTGCTTTTAGAGCGTTTGGTCGCGATGATGACGATGATGAAGTCGTGATGACGATGGAGATGGCGATGGAATCGTCGTGTCGCTGAGGAGTTTGGTTGGTTGTGAGGATGAACGGAGAGGAGGACGTTGCTGGTGTGTGTCCAGTCTTAGCAAATTTTGGTCAACACCACTCCTATCTATTGACACACTAACATCATAGGCGTAAACACTGTCTATATTGCAGGCGCGGTCCACACTTTGCTAGGTACTTAGTCTTCACTCTAACAACTAGACTAGTGACCTACAGAACTTCAATACTACTTTTCTGGGGAGTTTATCAGGGTATTCACAACTGAAGTGTTTTTATTAGAACCCATGAAAGCATATAAGTTGTAGAATAGGTACTATCTATATTCAGAGTACTTTATATATGTATTTAGTCGCTGGCTCTAACTTCATACTGCATCAGATCATACGAACATACAACATCTATGGTACTCTCCGGCTTGGTATCTTTTGCAGTTTGGAATATTCCAGCAGCAGATTCTCGAATAGCTTCCATTATGGCAGCTGCAGCATCACTACTTCTTGGATCCGCATATCTCGAACTGAAGTGATTCAGCAATAGAACGCCCTTTGGCTTTTCAACCCCCTTCGACTTCCCCTTCTTTCCGCTTTCTTCGGCCATAACCCTTCCTAATACCCCACCGGTAACTCCCAACCCAATCGTAACTGCAAACTCTGCTGCCATTTCAGGCGTAGAATGCCCATGTTCGATTGTCTTCCTCTTAACATCTTCATATGTTTCGCCTTCCTTATACTCCTTACTTTCTTTCCCAAGCTTGTCCCCCAAAAAGGCATTGGTAGCTTCATGAATAAGGACATCACTCCCACTAGCCAGGTTCGTAATCGGTGAGGAATCACAAGTATCTCCCAGGACCGTAATCTTCCTCCCTCTACGAACCGGTGGACTCATAAGTCTATCACCATTCGGTAAATCGATAAACTCCCCTTCTCCAAGTGCTGTAACCTTTGATAATAACGACATGGGATTTTTAGTCCCGCTTTTTATAAGTGCTTCCTTATTTACCATAATCCTTTCCCTATAATCGGGTGTAATTTTCCCCGGTAGCGGTGGTTCTGTGAGAACATACCCAAGACAGGGGACGGAATGTAATATCGGGCCAGCTGATACTTCCCACTCCATTGGTTGCGATGACTCTGTTGACGATAAGATATCTTTCCAATATCCGTCTTTGTCCGGGAATATATTGTAACCGGGTAGTTCCATTGGCATCATATCTTCAGCTGTATCCTTCACCTTCGCACGCTCTTCAATCCCGTCTGTTTGGGAATGTAACTCGTGTACAACATAGCTCCCACCCAAAAGACTTCTCGTCAATCGGAACGAAGTCCTGATATATTCTCTCAATCCTTCTGGTCCATAAACCTCAAAATCTGCCTCCCTTTTTCTCTCTCCCTCTTTCCCGGTGGCAGTCACAACCCTGGGATCCTCGACTCCCACGGTACCCCCAGCTCCGTTTAAAAGTGTACAAAGCAATGGCACAATCCCAAACATATGATCTCCATGCATATGTGTGATAAATATCCGTCTAAGACTCGAGAGCTTGAAACCCCCCGCTACTTTTTGCAATTGATGTTGTGTTGCTTCACCTGCATCGAAGAGGTAGGTACTACCGGAGGGCAGGGTTATAGAAAGTGAAGAATGGTTTCTGGTAAGAGATGGCACAGCTGATGAGGTCCCTAGAAAGCTGTAATTTGGAGGATTTGAAGCTGTTAGTTGTGTTTAGGAATTTTTGTGGTGGGTGGCACGTGGGGTTGTACGTACGTTATTACTACCGGAGGAGCCATCGTATCCAAACTCTAGATTCAGATCTTTTAAATGATGAGCTATATGGCCTGTATGGTCCGCGATCTGATTATCGAATAGAACAGATCTCACGGTTGGTGGTGTCGGGTAGCTTGGTTGTTTAAAGAGCCGCCTGCACGTGCACTGACTCAGCCATCATACGTTAATCGGGGAGTGTCACACAAAATAGGCAGGGGTCAGATCCAACACCCCGCAACGCAACTACAGCTCAGCACACCGCACCGTTGGATCCTTATGCGCGTATAGTCTCGGAGCCATGCGCATGATATATGTCTTCTTACTTGTTCCTTTTAAAAGTACAAAGTATTTACGATCTTGCTAGCTGGGAGGTAGTGTTTTGAAAAAAACAAGAATGATTACGCTAATAGTTATCAACACCTCGGCTTCGAGGCTGTCCCCTATCCCCAAACATTTGCTAGGAAGAGAACGAGACACAGATGTTGGGAGGATTAGGGTAATCCTTCCTTTCACCCGGCCATTGCAGAACTAGTGGCTCTCACAGAGAAAGGAGGGGCTACCCCGCAACAGGATTATGGAATTTTGAATTAAATATCGAAATATAAGACGAGAGTTCTCGTGACGCGTGCTATTTGCTAGTTATACAGAATAGAAAGGGATTGAAAGTACATCTTGAATGCTAATATCCTTATAAAAAAAGAGAGAATTAAATTGAACTAATAAACTTTGCATGACTCATTGGGTTGAGCACGAAAAGTATGGCTAGACTGAATACACTAGACATAATGATAGTATTGGGGTGTTTATAAACTTTGTGAGAAGGAATAGCGTCGTGAGTGTCCAGTCTCGTAACCAAACCGTGTTGGGTACGTGAGTGTCTTCGCCGCCTCTGCAAGGGTGTGAGGATAGTTCGGTGTTTGACAATTCATTGGTTTGTTCGAGGTAGGAATATTTGCGGCGTTGGAAAATTTAAGGGCGGCGGATCACTAGTTTCTCCCTCTTTGAACCGAATAAATATAACAAAATAAAGAGAGTGTGCTAGATCTTTCTTATGCGGCCCAGTTGGATAGGTTTGTGGATTTGAACAAGTGGCAACAACGATTGGGCAGGTGTATGCGCACATCGGGGGGTTATCTATTGTAGATACAGGTGTATATTGTCTCTGGCTCCTGCGCAGCACCGCCCCAGAAGTAATGTAATTACTTAATAGTAATATTCAAAAGTTTGCTCTGGGAGGTTATTCTACTCATCGGGGTTCTTGACTCGCCTCATCCTGTTCGGCTGATTTATCACCACTTTCGGAACCCGCTGATCTTTTAGATAACGTGCTGCCGAGACCTTGCACAGAACGTAAATCAGTGAAGGATGACCATGGGGCGACCTCTCGGTACCCTTCTGGCCCACTTAAGTAAAATGGCTCCTTGGTTCCGGGAGCCAAATAGCTTTCCGTAGGTAAACTCTCCATAACGCCATGTTGTTCATGTGTATACTGCCTATTCCCGCTACGATAATTGGAAAAATCGGAGAATGCCTTGTTGACCGTACTCCAATAGGCTTCGTTGGCACGGGCTCCTGGTTCGCGGAGCCCACCTTGAAAGTTAGAAGGTTCATCGACTGGCTGTGGAATAGGCGGGTCTGGAGGATCGGTATATCCTTCGGCCTCACACCTGCAGCCATGTCGGCGTCTGCAGGTGGATGACAGGGTTTGCATCTGTGAAAGTGATAGGTTGATGTCACCCTCGGGGTTCACACAAGTGAATCTCGTCGCCCACGTGCCCTGCGCCCGACATGCGCAGGGTTGAGTACGGCATCGTGCTTCGAAAGCTCTGAAATCACCTGCTAAATCGTACCCGGGGTCGAGTCTCGCACGCCACCAACTTTCATGTTGTCGTGGAAAGTATCCTTCATAAAATTTTGCAAGCATCCGCTCCATGGGCTCACAGATAATGTGCCATCTAACTCTCACCTCCCCACCAGGGTTCCGTGGTGAAACGGGTAGCATTTTTTCGCCAGGTTTGGCCTCGAGGTCATCTTGAACGGATTTGTACACTGTGGGTCTCGACTCATCAGCTTTCCCGTGGGTAGGGGTAGCTATGGTATTTTTATTATTCCCTTCCTCTTTTGTGGTAGGTTTCACGTCCGTTGGGTCTTGCCATACCGTCGCTTCTTTCGCTCTGGGGTTTGTTTCGTCCGCTGTAGTTCGTTTTCGAATAGTCTGAACAAATGACTCCGAAGGGGGCGCTGATGGCGGAAGTGATTTTGAGGCCTTATCGCTTTCGGGCAGAGGAAGTTTCACCTTCGCGCTTTGGAGACTACTAGAAGAGTCCGAATAGCCGATGAAGGGCTGTAAAGTTAATTGTTTATGAGAATTTGAGTTGTGACGTGAAGAGGCTGCGTCTAGCCCTTTGTCGCATATGATTTCTTCACCTATAGCTAGCGATAAGGACGTATCATCCAATTTATCTTGGGTGTCAACCCTTGTAAATTCGTCGGTGGAGAGTGTCGTTTCCGGTATAGTCGGTGCGGTAGCACCTTTGCGTTTCTTTCTCAACAATTTGGATTCCCCGGAATTCTTGTTTGATGTCAATGATGGATATTGTATTGAAGCTGTAAATAGTTCATCCTTTTGGATTGGGAATGTGTTCAGAATCGCTGCTGATCCGGAATTCGATTCTTCGGGCTGTAGTGGTGCGGTGATTACCCCAGACAGCGAGATTATGAGAAACCAGATCCCAGACTTTACGAATCTCGGATAGCGCATTCTGCCCGATGAGTCTAGGAAAACAAGGCTCCAGCTCGCAGAATTCAAGCCAGTACTCCTTACTTAAGTTCTTTAAGCCTTGTTAATTAAGCCTGATTCTTAGTCGAGGTGATGTTCCTCTAGACGTCGACGAGGGCCGGTGATTTTCCTAGTGATTTCCATACATATAAGTTAGATTATTTAGGGTTATAAAAGTCTACAAGTGTAGCAAGTTGATGTCGATATATCTTGTACCTACGTATTATATTTTTCCTCCTAGACAGTTTCTGTCGACGATTGAATTTGGGGTGTATGTATAGAGTAATGAACTCGTTGGAGCGTGTGGTGCCAGGAAGACTTGCTATGTCATGAGCAAAAGCTACCAGTATACTCAGGTACTATATATGCTTATATACCTCCTTACCTACTTAAGTAGGTACTTACTTAATATACTTAAGTGAGCTATCGAAGCCCCTGCCTTGGAACTAGCTAAAATAATATAAAACTGGAAACCGCTGACCTGTTGATCGGGTAATAAGACCGCGTATTCAGATCACGTTAACTGTAGATATGTTACAACATTCCCATCCCTTGGGCTGCGCATGATGATGCCACCAACATGATATATACCTAGGTATATATCGCCGTTGTTCCGTTTTAAATTTGCCTCAAATCAGGCTTCGCAAATAAATCCTTGTAAATATTTAAATCCCTATCACTTCAACCGGGCGCAGTCGGTTGGTCAGTCCATTGTACTGTGCTGGGACCACTTTTTGGCACGGTAAGTATAGCAACTCCATTTTTTAACAGGAAAATTGGATCGAGAGCGTTTTATCTTAGGAGCTTATACTAGCTTGGGCCTTATTTCGAACCAAACTTCGCACTTTGTCTCATGCCTCAGCCTAGTAGTTTGAACGCAAACATCTAAAAAGTTATGTTGTTAGCGCTGCGCACTCAATTGGAACGTCTCTCATTCGCATTTTCGGAGCGATTTTGGCGCAGCTAGCTTCGAGACTAGTCCCAGTCTCGTGTGGATCTGTTATAGAGGCAGAGTTAAAATACGCCCTGAGTGGCTACCGGTTGCTCTTTTAACGTACTACTGGTATATGGCAATCAGCGTACTAGGATCCTTTGACGTGATTAGAGTCTATATAACAGGTAGTAGACAACATGAATTCCGTTTTAGTGGCTCTCGATCACCCGTCTAAACTAGACTAACTCCAGACAGTTGCTGTAAGGTACTATTATATATGAGACCGGAATAATACAAACTCTCTCAAATCTCCACATTATTATCTTTGTCTTTCCAACGTGCAGCCTTACTCTTTGGCATCCATTCCACTTTCCAAAATCTATCCCTACTCCCTTCTTTACTCCACCCTTTCGCCTCGATCAACCCTATCATTTCTCTAATCATTTCACGGGCGGTAGGTCTTGTGTCAGGATTTCTGGACGTGCACCTATTCATAAGCTTACAAAATCCATTACGGTAGGGGTTCCTATGATCAATTCTTTTGTCGTAGTTCAGTTCGCGGTCCGGTGCATCTGACACTTCAAATGGAAAATACCCGTTAGAGAGGACAAAAAGAGTGGTACCGAGGGAGTAAATGTCATCTTTGTGCACAGCTGGTGTTGGTTTATAAAATGAATTGACTCGTTGCTACGTTTTAGAAGTAGTTGGGCCTATGTTAGTCGAGTATGGGGCTAGAAGGTTAGGAGAGCTCGAAGTTGGACTTACTGGTGACATAAATGGAGGACAGGATGGATATGCGGCTTGGCCTTCAAAACTGGAAAGACCGAAGTCTCCGAGGACAAAAAGGGGGTAGATGTTATTCCAACCGTCTGGGCGAGGTTTCACAAAAACTGCATAAGCTAATTGGTAAGACAAGTTGCAGGATGTGCTAACTACTCGATATATAAAAAGTTGGAGGGCAGGAGACTTACTGTTGTTCATTTTGATATCGTTATGGACCATTGGCGTCCACCCCGGACGCCCTTGCATATTCCTCTTCGTTATACCTCTATTAAGGAAGAGGAGGGCTCTCGAAACGTCGATAGTCATCTGCCACAAAAATCCTTCTGGCATAAAAGTTCTAGTTTGCGGCGAAGGCAGCAAGAATTAGTTAGCGCATTCGGGTAAGTTTTTATACCTCCGGGCACTGGATTTAAACTCACCTACGAGTTACATATTTCCCCAATATCTCACTCACATCTCCCATGCTACAATATTCCGTGAAGATATGCCCGAAGGGGTCCCCACGGCTCGGCGCCAACCTTCCAAAGATCTTTAGGATGTGTTCTGACGTTGGTTGTACTGAAGCCAATACTTTGAGTGCGTCTGACTCTGTCTTCCACGATCTGGCACGGGTTCTATCACACGCAGTTATTCTCTTCGCGATTACTCTTGTTCTGGCGGGAACATGTTCATACCAACTTCTCGTCACACTTGAAGATGAATCATTTCGAACCTCTAAAATAGCAGTTGCTCCGAAGCAACCGGCGTTGTGTCTTTTGACGATGCGAAGATCCTCGTTGAAACCGCTGACTGAAGGTAATTCGTACGGTTTGGGGAATCCAGCGTCTCCATGATCTGGAAAATCTGCATCATTGAAGTTAATAGTATCAGTTCTGCGACGAGGATCAGGGCGATCATATGGAAGCTGGGTTATGACCCTTCGTTGACGAGCTTGAAGTTCTGGCAGAGAATTTCGTTTGTCCGTAGGGTATTGGTCGTATTGTGAGGAAGGCTCTTCTTCTAACTCAAGATCTTGCATTTGGGCTAGTACTTCGTTTTCATAACCTTGGCTGACCTCTTGAGACTCTCTTCTGGTCCTATGTACTCTCTGTTCCGTTTCGTGGTAACGCTGGCTGTGCCCGGCAGCCTGCTGTGATGGGGTCCTATGTGGTTCTGCTACATGTGGTTGAGACGGCCCATACAGTTTTTCTTCTTGTTTGAGAAGCTTTATCCGTTCCTTTTCCTTTTCCTTTTCCTTTCTTCGTTCCTTCAGGGCTCCAAAAAATCCCAATGATTTGCGACTACTGGAGCCCTCTACTCTTGGTTTTTTTTCTGATCTTTTGGGGGTAGTACTTATAGGCCTAGGTGGTGATGGGGATTCAAGTTGGAGATTATCGCCGCCATAGTACTGTGGTTGCTGTGGCTCCCGCGAACGGCGGTATTCAGATCTTCGATCATTTGCATAGTATGAGTCCGCATGCGCAGCTCGTCGCGAACTAGATGATTCAGCATACTCCTCTTCTAGGGTTGGTAGGCGAAGCTTTGAACCTCCTGCTCTTCTAGACATCTTTATTTACCTCTATATATATGCCTGTATCTGGCGGCTTTGGACTAACGGGAATATCTACGTTAAAGTAAAAATAGATGACTACTTTCTATCGATATATCTATTTGGTTTGTTCGTTTCGAGGTGGAGTTTTAAATTTTTAATTGAATGGAATATTTGGGTCGGGCTACGATCGAAGATAAAGAGATATCGATATATCTAGTATCTTTGCTTCTAAGTTTACTGGGACTATTTAGAAGAAGTGCAAAGTATATTTCATTGAATTACCTTGAAGGTGAGCAATTGACAATGATATTGATATCGTTTCATCCTTTCATAGCTGATGTATTGTAGGTATTATATTCCTGTCCATACGAGGATATTTATGAATAGTGTCAAGCTACAACTTATGGAACGGATTCCATTGCTACCAGATTCCGGATATTAAGTATTTAATAGGGTGTTATAAGCTCTCAAAGATGAAGAAATGAAGCATGGCTCTGATATCTAGCAGAGCATAGGGCTATAGAAAAACAAATGAGTTCAACACTCATCCGCACCAATCATGTATATAGCTGAGTGGAACTAACTTTTGAAATTTTAGGAGTCTATTGAATCGGTCTCTACTTTGACTGTGAGGCTACATAATCCAATTTTAAATTGATATATTTCTTTAGTTACCCCCCAGGAGGTGAATGTGGTTATCCAAGTACCTATAGGTATGTTAACCAAGTGCTTAGCAGTATCTAGGACCTTCCACTACTATGGTTTTATCAATTAAACACTCAAGAAATATAGAAGGTTGAAGTCTTTGAAGATATCCTCAAAACATGAGAGACTTTGCTATATCTTGATAGATCCTGTTAGAGTGGGGCGCAAAGACTTCTGCTGAGGATACTAGCTATACTATACTACGGAGCGTAATTAGGGCATTGCTTGATCTATGAGCAAATGCCGAGCCTAGGGTTTACAGTATAGGAGAAGAAGCCCTATGATGTCGTAACGGTGACTAGGGCTGGGGCCCCGGAGAGTCGTGTTATAGACAATCTAGATGCTCGCAATGAGTTGAGTCCAAATGCTGCCTATAAAAGGACCCCCCCACTCAACTCGAGTTGTAGACTCTCTCCTTCTCTTTCTTTCTTCACCCTGCTCACACACACATCTCCTCCTCTCTCGAACAACCAACCTTAACCTTCTTCATTCATCCCATCTCATCCTCCCTTTCACGACTTTCGTTAACCCTGCTATCCATCGTTTATCGATTCATCTCTTTCTTCTCGCCTTTCATCAAGATGAAGTCTACCGTTGTCTTGTTCTTGGGTGCTCTCATGAGCGTTGGAGCGATGGCGGCTCCTTATGGACAGGGTAAGTTTTAGCTTAGTTATTTTCATCGATGCACCCTATTGTGGTTCCCTAGGGAGCTTCAAGACGCGTCTCTTTTTTGTCTTCACTTCGGTTTCCCCTCTACTTGCTTTCTCTGCTTCCTCGGGGTAAGTTTTAAGTTGGTTTCACCTTTGGCTTCATTGCTTTTCTAGCTGGTCGTCAACAAAACCTTCTCGGAAGCAGTAGAAAAGATCCCCATCATAGTGATGATACGCCGGTGATGATGATAAAGCAAACATTTGCTTCATCATGAAATCATCGAGTCCTTCGTGACTATATCGTCAATATATTGATTTCATAAAACTTCAATCTGTCCACCATCCGTTCTTCGTTGCTCTTTACATTGAAGGTAATGTTTTTTGGCCGATGCTAACTGGATTCTAGAATCCAAGTCCATCGAGCCAGTCCCTACCACCACTGAGTGTGAGACTGCTACTTGGACTCCCTATGACTACAACAAGTCGACTGTTCCCTGTAAGTACTCTTTCTTCTTGCTCGCTGCTTCCTAGCAAGTTCCTAGGCTAAGTTCCCCTTGTTTCCTCTTCAGATGAGCCCTCTCACTCAGCTCCATATGGCCACAAGTCAAAGGTCGAGCCTACTACCGTTGCGTACTATGGCCCTTCTTCTGAGCCAGTTGAGACTACCCTCCCTACTGGTTACTCTTACTCATCTGGACCTGAGGAAGAACCAACCACCACTGTTACCTCCATCCTTGAGTCCACTCTCACCGTCTCGCTCTCTACCTATGAGCCTTATGGACCTGAATCTTCCCCCTCCAAGGCTGGGTATTGGACTACTCTTACTACCACCTCTTGCCCACCTACACCTTCTTCCGATGGAGTTGCCGGGTATGTTCCTTACACTCCAACCTTGACTCCTGTTCCGTATGAGTACACCACTCCGGCTTCTCTCTATGAACCAGAGACTCCTACCCCAGTTGTCTACCCGACTACTCCTGTCTACTATCCTCCTAGCAACAAGCCAACCCCCACGGAGTACAACCCAGGTAACAACACTTACCCAACTTCCACTCCTCCCTACGTCCCTCCACCATACGCTGGATCTGCTACCAGCCTTGTCAACAATGGAGGTTTCGTCGGAATGGTTGCTGGACTTGTCGGGATGGTCGCCGTCATGATCATCTTGTAAAGGAAAATGGTATTGTTTATAGGAGGAAAGGTATTGAAAAGATTTTATCTCATGAAGGCCTGTCTTTCTTATTACTTTACTAATTTGGACCCATCGGTCCTTTCTATTTCCCTTTGTCAAACATATCTTTCCTTTTCATGTGAATAACTTCTTAGCAACAACAAATACGACAGTCCTCAGTGGAGGGATTGTTTCATCGTTTTTTCCCTTATTATTTCATCCTGTTAATAATCATAATGCCTAATCCATAAATGTTCTTACAAGATCAAAGATTCTTTCTGAGGTCTATGTAAGCTCGTGAATGGTTTCTCCATCAATTATTGCATTGTCTTCTGTAACTTTGGAGTCATAGATGCGTAGACCTCCCTCAACCTCCGCTCAATGAACCTTCCCCTACCCTAGGTACGTAAATCAACCATCACTTATCTCTTTCTTTTTTTCTCAATTCGTCCTTATTTTTATATCGTTTTCATCTCCACGTTAAAATACTTCATTAATTTCATCTTGCAATCTTGTGGTATTTTGCGAGCTACCGTGTTGCTACTGAAATGCAGTCGCTGGCGGTTGCACCTTTGGCCGAAGAGTCTCAATCGGCCCCAGACTAGTCCTGTTCCCTTGCATCTCACGATACTATGCATCCACTCGTTTTAAACTCTCCTACATGACCCGCCACTGGCATTTGAACCGAACTTTCAACTGAATAGCGTCATACAATTACGCATCCGTATATGCACGTGGACATACATGCCATATGCCGTTAGAGCTTCCCACGTGGCTCCCTTGGTCCCCCTCCCACCCCCCTCTCACGCCTTCGCGCCGACCTCCTAAAAGGAACAACCACGAAAGAACCAAAGAAGAGAAGAAAGCGAAGAGATCACGGTCTCAATTGCATTTCTCACGCTCAAAGCCAAAACTACGAACATTGCCTCCGCAACACATACGTTCGTCGCTAATGTTCCCTCCACCGGACGAACCGTCGATGTCGACGAAGAAGACGAGGAAGACGAGGTTCATATGTATGGGTGATACGCATAATTTATCGCCGTATCAAGGTGGGTTTAAGGTACCGAAGGGCGATGTGCTGATCCATGCTGGGGATATGACGAAGCAAGGAACGTATGCGGAGTTGAAGAAGACGGTTGATTGGATTGAGAGGCTGGTGAAGGAAGGTGTGGTTGAGAAGGCCATTGTTATTGCTGGTGGGTGTTAAGATATATATATACATATACTATCTAGATGCTTTTTTTGGTTTAGATCTAGCTAATATGCACTAGGAAACCACGAGCTAACCCTCGACCCCCCGTTCTACACCTCATATGGACACAATTGGCATACCCAAGATCCACAAGACTCTGATACATGTCTTTCTCTGTTCGCTCCACCGACTCTTCATCCCTCAATTACCTTCTTGGACCACTCATCGGCTCATATAGCCCTCACTTCTCCTACCGGTCCTGGTACTCATTTCAAAATCTTCGGTTCACCATATACGCCCATCCACATCACAAAGGTTAATGAACTCTGCGAAGGCAGTAGATGGGCGTTTCAGTATCCACCTTTTCCGGCGACGAGGTCTGAAGAGATCTGGGATGATATCCCAGCGGATACAGATGTACTAATAACCCACGGCCCGCCGTATTCACACCTGGACGGCTGGCCAATATCGGTTGGTCGCCACGGATCAGTCGAAACCCACAAAGGCTGCGAAGGGCTCCGAAGGGCTTGTTGGAAGATTAGACCCAAACTCCACGTTTTTGGGCATATCCACGAGGGAAGAGGGGTTCAAAGAGTCATGTGGCGTGATGGAAAACACGTGGTCGGCATGGAGGAAGGTTGTGCATGTTCCTACCTTGAAGCCGAAGAAGAAGGGGATAAACTAAGGATTACTTCACCTGGCAGTGGAAAAGTGGATGAAGAGGGAAGATTAAGTATTGGGACTAAACAGATGGCGGAGAAGGTAGAAGGGTTTACACATGATCACGCACAGATGGAGTGGATTGATCCTGGTGCAGTTGATGAACGAATCTCGGGGAAGATGAGTGTAGTTGATGTTACGAAGAGGACTAGGATGTTCGGAGGGGTTGGGTTAAGGGAAGGGGAGACTTTGATGGTTAATGCGTCTATCATGAGAAGTGCTTGGCCATACAAGGAGGTTAATAAAGTCGTGGTTGTGGATATGGATTTGGAAGTTTGGAACGGAGGTTAAAGGCTTTTTGTTTTTCTCTTTCTTACATTCTCCTCCACGGCGTTCATTCTTTTTTCTCTTTCCTTCTTATAGGATTGTCAAGGTTTTCTGCGAAATCGCTTTCTTTATGGGTGTTTCCCATGGATTCCCGGTGCTGCTCTCTTTATAAGCTTGATCTATAATGGTTTATGCGTTGTCGATGTTGCATTTGTTCCCTTCTATTTTTTTCCCATTCAAAAATTCGCTCTCAAAATTTTCTGGTCAGCTTCAAAGACGAGAAATAATACGGATGGAATGGGAATCCCTCAGCTTCTCCAAAATCTCGAGAGGATCGAAAAGCCGAAGTCGAAAGTTTTCCCGAAAAACTCGAGTTCCGGAGATGATCCTTCCCGTCCCGCAGCCGTCATAGACGGGTCTGCACTCGCCCACCACATCTTCAATCGATATGTTAAATCGTTAAGTAAAGAGGAGAGAATACCTAGCGTTCTTGGATTCGATTATACAGCTTATCAAAAGATTGTGATAAACTGGTTGGAAAAATTGGAGGTTGGTTTTGAAATGTATATATGCCGCCGTTTCCCACAGCCATATTACCTTGTAGATAGTATAAACGCTAACTTTTAAAATCTACTATCGAAGTACAAATATATTCATAGACGGCCACCTACCATCTTATAAAACAACTACTAGAATATCTCGTATACAGACTACAATCGCATGTCTCTCACGTCTTCGAACGCTTTCACCGTCAGTTATTGATCTCACAAAGGGTGGTTGGAATCCTTCACCTCCGTTTATTATTGCTGCTTTTTCGACGGCTGTTAGAAGACATGAGAGGTTTGGAAGAGTTTTGAAGACTGTGGCGGGGGAGGCTGATGCTTTTTGTGCCGCTGCTGCCGCTGCTACTGCTGTCGCCGGTGTTGGTACTGGTGGCGAGGGAAGGATTAGTGTGGTGTTTACGGGGGATTCGGATTTGGTTGTATACCCTCATTCGCAGTATAGTAGGGTTGCGATATTGGATGATGTTCATTTCGAATATACACCTGATGAAGGGTCGAAAGTGAAGGTATTACTTTGGTCACCATGGGATATTGAACGGAAACTTGGGGGTGGTAGTAGCAACGACAATAGAGGAGAAGAACCAGCAATGAGGATAATGAAGTTCGCGTGGTGTTTAGTGATAAAAGAGGTTTTTAGAATATCTAAAGTTGTTACCAGCGGGAAAGGGGATGGGTTGGGGGGTGTTAAAGTTGGAGGGGAGTTTAGGGAGCAGTATTTGTTACCTGATGTTCAAAGGTTTGGCGATGAAAGTTTGGGGGGGATATTGGATTCGAGAGCTGCAGAAGTGGTTTATGCTTCTCCGAGGTTTAGGGGGCTGTGTCATCCACCGGTTAGGGAGAGTGGTAAAGAGGCGGAGGTATATCTACCTGTACTACTGGAAGATGTTACGAAATCTTCAGTGTGGAGTGTGGGAAGAGAGACGAGAAAGCTTGCGTACCAAATATTATTCGGAATGAACGCGGTGGTAGTCGAGGTTCACAGGAAAGGAGAAGCTGTTAACAGAAGTTTCCTAACATTGGAAAAAGAAGATGAAGGCTTGATCCTCGGAGGAGAATTTGGAGAGGGACTAAATGGATTAGTTGTTGGGGTCATTTTGGAGATTGTGAGGGGGTATTTGGAGAAGAATATTGATATCACGGATAAAGATTTAATCGCTCTGTTAGCTGCGGTTACTAAGTCTCCCGGACACGAAGAGTCACTACCGACAGCGACAGCGGTACACTGGACTTGGCCGCGAGCTCATCTGCTATCACAGTTCATGGCGGGAATATGGAGTCTTTATCTTCTACAAACTGTTACGAATCTACCGAACGACGGAGTTGAGATACCGGAAACGATCGATAAGAGTACATTCGAAAAGCTCAAAGTTTTTCAGTCATTATTGGATATTATTAATGTGAATCGGTTCATGGCTATCTATGCGATTACATACCATCCAAAGGGGATGAGTAAGAGTGCGAAAAAGAGGGCGAAGAAAAGGCCGAAGGTTTCGGAGGGGCAGCAGCAGGGTACATCGGGGTTAAATGCTGGGATACAAGGTCTGATTAACAGAATGTTTGAGAGGGAGGTTAGGGGAAGTGTCACAGGGGTTTTGGATATTGTACGAGAGATGAGGAGAAGGGTAGATGAAGACGGAGAAGAAGAAGCGGAGAGTTATATGGGGATGACGGTGGGCTAATGGGTTTTTTACTTTATCTATTCGTCAAATATCTGGTACAAGGGTTGCATTCAGAATTCAGATCTGCGGACTAAATAAAATTCTAATGAGCACCGTGGATTTCCTCAATAAATTAACCACTCTTATATCTGCAAAAGACACTCAATTGGCTCAGCTTCAACTCTATCGCATCACAATTATTCATCAGGCCTCTATATATAGCCATATAGGGTCCGTTAATAACCAAGGACTCCTGCATAGGCGAGCTAATGACGAAATTTCCTCAGCATCTAGGTAGTCTCCTCCAGACCTCGCCTAGCCTAAATTTTTATTTTACAACCTGCCCAGGTAATAGCAGACGATTAAAAGTTACGGACCATAATGAATATGGAGTCAGCAACCGTTCAAGAAGTATCTCAACATGAAGTGTGTTGAATTTGTTGCATCCTTCGAGGCCTGTGATTGGTCAATTGCAACTTACCCAGGTGGAGTTCGGACCGAGTGAATCGACAGTAACCAAAGGTTTTACGTCACCTATTGCGATAATAATAGGGGCCATGAAGGTAAGCTTCAAGGTTTACGTCCATGGATTCAATATCGTCCCAGGTTGACGGGTCAAAGATCCCGGCTTTGAATTAAAAAAACCCTTGGGACCATCTTCTTAATACAAAAACTATTTTATTAGACATTTGTTAAGACAATTTAACTTCTTTACAAAAGTCAGGACGGATAGTCTATCCCAGAAAACTCTCGGGTTTCCCGAGAATACAACATCTTTCCTCAAGAGAAATTGTTATTGCTGGCAAGACAAGTGAGATGTGCGACTTTTCTGAACCGCTTACTAGGCTGTATGGCCATCTTGCATTCAACCCGAGGCATTCATGACCCACTGAAACCAAATACCACGGGTGGGGGGCTGCACACAGTAGTGTGGCAGCCGTGCTGATTTTGTCCGGCTATAGATAAGAGCGAATAGGCTGACTTTGACTGGCTACATGGGAAATCCGGGATTGGGCATCCTTCGACATGACAAAATACACCGGCAGATGACAGGCGGGTAATAGTGTCGCCGAACGCGAAGAAAAAGGGGTTTAACAAAGTCTATCAGAAAATATAAGTTCACGATCATAAAACACGCCGCAGAGTCAGTGGCGTCGACGCGATAGTAGTTCACCCAAATTTAAACGACATAGGGCTCCCACTAGCAAGTCTTCCTGATTAGTCGACAACAAATCACTGATAGCTGACGAATCCCCGTCAAAGCACAATGCGCAATTAATTCTTCCAGGGCGGGTAAAAAATCCAGGCTGGTTCTAAAAAAGAGTTTTTTAATCAGGAGAAATTTCTAACACGTGGAATGAATCAAGCTTTTTGCCAAGCCAGAATTCGTCCACAACCTTACTAGCGCAGAAGCAAGCTGTAGCGGGCTCTGGGCTTCCCGGGGATAGAGTCACGGAGCACGGGGTCTGCAAAATGCCAAGCCCGGAATATTCCCTATCGCGGGTCGGAATCAATGACGCCCACTTTTCTCCTTGTGCCCTCGCGCCGACATTAGCGTGTAGTTGGGGCTTCAGCAATGGCGGTTTAAATAGCCCATCAACGGCCGGAGGTGGTGTGCGGGCAAGGTCTCCGACTCGTTGAAGATACGGAATAAAATTGGCATTACGCGGCCAAGCCCTGTCAATTGTGGTTCTTTTTCGCAGCCCTCGCAATTGTTGGAAAAGTATATTCCAACTCAAAATCCCGAGTGCGACGCGAGTGCAGTTGTTTGCTGTAGGTGCTATATTGGTATCGAATATAGTGACAAGGAGAGCTACTGATAGCTGGGCTGAACCGGCTCCCGGACCTAAGTCCGAATCGAATCGTGGCCAGAACCACCCCAATTCGACCCCCCGATTTCAGGATCCAAAATCCATCGAAATCTTAACAGAGTTTTTTTATGCGCTGGGGTTCATATCGAGGGTATAGTACATACAACAAGTATCTATGTTCTAGATTAGCGCGGAAAATTGACTTTTCTCGTCATATATTATAAATCCCGAGCTAAGAGGCATTATATGCCTGTACATATGTACCGATACTTAGGTATTTCTGCCGCTTTTCGCACACAGGGACACGTCGCACGAAAAAAGAAATAGCGAATGGGAAAACTTTGGGTTGCATGGGGGTTTTCTTTCTTTCTGTTCGTATCTTGGTATATGTTCCAATTCCCTGTAGCTTGTAGGGCTACGATATTTCCAATGGAAAAAAAGCTAGGAACCATGGAAAAACTCTTTTTTCTCACGTTCTCGAGATCTCTGCCGTGTTATCCGGGGGACGGTACCAAAAATAGGGAAAAAGTAGAGAAATATCTTTTTGGAATTTTTGAAATAACCCTTTCAATCGAGGCGAGCTGGCTGTCTCAGAAAAATACTATGAAATTGGCATTGAAGCTAGAAAAAATAGAATGAAAAATAAACATTTTAGGTTCGCGCTGGTAAAGAATGAATACCAGGTTCTCGCTGCAACATTAGAAGAAAAAAAATGTTTCGCTCCAATGCTTGTTCTGAAAACCGTCTATGGTCCTGATTACCTAGGTAGGTAGTGCGGCAGTAGATCCGCCCAGTTCCGGATGTTGCGACGCAGCCTTAATATAATCCTTCAACCTTGTTGTGTAACACCGTTGATATCTCAATTAAAGCTCTATATACCTACGCATACCTTGTCGATTGATGCAGTCAATCTTTGCACAACTTACAACCAAACTATCGGCAATCAAGTATTTTAGAGAACTAGTTATGGCATTAAATTATCGTAGTGGTAAGCTAAGAATACAAGTATCCTAACATATTCCCATCTCTTATCAAAATATTCATCTTTCAACATTAATTCGTACAATTAAACAAATGAAATAACTACTAATCTCGTCACCCCCCTCTTCCGGATCCTCAGGCAATTATAACCTTATACCTTAGTAGCGATGCCATCAACACCGATTAGGACATCTCTGGTATAACCGCAGCTCTCTCCAATGCTGTACTGATAACCATTTCGCTTCTGTCCAAAGTTGGTTGCAAAGCTGGCATCATACGAGATGAGATAGAAAGTGCAAGCGGTCTGGTATGGAATACCATCTCTGTAGACGTTATAGAAATCGAAGAAATTGCATGCACGGTAGGTACCATTTAGAGGTGCTTGCTTGAGATTATAAGCGGTCTTTGAGTCGCAAGCGGCAGCGCAGACGCTTGGGGAGGTTGTGGTGAAGGAAACGCCCATGTATGGATCAACTGGGCCTGGTTGAGGAGCGTTGATGGAAGCGTCGCCGAAACATTCATAATGATATCCGGGGACGTCTTCCTGGAGTGCTTTCTTCTTGTAACCAGCAGAAAGGGACTTCACGCTGATGACACCACCGTGGTCTTGGCCTCCAAAATTTGTTGCTGCACCCTTGGTAGAGGGCATGGAGTACAAAGCACACTTGTGAAGGAGACCAGCGGGGTTGGTTTCATCATAGATGTTGAAGAAGACACAACCAGTGTTTGCAAGACACTTGGTAGCGCAAAGGTCAACATCGTACGAGGGGAGAAGCTTGAATGTCAAGTAACCACCGGTCTGGGTAGAACCAGTCCAGTTGTCGAAAACCTTGACGAAGTTGTCAGAGGCGACACCACGCTTGCTGATAGCCCCACGCTTCGAGATGTCAGAAACAGTGGATTCGACAAGAGCGTCGACATCGACATCAGGGCCAGACTTGGCTATTGAAAGGTTAGTAAAAGTTTTCGGAAATATTCAGCGAAAGATTTTACTTACTTGCACCGGCGGGGGCACCCTGAGCGGTAGGGGCTGGAATGGAATCAATGAATTCGCCGTCAAAATCCTGCGGAGTAGGAGCCGCAGAGGCCAATGCGAGAAGTGCTGTAGCAGCTGCAATAATAGAAACCTTCATGATGAATGATACTGAAATCTTCAATCACTTCTTTAGGGTAGTAAAAAACTAGGTTTCACAGAGGTATGAAAATGATGGACAAATTGTGATACGATGGCGGTTGCGTAACCTTTTGTGACTGACGTGGAGATCAGATGAAAGGATTTCTGTGAGGGCTTTTGGCTTGAGAGGATAATGGGAAGTATCAAGGAGGAGCTATGCCGGTTTGGTGGCAATCCTTCCTATTATACTCGGTATCCGCTGTCAATATCCGGTGAGTTAAGACGAAGAAATCGGTGGCAGGGCTTCAGCCGTGCTTCGTTTAGACCACACGTAGGATCGTGATCGTGAACGTGGGTTAATGCGTTCTAACCAAGAACATTCTAGCAGATTATGACAGCTGTTAGCAGCGAATGCGATTGAGAACCTCGATTTGATATTGCAGCTGAGTCCATTGACCAGCCTCCACATTCTAAGTCCATGCACGCCTTTGTCACTTTCTCTTCGCCGACATCATTATGGCTCCTCTCAATCAAAGCTGCAGCAGCTGAACAACTCTCTGTCTCCTGCGTGGCTGGCAGGTGTGCGTCATTTCCTGGTAGGGTAATCAGCCGTGACAGCTAATTCCACGGTCTAAACAACTGAATGAGGGCATAGCGCGTATATACTAAAGAATGAGGCTTTCTTGGCATAGGGATTTAGATCAGGATATTGAGCTCGAGGCGGCAGAGCTTCTCACAATTCATGACAGGTTCCAGCTTGATCAATTGATATGGGAGTGAATGAGGCAACCTTGTCTCTCTGGCGCCCAAGTTTGCAAGCCACATTGCTGACGGAAGAACTCCTTTCAATCTAGCTACGTTGAGTTAATAATGTGAACGCTTTTTGTCTCTCGGTTTGCCAATGTGCGGTATAATAGACGACGCCGGCACGGGCGAATCGTCAAAGGGTTGGACGCATAGATCCTGTCTCGAACCCCGTTAACCGGGTCAATGTCTCGGACCTATTTTACGATATTTAATTAATATCATCATGCAAATGTAATACTTTCGCACTCAGGAATAGCTGGAAGATCCACACCCACGTCACAGCTATCGAGATTGTGGACGCTTAAGAAATTTGCTTTCGCATGTATGCAGGAGAAAATTGCATGTTAGGCGGGGTCCGCTGACATATGAGTTCAGGCCATGTACATATGCACTTTAGTACATAGCATATAGCGTCTCGATCTAAATGCGGGTTGGCAAAAAGATTAATAAACTTTTGACCAGGGTATAATATGGTCGTCGGCAAAGCTTCCCCTTGTTGCAATGGGGGCTCGGGCAAACAGGTATCAATTTAGGATAGTGAAGAGTTCAGCTCGTCAATCGGAGAGGCCGATTTACCCTCGGGTCCATACACGGCTCACGGAGGGGCTCAAAGAGTTACACTTTAGATAGGTGTACACCAAGAATAATGAAAATTGAAAGATAGGCGCTTTAATATCGCTTTTTGAAAGGAAGAGTAAGATTTGCATATTCGTGATGTTGTTTTTATATGTCCGTGTTGGTCCGGATTAGGCGTCTGCCAAATATGTCAACGCTGGACTAGAGAAGCCTCCCGCGTACTAGGTAGTTACCGAAGCTATCTCTTACATGTCTGCGCTTTTTAGGGGGGGATTAGTTGTTCCCGAAGCGTTAAAATAACTGTGTCAGCTATTATTTGTAGGTTTCACACAATTGTGATATCAGGAAATCCAAAAAGTTTTCCCATATCGGGCTACTGGATTTGTTCAATCTTCATAGTGGTTGCATACCCAGGGAAATTTTATTTCCAACGTATATTATTGATAGACTCTAAAATTAAATATCTAATTGTGTAGCATCAATGAAGAAAGCGATATATATCGTGAAAGACTCCGTCGCAGAAAAAAACAAAACCATATCTAATAGACAAAATATAATGTTACCCAAAACTAAGCCACCCTAAGAGTTAAATAATGCGAAAAATATCTTCATAACAAAAATTATTACAGAATAAAAGATTATAGAGAAATTAGAGTTTTAAAATTGGACCTTGGTCAGATCGGGATTAAGAACCAACTATGAGAAAAATTAGCCGTTAGCATGCTTCACACTCTGACTAGAGCTAAAATTGTGGATTAGTTAACTTACCGGCAATAAACAATGGCAGACTATATTGAAAGACAACGGTGTAATAGCAGTGTAGTCCCTAATAGACCATTCTCTTGGTGCTGCCGTGCCCAAATATATCATTCCACCAGTCAAGGCAAACATCACCAAATACATCCATTTGAAACTTCGAACAATCTTGCCAGATTCCTTGAAGAAGTTACTATTTTCTGCTTCTTTCTGTGTTCCTGCCCAGTCTGCAACCGGGATTGAGAGTAAGTAACTCAAAATAATGGTGCTCAGATGGAAAGAAAGGCCACCAAAGAATATGATGAGGAAAGGTGCCCATTTCAGATTTTCGAAAAGAGAATAGAAGAAGGGTTTTTCACTGAGACGGTACCGGAGAACTGCAAGTGCGACGTTGCCCTGAGAAATAAAGTTAGCATTATATCCATGGCGGGAATTTCGAAGGCGAACTTACCACAATATTGAATACAAACACCGTCGCCATAAATGTTTGCCATGACTGAATGAAAAATTGATCGAAGTCGCCTTTGAACCAACCGACGAGAATATAGTTCAAGATGGTAAGTGGTAGCGAGGAAGCCATAGCATGATAAGAAAAGAGGTAGGCAGTAACATGGAATTTCGAGGCCATAGAGATATAGCCAGTCCCCATATATTCTCTAAACCCCTTCGCAATCGGGCCTCTTGTAAACCAGTATATGAATGGATTAAAGATTATTTCGGTTGAGCCGTAGGCGTATTTCTTCCATCGTGAGAGTTCGTCGTAAACAGTAAGGGAAACACCTTCTTGGAAGGCATCCTCGCCTGTATGATATGCAGCTAACCTCGTGACGTTTCCGGTCACTTGTAGTCTGAACGAAAGATCGAAGTCTTCAGAGACATGACTTTCACTCCACCATTTGTCCCGGCCATCTCTGTCTCGAAATACCACACTTTGCAGTGCCTGCCAGCGAATAAAAGCGTTGTGGCCGACAAACGGCGCAGGCTCTCCGCTCCCACAGCAGAAACGGATAGCGTAGTATACCAAATCAGTAAAAAATTGCATCCCGTTTTCGAAAAAGGATTTCGTAACGTTCATGACCCCAGAAGAGTGTTGAAGGATAGCAACCTCTGGACTCAAGTACAGTTCTGCAGCTCCATACATGAGGCAGTTTTTAGGCACCCGTGTATCTGAATCCACGATCAGTAGATGTTCACCGATACGAATATTTCCTCCAGCCCACGCCCAGCCATTTTCTTTAATCGCCATGGACATAGCCTGAGAGTATAGATCCTGTTCTTCACGGCCACTGAGAACAGCTTTGGATCCGTACTTCTCCCTGACGAGTTCCATCAGTTTATCTTCAGTAGTCAGCGACAATCCCAAAGCAAAGTTCATGTTCGAGGCCTTCTTAAATTTTCCGCCACGAACGAAACCATTGTGGCCATTACGCGGCCGGGCTACCCAGCCGATATTGTTATTCCTGTAGTAATCGATGCGTTTCCTTGCGTCGTCAACTGGCATCGTCTGTAGACCGTCGTCGTTGATAAAAATCGATGCGGAGCCACCTTGCAGCTCGTATTGCGAGATAGCTTGCTTCAGGGAATCGACGGTAGGTTTGATAACAACACTAAGCGATTCCTTATACACAGGCATTTGTATAGTGATATGTGGTGGTTTGAAGCCTACTTTAGTAGCCTGTTGGACGTTTGGCGGGCGAGCAGAGTAGAATCGGCTGTTCTCCCGCAGTCCACCAATCGGACCGATTGTCTGTGCAATAAAAATAATGAAAGTACCTGCGAAAAACTGATATCCGGCAGGTAGCTGATGGTTAGTATTAATTCTCTTTTTAATTATCAGAAAATGAGCCAACCTACCCAAGTTAACGGGAGCAAAATTGGGATCGCTGCGACGAGTGCGAACCGAATATAGTACTGATCCGCCAGGGTCTCCATGAGCAAGACTCTAACCAGTTGACCGAGAACTAGCACTGCTACAGCTGCCATTGCTATCCCAAGGTATATCGAGGTGTATGGATAAGACACCCTTGCGAGAGACTCGCCACAAAGGGTTCCGCGCTCAACATCATACGGTGAAACTTCTCTGACTTCGACTTCTGCGGTCGGCTTCTTCTCATCCTCGTCCCCTTGAAGGTTTTTATGATAAGCCATCTTTTCTATCGTCTTTTCAGGTGCCTCGTAGAGAGTATTAAACGTTTTCTCGTTCATCGGGGTCGAAGGAATCGACTCTGACATGGGCGATGCGACATTGATATTCAAGATTTGAGACAAAAATACTTCTTCAACTCTCGCAGCATGGTCGACTATTTCTTTGATTGAATCATGCCAGAGCAAAACAACCCGTTCCTCCCGAACGAAGCATATATACTGAAACCTACTAATATCCCTAGGCGATGCCTGTGCGATTTCTTCAAGACTATCCACAACTTGATATTTATCACCACCTTTTCTCAGTTCCAGTTCTCTCAAGTCTTGTGGAAGTGCTTTGAAGATCGGTTCCGTTATGTATGACCTCATGGTAAATGCAACATAAACGTCGAGGTTGGCCACGGCGTTAAGAAGGGAGGGAGATATTGACATAGGTTGCGAAATGTAACTGCCTGTATCTCGACGGACTAGAAGACCACAGTCCGAGTATGATCCTAGCGAATTACTGTTCGGGATAAGACCTTTGCGCTGGAAACGTTGGAAGAGATACTGTGACATCTACACCATTCCAAAACCGTTAGCAACTTAGACATAATTATAATAGTGTTCATATAGCCAACATACCAAAAAGGTACTCATAGCCTTTTCCGTTTGTGCGCCTGACGATACATCACTGACGGAGGATCCATCACTAATATCTCGTAGAGCTGGTGACAGAGCACCGCGATCTCCTGCCATAATTGAGGGTAGAGGTGTCGATATATCAGAATCCGGAACTCCCTCATGCATTGATATCGTATCCCATGCGACTTGCTCTCTCTTTGAAAACGTCGACTGTCGTGATTGAACAGATAGCCTTGAGGCGACAGTGTGCGACGAGACACTTGATTTCCCGTGTCCGTATATAGTTGATGTTGATGCTTGTTTGAACGACGATCGGTTTGATGAACTTTCTAGCCATGATGGCGAAGGAAGAGCGCTGCTTGGTAGAGGTAGTGCTGGAGATTTTGATAAAGCACGTTCAGAAAGCCCACGGCGGACATTAAGTTGGTTTGCCATATCGACTCGTAGTTCCGACGGGATCTGGCGTTTAGATAGATTCGGCATCTTGAAGGAATATCAAAAAAAAAAAAAAAGAAGTGACAGGTCCGCAGATATGAATATTAAGATTCCGACAATATTGTAAAAAGCTTGCGTATATACTCCGAGACGAACCAGGGTAAAAGCTAAAGAATGACTAGAATAGAAAAAAAAGAGATAAACGAGTGACTAGAGCATGGGGCTACAAGGATCTCAAAGCTATCATGAAAACGTGGTAACGAAAGAAAAAAACTAAAAGAGTGAGAGTTTGCGATCGCGACAATACGCAGAGTTGCAAATCACCAGGCCATCGACACAGGTGGCCAGGAAGGAATTATCAACTGGCAGAGAGGGGTTCAAGGTCCTCGAAAAGTCAACATCCCATCCCAGTCTCAAATGTAATAAAACTCCCAGTGGGGGGGTCTCGAGACCCTCATGCAGGAGGAGAGGGATATTTCGAGAAATACTATGGTACCGGAATCAAAGCACTCCGGGGTCGATATATCCAATGCCCATTGTTTACACAACTCGATCCTTTGTCGTGCTATTTTCAGGGCCTTTACGTCCAAAAATTTCCCTGCCTGCCTGAAAAATATCATACCTGTATATACCATATGGTACCGTCAAAGCACTATATCTCCCTCACTTGTCGAATGTTGTCTGAAGTTCCTTTCCCCGAGTGTTAGCGTCCATGTTGCTTTTTCAATTCCCGGGGCCCTCGGAATTTTCCATCGTGCAGGGGTTCATTTCAAGCGTTGCCAATACCGGTTGGATGCAAGAGAAGGCCAGGGGAAAGACTTGGCTCAGTACCAAGAATCTGCCATTTTCCTTGGCTTTGACGCCCATTCGGAGACATGACGTCTCGGTATGTCAGTAGAGTCATGACAAACTGATCCGATATAAAAATAAGAATTCATCGCTGTTGAAGAGATGTATTCAAACATCAATCGTGGTGTAAACCTTTGCATATAATCATGCTGATACTGAGAGCGCTGGAGCTGGCTGGTTTGTTCAACTTGGGCGTTTTCGAGCTAATATTAATCTTCGGCCACGGCTGCCAAATGTAGAACCAGATTCACGGGAACTCTAGCACAAAAGTTAAAAAAGTCTTCATATGTCTCGAGCCGACTGTGAATTAGATGGTCTTGCAACCCAGGCTAGGACGTACTGATTACTGTCCCTTCCAATTCCCGGGTCCGAATCACCCTTAGACGACCGCTGTATAATGGTCAAGTTTAATTTCAGATAATATGATTTCTGGGTGTATACCACGATCGGTTCGTGGTGTATGAGATTTGCTCAGTCTTCCCGAGAATTATAATCCTGAGAGAGAGAAAAAGGCCTCGGATAGGAGATCCGTATTTCGCTTCAGCCGCACGACTGCTTTTCTTCTTTTCGTGTTTTATAGGCATCAGCAGGGGCTATCGGCAAGTCGGGAAACTCTGGTGGTTCGATGTACATGTACATGTACATACGTGCATGTAGGGCCGCATAAAGCTTAAGACCGTTGGCACAGCACATATCATATTAGGTGGAAGTTGAGTGCACACTTGCTCTTCTTCGCATCTCATATTAAATGAAAGGCCCCAAGTTAACGCCGAACACGAATAAAACGCCACTCAGCTGTCATTCCATATCACGTTGGTTACATTTTCATGCACGTACCTACAGGAGCTCAGAAAAACCCGCTGGCTGATGCGCGTGGCTGCAGGAGCTTATCAACATGCAACGCAAACACCACCCGATCTCCTGTGTGCGAGATAACAGTAACTTTGACGTACGAGAAAAATTTTGGGTGGACTGATCTGGGCCGGTCTCCGCGTCCGAGGCTCAAAGAATTGATATTGATCGTATGTTCTTATGGTAAGCTGGGTTCGGCCCTGACTTAAGCTGCAAAAGTGCTGGAACCTCATAGGGTCGAAAAAAGTATTCAGGGCCAGCCGCAATATGAATGGATCTGACCCAACGGCCACGCAATGATCTGAGTGCCGGCGGGTATCTCTCTAATTCCCCTTGGTTAATTGGCTAATTGGAGTCCTGCATTTTCTTGCATAGCCAACTATAATCCGATAGCGATTTTATACGTGGCTCGGCTATTCGCCCGAATTGAAAAAACTCCAAGATATTATTATATATATATAGTTAAGTACATACTAAGGTTTATATAGTACGTATTAATATATTATGAATCATGCGAATCATATATGGGGCTGAGGATATTAAGGTACATTTTTATCCATCCGAATGTAACTCCTGTAAATGCGTTCCCGTGTGTGTACATGTATCTACTAAGCAAAAGTGAAACAAATTATTTGTGCTGTCTCTCCTGTGGGAGTATGACTGGGAATAAAGTCCGCGTCGAATAATGGCTGCTGAACTTTTTCTAATATGATCAACGGTTGATAGAGTAGGGGGCCCTATGTTTAGCATTTCCCTTCTTGCCACATTTTGACGCTCTTGACGGTCATGCCCCTTTCATCGGCTGAGCCCCAAGTAGGATGCCATTGGTTAACTGCATTCCAGAAATCTCTCATCTCCCGCCCGCTACCATCTACCCATGGTTTAAGGGTTGAATCTCTGTAGTTTCTCGTTAGGCTCGGCTGTATCTATAGTTTCGTGGAAATCAAGATATAAGCTAAGGACTTACTTGAAATAGCCATTGGTTCCTCCAACCGCTACGTTTAGTAACAAGTAGAACTCTTGATCGAATGGAGCGGCTTTAATGTGGTGTGTTTTACCGCCTTCCTCCACCGGTCTCCAAGGGTTGCTTTCTTCTGTCGCATTATACTTAATAAACTCCCCACGTTGCCAGAACCCTCCTTTCGTAAATGGGATGTACATGACTTGGTGGATTCTATTGTTGACATATGTAACTATGTAGTCCTCAGTCCATTCAAGGCCGAAAGTATAGAATTCTTTCGAAAAGTCCGAACGCTTCAACGTCGTTTGTCCCATTGTTCTCCAATATGCATCAACTCCGGGGTACGGGCCCCAATGGAGCGCACTTCCGAAATGATCTCTGCCTCCCTGAGGAAAATCGTAATTGTTCCCGCGAGATTCCACAATATCGATTTCTCCAGATGCAGGCCATGTCCCATAAACCGAATGCGCCGGCATCATCCAGATAGCTGGCCAGAGCCAATCTCCCCTTGGTAGCTTCGCCACAATCTCCATTTTTCCAAAGGCGATTCCCCTTTTGCCCTTCGTTGTCAAGCGTGCGGAACGGACTGGATTAATCATTTTTCCAGTTGTCGAATTGGAGCGTATTCCGCACGCGGAGATCTGCTGGGAAGTACACGTTTTTGTTGTCGTTAAGTTCAATGTGTATCCATTGAGGATCTGGTCGTTCGTGATTGTAGTCGTTTCATTTGTTAATGTCGGAACTATATGGAGGCCATTTTTATCTGTGTATGCGTTCGTGGGGTCGGATGTTGTCCAGTCAAAATGACCATTGCCATAACCATCTAACTGGATCTCATAATTCCACACGGAAGGATCAATTCCTGATGTGAAGTCGTCATCGAGCACTATACAGTACTGGTAATGGGGTTAGCTCGAACTAATAAATGTTGTTTAATGGTCCGTATGAAATACCTCCCGCTTTGGAAACTGTCGCGTTCCCGTCCAGCAATACACGGCCGCAGCAGCCAAACCGATACACGATAGTGTATAGATAATTACATTATTCGTTCGTTTCCTAGATTTTAGCTGTATAATATATATGCGGTTAGAAGCTTTTTTTTCAACGAAATCTCGGGTGTCGAGGATCATACTCTGGGGTCTACTAGCCATGGCTGTTCATATTTTTCTTTTAGTTTATATGTAACAAATGGTCGTTTCTGTCGTTGAATATGGGAGGATGCATAATCTGAGATAATGGAAGATGTCGAGAATCTAGTGCCGGGTTGGAGGTATGGTCGGCCTGAACCAGAAGCCGAACTCGAACTCGAACTCGACTCTCCAACATTCGAAGAAGAAAACGAAGAAGAAGCCATGGAAATTTTAAGAATCACTGAAGAGTAACACGGTGGATAATGTGTTAACGGTTCCAGAATTTGAAAAGTACTGTATATCTCTGAAAGTCGAACCAGATACGTAGTTCGTCGAATCAAACTGGATATTTCTGGAAACCCTGAACCGATTAATTGAAGGAATGGATACAAATTAGCCGACTGTTGAAGATTGAGGAACAGATCGAGATACGAACTACACTAGTGGGTGGACTCGATGTTTATCCCTATGAGGTTATTTATTATAACCAGGGATAATTGTGTAGATATCATATAACTCATGAATAGTCGATATCAAGATCACCTCCATCGAGTCTGAAATTGGGTAACTTAGCTTTCTTCCATGTACAAAAAGCTAATGGTGCGACCGCGAAGAATCAATGCAATCTCTCCATGCGCATGTAAGGGTGAAATGTCGTACATCTCAGACCGGTGCTGTTGAGCCCAGAGCCGACGGCGAGTCAGCCCTCAAGTGATAGGCCACTGGACTCAGGATGCCATGCATGTGGGGGTACTTCGAAAAATTACTCAGTGAGACAGTATCCCAGTTTTCAGTCGACTGCCCTCCCGTCCCTGTCACAAGGCTGGCCCAGGTTAACCGCCTTCTCGATAATTGCTTGTTGTTGTGTGTGGAATTTTCCCTTGCCAATTCCGGTGCCACGTTTTAACCCGGCAGAATTTATTCCGCCCGGGGGCAACATCCGGGGCTGCTCGGGGCCACCACCCCAGAGACCACCCCTGGACAGGTCGAGATCGAGCCTGTGGTAGAGCTAACAACAAAATCCTTAGAATGTCATTTCTCCTAGCTTGCGCATTTTATCGCTGCGCATTGCGGACCGGCACCAAAAAGAAGGTTTCCACAAGATTTTGCGTGAATATGGGTTCAGCCGCTTCTCCTGGATAGGTCGACTGAGCCTGAGCTGATCTAGCCATGCATATGCCTTGCCGACTATCCAGGCGTCGTCCTTTCGTTGATCTAAAACAGGGGATTGCATTTGAATGTGAAGTAATAGCAAAGCCTTGGCCTAATTTGTAAATTCTATTTGGTGGCGATTAATACAGCAGACGTCCAGCATTTGAGTGTTCTTCTTCACGATTTTGACTATTGAATTGACACGTCTTTACTGATCCCTTCCGTTCAGCTGAAGAATTCAACAAATCGAGTGCGACTCGGTTAAGATTCTCTCATGCTTGTTTAAGCATATACACTCACTTACATATTGTTATTTGCGCTATACACTCTTTTGGTACCTCGTTTTATCATCTTTTTTATTCGCCTTTTCTGTTTCTGCAGATTTGGACGATTTGCTATATCACACGGCATACTTTTGTCGACGGCATCCTCTCTCGTTTTATATTATTTCTGCGGCATCGGCCTTTTACTCTCATTAGTATACTAGCTTATGGTTTCGGCGTAATTTTCAGTACTCTCGTTACATCTTCAAGTCACGATCTATACTTCTAGATCGAGGTTTTCTGCAAAAACGTTGCAAATCTGTTTTCAAGATGCGGTTTATGCAAATCCTGAAGGCTGCGGCTCTTGCGTTGGTTGCTTCATCAAAGCTTTCCAATGCATTGGCATCTACCGATGAGATCCAAGATTGTGACGCTGCACAGTCCGGATATCTTGATAATCATAACCTCAGTCCTGATATCGTCAACGACCCGGGGTTCGGTATTTTATGGCAGATATCAACTATTGGTGGGGCCAATGAATTGGTAGGTTTGGCTGGCATTCTATCCAAGGGTTCCCGGCATTCATGCACTGACTGTTACTTTATATATGCGATTAGTTCTTTGCGAAACCTTTGGTGTATACTCCACCCTCGACCGGCATTCAAGTCATTATTGCGGCATCTGCTATGAACTGGGTGTATGTGATCGATGCGAAGAACGGTACGGTATATACCAAACGTCAATTAGGAAAACCATTCGCGCAAAAAGATGTTGGCTGTGGTGACGTCCAACCCTTTATTGGTATTATGGGCACGCCCGTAATTGATCCCGCTACCGACACGATTTATATGTTTTCAAAGTCATATTTGGATACCTCTGATAATGGAGCTACCGGTGTCTTGAACGGCCGATACCGGGTTTATGCTCTCGATGTTTTGACATTGGCGGATAAATTTGGGTTCCCATTGATGGTGGAAGGTTCTCAGGCGGACAATGATCCTCAGAAGTACTTTATGGGAGGGACTCACATGCAGCGCCCAAGTTTGGCTATGATCAATGGTATCGTGTGGGCTGGTGTGGCAAGTCATTGTGACCAGTGTGAGTATAGCTCCTAGGATCCCCCTTGTAGAAAACTTCGTCCCACATATGCATAGAAAGGTTCATTCGCTAATATCCGAGGTCTATACGATTTAGACAACTATACTGGGTGGATATTTGGGATTGACCCATCGACACCTCGTGTTGTTTCGCTGTTTTCAACTATTTCCGGTGCTTATAGTATTCCCCAATCTACTGTTGGCGGTTATCAGCGAGATGACGGCGGTGGAGGTGCCGGTATTTGGCAAGCCGGAATGGGCCTTGCATCTGATCGAAGCGATCGATTTTTCGTTGTGACCTCCAATGGCCACGCGCACGAGAACAAAGATCGAGCCCGGGATGGAAGAAACCCACCTGGTACACTTGAAGAATGTATTGTTTCTCTGAAAATTGATGCGCAAACGAAAAAGCTGAAACCCCAAGATTTTTTTCAACCATACGAATACTTGAACCTCGACAATGCGGATAAGGACTTTGGAAGCTCAGGTTTCACTCTCTTAGACCCAAATACATTCAGCGCTTCGGGCGTGACAAGGATGGGGGTTACTGGAGGAAAGAACGGTAAAATCTATCTTGTCAATGCGGATAATCTTGGCGGTTATAAAACGGGATCCGGTGGGGGTGATGCGGTCCTCCAGACTCTCACGCCTGCAGGTGGTTCCATTTTTGGAGGTATCGGGTCTTATCCCAAAGAAGGTGGTTACATATATGCCTCCTCTCCTGGCTATAATACAGTCGTCTACAGTTTCGGAAAGGACTCGAATGGGAAACCCGTTTTCACGCAAGTCGGTATGACGGCGGAAATCAATGCCGGGCGGGTAGGAACGGGTATTCCCACTATCACTTCAATGAATGGACGAGCTGGGACTGGTATTCTCTGGTTGACAGATGTTGACAATGGCCTGAGAGCGTGGAATGCCATCCCGAATGCTGACGGGACGATGACTAGATTAAACCTTCCACCGGTCACCTTCGTCGGGAAATGGCAGCGACCGGCCTTTGGTGACGGGAAACTTTACATTGCTGGAAGCAACGGCAAGATTACATGCTTGGGGGCACCTATTAACCTACCGCTCACTTGTACCGACCTTGACTTCGGTGATCTAGTTATTGGTAATACCAAGACCCTGAACGTCAAGTGCCAGGCCAATATCGCTATCACTAGTTTCAAGGGCTTGAGTATCGTACCAGGGCTCTACTTTAAGACCAGCAACAGCTCGGTTACTGGAGTTTCGCTTGCAAAGGGGCAAAACGTTACTATCCCGGTGACATTGGACCTTACCACTGCTGGTCAAAAGTTTATTCCTGGAAGTATTACTTCCTCCCTCCAGATCATGACGAACAACGGGGTTGCTGGCTATTCTAGCCAACAGCCAGTCGGTTTAGCCGGCAACATCGTCTCTTCGGCTGCCTTCCTCCAACTACAACCGCTCGAAATTTCCTTTGGGGGCGTCGTCTGGGGCTCCGAGCAGCAGGTTGATGGTATTTTGAGCTCAATGTACATCAAAAACATTGGAACCCAACCAATGACTATCCTCAACTACGTTTACACGAAGGATAGTGTTGATGATATCAACAACAGCACGGAATGGATTCGTATCACGCCACCGGCCACTCCTGGGGACCTTTGGTACCTGAATGACGGGTTTGAAGCCGATTTCCCTGCTGAGGGCAGTACCATCGCTCCCGGTACCAGTGTTGCTGTAGAGCTCAAATTTCAACCCACTCATACCGGTGACTTTTCTACCTGGGTCGCGGTTAACACCACAGCTGGATATTCCATTTTTGCTATGTCTGGGACATCATCCACGGCACCAATTGGATTGCTCCAGATGCAGACCTTGGAGGGAGGAACATCTAACAATAAGTTCTGGGATTTTGGAAGCGTCTATGGGGGAACGGTACAAACGGCTGTTATCCTCATCTCAAATACTGGAGGTTCTCCGCTCCAAATTACAAAGTCCAAACCTCCATCCAACCCGGAGCTCTACGCTATATACCCCGGTGACGAATTCACTGAGAATCAATTCATTGCTCCAGGCAAAACGGGAATGGGGCATGTCGCCTTCGCTCCGTTCAAGCGAACAATTATCAACCAAAACCCCACCCTGTATACTGAGTACTGGGTTTTAAATACCGATGGTGAAGGGTTCAATGGCCCGTACGAAGTTGCATTTACTGGTGCTGTCATCACGAAGCAGGTTGGACCATTGTTCAATAATGGGTCTGCTAGATACAAATATCTCGGCTGCTATCTGGATGGCACCAATGGCCGCATTGCCCCAAACAAGTATACATTCCAGGGTACCAACGAAAACGGTATATGTCAGAGCCAATGTGCATCAGCCGGGTACGCTTTTGCTCTATCAGAGTACGCATACGAATGCTGGTGCGGAAATACTGTCCCGGATACTTCACTAAAAGGTGCAGACTCTCTCTGCGCTACTCTATGCCCTGGAGATACGAACCAAACCTGTGGTGGTGATGGAGGATACGCTACGGCGTGGTACGATAGCCAAAGATATGATCCTGTCACAAACCTCCTCGACGGTGTATACGCGAGACCACCAAGTTTTATGCAAGCGGCTGGAGGTTTCAGTTTCTACGGTTGCTGGAGCGATTCTGCCTCCAACCGCTCATTGAAGGGCAAGGCCACTTCGGGCAGCAATATCAACATCACTTCCTGTGCAACTTTCTGTCAAGGGTACACTTGGATGGGAACATCTTATAGTAATGAATGCTACTGCGGAAACGATCTCGGCGGTGTTACGAAACCTCTTGCAGATTGTAACATGCTGTGTGCAGCTGATCAGTACTCTTTCTGCGGTGCTGGATCTAGACTTTCTCTATATCTTCGGAACGGAACATCGGTGTCATCTAGCTCTACCACCACCCAACCGTCAACCACCGTTGGGACTGGCACCACATCAGCAACAGCTACACCGACATCTCCAATCTCAGGTTGGAACTACCTGAGCTGCTGGACCGATGATGTTGCAAACCGTTCTCTCCAAGATAGCAATTATGCTACGGATGACAACAGTCTTACGAAATGCTCACAATTCTGCGCTGGCTTCAAATACTTTGGTGTTGAATATGGCTCTGAATGTTACTGTGGTAATGTCCTTGGAGGGGCTTCTGCTGCTGAGGGTGATTGTTACAAGACTTGCACCGGATCCAACGAAATCTGTGGTGGTGATAATAGATTAAACGTCTATTCTGCGAAGCCGGCAAGTACTACGACTACCAGCACAAGCACCAGCTCTACACCCACGCCATCCTTATGGATTGACATGGGTTGTTACAAAGACTACACTGGTAATCGCACACTTATTGGCAAATCTACAACTTCCACTAGTAATAACGCGGCTTGGTGCTACAATTATTGTAATAACCTCGGGTTCAGGTATTTTGGAACTGAATATGCCAATGAATGCTATTGTGGTAACGCGATTGTCGGAGTTGGGGAACCAGTTTCCAGCGGTTGTACCTACAAATGTGCTGGAGATCAGAGTCAGTTGTGTGGTGGCGCGAACCGCATCAATATGTATATGGTCAAGCCTCCAAGTAAATCGTCCACGACTTCAAGTACTACATCGACAACAACGACAGCCTTGACTACTACCTCTACAGCATCGCTTACTACATCTTCTACTACATCTTCTACTACAACAACAACTACATCTTCTTCGCCGACAACATCCGCCCCAGCCGGTCCAACGGTCGTTCCGTCCCGCGGAAACTTCCAGTATTATGCTTGCTGGACAGATAGGACGAATGATAGAGCTCTTGCCGGGTGGGGACTTGACCCCAATGATGCTATGACAGTGGAGAAGTGTATTGATTTCTGCGCGCCGACGAAACAGTATGTTGGTGTGGAAGATGGAAGGGAATGTTGGTATGTAAAAGCTCTTGGAATTACTTTCTCAACAGGATGGGCTAACAAAGTTATAGGTGCGGTGATTCTTTACTTAGTGGACAGGCAGCTGTAGTTGAAGAGTGTTCAACTCCATGTACTGGCGCATCAGACGAGATTTGTGGTGGCCCTTCAAGACTCGTAGTTTATAAGAAGGTTTCTAATGATCCTGTAACAACTACGACGACTACGACGACTACTGCTACGACTACGACTACTACCTCTTCCATTGCTACTTCCTTAACGAGTACTTCGACTACTAGTTCCTCTGCCATTACTTCTTCGAGCGCCACTTCAACTTCTACAACTGTTTCAACTACCCTCTCAACCACCAGCTCGACTACTACAACTACAACCACTACTACTACAGCAACCACTACCACATCATCTATCCCTGTTCCCACAATTGTAGTTTCTTATGCTAGTTTCACCTATCAGGGATGTTGGACCGATCGTACGAACGACCGCGCCCTCGCTGGATGGGGTCTCGATCCTGGTCCTGAGATGACCGTTGAGAAGTGTATAGATTTCTGTGCGCCAACCAAACAGTATGTCGGCGTTGAAGATGGAAGAGAGTGCTGGTGCGGCGACGCTATCCTTTCGGGCGTCCTCGCAGGTGATTCAGAATGTGCAACTCCATGCAGTGGGGCCTCGGGTGAACTTTGCGGTGGAGCTGCAAGGTTGGCGCTTTATAAGAAGGGTACTGCTAGTAGCTCTACTACCACTACCACCACCACGACAACTTCGACGACTAAGTCTAGCACACTGACAACTACGATAAGTACTACGACAAGTAGCACCACGCAATCTAGCACCCTGACTCCAACTACCAGCGCCACAAGTAGTACAACATCAAGTACTTTGTCAACGACCCCTTCGACTACCAGTAGTACGACAGCTATAAGCACCAGTAGTTCCACTACCACGAAGTCTACAACGCCTAGTTTGAGTACTACTTCGTCTACTGCCACGACGACGACGACAACTTCGAAGTCCACAACGAGTAGTACTCCTTCCACTACTCCTTCCACCACTCCCTCCACCACTCCTTCCACTACTCCTTCCACTACTCCCTCCACTACACCTTCTACCACACCTTCTACCACACCTTCTACCACACCTTCTACCACACCTTCTACCACACCTTCTACCACACCTTCTACTACCCCTTCTACTACCCCTTCCACTACTCCCTCCACTACACCTTCTACCACTCCTTCTACTACCCCTTCTACTACCCCTTCTACTACCCCTTCTACCACACCTCCCACTACTTCTTCTACGACAACTACAACGGTAACCACAAGTAAACCTTCGTCAACTACCACAAGCACGATAACGACAACGGCAATTACCACAACTACCACGAAGTCTACAACTTCTTCAACAACCACAATTTCTCAACAACCATCCGCTTCCACTAACCCATGGGAGTACTTGGGATGTTACCTAGACTCTGTCAATACCAGGACTCTCCCCAATAAGACCAAAACAGATACTAGTATGACTATTGAATGGTGCCAGGATTACTGTTTTGGAACCCTCAACTTGCCATACGCCGGTCTTGAGTCATCTAAACAATGCTTCTGCGCCGATAAGATCAACTATGATAGACAACCAGGTCAAACAGGTTGTACCCAAACTTGTGCGGGTAATTCAATGGAAATCTGCGGTGGCGCTAGTAGACTTAGCATCTACAGGAATAACAACTGGAACCCTACAGTAATCGCGCAAAACGTCCTAGGCTGGAAGTATGATGCTTGCTGGACGGAAGTTACCGGTCGTGCTCTTCGTGGGTATATTTATACGGATAACACCGGTATGACCTCGGCGCAGTGTGTTACTACTTGCAAGAGTAAGGGGTATGCACTTGCAGGTCTCGAGAATGGCAAGGAGTGTCATTGCAGTAATGCAAATTTAGCGACGGTGTCAGCGGTTGATACTGATTGTAATATGAACTGTGTTGGTAATGTCACGGAGTACTGTGGTGGGTCGAGTAGAGTGCAAGTGTATCTTTCTCCGTGAATGTAAGAGATGTGGATGGTTTGATTTAATGTTGGTGTTTACGTGGGATTTATTTTTTTTCTTTCTCTTTTCTTTCCTATATAATGTTTGGATGCATGGCGATGTGGATGCATTGAATTTGTTATGGTTTGAGCCTTCAGGGGCCTACAATACATTCACTAAAAAAATTCCTTTATTTTATATGCTATTTCGTTTCTTACTTAAAACTATTCAACTCTTAATGTAATTAATTTTAACTGAGCTCTTAGACGATTAATTAATCTCGATCGATTCAAAATCTGCTGGATTCACATGTTATACGTATACTGGTAGCCCTGAGAAGATATCAAGGGGGTATTCGGCGCCGTAAGCCTGATGTAAAAGTGACTGTGAAAATATGATCGTATGCCTCTTTTATCAAATAAATTGTTTCAAGGCGCCTTTTTCATATAATTAACCCAGATACTACAATTAATAATCGCACAGATTGCCAAAATATCTGCTTTCCATGGTAAAATACTCGAAACATATAGTTTTCTCCCGCAGGATTAAGATCCAAAGTAAACCGAACAAAGAAAGGTATTCACAATTACGTCTACAGCGGCCGTCAAGATCATTTTAATATCCGCCTTTGAAAAAATTGATTATACAAAATTCGAGATTCAAATAAATAAAAGACGATATCAATCCCAAATTCTCCTCTAGCAACCAAGGTATCGTACCCGCCGAACATCTCAAAAGTAACTAATCTGCAATAAACCAAGGAAAAATGGCATACAGCAGTCTCTTCGACACAGTCCAAACCCTACAAAATGAACTAACATCACTACAAAATAAATTCAACGAACTCCGAGATGCCTACGAAGGGTTAGTGATCACTTGCCAAACACTCGACGTTGAGAACAGAAAAATCATGGATGAGAGTACTCAAGATGGAACGACAGATATCCTAAGCTTATTTTCAATTAGCTCTGTCTGTCAGGAGATACGAATTGATCAGATGAATATGTTCATTGTGGCGAATCCTGATATTGCACGGAAGTATGAGATTGAGGCCGGGTTACTGAGCTGTGGACAGGGGGATAGTTTGAAGACTTGGTCGGGGAATGCTAAGGTAAGAATAAGCTTCTGTTCCATATATAATAAGAAAGCTATTTCTAAAAGAGCGCCTTCCTTTTGTAATACAGGTCGACGTCGAGATCCCATCCGATGAAAGAACGCATAAGCTCTTCGAAGCCTGCTACGGCGTTTCGGTGGATGTCCTACGGCCATATACTAACGACGAGAAGCTGCTGACGCTTCTATCGCAACGGTGTACATTGTACAAGCATTTGTCGAATCAGTTTCATGAGCTCTATGATGACCTTTGTGAGAGGCTTATCGATGGGGGGGATTACAAGGAGATCTCGGTTGTTCTTCTCAGGGCTGTTGAGTATACTCATAAGGATGTAATGGGTCTAGGAGTGCAAGCTGTGGAGTCTGGGGATCAGAAAATTAAAATATAACGGACATTAGGCCCCGAGAAGCTCCCGTGTTAGATACATATATAATGCAGCAAAGCTCACCAGTGTTAACTCGTAAACCAGACCCAACGCCACTGCGAAGAGTCGGTGGGAATATAAATTGCATATGCCCATATATAGAGTAAAAGGTATTCACATTCGTGTTAGGAAGACCCTATCAGGGTCCTTATAGGACAAATTTAAACCCAATACCATAGACACCTCTATTATTTTCTGTAACCGTATAGTATCAGTTGCAGTCTCGGAGCAATTCGCAAGCTTGATACAGAAAAAGTCTTCAAGATCCGGGTCTCAAGATTCTGGGCTTCAAATTCTAAAACTCGTTTCATGCTCTCCGTAGAGCCATCAACAATTTCCGATATCAATTTGACGGTAAGGAGAATACAGAGATAAAAGCTAACACAAATCCCTGACCCGCAAAAATAATATATATATATAAGTTCTGGTTCACTTTCTGGAAGCGGGTGTTAAGAAAGCTTCGGACTGGATATAGCCCTAAACTAAATCATGAACCCGGATCCTGAGGTCGCAGATAAAAATGAGACACCTAAGCCGTCTAGCCGTCCTCCGCCGTGGCCAAATAGTAGGCCTGTCGGCTATGGTTCGTTCTCGTGGGATCTAAATCACCATTCTATTGAAGGCTCACCACCACCGATTCTAGTAAAAAGCCCACACCAGACAAAAGACTCAAATGCGTCAAAATCACAAGATTTCGACGAGGTATCCTTAACCAAATCTTCACCTGCCCCGATATCTCTCAGGAAAGCATACTTAGCGCCAGTAGGATTCTATTTAGCACAGTTTGGTTACGGGGCTGCCCATTTAGCAAGTGACGAAAGACTCAGAAATGCAACGCCGGGTTCAGAGAGCGGAGATACTCCCGGAGTATATTCGCTTCCTAAATCCTATGGGAAAGACTTCAAGGTAAGAAGGAAGGTAGGGGCCGGTGCATTCGGTGTAGTGGCCGTTGTACGGGTAATTTCTGCGGGCGATGGCGGTATCGCACATGGTTTCAGACTGCGGCCGGGCACAGAACTTATAGCGAAGAAGATCTCTGCTAACCCATCGAGAGAACATACGATGTATAGCAGGGAGTGGAAAATATTGGATACCCTTCGAGGGCATAGAAATATTCTCCATGCAATCTGCACGCAGCGTCCAAGGCCGGAAAATCCTTTTGGGCATATTTTCATGGAGTATTGTGATCTGGGGGATGTAAGGCGTCTTCAAAACAAATATAAGGATCGATTCATAATGAAGATGCGACAAAATAAGTAAGCTATACTCCAAGGAACGTGACACTTAACTTGGTGTCAAAAATATCACGGATATGGCACTAATAAATTAATACGATTAGTTTGTGCCGAGCCTGGCTGCCCAAAAAGCTTCTATGGTTGGAAAGAGTTCCCGGTCCCCTCGCATACGAGATCATGACTAGTATCGCCAGAGGCCTTGCATGGATGCATTATGGGGTTTGGGATTGGCCACTTGATAGTGCTATCGATCCCAGATGGATTTCGATAATGCATAACGATATCAAAGCAGACAATGGTAAGTGTCTTGTTCCCTTCCGTTTTAATTTTAATTTTATTTTTTTTCTTCCGCTTTTGTTTCCCCCCCCGGAGTATATGCCCCGAATAGTCTTTCCTAACATTTAAACCGCTAGTACTCATGGTTTCCCGTCAACCGGGTGACGACTGCCCATACCCCATCTTCAAAATAGGAGACCTTGGTGGAGCAACAAGACTCGGTAGAGTTGCTTTCGTTGGAAATTCAGTGACCGCCTCACCGGTAGGTTTCCTCCATCCCATTTGAAACTAATATTCACTCGATTCAACCACCGCACGCATATATTGCACTGCAACCATATCCATTTGCGCCCTAGCACTCCATACATGACCATTAGACGACTAGCGGCTAACATTCGGAATTCTCAAAACGAATAGGAGCGGTTAAGAGGATGTCTGCGCATCCCAAGCGTCCCGGAAGACGACATATTTAGTCTCGGTGCAATGATGTTTCAAGTTGCCCTTGATGTGTACCCTTTCAAATATGATGAGGTACCATCGATACACTTAGTGCTCGGTGGTCCTGACGAAACTTTTGAGCCTACAACGTGCCCAGAGGTTTGCCGAGATCCACAATTAGATCATTTCAAAGCTCCTCGTTGCACAGATGATGGAAACGTTTCGAGGTGCGAAATGCAAACACAGATAAAGTCTCTGAAATGGACAAAGTTGAAACATCCGCCGCCTCATGCGGAATGGTGGCATCAACTGGTTCTTCACTGTTTAGAAATTGAGCGGCAGGATAGACCTAACGTTATCGAGGTATTGGAACGGCTGTATCTTGGGAGAAGAGGTCGGAGAGAAGATAATGTAGGCAATCCTTTGGTATTATGGGACCCTTTTTGGCTGTCAAAGGAAGCTCAGGAGAACCTTAAAGCGAGAGAACATGAATATGATGCTATATGGCTGCAGCATTTTGAGAAATAAGCCTCGAGTTCCACGGCCTAACTCTCAATTGACATAGCTTTATCAAGGGCATCACCAATAAGCAAACATATCAGTACTAAATTTGGTATATCTACAGATAAGACTAGCTAGATAGTCTATGGCTTGAAAAATCGTATTCCTGGTCTTGAATTGGGTTACTTTTTATTCCGTTACCCGAATGCCAAATCACAGAATAGGCCTCGTGGTAGATATCACATTTATATGCAAAGAAAACTTTAGTATGCCAAGTCAAGTGTACCAAACTATTCGCCACTCTTTTCCTTCACAGAAACCAGGAGCTCATAGGAATTGATGTATACGCAGTATGCAGCATGAACACGATGAGTCTCTGCAAACAAAAATGGTCTAGTCTATCAAGCAATTACATCGGGATCAAATAGGGAGATCGTCATCTCGTATGCAGGGTGTTTAACTTAATCCCGTGTTAGTATCGATGAGGAAAACGGGATGGATATCACATGGACCCTTGCAGTATCCGCTAACTAACGCCACCCTAACAAGCTGCGGCAGGGTCACTGCTAGAAAGATAAGGAACTAATAATAAATACTGAATTCAGACTTATGAAATGCTGTATATAGCTAGGACAAATCTCAGAGAAACCATTTTGAATATCAGATTTGTGGTAGGCCGTTTACCTGCTGCTAGAGGTCAGGATCACCCGCAAATATCAAAATGTCAAGATTGATATTAGATTTAAGTTCCATACAGATCCAGTGTCGAGACTCTGCCTAACCACCATGCAAATAAATATAACCGCAATGCAGTTGCAATTGGGGTATAGCTTCCACAAAACTTGAACTTTATCTCCAGCCATATGCTAATCGTGGTTAGGCATATCTAGCGAGTTGAATCAGATGGAAATAGTGGACCCTCCTAACGAGCTCAGCGGTAGTTAGTCTTGAAACCCTAACTTAACGGAAGTTATCCTCAGTTCCCATTTGCACAATCCGCGACCAAGTTCAAGTGTTTGTCGCGAGTCCCCACAGGCTGACCAGGATTGCCTGGTTCTAGTCTGAAAAGGGTATCAGCCGCCAAGCCGGCACCTCACTTCTCCAACCCTGCACGGGACCGATCGAGAATCATTGCGATTGCGAAAGTTACACATAATACAGTCGAGATCTGAGTCGGCAAACGGGAAGGGCTGCAGCTTGTCGGGACAGCCATATCTCTGAAGCAAGGGGCCCTAGGTCGTTCCCGCGAAATTCGCTTATCTCTTCTGGCGATATTCATGCTCGAGTTTAACCGAAAAATCCAACAAATTGAACTCGAGTGAAATGGATTCTTCCTTTCAATGGTCGAAAGGTTCCACTGGTCTTGTACCAGGCTCCACCGCGTACCAAAACGTCAGTAGTTTAATCAATAACGTGGGGTCTCAATCTCGGCATGCAGAACACTGCCTTGGATCGACGACGTTTTGCCACGGACTTGGTTGAGCTTTGGGGCTCTCTATTCTCTATTCGGTTCCCTGCCCCTCATGTTCGTTTGGTGCCGCCTTCTTTGATGGAAACCTTGGGTGTTTACGGAGTAGTGTTTGCTCGCTCCAGTGTGGGACGGAGGTTGAAACTTCATGCATGGACCCACTACCCGACGATCTTGTCCTTGCCCGTGTGCGACCACAGACATCATTGCGCATCGGTTCCTGGAGATATTTATCCTAACTGCAGACTGATTATCAAAGCTTATTGAAATGGGTATACTATCAGAAAGATAGCGGGCGGGGAAAGGCTCGCTCGGGACTTATTATTTAAAGCGGTCCTTCGGCCTTCTCTCTCAGGATGCAGTACCTACAAGAAACCATCGGTCTTTAGGGCGCATACCAGACCGTAATAAGGGTATCGATATCGATTTTTCTTTTCGAGTCGCATACTAGGGTTCTCCAGAAGCCTGAGCAGTGAAAATCCAGCTCGTCGTTGTATCTTTTGCATCCACGGCGTTGAATACAAGGATCATATCCGATATATCTGTTTCGCCGAGACAAGGTTAGTTTCACTTATTAATATACGTAGGATACTATACTGTGCCCTTTAACTCCATGATCCTTCATTCAATAACGTTGCAACTTCATGAATACAACCTACCGATCCCATGTCATTCACTACTCTTTCGTCCCTACACCCAAACTCCTCACCTACCCGGCCATGTCCCAATGCAACATTGGTGTCACGGCCAGCATTTACATCCTATTCAAATCTGCCATCAAAGACTGAACTAATCCTTAAAAATGTTGTTTCTGAAGCATTCCCGTAATTTAGGTCGATTTGCAGTCTCTAGGCCACGAAAAATGAAACCGGTTCACTTTCTTGCAGCTTACATAGCTACTGCGGCGGCGGCTCCTGTTCAGCAGTTGGATAAACGACTAGTGCTGTACACTGTGTCCAATCCACTACTGCAAGTAGTCAGAAATGTTGATATCGCGGCAAAGCGTCTTCTATTTTCTTATGATACGGGAACTGGAGGGGGCCCACCTTCACCAGGAGGCGTACTAGGACTTGCAGCCGTTGCAACTGACAGGCTAATAACTAACGCTGAAGTAGCTGCCCAAGGTGTCGTTGATTTGGGTGATAAGTCGGCTATCGATAATAACAAAGCTGCGGTTCGTCCCCCCTCATAATATTTGAAAATTTGTTCCACCGATTTTAACAGCTCATATCCTGTTTTGAATTTAGTTGAATGGCCTTCAAACATTAGAGGACTACAAAAAGCTTTACGAGGGGTACTGGGCCGCAACTTCTGCCCCAACTGGTGTCAGCCCAGGCCTACTCACAAACTATACCCAAGACTTGCTGTTTTCCATGCAACGGCTGTCTACAAACCCGTATGCTGTCAGGAGACTTGCTCCAGGAGAAACACTCCCATTCAGCGTAGATGACACGATCGTTAAAAACCTCACTGGTACCGATAACGGCAGTGAGGTAATTGTTGGAATAGATCTAGATACCCTCTTGTCGCAAGGGCGGCTGTTCTATGTGGACCACAGCGTGCTCAAAGACTTTGAAACTGAGCAGTCCGCCAATCACGCAGGAGGATGCGACGCCTATTTCTTTATTCACCCAACGACGGGACAGTTCTTGCCTTTAGCTATTCGAACTAATTATCAGAGCAATTTGATCTACACACCACATGACAGCTTTGAGGACTGGCTGTTGGCCAAGATCATGTTTAACGCTGATGACTTGTTCATGGCTCAGTTCTATCATTTTTCAGGTTCCCATTTCGTTAGCGAGGCTATCTTCCAAGCTGCCGTTCGAACTTTGAGCGAGGAGCATCCCGTTTTGGCTATCCTCAGAAGATGTAAGATTTGAACTCGCGCTACAGCAAATGATCTAGACGCTAACCTCTTTGGATACAGTGATGTATGGCGCCTTTGGAATCCGACCTTTAGCAGTTGACATACTCTTCCCTGTCGGAGGTCTCATAGATCGGCACTTCGGTTACAGCGGAAGAGCGGCAGAGAGCTACTCAAACTATTTATACGAAAGTGGAATTTCCGGTGCCGTCCAGGCCAACTACTTCAAGGCCAATCTAAAGCGTCGTGGCCTCATAGAGCCTGCTTTTGGCCCGGCATTGACACATTTCCCTTTCTATGAGGATGCTCTTCCTCTCTGGAACGCCATGCACACGTTTATGACCGCCCTTGTTCACAGCTACTACCCTACTGACGCATCGGTCGCCGCCGATAATGAAATCATGGCCTGGATGGATGAAGCAAACGGGTCAGCTGAGGTTGTCGATTTCCCCAATAGGGCGACAATGAATTCCCGGGCCAAGCTTATCGACGTTCTTACACATGTTGCCCACCTCGTATCGACCGCACACCACGTCGTTAACACCAATGCCCTTATAACTGCAGGAGCTGTTCTTCCACTCAACCCAGGTGCTCTGTTCCACCCAATCCCAACCGCGAAAGGCGAAACAGACGTTGCAAAATACCTTCCAGATGTGGATAAGTCTATTGCTTATATCTTTAATACGGGACTATTTTCAAGGCCTTTACTCGCTGGAACGGACCGTACGATCGTTCACATGTTTGACGATCCGGTCATGCTTCTACGAATGAAACCTGCCGTTAGAATTGCCAACAACGTATTCAAGGCCACAATGGAGGCGAGAAGCACCATCTTTAAACACCGTCGGCTCGATAGCAATGGATTGAGTCAGGGCATGCCATTCGTATGGAAGACCCTAGACCCCGATGTTGCACCATGGAGTTTGACGGTTTAGTGTATGAATGTTTAATATTCCCAACATACTAAAAAAAATGTTTAGTATCTCTCAAACAACTCTTAAAGCGAGGAATATATATTCCATCTGCCAGAGTTGTGGTTTTATAATGTAGATAGCATAATCGATAGTTGTAATCAAAATACGAGGGGTGGAGGTGCCACATTTGGAGCATATATATGCTTTTTCTTCGATTTGTCTTCGAGTTATGCATCTTCCCTGCAATTGTCTCGCCCTGCGGGTACGTACTATGTTGTAATGCCCCTCTATTCTCGATTGAGATAGAGAACTCCTTCCAAGGAAAAAAATACACGTACTTACAGTCATAAGTGAGCTGGCTCGTGGGATGCATCTAGCAAGTAAGAATTATAAAGTAAGAGATTGGCTGGCCACGCGTAGACTTTCGTGCTCGCGGTTTCGAATCCCTTCTTTCACATTTTTTGATTTTTATTGCTTAGCGCCTTTCGTAGATAATAATAGTTTTGAAATATAACGGTGTAAGTTCCTTTTTCTTCAAAATACATCAAGCCACCAAACCACTAAGAACTAATCTGCAGCATCCAACTTCGAAGATTGTTCCATGGGTCCGAGATTTTGGCAAAGCCCCCTCATTTTGGGCCGGGTATTCCGGATGTCACTCGGTTCCGAAAAAATGTCGTGTTTGATGTTTTTTCGGCTGCAGGAGGCTTTCCATGATCGAGCAAGAATAAAAGGATGCATGATACAATAGAGTAATCAGGTGGGTGAAACTCCAAGGGTGGACGACTGATTCGTAGCAAACCCAGATTGATAAAATCCTTACTCAGCCAGTGCAACAATTTATACAAGCGATACTAGAGCTATGACGATTATTTCATAACTTTGGAGATCAACATCTACGAAGAATTTTCATGGATTCATCCTTACAGGCACGGATAGATCTTCCCCCTACATCAATTAATTTGTGAGCTTGAGGGTTGTGATAATGTAATGAGCCCCAAACCTTGGTCACACACTCTCTCAATTGAGCCCAACTGTTAGCCCTCAAGCTACTGTGATTGGTCAGATCCATGACCATCCTAGCAAACTCGTGAACTCCGACATGCGCGCCAGAACGATTACTAGGCCCCTGCACACCAAACGACGCCCCATTCTCGGCTATGGGTTGGTTTGAGCCTGCCAGCGTCGCATTTACCATACATATTCTGCATCTTTTGGATACCAAACTAGCTGAATATACCGGCTCGTGGACTTCCCTGACGTGTTTGGCGCTTTTTATTTCGATTTTTGCTCAATTTTTTTTTCCTTCTTTCGAATTTCTTTACCTGCCCGGGTTTCAGCCCATGATGGGACTTAGGTATTAGCATCAACAGAAGCTGGGCTTTTCCCGGGCGTTCTTCGTAAGTAACAGATTGAACATCTAGTACAATACAAGTTGTCAGTCAATTGGTTGCGAACAGAAGTTGATATCGTCCAAGAAACCATTCTAAATTACGATAGATATACGCACATCAAGGATTATTCATGACCGTTAATCAAACCAGCCGCCGCAGTTCTGGGATTTCGAAATTTCGAAATCGTGTTAACCGGCGGGCTTGGCTTCTAGTTTTGGTCTGGCGCCAGTGCTGGCTTGAGGAATCATTCGGGTGCACAGCTCAAAAAGAACCTTTGCATTGTGGTTTACTCAGAGGTTTAGTCAAGCTGTGCGACTGATCGTTTCGCCTCGGGGTCAAAGTGGCCTGAGATTAGAAATTTTTGTACTCAAAAAGCAAAAACCTCTTTATGATGCATGTTGACATTCAGAATGTTCTCTTGCAGTACCGTGGGAAGTTGGTGTCTATATAATCGAGCAGTTAACCCTCTCCACCCGGAATATTTTAAACAGCATCAAGTACAATAAATATAAATCGGATACCATCTATACTTCTCTCTTATTCCATAACATTTATATCCCGCTCGGGTTCGGGTTCTTGGATTAAATTTAATTAATATCAATCGATTTTTCTCCCTTTCCAAATATCTCCATCCCTGCCGTTTTTGTGAGATATCAGCCTTAAACCGACCGCTTGTCGATACAAAAACGTTGCCAAGGATTAGTAACATCCCCAACACAGCTCTAAAAATGGGTACCCGAGTTCTCTACATGGCTTCGACCGAAAACACCAGGAGTGATGCACCACCGACTCCAACGAAGCTCTCCTTTTTCGAAGACTCTCTCGAACAAAATATGGCCCAACCGAATGCTTCTTATAATATTCCCCGTGATTCATCGCTGATATGTGCAAACGCCTTTATCACCGGTGCGGGGGCAGTAATGTTCCATCGAAAGAGTAAGAGAGTCGTTTTGGTCATCGATGACCGCGAGGCTCAAAGACCGCTTGGATGGTTTTTGCCTAAGGGAAGACGGGACGTTGGAGAGACTTTTGAACAGGCTGCGGTACGCGAAGGTGAAGAAGAGGTATGTCCATCCGGAGACCCACTTGTAGTGAAATAATTATGCTCGACATATGCAACCGTGCTGTTCAGCTGCGTCGCAAATTCGGTATAATAATAATATGCATACAATATGATCAAGTACATAACGCTAACGGTACCTTCTTTTCTTGTTACACAGGGCGGATACCCATGCAGACTTCTTCCCGTTCCCGTTCCCACACGGCAGCCTAAAAAGGTTGCCGACAGGAACGTTTTGTCCACGGAGCCGATTTATATGCACAACTGGGCCATTCCCTCTAAGAGACTATGGCAAGATGGTGGCATGTATACCTGCTTCTGGTACGTCTGTGAGATCACAGATGAGGACGTAGAAAGGGTTGAACGTGAGAAGCAAGAGAAGGATATGCTGAATAGAGCACAGATTAACTTAGCGGAAGCCAACGCTACAAGTGAAAAGGTTTTTATCGACTATCATGAGTTAAAATACCGATCGGAGTTGTTCGGGTATGAGGAAGCGAAGAAGTTGATTGAGGAGTCGATCGACTCGACGGTGTTTGGGTGTGTGCTACAGACAGCTATAGAGCTAGTACAGAAGCTGGATGAGATGGAGAATAAAGCCTAGAGGAGTGTGTATATCATTCTGTATTGGAGTTACTTGGTGTTCTTTCTTTCTCTTTTTGATTTCTGCTAGGTTTTTATATTGGGGGATATCTCTTTTTCTTACATTGTTCTGGAACACAGCGGGTCACTCTTAGCTTTTGATTACACTATTTCCTGTATCTATTTTACTTAACATCCATCAGAATGAACTAACGTGCCGTTTGGCAAGAGTTTTGACATCCTTATAAATGCAAATTGGACTTGTGAGACAATCTATAGATATAGATGCTGACAACACCCTTTATAACATCCCTGACCGGTGAGCCGGCGGACCGGAACAAGGGCACCCGACATTAAACAAGCGAGTCATAGCCCGGATGGAGGTGATACAGAGAAACCTAAATCATGAACGGCTACTTGCACTTGGAAGACATATTTCGCCTTATCTTCAAGATCTAGATGCATATGCCGTGAAACCCTTCCGCTTTTCATTACGAGATCCAAACAGCACAAAGTTCATAGAGTTATTCCGAAAGTTTGCTGTAAACACGGTTAGTCTAACCCGCCTCACATCCTTTTCCGTCACATCTACGACACAACTCGCGGAACTTCGCCCGAACCGAAGCAGATCCATGGTAATGCCATGAGAAATTGGCGGAATCTGTTCTAACAACTATGATACGCATTCTGTGGAAAGACGAACGGCAAGTCGGAGTCTTGGCGTTTTTGTTCGCCAAGAAACGGAGAAAAGTAAGGTCGCATTGAGCAGCAGCCATCCATACATTTGCCATCCGCTATTCCCACGTGCATGTGTGCATATAAGCCTTCACCGGAATCTGGGGATCGGTAGCTTATCTCGACCAAGGGTTTTCTGGAATATCGGTTACCAGCTTCCCCAGATATTCCCTACTACGGAATCTTTAGCAACAGCTCATCCTACTTGATTAATAATTCACGGAGGTATTCCGAAGGCATTCCTGCAGATGATTATCATAGTAACTGTTTATATTTCAATGGCATAATTGATAATCACGAATCTTTCCGCCCCTCCACAACATTTAGATGCGGTGCTCCTCCAGCTGCAGGTTTCATCAATTAAGGCGCCATAATTAATTCTACTAATGAACATGACCCTCCCGTCCTCAAGAGTCATACGACGTCTTCTTATATAAGCCCCTCTTATCTAATCCATTGACTTCTCTGGCAAGCCGGCGCCCGATTGGTGATATCGTGAACCGTTTCGGTTGATATCTCGGAGAAATTCTGAACCACACGACGGACTTCCCACGAAGTGCGACCTTGGTGTTTGTCCGAAGGCAAAGGAAGCGGAATAACGTTAATTTTTGACATTCCAACACGGCAACGCACCTGCAGACGTTTCAATCAAGATTTTTTGGCGAACTAAAAAGCTTGAACGGTTAGCGGGTTGAGGATATAAACCATTGAAGCTGCCGAAGGTGTTCACGATGCCAGAGTAGTTCAGAGCCCTAACATTATACCGAATATCAATCCAGAACTTCGCCCTCCCTTATACTCCATATCTAGATCCCTAATCGTAACCGTTATTTACCCTTCGATCTGTCTCTTTATTACGGGATACATCCGGTTGACTATTGAGGCCCTGGCCTCGAGGATCGAATTATTACTATCGAGAAGCCACAGCCCAACGCAGCGTCTACGGCTTCAAACAAAAATCCAACACTCCCACGCTCTTGTGCAACATTGCCTATCATTGTAACGGGACACAACACGTTTTTCCAACATGTCGTCAACTGCAACCTCCACAACGATGTCGAAGGACGGTAATCTCGAACTATCTTCCTTCGTCACACAGCCACCACAAGCAGCAACAGAAGCTAGTTCGTCCTCAAGGAAGTCTCATAGGCTTGGTACATACGATGACGAAATCAGGATATCTACTACGCCTCCAAGGGGCAAGTCTAGCGTTGATGTCGACATTGAATCTCAACCACCGTCACCCACTAGGGACTCTGATACTCCACCAGAGAGAGCAGTTACGGCGCATAATACAGCCATGGAATATAACGTTCGGTGGAAAACCGCCGCCACATTCTTTTCCTTATGGATGGCCGGGTTTCAGGATGGTAGTACTGGCGCGTTGATTCCATATCTAAAAGTTAGGTATGACATTGGTTTGGCGTTCGTGGCTTTGGTTTATATTTCGACATTCTTGGGCTGGTTTACGGCGGCGATGATAAATGTTCATTTGATTGGGAAGTTGGGTATGGGAGGGGTTTTGTTCGTAGGAAGTATTTTACAATTGACACAGTATGTCCTACAATGCTGGGTAAGTTATATCCCTCTCGACGAATCACATAAAGCCTCGATCTCATAATAAGTCTTGTTAGCAACCACCATATCCCCTTTTCGTTATTGCATTCTTCATCGGAGGAATTGGTGTCGCCATCCAAGACGCCCAAACGAATACGTTCAATGCCAACCTTCCTCGTGCCCACCTCTTCTTGGGACTCGGCCACGGTTTCTATGGCGTCGGTGCACTCGTTTCACCCCTGATCGCTGCCACAATCGCCAATTCGACGCCGGATTTTAGATACTGGTACTATTTCTACTTCGCTGCCGTCGGACTTGCAGTTTGTAATCTTATCTTCATCTCTGTTACATTCCGTGAAGTCATATTCCCGCCTCTCCTACGCAAACTTACAGGGAAGGCCTCGGCCGAAGACCTAGAACGGTCGGACAAGAAAAATAGCAAAGAATCACATAAAGACTTCAAGGCCATCATCAGTAGGAAGGAGGTATGGATCTTCGCAGCCTACTTTTTTGCATATGTTGGTGCGGAAGTTACAGCTGGTGGATGGGTCGTGGAGTTTATGATTGAAGTCAGAAAGGGCAAGCCGAGTCAGGTTGGGTAAGTTTCGATTCATATCAATGAGATAACCTTTATATTCAGGGCTAACTTAGGGAATTAGATATATTGGGTCTGCTTTCTGGGGCGGTTTGACTCTCGGTCGGTTTGTTCTTGCTGAGCCGACGAATCGGTGGGGTGAACGCCGTATGGTGCTCATCTACACGGGTCTTGCGATAGCTGTCGAATTAGTATTTTGGTTCGTGCCGAATATTGTAGTCAGTGGGGTTATGATTGGTCTCTTGGGTTTCCTGATTGGACCATTCTTCCCGGTAGGTATTAGTCTGGCCACCAAGTTGATCCCTCGAGAACTTCATGCGGGGTCAATCGGGTTTATGACAGTGTTGGGTAGTGCTGGAGGGGCCGTTTTCCCATTTTTAACGGGTGCGGTAGCCAGTTCGAAAGGTGTGCAGGTGTTGCAACCGATTCTGTGTGCGCTGTTTGTGGTACAGATTTTGTTGTGGCTGTGTATTCCACGGGTAAAGCAGCCTTCGAAATAGATGTAAGTATTGGCATCTGCATGAACTTGTTCCGTCAGAGGGGTATTTTCGGGCTGTCGGTATCGCTAGATGTGGTTTTTCGAATATGTATACTATACCAGTTAATGTCAATCAGGTTGATTTTGAGAACAAGGCGCCGCGACCTTTTGGGTCCAAGGCGGGAACATCCAATCGAGGAAAGCTGAGCCGTGCAACCACATTCCGTAGACCCACATCCTTCAGCTCATATTGTCCACACCGATACGTATGCACCCACTTTGTGGCTGAAGCTTTAATATGCGACAGGATCCTCGCACTCGCAACATAGTTGCCAGTAATTAATCTGTCAAAACACAATATTCCCCAGAAATTCGAAACCCGACGACGACTCATAATTCGGATTTTTTATTTGAGAAATTAGCAAAAAATGGGTGGTCATAAGTATTCAGGAGATAACTCAAGCTCCGATGAGTATATCGAAGAAGCCCAAGCGGACCTTGTCTGTCTCGATGATGAAGAGGTGTGTAGCTCCCAGGCCCAGCCGCTCGCTAGCAGCCTATAATTATCGACGACAGTTATGCCAAAGTACCGACCACTGGTCAAGCAAAACATACAATATTAATAAGGCTTCGAAATGAAATAGAGACTCGGATATGCAAATAAAAATACTTTCCCCGCAGATTACGATGAGATGTCTACGCTTATCGAACTCCTCCTTCAACGAGGGGAAAGCACCGTCCCATGGCAAAGGTGCAAAAAACTACCACATTTTCAACACAATTCTCATTACTAACCTGTGTTGTAGTATTCCTGAGATTCCGTTGAAGAACGATAACATCGATCTCTCTAAAACCGCATTGCTGTCTCTACCTGTCGATATCCTTCTAGTAATCTATGATCAGCTTTCTACTTACGATGCAATCTGCCTTGCCCTTACCTCGACTATTTTCTACAACCTAGCTACCCGAAGACTCTCTGGTGTCATATGTCCCAGACATCTAGGCAGCTGGGCCGGAAAACGGCTAGCTTGGATCGACGATACCATGAAATATCGATCTACCTTCAAAAACTACCCCGCTGTTGGAGAGAGTCTTAAGAAATCCCAACACGCTATGACAGGTTCTGTCCCTAAAAAGGGTGGATACGTCGGCGTCCCCAAGAGCTCGATTAATACACCTTTCAAACTCATTGAGAGGTTCCCAAATCGTCTGCCATGGAATAGTAAATGGGAATATGACCCGGTTGCTGCAGATGTAAAGGAAACAGCTGGCCTTCCAAAGCAGGAGGCAAGGCAGTACAGGACTCGTACTCTTGGACCTGAACTCAGGCGTATGCGGAGTTTGTGGTATCAATGGCAGAGTGGGCAACTATACCTACCACTTCCAATTAGACGGTTCGTGGAAGGGTTTATCGGGCGCGATATGGGGTTGAGTCTTTTGACGGATGACAATTATGTTCTGAGGAACTTGGACAAAGGTGTCTTTGTACAACTTGATGGGAGAGATGTAGGTTTCTGATCTTGCTGATGTGAAAAGAATTTGCTAGAGAGGATGCTAACACCATTCCATAGTCGAGAGCCATGGTTAGAAAAATGATTTTCGGACCAGATGGCTCCAAACGAGGGAAACTGTCACCAGGCTATAACAAATGGTGCGGTGATAGGCTTGACATTGTGAAAACAGATACCATGCTGAGGGAAGAAGGACGTCCTGTAGAAGATGAAAACCTTGATTGCGAGGAGATCAAAATCGGAACGGGTCAGAGGAAGTATGCGGGATATGTGCCCTCACAGCCCGACCAAAGCGAGACAATTACTCGTTTGCTCGCTGCAAGTGGGTTCTTGTAATTTATCCGGCCTTGCCAGCTGGCCAGGCGTCCAACTCCTCCTAGCCTTGGCGCCAGGCGCCCTGTGCGGGGCGGAAGTGAAGAACGGCATTTGTTTCTTGTGTCACCTCAGAACACTTGTGTTGTCACTGCTAAAAATACAACAAAATAGTCCGAGACTCCTTCCGAGCTCTCTTTGGTTCAGAGTATTCTAGAGATTGGCCCACAGTATAGTATCATATGAGAAAATGATGAGATCGTATTCAATGACAATTAGTGAAGTATCTATTCCCGGTGCTCTCATATGAAGCCTTTTACTGTTGGTTCTGTGAAACTTTCATGTAGATCAGTTCCTATTGTCTGGATCTCGAGACACTCATGTAGCCCATGCATGGCCTATCACGTAACCATAAACCTGAGATCCATTAGGCCTAGACTTGTGTAATTCTCGGGCCCATACATTCCAGGATTGACAAGCATGGTATTCCCAGCATCCCGTGGAGCACAAGATGCGCAGACATTTCGAAGCTTTTTCTTTGCAAATTCGCAATGATACGCTCTTTCCCGAATCAGTATCTTGGCCGCCGACATCGTCCTTTCGAATCTGGGCATCCTAGCCGCTGGGAGTAATACGCAATCGAAATATAATATAGCGAGCTCTGATGATTTTTTCTCAGATAAATTAATCTCCACAAATTTTGTAACTCTAGGTAGCATGTGGGGTAATATAATCGATGTCGGAATTTTGTTCACGTCGTAGTTATCAGCTAATATGATACATTCGGGATGCCCGACAGCTGTCAACGACGATATCTCTAGTATATCATGCGGCTTTTAAATCTATAAAAGTATAACCGATTCCGATACCAAGATATCTCGACGTTTTCGTCTTACATAGATCTTCGTAATCGACACTACCACTGCGCCCCAGCGTGAAGTTTATCCCACCAACCACGATCCAACCCGATAACTTTACCACCGTTACACAATGGAACTCTAACTTCAAAAGAAAACCATAGCTATAACAAAGTACTAATTCGTATTAGCAGGCATCCAATAAGCAGACGTTTACATTCTGCGACACCGTGCGCCGTGGCACGTGGGGGCTAGTTAGTAGCGACGGAAACAATAAACTTTTTCGTTAGGCGGAATACCTCCACAATAGGCGATAAATGCGAAAAACCTGGGTACCCTATTCACGCCAACCGAGCACATTAGAGTTCAATAACCTTGTGCGGCCTTACCCCTCAAGTATCAAAAAAAACAATTGTTCCATCACGAACAGCCGTTCAATTCGCGTGCGGAGAATTCCGGAGAGTCCCTGACCGCTATAATGCACTGGAGATATTTCCCTAATTCAGCTTATTCACGTTCTTGGCAAATAACAAAAGGTCTCAGAGTGCGAAATTTTCCCCATGGGGTTTACCCCAGGTACCCTTTGTATCCAACTTAGGATAATCCGATTCTCCCCGATAACCCGCGATTTTTCTCCATAGAGAAGGCGAGTAATAGTGATACCTTTGGTGGCAGAAATCGCATTTGCAATATTGTGCTCACGTTTCGCCGAAGATTTTCTTTGACGATGTTACATGCCCTGTGTGTATCGAAGCACGAGAGGAGGCGAACCGTGGGACCGAATAAAGTATGGGGAAGAGAGGGGTTGGGGTTTCTATAAAGAATGGACATTCTTTCGAGAAAACGGAAAAATCCCTTGATCTTTCTTGATCAGTGTAGGCCGATGTCGTACGGCATGAATAGTTAGCTATTTTACCTACATTATCAATTTATTCCCCAGATTATTCTTTTCTTATCTTATCTATCCGTTAAATTCGTAGTTGATTTTTGAATATCTATTCATATTTATATATATCAAAATGTCAAACGAATCGTCGCAGGTCACCCGTATCGACACTGGGAAGGGTCAGTCTTCGGTCTATGAAGACATTGCGAAACCTACTATCGCGGTCGAAAAGATCGATTACTCTGGTGCTCATGAGAAGACCGATCCTAAGGAAATCGCCCTCGTCAAGAAGCTTGATAGATGGATTATGCCAATGCTATGGAGCATGTACTGGCTCAACTATCTTGACCGAAATGCCATTGCGCTCGCAAGATTGAATGACTTGGAAAAGGACTTGAACTTGACAAGCACCCGTGCGTATAACTTAATCACATCAATAAATAACTAAAATACCAGCAGCTCAAGCTAATATGATTTCGATCTGTTAGAATATCAAACATGCGTCTCAGTCCTTTTCTGCGGTTACCTTATCGGCGGCATTCCCTCCAACATGTTTCTAACTCGCACGAAGCCCTCCGCATACATGTCCATCATGATGATGCTCTGGGCCGTCGTCAGCGCTCTCACCGCCATGTCCAAAGACTTCACTGGACTCCTCCTCACCCGTTTCTTCCTGGGATTGACAGAAGCGCCATTCTACCCTGGTGCAGTATATATCCTCAGTATCTTCTACACCCGTAAAGAAATTGCGACTAGAATTGCGATTCTTTATACTGGCAATATTCTCGCTACAGCTTTCGCAGGCTTGATCGCCGCTGGTATTTTCCACGGCCTTGACGATGTCGCTGGAATCGCTGGGTGGAAATGGTTGTTTATCCTTCAGGGCGCTGTTACATTCGTGATCGCTGCAGTGGGATACTTCATCCTCCCAGACTTCCCACTAACCACGAGGTGGTTGAGTGAGGACGAGCGACAGTTGGCCTTCCATCGTATGGAATTGGATACCGTTGCGAACGAAGGAGAGACAAGCGCCTGGCGTGGATTGAAGCAGGCAGCAAAGGACCCCATGGTTTGGATCTTCGCATTGATGGCGCATATGCATCTCGCCGCCAACGGTTTCAAGAATTTCGTAAGTCTATACGACCCTCTGATTCAATACCTTCCCAAATATTCTTCTAACACAATCCATAGTTCCCAACCGTAGTCGGAACCCTCGGATTCTCCACCACCATAACTCTAGTCCTAACCTGCCCACCATACCTCATCGCCGGTGCCGTAACAATCCTAGTCTCCTGGTCCTCTGGTAAATTCAACGAGCGAACATGGCATATAACTCTCTCCAAGGCCGTCGCCACAATCGGTTTCGTCGCTGCAGCCGCAACTCTCGATACCGCAGGTCGATACACAAGCATGGTGATTTTCACAATCGGTACATACGGCGTCAATTCATTGATCCTGGGATGGTGTGGTAGTGTCTGCGGGCAGACAAAGGAAAAGAAGGCGGTAGCGATCAGTATTGTCACGACTATTATGAATGCTTCGTTTGTTTGGACGCCATATCTGTGGCCCAAAAGCGATGAGCCGAGATATGCGATTGCGCTTGCGAGTTCGGCTGGGTTTTCGGTTGCGACGGCGTTATTGGCGTGGCTTGCTAAAGCGATTATGATTAGAAGGAATAAGAAGTTGAGGGAAGCGGGTGAGGAGACTACGGTGTTCTATGTTTATTAGATGAATATGCGATTAAACGGCCGAAGGGCAAGACCCAAGTGGGAGTGAAAAGGATCAAGGTGTTATCAAGGAACTATGTATGTCGGAAAAACTATTAATGAATTAACGGCTTTCATGAGGTATCCCATTGTAAGATGGCGCATTAAGAAAAGTAGTCAATGGTTGTGTAGAACCCCTTGAGATCTCTTTCTAGTATCTCGAGGAGGGATATATATTTGTATAGACTGTATCAGTTTAAAGGGAAAAAAAAAAAAAAAAAAAAAAAAGGAAAAGGCCATAGGTAAAGTTACAGTCGCCGCATGAATGAAAAAGCACAAGCATAGCAGATATCAATATACCCGTTATCCCCTTCGACCCCGATCCCTTCTTTGTCCCCTTAATTCTCCGTTTGAAAAGCAGAAAGTCACATTATACACGAGAGAAAACAAAGATACACAGAAGGAAAGCACATAACAGAATGAAAACCAGTTTGTAATGGGGATATTCGTAGTTATTGCCAGGGTTTACATAAAAGTATCAAAAACCACCTCCATATTTCTCAACTCCGAAAGGAAAAGACAAGCGTCTTAGGAAAAAGGGCAAAGGGGAATTTAACAGACGCTGGTAAGGTTAAGCAGAAAAACACCGGAATAGTGATATAAATCACCATACAGATCAGGAAAGGAAAGGAAAGGAAAGGAAAGGCCAGTGCGTTCCTGCCGAACAAAGCAAAAACGCCACCGAACCAGAGGGCGAGAAAACATAGCGTGACACACAATAAAAACATTGAAAATGTCAACCAGAGGATAACACAAAACGTCGCCGACGCCGCTTGCTATGAAGAGGATGCGAATTTGGCTTTGTTGTTTAGGGAAAAGGAGATACGTGAAAGACAGATAGGAAATTGATGTGGTCGCTATGGCCCTAGAACGAGAAAATAATAAAGGAAAAACCGCTGAAACCGAGACCATTGAACAAGCAAAAATTTGGTGATATGGATTGCCCCGATGTGTTGTATGTAGAAGATTATCTGCTGATGTTTATTTGTAATGTAGCCTGGGCAGGGCGGTATCGCTGATGCCGCCGATGCTCCAAGTGTAAAAAGCTGGCTGTTAACACATTGAATGAATGATAGTGAAGATATTGGGCATCAGCGGCGGTCTCGTTTCGTGTCTTTGAAGGCGTCCTGGAACGATGGGAAGAAGTCCCTGGTTGGGGTCAGGGAGTTCATGGAGAACCCGTAGGTGATGGGGATTTCTGTCTGAATGGCTGGAATCGCCCTGGTTCAAAGATACGAAGAAGATCGATGGCGTAATGATGGATTGTATTGTGGGGGAGGGGGCTGGTAGACTGGGCGAAAAAATAATATTTCAGGGCTTGTGGCAGATCGATTAAACGATGGGAGGTCATGCTGTGGGGGTGGGGGTGGGGGTGGGGGTGGGGGTGGGGGTTGATAAAATGGAATAAAACGGAATCTGCGGGGTGGAGACCCTTTCGAGGTGCCGTCCGAGCTACTTCCAGTGCTTGAACTTGAGTTTGAACTTGAGCTTGAACTTGAACTTGAACTTGAGCTGGAACTGGAACTGGAACCGGAACTGGAACTGGAACCGGAACTAGATGTATCTGAGCTGTCCGATGAGCTGTCCGATGAGCTGTCCGATGAGCTGCCTCTCCGTTGGCACTTGCCCCTCTTACAGCGTTTCTTACTACATCTCTTGATATTGGGCGTTGAGTGGTGGCGGTAGAGTCTGAGGGGGGTTGAGACTTCTTCGTATTCGAATTCGTAAGGCCCGGAAGGACACCCTGTAACCGTCATGACAGTGTCCTAAGCTGCCCAGGTTTGGTGTCTACTGAATGTCGGGAGCCCGCCAGATCCGCCTACGGTAGGTGCATGACGGGATTTGTGGCCCGGTGGACCCATACCCATACCCGCCATGCCTTCATTAATGAAATCAATTTGGATACCTGGTGCCGATTGGTCGCTATTGGTTCGGGTGTGAACTTGCGATAGCTTCGCGCCGTAGTTGACGTCTTTATGAGTAAACGGGAACGTCTTGGATCCAGTTTGCATATAGGAGAACGGATCATCATCCAACTCAACAGTAGGTTGGTGTCGAGGTGCGTACGCGGATAGAGGATCATCGCGGGAAGACTGTTTAGTCGCGCGCTTGGATGTTCGGGTTCTGCCGATAGTGCTGGCTCCATCTTCTTCCTCAGAGTCGGTGACGTACATAACCTTAGCTTTGTACTTTTTGCCGTTCATACCGTACGCAGCAGGATCGAGGCTATAGGTTCGAACAGAGAAAGTATGTTAGTATTACAATAGTGTATGAAAGGCCGAAATAAAGCATACTTCTCAGCAGATAGATGTGGTCCAGTGCCAGGGTGCACCGTTGTACCAGCCGAGGATGTGGAGTAGCCGGAGTCACGGTTGCCTGGGAGGGAGCTGTTAACATCTTCGGGGATACTTGAAGGAAACGAGTCTCTGGAGTAGAGACCAGCCTCAGAATGTTTTCGCGGCCTCTCACCAGGTCGGTCTCGTGTGCGATCACGTCCTTTATTCGGTCCTTGGAAATTGTGTGTTGTATTCATCGTCGGGTTGCTATGTCTCATTCTTGGAGAAGGTGGAGGGGAGTATGAAGCGGCGGATCGTGGGACGGAGTATGGATGTGGAGGAGAGCCGTAGAGACTCGATGCGGCCGTTCGCATATATTCTTCTTGAATCGGCTCCGTCGACATGCGTCTTCCGCCTCCCTCTGCGTAGAATCGGTGCCTGCGGCTGTGCTCAAAATCACGAGTTGTGAACTCAGACTCTCTGTCTTGCTCACGGTGACGGGAGCCGTTGCGTTGACGAGAGCGATCCCTTGGCTTTTCTCCAGGAACGTGTAGAGTTGGATCACGAAGTCGCTCTTTTGAAGACCTGCCACGATCTCCAGCACCGAAATGTGCGGGCTCAGCGTCAAGGATATCATCAATGGGGAATTGTTGCATCATGTCAACTTTGTGGCCACGCTCATGTCGCCTATCCCGTGTGCGCTTTTCGTGGTCTCTTGCAAATCGCTTTTGGTCGTCGTCCCGTTGTAACTTCTCAGCGTCCTTGCGCTCAGCTTCACGTCGATACATGTCGTCTTCTTTCATCCTCCTTTGCCTTCTCTCATCTTCTTTCCTTCGTTGACGGTCTGCATTTTGACGGTCTGTATCTTGGCTTGTTGTCTTTCTCCTTTCTTGGTCTGCAGCATGTTGTTTCCGGGCGCTTTGTGCCTGCATAGCAGCAAATAGTTGATCTTCTTCCTGTTTCTTCGCCGCTAGATAATCCTTTTCAGCCTGTCTGTCCTCCGCTCTTCTAATCCGTTCTTCTTCCTGATGACGAGTCTGAGCCTTGCGGCTTCGCGCGGCCCGTTCCCTAACGTCTTGTGTCCGTCTCCAGTCTTCAAGAATTTTGCCTTCAAGAGTAAGATCTTCATCATACTCTCGGCGACGGCGAGAATCGCTTAAAACTTCGTAGGCTTCCTGTATCTGAGTGAACCTTTTTGTCATCTCAGGTTTCAGTTTTTCGTCGAGCGTTTTGTCTGGGTGATATTGGAACGCAAGCCGCTTATACGCAGTACGTATAGCGGATGCAGAGGCCTCTTTGGTCAGTTCCAAAACCCCATACCAATCCGGCAAGAACTCGTAGTCCGGCGGACCCTGGGGGTGTAAATTCGATCGCGGCATTTTTTCGAGAGGGGGGAATGAAAGATAGTCGCAACTACGATGGAGCGACGAGGTTGGTTAGATTTTCTGAGGGGTTGTGGTGGTTGGAGATTTTCAACTGTTGACGAGGGGCTTGGCTAGGATGGTTTGTGTATGAGATATATTTCGGAACCAATGCATGAAAGGTCCGAAAAAGCTCAACACACATGTAAACGAGCTCTCCAGCGTGAGGGGTCGGAAACAATGTTAAAAGCAGAGGATGAAGCGCAATGTCTGGAGCGAGTGTCGAAGAGTTGGGTTACAGTTGAAAAGTTATGATATTGGTGCTAAAGATAACAGTCGGTGATAGTGAATGGCTTCAGCGTCGAGCTGACTTATTGGCCAAATTCCATATATGGTGCCTCCAGTCGACAATTACGACGCATCTGTATCAAAACTGGAAGGAGCGATGAGGGTTTATTAGCAGGCCACTCCCAGAGCGTGTTATGAGTAAAGTATATCTTATAATCGGAATCGATAAAATGATAATATAAAAATGATATATCTTCAGGCTATCAGCCTGAGACCAAAGATTTGGAGGTGAGGGAAGTATGCAGTATAAAAAGATGGCGTCGAAAAAAAAAGGTGGAGAAGGCAGGTTCGCCTGGATTGGTGGTGCTAAGCCCAAAGAATGAGGAGAAAACTGGGAAGTTTGAACCTCGCATACAAGCACACACCACAATCAGCCCGCTTTCTCCTCCCTAAGATTCTGAGGCGGCATTCAAGAGAAAAAGGCGGCGATATGGAGCCCCTCCTCTAGTTAGAGCCAAAATAGGTTCCGACCTTTTGAGTCCTCACGAGGAAATGACGCTGGATCAAGGGGGCCTAGGAATAGGAAAGGGAAGAGGAAGGGAAAGAACGGAAGACAATAAGTCCAACTCAGGAAGGGAAAAAGCGGCAAAGAGATGGGAGGACAACAATTTCTCAGAGAACAACTTCACAAGAAAATGCAAATACAATTCATTCGCATGAACAATAGCGGTGACAGCGGTAGGTTCTTCGGTATCGAAGGAACATCCGCTGTCCACTATGCTGCTGGCAAAGTTTGGGGCGTTGTTTCAGCTGCTGGGTCCAACAACAGTCACAACATCTAAACGGAAAGTTGGGCCTTGTCCGTCCTGTCCTTTCGCTTTTGCTTGCAGAAGAACACCCAAGAAATTGTCGCTGGCGGAACGAGGGTCCCTTTCTATTTTCTTTGTGCTCCCCCTTCCCTTTCTTATTTTCGTGGGCGAGAAATGCTCAATACAAAGGGTGTGTCTCTGTCGCCAGCTGCAGGAATGTTCGGGTTGACCGGACTTTCCCTGGAGAATTCTGTATTTTCCCCGGCGACTTTCCTTTCGAGTGAAGGGGAGTATTGCAAGAGAACTCGAAGTTCTTTTTAGCACTTTTGCAAGGAGCGTAGTGACATATGCTTGTGAACAGAAGCTGGGTATATCCGATGGAGCTCTTCTTGTCTTTTGGTCTTGATTGCAATTTGGTAGGTAGAAAATTTAGTAAGTACCCAGCTAGTAAAACTAGTAGCAGAGAGAAGCTACTGGGAGTCCAGTCCAGAGTCCAGCGAAGGAGTGGAATCGAATCGAAGCAGCAGGTCGAAAAGCTGTCTATTGTAGGCTATCAATTGAAACTTGAGGCCGGAATTGGCAAGCGAATATGTATATTATGTATATAGATGGACGATCGTGATGAAGCTACTGTTGGTTGGTTGGAAGGTTGAATGCGGTTGAGCTGATGGGAGGTTGATGGGAAGTTGTTGGAGCTGCGAGAGGGAGAAGACGGAAGCTGTTTTGCCCATACAAATTACCGCTTAAGGGCTTAGTCGCTGTTGCAAAGATGCCAGAAACTACCACCACTAACTAACACTACTACAACCACCACAAGAACTCCGACCCGACAACTGAATGAAGTGAAAGGAATGCCTGGAAAAGTCACTAAAAGAATATACTAAAAATGGTTCTGTCGAAATGAATCATAGAAGGAGATGAGTTAGAATAAAAAAAACAGATCGAAATATCAAATTACGAGATAAGTATGGTGAGTATAAATCGATTGATTGTTCCGGTCACGGAGCTGCTTTGCTAGAAGCAGCGCCCTGCAAGGTCGACGAACAGGAAGACAGACCACAGCTCTCGATGGAAGGTGAACACCATTCATATTCATTCTGGTTCGTCGATGTCAGTTTACTAGTTACCCCCATCCGTTCTTCCACCTGGCCTCCATCGACGCTAAAACTAGGTCTCATTTACGGGTTTCTCATTCATTATTTCACCCATTCAATTGATCAAGTCAAGTGCCTGCTGCCAGGCATGCTGTGCTGCTGCTGCTGCTGATGCTGATGCACCTTCTTTTGTCTTTTAGACACGAGATCCGATGCAAGAGGTGCCACGGCTTACAATTTATTGCTCTGGTCGGTAGCAGCATTGGCCTGCATGTTGCATGGAAAGTCTCAGAAAGTCACGATTTTACTTGATGACAAGCATTCTCAGTACCCCATCTAGGACAAACCGACCTGAACTGGCGAACACACGAATGCTGGCAGGGGTTCTGGAGATGGCAAGGCATGGCATGGCAATTCCTTTAGGGGACGTATGGGTGGTATTCCGTACAGCTCAAAGCTACAGGTACCTACATGACATTGCATCGATTGCATGCCTGCCCAGTCTTCCGAGGCACAAGCAGATGAGCTGGTACCACTGAGCGATTCGACGGGATGCATCATGTATGGATTTGAAAGAGGTAACAAAAGGTACCGTTCGTGCGAGTTTCCAAGCAAAATGATACCCAGCATATACATTGTTATTCGACTCCAGGTTTTTTATATATTACCCGAAAGACAAATAGGAAGTCCTGCCAGAACGAAAGTTATGTATCAGCACCTGGAGATCATATCCTGTCCCAAACCCTCGTTCCTCTGGTCGCATAAGGGGCAATACTCGTCACGGTTGACTGATCGAGCCCGACTGACTTGGCTGGTCTAATCGAATACCTAACAAAAATAAGTTCCTGGTCTACTCCGATACGCCTTTTTTTTTTTTTTTTTTTTTTTTTTTTTTTCAAGTTCTTCTCTTGCTCGCTTGGGTTATTTTTTGTGGGTGAGCTCAATAAGCCGGCAACCAGCTACGAAGACGCATTAACTTTCCCAAGATCTGGTGTAGACTATTAAATTGTTGGTGTCGACGACGAAGATCACCTGCTCACAGTCCAGGTGCTTGCCCTGCCAAAGAGGCTAGTATCTTTCGTCAGCCCCCTATGGGCTTATGCCAGCTACGTATTGTCGTGGAGTTCAAATTTAAAGCCTATGACAACGCATCAGGGATCAAAAGGCTGGTTCCATGCGAGTTTGATCTGTCAAAACTTGCTACTCGAGGCTAGTAGCCTTCTCCTGGCGATGTCGCTGGGGTAAGTGCTGGTGTCTACGGCAGCATTCTTAGTATATCTGAGCACAAGTCTCCCTATCCCCAGCTATCACGACCTTGAAAGCGTTTGCGACCCTTGCGTCTTTTAATGGATTCGACTCCCTTCTCTGTTTTATGCGAAAAATGAACATCGACAAGGGAAAGTCCCTAGAAGGGAATAGTCCGGGAAGCCATGCATTAGTTCGGTGTGCAGAGGAGCCAATGGCTTTCGTAGACCGCGAATACAAAACGATGTTCGGAATCGAGAGGTTGCCTATTCTTTTGTGACTTCTCGTCGACATAACTTGCTAGGCAAGTTGAGGAGGTGTGCCGATTCGAGAAATATGCGATGAGGTAAGCTTACCCTCATCACGATTATTCACGATAATTCCAATTTCATATGACGGACTGCTGGGAGCTCCAAATCTGGATTCCGAAAGCTTCATCCCAAGAGGTGTGGAGCCCGCACAAGCCTTCCTCACACATGAAGCTCCAGGTTGCTATGCCCCGTCAAATCTTGTATCTCGAAGGAACAAAAAAAACCACCCAGGTCTTGCGCAATTTTTTGTCCCGCAAAATGACAGGAGCGGGAGCAGGCTAATTGATCGCCTTCTGAACACCCTTCCCTTCCCTTTTCCCTTCCTTTCCTTGCATGTTTTTCGCTTTGAGCTTCCAGCAAGGACCGAACAAAAACAATACCAGAAGGCCCTCCAAACCCGTGATTCCAGTTTCCACACAAAAACCGCTTCCAACCAACGAAACGCCATCGAGTGGAGCAACCGACAAGGTTCCCGCCTGTAAGAATGACATCGTCTGATTTGACAGCTTCTCGCTCGTTTCACCCCGTTCGACCCATCTAGCCAATCGAGGCTTGTGTGCTCCTCCATAGCTGCCAAGGATATTTTGGAAAGCTGGAGCTCCACAGTTCCCACCCGATTCAATTAGCATTCAAAGGTCACGGCTCAGAAAAGTGGGGTCACCTATTGCTCAATATTCTTCAGCATGAATATGAAGAGGTGCTTTAGGGATACTCCCTACGCTGGTTCCGTGATACACCATACCTCGAATTAGCACCTTCAAATCAGCATTAACACGCTGAAACGGATGGCTGGAAGTTTGCATAAACCCGCTTCAATAGTAACCTTGGAAAACATGAAAGCGGAGAGATATCGATAGTATCATCCATGAGGCCGTGCTCCATCAAAGCAAGCAACCGGGCAAGCAGGCAAGCAAGCAAGCCACCGAAACGCAACCGGTTTAACCCGCCCTCTAATTCCTATAATTATACCTATAATACCAGCCGTTTAACACAGCTGATGCATACAGAATCTTGAGCTAAGTTATAGAATATGTTAAAGAGCGCTTCGAGAACTAAATTAATAATTCGATAGCACTATAGTGGCACGATTTAAAGGCCAGTTTACTAAGGCTTACATTAAAAGGTTGTTAGAATTGACACAGAAAAGAACGGATGCTACACTCCCACGGTTGAGAGCCACAACAGGTCTCAGACAATGCGGAAGGGAGATCGGCTGCCTCAATTGCACGTGGGATGGCCATTACGTTCCGCGGTGCTCATTCCTGAGGCTGGGGAATGCAATAATTCGCTTCGAATACCAACTCAGCTCTCCCCGATTGCCGAAAGAACTTACACACGCGATGATACCCCATCAATGCCAGTGTTACAACTTCTTTCAAAACCCACCACAAAACCAAAAAAATCTTGAATTCAATATTCAATATGCTTACTTCTTTCCAAAAAAGCAAAACGATAGCTTCGCCTGTCAAGTATTCCGTGACCAACATCCCAAAGTGGAAAAAAATAATATAAACAGGCGTGGGGTTGCAACTTTCCCGTCGGTGTGTCGTTAAAGGTCCCCAAAAGGAAAAGGAAAAACCAACCTCATCGCGGGTCGTTTTTCCCCGCACTTATACCCAATCCCGCCTCATCGCATCGCCCGCCCATTACGCCCACATACTCTCTGCACCTACAAACCTTAGCTCTCGCATCGTCGCTGCCCTGCTGAGCATTTCCTACATACTTCCCTGCAAGTGGGATGTTATGCAGGTCATTCTTGCGGGACTTTTTCTCCGTCTCTCCCTTATTTCAAGCAAGGGAATGAACACACCCACCCACACTCACAAAAAAAGACGACGGACGTAAGGTATCGATGAGATGAGGTCAGCTACTAACTCACTTTGGGGGGTCGGCTGCCTTTTCCACCCCCCGCATTTAACATTTAACTCCTCGATGATCATCGGTCTCGAGGTAGGAGGCTGAAGCGAGGAGTTCTTCAGTGGGAGGAGGAGATCATATGACCTTGTGATATCGTAAGGTACTACATACTATATGTACCGAAAGAAGGCCTCTGGATCTTATCGGATGTGAATCAGGTGCTACCATGATTCTCACACTAAACCTCAAGTTTATTGGAAATCGCGGGTCTTCTAAATTATCGTTTTCTTAGGGAAACCCCTTGTGACGTAGGTACACGCCTAATTCGATATAATAGTTCTGGTATTGGGAAGGCTATTTACGGGTATTGGTATTAGGAGATGGCTAATACGACGTTGAGCTCATAAATTAATGGTCACGAGCGAGGAGTAGGTAGGCTTAGCTTTTGGTAATATGATTATAGGCTAAGTGACCAGCGCTGGATATGGCAAGGTCCACTCGTAATCAAATCTTGGAGCGCTATATTCTGTGACGACTAGCTGATACTTTGGGAGACAATCGTCAATGATTCAAATATTACCAAATTGTTCTTATACCCTTAAATCCGTAGATGTGCTGTAACCTATAGTTGTCATATGTCGTCGTAGTACTCAAAGATATCGACATAGGGCCTAACAATGCTCATGAAAATATATCTGCACATATGTTAGCGCTCTAAACTATCTATTCCAGCACTGAAACTAGTGGTATCCAATGAAACTTCATCTTCAAGTCAACTTATAAGACCACACGCTTAGAGTCTCGCATTTATACATCGCATGACTAATTTCAGCTTCAAACTATTTTACTTTCTCTACATCGATATCGACGGGTGCGCAATTCAGAGGTGCTTGGGGATTTCAACAAATTTAACTCCGTCCGTCATTGTTATGTGGTAATTAAATCTCCGTAACCTCACTATATTGGCTGGTTGGTAGCGATATCAATGTGATCGTTACCAATAACCGTGATAATCAATATTTCGCGCCGCAAGGCCTGACGGTCAAAGTGTTCAATTGCAATAGAATCCCATTTTAATTATATTAAACTTAGTCGATGGAGATCTAAATACGAGACGGTGCTATTGACGTTCCAATTTCACCTAACAACCTCCTATCATAATAATAATCATTAGGACTTATCGCATCCCACTCATCCCACTTCCCATCCAATAATTTTCTCCAAAATCCTTCAGCCGTATCATTCTCATCAATCTCAAAGACAACGTTTGCCTCTGTATCAAACTTTTGACACGTATGAATCTCCCAATCACGCGGTGAAAAGAAAACCTTCTGCCGCACTTTCGTCCAAACCACACAATTCGCGGGGTATGATTCCCAATCCCCATAAATATGGATCCTAACGGGATAAGACCCCTCTCTCGTAATCTCTTCATCTTTAAACTTAGCTTCAAATATCCTTAACCCTTTAACCTTCTTCCTCAGGAACTTTAGTAACTTAAACACGCCTTCCTTGATATCCAAAGTCCTACAGCTGAGTATTTTTATCTCCTTCAAGCTATCCTTACAACTCTCCAACAATCCTGATAGATTATCGATATCGATAAGGATGCTTCTAAGGTGTAAGACCTTTAGCCGCGGTAGCCCCTTCCCATCAGGAAGCATCGTTGTCTTCTTTAAATTAACAGCAGGAATAAGATACTCAAACCTCAATTCTTCAAGCGTGTCCCCCAAACCCTCAAGCCAATCACAAACATTCTTCTCCCCCGCCGGAAGCGGTTGACCGTTATACGTTGTTTTGCAACAGATGCTAATCTCCAAAGATCTAAGATTTGGAAAAGCCGTGGAGAACCTTGGAAACAAAGGAACCATGTCCTCGAACCAATTGTGAGAAAATGCGTCGCGAGTAGTAGCGTAAGTATTCGATAACTTTCGAAGACTTTTGATCCCGGATTTTAGCGCTGCGGTAATAACCTTACGCGATGGCTTACCACCTATGGCCTTGGTATCGTTGGTTGTGATCAGAGACATAAACTCCGGTATCTGTTTTCCAGGACCCAACCCCAACGAAGGGTATAACAAGTTAAACTCCCACCTTTTCGGTAACTCCGAATACTTCTCTATTTCGATCCCCTGCAAGTTTTTCAAGTTTTCAAATATCTCCACCAACATCTTAATATCCCTTCCAGAGGAAATCATCTCCTCGGTCTCTTCTCTAAACTCACTCCCAGCAGCGGACAACTTCTCCCTCGCGGATCTTGTCAAAATAGTCTTCTCACTATCAAGCTCCGAAGGTGGCCAAGATACAATCTCACAATAGGGATTCGAATCTGCAATTTGTAGATATTTGACTCGGTCCCCTACTCCTGAAGGGTCCTTCGCAATTTTTAGAAGGTTTTGAAGACTTCGTGGGACGAGGAAGATACGACGACATTGGTAGATTGAAGTGAGGTGGGAGTCACGGAATTTTTGGTTGAAAGATTTGCAGGTTAGACGGAGGGAGAGGACGTCGTCTTGGTCGTCGATGGATAATGAGATTTGGTCGATTAATTCTTGGGGGAGGCTTGGTAGAGATGCCATAGTTTGTTGATCCTGATGCATCTCAAGAATATATATGTGATATCGATGCTTGTCTTTAAAAGTTGATGATTTCGCAATATATCTCATGAATTAGAACATGTAGATTCGATCTGTTATATAACGTTATGCACTTGCGGTATACGTGGGTAGCTGGATTTGGGGAGAAGAAGAGGTCACGTCTAGTCATATGTGCAGGATCCGTTTATAAATTCCAACAAAAACAACATTTACCCGGTTTCGTGAGTATACAATCCCATTGTGTAATTGAAGCGAGCTAGCAATCTAACCAATATTATTTTATACTGTGCTGCCCTGCCTTTATGAACAAGCCTGCTGTGTGGACAAAGCATAACAACGAAGAAAATATATGCAGATGAAATATATGGATATACGAAAGCAAATATCAGATGATCCAGGTACAGTTAGCCAGCTCCCAAAAATGTGAGTAAAAGCAAATAGAGGGAAAAGGGAATAAAACGAAAAAAAAAAAAAAAAAAGAAATCAATGATGAACATGCTCCAAATATTATATGCTTGAGACTATATTACAGTGCTCTCGAAACCCTCGGTTAGATCTCCTTGACTTTCTCGGTCGCGAACGGAATCTCCCCAATAACCAACCCGTCCTCTAACTTACTAACCACGGCCCATTGTGGTAGGTAACTCTTAATCTCCTCGAGTGCCTTTATCCCCCCATCATTAGCATCACTCCACAGGCACTCCACAACCCCTACGGGCCCGGCTTTAGTGTCCTCATTTTGTTCATATTCAACGACAACGTCCCAACCCCTCCCCCACTCACGGCTCCAAAGCCTGATTTGCTGAACAGGACCTCCAAAATCTTTCCCTTCACTCTTATGCTTCACGGTCTTCCCCTTCCCGGTGGGGTCGAAGATATCAACGTTCTTGATCCATTTTCCTATATTTTTCTCAAAGTTGACCCTGCACGCTCTTGTGTTTTTGGCTCTGACCTCGAGTTTCGCGCGCTTAAGACCATCTTTTTCGCCTAAAGAGGTAGCGTTGACAGATGCCCACTTTTTGGATTCGTAACCCGGCACCACATTGGGCATTTTTCCGGGCCATGAACACCTCTGCAACCCTAGTCTTAAGGGGTCATCTTTACATACCAAGTCTGCCCCAGGAGCCCAGGCACTCGGTATATTCTCCTCCACAATGCTTTTGATATATTTATTGACCCCGACCAAGTGAACTCTGTTCTCACCCGTTCTCAGGTCTACAGTTTGTGCGAAGTAGACCTTGAGCGGGTTGTTCCAACTAAATGGGAACGCTAGGAGCAGGTACAACAAAGTCCCGACAAAGACAAAGAATAGGAATAGTGGAATATGGCGTGTCCATCGGTGCAGGAATGGTTGAAGAGGAAGTAGTATCAAGATTGTAAATACTGCGTAAAGAATATATGCTGTGATTGGATTGTTTCCATCCGCGCCGGTTTGCGCAATGGAGGTTCCCACGATCAGCGCAATTTGTGCAGTGATGATGACGGGGACGGGGATGAGAATTATCGCTTGCAATAACCATGTATATCGTGGCAAGTACCTGGACCAGTATTGTTCACCGGGATACTGTCGCGAAGCACACAGTGTCGTGGATGAGCATGATGGTTCATCGTCCTCATTGTTTTCGATGGTGGGAAGACTACTCGCTGCACCGATACTAAGAGAACCATGAGAATTGGGGCGGCGACCGATATGGCGACCACGTCCGAGATTTGAAGAGTCCCGCAAAAGGGATGTTTGTTCATTAGGAGGCTCGGATTCTTCGTCATCTGGGGAGAGTGTGTTGGTGTGATCGACAGACGGAGCAATGAGAGAGCGGTGGTCGTCATCCTCGAGTGGGTCGGCGTGGGCGATCGAGTCGTAAATATGAGACGTAGGAGGAAGAAAGAAGAGGTCGAGAAGGGAGAAAACCAAGGCGAGTGCGGTTGCCATATAGTAACTAGAAAATTAGCATGGTTATATGAGAGTAATGATAGGGAGTCTTACAAAATTGTGAAATACATCCCACCAACGTCAAGCCTATCTTCTGCTACGGCGTTTAGGACAAGGAGTAGCCACGCAATGAATGAGATCCATCCGATACTCCAGGTTCGAGCTGTCGCTGAAGGCCGCCACCAGTTTGCAATTTTAAGACTGAACCAAGACGTCACAATCCATAGAGATATTAGGCAAACCCAAATGGCCTCTTGGCTGCTATACATTATCATCGGATTGACTTTGGCAATGAGCAAAGCTGTGCCGACGACTGCAGATGTGGAGAAGAGGATGGCTACAAATGGCCTCCAGAAGCCTTTACATCCAGCCAATTCTAATTTTGGTGGCAGTGGTCCATTTGACTTTGGTGAAGAGGCAAGAAGATAGAGCTTGTCTGAGCTGGCGAGAAGATAGAAGAGCCCAAAAATGAAGAAGGGGGTGATTGTTAAGAGACATATAGACCAGATGAACGTATCGGCGATCTGGAAGATGGCGAATCCTCGGCCAAACACTATTTATAAAGCGGTTAGGGGGAGATACATTGTGCCGAATGGAATAGGTGTACTTACTGTCGAACCAGACACCGGTATGCTTGCGTCCAGAGCCTTGGACAAATGTATAACTGCCATCATGGGCCATGCCAACAAGAGAACTCAAAGATGTCTCGAACATATGCCAGAGGGAATTGATGCTTGCTGTATATCATTAGCTTTGTATCTTGCCGGGGTAAAAAATTGAAGACGTACTAAAAGCCATCGAATCCCATTGGGTGTGATATCTAGCCCTTGGTTGCCAAAACGCTAGGTCCAAACCTCGCATACCCAGTTCTCCATCAAAGATAATGTAGTCAGTTTGGCTTCGGATAAACCCTTGCTTGAAGGCATCACCGCTCAGACTGCTGCCGAACGGGTACTTTGCCCTCTTGAAGAACTTGGTGACTTCGGCATCAGTGCTACGGAAAAGAGTGGCACGTCCACCAGCACCGGCGCCTTCTAGGTTCAAGAATATACGACAATTTTTGGCAAGGGGGTGTTCTGTGAATGCCATGGCACCGTTGAGGTAGTCTTCCTCGCCATTGTTAAGGAGAAAGTACATATCCCGGCGAGGAGTGTTGTTTGGTTGGGTAAAGTAGTCGATCAGGCCGAGTACGGTGACAACGGCGACTCCATCGTCGGTTGCACCTATAAATCATTAACAAGTCGTTAGTAACTCCCAGCGTTCAATTAAAGCCGTAATATCCTTGGGTGGTCATACCGGGCGCCGTGCTGACACTATCGTAGTGAGCATTCACCAAAACATCACCGACTACACCTTCAAAATCACCACTCCCTTGAACCTTAACAATAACATTCAAACTCTCAAAATAGATTTTGACGGTGGTCCTGCCGGTGTAGAGGACATTGACATAATTGTCCTCAATAACCTCACTCTTGTTATTTCCGTTCTTCTCAATGATCTGATTAACCTTGTCCACCAAAAAGGATCTAACATGGTCATTTGCCCGAGAGTTATATGGATGGTATTTTTTTGTTATTGCAGCCAGGGTCCGCCATGTGTCTTCGAGATCAACGCCTATCGACTCCTTTAACGAGGCATTAGGCGGTGGTGTAGGCGGAACATAATGGATGATTAATAATGGTATGAACAGTGCCAGATATATTATAACCGTAAATATGGTAACAGGAAAAGGTCGGAAGTGAAGGAATGACACCTTGCAGGGGCCACAGGTGGGCATGGTCGTGGTATATTGGGGACTGGGTGTGACGTAACGGGTGAAGGAGGTCTTCAGGCTTGAGGGTCTGAGGCGCATGGGAGGCTAGGTATTAGGCGTGACGAGTCGCCGTCATCGGGAGAGAAGAGAAATACTGGACTGGACGATGTCCAAGGAGTTTAATGCCTAGTTTAGTCTTGAAGTCGGCGATGCTATCATGTATTGTCCGTCCTTTTTTCCAAGGGGTAAGTGAGATGAAAGGTTGATGATGATGTTGATGTTGATGATAACAACAACACAATTCAAAGCCCCGGGCAGGCGAGTCGGATGTGATTGGGTACCCCGCAAGATATGGCTTGGACGGCAGGCGTCGATTGGAGCGAGGTCACTTGAGCCCGACAAACATTGCATAGTTTGGTTCCCATGATCTGTTGCATTTTGCAGCTCACCCAGCGAGCTCGAGTGACTAAACAGGCCCTTACTTATCTCAAGTCTTAGACCGCTTTGTATTAGTTACAAAAGAGGTTCGTGACGATTGTATTCGTTTGCGGTGTCCTGTAAGAACGTACCGCCTAAGCTAATCTACGGCTAGTCGTATCGCGTCGGTGGGCTAGCGCTAGACTAAGTCAACTTGCAAGGCTGGTACTTACCTAGGTACATACTAGTACTAGAACTGTGGCTTTGCGCCCGGAAAATAGAAGTTGCACAGGTACGCAACCTGATAAGGCTATTTCTTCGGCTAGTCTAGTTTAACTGCATGCCAGATAGATCTATCTATACAGATCGATCTTGAAGGATCGATTTTGCAAATAGTACCTCTTGTCTCATCTTATGAAAGAACTAGGGGCGTCTCGGCTATGGCTAAACCAACAGGCATTAAGCCCCAACTAACTCGATCAAATCAATTGAGAATTGAAGTGTTGAATATTGTAAGTCTTGTTCGCGATCGAGACATATCAGTCTCGTAACCTGGGACATATCTTCAGTTTAAACGTTAGTTTGCTTGCGATCTCATCGGGTATTATACTTATAGATGGCTCCGGATCGGCCCGGCCTTCAATTCAAAAACCCCCCAAGATATGAACATCCGCGTGGTAGATATGGACGATGACCATTGGTCAATTTATAATTATACTTAGTTTATAATATGTCAAATTTTCATAGGCTGTATTCAAAGCTAATTAGCTAAGGCTTCCATAGACATGGGATTTGAAATCTAGCACCTTTCAAAATGGGAAATCTTTGCCGTGTTCCGACAAGCTAAGCCCTTGGAAATACGTACATCGCCAGCGCTTTGGTTTTCAAAGTTATATTTTTCATGCTCGGCGGCCCGTCCATACATCGCCAGCGCTTTTACTGGCCAAGTGGGAATACGAAGACGGCAACTTTACCGAGACATATATAGGCTTACGCCGACGTTACAATATATAGTAAATATCCAAAGCCCTGGCGCTAGTCTCGGCGCGCGCTGCCCATTGGCGGGCTGCAGGTACTGTGCCGTACGCGCGCAGGCGGGGCAAATCCGATAGGTTTTTTCGACGCAAAAGTCGTAACTATGTCACTCGGAATATCAAAATACCATGACATGTGTGCGCAGAGATACAGGATCGCCAAGGTTGGTCGTTTCCCCAACTGAGCTCAATCGGTGCAATCTGACAATCTTGGGGCCTATATTTTTTTGGGTGGGTCTGAGTACGAGGCAAGCATATAGGGTAAATTCAACCTCGTAGTAGCTGCTTTTGCGCAAAACCTCGTAAACATGCCTGCTTCAAGCTTTTACAGTCGGAAATATGATTCTACAACGATTGAGAGCTGTATCTATTTTGCGCGCTCAGCGGGGTCGATATAGAATGTTGGATCGATCGGAATAGGTATATAAAGCCATCAAAATCTCCTCCATGAGAAATTATTACCAGCATCAAACAGTCAATTCACACTCACAAGCCTCCAAAGTCTTATCAAAATTGAACAGTATTCTCAATACTACTTTCATCTACCTTTATCACAATCCGCAATACCCTCTTAAAAACTACCCTCACCACTACTTTTACCATAATCAAAATGAAGTTCTCCACCATCTTTGCTGTTGCCTCGGCCATCGCCATCAACACCGTCACCGCTGCACCAGCTCCAGTCGCTGAAGCCATCGCGAACCCTGTTAAAGATTTGGAAGAGAGAGCCAACAACGGAGCCAATTGCAAGTACAGCGCATACTGGACTCACAACGAGTTCAAGGTTATTACCTGGGGACCATGGGCCCAAGATGGCAGCTATGGCCGAGGTCTTTTGGATAACCTCCGTGGTCAATGCGGTGTTATCACCAATTGGGAGTACCGCCATCGCTCCGATGGTGCCGGAATCGCCACCTTCAAAACCATCACTATCAATTCGCCAAAGTGCGCTAAGGATGCTATCTGGTTGGCTAGCGGCCCAACCAACGTTGTGCTGACCTGCACACTTAATTAATTGCATGCATGGGTGCACCTGTGTTGGGGGACGAGGCTTGGGGGATTTAACTTGGTTTCGGAATGCTTTGGCCTGCCAGAGTTGGGATTATTTGGCTTTGATTTTGTTTGAGCAGATGTTTTGTTCGGTTTTGGTAAACCTTGTATACATTTATGGTATAATAACGCTCTTTAGCTCTGCTTCAAAAAACACTGGTATTTAATTGCGAGATAGCATTCATTCAAAGTTTTGTACGCTAGAATTATAGTAGCATATATTTAACGGAATAGAATAGCACAGAAGTTTCAAACTCGTTCGCTACTTTTGTACCAACCTTATTTTTGAGCCTAGTTTCGTACTCAAAACTAAATAGTCGAAGGATCAGCTATTGCATTGAGCCTTCGCCCACTATTAATAACTTTATAATGCGTTGTTTTTGTTGCAAATTTTGGCCCTCGTTATTGTGTGAGCGGGCAGCGCAGCCATAGATCCTTTTTGCGAGGACCGTCGACTGTGCCTCTGTATTCCTGCATGAACATTACCTACCCCGCAGATGATAGTAGGTATTCAAGTATCTAATCACGAGGGAAACTTTTCCCTGGCTACCCACTATGGCAACCCTCTCTCATATATAATGTCGTCCGAGGTTTATAGACCTTATCCTTTAATACAACTCTTTAATTGTTTTTTTGAGACCGAGAATTTCAGCTTGGGCGTGGCTGAGAGTGGCCAGACCAGGAAAATATCGACGCATATCGATTTCACCAAACCCAGAGACTGAATTGATATAGTGCTGGGATCTTATTTATTACCCATTTAATATCCATGGTATAACTACTCGGGGCTCTAAGTTTTGGCACAATGTCATCATCTACACCCCACGATAGCCAGGATTATACCGTAGGATTAGTTTGCGCTCTTCCTCTCGAATTAGCAGCAGTAAAGGGAGTTCTAGACGCAAGCTACGGAAAACCAAAAAAACAAGATCCAAGCGACAAAAACACATACGAACTCGGACGAATTGGAGAACACAATGTGGTCATTGCTTGTCTTCCAAAAGGCGTTTATGGCACGACTTCCGCAGCCACAGTCGCAACCCGCATGCTGTCAAGTTTCAAATCTATTAGATTTGGATTAATGGTTGGCATCGGAGGCGGCGTACCAAGTGATGATCACGATATTAGGCTTGGTGATGTGGTCGTTAGTAGTCCTGGAAAGACCGCAGGAGGGGTTATTCAGTATGACTTTGGAAAATCGACTGCGGGTGGTGGGTTTGAGCGTATTGGCTCGCTGAATAAACCACCTGATGTTCTGTTGACGGCGATTGCTGACTTGGAGGCCGAACATGAAATGACGGGAACAATAATTCCTCAAATACTCGAGGAAATGGTGGCGAAGTATCCAAAGATGAAGGATGGATATTCACACCAAGGCCCAGAAAATGACCGGTTATTCCGGGCGGACTACATCCATGATAGCGACGCCAGCGGTGGATGCGAGTCTTGTGACTCTGACCGGGTTGAAAGAAGACCTGCTAGGAGTGATAGAGACCCTATCATTCACTACGGCCTCATAGCATCCGGAAATCAAGTTGTCAAAGACGGTGTTAAAAGAGAACAACTGAGAAAGGACCTCGATGTCATTTGTTTTGAGATGGAAGCGGCGGGTCTTATGGACAATTTTCCTTGCCTTGTCATACGTGGAATCTGTGATTACGCCGATTCTCATAAAAATAAAGGGTGGCAGAGGTATGCAGCGGCTGTAGCGGCAGCGTATGCGAAAGAACTGCTGTCCATTATACCACAGGAGGAAGTGGTTAGTATCAGGACCGCGCTGGAGACGACGAATCAACTTGTTAAGGAAGCCTGTTAGTCTAATTTTTACCATTAGATCTAAATATAAGTCGTTGTAACTAACTTCTATTGCGATAGTTGATCGGGTTGATGATACTATTACTCGTATTTCCGTCGAGTCATCCCACAAGGATATCGCGGATTGGCTCTTGCTGAAGGGTTATGACTCTAAGTATAAGAGCGCAATAGAGAAGCATATAAAAGGCACTGGGAAATGGTTTATTGATGATGTCGAGGATTGGCTTAAAGATCCACAAAGCGAATCTGTCTTTTGGTGCCGCGGAATTCGTAAGCTACTCTCTCGCCTTCTAGAATATGGATCATCTTAAATTAATCATAGTATCAAATTTAAATTGGCAGCTGGAGCTGGGAAAACGATTCTAACGTAATGCATCATATCGGCACCCGAATTGAATACTACTAATGGACTTTATAAGACAGATCCGTCACCATTCAACATATCCAAGACCAGGCGAAAACACATGGATTCGACGGCGTGGCGTATGTGTATTTCGACCAGAAGGACCAAGACATGCAGACCACAAAAATTGCTCTTGCCAGCATTCTCGGCCAGCTAGCCTACCAGATTCCTGGATTCTGGCCTCCCCTTGAAAAACTATTTCGCCAATGTAGGAATGGAAAAGAAACGCCGTTACTCGATGCACTTCTGGATATCCTAATTAGCAGCCCAGCAAAAGTGTTCCTAGTTTTTGATGCTGTCGACGAAGCATCCCCTGCCACTCAAAAGGAATTCCTGCGATACCTCTACGATCTTTCTTGTGGCCCACGACGCTTATTCTTTTCCTCGCGGCCAAATATTAGCGCTAGCTTCATTCCTCGTGGAGTCTTCTGTAAGAAGATTGAGGCTCAGAGGGCTGATATAGAGGCGTTTGTCAGGGTGAAATTAAAGGAATCGAGTTGGATTCAAGATATTCTGTCAAATGAATCCGATGAATTCAAGGAGCGTATCATACAACAACTCGTCTCTCGAGCAAATGGCATGTGAGTTTAGATCTCGTCGTGAGGATGCGATCTACCAATTACTGACATAGATATTCTGAAGGTTCCTGGTTGTAGAGTTCTTGGTAACTTTATGCGAAGGCTCAACATGTCCCGACGATATTTCACACCACGCCGAAACTATGCCTAGCGACCCGAATTGTGTCTATGATCGGACTTGGACTGTCATATATGCACAGTCAAAAGAACGCGTCGTCTTGGCTAGTAAAGTGCTCTCCTGGGTGTGCCTTGCAAAACGAAACCTCTCTGTCCAAGAACTTAGGGAAGCAGTTGCGATCGAGGTCGGCTCTCGAGAGTTGAACCGCGGCAGACTTTCCCCAGACTCATTATTGATTGATGTCTGCAAAGGCTTAATCATTCTCGACGAACACGATCAAATTATTCGTCTAGCCCACGCTACAGTCCAAGACTTCCTTACCGAGAAAATCGACTGTAAAGAGCAATCTCTCAAGATAACATTATCTTGTCTTACATACCTCTCATACGACCTCTTCGCCGGCCGTGAACGCCACAAGCAGCGGGCAATACAAGAGTCTCTCCGAGAAAACAACTTTCTACGTTATGCTGTCCCGTATTTTCTCGACCACACCCGAGAATTCAGGGAAGAAACCACCCTAGTACGCCCACTTATGACGTTTGCACACCATAACGGACTGCGCAGGTTTTTCTTCCAGACTTGCCAAAAGCTCGGTGTCTTTTGGGGTTTAACAAGCTACTCGGATTTCGAAATAGACAACCCCTTGAGTTTCATCACTCTAACAAACAATAGGGGTGCAGCCAACGACATCGTCCGTCACATCTCTCTAGATGAACTCAATGATATGGGTGAAAAGGGCCAGTTCCCCTTATTTCTAGCCTCAAAATACGGGAACGAAGATATCGTTTCCCAATTGTTGGATAAAGGCGCAGATGTCGAAGACGAAGGCGATGATGGAAGTACAGCCTTGCACTATGCAACCGGACACGAACCCACTATGAGGGTACTCATTCGAAAAGGTGCCGATGTCGACAAACCAGATCACGCTGGATTTACGGCTTTGTCATATGCTGCAAAACTAGGCGCAGAGGGTATAGTCAAATTACTGCTATCCGAAGGCGCAGACGCAGAGTTTAAGGATAACGACGGACAGACGCCACTATCTTTAGCTGCAAAAGAAGGGTACGAAGTAGTAGCGAGGCACTTGCTTACTAACGGAGCTGATATAAACTCTAAAGATGCTGTTGGGAGGACACCATTAACATGGGCTGCGTGTAATGGTCATAAAACAGTTGTCAAAGTTCTAGTGCTAGAACGTCTCGGTGTAGAGTTAAACGTCAAGGACTGGTATGGACGTACACCACTATCATTGGCGGCAGAGAATGGCCATGATAAAGTGGTTAAGTTCCTGCTAGCGAATGGTGCGGACCCACATGTGGGAGATGTCGGTGGAAGAACACCACTATGGTATGCGGCAGGAGGTACCACGGTATCAAAGCAAGAAAGCGACACAAGATCTAGAGCCCAAACGAGGGTTCGAATTATTAATCTACTACTTGAGCGGGGAGCTGATATCAAAGCAAATACTGGATCCGGGTTGGCGGCACTCCACCAGGCAGCGAAGGGTGGACAAGCAGCGGTAGTGAAACTCTTACTCGAGAAAGGCGAGTATATCAACCTAAAGGATGAAAGATATGGCCGAACCCCACTTATGTGGGCTGTATCGGATAAAAAGGGGAGGAAACTGGTGGAGCTATTACTAGAGGAAGGCGCAGATATCAACTTACCGGACGACAAATTTGGCCGAACAACGTTGATGTGGGCAGTGGTTGAAAGGAACGTTGAAGCAGTGAAACTGCTAATCGTTATTGAAGGCATCAATCTCCTACCATCCGACTTCTGGTCCCAAACGCCACTATCACTGGCTGAAAACTTTGAGAGCGTTAATCCTGAAGATATTTCAGCAAATTCCGAAATCATTGAAATACTGCTTGCAGCTTATCAGCAGCGAGGCCAGGCTGTTCAGCGGAGAGATCGAGACAAAAATTCCGGAATCCGGACGACGGCTGATTCCATACGGATAAAATGTGAAGCTTGCCAGTCGCCTATAAGGCAACCCGCGATATACTATCATTGTGGCGTATGCCAGTATGGGAAGTTCGACATATGTGATAGTTGCGTTGGGAAACATAATTCATGTCTTGATTCAACACATAGCCTATGTCGTCGTAAGCGTACGACTACAGGTAGTGAATCGCTGGATTGAGGATTATTTCGGGCAAGTCAGGGCGTTTATAGAATATATCAGAAACTACCCCTTAACTGTTTTTAGAGGGTGATTGGGGTGATCGAGCTACGTGCTATGATTCCTGGAAATGAAGATTAATGAGAATACTACATATTCGAATATTCATGTATTGCGGCGGCTCGCCTCAGTGTGAGAAGTATATATAATATTAATCCCGCCAGATTTTGGTCGGGAAATGCGGTAGTGAAACGTATACAAGGTATCTATATAGCTTCTAGACAATACTCTGAACGCGCCGCGAGTTGGGAAATTAATGTAAAGCTCCTACATATGTTGTAAAAATATTGATATCATTGGCCTCTTTCCTAGGGTGTCGCTGAGAACCCTGAAAAACGCGGCCTCTAGAGGTAGGGACACTTCCAGGCGCCAGATTATGTAGCCATTGTCGCAGTGACTCAATATCCCAAAGTAAACCCCTCTCCGCAAGTTCGTTTAGATGCCGATGCTGGTCGGGGTCCTTCACTTTACGGCGCGTGCCCTGTACACAATCAGAAAGAGCTCTTGGTCCAGCCATACTCATCTGGGCGTGGGTTGAGTATAGGTGCACGATATCTTGTAATGTCTCATTACTCTGGACAACAGTACCGTTGAGCCTCAGGAGCGTTCTGATCTGGTGATTTATGGCGAACTTGCCCTCTTTACTGATATGCTGAATTGCCTCTTTTTTGAGTTTGGTAAATTTGTAGGTAAGATCTGCTAGAGTGTCGTCGTATTCGACTTGGTCCGCCTTACCTAGGAGGATACGAAAGGGTCGCGGCTGTTTGTTCTCCCGAATAAAATGTGTAATTTCGTCGAAGACGGCATTTGTTCCTTTGGAACGTATCTGATCGAATGGGACGACGAAGATTATGACATTCATCAGCCCGCGGAAGAGTCGAGCCATTTTTCTGATTTCTGGGTTTACGTCATCTGAGCCAGGACAGTCGCAGAAGACTGTTGCTAGCCCTGGTGGCGTGTACGACTGCATTTCAGTAGTTCGGGAGCTCGCTGTGAGCCCTGGATTGAAGGTATCTCGGGACGCAGCAGTGAGTGTAGTCAGTAATGTGCTTTTACCAACCCCGGTTGTACCCTCGACGCTAATATAGAGCTGGCTGATTGCGCTCCTGCGCAATTTTCCTATTTTCGCCACATCGAAAAGCCATTTCGACCAGGATATGGTTGCTATTGGATAGTGCTTACTGCGGTAAATCTTATCAGCTTCCCACTGCTGGTTTCTCTTTTGGCTTCGTGGCATATTCCTCAGTCCGTCATCGAGTCGTTTCCGCCACTTTTCTTGAGTATCACGGTCGCCCGAGTTTTGATAATCTGGCTCTAACAAGTCCGTGATCGTAAATTCTGGACTGGTTGGCTCTGATACTTGAAGTTTGAGTGTTTGGATAGATACTTGAAGCATTTTGTCAAATCCTTCTTGAACTTGGACAGTATGATTTGTTAAGTATTCGACCACCAATCCTATCCAATTTAAAGCAAGCAAGCCAGTATAGATCCCGAAGAAGTAGCTAAGATATGTCCAACCACTAGCAGCTAAAACAGATCGTCCGACTGTGATAGTCCCCGATGTGATAGCCGATACGACCAAATTGTTGAACTTGATGCAGAAGTCTATAGGTGGGTCGAGTTGCGTGAGGATTACTGTATGACAGAAGCGCATGATCAAGATCACTCGACCAGATTGAACACTAGCCCGGTCAATGCGATCTTCTGAGTCAACCTCGCGACTATATAATTCTCGACCGAAGGATTCCAATGTCTCTACGAAAGTGATTCTTTTAGAGCATGAAACGACCTTGGAAAACACTCCCGTGCTCTCCCAACCCTTTCCTTGAGGCTTTCCTCCAAGAATTGTCGAGAAGAAGCCCATAGGCAGTTTGTTTTGTTCTTGAAACGCTTGTATAACTTTGTCTAGGAAGTCTTGTAGTTCATCGACGCAAGGTTCAGATTTCAGTGCCGTTATTCCAGAGGGATTTTCAATTTTCAAGGGAACTGTTTCATTCGAAGAATTCCAAATACTCTCAACTATTTTGGAGGCGTTGGCAAAGTTCTTCTTGATGAGGCTGGGAGTTGCATTAGCTACGAGGGAGTCCACTACTTCGGCTGTGGCTCTTGCATCTTCGGTAAGAACCCCGGCCTGTAGAAGGGCTTCCTGATTTTGACTCCCGTTCCGCTTTAGATTTTGAACTTTGGCTATTTGATTTGCAAAAGCAATTATCATAGCGTTGCGGATGGATTCATAGGTTGTTTGAAAGTGGGTGGCGTTCAGCTGTGGCCTTTGTAACCTTGATACTTCGAGCGGCAGAACTCGACCAAACGAATCGTGTAGTTGTAGGGTACGCTCTATAGCATCCGCCATGTCGAACAAAGCTTCTCCGGGCGTGTTGGGAAGCATGCTATAAGTGATTTCAAGGGTGGTCTTGTGGACGTAACTTATTAATTAATCATCGCTATGGAACATGTTACAATTCTATGAGGATCAAATACCTGGCTGGCATCGATAGTACTTTTCCCAAACTTCTTCTCTGACTTGTAAATTTCACTGTTTCTCCATTTCGGGCCGATCTCGAAAGAAACATTCTTTGTACAGAATTGAAGTAGATCTGGACTAATAGGACATGATATGACGACTTTGGTGGGATAAACGACCCCTTTACAGCCTTTGATAATCTCAGGCAATGGTAGAAGGTCTCTACAGAATTTTGTTGAGGTTAGGGTAGTTGAAAGGTCAGTTGATATATCTGGAAGTTCTTTTCGGTCCGTTAATGTCTTATCAAGACATCGGTTATAATGCTCCATCGAATGAAATCTTAAATCAACCTTCGGAGTTTGCGGTATTTGTCGAGACGTAATAATAGCATAACATTGGATAATGCCAGTACTGTCTCCTTCAACAGGGTCGATCAAGTATATGACGCCGTAGTGAGCGAACGGCTGTCTGGCCTCTGCCCAGGATTGAAAGAGTTTGAGTAGGATCCCAAAAAAGACTTTAGCATCGGGCCAAATTGTTAGAACTTTATGGGTGGCATCCATCACCTCCTTGGCTTTTTGAGAGGCCTGGTTTAATATGAAGGGTACAATATCGTCACGGTTAATGATGTGGTGGAAGTTTTTTGTAAAACATTTTGGGGGAGTGGCGGTAGTGCCAAATGGCTCGAGAACCATCATGGATGGTGCGCCAAATGTTATAACAGAGATTCTAGGCGATAAGTTTATCTCATATTCTTCTTGAGAATCGCTATCTGACGTTACTTTAGTATTCCAAACATTTCTCACGGAACTTATATCACTATCTTCAGTGATAGCGTGATAAGCGGCAATAGTCGCTACAGCTCCCCTGTGGGAAAAACTAGATTAGCTATGCGAGGTTCTAACAAGGTATTTTCATGCGCAATTGTTATGATTGAGCATACCCAAGACTATGACCGCATATCACCACCTTGTATCTCTTAGCCAGCTGTCTGATTAATTCCGAATAATATTTCGCGCGGAGCAAAAACCCCGAATGAAATTTAGATGCTAAAGCAGGCGTTGAAGATTGCCGCACATCAATATCCGTCCAAGCATCTGTGGTGCTATAGCTACCACGAAAGCCTAAGTAAAGCACCTGAAGCCGAACAGACCAGGCAATTAATGGTGCCGAGTCTGGATCTACCTTATCAAGATCACCAGGCCCGCTTATAGTAGAAGATAGCGACCACACGTCGGAAATAATGTCATTTTTCTTGACGAATTGATATTTTGGGTTCTTTTGTAGTATATTGCTTAATTCGCTTGGCGTTTCGTAACATAGGAGACTAACTGCTGAAGCTCCGATGAAAGTCAGTCTCTTGAACGCAGCGTCGGACGAGGAATCCAGATCGCCTCCAAAATCGATATAGTCAATCGGAAAGTCGCTTGAAGAAGACATTACAGGATTCTCAGCAGATTAGATGAACTGAAAAAATTGTTGGGCGAAGGTGCTCTTTTATGAATGAGGGGTAAGCTTAAGATGGCCTTATATCTCATGCTATTTCTATGAGCCTTGTGGCTTCGGGCTGAACTGGTCCTAAGTTCTCTGGCACAGTGTGTTGTGGGTTCGATTTGATGTTTTAACGCCAAGACATTCCTAATTGGTATCGATCTTTGTCGGACGCAATGCTTGGCGTAATTGGCCATATGGATTTATTCCTGTCTCTCAAATCAAATCGACATTGAAAACGTTCACCATGCCTCGCGACATTCTTTAAACGAATATATTGAGGACAAACGAATTATATGTGACTAGATTATATTTGCATCGATAGGCGTGTCTCAATCGACCGAATTGAAAGAGTTATATATCCATGTTCCTGTAGTATATTGAATGAGGTGCCCCTCCGAACAATTGGAAGACGAACAACATGGACGTCACATGGGATACTATTAAATTCCGAAACAACAGGTTGAGATAATATATTCCTAGGTCCAACCACGGGGGAGCGATATCTGTCGATAGCCTTTTTTCTGATCTCTGCCCTAATTTCTTGGCATTTCATCCGATCGTGGACTTGTGGGGTAAGCATCAATGATAAAGTATGATTTCATCGAATTGCCCTGGTCCTGATACCACGGTGACTCAGGAATACCAGTAATTTGTGACTCAACATACTAACAATAGCGCGTTTAGAGCGTCTAACAGCCACATGTGAGGCTGAAGTTGCTTGTTCCTGCATACCCCTCTGAGAATCAAGGTACTGGGGACGGGAGGTAATTAAAAGGTGACTCTTTCCCGGTAACAGGTACTAACTATCTGAGCTACCCTTTGCGACGTCTGGGAACGAGACCAGCCAGGCGGTATTGTAGGCTGAAAACCCACTAACGTTACACCTGTCTGAGATTCAGAGTAGTCAACATCGGATCAGTTTATATATAAACCTCGAGACCTGCATGCTCCTTGAAGCCATTGAAAAGATATACGACTACAAGATACCTTTTGCATCCCTTAGTTTCTTACACTGAAGTGAGCTTGACCAATCAGCTCGACTTGGAGGTTTTCGCTGAATTCTACCGGCCGGTTTACCCAACATCAAAGCAAAGTTCGGTTGGAGATTACATAACCATATCTCTTGGCGTACAATCCACAACAAAGCCAACGCAACTAACAACACTTTCCACTCTCAATTATCTCGATCCCAACCACGACGACGGTTGAGATCTCTTCTAACCACTCCAGCATTTTTTAGGAATTTACATTTGTACGGGTACCATTAAATTGCTATAATACGATAGTAGCTGACATCATAAAGATAACATACTCGTCATGGCGCACTTCCAACCTAGCTCATCTCCAAACACTGCTTTGGCCCTCGTTTTACCTGAATCCACAATGGAAATCATCCAACCCTTGCGTTCCTTTTACGACGCCGCTGCTATAAAGTGGCCCCCACATCTTAATCTTTTTTACCCATTTGTCCACCCTTCAGCCATAGAATCTGTATCCGAATACCTAACAGAGCATCTTCACACGATCTTCAAGGTTCCTCTCTCCATCCGCTTCGGTTCGGTAGAAGTATTCGGCGGCGGCAAGAAGCGTCCCAGTTTCCTTGTTCTTCGTCCAGATAAGGAATCCGAAGAACTAATCCAAGATTTCTATGAGCTGCTCGGTCGTGAGTTTCCTGAAGTTAGAAATGCGGTTACACGTAAGGAGTTCAAGCCGCACTTGACTATTGGGCAGGTCTACGGAGGGAACGAAGGAAAGATATTTCATTTCCAAGAGAAGTTCAAGATGCTATGCAAAGCTATTGGGGAGGTGGAAGTTGGGCTAGCTACTATGCAGCGTGTTGAGGGCAAGATGACATATGTGAGGACTTGGGGTGTGAAAGAGTACCCCTTTACTCTGTCTCTTGAGTGCGTTCCAGGCAGCGTGGTTAAGAGGGATACGTGGACCTATAAATCTGCAGCCTATGATAGTGGGGATGAAGGGAGCGAAAATCATGAAGACCGCGAGGAAGAGCAAACCCTGAATAAGTGGGAACGGGTCAATATCGTCGAGGAGACGAAAACCGCAGGCCGCAGCCTCACCCTCTCCACATACAACGTCTTCGTGGATACTGATAACACGAAAAACCAAGATAGCCGCTGGTGGGCCATTTGCAAAAAGCTCATAGCGTCCAATTCTACAATAATCTGTCTACAAGAGGTCTCAGATGGCTGCCTCGCAATGATCGGAAACTCTTGGGAGGTTAGGCAGAAGTATCCCTATATTTCACACTCACCCGAAAAGCCACTGTTACGACTTCGAAACTGTATCATTCTAAGCTCTGTACCATTCTCATGGGAGGAAGTCTCGACTGATATTCAGGGACGAAGCATTTGTCTAGCCAAATTCGACCAATTTGGCTTTTACTCCACTCCAGCTCCAATCGAATCGGAAGACGAAGATGCTCCTGGACCTCCAACGGCATGGCATCCATTGATTGTCGCAAACGTCCACCTTCCGGCTTACCATACCGATGAAGCTGTAAAACTCCGCACTGACTATGTCGGTTTAGTTAAATCGCACTTGGACACAAACTATCCCGGCAACCCGGTCATTATAGTTGGAGACATGAATATCGCGAACGATACCTCAATCTCCCACGCTGTCACCCATAAAATTATCACTGAATCTTCAGGCGCAGCCTATGGTGATCTTTTCCCGCCAGCTTCTTACGCTGATGCTTGGCTCGTCTCCGGTGAAGGCCTTGAAGGGAATACCTTCGACCCGGCTACAAACTCTATTGCCTTCGAAAATGCTGGGCATGGCTCTTCGATCCCGATTGTCCCCCAACGCTATGATAGAATATATGTCCGTCTACAAGGGGGCGACAATTTACTCATTCGTGAAGCTCGCGTGGTCCTGGATACTTCTGTACCACCATCAAGTGACCATTACATGCTAACCTCAAAACTATCCTTCATCGACTCATCTAAACAACCAACACCGGAAACCCTCCTCTCCTTACCTCAAACTGCTTTACAAGATTCTGACCTTATAGAACTTCTAAAGTCTAACTCTTGTTTTCCCACCCCTGCAGAAACTGCTTTGCGCCATCAAGCAGTAGCTTCCCTAACTGCATGTCTAAATGGCCTCCCAGATCTGACTACTGCCCCTGAAAATTCGTCAGATACCACTTTTACCCTCCGTCTTGTCCCCGTCGGGTCATTTGGTCTTGGAACTTACACCTCAACTTCTGACACCGACATTCTAGCTATCGGCTCAATCTCCACACCATTATTCTGGCGTATCGCTAAACAAAGAATCAAGAGATTCCGTGGAAAAGCAGCAGATTCTTCCTCTCTAACATCCTCGGATGCTCTCAGTGTAAAAATTGTTCGCTACGTTGACGCAACAATACCAATGTTAATCCTTCTCATTGGTGACAAAATCCGCATAGATCTACAGTATACCACTGCCGTATCGGTTCTCTCAAATTTCGATACAATTCCATTCCAACCATTAAATTCTCCGCTTTGGAATTTAACTGTCCCAACATTGAAGAAATTACAGGCCTGGAGAGATCTACTATTCTTACTTTCACGTATTCCAAACTTGGCGAAATACAGACTAGCATACCGCTTCATCAAACTTTGGGCTGAAAAGAAGGGGGTATACAGCTCGAAGTTCGGATTCTTCGGCGGTGTTCATATCTCTCTTTTACTCGCCAGAGTCGCTATGTTATTACCGCCAACGGCAACAGCGTCTCAACTCATCGCTGCGTTTTTCACTCACTATAGTACTACGAAATGGGATGATTCCGTCATCTTTATGCCAGGAACAGGGAAGGTACTTCGGTATCAACGCGCCACCAGAGATAAAATGGTGATCCTAACGATAAACACGCCTGTCATAAACGTCGCTGCGAATGCTACGATTCATACTGTTCACACGCTATCTTCTGAGCTCGAAAAAGCGGCTGCGAAGTTCGAGCTTGATGCTACTTTCTCTGATGTGGTTGGGAGCTTTGGGGATGATACTTCAAAAGAGATCCCAATTGGCGTTAACGAGTTTTTGGGGGGATATAATAGGTATATCAAGGTTGACGTTCAGTTTTGGGGCCTCAATCGCCAGGGTGGCCGTGCGCTGGTGGGATGGGTGGAAAGTCGACTCGTCGGTTTACTGGTGGAGTTAGGCCGCCAAACACCCGGTTTAGACGCCAGAATTTGGCCGGGGAGGTTCCATGAAACGAAAGCACAACAACTTGAAGCTGAAGAAGGCGCAGATGGAGAACAAAAAGAAGAAAAGAAAGAAGAAATGGGTGAGCTCCGTGGCTTCTACTTAGTCGCTTTGAGCCCCTCTTCAAAATCATCACAAATGACCAAGGAAGAAAAACGGAACGGAGAAGCCGCTTTCGCAGCTGTATTACGAAACTTCGAAACAGCGGTCACGAAACATAAAGAAAAATATGACCCATCGACAAGTTGGATTTCTGTTTCTTGTGTTAAGCCCGATGAGTTTGTGACTGAGAAGGGAAATACAGTAGAACTGGATTTAACAATGGTATGGGACGGCGGCGAGGCCGATGAAAATGGTGATGGGATCCCAGATGATGAAGATAGCGAAGAAGAAGAAGATCCAGATATCGCAGATTTGCTTCTCGACGGTGAGGAAGCTGAGGATGAAGACGACTTCTTCGGTTCTCTCCGGAAGGGATCTAAGAAAAACAAGAACGCCTCAGCAGTAACTCAGAAGAACTCAGGCCCAACGGCAAAACTTCGTCCCTCTCACGAAGTATTCAATCGTCTGAAATGGGACTCTAAATACGACGCTTCAGCATATGTGATTGGATATGAAGATAGGTTTAGAGGGGTATTGGAAATTGGTGTGGATAAGTGGAAGACGGAGATGAGCGATGAGGAGTTTGTGCCAATGCACCGGGTAGTTTATTTCAAGGAGAGGAAGACGGGAGAGATGCTGTGGGATAGGGAGAAGAGGATCGATAAGATCTTTGGAAGCGGGAATACAGCTGATGGGAAGAAAAAGGGAAAGAAGTGAGCGATTTGTTAGACATGTCTTTAGATTCCGACCCGATGGAATTCAATTATGGTCTCTTACCCCTCTTCTGCAGCTGGGGTCGATGTTACCCCTCTTCGATTTCAAGTTTGATACCCTGTGATGTGGAACAAGAGAATAACAGAATGCTGTTGATGTCTTCGCGAATTTCGGTCATGAGGTCAAGCCATCTCAATGCATCATGCAGCAGTATATCAAACCCTTTGACGTCGTACATATACGTAACGCCAATAACGACGAATTGCGAGTTCAGACCAGACTAGCCAAGCAGGTTTGAGGTCGGTTCAAGGCTACCGGGCCGGGCCAGATCATGGCGCTAGGCTACCTTGTTGCATTAAATCCGCTCGTACGGCAATCCTGTATATATTTTGTGGAGATGGGAGCTTCAATTCCATCTTTGATCACTGTAACTTATCTACATCTTCTGTAGCAATGAGCTCGACTGCAAGCCATGTTTTTCTCTTCTATATTCCTTCACACACACTCAGTAGCTTATAGTCCTTGAATCCCTTTTCTTTTTCGGATAAGTCATTTGATTAATCTGATAGCATTCATGCATGCATTAGCTCGGGTTTTCAGCTCGGATTTTAACTTTTGGAAGTTTTAAACTTTGTTATTGATTCGATTGGTCGGGCTAATCAAAGTATTAATGTACTCAAAGCTGTTTTTGACTAAGGGTGCATAGAGAAGTCTCCGAGGCACCCAAATGTTCCCAAAGCTTTCCGCTAGATATTGTAGCCATTGCGGAGTTACTCCTCTCAATGCTTCAATACCTTCTTCTTTGGTACCATGTGCATACAAATGTAAAAGGAAAAATCTATTTCGAAAATAGGATTGGAATCACCCAACTGGCCGTTTTTGCATCATCATGATATCAGTAGCTTTCCTAGGACGGTTGAATGTTACACAATGGTGGTCGATGAGGCACCCCGCATGCACTCTCAAAACTTTGCTGCTATAGAGATGTATATCATATGTTACTAATAATTTAACCGACCCGTGTGGGTATATATGCACCTAGTCGGCCCGGGCCCGCCTTGCATGTGCAAGATAGGATCAGGCAAACAATGCATATGCGCAACCACAAACTACTGATACTACCATAGTAGGCTTGTCAAAAAGAACTGGCGTTGATTAGTTTCCGTTCTCTACGGGATAAAACGATACCAGTACCAGGTAATGCGCATGTGGCTTGTCACAGACCCGGCGTGGCAGAAATAGTCGTTACGTAAATTGGACCTGTTGCTTCTGTTACTATATTAAGCCATTTTGTGAGATACATAAGCCAAACAATGCGCTTTAAATTTTAAAGGGATCTAGCTGAGCTTAGAAGATTGCTATCATGTCGAGAGGATTTTCCCACCGAGCTAGATTTGTGGTTTTGACCAATTATGAGAATAAAATCAATGGCATCCTCTGTTCCACGATTAATTTTCCTTGACTTGATGGAAGGCAATAAGGTGTCATGTTCCCTGCAGTGTACCCGGTATGTACCCATGTAAGTACATTACAATATCATCATTTTTATGCACACGGCAGCCGGAATGTACATGCATGTATACGGGGTTTCACTCCCAGCATTTGTTAAGTCCGGAGCTACAGAATTGGTGCCGGCTCGTAATTTGAAAACGCCTAATTAGGTATAAGACGTATTTGCTTTATTGACTTTTTATATAACCATCTATCATATTGAGGGGAATATTCTTCGTATATAAAGGCACGAGTATATCCCTACTGAAGAGTTGTAATCATCAAGAAAAGATTGTCTGCATTTAGGATACAATTCTTCTATTTTTATTATTTTCTTCAGAACCACTTACCACTCACCATGGTCGGCACAATCAAACAACAGCTCTACATTAGCGGTGTCCCTCAAGGGCTCACCATGACGGTCACTGCTCTGAATCTCCTCCCTCCTGACCCACCCAAAGAATGGCGAGCAACGCTATACGACCGTAGTGGCCGAGAACGTGTAAGTCATCTTTATCGTTTCCAACTGTTGTTTCTCCCTCATCCTAACCCGTATCAAATAACCGTGCCCCAGAAAGCACCCTTCGTCATAGGGCCCAATATTGACGGAGGCCATATCGGCGAGGTGAAAATGTACGGCGCACACGCCTTCCCAAGGTAAATTTTTCCACTATACACCAAGTGAGTGAATATCCGGCACTAACCTCCACCACAGTAACAGCTTGGGAGCGCGCCTCGAAATCCTCTGGAAGCTGGAAGGCAACGCCACGAGAGTGGCAGCTCGCAGCGGTGACAGCGATGATGGTGCTGTCGCATATGTGACCGTCCCGCCTGAGGAAGAGGTCGAGCACCCCGCATTGAAGCCAGCTGATGCCGAACCTGAACCCAGAGGTGCGGACGAGAAACCGCCCGTCGATCCAAACGATCCCGCAAGCTGGCAAACCAAGCTCGACGCACTTCCCCCTCTCCCTCAACTTAGAGCTGCAGAACCTGCTCGTACAGGCCGTTTCATCGTCGAGACAACCGAGTGGGGTCTAGTCCAACGTCCCGACTATGTTTCTGTGCTTTACCAAGTCGGTAGCGCAACTCCACTCCGCGTCGTTTCTAAAGTCGCAGCGACGATCATCGACATGCCTGACGATGCGTTGTTCGTCATTGGTGTCAACACGAAGACTCAGGAGATAGGTATCAATGGTGTGCAGCAGAAGGATGTGGCGAATACCCTTGTCAGCTATTTGGTGCAAGGGATATTCTATGCCCATGAGAAGGCATTTGGGTGGGTGTTTGGTAAATTTTGGTAAATAACACGCGGGAGGTGCACAAGACTGTTCAGGTGGAAATGGAAGGTTGAGATGTCGGCGTGCCAATTAACCAACGCCTTGTTAGGATGGTATCTTTGTATTAGTTGCTTCTAGTATGAACGGCATGTATTCTACTACCTTACGAAAATACATACATGCAGGTATATCGATTGCGTTGTAATTACTCCGTAGATACATTGAGCTTAGGTCCCTAACTACCCGAAGCGTTTAAGTTATAGTGTTTAGTGACCAATAAGCATCGTAGGAACGGTAATTAAACGCGAAAATGGAATAGTGCATACCAGCTTCAAGTTTTGAGCGAAATTTGGAGCTCTGATATTATGTAGGCCAAGCTAGATTCTCAAGAGGGCCCATTTTATTCCACCAGAGCTGACTACTGTCTACCCTATATTATATTATCTGCTAATCCCTCGTCTACACCTACTCTGAAGGAAGAGAAGAAAACGATTGAGGAACGAGAGGCGGAGCGATGAAGCTGACGTGTCGTGAGCTGGAACTCTTCAGCGACCATATCCTCAGCGGTTTCTGTGGAAGAAAGAGTTGGTGGTCATTAGCTATGGAACAAGTGGAATCATTCTATCGGGAGTGTTGCGTAGGCAGGGAGGAGAATCCGGATCCTAAGTACCTATTATCCATTGTACTGAATAAGCATCAATCACACCGAATACGCAAATCCTCGCACTATTGATATATCTGGCGTACAATTAACTGTTGGATCTGCTGTTGTTCGGATTAAATTGGAGAAGATGTGTTCGTTAGTTCCTTGCTTGTGGAACCATCCCAACAATGCCCAACCCTGTTGCATTTTGAACAAGGATAAATACCCCCCCGTTGCTAGGCATGCGCGGATAAATAAGTAGTAATATCGATATGTTAGTGCTTAACGATGATTGGCATGAGTAAATGATACAGGAGGTATGGAAATCATGGAAAAGAGAGCAAGTGTTCAAGTGTGCATGGATTTAGTGTCCCAAACGATACCCAAGGGATTCGAGGCTACCCAAGGCCGAGAAAATCAACTTCATCAAGAATTTTAATGCATGAGAAGCAAGCTATGTTGCTAAGAATTACTCTCTTAAGATCTTGCGGCGGAATTATTCCATCAGATCTTAGAAAAGTATATATAAGCAGACACATCGCCTTCTGGCTTTTGGAAGAATTAGATCATATTAATATTGAAAAGCACTACCAGGTTTCATAGACCCGATTAACTACAGGACAAAGAAAGGCGGGTCATCACATGATAATATTATGAATTTCCCTAAATATAGGAGTTACAAAAGTTTTACACTCATCCGAGTACAGATAGATGATATGAACATCTATTATGTGTAAGCTTGGTGCCGGTTCCATGACTAAGCTAACTGCGCTAGGAAAGGGGCAATATACCCGAGTTACTTAAGTACTTGGATCTAATCCGAGATTATCTATTTAGAGTAGAGGGTGGCGATGGATGTCTGTACGCCGTTGGTATGTAACGTGCAATATGCTTATTTGCTGAGTGTGGATATTTAGCTATATTTAGTGGATTGCATGCGAACGACGAAAATATGATCAAGTAAGTGGATTCTCAAGAATTATTGTGCATTGGACTATATTAAAAAAAATTATATGTAGCAAAGAAACTTAAGGACAAAGAGAATGTTACGGCTGCTTATATATAGATCTTCCACAAAGAACAAGCTAAAACTTCAACATTAAATTCAATTCTAAGATTCTATTTAAGTAAATGAAAGGATCACTTAATAAAATAATCCATCAAGTGGGAGGGACGGGCCGATAGGTCAATAGTGTCTTAGGTTACAGCAAGCCTTGGCTGGTCCACGTGCTGCCCCGATCTGGGGTGGTACCTGCTTGAGGCTTTGTAGGTGAGACAAGGTATGAGATATCCTTGAGCTTCTTTGCAGAAGAAGAATCATAGTTTAGTGACGAAGCGGCCCGCTTCCTCGATCCGGTGCCCTCGGAATCATCTCGATTTCGTATAACAGAAAGCAGGAGCTTTAAATAAGCAGCAGCCGTCGCGGAGGCATATTCTTGCCACAAATCATTCTTGTCCGAATCTGCATAGTCGCAAATACCTCGAATCACGACGCAAGGAAATACATTCATAACTCCGGCTGCCTCCATTTCGATACAATGAACCTTATAATCTCTGTATAAGCGGTCTCTAGTCTTCGCATCTTTGATAACTTTGTTTCCGGAAGCTATTAAACCGTAGTGAATCTTTGGATGATTTCTGGATTGATCGGTGCATCGGCGACAAGCAACGTGGTTTGTGTCGTTCAAACACTCGGCAACAAGTATCTTGTCATGTTGTATTCCCGGAAATTTATACTCTGGGCAGCGTGCTATGATATCGTCGATATATTTTTGCAGTGGTTGAGAGGGTAGGTTGGGGTCAGATCTCAAGCTACTGATAGCTGTCAATATAAAAGTCGGAAGACGTTGTATACACCCCGTTCGTTCAAAAAGGTCCCCACCAAGAGCTTTGCCAAGATCATATTGAATGACTCCGACGTGAGTCCCTGTTGGATGACTAACCACGACGTCTCCCAATCGTAGGTCATTTTCTTTCGTCGGAATACCAGCTCCAATACCAACCAAGCAACAGAATTCTACTTTAGTAAAACTTCTTATCATATGAGAGAGAACCTGAGCGGCAGCGTTTGTACCATATTCTCCAGATGGCAGACAGGCAGCAACGATATTATGTCTCTGAATACGACCGAGTGCGTAGTGGTTTGTATCTTGTGAGGGAAGATGTAAATCCTCGTGCCTAGAATCAAATAGTGCGCGCACAGCGAACAGCTCCTTCTGTAATGCACAAATAACCCCGACTGTATAATCCTCAGGGCCAAAAAGTAAGTTTGATCCGATTCCACTATCCAAAGATGGGGCTTTGAGTTCCTTGCTAGGCATGACAGGTTCATCCCCCTGGAGATCTCTAGAATCTTTCCATAGCCATTCGAAGCTAGTGTTGTGGCCGAATATCACTGCGCTATCATCGTCCAATCGTATTGGCTCATTTTCAGGCAGAAAACGGCTGAATTTTGAAGGCAGAAGAGCTTGAACAAAATCAGAGTGGTCTTCAGATTTCTTCTCCTTGCATTGACATTGTCCAAATGTGGATTGTGGAATATGCCAGACAACATCGTCGACTAGCTTCGGCGGCATCTCTATCTCTTCGTCGATACCAAGGCCCATGATACTTCTGAGATCGCGAAGGCCTGCTGCGAGATAGTATTTCTGCTTCGGCAATTCTTTCCAGTAGGTACATATTCCAGTATCGGCTGGCTGGATTATTTCGCCAAATCCACGCCCAAATAAGGCAATAGCATGAATAGCTCTGGTGAAATCGACCCAGCTTTGGCCGATTGCTTCAAGTGTTGCTACACGAGGGTAAATTGGGTCTCCCCCCGTGGCTAAATCTTTAAAATCCCAGCCTTCGAGGTATCTTGGTGTCGAAGGCGTCGAACTAACAGTCATCTGGTAGTCGATGATTTTCTCTAACATATTGTAAAGTTCTTCGAGCCTATCCTCAACGCAATAATGGACACTTTCTCCTGGATATATTGCCTGCTTCAAGTTATTCTCATTAAGAAGTACTTCGATAGCTGAGCATGCCCTGTGAGGCTTAATTGCTTCATGCATACGCTCTTTCTTAAAGAGGAATTTGGAGCTGAATTCGTCAGCGCTATCATGGGCTAGAGATCCATATAAAAGATGTAGTAATGCGCTGGTGCCATTGACAAGCCAACCTCGCTTGTCTTGCTCGTCCCACATAACTACGAATTTCTTGTGGATCCATTTTAGTCCTGGAATATGCCACTTTCCTTTCCGTGACAGGCGAAGTGGAATGTCTTTATTACCGATCGCGAATTGGGAGCCGCCGCTGACTATCTGTCCTCGAATTGCGCAAACTTCCCGAAGGGCACAACCGCCATGAGTTTTGGAGAGCCGGGACGACTTGATACTATAAACCGCATCTGCAGCCCCTATAAGACAGTTTTTGTCAGCAAAATGGGTTATAGGTTAGCTTTCCTAGATCCCGAATAATCCTACCGGCATGGTAACTAGCTTTCGAACACCAACCAACTACATGCCGGGCTGTTTCTAAAGCCGGGATACTGATATCTTCTGCATGAAAGGTCTTGTCCAGGTAGGAAATACGCTCTCCTGTGTCGTTGTAGAGAAAATGCCAAATGAGCATATCTCCATCTCTTTTGATCGGAATGAGCATAGCCGAATATCCCTTAATGAAAATCTTGCCATCAAAAATATTCACACGTTTGGTTTGGGCCAAACCGGCCATCATATTGAGCGGAATTTCAAGACCGATACCAGACTCGACTTTCGGGCGCCGCAAAATCGGATAACCTTCGACCACAACCGGATTCCTAAACATTTTGTGCCAGCACTGGCCATTAGAAGATATAGGATGAGTGGAAGACATAGGATGCACAGCTCTTTCCTGGACAATGAAATCAATATCGCAAATTAGTTCGGGGCAACGCGGCGGCCCGGGCGTCGATTTCGAAATATCTCTGGGACTGATCTCATTGATGATCGGTATTATGGAGGCCAACCCTGCATCCCATGTTGAAGAGTAAAATGCAGCCCCAAGCCATCCAAGCTGTTCACCAACTTCAGCAACGGAATCCCTGGTACCGACAGCTTCAACAATGAGTTTTGAATCCTGAATGCATGCTCTCAGTTGAGTTCCATCGGGTAAAGTAGCTAAATATTATCGGTTAGTTTTAGAAGTTATTAGGCTTCGTTAAAGCTTAGGGCTGTCGGTGAACTTACAAGCTTGCAGGTTATGAGGTCCATTCTGAACTGTGTCTTTAATTAACTGAATTGTATGTTTCCCACCTGATCGCCATGTTTGGCAAAAGTACTCTTTGCATGTCAGAGCTTGCGCATCTTTGATTGATCCGGTTAGTGTAATGGCCTTCTCAATCGCTTCGCCTGGTTCCTCTTCATAATCTTGTTCAGCAATAAAGCCCATTGGATTCCATCTCACAACAAAAACCATCTTAAAAGTCTCCGCCGATTGGCTTCTACTGATTCTGTGATTGGATGGCAGTTTTTGAGCGATTGTCTCCCTTATTTTATCCATTATGTTCGGTTTTGCCGGGGTAAGAAATAATTCTCTGCTTAATCTCCCAAGAAGCCATTCGTATGCTGCTACCTTGAAGATAAAGTCTCTATAGGCGGGAAGTTGAGGCACGTTTATTTCTTGGCCGTCATCTCCCCTTACTTCCTCATCAAACTCCGGACCAATCAGTTCACTAAAAATGGCCCCCGCTGTGTCAGCATTTGGAAGTAGTGCGTCTTCTGCGAGGGAGGTTTCCCAAAAATGGGAAAGATCTTGCGGCTCTTCCAAAACGGGATCTTCCGGTTCCTTTAAAGCTGGGTCCTGTGGTTTCATTAAAAGTGAGTCTTGCGGATCCTCCATCATGGTATCTTGCGGGTTTTCTAAGCGCCAGCGCTCTACCACTTCGGTATACAGCATCCCGTCGGAAGCGGGAACATGGGTTCTAAAATCATTCTCTTCTTGTTCCTCTTCATTAGGAAGCTTCCGATTGAAGTACTTAGTTATATCACTGTGGAATGACGTAGATTAGAATCGAGCTTATCAATATATATGGATCTGGAGTTACGCTCGAGCCCGAAGGTCGACTTACCCTCGACTCTTATGGATAAAAAACATAACGTCGCGATGCATTTGAGTGGGCGCGTTTTGGCCAATTTTGAGAGCGAAGGCCTTTAGAACATCCGGAAGAACTAGAGATATTCTCTCCAACGTATCGGCGTCGGGTTTGCAAGGAAGAACTTCGTTGAGTAGAGCATCGGCTAACTCAGATATGTAACTTTCTTTCGCTAAAGTGGGTACGCTTGATGCGTCTGAGTAAACCGTTTGGGTATCATCCAAATCGAGAGGATCCATTGCAGTCGACGTATGTTCTGATGTATTCAAAGATTGAAACTTGATGCCGTGATCGCTTTGTGCGCATAGCTCGGTGCCATGAGTGATAGATGCATATCCTGAATCCGTGGCTATTCTAGCGCCTGTTTCTACAACACTTCTCCCACCTTCAAATTCGTGATTCGTTGTAGAAAGATTCTCTAAGTCGCACGGATGATCCAGGGCCAGCGTGTCTCGGAGCGGGCTCTGGAGCGGATTACTCCCTGCTGGCACGCGCCTTTGCGTAGAAGCCATCTCCGTTCGCATATTCTCCCCGAGCCTAGAGCTCCCAGTGGGGAGTCCGAGATTTTGGTCAGGATGCGTTTCCTCGTGGGCCTCGTCAGTCATAAATTGCCTCTGAATCCCGGCTCTCCGTAGTATCCGTTTGTGAAATTCTAGTCCCATGACATCACCAAGTTCGCTTTTGAAATCAATGGCCACAATGCTCCCGTCTAAGCTAGTTGCAAAAAGAGACTTCGCATCGGGACTCCAGCCGAGATCCGATATCGATTTTGTTACCAGATTTGGGACGACCATTTTAGGACCTAGAGCGCCGATAGACCAAAAATATAATGATCCACCTTGAGTAGCGCAGGCAACAGTCCCACTGTTTTCAGGGTCGCGTTCTCGTGTAAGTATCCTCGGCGCAAATGAGCATACCTCGACGGGGTCTTCGTGTCCAATAAACGAGATGCTGTGCTTCCAACTACCACGGTTGATAATAGCAACTGAATTATCTGGGCCCCTAACAGCACCGGCAACAGCGATGTGCTCGCCGTCAATTGACCAGGAGCATCTTTTAAACATTGTGATTGGGCTGTTAACAAAAGGTTTAGTTATTGTGGCCTCCATAAGGGACCCTTCTTCAGCCTTTCCTACAGCAGTATCAGTAAAAGGTTTGAGCTGAAATACTTTAATGGACCGGTCATCTGAAGCCGTAGCAAAATATTTGTTGGCTGGATCAAACGTAATTCCTCTAACCGCAGATTGATGAGCGCTAAGGCATTTCAAAAGTTCGAAATTTCTACCGGACCAAATTATGATTTTCGAGTCTAGCCCAACTGATACTAAGATAGATGAATCGATTGACCAACCAACATCCCGAACACCGTTTTCGTGACCGGAAAGCTTGCGCGAAGTTCGCCATTTCTCAGCATGGCCTGATTCTGGATCTCGCTCGTATAGCAATACTAGTCTGTCACTGGAACCGGATGCGAGATATCTGTTCGTACCTGACCAACGCACCGTGAAGACGACACCTAATAATATACAATTAGTCTTGCCTGCTAAATGGATGTTCGCCTAAGAATTTTGTACCTGTGTGGGCATTAACTGAGCATATCTCTTTAGGTCCATTGAAGGTTTCGTCTCTATCCTTTAAAATAGCCTCTGTGGACCAAATCCGAACAGTTCCATCTATGGATAATATTTTTAGTAGTTTAAGCTGCAGCAGCAGTAACACTTGGAATCGTGAGCAGCATACCAAAGCCTGCAGTCGCTAGTCGCTTGCCGTCAGGGGATACATGGCAGCTGTAAACTTCAAATCGTCTCTTCCCCCCTATATTATTACTAGTCAGCCTTTGTATAACACTTTGTCGAAAAATAAAATAGTCAACGCATAGACGAGCAAGACCGTACTAGCATGCACCAACCAGTTGGGCTTTATGATCAGCATGCTAATTTATCCCGGCAGTACTCTAGGTGCGGGAGAGACACTGGCGCGAGCTTGGGTGTGAGGCCGGCTGGGATAAAAACACCCCCGCTCCCCCAGACCATGGAATCCGAGTAACTCAGCCAAGCCAAGCGTTTCGGATGCGGGATGGCGGTGGCGTAGGATGCCGATAACTTCGTGATTTCCTGAATGAATCGAACAACTGCTGTGCGTACGAGCTTGATACAAATATCGACGGCACGTGTAGGGATAATACTGGTACAGGTTTAGACCATAGATGAAGTTTCAATATGAAGACCACTTGTTGATTCTGAGACCGAAAATTCCCAGCCTGGAAATTCCCAGCCTTGCTACAACTGTGAAAAGGAGCCAATCAAAGTCCTCTATTACCCATGCCTTCGGTTGCGAAGCCACATCCACCAGTTCGGAGCCCATGCATGTATCTGCAATATAAATATTTGATACGTATCGATACTCGAGAATCTAATATTCCTGTGAAAGAAGCGACCTCGATGCACGACGTCTACACAGGTTAATACAAGGGAATCGAAAATCTACGGCCCTCGTGGAATAAAGTAAACTCTGTGAGCTAGGATTAAATGGCAGAAGTACTTCTTAATCAAACTCAATCCCATGGAAATCAACACACACCGGCGCCAACCTCAAGGGGACGCAAAGGTTGTCTACCCGGAGTTAAGGGACAGTATTGATATCTCTGTTTGATCATTACCTATAATTGATTTATATACTAAGTACTCGAGCATACTGCACGTTAATTAACTAGGAAGCAAGAATGGAATCGTACGAGTTGATTTCCAGGAGTTCTTGTGCAGACCGGCGACCACGGTTTGGTTACGACCGGCGACATTTGGCTACAAGACTGCGGCGACATCCAAAAAGGAAATGCAACAAAGAAAACAACACGTTTGTGTTAGGATGGTGATATGATCCGTTGCTTGGTATTGCTTGGTATTGCCTTTTTGAGAGCTAAATTGTACTTCAAATGTAGAAAGGTTATAGGTTTCGGTGGTCTCGTAACCCAAATGTGGCTTTGAACCAGAGCTGCAACGATTTATCATCTGTACGATGGTTACTTTATGAGTACAACAGGCTCGTTACAGATAGTCTTTTGCAAGGTCTTCAAAGATCCAACTGAGTTTGACTTTTCTTTCGGGATAAGGAAACTTACGCCACCAAGATTGATTGATGATTCGCATCACTGCTTCATTCAGAAAGTCCGCGCCTCTCTTCTTGAACTTTTCCCCAGGCTAAAAAAGTACATTTTATGGAAAATATTTGGTAACGAGACCCTCGCGTTGAGCGTTTAGTGTACGAGACTATGGAAAACTGTATTTGTGAGATTTTGAGGTGATCAACGGTTTACTACGATCAATTAAATGTAACTTAATTCATGTTTGATTTGATTCCGCCTAAGAGCACAAAATTTTACTATATGTTGATTTCTCTTGGAAACGAGACCAGATTTCTCCAAAGCTCGTAATATACATCTAGACGTCGAAGCCTCGAATTATGCAATTATCACCCATATCGAGGGCTACAGGTACATATGGAAATATTTATGTGAAGAATTGGAGCGATCTTCGCGTCAAGAAAATCAACTTAGGATTTGAACAGAGCCCCAAGGAATCAAATCAACTTCAGAGGTTTCTATAATGAACAGACCGTTTCTCTGGTGATAAACCGCAGATCTATGATAGGCCAATTCTGTTATTTTGTTTCTCTTTCAAAAAAAACCCATATATAAAAAGACGCGTGAAATAACATGATACGGATTACGTATATATATATATATATATATCCGTAGGTGCGACCCAGAAAATTTCTAAACTTTCCGCCAGCCGCTTATTTTCTGCGGCCGAGTCCCACCGTGAAATCTCGAACCTCACCGAACGTTCAAGACATGTAAGTTGATGCATTATTCCTAAAGAGTTGAGCTCCAACATGAGTTTGTAAGAGAAGGCTAGCTGATGAGTTCCATGTAATTCAAAGTTTTAAATATTTTCAGACTTTACAGCTTCCACTGGAACTCACCTGTGGCAAGGGAAAGCCTTTCTCTGCAAATATGACGGCCAATTTGCATACTTTTACCCTTCGCCACGCCGCTTAAGATGTGAGTATCTACGATCAATGCAATGAACTTCCCGGATGTACTCTATGACCATGCTAATTAGTAATCTGCATTCTTAGGCTTTGAAATGCTACCAGTATGCTTCTAAAGCTTATGGCCGGCCATTTTTCTCCCGGGTCCCGTATCCCTTATGTCGGTCCACGAGTCCTGAGCATTGCTCAGTATACCGCTTCTGCCATGAACGGCCCCCGAGGCTTTACTCTTCTGAAACCCGCCGCCAAATGTGTAGGCCTTCGAGACAATATATCGTATATAGTGATAGGAACTCCCACTATAGACACTTTATTACAGGAACGCAAGCTGAGAAGTGTCTTACTAGACACAAATATATTGTCAAAAAATATTGGCGGTGTGAGAACCATACCATTTTTTTGGATGGGTCTGGGTGGTCTCGTAAGGTCTGGGTACGAGACAAAACCAAACCTCATGGTTCGATAACTTATTACCCAACACCAAGATGGCTACCTGCGAGTATAATATTCGGGGGAGTTTATCAAGCTCCAAAGCAATCAGGGAACAGTCTTATGCGGGTGTTCGGAGGGAGCTTAAAAAATTGAATATAAGCATCCTTCCGGGCCCATGTGTTGGGAAAAGGAGCGCAAAGCTTTCGTGCCGTGCACTTTGAAAAGAATACGCGCACCATCAGAGCGGTGAGAAGACCGCAGCTGCTACAGGGATCGAGAAGGAAATTATGAGTACGAATTCCGAACAAGTTAAATAATTTTATGCTTAAGAAGGGATTAAAAGCCCCCGCTAACGACGAGGTATATCTTGATAGGTTGGCGGAAGAGACTATCGAGGAGCGGGTATGACTTGGCCTTGCCTTTCTAACTAACGATAAAGCATTCGTTGACGACTTCGGTTATGCGGTGCATAAGATAAGAATCACAACGTATATTATCCCGCAATCTTGGGTTGATGAGAGCGCTTGGGAATATCTCTTATATAATTGTGCCGAATAGTTAGCATCAACTTGCACATGTTTTCATCTATGGAAACTACCCAGCAATAAGTCAAGGGGTCCTGCAGCATATGTAAAAACCTTTGCCGTTTTTCTGACCTCCAAAAGAGGATCCATTCATGCTTTTTTCGAAACTCAGGATGATATCGGATGGAGCTGGATTTTTGACAGTGAACCGTGAAGTCGGTTGACAGCCGGGGAAGGAGCCAGCACTTTGGTTTGAAGTATAAAAACCGTGCTCAACAAAATATGGACGCGAGATAGGTCTTAAACAAGGGCATTGAGTTAAATTTCCAACTTAATAGCGGTCCGCCTATTTGATTCTCTCAGCAGCTCATATTACCTACTAAAGCTCTCGTTAGTAAATCTTTGACCCAGAAATCAAAAGTCCTTCATCATATTTTTTGCTGTCCAGCTACCCGACCCCGCCCCGGTGGATACTACGCCGAGGCACAAAATTCGCCTGCACAGTTATTGAAAAGTACCGGTACCTACAACCTAAGAAGCTTCTTCTCAGAGAAGGTTAGAGTTTTCTCGTCGCCAGACTCCTCAACTGTGAGGTTAGAGCCGGATTCATTATCGCACCCATGGCTCCAACTCCCTAATAGTTCAATTAGCCAATTCCATTCGTCACACTGGGCTTTTTCCACACAATCTTAGTGGAGTCCCAAAATACTGACATAAGTTCCTATAAAATTGTACAGCCAGATCCTAAAGTCGACTAGTCCCCGTAGCAAGTATAAATCCTTCCATATGCCCCATGCTTTTACGTCATACATACATAGATACTGGTCTCGTTCCCAGATAGATACAGTCTTTAGCTATTTAGGTGGCCATTAATAACTCTATCTCGAGTGCTCTAGAAATAAAGCTGAGTAAACTCATTTTCGTCAACTGCCGTGTACATGTAGAACTTGAACTTCACACTAGAAGGTCAATAAAAGGCGTAGCATGCACAACATACTTTCCAGCTATTCCATGGTTGCGCGCCGAGTTTCAAAGGGCAAAAGTCGCCCGAAGCACGGTTCCCGTCGAAATTTCCGCCGGGGATACAACCAGACTAGTGTTCTTGCTAGAATGAATGCTCAAACTTCAATTCTGCAGATAATTTGTGGGTTACAATGCACTGAAGGATGCACCAAAAATTCAGGCGTCGCGGTGTTCGTGTTTGGAATCATATTTTAACTTCTCTAGTAATATCTGTCAAGAATTGAACAATGGACTCGTGTTCAAATTGTCGTGCAAGTGATAGCGGTGTATCCCCGTTTTTGTCTGTTGTTCTCCAGTTTCCTCCTTTTCCTACCAACAATTTAACAGTACTTTCTCTTCCATTCATTGCTGCAATTGATAGTGGCGTTCGAGACTGGTTGTTTTTACTTTCGAGATTAGCCCCACTGTGGATCAGTAGCTCGACAATCTCCACATGACCTCTTCGTGCTGCGATCGATAGAGATGTCCGGCCGCCTTCAGTTTTGGTTTCCAACGATGCCCCCTTTATGATCAGGAACTCGACAAGACCTTTGTATCCGAGGTGGATTGCAGCCATCAAAGGCGTGAAGCCGTGTTTGTCTTTGGATTGTATGTCCACACCTGATTCGACTAGATTTCTGACGATACGTTCGTTTCCATTCATTACCGCATAACGGAGCGCTATTTGTCGCTTGTAAACATCTTTTAAACCCGCAACCTTCTCTATTAACAGCTTGGTGATGTTTCCCCCTTCTATCAATATTGCGTGTGACATTAAGTTGGTTGCTTCGTGTACGTCTAGATCCTCTACATTCTCTAACAGCAGTCTAAGAATCTCTTCCCTCCTTTGTAAGGCGATCAACAATGCTCCCATTTCAAAACCCGCCTTGCGTAGCTTACGAACTGCCTTATATGCCTTATATGCCTTATATGCCTTATATGCCTCGTCTACCGCGATCAACAAGGGTGTCTGTCCTTCGTGGTTCTGAGCTTTTAAATTGGCTCGTTGTTGTATTAAAAATTTGATTGCACCTCCGTACCCGTGACGGACGGCGGTGAACAGTAGTGTTTCTCTGGCGTCCGGGCTCCGCATTCCCTTCAACAGCAACGTAGCTATATATTCACCCTCGTTGTCGAATGCTGCCGACACGGTACTAGCCGTCACGAGCGCCCCCCTTTCTAATAGTATTTCAACACAGCCTCGGTGTCCATTCTTTGCTGCGATTAAAAGTGGCGTTCTGCCTGTACCGTCTTTGGCTTCAAGGTTCGCCCTCCTGGCCAGCGCTCTAACAACGGCCTCGTACCCGCGTCTTGCCGCGAAAAATATCGGGGTTTCACAATTATGGCCATGATGTTGTTCCAAATCTACCCCGGCATTTACCATCAGCCCGATGACTCCTTCGTGTTGAGCTTCTATCGCGAGCCATAATGGACCTGACCCTCTGAACGGATTCTGAATCGACACCACAGTGAAGTTCAAATCTACCCCCCTTTCAATTAGTTGCTTCATGGTATCCTCATACCCGTATCGCGCAGCGATACATGCTATTGGGGGGTACTGCCCCTCAACCTCTACATCCATCATTCTTTCTGTTAACAATCGCGTAATCCCTTCGTGTTCCGCCTTAATTGCAGCCTTTATGAGCGTTGTATTAAACCGATTCTTGATACTCACATCACCCCCGCTCTCTATCAGCAATTTGGTGACCGTTTCTCTCCGGTTGGATATTGCGACGTATAAGGGCGTTTCATTATATCTATCTTTGGCTTCCAAGTTCGCTCCTCCTTTAATCAACAACTCAACAACATCCTTGTGCCCGCCTGCCGCCGCCAACGACAATGGCGTCTGGCCGTAGTTTTCTTTAGCCTCCAAGTTCGGCCGCCTCTCCGCCAATAGTACACCCACTGCCCGGGTTAACCCGTAATACGCTGCGACATGAAGCGCTTGCATTCCGTCTATACGGTATCTCCATCGGAGCGAGTTTGGCTGTTCAGTGAGAAGCGGAACTTGGACGCAGGCTAAGCGCAAGTTGTCGTTAAGCAGGAGATGTAGTATCGAGGATAGGGTCTCGGTTCTCTCGGGGGACGATCTTCGAATGTGGTAACCGATGTTATGTGCCGCATATATGTAGAGAGCATTTGACTGCACCCTTTCTTCTAAGCCCTTTTCGTCTAAACAAGGCCCGGACTTAAAATTGTCGTACGATAAATATATTATGGATGTTTCCGCAAGATAATCATGGGGATTGGAAAACCAATACTGTTTTGTTCGATCAAAATACTCTTGTGCTGTATAATGAATTAATCTGACAATATTACTCTCTTTGTCGATTGTAACGAGCCCGAGACACGGCGAAATGAGATCCTCAATATCAGAGATGTTATCGTTGTCGATTCCTGTCGGCGCCTCGGGCTCGACTGCAATGGCGTGCTGCAACTCCGCTTTTGTAAGACGCCTCGATGCGCAAGCTATCCATGCCAGGACTTTAAGTGTCGTAGCTGATTGCTTGTCATTTCTGCGGATTCTCTCCATAATTGATCTGTATGTACTATCGTATGCACTGTTCGACGCTGTTCCGCCACTACCAAAGCCGCCCAATATTTGCCTTATCGCCTTTAACGTTGTCATCCCTTTAATCGCTTCGAACTGTAGATGGGCTAAGAGAAACCTGTATAATAGGCGGTCAGTCAATAAAACTGGCGGAAAATGTATTGACATTCAAAATCATCGTAATCGACGACGTACATTCCCTGAACAAGCCCTGAAATTCTGTTTTTAATAATCTCCTTATTGGATTTTATAGCATTAGTCCCGAGTCGCAAGATCTGACCTTCCAAATATAATCGAACGTCCCCATCAGAAGCCCGTATTTCGCATTCTGTGTATGTTTCTTTTCCCTTAAATTTATCCTTAATATCAGGGATAGGCCGTGAGGTCGCGAAGATGCCTAACTGTTGAAGTTCGTGGATTTCGAATACTTTCTCGAGGAACTCTGAACGCTCTTCGTATTCGTCGAGCGCGTCTATGATAATGAAGAATCTAGAGTATGCTGCAGAAATAGCGTGGATAGAATCCATGATTTCTGCTCGGGACGGCCGACCACCGCCCCTGTAGCGATTATAGAGCTGCCGTATGTATTTTGGTAACGTATTTTGGATACGCAGTAACTGTTTAAGCAGGTTCGACAACAGATCGTCGATACGTAGATGTGCACTTCCTTGAAAATTAAAGTAAATATATGCGATCCCAACGGCCGGATCGTACGAGTACCGGTCTAGTAGATCATTAATAACAACCGATGTCAGAATTGTTTTTCCCGCTCCAGGGATTCCTGGACAATATAGTATTGATTTCGGTGTGTGTAACCAGTTTTGATACTTAGAAGAGTTCAAAAACCAATTGCCGGTTCCTGGCTGCCTTCGATTAAAGAAATCGTTATGTTGGGCGCTATCGTCTATTGGGGTTATCCATTCTAGGATTTTACGCTCTTCGTCCCCAGCTAGGCTACCCCGGAGTATCGCAATTTCGTTGACGACTATTCGTTGATGTTAGAATTCCATAACTTTGCTAACGGGCAGCATTAAACCTGAGATAAACCAGCTCAGCCTCAGCCTCGCCCCCGACTAACGTCTAAATCCAGCTAGACGGCCGGGGTTCAACCTTAAAAAAGAAAGGCCGGAGTGGAAGACCTCACTTTATAAAGTCTAGGGGCGAGACCGGGCCAGACCGGGGCTCGAGATTATCTCAATGGTACTCAATACTCACCTCTATCAAAGTCTTCTCTGCTAATTTGAATTTCTCTCGCTGCAGCTGGCTCGATAGAGGTTATGAATTCTTTGGCACATGCAGCTGCCACTGCAGCGGCATACTCTTGCCAATCATCATTTTTATTCGAATCAGCATAATCACAAATACCACGTATCACCACAGCAGGAATTCCCACCAACCCTGCAGCTTCCATTTCCAAACAGAGAACCTGACCTTCGAGACGCTTGTTGATATCGTCGCGCACTTTTGCATCTTTTACGACTTGGTTGCCTGACGCAATCAAGCCGTAATGGATTCTGATGTCCTCGGGATTTCTGTTTAACGTAGACTGCGATTTTTCTGTAGCGTCTGGTCTGAGACAATACTCAGATGCTAAATGTGGGCGTTCCATCCCTAAGTTTTGTATATATTCAGGTATCTGGGTGTATCCACGCAAGCTATGCTCGGTCCGAATCTTCGACATGACCGAAAGTAACTCGTCCGGCGGAAAACATTTTCGACCCGTATGTTCGAATACGCCATCCCCATTCACTTTTCCAAAATCCCATTGTGCCCATTCAGTACCCACAACCACGTCTCCCAACTCCACTTTTGTCGGGATTCCAGCTCCTATCCCAACCATAAAGGTAATCTTAATCGAAGGAAAGTTATTGAGCATTTGAGCCGCAGCTTTAGCAGTTCTATTGGTGCCATAGCACTTAAGAGGTAAGCATGTTATAACCACATTATGACGCCCGATAGAACCGAAAAAATAAGCATTTGTGTCGTTTGGCGATTTGTATAGCTTTGGATCCGAATGACGTTGATCTAGCATCGGCACTGCTGCTATTTGTTCTTTCGGTAGGGCACATATCCATCCTATGGTATATTCCTCGCGGGTTTTGGGGTGTATTGACATTGCAGAGTCCATGTTTATCGCGTGGAAGCTACTCTCGATATGTGCCGAATTCTCGTCTCAAAGTTTGACTTTGATAGGCTGTTGCGTCGAGCGAAATAGTTTTTCGAAAATAGCCCGCGTTCTACTGAATATCTTCTTGAAAGTTTAGAAATATTCAATCGCCTCTGTTCGTAAGGATGAAGTATATAGAAGGAAGACAGAATATTAATTCTGATGTCAGGCTGCGCTCAGATGCTGTAGGATCGAAGTTCCGAAGCGGGGCTGTATGTTAAAAGTTTAAGCCTTCCCCAAAACCCCAAGCTGATGACCCAAGTTTTCCCCTCCCCTCACGAGATAACCTATCATCCCACATAGAAATTATTGGCCAAGCTAGTTTCCATCTGTCCCATATGCCAGTCACCCTCGCCAACATGCATGGAGGATGCTTGATGTGTTGTCCGTACATACTCCCGCATATGAGCCTAGCTATCATGGGCTATCATGGGCTATCATGGGCCCTTCAATGCATATGAACTGATTGTTGGGAGATGGAAATTGATTGAAAACTCGCGGGTGCTCGGGCGATAGCTCCATAGCGTCCTGCTCCACTTTTACCCGTGCCGACATGCGACTTTGGGCGAATATTAATGTTGGGGCTCGCTTTTGGCCGGAAGTTTGGATGACTTTTTTAACTATCTGATCACGGATACTTCGACTTCATAGAGAGGCGACTTTCTAATTGCGTATTTGGCGGTACGGCAACATATCAGCTTCTCATGTAAATCTTTAATATTCTCTAAACTTAAAAAAGCCCCAAAATTCTCAAAGTCCCTGGACTTTTCACTTGGGTGAAGATTTAAGAGAATTGGTTCGCGGCCATAGCTTAATTAAAAAATTGTCAGTCCAGAGGGGTCCAGAACTGAAATGATGCATCGGCAATATAAATATATGACATTTTCTAAAATCTTTCGAGCATTTTCGACAAAATCATCAATTTTATCTGTATCCTCCGCCGACTTAGCCTTAAACAATTGACTTGTCCATTGATCCTAGAGAATCTTTACGGGTGCGTGCAATCTTCGGATTGATGATTAGTAGCCCGAATCGATCGCTTTGTTATCTTCAAGGATAAACTTATTAAGATTTACATATATACATAAAATAAGTTTTCTTGGAAAATAACTGGAAAGATGATAAATTAATTACAAACCAGGGCGTTTTTGAAATTTTCTAATTTACTATACCGAGTCATGATTCGTTCCTTATTCTCATTTACTAGGATTCAACTCGTTTCCTGTACTACGGACTCGGTGACTGGGCACTTAAAAAAACATCGGTGATTCGTATATACGTGGAACTAACTGAAGAAACTACATGGCGTCCCAAATGTATCAGCAGTTTTTATGTCGATGTTGGATAAAAGAACGGGCCGCCTGATTACTTTTAATCTGTACTTTATCTGTGCTAAGCCATATTAGGCAATTATATATTTTACATTGTAGCTTATTAGTTAGCTTACTGGCTAGCATACTGATTAATTTACGGCCAGCCAGATTAATTACAGGGAGGTGATAGGCGGGTAAGCTATAAGTTGGCTGGTTGGATAGCTAACCACGGTTGTTCGTGGATCCACACGCTCCCGGCTAGCTAGCCTACCAACCAACTTACAAACCAGCAATCTATGAACCAGCAACCTGTAGACCAGCAGTCTGTGAATTAACAATTTGTGAATTACCCTGTGAATAGATTTGGGAACGCCAGCCTGCGGGTCGGTCCCTGGAACGCGTATGGTCAGCCTCACCCAAAATAGATTACCTACCAAAAGTAGTTGAAGGACCCACTGTTTCTTTTCAAGATATAGGTACTACCTAAAGCCTCTGAAACAATTCAGACGTCATAAAATCAGATCGACGTAAATATAAATTCATATTTAGAAAACATATCATAATTCTGAAGGTGAATATAAGATCTACTCAAGAGCATAAGACCTGACATCTCATGAATATAATACTTAATGTTATGATCATAAATAATAGGGGCATATAAATCCTCTATGATTTCCTATTCTCTCTTTTCTCTTCTCTTTGTTTCTTCTCATCCGTCTCGTTCACTGTTTGCCAGTTCTTGGTGAACACCTTCCACTTAATTAAGACATCTTATCACCACGAATCTGTTTCCAATATATCTTTTTTAAAATTCATAAGAGGGTTTAGAAATCGCCTTGACGCCAGAACCAGGTTCTGGCAACCGGCTCTCGCAACCGGCTCTCGCGATAGGGGCATATATGGCCAGCAGGGAAGCCTGGAGCTAGTGGTGAGTGGATATTGCCTTGACTGTCTGACTTGCTCTTCATATTTAGTATTTACATTTTGATAAAAACACCTATTCTAACTTAACCACAGGAATCAACTACATTAATTTACGGATCGGCAATCTGCGAGCCCGTCTCTGCTGTAAACAATTCCGTACTAAGAACCAACCTATACATATCCTCTGAAGCAAAAAGATCCAATACGAAATAAGGGGTTGTAAGATATCGATTAACTGCGCTTGCTCTCCCCTCTTTGCTTCCTTTTAAAAAAAATCAGACACGACCAAACAGCAAAGCCGGCGAAACCATCGGATGAAGAGTTGACACATACAATAACCTCTTTTGAACAGAAGGTGGAGATTAAAGAACATCTTCTTCGTTACAAGCAAGGACCGGCTTTCCGACAAATACTCGGGTTCTTGAAGATATATTTAACTAGTGTCAGGATTAATTGTACTGAGGATCAGCAGAAACAGAGCCATTATTGAGTAAATAGATTAGGAGCAAGAAAATGATTTAAGTTAGAGAAAACATTGAATCTTTCATCAAAAATCCTGGTACATTATATAATATCTGGGTACGAGACAAAACTAGTAAATTAAGTATGAATAATCGTCCGGCAAGGCCAATAATTCCAAGCTACGTTACATTACAAAATTTGGCTCGCTTCGAAAAGGTGGACTTTTGATATCTTAGGTACTTAGTTAGGTGTAGCCTATAATCACATGGTATTGTACCCAAACAACCACCAAAAAAAGTTCCACTATTTTAAATTGAATAATTTAAAATCTCAAGCAGATGAAAGTGACAAAAGGAGAATCAAACGCTTAAACCAAAAAGTAAATCATATTGGTAAAATTGGCAGGAATACTTATCGTTACAAGGAGATTGAGAAAGCTTAATCGGGGCGCTAACTAGTATGGCCGTAGTTTATAGATTAACTTATTGAACTGCTAATTGCGGTTCCCAACATGCAACCGGGACGCTTGACGATATTAATTCGCACATATCTAGATATCTACCCAAGGAATCTTATTTTTAGACAATTTATAATCTTGGTAATTCAACGGCTTGTAAATTGAATTCCAGTCGACGAGCGGCCTAGAAGAGCAGTATAGCGCCCCCCTGATTGGTAATATCTGTGATATAATTTTGAGTTGCAATGAATTAGGCCACCAGCTGCATGGTACCCCGCGATCTTTGAAGATTTCCCGATTAGTCGAACCCTCGAAATCTAGCGTATGTACAATAGTGTGTACGTGCGTGCGCAATCGCCTCCATGAGATGACACCTAATTGACTACGAGTCGGTTTACGAGATAGATTATGAGTGCTCCCTTAAGCCCCATGTTTGGTTTATATAAAACTAAAGAATAGAAATATATAATACAACAGCAATAGCCCATGTTATCTAAGCCGTATATATAGCGTTTATATTTAGAGTCTCCTATATTGATTTCAAAAATCTCCATATACCACTTGTGTTTCCGATATTCGGATAGAGAAGGGTCCCGATAAAATAGAGTATAATTCAACTTTATAAAACTGAAACAAAACTGTCTCAAAACTTCAAATCTCGCATAGTATTGACGAGGGTGTTCTGCAGACCAATGTTTATGGGCGTCATATAAGTTATCCGTCCAACAGAATCACAGCCCGCAGTGAGGAGGCCCACAACCTGAAATCTCTCATTGAACACTAAGCTGCCAGAGCCTCCAGCAGCAGAGAAATCGGCTCCATTCTTGCCGACGACACACCACTCTATAGTTCCCCCCCTATTCTCCTTCAAATTAACGCCGTCTTTGACACCGGAAATGATGCCGAAAGTAACGTCAGTGTTGCGGCTGATTTTAACAACACTTCCATCCTCAACAGGGCCCGCAGTACCCTGGAATTTGACCCTAGCCGTCGAAAGGCTGCTCCACGAACCGAATCCCTTTTCGTGGTCGACCCCGTGTATCTATCATGAGTTTGGAGGAGAAAGTTAGTTTCAAGTTCCTTCTCAAACCCGAAGATGTGAAGTAGACTGATGCACAAGATTGATATTCCTTCCGAGAGGTTGTTCCCCCCCTCAAGTTGTTTATTCACGGTTGGATACGAAGTATATGCGGCCCAAGACAACTTACCATGTTGAGAACGCTTCTTTCGCCTGAGATCTTAAACATTGCCCAATCGATTGAGTTGTTGGGCTTGAATCGATCTTGTACCCAGAGCTAGCGACGAGAGTACCAAAGGTCTATCATACGACTGAATGGTCGCTAAGTCTCTGGAAGAGTCACCACCAGGACGGGTCCAAAATTCGGCAAGTCAGCTCGACAGAAGGATGCTCAGACCTTTGCATTTACTTTTCAGAGCTTCGAGGTTTTCCTCCGCACTTGTGGTTTGCGCGGCGTATGCTTCAACGGTATCAATGTGGCCCCCACAAGGCGGCTGAACGACCTCGATATCACCGTTCTTTGGATCGAACGCAGAATCGTGAAGGCCTAACGCGTGAATGTCAATGTTAGCAAAACACTAAGTCGAAATTCACATCAACTGAATCCAGACTATCCTGCTTCTAATCTTGACCTCCTGGTTTAAAATATTCCTAGCGGTCTCAAACTTGGTATTCTTACAACAATCTGCAAATTCCGACATTGCCCGCGGCAAGAACACCTGCGACTGCACTGCTAATTCTCAACGTGATTCGGAACTATGTATTTTTCTCGGTAACTCTGCGTTCACTAAAATAGATTGTTATGGTTAGTTAGCTGAGAATGGGCCCTGCGGAAGAGAGGGCACTAACAATAAGTAAGAGTTGAGACTCGAAACTAGACTCTCTTGTGGTGGTTGACTATATATCGTGACCGTTTTCAGAGTGGGTGAAGGTAGGTAGTTACGTGTGGTGGGCTGCTCTTAGTTTAGACAAGGCTACTCGTGTTGGTAGCTGATATGATGGTTTTTGTAAGAGAAGCTAGAGCGTGAGGTAAAATGTAGCGGCTATAGGGTCTTTTATAGTACTAGTGTTAGCTGTCATGATAGCAATTATTAATTATTAAATGTTAAATGTTATGTGATCTGCAGTCTGTTGGTAAGAGCGTATCTTACCCAGCAACTACTTAGCTGATTACCCAGCTACATGTGGAACTATCCAGCTACCTACTTAAGTAGCTAGCTAGGTGTTTGGGTACTGACCTGCCTACCCAACTACTGAGCCTGTTAACTGCTGGCGTGCTGGCTAGCCAAATTGTATTAAACTGCACTGAAGAACACCTCGAGAACAAATGAGGATAATTTGATTCACGTATATACACTCTAATTAATGGACTAAGACCAAAAACGTCACGCTCTAGAGAACTATTAACACCAAAATTCGGTATTTCTGCGATCAACTCGCAGAGTAGAGCTCGAGAAGAATTAGATTAATAGCAGTGACAAAACTTGTATATAGGATAGTCTAGTACGAAGTGTGGACCGCGTCTGCAACACAAGACTAAGTCTAGTATTAGATCCAAATATCTTCCTAGGCTATATGATGGTAGTAGGCCGCCTAGATCTATAGACTGTGAGAAATATCTTACTGGGAAATATCTTCCTGGTATCTCTACTAGAACTATACACGCATGCGAATCCGCCGGTTGGATATCTATGAAGAAAATCGCGAGCCAGGTACCACAGATACCAAACACTTGATTTCGCTTCGCAGTAAGTCCTCAGCTCTCCTCCGCTTCGGATAAGATGTTTGCTTCCCATTGTTTTCTCTTTTTAAAGTTTGAACTAGCTGGACTGCTATCTACTATATCTAACCTATTGAATTCATCGCCCACAGAAGTTGTCGTCTCTGATGATGCCAAAATGGGGGACGTATCGTGCTGAAAAGGATAGCCTTTGTTGATATCCTCTAGCCAGGCAGCAACACGTCCGTCACAGGAACTGAGGGACTGATATGGCTTGGTGGTGGTAGCCACAAGTGTTTTGATACTGAGCGATAGATCTAGATGGAAAGCAAGGAGGGAATACGTAATACCATGCATCAGATCGACTGTTTGTTTGCTTTTGGGTGTTGATGTTGGCACAGCGAACATCTTGGGCTGGTACCTCTTTCGTTCATTTAGGATTTCCGTTTTTGGTAATAACCAAAAGAAGTAGTCTGTTGCCTCGATTAGGAAGGATCGTGTTTTTTTTGGTGGTCTTGGTCTCCAAAGTAGCTAGGGCCTCGGCATGACAACATGCAACAGCGGATCCACCTTACAGATATAAATGTCGGCGGCGGTAGACAAATCGAGTAATATTCAGGGCATTATCCGCCTTAAACGATATCTGATCATAGATCATGTCACTAACCCCACCCAGCTCTATCTCAAAGGGTAATAATTGTGGACCCATGAAGGTCTGTCGTAAGTGGGTTTATTCTCTAGCGCTCAAAGGGATCATGGCTAAGTGGATCTTTCAGCTGAATGTTGGTTTTTCAAGGGCTACGAATAGACCGTCGCCGGATCATAAAAGGGCAGGCTTCTGCCATATTTGCTTTAACTTCTTATCAAGATTGGCATACAATCGGTGCATACATAAATCTCTCTCTTGGAAAAAATGCCGTCTGGATCAGTCCGCATATTCGCCGGCGCCGTCTTGTGCGCTTGGGTAGCTAATGTTGCTGCCACTCCAAAACCAAACGCATGTCATGCTAACAATTGCTTGAGGGGTATGATGATCCAAAACCCCACATAGGTCGATATCTAAAGGTCGAAGCTGATGAGATATATCGTAAATAATAGCATTGAGAAGGCTAGCGAGTAAAAGTTATGATCGGGTTTCCGCTGATTGCTCAAAATACGTTTGGACAACAATGACAGAGGCCGCTCCAGCGTAGGTTCACCTCACGTAATCGTAAGGTTATCTCAATATTTAACAAATCCCATACTTTAGCACTGTAACCGAAATATCGACTGTGACCGAAGTCGAAATCACAGAAGCCATCGAAACTATCACGGAGACCTCTTACGAAATCGTCACATCAACTGCAGCCGCTAGTACAATCCTCGTTACCGAGACGAACCCGGATCCACATGCTGCAGTTACCGCCCGAGACCTTGATCCCCGTAACTGTGCATCGACAGTAAGCCCAATTCCAACATATGCTTCTGCCTGCACAAGCGCTGCAGGCTATGCTAGCGCCTGTTCATGCTTTGGAGTACCAGCAAGCGTTTCTACTGTTGCTCCACCAGCCGCGACAATAGTAGAAGAGATTACCACAACAATCACCACGGTATCCTCAGCAGTAGTCCACTCTACCACCACCGAGACCTCGACATCAGCCGTTGGTGGAGTCGTCGAGTACGCTGCGTTTTCTCTCGCCGTCACCGAGACCGGTCCAAACTTTCCTCACGAGTGGAACCAGCCTGGAGAAACTAAATTATACATAAACAGTGATTCTGTATGGCGAGTTAGAAGCACTCCTGGGACATCAATGATCCTCCAGGACGATAGGAGAATGTATGTACCATATCATGGCAAAAGAGCTTACTATTATTGTCGACAAGCATACGACGACTGGACCGAACAGGATCTCCCGGGAGCCATGTCTTTTTCGCCTTCACCACCTGGGTCTTTTTTCTCCCTAGGCCAGGATGTCACTTGTAGTTGGGGCGAGGATAAAATCATTAAGTGTACGTCGCTAAGCAGTGTCAAGCAAACTCAGTGCCCGATGGAACGGGCTGCACGGGTTGGATCGATCCTAATGATGCGCCAGTTTGGACTCAGTGGAAGAAGAAGCGTTCTTTGAGATTTAAGTAGATATTTGTTTAAAGAATCGTAGGTGTACCATTTCGTATTCTAGTACACGCTACTACCTTGCAATTGGTCTGGAGGCATATAATATTTAATAATTAAAGCTTTTGAGAAAATTTAGTCTGCCATTAAAGCGGTTTGCTTTGCTAGGGAACCGTGTACCAAAACATTTTTGTCCAGAGACACCGTATTATTTGTCAGCCATGAAACCAAAAGAAATAGGTATATTATTATGACGTGAAACATAACAGTGACTTCATAGCCCTACGAAGCCTATCACTCAGAATTTGAAGTCCCAAACTTCAAAAGCTGCGGATTGATCACAGAGCGCAACGATCCGGAGCGCCCGGAACCCGGAATAGTGCGGCGAGACAAACCACCGACCCACCCGAAAGTACCATACCTCGGACATAGGCTCTTGACAAGGTCTTATCTCCTCTCCCACAAATATATCATATACATCAGATCTATACTAAGCTCTCCGGATCTCTCTAGCTCTAAGCCGACTAACAACTGTTCCGGGGTGTTTCTTGGCGGATATGAATTTCGACTCTGCTACAGCAGCTACTTACAAACTTAAAGTTACATGGCCACGGCAGCCTTGATGTCTTAATCAGAGTTCTCAATGAGCTCCTAAATGAAAAATCGAAGTTACAAAAGTATGGAGAATATCGGTCTTAGTATATGGAGAATAGTATCCAGGAAATCTACCGTCACCTTTGCTTTGTATTCTGGGCCAATGTACAAGCAATCCTCCCCCTTTCAAAATTCATCCTGGCCCGAATGACAGGGGGGTTCAGAATACCACATAGTATTGTGTTGCGCTCCAAGAAATCCATTGCCCAGCCGACCGACAGTATCATCATAACCCATGAGTATGGTCAGTCTCCAATAAAATGGAGAATAATTTAGTAAGTCTTCAGGGTCTGAGTAACCACGAATATGATGACAGCCCAAAAACAATATCCTTCAAAACACTCTTTCAAAAGAACCCGTGAATGGATCCTCGTGACCCCCTCTTAGCACTCTACAAAGCCTATACCGACCCACAGATGGCTCAGTCCTCCAAGAGCGTTAACGCAGTTTCCCCACCCGCCGACGTAGATACGAGTCTACCACCTAATGATACCGACTTCATAGGCCCAAAAGCCGAGAGTTCACTCGTTGGCTCTGCTGCTGTCGCGACTGGTGATGGTGCCGGGGCATCAAGAGAGTCAACCCCTAATCCGACGGCTATGTCCTGTTACATTGCTCGACAGATATTTTATGCGAATGCGATCACCGTACAGACTGTCTTTACTGACAACACTGAGGATGGTAAGAATATCTGCCTATTAGCAGTTTCCATTTTTGAAGAATCGGTTCACTAAGTTGGGAGATTAGACGTTCTTGATGAACTAGTCTTCCGTATCTTCTCGACCACGAATCTATCGCACTTGCTCAATAAAATTGAACGCTATCGAGGTCTGCCGAGGGATAGTTGTGTGTTTTATCATCATGGTAGACGGGTTGTGAGAGGAATGGATTTGCCATCTGGAATGGTATGCCTTATTCCCACGTTCAAAATTTGTCAAGTTTCTGGTGGATAACTGACGACTGAAGATAGTACTTCTATTGCTGTCGCAACTTCATCATTAAGTTGAAGGCTCACGTTAGAGGTGGGGCGTGTACACGCAGTTTTAAGCGGTTTTTGAAGGCCCAGGATTACAGGAAAGGGATGTTCTATTGAGTTTTTGTTTTCTTGTACTACTGTTTAAGAATTCCAGAGTTCTGTCTTTTGTTCGAAGTTTTCAGTCTTTTGAATAGCAATACCACCCAATTCGCAAGTGTGGCTACACTCTGATGCAACTAGATCGCTCTGTGTCGTGTGATAGCAAGTATATATGATACCTGTAAGAGGGCTGGAAGCTCTCACAACTTGCTATAATTGAGAGTATATAAAAACATGAAAACATATAGTTTAGCTCGGCTCTTTTGGCTGAACGGTCCTATCATGGACGAGTATCGCAGAATGGGATTAGGGTGGGGATAATACCTTATTTCCGGGCTTCGGGCCATTCGGTGGTCAATTTGCCTCCACACTCAGATCTGACGAACAAAGTTACAATTTCCTTTTACCTTTAGGCCTCCACTCAAGCAATGCATTAATTTAGCACTAGTACAACCTGTATATTTGCAAAGTCGCGGATCTAAAATATAAATAAGTGACTGTTTCGCTGTTCAGATTGCTGGTTTTGATATCATTCACAGCATCAAATCATCAGCACTAACCTACCTACCTACGTAAAGCAATCTTTCGGTTACTATTATTTCTTGTTAAGCTTCAATTATTCACGTCAATATCGAAACTATGCCTTCCAACTTGAAAATCGTTTTCGGCGGCATGTCTCTAGGCAAAGAGGGCACCGAAGTCGCTCGCGTCCACTCCATTGACACCGCAGCTGCTCTTCTCGACATCTTCGTCGCTCATGGACACAATGAAATTGATACAGCTCGTATCTATGGGTCAGGCACTAGCGAGGAGTACTTCGCTACACTAAAATGGAAAGATAGGGGTTTGATCATGGACACCAAACTCTACCCTACCGCTCGGATCCCCGTGCCTCTGAATATTCCCGAGTCCATGACTTTTACTCATAATCCCGAAGATCTACGAAGGGGGTTGATGGATAGTTTGAAAGCTCTTGGGACGGATAAAGTTGATTTATTTTATCTTCACGGACCAGATAAATCCGTTGACTATGAAATCACACTCCGAGCTGTGAATGAACTTTATTTGGAAGGACACTTCTCGAAGTTTGGGATTAGTAACTTCGCCGCTTGGGAAGTTGCGCAGATTTGTGAGATGTGCGATAAGAATGGATGGATTAAGCCTTCTGTTTACCAGGGGGTGTATAATTGTTTCATGCGTGGTGTGGAAGCAGAGCTGGTCCCCTGTTTGAGAAAATATGGAATTTCCCTATATGTTTTTAATCCTCTTGCTGGCGGTCTTTTGACGGGCAAGTATACCCGAGACACCGAGGTTGTTGAAGCCGGATCCCGCTTCGATACCAAGTCATTCGCAGGTAAAATGGCAAGACATAGGTACTGGAACGAATATTTCTTCGGAGCTTTGGAAAAACTCACCCCCGTGGCTGAAAAGAACGGGTTGACTGTCACGGAATGTGCACTTAGGTGGTTAGTGAACCACTCTAACTTGAAAAGAGAGTTTGGAGACGCCGTTATTGTTGGGGCGAGTAGCACGAAGCATTTGGAAGAGAACTTGACGGATTTGGAGAAAGGAGAGCTGCCGGAAGAGGTCGTCAAGGCTATTGATGAGGGGTGGGGAGTTGTCTCTGGCGTACCCTTCAAGTACTTTCATTAATTGAACTACTCAGGTCTTGAAGATAGTTTATCCCAAAACTAGTTTTACTCTAGGATATTACAACAAGTTTCGAATCGTATTGCATTGATGTCTTTCGTTTATTCCTGGTTTATACGCTTTCTCTCGACGCTTCCTTACTTGTACAATTGCGGGCCACTATCTATCTACTATTATGGTAGAATCAATGTCATTTTACATTGCGCAGTACATGGCCTTAGACATGTCCATCACACCGACTTCCCTTTCTCAAGCTTTTCAAGATATTTCTCGAACTGAGGAACCCACGAGCTCGTAAAGCTAGGATCCGTTAGCCCACGATAGTACTGGTAAATCCTCTCCCACGCCAACCAAGGGTTATCCTTCATCACAATCTGAGTAAGTTCATCAAATGGCCCGGTTCCATCGATATAATCACTGCCCGCCTTAGCTATCACCCATAAAAATAAGAAGATCAGAAAATAAGATCCCCTCCGTGCGAATCGTGCAAGTTGTAGCTCTGTCTTTGGTACAGGTGGGAACGCAATTTTCCAGGCCAACCATCGTGTTACCCTTGATGCTCTCGTGAAGAGCGGTTCGGCATGACAGAAGACCAACCGCAATGAGATGACGATCACTATCGCGCATTGAAGGATAACCAAGAGGGATAGGTACCCTAAGACCATTATCAGTACCTTAATTGACTCCCTTACTAGTATTTTAGGTCCCATGGTCAAGAACAAGCAGCCAAGTAGTGTAAAAGCCCAGGTGCTGAACATGTACTTGAAAATGAACTTAATTGGGGCCAATCCGGATGCCCAAACGGCTTTAGAGTCGTGTTCGAGATCCGCTTGAGCAGCCTTGAAGTTCCAAAAGGGACCTGGTTTCCCTCTTCCGTAACTACGTCTTTGATACTTGCAGAACTTGCAGAAGCAATCTCTTTCCAACCATGTGAATTCTGTTGATAGAATATCGTGCATTTCCTGTTCTCTAGTCATTGGATGCTGTATTGGATTCCTCATTGTTCTTCTCTTCGTCCCGGCGTATTGACTATGCTCCTTCGCAATTGTTCTCAAACATTTAGTAACCGCATCATCCAAGGTTTTGTCCTCATCCGCAAAATGGATGTATAGCCGGTACACCTGTCCCAAAAATGTAGCATAGTCATCAATACACTTCAAGACATTCGCCGTAGAGAGAATCTGACAAATATGAGTTTTCAGACTTTGAATACCCCATTCATCAGCGCAGGAATAGACGTCAGAACAGGCTCTTAGTGTTTCGATATCATCTGCGCCTCTATACCCGAGATATCTAGCTGCGCAGAAATCGAATGTGATTTTTGCGGCATGAGCTGAAAGTTGTGGCCACGAGGAAATCTCTTCGTTAAAATCTGGGGCGTAAAGATTGAAGTTTTGAGCACGTATTGTGAATTTGGTACGGTCTGGGCCGAGGAAGAGGACGTAGCGATCACAGCGTGAGCCATGTTGGGTAGATCTTCTACTTCGCAGATTTAGGTTGGAAAGTTGCAGCGATAAGTCTGATAGCTGACGACCGGACATTTCTATAAGTGTCAACCCGTGGATATTATACCGTGTAAAGTTATATTCCCGCGAGCGATAAATTTAAACCAGAGCTCTTCGTTATAGAAACTATGAAGTCAAGTGTATAGCTGAAAACTGAGTGAAACCATGGCAAAGGTGCATTCCTACCACTAGCTTTCGAAGCTTGACGGTTCAAATTGGTATATTGTTTCAAAAGATCTTTCTCAAAATTTACGGAGAATCGTTCGCTACGAATACTATAGAAATCGATATTTACTGTACTGGCGGAGCACGATGAAACAATTACTCCTTTGTCCACTCCATATTTCGAAAAATTCAAGGAGCGACACTAGAAATCTGCGAGCTGTGTGATAAAAGTATTGTGACTGCGAAAAAGTGTGTCTATATAGTGTACGAAAGCTTGAACTTTTAGCGTGGGGCAGTTAAGTTTTCAATAAGATTTCGTGCAAATAATGCCGCCCAGGCTAGTCCCAGGATTAGCGACATTGCAGCCTCGAGGCCACTGATATTGACACATCTCGGCCTAGAACCTGAATGCATATAGATATGTTAACATGTTGAAGCCGGTATGTATATAATATATATTTTATAATTAGCTAGCAAAATGGTTTAATAGGCACTAAGAGTCTCCAAATAATACGTATCTCGAAAGGTCTGTGGCATAATTAGTGTGGTGATACTTTCGAGTCACATAGTGCGTGTGATCACATCACCATCCTAACAGCGTTCACCAGTGCAATTAAGGGCGATTTTTTCCCAGATACCCTTTAGTCTCGGAAGGTAGTCTAGTTGTTAGACGGCTTGGCCACCCGTCTAAACTAGACTACTCGGAAGGACTATTTTAGATGTTCAGCCCTCATACTCTTAATTTCTTCCCAGTCGCTGTTTTTTTGTTTCGATAAAACGATATGTCATGAGCGAAGATCCCTATGAGTTACACCCGAAAAGGAATTGTAATTCCCACGTGGGTTGTCGATGTCCACATTTTATTCTATAATCGAAAGATTACTTAGAGAACAGACATCAGAGCTGTAGATCTATTCCTGTATATCAAGGATATATCCGAGATCGTCGAATCAATGAAATAGTTAAATATATATTCCTTGAGACTATATAATAAACCCAGGGAACCCTTTGGTCACGCTTTTCACTCTGCTAACTACACAATCCTCGATAAAAAGCTAAACCTAAGACTTTCCTCCATACCCACAGCCATTCTTTCAACATGGGCAACGATTGCACTTGCGGTATGAAATTGAATTGCCATTCCTAATATGCCCAAAGTTTTCCTGATTTCATGACTGACTGAGTGAGATATACAGATGAGTGCCGTATTTTCATGACAGCAGTCGGAAGCTGCTTTCCGAAATTCAGTATTTGCATCTCCGAGGAAGAAGCCAAAATAGCTGAACCGTATAATGACAGATTAAAAACATACCCGAATGACAAGTCAGTTTATCCCGCATAGAGCGTCTCTTTTACTTATTCATATTTAGGTATCGCTGACAGATCCATGTTCACCTTCAGGTCTGAGTTTATCACTATATTGATCGGAGAGAAAGATGCTACCGGAGCGTATAAAGAGAAATACCTCCTACGCAAAGACACTTGCATGGCAAACTCCGAGTACTTTAGATGCGCTTTTAGGTCAACAATCGACGGCCTAAGCCGCAGTACATGGCGCGAAAGTCAAAGTCTAATTTTCCACTTCCCCAAGCTACCGCATTTCAACATGATAAAAAGAGCAATACTCAGCGGCAGAGTCACCGTCGACCCCACGAACTTCGTAGAACTTTACGAGACAGCCGACTACCTTCTCATGAGGGACACAATGTATCTTATCTGCAGTCTCATCTCACGACCGTCATTCATCAAGAATATACATGACCTTAACAGGTGTCTCACCCGCTTGGTGGAATGGATGGAGGCATGGCCGCAGCGACCTTTGGTACAACTAGGATTCTTCCGTGCCATCTTCTTCATAGAGCTTACAGCTGCGATAAAAAGATCCAAGGCGGCACGGGGATGTCGGTTATTAGGTGGTTGGGAGGACGCTCCACGTCAGTGGGGTCTTAATCCACTAAACCCTCGGCGTCATAGGGAGGAGTCAGATACTGAGATACCCCCTGGTGCGATACCGGAGCGATATAATAGGTTGAAGAAACTTAGGGATTATGTCAGGAAGCACTTGAGGGATTCGGAGAGTTGGTATATAGAGGATATACGTTGCGTGGAGTGTGGCGGTGGTGGGTTTCGATAAGATCTATATAGATATGGTTAGTAGATTAGCTGCACGCATGTACATATGTATAGTTAAATACTCTTATATCTGGGGTCGGTGATCTACAGAGGTCATTTTCAGGAATTCTTTAGAATAAAATCCTAAATTTAGCATATATAGGAAAGTTTTCCCAATCTCCGGCATTGCAAAAAATGTTTGAATCCACTATATTTGATGATCTGTATTTATTTCGTAAACCAGAATTAATTTCTGCTGCGTCTGCATCAATAACTACGGATTGCTCGGGTTTTATTCTACGGCTTAAGCGACCAAAACAGAAAACCCAAACCAGTTTAAATCACATGCAGTGCTTTCACATTTTGAGTATTGGATGATCACCGAGAAATATTAAATGGCACTCTGTCGACTGGTCGTGGTCACATAATATGGCTGCAATTGGCATGTTTTGGAGCCAGTCTGTTAACCTTATAGCTTAATGAGTTTGAAAATTACAAGGAAATAGAATTCACGATGATGAAAGCCAAAAAATGGTTGTCTACCCATTATTCTACGAATAACTCAGATAAGAGGCTGCAGCCTCTTTATACTTTATCAAAGCGTTTTGAAATGTTTATCTGCCCATGACTCCGAATTCTTTCTATTGGTTTGTAACGTAGAGTGTCTAGTTATATGCTAGTATTCTACTTATTCCAGCTCTTTATTCCTCTATTTTGAACGCCAGGGTTAAATCAGTAGGAAGAGATCTTTAAGAAAAAAAGAGATGCGTCAAGGAAACTCTAGCCAGTAGATAATCCTCCCAAAAATGACTCCACAAACTCTTCTTTGCGATTATTTAGTATCCTGACAATAATTACTCTCCATTTGAAACTACTCCTTTTCCTGAGGATACTTATTGCGTGCTTGTTCCAGCTCCACTATCAATGTCAACGAGTTCGGCCTCAATCGTTTTGACTCCTTGACCTGGAGGTCCTGGTGGAATCAACCCGCATTCATCGAAGCTCTTCTTCGTATCCAGGAAGACACCGTTGATATCTTTATAGGCAAGCTTTTTCGTTGGATCCGTAAGAAGCACGGCCACATCTGGGTCGGCTTCGAACTGTTCAGTGGCTGAGTAGAGGTAATGCGCAGGCGTGATGCGGTATAATTTCATAACCGATTCTAATTCGATGGAGGAGGTAACATGAGTAAGTTTTAAGTAATCTCATGGGATTTAAGATTCGAGATTCGAGATTTAGGAAGTAAGGAAGCTTCGGGTGGGTTATTTTAGAATAGACTTACGTTCGATTGGATCCCTCATAAACGTCCACTCGATCATCACACCGAAGGTATTCGAGCCATTGGCTCTTGGGTTGACGATTCGAGGTCTATTTGGGTTTCTCATCGCCATTTTTGTAGGAATATGAGGTATTGGGTTGGATGGCTATAGTGAATTTGAGTATAAAGTTCTCAGTAGTTATCGTTGAAGGTTGAAGTTATGTAGAAGGAGCGATTGTATAAGAACTGGCGATGAGCTAGGAACAGATCGAGATGTCGTTCGAAGTTGGAATTAAATAGATTAGCGGAAACAATTAATTTGGGGGTTTATTTCCTCGAGTTCGTATTTACACTCTTGTGTCATGCTGTAACATTTTTGAAGGTCGCCGAGAATATGTTTTATGTGTAAGAACCTTCTTGACTAAGATACCAGTGGTGACGAATTATCCTAGATAACTAGACTATAGAGGCTACTCTTGGCACGATTTAATTGTCTGAATTGTTCTGGTAGGCTGGCCTGCGGAATTCACGGTTCGTACTTCAAATGTAATCAATAACCACATGTGTATCTGTTTGATATAACATGTGGGAGAACTCAAAACCTATATATTAATATCCGGTTAGGCTCTTAAATATAAATGCTAGTTCATGAAACCATTTCTTTGGGCCCGAGTCCGGTTCGTATCTATCGGTGAGCCTCGGGCGCTAAACCCACCCACCTTTGAGAGATGTGCGACAATATATAGACAATTACTTCCTTAGAGTGTGATGATTTACGAGTTACATTGGGGAGAATGGTTTAGTCGATCGATCGCTGAATCGAATCTGTGAGACTAGCGTCTACATCAAAACGCCGAGATTCGAGGCCATCGTGATACAGGGCTATATAGGCAGTAGTTTTACATCGAAAGCTTTTCAGTGTCTATTGTTTTGTTAATAGATAGCATTGCGTCAAGCTAAATGTAGTATTTCTTTTAACTATTTTAGACCTTCTTAAGGTTCTTCAGTAGCATCGGTATATATCACATAAACATTCGGGGCTTGAGGCTACGGTATAAGTTCATTATTGATAAGAGATACCAAATGAATTATAAATGTAGTTGAACTTCTACCTCGAGGCTTCTCACACTCTTCTAGAAGTGGTGTGTAGTTGATACCGCTTACCTCTCTTAGTCAAAATATTCTCTAGACAGTCTATAAAAAAATGCAATATAATCTCAAATCATCCAAACCTCTACACTTAGAAACTCACAAACCTACCCTTTCTAATTAGAGCCTCTCGGAAGCCCAGGTCTCGCAATCACATCAATATACCTCCCACTCTCCTCATCAGGTAACATCCCATTCCTCTTAAATGTATGTCTTGTCTTCAACTCTTTATCATTCCCCCCATGGTAGTATCGCCAGATCTCGCCGGGGAGAAGCATATCCGATACACCTTCGAAGTTTTCAAATCTTTCGGTGACCTTTGAGAGGTAGTCGTCTGGTGAGATATTACCGTATGTCATGTTTGGAACTATATATGGGATTTTTGATGAAAGGGTTAGTTTGGGTGGGTATCAAGCTTAGAATTGGAGAATTGGAGTACTTACGCATTGTTTCCCGATCTGGAAGTTCTGGAGTTAGATTGACGGTGAAGGTGTCAGTACTGGTACTGGTACTTCCGCTAGCTCCACCACTCATTTCTTTCTGATTCAAAGCTAGATTTTGTATAAATGGTGGTTAAATGATCTATGAACTTTTGGTCAAGAGGTGAAATTAATTAGATACACGTAGAGCAACGATATATGCAGAGCTGCGGATAACCCAGACGAAATCCTCGAATTAACAAAAGCACTTATTCGGGGATATAATCCTCCCTATACCGCGGATATTTTGTATTAACCCTCGAAGTTCGTTATTCTCCAGTATGCAATACATCATCATGGTTTCTTAGAAATTTGAACGCAGAATGGTGTTTATTATGAAGGTTGAGACTACGAAACATATATTCTACATCCTCAGATCGTATCTAACGCCTTTCCTCATTCAATACACGAGTAAGCTAGGATTATCGATTATCCCAAATAAAGAGGGTATGGATCGAAGAGCGATTGCTAATCAGAAGGCTTTATTTACCTCGCTAGTTAGAATTTATGTCAGAGCCTTGACATCGCATTGTTGAGGAATCGTCTTCACGATTAGATGTTAGAACTTATTTACATTATTCCGACTGCCACCCGACGGCCGCGGCATAAGCAGAGATCGTGGTAACTATGATATGGCTTTTATAGACACTAGCCTTGCTACTGCTAGTCCTTGCTATTAACTCTCGAAAATGATTCTACTTGCTTACTTGGTACATTCTCACAGACTGATTCATAATGGGATTTGGGGGCTCAAGATAGCTATAATTTCATTTTATCTTAGATTTTCCTTCCCTCGAGGTCTTAGCTTTGTGTCTTAGAGCTAGGAAAATACAGATACAGCGAATACAGTTGTAAAAAACAATAATATAGAAGGCTACCTCCTAAATCTCAAACCCAAGATAATAAAAAAATAATTTGCAGGCAAAGTAAATACAAAAGTAGACGACACCACGTTAAATTAGGTATTTATACCCAACTTAAAACTCGGCAGAATACCGTAGGAGCAAAATTATCAGCAAACATTCAGTTGAAAGACTAGACTTAAATTCATCTCGTAAATACCAGAGGATGGTGACGACTAAGTAGATAAAGTATAAAATACTTGTGCAAAGGGAGACCAAGGCCAGCTTCTACACAGGATCGTTTAATTAGATTTTCATTAGAAGATTTTTTCCTAGTATACAACTGGCCAATCTTTCAAGTGGTAGCCCCAGGGTAAAAAAGTCTAACAGGAATATTCTAGCAAAATGAAGAATAACCCCCATCTAAATCCCAATCCCGTAAACATCCCAGAGCGATCCACCAGCCGTCTTCTTGTGCAATTCGATAAAGGAGTGCTATCGAAATCCCCCTGAACCTCCTCAAGAAAAATTGGTCACTAGCTTTAACCAGCTAGGTCAGCACACTGCCACAAAGTTTTATCAAACGCCATTTTATGTTCACGAACACGTGTACGCTTACATTAACAGGTTTTTGATGCAGCTCAACTTTAACACCACGACAAAAGTATTGCTACTCGCGTGGACGAAAATTCTTCTTCCTCTCATAGACCCAAGCAACATCTTCAAATCAAACCGAAAACTAAATTCCATTTTCCTAGAGAAAAAAAAAGAAGGTTACACCAAGAAAATATTAACTCCTACTCCTCCAGTTAAATATTACATTCTATAGGGACCAGACTTACGTGAATCCGGTCCAACAATGAGAAATTCGCTCCGCTCATCCAAAAGCCTGACCCGAGGTTGCGATTTCTCTGTATCACTCCTCTGCGCGTTCGTTTCAGAGGGAACCGAAGTTTCGCCGCCACTTTGACTTTCCGCTGGCCTGAGCTTGGGATACTTCCCTCCGATAGATGAAATAGCCTCCTTTTTTGATCTCGAGGGCGTCATATTGATTATTCCCGAGGATAAAACATGAATAATCTACTTGATTGATGGGATATCACTCTCTGGGAGGGATGAAATGGAACTTGGTATTGGAAAGGAGGAAGATACGGCTCTAAGGTTTGATTGCAGGAACCGAAGTGAGGGAAAGTGTTTGAGAAAAGAATTAATTGAAAGCTTTTGATTGTGGGATGGTAGAGGGTTTTATCCTCGACAGCTGACGGGGTGTTCCTAGATACATTTGGTACTATGCTCGAACGTAACCTCAGATTGGACTTTTTATTAGAGTAACGGTTCTCTAGGGAAGCGAACCCGGTATCCATAACCAAACTGTAAGTATGATCATCATTCTTTTCACAATCCCACTACCGTCACGAAAGCCTAACCACGCACGATCTAAAGCAAAAACCATCAAAAGTCCTCATCCCGGACTTCAGAAGTATCAGGTTCTACAGAGTCCGGCTTGACTATAAAACCCCCAAAGTTAGTCACGATTCCCAAATCTCAAAGGAACGTACGTTCGGCCGGAATAAATACAACATACTAATACAATTTTTCTTCGATACCCCGCCTCCACAAGCATATATCCTAACAGTCCCATCCGTCGAAGCCTCCAACTCCCTAACGACAGATATATTCTACCACCCAACCACCATCAGCTACAAAACTTCATCTAAAACCACCCACAAACCACCTTACACGCGCTTAGGGAATAAGGCACCAACATTACCAAGCTGTTCATCTGGTTCAACAAACTCCTGACCCAAATACCTCGCAATATACCCAATCTCCCCATCTCTAGCCGATACGAGATCCTCATAGTGCGAGCTAATAATACCGAAGTAAGTGCTGAGCTTGACTTCGTAGATTGTCTCGTGGACAAGGGAGGGTGGGAGTGTAACCGTTGATGGGACGTAATCGGCTACATGAGGTTAGCAGGCTGCTGCTGCTGGTAATGGTGGGGGGGAAGATGGGTTACCCATGTTTGAACCGGATTTTACAATGATCACCTTGACTCTTCGATTGACGTAGCCGGTCATGGTTGGGAGGTGGATAGGTGATTGAGGGGGTGTCTTGGGTTGGATGGTGTTTCTCTGGTTCAAGGAACGTCGGTGAGATGGTTGCTACTACTTAGGATGGGGGTGCGAATGAGGGTATGGAATGAAAGAGGTTAAGGACTTGAAGCTTCAGTCAGTTGTGAGGTTTCATGGAAAGGAACCCACAGTGCGGGTTTGTGAATTACATGGGACGTGAGGTCCGACATTCTGTTCACAGGTTCAGAATTGAGATATGGGTATATCCACCCAGCTCAAAGTTAGCCTCACCTCCGATCCGAGTAGCCATCCTCTTTCCCATCACCAATCTTCTCAATTATAATCTCTTCTACCAAAACCCCAAAAGCTTTAAAAGCACCTGTCGATAAAACAGCGCCAGCCACACTCGAAACGACGCCACAATCAAGCCACACAAAATCCGAAATAGGAAAGCCTATTGGAAAGAAAATACCACACACCACTGTGTTGTTCGATCGGCTTAAAATTACCCCAGCATTTACTAATCTCAACACGGTCTGATCAACCCTGCTGCAGGTCATCGTACTTTCCCGATGCGATGCAATAACCCTTTTCTCCACATCCTATAATAGTCTCAGAATCGTTCAAGATAGTAAGCTCAAGTGTACTACAGTGACGTCGATGAGTAACCCTCCCGATTCCACCGATTCCACGGTGTCCGAAGCTCCCTCATGAAGCCAACTTGTCGTCTACACCCCCCCAACAATCATTTTGAAACGAATAACTAGAAGTACCCTAGTTGGCGCGGGGCTTCCCATGTTCCGCATGATCACCAGACCCAAAGATATGGAAATACTCGGAAGACCCAGGAATTTCAAAAAAAAAGCACCCTGCCATTGCTGACTTCGGTCTCACGCAATGCATTCATTCTATTCTGTTTAAAAATCCATCCTAGAAGTTGCGGAAGATAAAAAAACTAGAAACAGATAGGAACCTTTTCCGTGGCTGAAAAGCTAAGGGAACTCGTAAATGATTTAAAAAAAAGAGACTAAAGTTCCCAGCTTTTGATTGAGAGGAGGGGGGATTCCAGGCGAAAGTGGCCAGGTTGTCTTGCGCTTGCAAGGAAATACTTGAACGACACTAGCCTCCTTGTTTTTATTTATTATAATACATTTTCCCCTCCTCTCCCGATTTAAGCTTGCCCCTCCTGCAGGTCTATCACCTCCTCCATTTTCATCCCGCAGTTTCGTAGATTCCGTAGACGCGCCAGCTTTTAAAGCTCCTGCTCAACTAATACCTCCGCCGACGACGACGTCATTATCCAACGAAGTTCCAACATTCCACAACACAGTTTTTCTTTTCCCCCTAATTCCGTGAAACTCGAAAATTATCAACCATGTCGACGGGGACTCTTGGCCTTAGGATCGGAACTCGTATGTCCCCCGAATCAAACCCATCCGTAGTCCCACCTGTAGTATTCGTAGCATTCCAAACATATTCGCTGTTCCATAACGGTGGAACACAGCGAATAGCTACGAACAAGCAATAGTTTCCGTAATATAATACAAACAATATTCTAACATATACCATAACCAGCCGTCACCGCGCTCGCCCTCCCAATCTTCACGTCATACTACAGCCTCCTCGCCTACCGCGTCATCTCGACTCGCGTCGGATCGGGAGTTTTCGTAGGCGATAAATCAAAGGCGGAAGCGAAGGGTGCACAGGATACTCCTGATCCGTTAACTATTGCTACGAGATCTCATGCGAATTTTGCAGAGAATGTGCCGTTGGCGGTTAGTAGCTCTCTCTATATATGTATATCCAAAAGTAAAAGACTTGAGATTGTAAGACAGTACTGATATGGTGCGGGGTTTTTTAGTTAACTATTACAGCTCTGGCAGAGATTAATGGTGCAGATAGGAATGTTCTTCTTGGAGCGTTGGGGACTTTGTTCTTGTTAAGGGTTGGACATGTGTATGTTTCCTCTGAGTCTCTTTCGAGCTCTCGTCCGAGATATATCATTTGGTACTAATTATAGAAATTATAAAATGTATAGTGAATTCGGACTTCGGCGTCCAGCGGCACTCGGACCAGGTCGTATTATTGGATTCTTGGGGACTCTGGGGTATCTAGTTGGAATGAGTGGATATGTAGCATGGTTGACGAAAGGGTATTGGGGATATTGATCATTGAGCTTGAGATCTCTATAGCTGCCGAGTCCGACGGAGACGGGATGACTTTTAAGATGAATTAAGTAGGTTTGAGAAACGGGATAATTGATTGTACGAATATACTATGTAACGATAAAGAAAACAATTGCAAGAGGTTAATTAACTTTTGAATTTTATGAATTGACTATATATCGGAGCATATTAGCCCCGAAGCCTTACGGTTATAAACGTTATGACCGATCGGAACGAGATATCTATCGGAAACTCGTTAAGATTCGGCGAAAACGTTAACGACGGCAACACAAAAGATGCCGCTCACGGGATATCGAAGCTTTCCCGGCCGACTGGATAGTCAAAAGCTTGAAGTCACGTTTTTTCGCGCCTGGAAACTAATTGAAGCGCATCCACTTCACAGGAATACCCTGCGAGAACTAATAGATTCGGATGGTTACTTAGGTAGTTTGAAAATCTGCGTCAGCAAGTAGTCATCGGAATGATTAGTAATGATAAAGGAATTGAGTTTCGGACGAACAGCATGCCCGATATTTCATGCCTTCTTTTATGATCAGATATTGACCGAAAATGTAAGTATTTAACAAGTAGTAAAGTACCTAGAGATACATATTTTCAATTAGATATCCTAAACCAAGCCCTTAAGCTCTAGTCAGTCCATGTCACTTCGAACAGCCATCCTTCGAAGACCAATTACAAGGTTGCAGTCCACATCACAACTCCAACTCCAACTCCAACAACCCCGCCAAGCAATATTAATCCCCAAACATAAGCTCCACCTTCGAAACCTCACATACACTTCAAATAACCTCAACAAAATGACCGACACTCAATCCACAAAGCGGGCTAAATTGGAGCCAAAATATGAACTTCTTTACTGGCCAGGAATGCCCGGTCGTGGTGAATATGTTCGTTTAGCATTGGAAGCGTACGTTATTGTTTTTTTCTCTATGACGTCATGTATACCTAGCTAACACGAACTTCATGATAGTGCCGGAGTACCATATAAAGACACCACCAACGAATCAAAAGAAGGAATCTCCAGTCTCCTCGGCATAATCGGCAGGGACTCTGTTACTGGTATGCCATTTCAAACCTCACAACACCCCCCCCAATTGACCCATCCCAAAACTAACCATATACAAACATCACAAACAGCACCAGACGAACCCCCCGTCCTGGCCCCCCCAATTCTCCGAGTCCTAGACTCCCCACTCCTCATTTCCCAAACCCCAAATATTCTCCTCTACCTAGGTGACCACGAAAATCTAGCTCCAACAGACGGGGATAAATACCTAGTCCATCAATACGCCCTCACGGCTCTGGACTTAGGTAGCGAAGCCCATAACGTCCACCATCCGATCGGTATAAGTCTCTTCTACGAAGATCAAAAACCCGAATCCCTCCGTTTCGCAAAAGAATTCCGAGGTCTAAGAATCCCCAAGTTCTTTGGATATTTCGATAAAATTGTTAAATATAACCGATCTAAATACCCGGAATCGAATTATTTGGTCGGTGAGAAGATTAGTTACGCGGACACCACGGTTTGGCAGGTCGTTGATGGAGTTAGTCATGCTTTTCCCAAGAAGATTGAGGAGTTGAGGAAGGAAAAGGAGTTTGAGGCGTTGTTTGGGTGGTTTGACGGGTTGAAGGGAGAGGAGTGGTTGAAGGGGTATTTGGAAAGTAAGAGACGGTTACCGTATGCGTTGGGGATATTTAGGCATTATGAGGAGTTGGATGTGGATCAGTAGTCGATAAATTGAATTGTTAGGGTATCTAGCTCTACGAAGTTAACTTAGTATATGATACTTTGAAAGCTCAATATATGTACATCCTATCAATGCAATTGTCACCTTGAGGGTATAAATTATCTCTATGATAGTTGCCAATATTATCTTCTCCTGTTGTTCGTAATAACCCGTAACCAATCAAACCTAGAGCTTACTCGTCTCATTACTCAAGCTCAGCTAATTAAAGCTGGTTTAGTGTCGAGACCGCTAGCTCAACCTCAAGACTACCACCAACACCCCAATATTCACAACCTCACAACCAAACCACGTGATCAATTTCATCTCCAAAATTCCAACCCCTCCAGAAGATAGCTCACTAAATTTAGATATGATAATTCCCATTCGATTGATCCAAAAATCAAGTCATTTGGATAAATATTGGTGTCACAATCACGATGAGTAGTTTTGCGATAATAGTTGCGATGTGACGTTCCTGGGGGGGTTCAACAACTACTACTTTATATCAGCTGTCCCCTCTGGCAACAATGCAATGCGCCGATATATACATCTCCCCAAAACCACAAACAATCATCCACCTCATCGTCAAACTTCTAATTAACAGAGAATCATAAAACCAAGTTCAATTGAATCTCCTAAATCTCACCCACATCACCCCGGTGTCAAAACACCGCTCCTCCTCTCCGTTCCCACGTAGTAAGCTTCCAAAGCTACCCACTTTTGGTGGAGAATCAATGAAGTCTTCTGAAAAATATGAAGAACCTTAACTTTTGAAAAGCCAAAATCATCACATGATATCACGTCGGATTTAAATATGGCAGCTCGGTGTTAAGGTATTTCAGTGGAGGGAATTACCACAAAGTCAACACCAGTCTCCTTTCAGCAAATACTAGGAACTACGGACGTCTATGAGAAGAATATTTTTATCAAATCTAATAGATTTTTCGTATTGGATTCATACTACTTTAAAGTATCCATAATTAAAATCCTATCTACTCCTTCCCCCTCTTAAGCTAAATATAACTTCAACAAGAACAAACAAATACAAATCAAGATCTCCATCCAGTGAGCTACCTCCTCAACCCTAAGCGGAGGTATATTATCCTCGGCAACAGTAAATATTCTCGTTACATAAAATGGTTCCACCACCTTATTTCTTTTCCAGCGAGGTGTTTTAAAGATAAAATCGGAAGGAAAGAAAGATAATAAATGAAATGTAAGGGAAAGGAATGAGGAGAAAGAGGGATTAATTACACCATTACTATCCTTGCCAAACAAACGCCGTTGTATAGCTCCACCCACCATCACCAAAAAACATTAATAATAAATGATAAATGTCAATAGTAAACGAATGACTCGAAGAGTAAAAAAAAAAGGGAAGAAATGTGTAAAGAACGTAAGAAGATAAGTCATCAAAAAATACCCAACCTAAAAACACCCCACCAATCTTCGTCCCATGAGTCAATAGGCACTCAAGATAGAAAATTCCCGAGAGTCTAATTAGACAGGGCTCCCAATCCTCGACGTCGAAGAATAATGCACCGACTTCTCAACATCACTCCACCCACTCCCCGTCCTCGAAATCCCACTTCTGAGAGACGCCAAATCCGACGGTCTAATCTGATCATGATGAACAATAACCCTTCCATGCACGCTTTTAGTATTCTTCCTGTTACGTTCGTTCATACTACCGTTACCGCTGTTGTTATTGCTGTTATTGCTGCTATTGCTGCTGCTATCTGTGCCATTGCTACCGTAGCTTAGAAGCTTTGGAGCATGTCTGATACACAAAGCACGAAGGGCAGGGGCAGAAGCGCAGATGATGGCTAGGTTGAGTTCTACGATTGTCCAGGTGTTGATTATTGGAGTTTTTCCGGTACCAGCTGAGGTGAAGAAGTATTTGTGGACCGCTTGAAGACGGAAGATGGAGGCGATGCAGGCACTATATATATCAACATATTTTTTGTTAGTTCTTTTTTTCTTTTCTATTTAAAATATATTGAAATGAATTCGAGGACGACTGACAATATTCCCAAACTGAAAGTAAATATCGCCGCGATTTTCTCACGACGGTAGAGTTGGAGTTTTAGAACCATGGGTAAAGGTAACACCCAGATTATTACATCGCTAAGGATCATAAATGATCCGGTGACGAGGTATGGAATCTTTTGATGGCTGTCGCATTCACTGGTGTACCATTCCGACCAGTAGGCCACAGGATGACATTTAAATATACTATAGAGGATTATTGTCATAGTAGTGGCGAGGGTGAAACCGAAGGTGGCCCAGACAGATAACCTTAGGTACCGGCCGGAGAAGAGGCTGTAGTAGAATAAGAGGAGGGAGGATTTGATGATTAGTGCGGCGATTGGGTAGAGAATGTCGAGGACAATGTAGAACTATATATATGGGTTTATTAATCAATAACGTTTGATGGTTATATTAGATGAGGGTAATGACATACCATCTGTTGTCGGGCGATTTCATTCCAGCTGTAGCCCCAGAATTGAGATGATATGTTGATATTGACGGCGTGGTACAGAGCGCTGGCGCTATAAACAAGGGTCATGAACTATATAAATCTGTTAGCATGCTATATACCACACTAGTCTCGTATTGTATAGTAAGAAAACGTACATAACCAAACACCATAATCCAATCATACCCCCTAATCCCCCCCGCAATAGTCTGTCGACTCCAAAGCCTCAACGCCAAAACAATCGTAGTAATCACCGTGAACACCGCAAAAACCGGCACGAGCAGATGTCCCGTCCCCGGCGTATACGGCAAATATTGTCGAATAGCATCAAGCCAGAATATACTATCACGCAACATGTCACGTTCTCCTAGTACTTGTAAGAGAAGACTAAGATCCTGAGGACGAGCGCCGCTGAATGCCAGGATTTCGGGATCCGTGGCGTTGGGGGTGTCGTTGTAGAACCCTGCGAAGGCGGAGATTACATCGATTGTTCTGGTGTCGTAGAAGTTACGGGCGAGAAAACCGAGGTTTATGGTGATTGAGGCGGCGAGGTCGAGGTCGCCTTTTGTAAGGTTTACTGGGGTCCCCATTTTTTTTTTTGAATGAGTGTGTAGACTATCTCGCAATAGCTAACAGTGTGTGAATATTTAAAAGGGGTGACGAGGTTGAGAAGAACGAGAAAAAAAACAAGTCAAAATGATTGTATTAAAGAAAAGTATTAGATGATTAAGTAATAGAAGCTTGATGAAAGAATGAAGCTTTGACCGATGATGTTTCAGGCTAAGTGGGAGGATTTGGGGGTCTTCTTATACATCTTTCGACCACATAGAATATATACACAACCATTAAATAACCATCGTTTTTTAAAAAAAAACTCATAAAAATCCTCTGATATCAATCGACACCACAGTCGGCGGTGTATCTTAGCGTTTAGTTACTCGCAAGAAAGTGGAGTGAGTGAGTGATCACGTTAACAAAAATCTTATATCCAACTAGTGTTTCCACACCCACGTTTCAAGATTCTGATGCAAGATGCAAGATATCTAAATTGCAGCAAGGCAAAAAACTTTTTTCTTTTCTTCTTTTATTTTTTTCTAGTGTAAACGGAATGATCCGTGCTGAACTAATCCATCATTTATGCAGGTGAAAAAGTAAGTAAGTAAGTAAGGTACAAGTACTAGTACACTTCGCTAGACGTGACACGATACAATGCCGAGATACCCACCCGCACTTCCCATGTGTGGCCTAGTTTGATGTCAACGTGGGTTAAGGGGGCATGCGGCTGTCTAACTATACACTTATATAATATATAAATTGGTGGAGAAACTTTTTTTTTGTTGTGTAATCATGTGGGTATCCCTGGCTATATTATAGTATCTGCATGTCATGATAGGGGGGGTTAGGATGTCGTGTGCAGGAGGACCCAGGTTTTCGGGACGAAGGGATTCTTGGAAGATAGTAGTCTAGAGGATGTGACTGGTGGAATTTGAACGTTCAATTTCCCTCAAGATAATATCATCTGGTAGAACATCGATGGCTTGCAAACAGAATCATTCAGTATCCCCATCTCCTCGTAGAATAAGAGCCTCTCCCACAAACTAGAAGCAGAGATGTCATGAAGTTCGAAGTCTGGATGAGATAAGATGTGTTGAAGCGTGGTCAAAATTATATTTAGCCCACGCCGCAAGTCCGCATTACGCTAAAAAACCTGCAACCAACCAACCTGGTCCGGCCCCACCAGTTCTCACCGACCGACATACACTTTGTCTCTCGGTACTTAAAAGGTTCTCTTATCCTGTGTTCCACCGCCTCACTCCAAACCCTGAAAACTACTAATCATTCCAGTATCATAGATGTACATACCCAAAAAAAAAGTGTACTATAATAGGTTTAGTTAGAAATGGTCCCTGTCGCGAATTCGCTTGGAAAAAAACAACAAGACAGATTTTGAATCTTACGGTCGGTGTGTGTATATGCAGTGCATGTTTCCTGGGGGTTATATTATATTATAGCTTTAAGTTTAGATCGTTGCCCGTGCGCGCTAGATGGTCTGCCAGGTACTTCTCTTCTAAGGAAGTAAGTACTTGAGGATCAGTTTTTAGATACATTGGAAGCCTCGCGAGGATAGATAGATAGATCTACGAATTAGATGGCCTCATTGGTGGGGATTTTTCTGTACCTGACATGTGTATACATACTCTATCGACATGCATCGCCTCACACCCCACTCACTCACCCGTCTGGCCGTCTTTGGTCGACGTTTCATCAATCGAGATATTTGTATTCCCCAGGCAAAAGAGAGAGAGAGAGAGAGAGAGAAAATAACCTTCGTTAGCTTGACGAATCTTTTTGTTTTTTGCTGCGGTCATGAAACAATGGAGAAAAATGGTACCTAAGAGGCAACTTGTCAGCAATGCAGATCGTGGTGCAGGTACACCTGCAGTTCGGTCGCGCGGCCCAAAACCCCCCCACCAACCATGTTTAGATCGCTTAATTCATGGGATTTAATATTTGTGGATGGGTGTGCAATGCAAAGGAAGGAAAGAAAAAGACAGAATTAGAGATATATATGTAAGGGGGGGTTTAGGAACCGGTTGAAATGAACAGGTAAAAAAAAAGTTATTTTCGGTACTCGGGAGGGAGGGATTATATTAAGATCGGAGCTCTTTTGTTAATCCCTTTCTTTTGCATGGCTTTGAGATCGGGATGTTGGTTTTGGTGGTTAGAGGCTGGATGTAAAGTATATCATGAGAACCAATTGGCTGCTATGGGAGCTAAGAGGCTCAACCAAGCGACAGAAGAAAAATAATAGAACAATCTAACAGAAAACATCAATAATCTAGGTACCAATGTACTTCCATAGTATGTAGGAGTATATAGGTAGTATTGTAGTATCACCCACCAAAGCGAGTCAGCAGTACAGTCCTTCCAACCCGCATGCAACCGACTCGCCGGCATACAACCCCAACCCGCCGTCTATAGATAACAAGTTTTATACATACCCCCCAAATCCCCAGGAAAGAAAAAGAGCGATATATCATCTCCAACCAGCACCCCATAAGAAAATCTTACGGTTTGACAGCATCCCTCGTCTACCCTAGATAGATAGAATACCGATAGATAAACCGCGGGATCTCCGTGCCGCTTACACACCCTTTAAAGTTCGAAAGCGGCATGAAGTTTCTCGACCGGGATTGGGATAGGCAGCTTGCACTTGCATTACCTATACTCACTTAGCTTACTTACGCATTGTCCTCCAAGCAAGCAAGAAAAAAGGGCGATAAGTTACAAGGGGGTTAACTTTATGTGTATGTATGTATGTATGAAGCCGTCTATATCGCGATATCGATGCCTACGATACGTCGATAATGCGCATGTAGGAAAAGTTTAGATATCATATCATGTTTTTCTTCGTTAAATTCGGCGAACATAGCGGATGCATGGCTGCTTTAAAAAATATCATGAAATTGGTTATACGTTTCGAAACTTTTAACAATATATTTCGTTTCGATATATAGCATAGATGTGTTTATTAAAACTTGCAAAGCATCTCGGTCGTCGTTAATGCCATTATCGATATCATCGTGCGATATACGTGTCGACCATTGCATCAAACGTGATTTTTGATCCCGTCCGATTTGCACATTGGACGTACCAGTACAAACTCCCCATATCCACCAGCAAAAATCCACAAACCCATCCAACATCTACACTTCCCGACCGTACAAAAAAACTCCAGCATTCCAAGCTGCTAAAAAAAAAATTAAAAAAAATTAATACCGCAACCAATATACCCCCCCCCCCCAACTTCCTCGAGGGGGGGGGAAGAGGGGGTACACAAGAGGACCGAGCAACTGCAGTTATCTTATCCTTTTCTTTAATTTAATTTTAACTTAATCGATCTTATCGGTCGTGTTAACTTGCGTGATACTTACCTCCACAACCTGGTCTAACAGTAATACAGCTAGTAAGAGTATTAAGTGCCACCTAATCCTCCTTCCCACCCCGGACCTTTCACGTCATCACGTATATAAATAATATAATATATCTCCAATACATATACATATCACTATTCACTATATAGATATATCTATATTATCTATATATATAATCATCAGAAAAACAGAGAGAGGGAGAAAATATCTTCGTCAATGATAACATCCATTATCATTCTTCTTAATTGGTATTTGTTATCTAGTTTATTCATATTAAGGAGCGTAAATTGGGTCAGCCTGGTGGTAATAACTGCCCTTACATCGCAGATCTGTCCTAGTCCTAGTCCTCCTCCTCTATCCCCTCTTGGGTGGAAAACGGGAGAAGGACCGGAAGGAATAAGTATATAAAAGGGTGGGTATATATGGTATACACGATGCCCTCTTCTTTAAAGGAAAGTAACAGAATATAAAAAACAGAACCCTGAGAAAAGCAAGATGTACGCCTGATGCCAAAAGCATGAACCCACGGACAGATGATTGGTAGGTAGGTAGGTAGGTATGAATGAGAAAAAGGGGTGAGAGGAGGTGATGAGGTGAAGGAAAACTATACAGGTCGGGATGGGATATAAAGTAGAAAAGAAGTCGCTAAAGGAGCACGAAGAAAAAAGAACAAGCACCCAGAATTTCAACCCATTAATAAACCGCCCCCTCACCACTACCGTCGAACAACAATAAGAAGACTCGTATATAATAAGCTAAAATAAACTTCAAGAAACCAAAATGTTAAAAAAAGATGGCGGGAACTACAATAGTCCGCTTAGTAGAACACCCATCGAGACTGCCAGCGATGCTAATAGTGTTGTAGCACCGATGGAGACGTGTGAGCCAGCGGCCATCTTTAGGTTTAACTCTTGAAGAGCGAGTTCGGTATAGTTGATTTGACGTTCTGAGTTGGCAAGGTGGTTCGCGCCTATGTTTGTGGAGTTGAAGCAGATGGTGTTCCAGATTTGAGGGTTACCGAAGCGTTGAGCTTCTGTGTCTGAGAAGGTAATGTCGGCGCACTGTTTTATCATATTAGCTTTTATGATCATTTTTATTAAAATCGTAGATTGTCAGAATGCATACATTGTATAAAGCGCTTCCGCTAGCGACAAGCTGAACGATCTGAATGGTGGCATTGACACCAGCCTTGACGAGTGGCTTTAGGGATGGTGGGATCTTGATGAGTGGAAGACAGAAGGTTCCGTTTCCTCCCGTTTGGTTGAACGTAGGAACCATGATATGATTCCATCTGTTAACATCGGTGGTTTCTTGGATCTTGTCTCCGATGGCGATGTTGATTGTGGTGAAGGCGAAGTCGTGGAGAGGGACGAATGCCATTGCGCCACCGTTTGTTGGCCAGTATGAGCGGTTGCCGGTAGATTCGAGACCTCCGCCTATAATTCATCAACGACATTAGTATTTATTTATTCTACTAGATTTATTTTTTATATATAATATATAGAGGAGAAGTTTGGGGAGAGTAGATTCGTACATGGGAATTGAAATTGGGTGTTGTAAGAGTTTCCTCTGTCTGGTGGGTATGTGATGACAAAGTGAGCGGAAGCTGTAGCCGCAAGAACGACAGCAGCGACGAGTGAGCGAAGCATCTTGTCGAGTTCTTTTTTGTGATAAAATAATAATATTAATTAGAGCCTGAAGAAAGGAACCGGTCGAAATAAGTATTTAATTTCGTGTCGGGTCTTTTTTTTGGTTGTTTGTCGTGGGTCGTTTGCCGTCGAAGAGCTCAAAGGTCAACTTTGAGCAGGTCGGGATTATTGATTAATACAGGCAAAAAAGAAGAAGTCCTCTTTCAATCCAGCAGGCGGGTGAGCATTTGCAACTGAAACTCTTGTCGAAGAGAGAATAAAAAGTTATCTTTTTTTATTTCGTGAATGTCTGGTCGGAGGAATTCCCGAGATCACGTTCGTTCTTTCGAAAGGATGTAAAAAGGTACAGTCGAAAACCACCAAGGAATCGAAAAAGAGAGAAAAGGGAAGGGGAAAATAAAAAAGCAGGGACGAAAAACCATGTGGGCGGCAGCTGCATTTTGAGTCCCCAATCCTGTCCGTCTTCCCATCTTTTCTTCATCTTCATGCACAGCTAACTCTTCCGGCTGTTGGTTGGTTCGATCGAAGAGAGCCCAGCCCAGCCTGCACGGAACATAATCCCACCGCCCGCCCAATGAACAAACCCGCTGCCTGTGAGCTATTTCTCAGCGGTTATAGATCGTTCACAAGGAAAATAAGAAAACACCATCAAAAAGGCGGTGGAGAGCGCTTCCTCCCGTTTGGCGATTGGCTCTAGTCGGACTTGGCTGCCACCCCAGTCTGCAGGTTTGGCCAATCAGGTGGCGTACCAACCTCGTCTGCAAATTATCCCGGTCCTGTTTGTTCAAGCAAGACAGGCAGGCAGGCATGTTGGACGGCAAGATTCGATGTCGGTTGGGGTCTTGAATTTGTCAAAGCTCCTCCTCAAGGCGATCGCTGTTGAAGCATTTGAGATTCTTTTTTTATATGCGATTCTGGATCACATTTTTCGAAGTCGCCGGAGACATGTTTCTCGGACTCGGATGCCGACAATTATTAGGACTCCGCAGCTAGTTAGTATAGTTAGTAACTACAAAAACAGTTAACAGCTGTGGAACCAACAGTGAATTCGAATTGGAGCTTTGCCGCATATCGATAAAACGAACAAGTTGGCTTGTTCAAACAAGAACCCCGCAGATCCTTTCGAACGCCCGCGCCCGTCCTTTTCGCAAGCCTTGCATCTTGCATCAATGCCATTCTTCCGGAGTCTTCCGTTCCTTTTTTTTATTCCCTGCCAGGTTCCCACCCTTTCTCTTCGATCAATCCAATCGGTCGCTATTTTTGGCGCTATACATGGGTAGAGAACAATACATCTGAAGGTTTCGCAGTTTCCGATCAAAGCTTGTTTTCTCTTGTGTTCATTTAAGAATCCCTTTTGGTCATGATTACAACATCTGATCGTCAGTCCAAATTTTTATTTTTCTCGAAGCGCGCGGTATCATAATATGTGTAATTTATTACTTGCAGAGAGGGTAACGTTCCCGTTTTTCTTGCCTTGCAAGGGGGTGGGGAGCTTTCGCTGCCGAATCTACCGAATCTTTCTAAGCTGATTCCCACACCCGGAATAGATGTGTATACTTGGATGAGAGTCATGTCATGATCAGAACCATATCAGATGTCATACACACGCACGTACATTTAATCGTTTAAAGACCAACGGACGGCTCGTTTTTATCCAGGCGGGAAACGAGTACCCTATAACTCTAGAATTTATACCCTTTCCCGTTCGTTAGAGCCAGTCGAGCGCGAGCGACTGGAGATAAGATGTAATTACAGGTTAGCGCGAACAGATATAAAGCGCTTTAAGTATCATGATAGTATAATATTCTTCAACTTCCACGGTTGATAATAATCTTGGTATACTATAGTTGAATCTGACACCATATAGTATATTGTCTTCCTTCTGTGTATGAGAACCAACATTGGAAATGCTTGGCATAAGATTCAGGTTGTTGCTCAAACAAAGTCACAAATTGCGCCGACTTGGTCTGCTGAGCTCTGGGTTAACACGACCAGTCTCAACAGGGAGGACTTAGGGGTGTTATACCCTTAGAAAGTCTTAGACATAAAGCAACAGACCTTCCAAGCTCCTACTTATATCCTCGCTCCCAGACTTCACCGTCGGTTCAATCGCGCTGTTATCAAAAACCCAATATTCTACAAATGTGTTGTGTCAAACTCAAAATCCACCCCGCAACAACTCCCAGCAATGACAATATAATGGGCGCGGTGATAGCAATGGCGTGCTTCCGGCTTTTGCTGTTATTGGCTGGGTTCAAGACTCCAGTTTGACTCAGCACGCGAAAAGGAGTCTGGGTATCAAGATCAAGACCAAGAAAATTATATAAATTGATAATACTTAGCTTAGGGGGTGTTTTGAATACCATTCCAATAACTTCCTCAATCGTGGTAGTCGCATGACTATAACTGTGGTTCGATTGATACCATCGTATTGTCGATATCTCTAAAGCGAGAATATAGATAAAGATGCTATCCTTCCGTTCTCCCATCGCCCATCGCGATGAAGAACCGTCACGCGAGACGTCTACAACGCGATCTCGTGTTCAGCTTAATATTTCCGAGAAATGGAGAGATCTTGTGGTTGCGAATTGGCATTTGGGGTTTACTGCGTTCGGAGGTCCGCCGGTTCATTTTCAGATTGTAAACTTCCCCCTTCCTCCCTTTCTTCCCTCAATAATAGTGCACGAAATTTATAAAAGGACTATTAATTTAATACGGATATTGTAGTTCCATACGAAGTTTGTGGATAGACTAAAATGGATTGATGAACAGATGGTAAGTTTATTACAGAAAGCCACTGCCTCCGTGTCCCGTTGGTGCATATAACATACCTAATATAATATCAAAAAAAACTAACAAATTTCATTTTATTGTAGTACCAAGAACTCTTCGCATTATGCCAGGCCCTCCCGGGTCCGGCGAGTACCAAAATGCTGTTCTGCATAAACTCAATCCACGGCGGCTTCCTCGGCGGCTTCCTTGCATTCTGCATTTGGAGGTTAGTCTTGTCTCCACCCCCCTAGTTCTGTGTTTATTCTAGATTCTCAATATATGCTAATGTATGATTTTAGTCTCCCCGGCGCCATAGGAATGTACGGTCTATCCCTCGGCGTCTCCAAAATCGGTGACAAAATGCCGTCACCGGTGTACGCCCTACTATCGGGACTCAACGCCGCAACGGTGGGGATAATCGCCCTAGCAGCAGTACAACTATCCGAAAAGGCTATAACAGATAAAATAACCAGGATCCTAGTATTCCTCGGAGGAGCCGTGGGGATGTTATATTCCGCACTGTGGTTTTTCCCCGTACTCATGCTCGCGGGAGGAGTAGCGACTGTGGTATGGGATTATCGATGGCTTCAGAATTTCTTCAAGAAGTTTAAAAAACAGAAGATAGAGAATCAAGAAGAATCCTTGGAAGAGGTAATAAGTGAAGCTCCGATAGTTCAAGAGGATGCAACATCAATAACTTCTACAACTACCCGTCAAAGAAGAAGAGACCACCAACATCAAGATCAAACCGCCATCCTCCCAGTCTCCACCCTTCCTTCTTCCCCAACCACCACCGTCGCTACACCCCAAGAAACCACAGAAGAAAAACAATTACTAACCTGGCGAACCGGTACCCTCGTAATCCTCGCCTTCTTCACAACCTTCATAGCAGTAATGGTCCTCCGCGGCACCTTAAAAGCCCCACCACTCCCTTACTCCGTCTTTGCAAACCTATACCTCGCGGGTACCATAATCTTCGGCGGAGGACCCGTGGTCATCCCACTCCTTCGAGATTATATAGTAGGAGAAGGATGGGTATCCAGTCGTGATTTCTTATTAGGACTGGCGGTAATCCAAGCTTTTCCCGGTCCTAACTTTAATTTTGCTGTTTATCTCGGTTCTTTGGCTGTTCGCAGTAGTATTGGTGGTGGTAATAATATACCGAAGGAATTAGGTGCCATAATCGGTTTCTTCGGAATATTCACACCGGGGATGATTCTTGCAGCTGGAGTAATGGGATTATGGTCTACAATCAGAAAGAAGAGATGGACGATATCCTTTTTGAGAGGGGTGAATGCTTTGGCTACCGGGTTAGTGTTTACGGCTGTTTATAGGCTTTTCCAGACAGCGGTGTTGGATGAGGAGTATAGCGGCGGGAGGGAGTTGGGGATCGATCCCTTTTGGGTGGCGGTTACGGCCACGAGTTTTGTGGGTGGGAGGTGGTTTGGGGTGGAGCCTTTCTTTGCGATATTGTTGGGTGGGGGATTGGGGATTGTTTGGTGGGGGGTTGTTAAGGCTTGATGGTATCGTGGTTGAGGGGTTTGTAACCACGTTGGTAATTGAATCTATGCTCCCATTTCTCCATGTGGGTTTGGTATGGTTTGTTCGATACGGGGTTTAAGGCGGAAATGAGTTCAACTTCATTATATATTGTGGTGGTATGTGAATAGCGAAAGCTTAAGGGCTCAATATTAATACCGTGATATATTTAAGAATTAACTCGAGAGTACTGTCGTATATGCCATTTTCACGATATTAAACTACTTCTTTCCACTATAAGGCGAGGAGAGGGGAGTACTTATGGATTTATATAAACCCGTCTCTCTCCCTTCTCTTTACCATTATAATTACCAGAAGTCTTTTATCCTTCCATACGAACCTGAGTATCTAAGATTCAATATACATATATCTTGAATAACTTGAATTTTATCTTCTCGTACTTTACAAAATTCTTATATACACACAAAAATGAAATTCCTCGCCACAATCCTCACAGCCCTCACCCTCGCCGGCCTAACCACCGCCATCGCCTCTCCAACCCTTATTAAAGAAAAAAGGGCAAATACCGGCTGCGATTGTAATAATAATAAAAAGTTGAAGATTAGGGACTCAAACGTCGCTGTTGCCGGTAATATATCCCCCCCCCCCTTTTTTTTTTTTTTTTCTTCTTTTTTTCTTTTTTTCTTTCTTCCATCATTACCCAAAACTAATGCAATTCTTTCTATTTTCCATTATCTATAGAACCAGCATTACTCCCAGCAGTCATTCCATCGGTAGATACGAAATCTACTCCGGATCCATCGAAGGATGGTTGTTTGAAGCAGTTGGAGCAATATGGTGCTTATGCTGATCCTAGGTGTATGGGGTATGGAGCGCCGTTGGAGTTGATTGATCATTATAGAGGGGGAAAGGTGGCTGATAAAAAGGCGGTGGTGGGGGCGGGTACTCAGTAGATTTGGGGGATGTTAGTGGGGTTTTGGAGTTTCTGACGTTAGTTACCTATATATCGCTTTTTTTGATTTGGGTTTATATTAGAGAGGAAATATATAAGACAAAGGAAGTTTACTTGATTGTGATTATTATGAGCATTAGAATAGAAAATGACTAAGAAAGATGTCATTATCGTGCTGGTTCATTATATTCGATCATTACATCGTAGTAGCTAATCCGTTAAAACCCAAAAATCCAATCCCTTACGCCATAAACCGCATATTCCAATGGAAAACAAACCTAGAAAAGCGACGGCACCGCCAACCGACCCGGTCGAGGTTCCCCCCAAGCATCCAACCCATACATATTCTTATACATCTTCGGCAAATACAACCTAAACGACAACAACGTCTCCTCCTCCACACTCTTCCATCCATCCTTCAACTCCTCTGCTTCACAAACATCAAAACAGTCTCCCGCCCACAATCCATGTATCTCCGCCACATTCTTTCTAACCGTTTCATCCTCCAGTCCTTGTAAACTAGGTGACCAAGTGATCAAGAATATAAAAACGATGGTGACAGCTTGATCTATCGGTATAATCTGAGATCTATAAAATACCGATTCGATCTCTGATTTTAGGGTTTTACCGATGGTGAACGGGATATATTCTTTCCTTGATAGATTACGAACAACGTAATTTGCAGTTTGGGAGTAAAGTCTTAACACCCCCTTATCAAGATCAATCGCACGATTAACCAACCGTCTAGTCCACCCCGGAAGTTCAGATGTCAAAGAAATTAAAAAATCCAACGGTGATATAGGGAATTTATTTCGTTGATTCCGTTGGAATGCTAGAGGTATCATCATTCTATTATTTATGATGCTGTCGTCTGATAAATCGAATTTATCGTAGTTTTTAAGAAGGATATGGGTTGTTTCGAAACGATCGTAGGTATGTCTACGATCGCCGGAACGGTAGGTTCGGAAGTAGACGGTGTCTTTGAGTTGGGTGGACATTTCTAGGGCGGTGTCGATTTCTTGGATGTGTGGTGGTAAGTCGGCGTTGACATCTGTGAGGGAACCTAGGCAGATGAGGGGGGTGTTTATCCATGCTCCTTTCATGCGGTCGTGTAGAGATACTCGAAGCTTTTGGAGACAGACGGAGAGGAGTGGATTGCAGGTTAAGGAGAGGGAGAGGATGTCGGTGAGGGAGTGGAGGTTGTCGGTTACTACGTAGAGGATTTCGGGGGGCAGGGCGAGGAGGGGACAGTTTGGTTGGGGGATGTTGCGGATTAGAGGGATGTCTAGGCTATTTTCAAGTTCTCTCTGTTTTAGTATTTGGATTGTTATAGATAATAATCAATGAAGTCTTGTCTACGTACCCTTGAAATGGATCGAGACCCGGCGCTGGAGCTCGGATTTCATTGAGAAGATGGCAGGCGAGGGCGCCAGCAGCCATTTTCTCCCAAGTAGAGCACCATGGCATTGCCTATAAACACAATCTATCAGTATCACCATTGTCTTTGTCACAATTGATATTAAAATTCATGGAGTTTTATTTTGATAGGCAGGATGTAAGTATGCTACCTCTTGGGTGGCGGGGCTGAACACCCTCCACAGCTGTGCCCCAGTACTCATTGCAGCTAGTTCCTTGTTTGATTCTATTTATATTAAATCTGACAATTGAATCAAAAGTGCCAGGACAGAGAAAATATAGTAGGATATGACGTAATACCGCTGGTAGTGAAGTTTGATAGTTGTCGGTGGTAATGTTGGATGTTTGAGGGTGAGGCCAGCGCCAGCTGCGCAGCTCGCATTGAAAGGATCCGCTGGGATGGAGCTGTTGGTGTGTTGGGGAATCCTGGATTTAGCCAAGAGAGAACAATTGCCAAATCAGGAAATTAGCCATTTCCGGCTGGTGATACACAATAGGCTAGTCTAAAGGTGGTATGTATAGCTTCATTATAGGAAATTCAATTTCGTTGCTTCTTTGGTGGACTGAACCTCATCCCTGCTTACATGCTCACATGATAACGAGAAAGCCGGGTCGCGAGAACAGTCATCCTTCGCATTCTCGTGCCTCGTCGCGTAGCGGTCGCCTCGTTTATTTATCGACACAACCTTTATATCAACCTCCAACCAACTTGAAAGGCAATAATCTTAAGTTCAACCAATTTCCAAGAGTCTTCTAGGGGAGGGGAATAGACAATTGGTCTAAAAATCGAAGAAATGTCGTACCAAACCGAAGGGAACGGGTTCTTCGCCGCCCTGCCCACCGAAATATGTCATTTCGTTCTGGGGTACATGGATAAACAATCCAGACATGCGTTCGCAAGATGTTCTCGTCATTGCTATTCCATCGCTTTTCCAGCTAGGTTCATTGGTGTTAAGCTTTCGGAGGTCAATCATAAGTATTGGCTAAAGGTGTTCACTCGGGGTTGGTTGGCGCCGTTGGCGCGATGGGTTCAGTATGTTACCCCTCAATTCTAATTCTATACATTATAGATGATGATATTATATTATAGTTATATAACTAACTGGAAATCGCTCTAGTACGGTGGTATTGGACATTGCGGACCTAAGATACCTAACAATCCTTCCATCCAAACTAACAGTCTTCCCAAACCTCCGAGGTCTAAACTTCCACATCCACGCCCCGAAACCCTTCGAAGGAAACGTATTCGCCGCGCTATTCCGGTTCCTCTGCACCCTTCCGTTTTATAATAATATCACATACCTTTCGATAAACTGGTATGCATACCAAGTCGTCTTCGACACCGACATCATCTTCATCGGCCAAGGTTTCGGAGCAGCACAACAAGAACAAGAAAGAAAGAAAGAAGAAAAAATGCGAAAGCAATATGATGAGGATATACAAATGTTTCCAGAAGTAAAGGAAATGATCGGCCCTCACCTTTCGAAAGTCCAAGTCATCGAGAAGACGTTATCCGGGGAGATATATTTCCCGAAAAATCTACAAACACTGGAACTGGGAATGGGTTCTCAGACGCCGTATTATTTGATCCCCATGCTTAATTGTTCAAACATCACGACTTTGATTTTTGATTTTTTCCCTTCGGAATTTAGGGATAGTAAGGCGCTTAGTAGCACTTTACAATTCCCTATGGTTACAACGATGGTTTTCAGTCATGTTGGGTTTTATGCGGAGACGAAAATCATTAATAACCATTTCCCGAACGTTGAGTTCATGTCGGTGACGAAGTATTGCACTTTACATTGGTCGGAATTCATCAAGGCTTTTCCAAAAGTCAAAATTTTTAACCTACCGTGGCATAAAATGCGTTGGCGGTATGTAGAGGTAGGATATCTGGAGCGAGCGATCAAGAAACTTTTAAAAGGTGGTCATCTTCCGCTATACCCTAAAATCTCGTTCTCTGGGAATTATGAAGTAGAAGATGGTGGGGGGATGAAGCATATCCATCTAATTTGTAAGATTTCTTTGAATTCAAGTGGAGGTCATGATATATATTGGGAAGGGGATACGGGTTATAAACTCGAAGACATGAAGTTGGCGGATTTTCAGGAGGAGATATTGAGGGATCCGAGGAGTGGGAGGGATTTGGATGGGTATTATGGGGATGATAGTTCTGGGGAGGAGATGGATGCTGGGAGTGATCATTCGGAGTATGTTGATAGTGGGAGTGATGAGTACGAGTTTTCGGATGGGGAGGAAGAGGAGGAATCGTATGGTGGTGATTCGGAGTATTGGGAGAGTGGGGATGAGGTGGAGGATGGGTCTGGTGAGGATACTGAGATGGATTTGGAGGAGAGTGGGGGGGTTTAATGGAATTATACTGATATCGAGGCGGCAGATGTAAACTAGTTGCGGGCCGCGCCTACTATTCAAGCCAGCGAAGTCGTCATTATATATAAACTAGCAAAAATCGGGTTTTAGAAAGCCACTAATTTTTAATAGAAAACCTATGATTTGTGTTCATATCTTTGGTGGTTCTGACTAAAACTCTACTAAAGAAATATAGGTTGTAACTGCTCTAATTCGTATTAAACACCCTAATACCGTATCATAACCAAAAAACTGTATTAATACGACGGTATCAATAAACCCTCCTTCTAGCACAGTAGGTTATTTAGGATATATACAAGCCATCTAGCACGTAAGTTATCTAGCCTGTGGACCTATCTAGGAATCTATTTGTGGAACTCGCTAGTGAGTTTGCTATTTTGTGAGCTCGTCTGTGCGCTAGTTGTTTATAAACTAGGGTTTGGATTTTTGATGCATATGCCATATAGGCAAAATACACAGTTGAGGAGTCTGGCGACAAGACAAGCTAAGAGGGGCTGGTACCAGCAAGAAAGGGGCTGGCGATAGCATTCCCCTTTATTATATAGTGTTTGCTCTTCGATATAACGCAGCGGTAACAACGGAATTTCGACGACAAATTCAGATAGCAGGACCTTACAACATAACATTTCAATATTTGAAAACGCGTTAACGGTTCAAAGAAGGGTTATTTGCAAGTAGCGACAAAAGATTGTCGTCAGAACCAATGGGGGACTTTGCGGTTTGTATGAGTCTTACATTGGAAAATTGAGTTTGCTTCTCGGAGATAACCTATTTTAGCCACGTAGCCGCTTCGATTCGTTCGGAAGTGTGAAGGGTCTGCGGTATTATAATATTAATTAATACTTGACCAGACTAAAGTTTTCTTGATCTTTGCAACTATACCTCTACAAAATACTACAATGTCCTCTACCACTACAACCCCCCAAGAAACCGAATCAGAGCTATCGCTCCTAGCTCTGCCTACGGAAATACTACTCTCGGTCATATCCTTTCTAGATTATGTTACGATAAACCGGCTCGCGCATTGTTCACGACGATGCTACCTCTTGACGTTTCGAAAGCGGTTCTCTGGAGTACAACTATGTTGGAAAAATTCGGCAGATTGTGAACACCTCAAACCGTTTTCCGACGAAGGAATGTTGTCGTCGTTCCGTGGGCATATTCGGTAAGTAATCTAGCCTAACGGTCTAGCTTCTACCCCTCAACGGGGCTTTCCTCCAGTAAATTGGGTATTTGAATAAATTACCTAACTACTTCATTAAATGGCTTTTTTTTCGGGAGAATATAGGAGCGCTACTGTCGAGGTCCACGACGCCGGACACCTACTTGCTCTAATACCTTTAATCAAACAGTTTCCAAACATCTCACAGCTAGAGGTTGTGGTCGAAAATTCTCGTTATTTTGAAAGAACACTCTATCTGGCAACTTTCCGTCTCCTCAGCACTCTACCATTCTACGATAACCTCAAAATACTTGATTTGAGATGGAGTGGCTATTATGAAAAGCAATATCGTAAAGGAGATTCGAAGTTTGCTTATCTAGAAGCCGCAGAATACGTACCAAACGGCAAGACTGTAGAATATGAAGATGAGTTCTCTGGGCTCATTTCCCTACCGGAACCACCATATAAAGTGCGGAATAGTGAAAAGAAGCAGTACAAATTCCGATTGGCGCAGTATGTACAAGTACAGCGAGACTTTCTAGGACCTTACATCCGGGAAAAAAAGTTTATTGGGCGCTTAGCCGAAATACGCCTACCGAAAGAACTTAAATCGCTGGGATTGAGTATTCAGCATGCTGAAATTCATTTACTCCCCCTGATCAATTGCGCGACATTGGATACCCTTATCCTCAAAAGGGCGAAAGAATTGAAGCACACTACCAACCCCACCAACCCGACTGAAATCCTCCAATTCCCAGCAATAAAGACACTCGTGTTATCCCCAGACACCGATAAGATTACCCTCTACTTACGCAAATTAACATTCCAATTTCCAAATGTGGAATCGTTCAGGCTGGTTGGCGGCTTTGTATGTCCGGACGCGGATTTCAACGACTTACCCAATTTTCCAAATTTGAGGCATTTGGAAACTTTTTGGCCGATAGATCGTGGTGTTATTAATTATGAAATTGAAGATGTTGAAGGTTTCTTGAGATTTAGGTTTAGGTATGGAGAGTGGAGGGAGTTGAGGAGCGTGAAGTTCACCGGCTGTGCAGATAAGCTGTACCCTGGGTCAAAAGAACACCGCCACAAGTCGTTAGTTTGTAATATTGAGAGGAAAGATGGAGAGTACTTGTTTGACTGGACAACCTGCGGGTGGTAATCATGAAACGGCCAGCCGTGAGCAAGGCTAAAGCCTGAGAGACGAATTCATTCAGTCAGTCAGTTTGTTGCATTTTGTTTGTTAAAAGTGTTGTTCCTGTACATCTCCATAGTACTGAGTATACATAGTAGTACATACCTCTTATATAGTACCTCCTAGTTAATCCGATGGCCATGGGAACGCTTAGATAGGGGTGACTCACCAATTTGCCGCAGCCACTTTGGGTATGATTTTTGTGAATTCTCTAGATAGTTTCGAGAATTGGCTGTTAGGCTTTTCCGCCCGGCGCGCAGTTGCAGTCGTGTGTTGCACTGCAACTGTGACGAAGTTTCCCCCCGGCTAGTTTTATGGTATGCATGAAAGCTAACTATAGTCACCGAAATGACGCGGGTCATTTCCTTCGACGCCCCGCGTCAGGACTGTATAAAGCGGCGAAAATCAGTTCGTTGAATCCATCGATGGTCATTAATTACATCTTCAAGGTATTCAACCGACAAGCTCAAACCACTTGAGTACACACTAGGAGATCGAGATATCGATGGCATACTTCGGCAAAGAGTTTGCAACATTTGCAACCGCGTTGAAGTCGGATTCCAACTGCCCGCTTCAGGAGCTACCCCTCGAATTATGTTTCTTGGTTATTGGATTTTTGGACTCGGACGGACTTAGGACGCTTGCGCATTCTTCAAAGTTTTGGTATCATTTTCTTTTCCCGTTTCGGATTCGGGGGTTGAAATTGTCTTGTCGGTATAAGCGACAATTGGGTGATTTGGAGAGGTTCAGCGATGGTAGATCTTTTGCGCCGTTGCGGCGGCATATTAAGTTAGTTACACATTCTATCCTCGAAGTTGGTTATGATTGTAGAATTCTAAATGAGAAATAACAGGTCCCTGAGAATTGAGGTGGGAGACGGAATCGCCAACTTGCCTCGTTGCATAGGCCTGTTGTCAGCCTTTACAGACATTACGAGCGTTACTATCTTTACGAACAGAGAACCCAATATTTCAATAAACCTATACGTTGCCATTATTTCCTGCTTGTCGACTTTACTTTTTTATGATGACATCGGGCGGCTAGAGTTTCGATGCCGCAGTGAAGATTTTTGGTGGGCGTCCGAAAATGACGACGAAGCTGAAGGAACTTGGCCAAGTCCGGGCCCATCGAGTCAATTCAACTCCCAACTGTTAAACGCACAGGACGACACTAGCTCGCCAGGATCTAATGCATCAGATCTTAGTACATATGACTCGGATAACTCGGACTTTACACATTCAGAGACCGGCTACCCGGAGCTTCCAAGAGACGAGGGTTATCTTCGTACAAACTTCCTCTCTTTCACAAATGGAAACGGACGGGACAAAAAAGTCTTTTTAGGGCGATTTATTTCCAACAATGCGTTTGATAAATTAACGAGGACTGGGAGGATACGCTTTCCCCGAAATCTCAAGTTTTTTAAGGCAGATATTGAGAGATATTTGCCATTCTGTTGCGTCCCACTGAGATACTGCCGAAACCCCATTGCTATTTCTATCAGAGTTTTATCTGAGCGGAACAGTATCATTGAAAACCCCGGGCAACCAGATGAAACCTTCGTCTTCCCCAGCATAAAGGCCCTTGAGATTCCTTACGGCTATTCACCAAACGGCGCCGAAGTTTCTAGCAATTTTGCGACACAGTTTCCGAATTTAACATCGCTGACAGTAATCTCCCCAGAGGTAGGATACGCCCAAGAAATCATCCGTATTCCAAATTTTCTCCATTTGGAATATCTCCATATACCTTCTATCCTGTGGGAGGAAGGCTCCAGCTCTACGATCCTTCGAAAAATGCAAGATCAAATGATGCAACGACTTAAGGCTGGAGAGTTTCCAGTTCTTAGAACTTATAAAGTTTCTGGTACTAGGGACATGGGATACGAGGGCCTTTGCTCCGGGGAAGCGACTGGTGTTATCTCGAGGCATGTTGATACGGAAGATCAAAACGAATGCTTGAAGTTTGAGTGGACAAATGATATTTATGATATTGTTCAATCGGATATAGCTGCTGATTTGGATAAATTATGGGACTCTGGAGAATTCTTCAAAGATACGAGACGGGACGACGGCGAACCGGAGGAATTTAGGCTGGATCGATATCTAGAAGAGTTGGGAACAGATGAATCGATATATGGTAGCGAAGACGAGAGGATAGAAATAGATAGAAAACGGGATATTAAAAAAGCAAGGAGACGGAAGGCACGACGGCGGAGAGAGAGAATAATCGAAGAAGATAACAAATGGGCCGAACCTGGTGTTACAAGTGAGGATGAATGGCTGGGTGGCAGTTCCCGAAGCCAACAATCATATGGATCAGAAGACGAAGAAACGCGAGGAGAGAAGAAAGAGGATGGTGACGAAAAAGAGGGAGAGGATGAGAATGGGCCTTTGCTTCCATACGCTTACGTGGACTTCGAAAACGTTACAAATGTCGTCGACGTGGGTAGCGAGACGTCAAGCATAGCCGAAAGCGAAGGCGAGGAAGAAGACGATGAAATCGGTCATACGGCCTCTCAGTATCTATCATTATCAATCGATGATGAAGGCACGGTCAATCCCGAAGACTCGGACGAGTACGAGGACTCAGAACTAAACGAAAATGACACCCAGGGAATGCTTAACAGCTACCAGGACCCACAATTCGACGTTTCTGATAACAATTGCCGATGGGAAGAGGAGGATAATAAGCAGTACGAATCGCAGTATTCGCAATTTGACACCCAAGAGTATCTAGCAAATGCAGCCAATATGGCGCAAGAAACGCCTCCAAAACCGGTAAAGTCTATAAATCTGACAATGGATCCGAGGGAAGTGGAGAAGATACGAAACAAGAATCTTTATCGGCGGTGAACGAATTTAGGAAAAATGGGGTATACGGTATAAGAGTGTCAGACGAGGTATATTTCTTATTTTCGTAGGGCAATTACAACCGTCATCGAGCAATGCATTTGGCCAGCTCATATTTTCTCATGTACGCCATATATGCATGTTGTAATATATAGATTCTATCGCCGGGGTCTCAATTAAATATTGATAGTATCAAAGGTACAAGTTGTCCCTAGCAATCTATTGACGCTAAATGGTACCCTAGCGCACACCAAAAAAAAAAAAAAAACAACAGAAAAGGGCATGTTTGAGGAACTGCACTGCTAGCTCGCCGCTCCCCGGGGAGACAATGCACACCTAAGACATATTACTGATAAGTAAGACTTTCCCACCTCCGCCATAAGACCGCATCAGAAACGTGGTCGGCTGCCTTTCGAATTACATGGATATCTCGCTTCGTTGTGCAGAGATGCGTCTGGCGTGCGGGATACGAAGGGGAAAAAAATGCAACTGTTTGCAATGCAAGTCCATGCCATCGGATAGAGAGCTTGAGGGGATAAAGCGAAAAACAGAAGGATGAGAAGAGGGGACGAGGTAAATGAGGAGAGCTCCGAAGTATAAACCCGACGAGATGTATGTCAGGTCAGATATATGGGGAACATGGCAAGGAATGTAACGTACAGCGAAGAACCCATGGTGCATATAGCGGCTCCTGAACGAGAAATAAGTACCAAAAGGTAGACTTTGGAGATGAAACTTGCCCCAACTAGATGAAGCACTTAATCTTATTAGCCTGCACAATGACGAAAATCTTCTAGTTACCTCGATATACTGGAAGGACAGGAGGAAAAGGGGGAAGACGGTGTTCTGGACCCGACGAATAGATTAAATAACGGCAACCGCCTGCATACGGATGTCGACTTTTTGTACAATAAGTTGTATTGACAACACATTTGAGGGTGGAGGAGGTTCCCATCCGTTTTTGCCGCGTGTGTGGATGCTTGATTGGGGCTAGAGATTGCCGGTTTCGGGATAGTTCTGCCAGGGATAGCGACTTTGCCAGAGCTCAACCTCTCAAACATTTTTTTGTGGAAAGATAGTTGAGGTTTAGGGAGGGGATTGGGGATGTGTATATATGGGCTTCAAAGATGCATTGACTTGACGGACTTTGGATTAAAGTATTCTCGATTAACTTAATATCTTTTCATCTCGACCTATTATATTTAATTCAAATCTAAGCGGAAAACCTTATTCAGCTGCAGTAGCAGTTCGGAATAGCTGATTCCTTAATTTCGGGTCCAAGTGATTGGAGGAAAGTGGTTCCGAGTTCGACTACATACAAGCGATTGCGACTACACGACTGGATACAGACGGATTTCCCCAGATTTAGCATTAACTCCGAGGGTTCATTCAACATTTCTCCTGACTCTTGATCTGCGCTGCACGATTTTTTCTCTCGACCAGATTATATATATTTATCTCCGGTCTCTTATATGGACCTCGCCCTTCATTCTTCATACCGCACGGCCCCCTCAAAATTGCAAATCAAAGATTCTACTTTTTGTACAGCAGCAGCCATGGCTTGCACATGCACTTTCAACCGCCAACATATGCACCCACCATATCCCATAATCAGGCCACGGAGCCTGCGGGTTTTGGCTCCGGTGCAAACCTCAATGGATTTGGACTGGGCTTTTAATAAGTCAATTGTAAGTTTTTTTTTTTAAGTGTTTATCCTTAATTTTTCCGAAGACCCATACTAATGTCTAGAAAGGAAGAGTCCAAACAATTGTGGAGACTGGGGTGTTTCGATAGTAAGGAAGTTATGACGTTGGTATGCTCCACTTAGACGGCTACAATGGTACGCGAATGTCTACTAACTGCGGTAATGTCGATGCAGGAACAATCTAGAACCCCATTTCCGTTCCTACAAAAGAAGGCGATCCACGAATTTGCCCACCTCCTTCGGCATCCGGACCCAAATACAGTCCCTATGTAAGCGACAATCATATTAATACCAAAAACGTCACAATTGTCCAAGTCTAATTAAATCTCTATTTTTTAGTGTCCAGCATTTCGCGGTCACTAGCTCCACACATAGATCGCCAATCTACACTTTGCCTCTCGAAATTACCAACATGATTCTTTCATACCTTTGCGACTTTAATACTCTCAACTTGGCGCTCGCTAGTCGTCAAATGTTCAATATGTGTAGTTTTCGCCTTCAAAAGATGATTAATCACCGAACATCTGGTGGTTGGATCGGTAAAAGACTTGCTGCCGTCGGCGAGAAAGCGTATACACCCGGATTTCTCAGTTACGAGCCCATGATACAAGGGTATAGTACTGGCATGATCGTGCCATCTCGGGAATCTGGAACGAATAATATTCTGGATTCATTGTTTGCGGGATTCAGTACTAGACAATTAGCGACAGGGAAACAAATCCTAGAGACTGAGGACGAAGATCTGGGAATACAACCCGAAATCAGATACGAACGAAGGAAAAGGCTCGCAGGCATTGTGGCTTGTGGAAGGTACCCTGAATCCATTAATGAGATTGTGAGGTTCCTTCTTGCCGGAAGCACCAAGACCTCAGGTGACACAACGCCAGTCGGTAGAAGATCATATTTCATCCGCAATTTAAAAAAGAGGCACTACATTCACACAATCAAAGGAGAAGCCTTCAAAAGATATCTCAGAAAAGTCGCAAGTCACAAAAGAACTCTTGAAGGCACCGACCTCGGAAGGTTTACCGCGGAAGAAGCAGCTCTTTGTGCTTTCACTATGGAAATTATGTGGGGAGGGAGTTCGAAAGAAGGGGAATGGGCAGCTACGGACTGTTTCGATATTGTGGAAGAAGGGAAATGGGATTTGGCACGTGCGAGGCAAGAAGGCTGGGAGGATGTTAGTGATGATGTGGTAGAAGGGGCTATTGGGGCCGTTCAAGGAGTCTATTAAGTATTCATATGAGTATGAGGCATGGTTAACGATGTTATGAAATCTTCCAACTTGAACTTGTTGTTTCTAAGCGTTTACATATCTTATTATTTAATTTAATTAGCCACTATTCTTTATATCGATTCTCTCGATTCGAAGTTTTAACCTTCCGAACTAGATCTGCTGATACGTGAAGCGCAGGCCCCTAACGGCTACTTGGTGGTAGCGATACTAGTCGGAAGAGAGCGGTACAGCTTTTTTGGTGCCATGCGTCTTTGCCTGTCAAGCAACATACCCCTTTCCTAGGCTGCTTATGAATGTGGACGACTAGTTAAGAAAGTCCAGCCGGTGTAAGATTAATTGTTTGACCACGCGAGCTGCGTGTTGTTCGGCGTGCGTATTCTGCGAGCTACAGACGGCAACACTAAATTGATGTTGCATTTTTCAGCCAGGTTTGGTCTCGTTGGGTTACTATTTTGGATAAGACCGATAACAACTGGGAACAAAAATAAGGCCGTAATATCGGTATAGTCGATCTTCAAGGAGGGTGAAAATCGAAAAGTTACTTAAATAGAACAAACTCGGGTTGGTATTTATTTGTAAAAGGCTTGGTCTTATGGATGGCGCACATATATTTAAATTTACTAGCGATAAACGTTATAAACGTTATAAACGGTCCAACACATGCCAGGACAATGAGGCTCATAAACCGCGTGGCCAAAGACGATCTTTTGATCGCCGTGTGAAGGATAAACTTCTTGTTTTAGAAACTCATAACAAGATATCAATAAATTATAAAGTGCCCATTGATGTTCCCGGATCAAATATTTCTTTGTTTTAAGAGATTTCAGCTCCCTAACCACCAATTCTAAGAACTTGTCTCGTCGCTAGACTCCTCAACTGCGCGTTAAGACCTACATGTAAATACCCTTATTTAAGTCGATATCAACCGCAAAGCTTCCTAAGGTTAGTTACCGAAAATCCGCTGTCGATATATCGTAACTTTTTTGGGTTTCAGCAGTGCGCAGTTCTAACCCTTGAGAAGAATCTTCTCCCAATCTTCTTTACAGATTTAAGTTAGATCTATAGATAACCGGAACTAAATCAGGTAGGAAGCTCTAAAACTTGCAAACTAAGCTAGTTAGTTTCCAATACTCACAGATTGATGTTATCTAGGAAAGGAAAATAATCAGACCTATACACTAATTGCATAAAAATGTCCTTTTGCAAGAGAAATGGGCCACGTCCCGCCCCTAAGGAGCCTGTGAACGAAATCCCCTTTTGGGTCACGGTAGTCTACAACGATTGGCCTCTTCGTAAGTACAATATATTTCTTCTTATTAGATAAGGAACCCAGATAATAACGATTCGAAACCCGGGGATTTTTATAGCTTTACCACTGTCGTATCAAGTATACCCATCTACTCGCCTTGCAGCCATAACTCAAAGATATGAAAGCATTATTGCGAGCTATAGGAAAGTGGGTGAAATGGCCTATTTTGTGGGCCCGGTTTGTTCTGAGAAGGATCTGAGATTGTCTTTTAAGAGCAACGGCTTGCTTCCGGATGTCCCTGGGGGTATGGTTTTAATTGGAGCTTATCAAGTTATTCCTAGGAATGTGCAGAATCAGGGGTTGACTTCTGGTCGAAAGAGATAACTTGCTATATTTTTATAATGTATGATGAGATAAATTACTCCTAGCTCTAAAATTCTACTATTTCTTTTGTAAAATCCCGTCCGAGCAAAATATGTAGAATTGCATTATGTATGATATAAAGAAATGTCCTGGAGTTGCCATAACCTAAGCTAATTTCCATAGGTTCGATTCTCCTACAAAGATAAGCTTTAAATTCTTCCGCATTTCATTGAATTTGCTATTGATTCTATATTTTAAATCTTTATCTCATCGCCAAACTCCTCAGCTGTGTTGAAGATATCGATTTGAACCTATATGTCCGCTATTAGTCTCGAAGCCAGACGCCGGGTCAGCCACCAAAAAATAGGTGTGTTGCCACTACTTGGTGCGTCTGGCTTCGAGACTACTCCGCTATCAAACCCGGTGGAACAGCAACAACAGAGTGCCTTCGACGCTCGACCTTTTTTATATATTTTTAGGTCAGAATTTCGCAAAATCATTCCATAGTACTCCTTATAACATATAGATATCGATATATACATCCTTGTATATGGTTTCAGTTTGGGCTTTTAAGTATGGTTGAGAGCTAGTCTCTGGCTTGATGACCCGAAAATTCATAAACCCGCCGCAAAAAAGAGCAAAAAATAGGGACGAGAGAAAACAGGACTGATAAAACGCTTAGAATTAATTCCCGATAAATACGGGCAACCGCTAGTCAATAGACGCCGTGTAATACATGAGGAGGCTCTAATCTAGTAAGCCAGATGAAGATGGATGGAGTTATTTTCCTATCACGAAATTTCCACCTTTAGTCAACCTCTAGGAATATCCACCAGAATTGCCGTGAAGCGTCGATAGATTTAGGTATCTCAACTGAATGTAATGTATAGAGGAAGAGGCTATCATCCTGGGGAAATGTGACTATTTCAAAATATTGCCAAATATCGGGAGGGCCCAGTCGGGAGAGCTGATAAGTAAAATGTGGTTTAAAGATCCTATGTGTTGGCGAAAGTTCACCAATTACGTCTGGATCGTATAGCTTGCAAGGGTCTGGGAACGGCATCTCTGTGGTCAGTTGTGCGTCCCTGTTCCCAGAAGCATGGCAAGAATCGTATAAAAATCGGTATGCGCACTTTATGTTCGACATGAAAGTGGTGGGAGACATCTGTCTGAGGGAGAAGCGTTCCCGAGCAAGTCTTGTCATGATTCTCAAAGGCGTCAATACGTTGCTAATCAAAACCTATTATCGAAGGAAAAAAAATTAGATGGCTCTAGTAGTTTAGTTGATATGGGTGGTACTGACATGACGCCAGTAAAGGCTTATTGGAGATACCGAAATAAAAAAGTTTCGTGAATCGGCGGTGAAATCCAATAAGAGATTCATCATGTGATACGCTACCGATATGATATGTTCCAACGCATCCACCATTATAACAAAGTGAATCATATCGTTGAGCGAGAGTTCACCTTGCCAAAACCTGTTAAGTGACAAATTTATGGTTCTAGGGTTTATTGTGGACAGTAGAGCCAAATATATTGGTTGGGAAAATATATATCTCGGCTTAGTGTGATCAGTGTCATCGTCGGACAATTTGTCGAAAACACCCAAGATAATAAATGGCACATATGCATATCCAGACGCGACTATTTCTTTGGAAATCGCTGGGTGTTTCGTTTTAGAGGGTTTCTGCATTTTAAGTGCCATAAAATCGAAACGTTCTTCAAAATTTCCGGCCGAATTGATAATTCCTTCGACAGCGCTTGTTATATAAGCTCGTGAGCCGGCTATCGCGGCTGGCAATTGTCCTACGCCAAATGTTAGATGCCGAGAAGGGGATTGATGGGTTGAAGTTGCTTGATAGAACTTGGTGAGACATACCCGAGAATCCCAAGATATTTTTATCAAGGTGAATTCGAACACAAGGCAGCCGATAAGTAGATAAAGAAGAGCTCATTTCTAGTCGCTGGCATCTTGCGCAACACTCCCCTGGATTCTCAGAATTATAGCTGCACTGAAAAATGGAGAGATATTGGTTAGCTAACACGAAAACCAGGGTGATCGTATCGATATATCCCTCAAAACAGAAAGCTCTTCATACCCTCTTTTTGGACCGAGAACATGGGAGGCAAGGCCTAAACTTAGCTATTAGGCGTTTGTTTGCATTTTCTTCACTTGTACGGGAACGTTTCTTCTGCTTCTCAAGACGAAAGACTTTCGAGTACGGCTCCTCATTCCATGTCTTAGCTTGGTACCTAGTACCTTCGCGGTATTTTCTCTGTTTTCGCTGGACCACTTTCAATGGTTTCAAAGTTTGGGCTGACTGAGGTATTGCTAGAACGGTTTCGCCCGGTCCGCTATACTCTGACTCAGGAGTCTGATTAAGAGTAGCAGAGTTGAATCCCGTTAGGGCCATAGGGTTTTGAGAGCCTGCGTTATGAATGACCTCTTCTCCAGGGCTGAGTCCTAGGATGTTGTATGATTCCTGTAGGAAGCCATCGATATCAAAGTTCGGGTCAGCTTCGCTGGCAGGCGAGCCTGAGCTGAGATGAGGCCAATCTAGCTGCATAGCATCAAGTGATTGGTGTTGAGGGTCATGTATTATGTTAGTCTCTTGGTATGAAAGGCTTGATGCTGCACAAGGCTGAGAAATTCTACGATTGAAATCTTCAAGCGCTTGAATCCATTGATGGTTTTCTTCCATTGCGATGATCTTGATTAAGAAAGCTGGGGAAGAATGGCAATAAAGCAGATAATAAAGTAGAGCCTGGGTCGTAGTAGAAACGAAAGGTCCGACTTGTTTCAATCCTGGTGGAATGGATCGTGGAAAGAGTGTCTTCCAGGTTCGGGCTCGTGGTAGGAGGATTAAATTGTGGGCTTGAATGGCAAAACCGCGCTATCCCTCATTCGGACATTCGGCAGAACCAAAAATCGTCCATATCGGGAAAAGCGGGAGTATTCGTGTTACACAGCTGTGGTGACTAATCAAGGACGTTGGAACCTGGACCCCAACACACTCGGAGATCGAGACTGATCCTAGGCCGACGACTTTCTACATGAGAAATTCAAATTCACAGAAGGATATCTATTGAATAACATGGTATTTTTCACTTAGGCTGGTTACTAAGATGTCCTCTATTATTTCACAGCCGGTTTTTCTGTCAAGAAATCCCTTCATGACATCCTTGGATAAATTATCTTCTGGATCGCGATATATATCGCTTCATCCGCAGGGCCAGAAGAACGAGATCTAGAAGGGTGGTGGTGATGGAATATAGCCTGGTGTCAAGGTACTTGAGCTATAAATTTGTATTTATAAAATTAGATTACTAAGAGCAGGATATACGAGAAAGACTGCGAGAAATTCTTTAAACGAGACACCAACTACAACTTCGACCGCTGGGTAGTCGATTGTTTATTCTTTCGAAGCGTCAGATTCTAGCTAACTCTCTCTCAATCACCCACTGGGGGTAGCGCTCGTATCTTGGGACTCGACCGAATTATAACCTCCATCTCTGCGTCAATCAGCCTGCGTTCTAAATACCATAGCTGGGTCACGTTCCGTGTCAACAAGCTATAGCCTTCATACTCGGGCCTGTACCCTCGCGACAGGAGCTAAATTACTGATTTCTCCAAATTTCACCCGGGAAAGTACTATTGGTTTCCACTGAGCCTGAGCCTATAATTACCATCACTCACTATCGGTAACCTTTTAATTTACCAACTACATTAAGGTTGATAGTGTGAGACTGCATTATCAGTACATTCTAGGTTTCAACACTAGTACTAGTCATCTAACATAAAGGCGCGGAAAAAAACAATTTAGAGGTTCTGGCAAAGACGAGAGCGGTATTATGGAGGAAGATCTACATTGTTACTCCCCTGAGGCTGAATGGTTTTCATGGGAACATTTTCATATGTACTTTTTACAGGCTTGCAGGCCAATAGCTTTAGTATTAATATGCCGAGGCTTTTTTGATAATATATATCTATTTTTGAAGGGCCCTGATAAGATACAAATAAGATAGCTAGGCATGAATCAACTGTGCGTGACAATCTGACTATACCATGATAGAGCAACTTGATAATAAACCCTATCGCCGATATTCTTATAGCGATTAATTTGGCAAGGTCAGTTCAACAGCAAGTGTGGCTCCAAGCGTTATACGGGCAGTGTCAGGACTGTTTAGCGTGTTAGGCGGATATACTCCTAGGCAATCATATTGATAGCGGATATTCGGTGGTATCTGTTGCTCATGGGTTACGGGGACACGTGGCGAGTTTCTCCATTTGTGGGCGGAGTAAAAAAAGGTCATATGGCAGCTTCAAATCCATAGCTGTGAACGAACCTGGAAATCACCTGAATGATTATTATCATTAATAAACTGTTGCGACGGGTTGGGAAAGGGTAGCAATAATCGACAAGGGTTTTCAGTCTTTGAAGCAGATGGCGAGGTGTTTGTGGAATGCGTTGTGAGTTGGATTTAGACAAGTCGGCTAGTGTCGGTTGGAACGCTGATTGGCGTCATCTCGAACCAGGCCAGGGTGCATAATGCAAGATTCGTCCTGAATCCGGGTTCTTGAGTTTAGAATTGATATTTTCTGTATTTAGGGGTTTTGGGGTTTGCGATTTACTGGACCATCATTGAATTCGCAGCTTTAGGGATTGGATTCTTAGAAGGGGGACACTATTGATCACAAAGCTGTCATATATTCTTTGGGAATATATCGAATACTCGTTACCAGGAGGTTGTTTGTTTACATACCTCGGTACCCAAAGCTGGCATCAACGCAACTCGCTCCTTCTAACACTTCGCGAATTCGACGGTTCAACATCAAGAATATATTGAGCGAGCAAACCCACGCTGGATATCGATCTTCCCGAGGCAGAAGTAGACGGTAATAACATAAGCAGGATCGTTTCATTCTTTCGGGAAACGGTTTCTTGACTGTAAAACGGCGGGGGCTATGGGTAGCGGATGGGGAGATACCGACGCACAGAGTGAGGGTGGACGCCGCATATGCAAACACATGCAGGACCCAAGTAAAAAGCCCGACCCCGCTTTTGAGGGCAGGTGGGACTCATTCGACGATGTAATGCTCGACGCCTCGATATACAGGTGGTTACAGGGTGTGGAAATAACACCACCGATATCACACCCGAATAAACCGGTCAGGGGACGTAAAAGACGGAGGCACAATATGGATTTTCGAGACGAATTTGGTCATGAAGTTGCCCAGGATGAAACGAGAACACGGGATATCTGGAGTGGTCAACGTGGGGAAGAAACAGATGGGGGTAATAACGCTTATAGTATGGAGGATGTGGCCGAAGTTCTTCCAGTTCGACCTAGTTCACCCCAGAAAAGACGACTAAGTTTGATATTGAGTAGTGAGCCGTCTAGGAGCTCTGGCGATATCATCTTTGAAAGCCGCAAGTTCGCTGCAGCCAGTGCCAAATGGACAACGTCCACGGCTGGGACCCGAGTGTCGAGTCCGGACAAATCGGCAGGCGGCACGAGATATTCGAGCCCCGAAAAGTCGAACTTGAGATCAAAGTCTAGGAGCACAAGCCCTGAGAAACGATCAGTGACTAGTAAAGCTACTGGACAAACTACCATGGGCTTTCGGAGGTCGGAAATGGCAGAATGCACACCATCCTTTATATTTGGGCACCACAATCGGCTCGCTTCGGGGTCAATACCATTAGTCGTTGCAGCATTTCGCAATCGCGTTAACCCTGAAAGGCTTCTTCAGGGCTGTCTTGATATATCAAAAAAGGCAAGATGGCTTAGATCAATCCAGAAGTAGTGTAAGGTCCAATCTTGCTAATATATTATCCAGGCTGCCCTTGAGACAGAGTACCCCTTTGAGTTCTTTGGACCCTCACTATTCGCTGATTCTTCCCCACCTCGCAAGAACTTCTGCGGCCACGTGGAGGATCAGTGCATGATGGGGATTGAACATTTCAATACTGACGCAGGTGAAAGTGCTTGGTCGACATACGTGAACGGGGTGCTTCAGGGTATACCCACAGGCGAAGCCCAATCCAAAAAGCAGTTAATTATCAGTGGCATGTAGGTGGAAGAGAAAAGATATGTTATATATATGCTAGTCGTAGCTAACTTTGGTTTTTTAGAGAAAACCGGCAACTGCTGGCGAGTGTCACGCCTATTGGTGCTCCAACTTTGCGATCCGATCTGATTATCGAAGGAAATTCAAATTTTCCATCGCCTTTTGCGGATACCTGCCGCAAGAAGGTTTTTCCGCCATCTACAGTTGACAAAAGTTTGTCCCCTACCGCGCAGCGGACTTCGCAATTGAGGCCAGCATTCTGCGTGATCGAAATAAAGGCTGCCGGTGGAGATTTACAAGAGGCTCAAACGCAAGCAGCTGTTGTCGGGGCAGCCGTCTTATTGAAGGCGAGGCAAATCGGAGCGAATGATGATATTATTCCCTTTGTGCCAGCTATTATGACAATCGGACACATCTGGCACCTCAATCTTATATACGAGGAGACAAATGGAATTGTGAGTAGAGTTGCCTTCTCCTAAAGGCATTCGCTAACTGGGGAATAGGTCATTGCAGGGCCGTGGATTATTGGGGATACATTGACATTTCTTGGGACCTTGAGGGTGGTCCTATTTGTTGAAGAGTTGAGGAGCTATGCTGTGGATACGTGGTGGCCAAAGTTTGTTGATGGGTCTTGCCGGGAGCTACTTGAGAGAGAGCTGGTAGGCTAGCTTGGTCGTAGCCATGTTGAAAATCAGAGTAATTATTAGACGATCGGAATTGCAGTGTTAGCGTACCTGGTTATCTGTTGGAGTAGTTGCGCCACATATACGCCACACAACTGAACATTGTGGCTGGTGAATGCTCCAGGATGATTTGTCTAGCCAGACCAGCACTAAGTATGTAGATTATCTGTCAGTCTGTAAATGCTTAAGGTTACATCGATCTCAAGGCGTTGCGATAAGATACAAAAGTGATGTGGTGTAATGTGGTTTTTGTAATGATCGTATCACATTCTCCTCATGAGCTCACTACTGATCAAGCGGCTCTCTTCGTCCCGGAACCCGCGATAGTACAATATCCCCTCTCGAGACCCGCATGTGTAGTATACTAGCAGCAGTGTTTATGCATAGCGAAGCGGGGAAGGTCGGTTACTCTTATCATAGGAATATTTGGCAAATAAATAACTCATCGAACGCTCAGATTGCGAAAGTATACCAGAAAACACACCGACAAATGTTTAGGAACCATAGAAGCTTCGATTACCTATGTATCGGGCCTAGGCAGACGGCTTGGTATTTGTAAATCCGGATCTAAATACGAGGGATCACTGGGAGCCCTGGCGTTTGCATGAACTTAGAAATAGTGGCAAGGGATGATCTGGAACATCAGGTCGCGTGTATCAATCGCAAGGATCGGGATGGGGGTGGCGAACTAGCGGTTTAAATTTCGAGGATATAGAGAGGTGGCTGGGAGGGTTTTGTGCCTGTGGCGTAGTTTAATAGAGATTTCCCTACTTGTGTTACGATATACAGTATTACCACTCGTGAAGCACTTGGGTATCATGATGCCATTTCACAGTTTTGCTACGAGAGTAGTACCATTGTGGAACGTAGCTAAAGAATAACCTGTTCAACGACGTCATAACTCTGCTTTTGCCTCCACTGGCAAAAGATTTGATTAATCTTATACATTCTAGTTCCTTTACCTGGATCCATAGATCTATAGAGAACATTGTGCTGGAGTGGAGAGGATTTTTTTCTGGTTAGCACAGGTGGATCAGGTTTGGACAGCTACCGGGTAGTATGGACAGCTGTGTAATCTATCAGTAATCAATAGGAAGGTGCTTGAGTATCTTTGGGGCGATAGCACCATATGGCTTGATATGATGTTACAAGATCCCAACGCCAGGGTAAACCGACACAAGAGCGTCTCACAATCATGGATCTGGATTCTCTAAGACTGGTCAAATCCTGAGGGCTATTTCGCTAATATTACCCACCCATGCTACTCTATCTAGGATGATGCCTTTGGTCTTATCTTGAGAGGTTTGTGGCCACAGTTTAGGCAGCCGTCGGAGTAAGTATTGATCTGGAAGACGTTAAAATGATAGTCGTAGGTCAGATGAATCAATTGGCCTTTCTGGCCTTTGGCATTAGCTATTGACGACCAGTCTGTGGAGGGTTTGAATTCGGAGTCTAGTGCTGGCTCTAGCAAGGGACCCTCAATGAATGCGGGGCAAACACGAGGTATCCGGTGCCAGGACCATCATTAGCGATTAGTGATACCCCCCGGCCCATTGGCCATATTCGTCAGGGGAATGGCGGCACCTCAGTCGGAACCGGCGGCTTTTGTGAACCAAAAGTGTGTTGTTTTGAAAATACCACACAGAGTTCCAACGACCTTCCATTTCTTTGTTGCGGAATCAAAGACTCGAAGATCGAATGCGATTAAGGGGCCGACCGTCAAAAGCCTCGGTATTCCAACATTGAGTCGCGTGCGCACTGTTAATGCCAATTCGTTGTCTCTCCGCTATCTCGCGATAGCAATTTACTCCGCACAACATGTTTTATCTCGCCGCTGAGACCATCAGGTCCAAGACATCTTGGAATGGCAGCCTGGCGGTCAAGAAATAGGTAGGCCTGTCGGCCAAGGAAGCAAAGTCCTCGATCAACCTGTTCGTGCTAAGCGCTGGACATCCGAAGTTGCTCCAATTCATAAACATCAACCTCGGACGCTCTCGGACGCCCTCGGCAGGCCCCGTTCCTGCTTCTGTATGGAACATATTTCTAGCGGACTGCCCGTTCATAACCGTTAGGGCGTGCAAAGGACATTTCGCCATCGATGTTCCTTCTGGAAGAACATTCTTCCTTCCGATTCAGGATGGTTGACATCTGCGGTACCACCTTGGCCTCCTTCCAACCTGGGTACAAGAGCAGGCGACCCCTCGTTCGTATTTCACACTTTGCCGGTTTCCTACAGGCCAATAGAAACGCACTAAACCTTATCTCGACGTAGAACCTTCCCGTTTAGGTATAAACACTCCGTCCTGGGAGGTGCGAAATGGATTGACCAGGCACAGCATCTCCGTACTTGGCATCGATTTTACACATTCTTCTTTTGAGAACTGTGTTGTGATTATCGTGTCGTTTATTCCCTGGTTTATCGTGATCATGCTCTATCATGGTTGGGATCAGGGTAGGCGTGAGGAATGCCACTTAGAGGAATGTGACAACTTCTCGAAAAGCATACTCAAATTCGCTGCCAAGTTGCACTAGGTGTGTAGCCTCTTGAGTTTAGCTGGGCGGGGAAGATAAACATTCAAGGTCGTGATGGCTAGAGATACATAAAGGTGAGGATGCCCGGTGCGATTCTGATACTTTTCTTCTCTGTCCGTCCGCCGCATATCGTACCGCCCCCAACAGTCTCTTACATAGGAATTGTCGGATTTATCGTTCGCCATGTCGAAGAACGCTCAGGACACCGTCGAAGTCGCCGGATCGCGGCAGTCGCTGCAGATCGACGAGAAGAAGAATGTCCAGGATTATACCGTCGACCTTGGGTCGGAGAAGGATTCCGCAGATGAGATCGAGGTTCTCGATCCATATACGCCCTTCCCGATTGATCCTAACCAGCCAGAAGAGGAACACATTCTTACCGTTCGTGCACTATTCCTTGGATGTGCTCTTGGTGCCCTCGTCAATGCCTCCAATTTGTACCTCGGTAGGTTTATTGTCTACAAGAACGGTTTTAGTAGTTATGCCTGGATTACTTACATTTATGCCACTAGGTCTCAAAACTGGTTGGTTGTTCGGTGCCAATCTTTTCGGTGCTTTGCTCGGTTTCGCCATCTTGAAGGGTATGAGCAGGTCGCCGCTCAAGATCCCGGGTCTGACAGATCACTTCGGCCCTATGGAAAACAATATTGTGCAGACTAGTGCTGCTGCTGCTGGTAAGCACACGTTCCGGCTCTAAGATCTGCCGTGCATCGATTTCTAATAGAATTTTAGGTGGTATGGGTTTGATCTTCGTTTCTGGTATCCCGGCTCTTTACCATCTTGGGTTGATGCACGAGAATCCCAAGGATGACTTTGGCAGACTCATTGCTATCACATTCTGCGCTTCCCTTTTCGGTATCTCGTTCAGTGTCCCGCTCCGAAAATTCTTCATCATCAATGTCGCCAAGGAGTTGTCCTTGATTTTCCCAACTGCCACAGCTACCGCTGTCTCCATCCGTGCTATGCACGCTACTGGCGAAGGTGGATACGGCCAAGCTAAGAAGAAGATTAAGGCTCTCGGTATCTCCTTCGGTGCTGCCTTCTTGCTTCGTGTCATTTCGCAATACTGCGTTGGCGTTCTCTGGGATTGGCATATCTTCTGGTGGATCTACTCCATCGCCAAAACTAGCGGAGTCGCTGCTCCTGGTGTCATTGGTGCTGTCAGCTGGGGTTGGTTCATTGAGTTCACCCCAGCTTTCATTGGATCCGGCCTCCTCGTTGGTTTGAACTCTGCCTTCTCCCTCTTCTTCGGTGGTGTCTTCTCCTGGGCTATCGTCGGCCCCTTACTTGTCAAGTATAATGCTGCCTTCGGCCGAGAGGTTAACGAGGAAATTCCTGGATTGATGAGCTACATGAGCATGAGCGTCAAGAATTTGGATCACGTATCTCCTAGGTACTGGCTCCTCTGGCCTGGTGTCTTTGCCATGATTCTCGTCTCTATGGCCGAATTGGCATTCAACTACAAGGTCATTAGTGCCGGTTTCATCGCCGGTTACAAGAGCATCGTAGGTGCCGTCGGAAAGTTCAAGAATCGCAATGCACCACCATCTGAGGATAAGGCTAGCGAGGTATCTGACAAGGACATTTTCTCGCCCTCCGAACAAGTTCCATTCTGGATGTGGGGATCTCTTACTGTCGCCACTATGGTCTGCATCTGTGTCGTCCTCGGAAAGATGTACCATTTCCCAATCGGTGTCTCTATCCTTTCCATCCTCTTTGCCTTCATCTTCTCCTTCTTGGCTATTCAGTGCACTGGTGCCTCTGATACTACCCCTGTCTCCACTGTCGCTAAGGCATCTCAGTTGGCCACCGGTGGTGTTACTAAGGGAATGCACATCAGCGTCGCTGACGCCCAGAGAATCAACTTGATGGCTGGTTGTGTCGCCGGTGCCGCCGCCTCCCAATCCACTGACTTGATCAACGACTTCAAGGTTGGATACCTTCTTCGTACCCCTCCCAGGAAGCAATGGGTAAGTCATTCTTGAGCATATTAATTTTGTTGTATCCTCGATTTTACTAACATTGATTTAGTATGCCCAAATTGTCGGATCCGTTGTTGCCATTTTCATGGCTCCTAGCTTGTTCATCCTGTTCGCCACCGCATACCCATGTATTCTCAACCCAGATGCTAAGGTCTGTGCCTTCGGTGCTCCATCCATCGCCGCTTGGCGTGCCGTTACCGAGGCCGTCACCTCCCCAGAATTCCCAGTTCCACGTGGCTCTGCCATCTTCTCTCTCGTCTACGGAATCATCTGCGTCCTCATCTCCCTCGCCCGCCACATCCTCAACCTCAAGGGCAAGGAAAAGATTGCCAACTGGCTTCCAAACACCATGGTTTTCTCCCTTGCTCTTACTCTCCCATACACCCAATACGGTACCGCCATGATCATGGGTGCTGGTGTTGCGGCTATCTGGCAGGCAAAGGCTCCAAACAGCTGGAACATGTATGGTACCTCCGTTGCCTCTGGTTTGATTGCCGGTGAGGGTATCGGTGGTGTTATCAACGCCTTGTTCGAAGTTGTCAAGATCTCCGGAAGCTTCCACGGTAGCGGCTTCGGTTGCCCCGACGGTGCTTGTTAAGTGTGGTCGTCTGTATATATCTATCTCAGTGCGCAGCTAGGTTTGCTGGCACTTAATTGTTTTTGTACATAATAATACTCTGTCGTAGTTGTGATTGGACGCTATATACCCCCATCGAATTGAATTTATATTTAAATACCTCACATTCCCAAAACTTTTAATTAACTTGCTTCTGTGTTTGATCATTTATGCTAGGCCGGTGGGTCTGATCAACCCTCAGGTTAGTTGGGCTAGTACTGTAGTAGCAGACTTTTTCACGTTTCTCCAACTTATAGATCGGCTTCTGACGACGAGATCTTCGGAACTAGACTTTTCCTATATTCTTTTTCAAAATAAATCCAGTCGACACAATATATTAATGCGCGTGATGCGGACTCAGCACCAACCATCGCCAATAGGCTTGGGAATGGGATCAAATCCCTCGGTAATACAACTATATAACACTTTAAAGGGCGTCTAGCGCGCACCCTTTTGCCTTCGATTCTTTTGTCTCATGTTGCCTAGCCTAGGCGACGAAGCAATTTGGACGCTGCGAACCTCTAAAATTATAAGGGGAAAAAGGTACAAAGAACAATTCCAGGTGTTGTTGAGGTCTAAGACCCTAGGAATGATCGGGTCTATTGAGAATGCGCTAACATAGTAGCTACATAAGAGAGTTATTAGACGAACTTGAATCGATCTCAGGAAAAAGCTGCCGTACGCCTTGGGAGTTCTTGATTGAAGCGTACTAGTATCTATTACCTGTACGCTACTTTCATCCCTCGACTTTCGGATATTTGCGGCATCAAGGCACTAAAATACAATCAAACTCGCCGTTTAGTTGGATCCTAATACACACCTATGAAATGGGCGGTCCCACAGGTCCCGAACCTGTATTTGATGCCTATGACTTCCCAGCAAACCGTCTTCACAAACTTGATTGGGCGGTCACTACCTCATCCAACATCAACGCCGCTCAGGACCGTTCACAATTCGTAAGATACCAAAAGGTCCATATGCTAACGAAGGAAGGTCATGAAATCTATGGATACGGGGATATACGTCTCCTCGTCCCAACCATGTCTAACATCGGCCGCGACGGCGTTGCTCTAATAGAGCTTCATCGAGTTTTCCATATTCCGTCTTTGGAGTACAATGTTTTGGGATTACCCATGATAAACCAATATGGGCTCCTTATGTATTCACAACCGGCTAGGCTTTTTCTTAATTAAGAGCGAAGTGTTTGGGCTTATGTTGATAAATTGACTAGGCCGAGGCTTCGACTTCTGGGGCGCGGGAAGGACAATACGACTATCAGTGCGGAGGACCAGTATTTAAGTGATATAATAATGGGTACGAATCATCTCGAGGCAGTGATGTCTTCGCCGTTTCGTCCCGATTCTGAAGCGCCGGGTGACGTCAAGGGTTCTAGTTGGCCATCTGCAGAGGCTCTTCGAGGTGCTATATAGATTTCAGGGAAGGCTTTGGGTATAAGGATAATCAATGGAGTTGGGAATGCGTATGTTTTGACTCGATTAACACAGTCTGCGAACTTGTACTAGATGTATCTATTGGAGATGATCATGAAGTCGTGTAAAAAGTTGTTGACTCTACAAAAGCTCTTTCGTAAATTAGGTGAACGACATCGAACTTCTTCCAAGAGGCTTAGATAATACATATTTTACCCTGACTTTGAATCTGATATGTACTGTCAAGCCTGTTGGATCTAAAAGTAATATTGCTTGGCGTTTAGTGGACCAAATGTGTTGCTTTGAAGTCGTAAAGTCGACTTGACAAGCATTCACCTGCTTGACGCTGCATATCGATATCGACCGAGAGGTCTCTGGAATGATTCTTGGGGGGCTGAGGAAATCCTGCAATCACGAATTCGCAACGGTTTCATGGTGTAGTTGGTTATCACGCGACCTTAACAATCTCTATCTTGAGATTTGATCGGTCGAGGTCTTGAGTTCGATCCTCAATGAAATCAGCGAGTTTATCCTTTTGCCTCCCGCTTGCGCTAGCAGGGGTTGAGATTTTTTATTTTTTTTCCTCCCGAAACTTTGAATGCGCAGGGTGAAATACGAGAGAATAAAAGCAAGGTTGGAAGCAGAGGTGTATACTATTAGGATCTATCGTCGGGACGCACTTGATGTTTATTCTATTCAGAATTCCCGGTCGTGGTTGACTTGGTATGACATCACAGCTAACACAAGTGATACGGTACACGGCCGGAATTGTAGTTCACAGAGGGTCTATTTACAAAAGTTCTCGACAGGCTCTAGCTGAGGAATCTAGATCTCGACTATCTCTATCAAATTAATTTCTACATCAGCCATGTCGGCACCTATAAGCTAATATCAATGTAATCGATATTTCATTTTCTTTTAAACCCTTCCCGATCGGTTTCTAAGATAAATTTGCGTATAACAGGAGCTACTATTAGTAAATTGACCTAAACTCTCATACTCGACTAGTGAATCGGGCCTTTAGCAAAGTTAAAAGAGCCATCTCCTTGCTAATTAAAGGCGATTCAGATTGAAACTTAGCTTTTGGGACAAGTGCGGCTTCGGGGCTTGAGCCGCGATCGGCATCATCGGTACGCTACTAGTTTGTTATAGTTATAGTGAGACATAGCTCTATAGATGTGTCGGTGTAGAGCTCGACACTTAGTATATTTGAATACCTTTGGCCGAATGACACATGCAAATTGCGAACCCAAATAAAATATTCGAAACCGCTTTAGGTTGAATCTTTGGACTAGCTTTGTACCCGAAGATACTACCGTGTGATTTTTGTATGGTGAGTTAAGGACTAGTATATTTGTTTCATTTTCAGGGCAAGGCGAGCTCGTGGATTATACACCGAGAACACCCCTGTAGGTTTTAAATTTTGGATTCATCACCGCCAGTCTGTTGTAGATTAAGTCGAAGGCTGCATATTCTCGGTTTGGAAGTGCGACACACAGTCTCGCGTGCATATTGGGTTCTTGGTCGTTGTTCCTCAATATTATATATATTTATGGGTTTAAGTGTTCTCATTCTTAAATTATAAAGGGTGTTCCAGGGGCACAATTTCATAGAACATCTGGGCTCAATCGCGGTGAATTCGATTCGCGAATACCTTACATAATTATCTTGTTCGGAACGCTTCGCTAGCTATGGTACCGGGTTAACTGATAATAGTTTGGAATCGGTCATCGGTAACAGAGACAGGTCGACTCGCAGGGTAGAGATTGAGAAAAATATATAGATTTTTTCATCGGTCGAGTCTAAACAGTTGTGTAAAAGGGTTCGAATCTGTAGTTCATTCTGGATTAACACCTTCCCGGCCGGAGAGGTCCAGAATAATATTCAAAGTGTTGATTTGGTGAACATATATAGAAAGCCGTTGGCTAAATGCATAGGTATAAACCATGACCTTTAGTTTTTTAACTGGGTAATTCTTTTTCGACAAAAGATTCGCAATGGGTATTATGTACTTCATGCCGTCTGAATTCAATTTACAGTAACGTCGATATTTGGTACTTATCCCTAATTTGGATGCGCTAAGTTGATAATTGTCTAGGAATAGTGTATGTTGTTATTCCCTGGATAGCCCAGGAGGTTATACTGTTGCCTCTATATCCATATATAATGAACCGGGTTAATCGATCGGTTGTTGATGTTGGAACCCCAAAGGCCGGACGCCAATATAATATAACTATATACTCAATTCTAAATTCATATGCTTGATTCCAGTAAATTATTCCCGTTAGTTAAAACCCGATGCTTTATATGTGGAATTAAGAACGAATACCCATGATTGGCCTGGTTGTGTACTAGCTGAGGTTCGAAGATGTATTTTTTTTGCACTCTCATGGATGAACGCCGTCGCAACGATCGCGCCTGAATATTATTAGGTTCATCTTTTCGAACTCGAAGGATCTAGTATGAATGGAACAACATGAATGAGAACTCAGACTCCATATTCCCCTATAGTTGGGTATTTAGATTTGGGCCGAAAATAATTATTTGCCTTCTGAAAGATCGCCACGATCGGAAGAAACTTTATCAAGCTACATAACTTTCGTGTCTAAGCACAGTTATTTCTCTATGATCATAGGAAAATTGCAGCTAGCCGTGCAGAGCATGGGGTCGGCGATTCGATTGTTGATTTAGTGTAATATTTTGACGTCTTTAGTTTAAAGGTAAATATTATATATTTGGCCTAAGGTCGCTTGCACCTACTAATGGAACAAGAAGCAGAATCAGGCGTCCTCCGAGCGAGGGTTCAGGAAAAGTCCCGACGAGTCTTCTGATCCAAATAATCATCTATTTCGTCGCTCTTAATGTTTTGCAATATTTCCCCCCTTGTTTTCTGCTCTTTTCGTGTCCCATACTAGACGTATACGCAGAAAGTATCATCATTGAGCTCTTCGGTAGACTATGCAGATATATTACGATATATTCTTATATATGGATGTATCAAAAAAACCAAAAATCTGGCTTCACCACATAAAAGATCTTTGTTCGACGTTGGGATTTAAACATCACGGGCCTCGGTATTCCTAAACTTATCTACCACATGTAAAACATACGGCTAGTGCACATGCTTATATATATAAGTTAAAGCATCTATATATATCACAGATTTTGAAGCCCTGTGTCCTGACGATGCACCTTTTGATACTTTGTGCATGTGGTTAAATTGGACTTTAGCTTCGATATCATGATGCATCCTGGGTGATTATAGATATAACAAATAAATCTCCCAGACTTCTCATCTGCTGGGTCCATTGTCGTATTATTGAATAGTGGAGCATTAATTTGGTTTTTTTGCGATGGATATAGCGCTCTGCCTACCTTCGTGGTAAAGGCCTATAGTCTAGCATAGGATAGATATACCCGTCAAAGTTAGAAGTAATATACATTGTAAAAGGAATGTAAATGTTAATAGTGAACTTCAAGATGAGGGTTGTTGAAAGGAGGAGGATGGAAAGGATGAAAGTAAAAGAGAAGACCAAAAGTCTGAGGTTTATTTAAATAGCTAGGTATTAAGAGGTGTAGCCGCAGTGTTTCTAGAATGTGGTCGTCCTACTAGGGGAAGCATAAAGGTATGAGTCATCTGGTTACGCTATAGAAGCGCCGGTTCATGGAAAGCTCGGTGTTATTCTAGAATATATTGGAGTATTCAGGTATTCTGTACACCCTACTATAGGTACGTTTATGGGCTTGACGTACAGAAACTTAACTAACTGTGTATTAAGTGATAGAGAATGATCTAGAACTGCCGTAGTCACGACCTACGTATCTTCATATAGCAGAGCAGCTACAACCTAGCCCAAAATTCTAAATATGGTGTTTTTCATTGTGTCTTGAATAGTTCCTTAAAGCTCGTTTAAGTACATCGGTGGAGGGGAAGGGGGGAAAAAAAGGAAAAAAAGAAAAGAAAAAAATCAGTTCATATCAAGGCTCAATCAGTCCTCGTCCTTCTCCTGTAGCACGTGCGTAACATAATCAACGACCACTAGCAAAATCCTATCCGCCGTCATATCTGCCATCCTTCTTCCAGTGGATCGTTCGCAGTTCCAGAATACCAGAGCAACGAGCTCATCCCTATTCTGGTATTCAGCATCGGGTCTACTAAGTTTAGCGAAGAACATTTCAAGCATTTGCCATGCCGGGGGGCATAAAGTATTTATCAACATTTTGTACTTTCTGACGATGGCGAGTGGAAGGTCTCCTTTTGAAATACCATGGTGTAGTGGGCGAGGCGGTAGGGGCGGACCCGGCTTACGAATGCGTTTTGCTGAGGACGGCTTGGGACTATCTATGTTTGTCCTTGGGGGGGTTTTCGGGTTTGGCAAAGATTCCAAGGTCAATGACATTTTAGGACCCCTTGGTGTTTCGGGGAGATTTTGTTTCTCGGGATTCGGAGGGCTTTTATCATCTGTGGCTTCTTTAGACTCTTCGGTATTGCTTGTGATGGGCTTTGGTCGCCGAAGGCAAGATTTTAGAGGGGTAAGAGTTCTGAGTTGAGGTTTGGATATCTTCACGGTGTCGTCAAGTTGGAATTGTGGCTGCCATCTAGGCGCAGGACTGGGGCTGCTGTTTATAAGATCGCTCCAGTCTTCGTTGTCATCCATGGTTTGGTCGATTTCGGCCTTTGACATACCAGGTCGTATTCGACGTGGCGTTGCGGGGGAGGTTGAAATAATAGTTTCGAGTTTCTGTTTCGGAGGAGTTGGAAGTTGACGAGGGACAGATTGCTGCCGGGCTCTTTTGGCAGCTTCTTTTTTCTTTTCGGCGTCCTTTTTCTTTTCGGCATCTCTCATAATTTTGTCGTATTTAATACGACGAGGGGTCTCATACTTTTTCAGGCCGTCAGCAACGGCTTTTCTGACAAGCTCTAGTTTGGATTCGGTTTCTAATTGCATGAGCGCCATCTGCTTTGCGCGGTAAATTTCTGCGGGGCTTTGAAGAATTTGTTCTGGTGTAAGAGGTACAACTGTAATAACACTGTCCACTGAAGATATGGAAGTATTTGTCGTATTAGATATAGATCGAGATTGTGAAATATTTGAATGTGAATGTCTATGTGCCGATTGTCGTTGTTTTGCGCTCTTGATTTTTTCAGGTGTCCAGATTGTCCCTTTGGGTCGAACATACTCGGCCTTGGCTTTGTCGCTCTATAACTTTGCCTTTTCGGCTTCCTTCCGGGCCCGTTCTTCCGCCGGGGAAAATGGGTCATCGTCCTCGTCATCAAGTGCTGAGGTAGCGAGATATCGCGTATCAAGTTGTTCATTTTTGTCAATGGAGTTAGCTGGCTGATGTGCTGCTGAGGCCCGTTCTATGTAAGTTTTATTGGGAGTATGTGGTTTTTCTATGCTAATAGCTGTCTCCGCATTATTTATTCCCTCTGGGGGGGCTGCTGGTGATTCTCTCTCGAAGCTAACATCTTCTGTAAGAGCTTGTTCCGAGTCGACGCTCTGAGCGGCTAATTCGTTTCGCCTCCAAATTTCAAAGTCCCTTTCGGCTTCAACAAGACTTTCATGAATGGCTCGGGCAAATATAATATCATCTTGAAGTCTCATCGGCCTACGCGGATAGTGCGAAAATGGGCGCCTTCGCTCGAAAGGTGTACTTGAGTTTAACTCAAAAAACCTGCAGTCTAAACCCATCCAAGTCTCGCGATCAACGGCTTTCCCTTTAATTGCGCGTTTTATTTCTTTTTGTTCTTCCGTTTCTTCTTCAGGCTCTTCATCGGATTCATCACTGGCGAGTAGAGTCATATCTTCATCTTCAGAATACTCTTCGACAACAGTTTCGTTGATGGGATCCTTTTTGGTGATATCCTCTTTCGCAAGCCCCTCTTCGATAGCCTCATTTTCAACAATTTCTTCCTCATTAACACCCTTCTCGAGGAATCCGGGTAATTCAGATAGTTTGGCTACCGCGATCTCGTACTGCTGTTCTTCTGTAAGCTTAGGAGGTCCTGGTTTGCCCTCCTCCCGAGGAGTTGCCGTTGGTTTGGAAGGTTTGCCTGAGTTGGCGATTCCATTGAAAGGGACATCGGGAAACGGCAGCTTAGCATATATCGTTTGCCTTCCAATTTCAGAGCGCCTTAGCGCCTTAGATTCCTTGTCTGGTGCACGGTCAGCTCCGACAGGCCCGATAGCAAGAGATCCTTCGTCCGTCAGTTTTGTGAATTGCGAGGTTTTCTTCAAGATACCTTTAAGGGGCGTTTTCATGGGGATTTTGAGGCGTAACGGAGTTTCTGGGACCTTGCGTTTTGGAGCCTCCATATCAATTACCAAATCGCTCTCCAACGTGAAGCTCGCTGTTGGGATCTTGAAACCTTCGGGTTCAGGTTCCGTATGGGCCTCAACGGAGGATTTCGCATCCGGGAGCGGCTGGATTTTGTCCGATACACCAAGCGCGGATACGCTTAAATCGCTGCCACATACCTCAAGGTTAGCTCTTTCAACTCCGTCTGCATGTCTTTTCTCTTGCGGATATGAACTCTCGAACACATCCTGCATATCGCTTGTCCATTCCGTTTTCAGCACTCCCGATTTGATCTTTTGCTTTTTTCCACCCTTTCTCGTGATTGAAGTATCTAGGTTCTCGAATTCATAGCCTAGTCTTTCGAAAAGTGGCCTTATGGTCTTGAGGCTCACATTAGGACCTGGGTGAGCGAGGGGTGTGGGAATGTCATCTAGCGAGACGCTAGGGCGGACTTCCGCTTCAAAACCCTGCGGGTGTCTTAAATGCGGAGTGAGTAAAGGAGCCATCGATCCCTCAGCCGTAGTAAAAGTTTGAGGCTCCTGTGAGGTATCAGAAATCATGGAGTGCCCATCTCTAGGATAGGTATCTGCTTGGCTTATACTGTCGCCGAGATCAAACTCGCTTCCTTCTGTCGAAGTAGTTGATGTTGAGGACGAAGCAATGGAATCTAACCATTCCTGCTTCTGCTGTTGAGTAGGCAGTTTGCAGCCATCCGATGGAATATACAGGGGAGTAGACGAAATTTGGCCATCACCTTGTTCTCCTGGGGACTGGGGCTCGAAGTTTGGTGCATTTTGTGCCCCAAGGTCGATGAGATCGTCCAGAGCCTGCGACAGAGAGAATTGCTGTCCTGGCTCCATTATCGTGTATTTGACTAGAGGCATACTGCTCTCTCTCAACAATAGATCGACTTCGCGGTCCTGATCCCTGGTTTTTTCTTGGACCTCTAACAAGCGATTAATCTCCGCGGACACTCTTTCTTGGTCTCTCCTTAAAACATCAAGAGTCGCCTCGAGATCGATATTTCCGGCTCCGCCATCCTTTAATTGGAGTGCCTCCATGGCAGTCGCAACATCGTTATCCATATCTTCGTGCGTAAGCGTAGAGCTTGGGGGGATTATTAACGCGCCCGGTTGCTCTCTGTCCCCGTGTTCTCTATCGCTAGAGACACGCTTTAAACTCGAAATCGGCATTTCATTCTCTTCAAAAACGTCATCAGGATCAATTGGTTTGACAGAGCCCATCATCGGCGATGGGAAGTTATTTTCGTTTGCTGGCTGAGAGAAGATATCCATTCGATGGTGTGGGCTAGCCTTCTCATCTTCTGTGGAATAGAGAATAAAGACATTGGTTCGGGGTTTTCCACGAGGTGGTTGAACGGAATAGAGGTTTCGGTATTTCTCTCTTTCGTTGTCAAGGCGGTTGCGATACATCAAGCCAGAAATATCGCTCTCACCATTCCCTGCTGGGAAGCTGTGGGGACTCGTTGGGATTTGCTCGTCACCTTGCGTTATGGTGAGCTCATCCCCTTTTCTTTGAGCCCACGCAGTCTGAGGATTGCGTAAGGAGAGATCTCCTTCGGTTGGAGCATCATAAATGATGATAGACTCCATTGGCGTGACGATTTTAGTGATCTCTATTCCATTGTTATCTTCCTTCCGCTCTTTATTTTTCTTCTTATTCTTTTTCTTAGATCTCTAAGGTACTGTTAGCTTATATTTTCGAATCTCTAGGATTTGATACTTGCCTTAGGCTGTGGCACCATCTGAACGGATGAGCCTTGCTTGGAGTTGCGGTTGCGTGGTTGAGTGAGTGGGACCGCTTTGGTAGTACTTAAGGGCGAGGCCCTAGATTTGTCTTCGTTCTGTACGCTGATTAGCCGTTAAGTTACTTGAAACTTTCTAGGAGACTACTGTACCTTTTCTGCATCTTTAGATTCCTTAAAGTTGGTCTCCTCGCCAGCCTTGGCTGTAGGTCTAATAATAACTTCCTGATCGACACCAAGACGCCTACGCTTTTCACCCTCTTGATCTTGGTATTTTTTGGCAATGCTCTGTATCCCTTCGAGTAGCCTAACACTCCCAAGACCCTCCTCTTCATCGTTATCGAGCCAAACATCATCCTCTTCCACTGTTGCCGTTGAACTATCTGTTCCCCTCATACGAGCCTCCAGTAGTTTCATACGAGCGGATTGGGAGTCACCTATCATCTGTCCAACCTCAGGCCTTTTGAGTTGGCGGAGGTCAAGCTCTAGCCCTTGGATTCGCCGTTCGCCGTTCTCTCCTTCATCACAGCGAACTCTGAAGAGCTCAATACATTGGCCATGAACAATCTTTGACATTTGATCTCCGAGGGTGTCGCAGCTATTACAGGATTCCATGAAATCCTTGAGACGTTGCTCAGCATCGATCGCGATGTTGATGACACCATCTTCATCGGCATCATCGAAAGTGTATGTTCGAGAACTAGGTTGCATGCAGACTTGCTGCTGATGGAAGGAAGTCGCGTATTTTTGACTCATTACTGTGGTACTAAGTATCTGATGGATCCTATCGATGTCAGCTTTTGTGTCTTCAGAAGAATTTTTGCCCATCCTAATGCGGCTTGAAGAAGGTTTAGGTTTTCGATTAAAAGAGGTTCTTTGAGATGGAGGTTGTTTCGGTCCAAAAGGAGGGTTGTTTTTTGGAGGCGAGGTGAATGAGAAGGACGAAGTTGGGGTAAAATTTGGATTTATTTGTTGAATATCCCATTGTGGGATTCTAGGAGGGAAGCTTCGGGCGGTGGGTTCGGAGAAATTAGGAGTGGGTCTAGGACTTGGAGGTTGCGGTGACGGAGGGGTCGGAGGGGCCGTAGTCGACGAAGACGACGTCTCCCAGGAGTCGGACAGTAAGCAGACCATAGCGAACGCGGAACACAGTCTTTGGTAGCTTTTAGAACTTTTTATTGAAGGTATGGTGATGATTGTGAGAAAGGTGGTGATGGTATTGATAGAGGTGATAAAGTTGGCGATGGTGGAAGAGGATTAGAAGGCTAAAGGAGCTGACAGTAAATTTTTGTCATTTTGGAAGACACACATACATACACTACTTGAATACAGAAGCCAGTATATATATCAGCTACACCAAAAAGGTCTAGCTACTTCACCCTCAGCCCTTTGACATCTTTTCATATAACTACCTAGTACTCAGTACTTATCCATCTAGAGCTACCAAAGCCCGTTTCGTGGATTCTCTCTATGCTAACCTCATTCATATTTCCATATCTCTTAACATACTCTCAATGTGGCCCTTAAATTTACCCCTTAAATATTTTGTTCTAGTTCAAGGATTTCAATCTTCGGTTACCATATATTATCTATTCCTTAATGTCGATTCCGCTTTCATTCTTATCGCTTATGTCTTTATTAAATTTGTATACCTCCCTCAATTTCCTTACCCATGAAAAGCCACCAGCCAAGGGTTACAAAATACCACAGTTCTGGGAAAACGCCAGCCCGTACAGCCCAGCAGATAGCCACCAGAACCATTAACGCGCGTGCTCCGATCGATTTCTTATTGTACTGCTGGGATACAGCGACTTTTCTTCTGGAATCCGGATTAGAGCGGTAAGAGAATTCTTCTTCTTCAGCAAGAACTGATATTAGCTAGTGATACTAATTTCTCTCTTATTGTCGCTATATTCGCATTGAGCTATGTCAGCCGTGGGGTACTTACCATCCTTGCCTCTGGGTACCTTCGATAGTCGTCCACCTTCTTCCCTCAGCAGAATGTCTTCAAGCATTTCTTGTCTTCTCTCCGCTCGTTGCAGGGGTACTAGCCTGAGGGTGTCGTCTTGGTTGTCCTCACACGGCACAATCTTCCATGGTTCCCCTGCCAAATGCGACTTCGAGAAGAAGCTGTCTCCTCCCAAGAAGTACATGCTACGTCGGAAGACCGAACTAGGCAAGCTATTCTCATCTAAACTCCCAGGCCCAGATGCGAGCACCCATTTGCTTAGATCGAACGCCGTGACCTCTCCAGAGTCGAACGCGGAATTATCAATTTTGTTAAACCAATATTTTTTCTCCTGGTGGAAGGACAGCCAAAACTCGTCGCGGTCCCGCAAGTGAGAAATGAAGTCTTCGATTGCATTCAATCTCGTAGGGTATCTTTCAACTTGGGCCATAATCGTGGCGAAAATCTTTTCTGCTTCGTAAGATCCTTCGCTCCCCAGGGTGAAGCAAAAGCTGCGGGGTGGTTCGACTATTCGATGTCCTTTAGTCCAGCGCCTATAGTTGACGAAGTTTTCAATATAGGCCGGTGTACGACCCTTTCGTTGGAAGTGGAGACTGCCATCGACCACCACATCTATGCATCTTATGTGTTAAGAACGCTCAAGTTTTGCCGTGGCAATTTCGGCTACGTAACGATACACTTACGGAGATATTGTACACGATTCCCAGCCCATGAACCGATATGCTGTGGTAGTATAAGATCTTGAACATGTGGTGCGGTCAATTTCAAAAGCCGAAAACTCGTCACGGCCAACGCCAAAAGACTTAACGGATCTAGTTCATTAAAGATGCGGAATAGAACACCGCTTGGGAGCCATGATAACCTGCCGGTCGAATCTTCGTCATGCCTTATTGACTGCGTAAGTTGGCGGTGGAGCCTCGACGTCTTGTAACGTTCGCTATCAAATACCAAAATTCAGCTATAAAGGGGCTTCCCTACCATAAAGGTTTGTACGTTTTCCTGGCTTTCTCTCACCTAAACTTTTGATCTAGCATCATCTCCGCAAGGGCCTTTCTGATCGCCCACTGCTCTTTCTGGAGGGTAGGCCAATCTGGAAATCGTTCATTTGTATGAAGAGGGTATATCATAGTCTATTCAATTGATCAGCCCCATAATCTAGCCGGAAATCCACTGCATTAGATATTAACAATACTTCTTTTGTATCAAGATTCACAAACATTGCAGTCTCAACGTTCCCTTTTCTCTCCGAAAAGGGAGGCAGTACAGGTAGTAGATCCGATTCGGTGGGCCCTTTCTGGGGAGTTGGGGTTACCGGACCTGGAGACGGAGGGACCGTCGCATCGCTTTGGTTCCTAGTATTTGTCGACATTGTGATACTTTCACTTCCAGTTTTCAGTATTTCTTGGCAAGGGAAATGATTCTATTATACGGTATACAGTAGACTCGGACTCCGGTGATGTCCTTTACTTCTCGTTAGAATGCTGATATGCGGTCGCCCGGAGAACACGCCTAGAGATATTATTTGAGATGCCTCTGGCATGGATCGGATATGTGGGTAGTCAGGAACTCTCCATAAAACTTCGCTCCCTCCTTGATGCATGTGTAATATTGCCGGCCGTCTTCCTTGTTCGTCGCACCGGGTTTCTTTCATAACATCCGCAACAAAGGCGTTTGCTTCTCATTGTGGTATTTTATGTGTTGCAGCCACACCTCTTACTGCCGCTCCTGCCGCAGAATCCGCGTCAAATAAATTGAACAACCCTCCGATCTTTCTTTTCTTCCAACAATGAATCGGCCCCAAATACCGCAAGGAGACCGAGAGATTTCTGGGGCGGGAAGTACTTGAATACCCTTTTGAAGCAATTAAAACGTCTTAACTTTTACATTTTAGATAGAGCGTACGTCTCATGATCACAAGCTTATATAGCTTATTTAGATCATAGCTATCTTGACTCTCGCTTCTGTTTCTGGGCCTAAGGCCAGGATGATATGAGGTGCATTTGCCACTTTGCGGCTGAGTATTGAACCAGCCATCTGCCTATATCACTTGACAAGCTCAAGGAATAATACCTATTACAGAATTGATGTTCTGTGTGCCATTTTATAAGTCTAGTGATATGGAAATGTTTAAATAATTGTGAAACAAGGTCATTTTCTACAGCGAAGAGATGGAGGGGTACTCTCGTAGTTTAGGTCATGCCTAGCTGAGAGCGGGGATATAATAAATATAATCTGATCATGTTGAAATCAGTGGTCCTAGACGGAATGGGGCATATTCAAGGTCAAAGTATATCAGCGAATGCATGCAGGAGAGACTCTATACCAACCCCAATGCGGCGTTAAAAAATATTATGTAAAATTAAAAGCACAATGACTAATTATTTTCCAGGCCCTTCGAGCGCAGATTGTGGCAAGAGCATAAGCAGGAACCACGGTAATTATAAACGAAATGCTAATGCACAGACCTAACTTGGTACCACGAAGGACCCAGATTGAGGGACTGTAGGCTAAACGACATTTGATGTATAAAAGCAAACTATATAGCACGTGTTAACTTCAAATCTAGGTGCTCTCGAGGCTGAAGGATTGTGGAAACGTATTATCAGTTCGGTCGCATATCGCAAGCCGAGTGGCGCCGTGGCGGTCGCACTCGGAGCCCACAAAATGTCAGCTAGCCCGCTGTGCGCATGCGCTATAATTTCAAAAGTAACACTTCACTGAGGAATAGCTAGCCCCTCCCAGCTCAAGTCTATATCGTCAATTAATTCTATCATCCAGTTAAAGTTGCGTAGATTGCACCAGTTATACTTTCTTTTCACAGTCCCCCGCGGCCGCTGTGAAGTGGGGCAACACGTATCACGATGTGCGCTAGACGTTGAGCTGAATTTGCATTTGCCATTCAATCTTGAGCTATAGATGCGAAAATCGGGTGCCATGAGGCGGGAAAGTTAAGTCAACAAGATAAAGAAGTATTATCCTTTCAGGAGCGGTCTTGAATTTGGGAGCTAAGCTAGTTTAGTGTCGAGGCTATTGTCCTACCAGTATGCACTTAGCGCAAGATTACATCACGGGAAGGTCTAATATAACGGCACCAATACAATACTGAATATGCTGAGTAGTCGCATATTACTAGGGTGTTAGGGCACATTCTCGTTTTGGTGGCTCTCGGTCACCCGTCTAAACTAGACTAGGTGTTAGGTAACAATCAAAATGCTAAAATCTAGATTTAAAAGCAGCAAGATGCCCACGGGGACTATAGTACTACTACAGGTTTGTAACAGTAGTTTTGGTCGAAAGCGGCGTTTTGAAGGCGTTAACGCGTTTCGATCGTGTAGCATGATCATACGACCTAGAAAACACCCATACTTCCTTTAATGCCCTGCTACGCGAAGGTTATAGGAATAATAGCCCACTGCGGATTGCCGGTTTGGTTAAATATGTGTGATGTAATGCGCCCTCTATTATGTGTCAGCTCAAATTACTCGTTCTGCGATGGCTCCGGATAGCAAGTACCCAACTTCTGAAGTGCCATCGTATGGCCCGATGTACGTTTTGAACTGCACATTCTTAATTCTAAAGGCTGTTATTAGCTTAGTTGAACCATAACTTTCGTTTGCGGTGTTACGTACACCCAGGAACCCTTATGTGAAGATGAGCTGTCACGACCGATAAACCAATAATCTTGACTTCCTGGAAGACTCGGGGCCGTTTTAAGTTCTACAGATGGGCCCTCGGAGCCAAAATAGAACCTCTCTTTGAGAAACTGTTAGCGTGTAGCCTCTTCATTACACTCCGTCCTCGTCGCTCGCTACTTACTGCTGTTCATGAGCGGGCAAGAAATAACCCAAACACCACTGCCATCTATCTTCGAAAGCTTGAGCATCTGATCCGCAAATCCTTCTGAGTATGTCCAGGATTGTACTGTGGTGCCCGAATCTACGGGGCATTAGGTACTAAATTAAAAAGCCCTAGATAGGATAAATCAGACTTTACCTTTGCGAGGGTCGAGGAGCATTCCATTTTTTAGATTGACAATGAAGACCATTGAACCGTTATACCGCGATGGCAAGCAATTTTCTAGGCCATTATTAGTATTAGAAGGCAGCGATTCCATTTCCCTGATGCTAGTTGCTAGGGCGAAATTCATATAAGAAGTCAAGTCCTTAATCTGAGTCATTAACCTCGTCTTCTCGTTGTTCGCAATCAGGAGGGTATTATTCGAAGATGACTGTGAAGTCCTCAAGGTTTCGCAGTCGCTGCGTATATCGACAACTTCCTTTTTAGCAATTTCTACCTCCCTTTTAACTCCGGCCAGCTCATCATTTTTTGCCTTGAGGCTAGTCTCGAGGCCTTTGAGGCTACTATTCACAGACGAATACTTTGATTGTAAAGCATCGTACTCACTACGTAACGCGATGAGTTCTTTGACAGCCTGCTCTTTGCTTCCAATCTCGCTAGCCAGATTCCTAGCAGCTGCTTCCATCTCTTCAGCATGGCGACGAGCAGCCTCCTCTGCCCGCTTTCTTTGTAATCGAGCATTTTGGATTGCAGCGACGTTGTTCGAATCATATCTAAAAACGCTGACGCTTGAGTCGACGTCGGCGCTGGGCTGGCGATTGGAGGAATGCTGGGTTTGGAGTGTAGTTTCCATTTTGCAGCTTGAAGGTAATAGTATGCTATGTCTAGAAGAAAAGGCGGTTGGAAGCAAAGAGAAAAATAATTCTAGCTACAAAAGCAGCATTAAGTTTGCAAGATAAGAGTTCAGCTGACCAAGCCTGCAGGGCGCACTGTTAATGGGTGGCGGGGCATACCCACCAAACTATTTTCCTGGGCATGCAGCATGCAGCTGCAGGAGGCCCCACCAAATATAAAAGGCTTGCCCATAGGCCGAAATACTATCGAAAGCGCCAGCGCCGGATTCCACATCGAAAGGGGCGGGAAAGTTAGGTTCATTAGCAACTGATAATTCCAGCAGCCGATTCCCTAAATATCTACAAGGAGGGGTGGCCACCTGGTGTACGTGTTCTAAGTAGCGCGATTGTGACACTGCGATACATGCATTGGTTGTAAAGAATTACAAAATTTTAAATAACGACCACCTATACAAAAGCAAATTAATCATATTAAATTAAACTTCGTGTAGACCACACCAAGTCTGCTATACAAGACTAGATATTAAGCACAACCCCAGATCAGGCCAAGCCTCGTGATGAGTCCTTCGCTCTCCTCTCCGTAGAAGCCACGTAGGGTCCAATTAGCACGAGCAAGCTTTGGAGCCTGCTCGGTCAATTTAGAGACGATTTCGAGCTGGTCATCTGGTTTGTGGTCTCCAAGATATCGGATCGTAGACACGTCCAATGGCCATAAGGGCAGTTCTCCATTCGCATCTCCACAGACCAGCTCGACCGAATCGACAAATGGCACAGGAGCGCTTAGGGTCTTTCCCACAGTCAGCTTGGCTGCGACTATAGGGGCTACGACATCACAGCTCCACGCTTCATTAGCCTGAGAGTAGGCACCGGATGTTACCTGTTTGTCATCGCTATACTTGATCTTGAGACCGCTGAGCCTTCCTGACGAAGAGCTAAAAGCGATCTTGCGGATTACAGAAGACCCATCAATAGTATCGAGCGCACTGAAGCTAGTGGCTAATGAAGATGAGGACCCGGTGCTAACGCAATCACCTAGGTAGAAGTGCTCATTGGGCTTGGTCGCAGACATTGCAGTCTTGGTCTTCTGCTGCAGTGAAGAACCCATTCCAAGAAGATTTTTGGCTGGTGGCATCTTAACGGTACTCGTCGCTGGCATAGGAATATCCTTGCCCCAGACGATTCCGAGGTCCTCAAAGCCACCATCAGAAATAAAGCCGAAGAACCCACGGAATGACCACTGACGATCGTCTACCATAGAGAAGCTATGAGTTTTACCGTTGGATTTGGTTCCAGCTGATAGAATGTTGCACTTGGAGGTCGCCACAGCTATGGTTGTAACCGAGGGGTTGCCTTCTGTACCATTGACGACATGCATTTCGATCTCGGTGATCACTTCATCATGGTCGAGTTGTATCACATGCTGAGGGTTTCCCTCTTTCGTTCCGCGAGTAATCTCAGTGCCAGTAGTGTAGACTACGCAGATACATTTGATCTTCTTTTCATCGCTCCATAGCCTCAGCTCAGTAGGGCGTGCACCAACTTCCAAAGGCTCAAGGTCGTTGAAAAACGATGCGCCAGTTGAAATGCTGTTTTTGTCTTTTAGGAGACTCTGCATGCGGTAGTTGTCCGCTCTGTGGGAAAGCGCGGACAATGAAGTCTGTACCTTCGGATGTAGACTCGCATTATCCTTATTTGTATTTGCAAGAAGAGTCCCATTCTCATCCCTTCTAGGTGTCTGCGCACATGGCCCTGTCAGTAAGTATACTAAGAAGAATAGAAAATGGTAGAATTTACTATAAGAGCGGCTTCTAGCTTCTTTTTAAGTTCATCGATATGCTTTTGTCTATCTTCTGCGTCTTTCTTCTGCTTGCTGAGCTCCTTATTTGTACTGTCCCACTCGTCGCGGGTAGGCAGGCGGTCTTTATATGGCGTCTAAATGTAAGCGTCGTTAGCTTGGGTCTATGCATGTACTTTAGCGAGCTCGAAAAAAAGGCAGCCTACGGGAAGGAGCATTCTAAAAATGCTCGGGCTCAGATATTGTGATGTACGGTAAGGATCGCAGGCAACCTTGGGATCCCTTGTGACAGCATCAACCTTTAAACCAATAAAATGTCAGTATCACAGAAAAACATGTATGCTAAGATGTAGGTACCTCCTTAACGATTTTGATCATCTCAAACCGGCAATCGCGAGCGGCAACTTCCAAGCCAAAAATATCAGGATCATAGAGTTCTATTTTGTTGTTCGGCAGCGGTTTCTCAATTGATTTTGTAACGCCCCGAGACCCCCCGGCTACTAAAGCTTGACTGCTTTTCCCTTTCTTTAGTGCTTCGAGAAGCTCTATATAATGTTTTTCTTTTGCCTCCTGCTCTTCTTTCGCGATTCCAGCATATTTTTTTAGGCTATTGGAGGCCGTTTGGGCAAAGAGTTCAAGTTCATTCTTGTTCAGCTTAGACATCACTGGATCCAAGAAATGCGTTAACCGATGCTCAGGATTTTAAAATTGCTGAGTTATACGTACTGGCATGGATTTGGTTCCACAGAATTTTGTAGTCCTGTTGCCGATCAGCGTTTGGCCTTTTATACTGGGTAGAAATATCAATTTACCGTATACGCGTCATACAAAGACGATGTATAGATACCGGCGTTCTCGTAATCTAGAGGTGACCCCTTTTTAGTTGCTTCATGATAGCTTCGCAGAGAAGTATATTTGGTCAAGATTGCGCTAGAATTTAACTGTTACCGGAAGGCTCGGCGCTAATAATTGTGAGATAGTCTACTTGCCTGACACGCTGCGGACCTATCTCGAAGGTTTAGTGATTTTCCGAGAAATTGGATGGAGTTTCATGCTTACACGCAGCTACAGCGTCGGGGAATTCCATAGCTATTTGTTTTAAATTTTCTAGAGTCCATTGTTTGATGGAGTCAGGCCTAATATCGCCGCCACCAGACCACGTAACTCTACGAGATTACAGTTAGCAAGGCATAGCTAGACCGGAACAAAGCATTGATCAATTCCTACTTGATATTAGTCTTCGCATTTTTGAGCGCAGAATCCTTACTGCTTAACCCAGAAACCGTACCCTCGACATCAACTGCACTAATTTTTGCTGATAGCGACAAGCTACCAGAAAGGCTATTCTTCTTCATAGTGTCTGCAGTCGTAATGGTAACGAGGGCGTCAAATACTCCACCTTCAATAAAACCTGAAATGAAGCAGTCACCGTAGACCTCTGTAAATCTTCCCGCCTCTATGTAGTCAATTGGGACAAACTCAGTCATATCCTCTGCGATCAGGCGTTGGTTTGTAACTTTGACATTGACTTCGTATTTAATATCGGCATTTTTGATATCCTCGGAGTCGATGAATGCGGCTTTACCGGAGACTTGGCCCAAACCATCTAGCTTTATAGTGAGAGCACCTAAAGCATCAAAGTTAAGTCTAAGCATTGCTCTATAGATCTATGTCAAACAATAGGAGAAAGGGGGCCGTTATTACCGCTTACTTCGAGCTTCTTGAGAATATCTGAACTATTTTCGACAAAGCTCGCATCCCAAATGACAGTTTGGCTGACTTCCTTTTGTCCATCAACAACTTTCCTCGACATGGTACCGTTTGCTCCCTCCAGAACCTTCCCTGGAGGAGCCTGCTGTGCGCCTTCGGTAATTTGCTTGGTGTTGGATTCCGGTTGCTCGAGAAGCTCTACAGCACGCAGATCTTCTTCAGTGGCCGGTGTACCACCACGCTTCCGAACAACATCGTTAACGCAGAGAGTTTGGGTATAAGAGTTGAAGCCCATGCCTAAGCGCATGGCGCTGTTGTAGGGGACTGTCATAAGAGCCATGGCACAGATCTATGAGCGATAGAACACTCAACTATGAGTTCTATACTTTGCAGATTTGGAGATCGGGCGAAGCGGTTTATTTTGAAATTTTGAAGGAAGGTAGTCTTGGGGTCATAGAGCTGAGGACGGACTTGGAACGTTTTGGTCTAAAAGGTATTAAATGGGCGACCTGGGGGAACTTTCTCGACCCGGTGCCCACCCTACCGATTTTGGAGCTAGGATAGTTTGGTGGGGGCTAATCTGGTGGGGCTCCCTAGTCAACCCAAGTCGGCTCCGCTTATTTTATAATATGTGGTCGAAGGAGGTGTCTAACGGTACCTGCCTCTCTGCCTCAATTTGATACCACCAATACTACCTATACTACGGGACCAATACTCAAAGAACAAGAATGGATGTTGAAGACCTTTTTCCAGAAAACCCTCTCGAACCTACAGTGGCGTACATCGGCATCAGTCAAACTCCCTTTACAGTCCCTTGGGCGAAAGGTAGAGTTCAATTGTGCACAGGATTCAACTCCCGGCGTACACAAAGTGACGATCTCTTCATCAATCGCGCAGCGTTTCAAGATATAGCGGCTATACCGTTTCAATATCGAGAATGCCAGATAACTTCGATCAGGGACGAGTCGGGCTCGAGTATTGCGAGCTCATACGAGAACAACAATTTTGCGATTAGCGCCTCCGTTGGTGGCAGTTTTCTGGGTGCCTCCGGTAGGGGAACATACGAAAAGAACACACGCGATAACAGAAACGTAAGTTCCGGTATTTCTCCCTCCATGAATGCAGGTCTCCCAATCCAAAATACCGGTTAGTGGCTAACAATTCAATTAGCAATCAAATATCACCGTTCGAGCTGACCATGTATGCGGCCAAATCGAAGTTAGTCGGATCCCTCAGCTAGCCAAGGACGCCGTCACGCTATTGAACACTTCAGCTGATCCCATCAACGAATTTCGCCAGAAGTACGGCGATTTCTACGTGGCTGGCTGTCGGGTTGGCGCTGTGAATAACACCACCATCTCAGGAGAACTTACCAATAAGAGCTCTTTTGAGGAAATGCATGCCGAACTAAAAGTCAAAGTGGTCTTAGCCACCTTTGAGAAGTCTATCCACGAAGTTTCCAAGTCCGCCAGCAATATAGGCGGGCTGAACGTGGTCGCATTCGACTCGCTTACAGACTTCTACTCAAACTTCACGGCTCTCACGTACGAGGACAGCCTCAAAGCCGATGGCGTTGCAGTAGCCAATAAAGAAAAAGCAATGACCATCGCAAACAGGGCTGCTGATGTCTTACTAAGAGAGTTCTCTATCGGACGGGAACAAAATACGTACATCCATCAGGGTGTTGTGGATCGATTGTGCGATAGGGGTTTGGTCACGGAACTGCAGCTGGCTCCATTTGCCACATTACGAGAATATCAATCTATTCTTTGGCGCCGATACAGCTGGGAACGATTTAAACAGCTAGAATAAACTCAATCCCGCAGTGTGCGACGAATAGAAGCGTACATCTTATGTAAATTTAATAATTCAAGCTATCTTCATCTTCATACAAAAAGCCCGCCCCTCGAGCTCGCGCCAGCTGGCCAGCCTAACATTAGATAGTATATTTTATGTGGGTCCCATGACTCAGCTGATTCTGCCACTTCTGCAGGGCACAAGCATGGCTTTTGTGAATTATCGATATAGCTCCATGCAAGAACCCCACCTCCACAAATTAGATTTCGGCGCACTGCGGAAGCCAAGTTGCGATTGCGATTGTGGCTCTTTTGCGGCGTTGTGCTGGCTGCACAAGTTAAGTGCAATGAATATTTTTGCCCCGCCAGCCGCATACAGGTACCCTGACAAACGTCGCGAACTCCGCGTGCCCCTAAAGCAGGACAAAAATTCCCAATGTGAATCTTCGCAAAATCTCCCTTTTTTCTTTCTTTCTTTTCTTTTCCAGAAGCTGATTTGCCAATCTTTTCCCTTTGTGGGAGCGCTTTGATGCTTCTCGTCCGTCACGATATGGCGACAAAGGCTCTTGTAAGCCACAGGCGAAATGGCGTAGCACGTGCGTTCACGAGAATGCGTGCTGCGAGAGTACTAAACCTCAAAGCTTGAGCCGACATAAGACGTTGCTTTCAAATAAATCCCATAAATTATCAATTAAGCAGAGCTTCGTTCCGCGAGCCGGTTCAGGTGCGGCTGAACCATGATTTAATTCGTGACCGCGACTTACAAGCTAAACGGTGGGGCCATGCGCCTTCCATATATGCATACAGGAGTCCCATATTATAGATAGCAATGAAACTAAGTCCAAGATGAGAAACTTCACAAGACCTACAATCAGACACCCCTATACGCTCTTGTGTAGTTTATCAGAGGATTATCGGGCGGCTCCAATGGGGTAGAGGTTTTGTGCGCGCTCCATTCCAGAGCGCAGTAAAATCAAATTAAACCTAGTCTCGATATATATCACTCTGCAAACGCTGCGATTGTAAATAAATTCAGAGTAACACTGCAGTTCAACCTTATCAATTGATCAACGTGACCGTACCAGACAGATCCTCCCTATCTTTTACTTTTCAACATTAATTACTGCTTCTTCAAATGGCGACTCATCTTGTGCCCTACAACACCGCCATGCAGCTTGGCTCTGGCTTCAATTCATTCACTCAAACTTTGTGTATCAACAATGCGGTGGTGCGCGAGACCGAGACCCTCCCGGGTCCCTCACCCGCAGAAACCGGCCAGAGCGCCGATCTGGCGGAAAAGAAGCATATTTCTCAATCCGTGACCTATAAGACAAGCATTATTAGGAAAACCACGGATGTCACGAACATGATGAATGTAGGCGTATAACTTACGTCTGCGAGGGCTATTCCAAGCTAAAAATAACTTAAAATCTTAGATTAATGGTGCATTTACCATCTTGAACGATCAATTGAAAGTCGAAGGTAGTGGCAAGTTTATCGACACCAACATAATAAAGGACAGTGATTTCAGTGTCATGGTCTCAGTCAAGGTAGTTAACCAAGTTATCTACGACCACTCCCTTACAAAATTCCAACCCATCCCCAATATCAAAGATATGACACAAAGGCACTTGGTGGAGATCTACGGAGACTCATTTATCTCAGGTTGGCAAGAAGGAGGGGAATTCCTAGCTGTGTTGAGTATCAAGGCAAAGGAACGTGGTGACGGCCAGGAAATTGCTGCCCAGTAAACTCTCATTCTGTATTTTTTGCCTAGACCCTAAACCCCGGTACTAATGTATTTTTCGCAGAGCTAAGATCGCTTTCACTCGCGGCAAAGGTGAAGTAGACGAGTCAGATCCGAAGAAATTAAAGATCAAACTCGATGCCAAGTTCGAAAAGTTGAAGGACAGCCTTATCAATGAAAATGAAGTTTCGGTGTCTGTGGCATGGACGGGTGGTGGCCAAAACCTCAAGCATCGTTAGTTTTCCAACCCGCTCCCCCCCTCGTATCCTCGATAAGGAGCTTACCAGGATCTCAATAAAGCTGAAAAGGATTGGGACTTCAACACCATGCGAGACGTTGCCTTGAAGTTCCCTGATCTATGTGCCAAAACGCCAATGCGTACTCATGCACTACTCACCAAATACACGGCTCTACGAAGTTTCTACACCACACAGTTGTCTTTCGACTTACCTGTGTATGATAAGACGGGAACATACACTAATATTCTTGAGGAAGCATATCTTGACTACAAGGCAATTCTTGGCACTATCCAAGTTCTTGCATATGGCGTCTGTGAGGGGAAAAAAGCCCTTGTGGTGAATCCTCGCTCAGCATCAGCGGGTAAGCCCTGATTTTCGGCCATTCAATTTAAATCCTAGGACTGGAAAGCTAATATCAATATAATTAGTTGAGCAAACCAAAACCATCATTGAAAAGACTCGCAATCAGAATTCCGAAAAGTCCACTGCTGAGGCTCCGCCAACTACTGATGCTGCGCCACACAAGGAAAGCACTGCTAACTCCACAACTTCTGTTGTCAAAGCCTCTGCAAAGGTGATAAATTCTCCGCCCCTCCTAGTTACGGATCCCTTCCCCGTGACCATCGCGGGTCTTGAGGAAGCGCGCCTCATGTGTCGTTATATGATGAATCGCATCGTCCAAGAGGTAAGAAAGTCATCGTAAAGTCACCTACATCCATCAGATCTAGTGTTTTGCTGACCGAGTCTACTTTTTTAACTTCCAGATCAACAATATTACTATCAAGCCAGAGATTGCCAACGACGAGAGCAGGCCGCTCCCCTTCCAAAGCCCTTTCTTGTTCAAGTTACTTCTACCTATTGCTGTAGATGTTGAGCTCAAGTCTACCTACGCTGATCAAGCCGTTGCGGCGTCCACGATTGACCCTGACGTTTTAGCTAGCAAGTTTACAAGTGTGGCGCAATAGTATCATTCACCGTAATGTATTCATATATATATATATATATTTCGCCCCATGGAAAATTTCAATAGAACCAATATTCCATGTACCGTGCTTATCTAAATCGCTTTTCTCTAATAATGATATAGCTTTTTATTGTTCTTGCCGATATTGGATCGAGATCAATCTTCGGATCGTTCTTATTTCAGCCGACCGGCTAGCAGGTGACTGAGTTGTGTTAAATTAGTCTAAATGATCACAGAACTATTTGCAACTTTTACAACCACTCAATCACATAATAAGAGGGAAGGCCGCTTCAAAAAGGCGTTTTAAGACATCTATGTGGGATACGCAACAAGTTCGAGGTCATGAAACCCCATAGCCACTTTGCACATGAAACTTTGGTGCCGCACTATGAGCGGATCAGCTTTCCAAATCGAGACGCCTTACCAAATTGGGAAGAGCCAATCAAATCCCCTGCTCTTCGTGTCACCACACCCAATTGGGAATTCAGCAGGCGTTTATTTTCAATGTGGCTGAGCCCTTCAGAAGCTCGACCGTTTCTTAAGAGTTCACAATTGGATGAATTGGCATCCGTAGTTGATATCTAAGCCTGTAGGAGTAGTGGTGGCTAGCCCGCGCCCCCAGCCAGGCCCTCATTTACGCCAAGATCGTGAATGAATGAATGAATGTCGACGCGACGGGCTGACTTTCTAATCTTGAAAAGCATGTCGGTCGATCGGTGACAATCCAAACCAACGACGCAATGATGGGCCCGCACGATCAAAGGAATTAATCACATACCATTAGTTATCTCGCTTTACGGGTATATCAAACTCACCTTAATATTCAAAGCAAAATACTTAGCAAATTTTCGGCAATCAACAAGTGTTCGCCCGGCGCCATGCAAACCTCGACATCGATTTATCCGACGGCGTTCCTGGAGCTATCTACACCCACAATAGCAGTTATACTCATACCATAAGACCTATCGCTAGAAATCCTAAGGACACAGCCATGAATCTCATATTCTTAGATACCCCTCCAGCTACAGACCAGGAACTCCCCACTACGATTATCTCCCGCACCCACACTGAAACCACTGCACCGACTACCCTCACTAGCACCCCTCCCCACCTTCCTACAAACAAAATAACAATTCACATCGAAGGTGTAAGAGATATATTCGGCGTCGCCTACTCCTTCAAAAAAGATGGACGCAGGGTCGTCCAACTAGAGACCGGTCCCCCCAAAGACAGATATTGCTACCAAAACTGGTCTAATCTCAGCCACTATGTCATATCATTTGCTGTGGGATTATATAACCCAAATACAGGGGTATACGTAAAGATTGAGAATGCTGGTCCTATCAGGATCGACACCACTCATTTTAAAGACATTTCGGAAGAGGATGTATCTTGGAGAGCAGTTTATGGCGAATTTTATGATTTTTCCTTCTTTATGTTCCCCGTGCTACTATTTTTTGGGTTTAGACGAGGGGATTCTCCTATTCCGATTTTATTCGAAGAGGATATCAAAAAGGGCGCGTATCTTCCAACTTGGAGGAGTAGATTTCGGTATAAGTGGAAACGTTTTCTTGAAATCTTGGTCGAGATACATGAGGTGGCTAAAGGGGGAGCAACGTCACCGACTGAGACGATAAACGACCAAGATCCGAAAATGGCTCAGGATCATAAAAAGGATGAATAGTTTGATAGAAGTCCATTGAGCTTAAGTTACTTGTTGATTTAAGCGTGTGGGCTTAGAGTTCCACGAGACTATTAATAGCCGAATTTAGGACTCGAATCGCGTCGGCGACCTCAGGGCTCTATCTACTGGGTAAACGAAAGATGCCGTAAGAGCAACAGACAAATGCACAAGTTGGAGCAAGATCACTTTATCAGCATCGGACTCCTAGTCAAAGACCTTTGACATGAGAAATAAGAAAAGACTCGAGATTATAAAGCTTGAGACCACTGTCATAGAGATTTTACCATCCGCAAAGCACTACCTAATAGTACAACAACAAACTAAACATCAGTCTTTCTTCTCTTTCACTGTTCGCAACATGAGCCTCCTAAGTTCGCCTCTGCTTCTCTCTGCCTCACGTGAGATAAGGTCCTTTTGCTCTTGCAACTCGCCAAAGATTAGCTTGTCGTTTTTTTCAGTCATTTCCCGCAGAAGCTTTCCGATTCCGCTTATTAATCCTTTGACGTTTCAAATCTTCCGCGATATAATAGAACAAGGAACCGTAGTTTGTGTATGTATGATTGATTGATTTCGTATTTTGGTAGTCTACCAAGCAAATCCAGATGATCTGTCACGATACACTCCTGATCGCGACCTCTAAGCCACTTCCCTCATACCCTTTTATTTTATTCCCCTTTCATTATCCCTAATCTTCTCTAGGTCAATATCACGACCAAGATGCTCCTCCTAGGCGGTTCAAAGAGTATCGAGATAGCAGTCAGTAAATAAAGCGACAATGAGAAAATATCTTGGAAATCATTCTCCCGTCTAACTACTTACCTGAACTAACAACGCTATTTCAAAGCGTTGAATGGCAAGATGCAAACTCCACACAAAACCGCCCACAAGGAAGTTCAAAACCATTACACCAATACTACCGTATAGATAGTTCGTTGACGTCTTCATTTTCTCCTTCACGATCCTGTGGGCTCTGGAATATAGTTAGATTATTGGTTGGTTTGGAATAGAATGGACTGTGGGAGTACAGACGTAACGTGCGGCCCTAGCTCCGTGATCACGCTATCTTCACCTGAAGGCCCACATCTAGCTTCATGGGGTGACTTTGTCCAGACCGTTTGAAAAGTCTCTAATGACTGTGGCTTCTGGTCATACTCCTCAATGTGGGTTGGCGTATGAGGATACTGGGAGAGCTCTCCCATAACAGCTTTTTGGAATTCTCCCTGAAATTATAGATGTTTGATATCAGTTTGCATCTTCGACAACTAGTGTGGCGTTATGGAGGTGATAGCTATCCAGGTATCGACGATTAGGAAAACTTACGTGATAGTTTTCATGGGTGATGTTCTCCCTGGTATCTATGAGTTCCTTGTCCCCGTATGTAGACCCTGTCGCTAGTCCTGCCGCTGTTGCCGTCAAGAGGTATATAGCGCTCTTGAACCGGTATTATGTTATTACTGAATACCAAAGACCATAATAGTGATATGAAAGATTGATGTCATCTGGATTACCCAAAGGCGATAATCGTCTGATGAAGTCAAATTGACAACCCCTTTAACATCTGAGGCTCCAATCATATAATCCGCGGGATCAGGCATCGAAGCAATTGGTCCTGGTGCTAGGACAGTTGACGGGGGCCCGGGGATCGGTGCGGGGACAGGCGCAGCACCGGCAGTGCCGGCATTCGCTCCTGCTTGTCTTCTAGCTCGTCTGGGAGGCATTCTTCTTTTCTTTATGAATTTTCGACTTGAAATTGAAATATTCTCGGAAACTTTGGCTCATAACCTGTTATTACTGAATACCAAAGACCATAATAGTGATATGAAAGATTGATGATTCTTCTTTTCTAACTACTAACTACCTCATAATATCTATGGGATTTAAACTAGCTTATTCCACCTCATCTCACCATGACAACAGGGTTGTAACATATTATAGGTGCTATTTTGTCTCATACCCAGCTCCACCCAAAAAGAATCCAGTAGCCGTTCCTATTCAAGCTTGATAAAATATGGCCTCGGAAGGACTCAGAAGAGTAGGCTATGAGAGAAAGTGTAAAAATTCAGGGATAGGTGGGGTTTAGTAAGGGAAATATGGGCGATGAGCTTAGGGAATCGTTGATCAATGTGATTCGAAAGATATTAATTACCTGGGCGCCATGGGTACTTACACACCCGGGGAATACTAACAGCCCAACGCAAGCTAGCTAACTGGATGAGCCACCATTCGTAAATTCACAGTCCTCTGCATGCAGTCAACAGAAGGTCTCGAGCTCTCCATACCAGTCATCCGGAAGGCACCTAGAAGGCGCCTAGACTATAAAAATGATTGACTTGGGAGCATCCAAAACCGCAGGTCTAGAAATTCCACTATATATATTGATTTTAGTTCAATGATTCTTCAAAAGGAGTTTCGGCGACATTAACACCGTTTAGACTCTCCAATCGGTCTCAAAATTAATAAAGAAGATCCGTATACAGACATCTAATATAGTTGGGAATGGGGTTAGATATCTAACTAATCTCGAGGGGCCGTGCGTCCTGGTTATTTGATATGCAAGCTACCTACTAGGTAAGTACTAGGTAGTAAGTCCCTAGGTGTGTATTAAAAGTGCTTACATGCGGGCCAGCCAATGCTAACAGATATCTTCATTGCGTGGCCATTATACCAATGATCCTATAACTAGGCTGTTCGGGGCTGTTCGGGGTTCTTCCCGCGCTCAAGCCCCAGAATATCGATATCATATTATCATAAATGACTCCAAATTTCCCTTATCAATGCCATATACCCGCTGTCATAGCAGTGATTACCCAAATATCATGCCTCCACGGCGAACAGTGTGGTAATCTCACGCATAAAGGGCTGCCAAGAGCTATAGTAACCTCCCAACACAAAAGCTAACTTTGCATGATATTGCAACCAACGTCAACTACCCACTTAGAAAACTCCAATCCAAAGGATCACGATGGTTCCGACCGTGGTCAGAAGGAGATCTGTTGTATGTTCGAATATTCCATTATAAGGTTTAAGCCGTAGGAAGTTGGGAACTTACCAAAAGGAATAGGCAGCAATGCTTCAAACTGACACAACATTGCGCATGAAAGTGTCTCACTGCAATCTAGTTCCACCCAGCTCAACCTGGCATATTCTCCTCCAACCACCATACAGCACAGCACATGCACAGAGGAAGCACAGCACAGCCGTCCAACTGAGATATTCGCTGACATAATCCTGATAGAGAAGGTCACATGACTATTTTGGGCTTCAAAACCCGAGAGAAAAAACAACACATTTTTCAGCACATCTTGGACCCGAAGCGGGTGTTTTCACAACACAAAGTGTACTTCGTGTTGTCTGGTGCCAACGAGACCGTGTTTTCATAGCTTTACACCTCCATCAATATCGAAGATATCAAAATTTGGACGCCGCGATGTGAAATCCAAAGTCTGATGATAGCTTACGAAGCCGACTCCGATAATTTTTTGTCGGTGGCGCATGGCGATAGGAGTTTCTGAAGGTCGTGTGTTTCGCAGCATTTTCTCCATACAATTCCCGACCGACCAGCTCCGCATGGCTCCACAACTACCAAAATTCACCGATATTCACACAATTGTCTAATTTACTAAACCGTATTATACACCTGTATTAATCGCTTGTGAGGGTCTTCGTATATTTAGCGTCAACATCCCGAAGGACGTTTGTACCCGTGGTGGCTGGTATCCACATCCCGATAGGGCGGTTCAGACGAGATATTCGGGATCACGAGAACGACTCCTGCGCAAGCTGCAGACACATGTTATACCCCACAACATGCGATATCGTGGCAGCCATGGAATGGACCTTGATAGGGAATACTAGGCAATCAACACCATGGCTTTTCTTTCATGTGGAGCGGCGTACATATGTGCATGTATGTATTCTGGGCTTGTTTCGACGGAGAGTTTTGCTAATCGCTATTTGACTGACTCTATGGACCAAGCTATCGCGACATCTTGATATCAACATCCAAGATACCAAAATAGCCACACCCACTCGTCAAGACTTGCAGCATTCCATCGGAATCCGATCCAGTACATGCAAGATATACCGATTATGAGATAGTATACCCGACTTCAACTGCTGCCTTAGCCTCCTACCGCGGTCGTCTGTTTCGAACGTCCTAGCTACCCCGCTCCTCCTCGAGATCGCGAAGAAAAAACAAAGAATAACCACAATCATCCCAGCTTGAAACCCGTCCGGTGTCGTGATAACCTCCTGGCCTCTCGCTCGGGTTCGCTTGCACTTGTGCTCTCGCGAAGCTGCAAGCTGCAAGGATCCCGACCTATCCGAGGCGTCAAGAAGGCTTGCTTATTGGCTGTGCTCATTCCTATCGGGTCTTGTCGGTGAATCGACAACCCAGCCCTATGTCTTTATTATCAACTAATTGTATATCTATCTAGTATCGCGTGGTCCCAAAATAGTGGGCTTGAAACACCGAACTCCCTATCGTCGTGTGTGAATCCTCGACATTGTATGCTATTTTCGATTGTACACGCAGATGACCACTTGATGTGGGTCTAGGCGTCTAGAGCTCGCCGTTCAGAGGATGCGGTGTCTTCAAAAAAACAGAAACTTCTAGCTTCCTCAGCGGGTGGTAGAGCTCTAGGAGCATAAACGGCAGTTACGTAACTCGTATAATGTCGCACACATACAGCTGAAGCAGAAAATTTGCAAGACCCGGATACAATTGTTGCCGTCGGTCAGACGAGGTTAGGTAGCCTACCGACCGGCTTAGCAATCGATTGTAGACGTCGGTTGTCGAGATATGCAGGAACAGAAACAAGCAAAGCCTACAAAGCGGGAGACAAGAAAGGAAAAAGGGGACTTGAAACCAGCTGTGAGATCGGGAACAAAGCGACCGTACGAGCATGACATGACATGCATTTACACTTGCCAGTGCGATATTGCAATATTCCCCAGAAAAAAAGCCCGAAAGTTCTTTTAATTTCGGTGCAAGCCAAGCTGTCAAGTTTCAATGACCCATAACCTTGCGACCTCGCCTCTCTCAATGCCCTAACAATGCCATCAGCGAAAATTCCTGCAACAGCAAAAAGCCCTTTTGTTGTGAGCACTGCCACATGCCGTACCTTGCATTAGTGCGGCACTCTTCCAGCTCCCTAATTGGCTGCTCTGCAGTCATGCCTCACAGTTTCGACCCTTCAAGGAATTGGTCTAATCTAAAACGAGATTAGCTCACCCTCGCAAACATTTCAAAACAAATTTTGGTCATTCGGTGAAGCACCTGAAGCACCATGGCCACCATGGCCACCACGCGCCGCCCTAAGGGGATTGGGGTGCAAGCTAGGTGGTCTAAGGCTGACGTTATTGGCCCTGCCGTCAGCATGCGGGTTCCCCGGGCCTATTCTACTCATGCTCGGAAGAAAAAAAATAGATGGATTAGTTATTGTTCACCATGAGACAGCAGCCATGTCTGCCAGAACCATGACAAGCGCACGCGAACGGGGGACCTCTCTCAAAACTCGAAACATGAAAATCTCAATTTTTGCTAATTTTAGTCCCCTTTCCACTCATCTCAGAAATTATATGCAATACGATGGCGAAGAAGATATATAAGATCCTTCCCACGGCTTCGTCTACCCAGTTCCTTCCCCTTCTCCCTCACCAGGTTCCACTTGTGAGCTCAAGTCTCCACTGAAGAATCCACCTATTCCTTTCACCTTACCCTTTTAAGAATTACCACACCTCCCTCAACACATCAACATTTTGAAAATGTTCTACCACGCCCCAAGACAGAAGTCCCCAGTGAGGAATATATTCCAGGAGAATGTAGTGCATTCCAAAATCGTGTGCTTAGAAAACGATCAAGCTCTTCTATGGCCCCAATACTCAATCCAAACTAGCACAACAACCCCGCAGCGCAGGGTCATCGAAGAACTAGTCCAATACCTTCTTAACCCTGTCGACAGTGCCGTTATCGTTAAGCCCGTACCCGTCCGAAAGGATAGACCGACCGAGGCTAAGCCATGCTTGACAACCCTCCCATCCTCCATCCATGAAATGATCACAGAATATCTTTCCGACTACGACACCCTTTGCGTCGCAATCTCAAGCCGTGACCTATTCAACAAATCGATAGAAAGGATGCAAAGCATTGTCTGCCCACTCCAAAACATTGGATGTTGGTCCGGAAAGGCCCTCGTCCGTGCCGACCCAAGCAATCCAACACCTACTGCTACTGCAGTTGAAGCTCAATACCTTGATAAGACTACCGATGCAACAATAATCACCCCAGCTCTCCGATCGAACGAAACTCTTTACCTTGCTTCGTTCCCCGACAAGCGTCTTGTACTTCACGGAATCGCACATGATATGCATATCCCCCAGATCATCCGACGATTCGTATCCGCCGCTCTAAGAGACAAGGAATACGAAAACTTGTTCATTGCGGGTGAGGAGTACGTCCTTCGCAATATCGATAGGAGGGAGTATATCCGCTTCTATACTGATAAGGTTAGAAGCACTGTTGTCGATGTCGGCGAGTTCAAGGAAGGTGAAGAGACACCTATGGTTGAGATCCTACATGAAGCTGAGGTGTTGTTGGATGCTATTAGCTGCGCTCCAGAAGATACTTTCTCTAAAGAACGATTCGAGAAAGGTAGCTGGGCTGGCTGCAGAGTTGACATCGTTTCCAAGAAGCGAGTTGATGCAGAGGAAGGATGGAAATTGGCCGAGAAGAGCGATGTTACAAGACCTTACAATCGTCCTGAAGATTGCAGAGGAAGATACTTCAAAGACGGAAATGGTGCGCTCAGAGACCGATCTAGGTCTGGATCCATGAGAAGGGATAAGAGCGTCGGAAAGAGGAATAGGATGTACTCTTTCCTTGGAAAAGAGAAGTTCATGCTTCCCTGTCAACCAAGAGTTCTGGTTGATGGAAGAATCATGTGGGCATAAAGGCGTCGACAAATTTTTTTTTTATTTCCTTTTTTTTAATTTTTTTGCCAACAACATTCATAGCGATCGGAGTCCATCACTTTCTTTTCACTTTCATTTGCATTCTTTTGAGTTTAAACATTTCATTTGTTTGGAGTCGGCCGGTACATAGCATCTACATCGGCGTTTTGGTTTTACTTGGTTGGTTGGGTATTTGGTATTATTTCTTGCATATACATACACCTGTACATAATATTGGCGTTCTCTCCTCGGGACCTTTTCCCTCTCGGAGTTTCTTTTTTCTTTCTTTCTTTTTTTTACACATACACTTTTAGTAGCATCGGGAAACCTGGAGTCCCACACCAATTTTACATTCTCTTCTATATAACTCTTTTTCTTTTTTAATTTTATAATTTCTCCGAAATTAAAAATGACGATCATAAGATTAGGTTTTGCGTGGTGGTGGAGTGTGGCTTCCGTGGATTTTAGGAACGAAAGTGACGTGGCTAATGATGATGCATGGAAGCGTTGACGAAGATCCTTGGAAGATGGAAATTAAATCAGTACCGCCGTTGGTACCGAGGATTGGAGGAGGTATTTTATTGGCGCAGTTAGGTTAAAATCCAATGTTATAATCCATACTCCATCGAGTTTCCCGATATTAGTCTTTATAAACAACGAACTAGGAAGTCTGCGCGAAATATGATGCATCCAGTAAGGATAATTAGAGCGTGATATGATAGGTGTTCAAAATGTAGATGAATAACTTGATTCAATCTTGTCGATATAACTCGTTAAATATACATAGCAGTTATACTCATAGTACTTGAGAAAATAAATGCAAATCCCAGTACCTTCAACTATATACACCCATACCACCCACAGAAGCCCCCCTTCTAATCGGCCAAATGAAGCTTGCCCTCAGCATCATACACCAACTCCCTAACCTTCACACACCTCAAATGATTCTTCCCCGACAAACTAGTATCGTGATGGAACAAATACCACTTCCCATGCACCTCAGCAATGGAATGATGCGTCGTCCACCCTTCCACCGGTTCCAAAATTCTTCCAGCATAAGTAAACGGTCCTAAAGGACTATCTCCAATAGCATAACAAAGGTAATGCGTATCTCCCGTCGAATACGAAAAGTAATATTTGCCGTTATATTTATGTACCCAAGCGGCCTCAAAGAACCTTCTATCATGATCATCTGCAATGATTAATTCCCCTTTTTCATCAACAATCCCGGCTTCTTGAATCCCTCCTACGAAACTCCTCATGTCGTCACTGAGTTTTGCTACTCGTGGTCTGATGGCTGGAACTGTTCCTTTTGGTTCCATATCAGTGTACGCCTCGGCTTTATACTCCCCGGTCTGCCAACATTGTAATTGTCCACCCCACAGACCACCGAAGTATAGATAAGCCTGCCCGTCATCATCAACAAGACAAGCGGGATCGATACTGTAACTCTCAGCAATCGGTTCCGGATCCGGTACAAACGGACCCTCGGGTTTATCTCCAATAGCAACACCGATTCTGAACACTCCTTCCTTATCACGAGCTGGGAAGTATAGATAGTATTTTCCGTTATTGTAGGCTGCATCGGGGGCCCAGAGTTGTTTGGAAACCCAGGGGATGTCTTCTTGTTTTAGGACTACACCGTGGTCGGTGACTTCGCCGCCGATACGGTCCATTGAGAGGACGTGGTAGTCGGCCATGTCGTATTGGTCGCCGTTGTCATTGTCTTCGATGTCTGTTTCGCGGTCGTGGGAGGGGTAGATGTAGACGCGGTTGTTGAAGACGTGGGCGGAGGGGTCGGCGGTGTAGATGTGGGAGACGAGGGGTTTGAGGTGGGAGGATGCGCCGGACATTTTGAAATATTATATTATATTCCAGGGGAGAAATCAGGATAGGTAGCTTGCTGTTGTAGACGATGATGATAGGGATATATTTCTTTACTATTAAAATATATCTTTTTTTCTTGGAATTGTGAGGGGGAGATTGTCGAGTCTTATATAGCCCAAGTTCCTCCGCGCGAGCGACCAAACGTCGGTACTTTCTCTTTCGCTATAATGCCGAGGAAATAAGAAGAGGCTCTAGCTCATCCCACTACCGCTCATCCATCATCACGAGCACACCCCGCAAAACTTTCGATCGGGACTTCGGATAATTCCAATAACCCAAACCCCCTGCAGTGGGTAGCTTAAAGCAAGCTAATGCTTAATACTCTGTACTAGAATCGTGACGTCTCTCTCCCGTTTAGCCCAGCTATTTAACCGGCGCGGTGGAGTGGGGTGGGGTGGGAACAGGGATGGGGTATTTCGCAGGGATTACAATGTTTAACGGATAAATTGGGCAGCGAGCTTTCGCAAGCTTACAGCTTTTCTCGGGAAAGGAAGTTTACTATCAGTCTAGCTAGAGTTATCGAGTCAGGAAGAATGTTTGAGGATGGTTATTTTGTTTCGGGTTACTATTTTTGAAAAAAAGGACTTTTCTATGTTCCGTAGTTATTCCGAGGTGTACTCGTGGTGGATTTGATATTAGCCAGATTACGGGCTTGTTGGATTTCTGAGGAGAAGATCGAGACAGGATGTGAGCCGTGGCTAGCCATGGCGCTGGCTAAGTCCCTTGTGCTACGTCGACGGGTTTTTTTTGGGAGAACAGGGGATGAAATGCAACGTTGGCAACACAGCTGCACAGGGTGGATTGATTATATTGTTTGTGATTGCCTACTATCTCAGTTATCTCGTACGGGAAGGAAGTCACTGTACTCTCTTATATTACTCTTACGGCTATTCAACTCCCAGTTTTACTTACTTCAACTCTACTTAGCTTAACTTAGCCTACCCACCTCAAATATAAATCGAAGTCGCCCCCGGTCCCCACCAATGATTCAAAAACGCCGGACCAGGCCAATAAGACGCAACAACAGTAACCCACCCAGCCCAACTCTGATGCAAAACCCACCAAACCTTTCTCAAATGCCTTATCTCGATCATATAAAAATCTGGAAAAACCATAGACGTGGAATCTCGAGAGTACCATCCGTAGCTATGGATGTTAGGGAACCAATGACGGGTTAAATAGTCCATTACGGATCTTGGAGATACTTCTATGGGACCTTTTGGAAGGTTGTCGGATTCAGTTAGGGACCACGCTGGGTTGGCGGCTTCGGTTGAGGTTTTTGTTATGCCGGAGTGGGTGAACGTTCTTAGTTTTGTTAGCTTTTTGGGGCGGGGGAGTTGGCGGAACTAATAACGGTGTTAGTGGTGTGAAATCTAGGACTTCGATATAAAGATATTAAATGTAAGTAAGCAGGGGGATGGGGGCAACTTACATTAGTCTTCCAACTATCCCTTGTGATAAAATCCAAATGCTTAAGATTCGGCCACACCGTACAAACCTCTTCGATACTAATCTCCCTTTCCCTACTATCCCTAACATCCTTCCTCATATCGCTAAAAAACCTAAAAACCTCCAGACTATCAGAAGCAAGACAAGCGATATAACTATCCTGAAACGAATTGTACGTCTCAATCACATCCGGCGTCCACACGTGTTGAGGATTCACTTCTTCCTCCGCACACCGGAAAATATAGTGTTTCAGCCCTTCCCGGAAGGTTTGTGAATATCGTCTTAGTTGGATGCAATTCACTTCTAGGACTTTGAGGCTATGTCTATGCGGTATGAAAGTATTGAACACCAACGAATCCATACGGGTAATACTAGCGGCCATGGGACCGAAGTCGTATGATATTTCTTTTAGGTTAGGATGAATGTCCATGTCCAGTGCGTCCCAGTTTGGATCATCGGAACCTATGATTCGGGGAGTACCTCGGCGGAAGGTGTTGTGGCCGATACTGATCTCGATTCTGTGAAGGGATTCGGTCGTGGGGATGAATTTTAGGATGTAGTGGAGGACTCTGGTGTGGTTTTTGGAGTTTATGGAGTGAAGGGAGATTGTGCGGAGGTTTGTGAGGCTGGAGATGAAGTTTATGGTGTTGGCGTTGAGGACGCCGACCATGCGGCAGTCCACTTTTATTTTTCTGTAGGTGGTGACGGTGGGGTTAGTATTAAGAAGGAAGGAAGGAAGGAAGATTTGATGGGGGGAGGATAAGTGTACGTACCGTATCTTGGGAATATGCTGCGGATTTAAAGTCAAGTAAATCAAAGAAATTGGCGTGAGGCTGATAGTTCGAAAATACATCTCATCTGCATGTGCATGACACCATCGCGCCGCTAGACCGAAGGCACCGATACTGGGTTGATCTACTCTTGCTAGAATATTTTCGAGGATCTCATTTGGTAGTTGTCCGAGTAGGGAGATTGGTTGGGTATATGCGTTCGCGATTGAGGATATTAGTGAAGCACTCGGTATTGTCCCAGGTCCGGAGTCGGGGTCGCTTGCGGTGTTTGAATCCCTGCTTAGCTTTTTTTTATTTTTGTTGTTACTCATTTTCTGTTGGTGGTATGGGAATTAATGGTATTCTAGACGGTGGTAATGAGGTCTGGTGGGGGTTATGTCGATTGAGCTATCTTGGTTTTGAAGAATTTATCCTGTGGGATAGTGATATTAGCGAGTCCAACAGCTCTGCTTTCGTACTATTCTACCACCATGGTTCATCTTTTGGTCATTCTGAAATTCAGATTTTTAAAATTCACTTCAAAATCGCAAGTTACAAAAACCGTGACGATATATATATAGGTATATCCCTATTGAAGGATACCCACGAAAATACACTATCTATTTCCCCGTAGCTCAATAACAGCAAAAAAGTCTATTTCTGAAACCAAAATCATCTCTACCCCTGTAGATAAGCCACTTATACACAATAATATATAAAAAAAGACAACAGAAAATCACAAACCCAACTCGTCCTACCTCATAAAAATAAGACCCTTACACGGAAACCAATTAATACACTCCATCCTACCCCTCTCAGAACTCCCACCATCATCATCACCCCCGCCATCCCTCTCCACCATCCCAAACCTAATAAACATCTGAAACAGCATCAAAAACCCTTTGTCGAAAGATTCATACCCACGAAGCCGATCCAAACTCTCCCCCACCATTTCCACCACAAAATTCGTTGTAATCCCCCTTTCGTGGTATAATATCAACCTATCACCCTCCCACTTTATTTTTTTCTCAGGGTTATTAACGGCGTATTCTGAGTCGAAGGACCTTTTATAGACTTCCCATGGAACTTCTAGAGCCGCAACACGATCGTGGAGGTCGAAGTCTATATATACAGTTTTGACAACGGGTTGGGTAAGATACGTCCATGGGATTTTCTGTGAAGTAGTAGTGAGATGCATCCATGGGAGTTTATGTGAAGTAGTAGTGGTATCTTCGCCATCATTCGGTGGTTTCCTCCGTTTTAACCGATTTTCAACATAAACATCCATCTCTTCTGAAAAAAGGTCTTGGAGCGAAGATATAATTTCTTGGCTGTTTGACGAGGAGCTAGAGGAAGGAGTATAGATCGATGGATTTCGAAAGGTAAGGCGTTGAAGGGTTGGAGAGGTGGTTATTGTTGTATACCAAAACTTTGAGACGGTACGGAGGTTGAGAAGGTGTAGCGAGGGTTTGGGGAGAGGGGGGAAGGATGTTAATATGGGTGGGAGTACGGAGAGGGAGAGGTGGGTCTCGATGAGGATTCTCTCGAGGAGTTCGGGGTGGTGGAGGGGGTGGGGTTTGGAGGGTGTAATGTGAGACATTTGTGGAGATTATAGTATATCTTTTAAGTTGTATGGAGAAGAAGGTTATGAAGGTATATTGGCGTGCTATGAGAAGGTGGTTCCCGGGGTGTTCGGGAGGGGGTGTTCGGGAGGGAAGATGGCGGAAAAAATGCAACAGTGTAAATGTGTTGATTTGATGTTGGAACTTGGCACGGTCTTGGCGGTACCCGGGGCTTCTACTGGGGAGCCAACTTGTCTGATCTGGTTTGCGAGGCCAGAGCCAACTGGCTGGTTGGTCTTTAAGGGCAGCTGTGGGAAGACTATATTTAGTTCAGTCATGATGATATTTGACATCCTTTCTCTTCTACTAGTTACTAGCTCCCATGCAGGTTCGATTTCCATGGAGTTTCTTAAGTGACGAGATATCTATTAGCTATTGAGGACTACCAATCTTCAAATCTAACTAATAAAGCCTCAAACCAATAGCTCATCAAATCCACGCCTCTCACCAAGCCAATGTTCCTATCCCATAGATACACCCTAAATAACTTAAAATAAACCCATCCTTCCATCTTTCCTTTACCAAAATCTCAGAAAGAGACCCAGAATATCCAACCCACTACTCGCCACCCCCCAAAGTTTCGAGTTCACAAAAGGTTCAATTCAATCACGACGTACATACCCCCCTCTTCCAAGGCTAGACTCAAAAACCTTTGCCGCCCGCCAATTTGCATTGCTAAGTGCTTCTAGCCAAAATTTCTACTAATTCCTTGTTTTGCTTTACATGTGAGACAAAAATGGCAAGAAAGTCCAACATAAGATCCAACATGCCACCGTCGCCGACAACAGCCATGCGTTGACAAGATCCTTGGACACACTAATACACACACCCCATTTGATATTCTGATTGGATGGTACGTACCCATTTTGCATGGAATCCAGCGGCGGCGACGTAATAGGCTTTAAAAGCTGAGCCTCATACCGCCCGCCCAGCGTTTTGTCTGTAACTTGCAAGCTTGCTAAGAAGAAGTTGTTTGTGGGAAAGTTCTGAACGGTTGAGCAAATACCTGGTTTGCATAACTACCACATAGTTGAACAAAAAGGGGTATACGCCGTACAAACATTCATGGTGGATGAAACGCGTATGTTCGTGTTATTCTTGTTGGTGGGGGCTGCTTTGCCTGCAAACTGGTGCGGATGAAAGAAAGAGCTCTTGAGGTAGAAAGGAAAGAAGGGGGAGGAATGGCGGATATATATCCACCATACTACCACCGTCAGAACCCACGAGGTTCAGGAATTTTCTGGTTCTTCTTCTTCTTCTTCTTTTTTTCACTTCCCACACTTCCTTTTTTAAATTTTTGGGTGTAGACTCAATATTTCCAGTGTCGCATTCTTTTGTTTCGGTGTCGTAGATATAATTCTCATAAGCTTCGATAGCTACCCCCTGCACATTCCTTTCCTACATAAACTCACCTTCGTATACACACAAAAAAAATGCACTCCTCAAAACTCCTCCAGCTCTTCGTCCTAGCAATAACCGCTCTGGCAGCGGTGGACATCCCAGCAGCGTTATCCAACCCACCTCAACGTCGGAGTGTGAAAAAGTTCACACTTGCGAAGCGACAAAATGGTGGTAATGTCGAGATCGGAGCGTCATGTTCGGCGATTACGGGAAATCCTGATGATGTGATTTGTGAGATTTCTGGGGAAGATGTATCTTGTGCGCCGGTTTGTTGTCAGAGAGATGGGATGTTTGGTACGTTTTTTCTTCTCTTTCTTCTTCTTTTTTTGTTTTGGCTAATCGGGGTGGTCTAGTCGATGGATGTCCGGCTGGTGATCAATGTATTTTTGAAGGCGAGAAATTGAAATGCTGTCCTGTGTATGTCCTTCTCTTCCTCCTCTAAAAGGTGACCATACTAACCCACCCCCTTCAGCGGCAAAATCTGCGGTGCCCGTCCAACCGCCTGTTCAAACTTCGGTCTCGCGAGTGCTCAAACCGGCCTAGTCATCTGGTAACCTCCCTCTTTCCTCCCTCTCCCGTTTGTTTTCGCCATGATTAATGATGTAAATACATATTTATAGTCCATCCGCAACACCAACCTGTACCACCCGCACGGACGGCGGCATAGCCTGCACAGGCGAAGGACAACCCGAACCCACCATGCCACCGGCCACAACCCCCACTTCCGGCGGTGGTCGTATAATCCGTCCTAATGTTCCGAATCCTACCGATGCTGTTGCTACTCCTGAACCATCATCTATGGGTTCCACTGGAGGTGGGGATGATATGGAGGCTACTTCTTCTGGAATGGGAGAGGATGTAGTTCAGATGTCGAGTGGGAGAGAGGTGATGCCATCTGGAACTCTTGTGTTGCCGGAGAGTGCTATGCCTACTGAAGATGGTGAGGCGGCTAGTGGAGGAGAGAATGGGGGTGTGAGAAGTGGAGCGGGGAGTGTAGTTTGTGATAATATGTTTGGAGTTGTTGTGGCTGTTGTTGTTGGGCTTGGATTGTTTCTTTGATTGGTTGATTGAGAGGGTGGTATTTATAGGTTTGGTTGAAAGTGTTATATGTTCTATTTTATTGATTTTGGTTTGGTTGTATTTTATTTTTGATTTGGTGTGATTTGGTAGAATTAATGCGTAGGTGGAGATTGATTTGAAGGGGTGTAGTTGACTGGCTACTGTTCTGTTCAAGTTAGGCTGTTAGTATCAATCGATATGTTTAGAAGAGTCTGACGTATAATGTTCTACTATAATTACTATGAAAGTGTGATATCAACTTAGTTCTCGTATTCCATAAACTGCCATGATTGTGAACATAGAGAGTGTAAATAACTGGTTGAATGTATACATGTATTAAAACTCATCTTGATCCTCCTCCATTACCCCATCGCTCTCGACCTGACTATGAACAATATAGTCGATTTCCATTTTAATAGGTTTCTCCTTTGGCGTGCCTGGTTCGATACAAGGTTCTTTCCCTTTCTTTTTGCCACCCCGGCCAGTTTTACCAGTCCTTTTTCGAACACTTTTCTTTTTGGGGGGCTTGACTTCCTCTGGCTTTTCTTCCTGTTCTTCCTGTTCTTCTTCTTCATCGGTTTCTTCGTCGGTTTTTTTGGTTTTGCTCCTTAACATTGAGAGTTTGAGTGTCTCCGGTTGAATAGATGAATCATCTTGCTTCCTCTTCTTTTGGGCGGTTGGGTCGAAGAATGGATCGAAATCTTGGGGAGGTTTGTAGTCGACTCTATGTTCGTTTTTGATCTCCAGCCTGGAATCTACTAGAAATATTCTAGCCGATCGATTGCAGATTTCGAATATTGTCTTCGATAACCTCTTTTTCAAGACGAGTTCTTTGTTTAACACTTCCTTTGAACCAGCCGGGAATCCGATTTCGATCATCCAGAGCATATAATTATGTTTAATTCGATAATACCCAGACAGAACACCCAGTATATGGTTTACCACATCAGATATAGTCACACCCAGTGGGTTGGAAACAATGAAAGCATCTTCCATTATCCTATCATTTCTCCTCCCCTTTCTATCTCTGATTTTGTAACTATATTCAACGGTGTTTAGTAGTGAACCGATGGGACAACCGACTGCTTTTCGTTTTTTCGTGTTTGGGTTTTTGAATGATTCTGATGTAAACGGTGGATGAGAATCTGCTTGGAACCCTAACCATATTTTTGATACTGGAGGGTTTGAAATGAAGTCCGTGGAGGAGAAGCCATCGGTTGGCATTGTAGCCTTTTCCACCAGTTGCTGTAGTGTTGAAAAGTCCGTATTAGGAACCGTGGGGTGTTCGGCGAGTTCTTTCATTTTGGAACCGAGCCAAGTCAGGAATGGGATGTGTAGTCGATGAGTATCGCCTGTATTTAACACGGTGATTTGGGCATCACGAGTATTTGTGAAAGGTAAGATGTTTAGGGAATATATTATTTCCTGCCAGTAACGGGATACCCATTGCAGATCGTAGAGTTTCCCTAGAGAGTAGGTTTCTGGGTTTTCGTCGTAAGGTATTAGGTGAGAGGGCTTTTGGTAGTCTGAGGGGGCGTCGTAGATGTTTGAGAGGATGCGGTGGAGGAGGTGAGGGTGGTTTAGGACTGTTCGAGTTGCTGGAGTGTCGTTGTAGTAGTAGTTGTAATAGTCGTATTCGTAATCATCGTTTGGGGTTTCTTGGGGAGGAACATCAGGAGTTATTTGGCGGAGGTTGTGGAGTATCAATTGGTGTGGGGGGGAGTGATGAGGGTTTTTGAGGGTTGGTGAGGACATGGAGATGTCGGAGAGGGTGGACTGGGGGCTTGTGCCACCGTGGAAGGTGGGGGTTGTGGGGACTGTGTGTATGACTACTATTAGTATCGATATGGATTGGATTGGAAGGAAAGAAAGATGTATTTACTAGATGTCATTCTGAAGTGATGATGCTTGATGATAGATACATAGATTTACTGATTGCTGGATTTTTGGATAGGTTGAGTGATTGATGAGAGAAAGAAGGTTGGTGATAGTGGTATTTGTGGCGTTTGTGGTGGTGATGTTTCTGATGGATGGAGTTGTGCATGTGACAGAGAGGGAATCAATTGGAACTGAAATGTTCCCATACCTCGCATTTAGCACGCACCTACCAGTAATAAAGATGATTTGATGGTCTCGTCTCTAATTACCAGCTGGAAAGAAGTATGTACGGCGGATATTCTCACTTCATATCTTATTAGAGTATCTCTCCCTTAGTCTTCAAATCAGATACATATATGTTATGCCTAATAATCAACTATTACTGATGAGAACTATGCTTAATTGAGACATGGTTGAATTGAACGACTGAATGGACTCCAGTAATTGGCCCGTCGCAGAACTGATAAAGGCATAAATCTTCAGAGTCACATGATAGCATATTCAAGTACATAATCTATATAGACAAAGTTAGTGATGGTGGTGATAGTACTGGCAGTAGTGGTGGTGGTGGTTTAGTAGTAGTAGTAAATGTTGCTGCGGTGGTGGTAGTGGCGGAGGAGACTCTATAGTTGCCAGGCTACCCCATTCAAATACAGTCTCCATCTAGAAATCCAGTAACCGCTGGGTTTCTCTCTATGATAATTTCCATCCTACAAATAAGCATCTCAAATGATTCTTATCATCACATCCTATACTTACTACCATCTACTCCACTACGCTCTACGATAGGTCACAGCCTCGTGGTTACCTCGTGGTGCTTTCAAATCAACCTCATGGGATCCATGATATACCTAAAAATATACAACCTCACAAACCACCTCTAAAATGGACATGTCAATCGGCGGGTATGTTACCCTCTCCTCCACCGTCTACCCATCTTAATTTTGATTCATCAAAAAAATCACTTCCGATTCTCACTAACCTCTACGCCTAATAAAAGGGGCCTTCCCTTCCCCCTAGATATGATGCAAGGATATCGAGGTATCCGAAGTCTTAGTACCATCTACATCGACCCCCTCTGGCCCGAGATCCTCCACCAAATCTTCGAAACAATCTGCCCGCTAAAATCCCAAAGCCAATCCTCCAAGAACTCCGAACTTAGAGACCTCTGGTATACTTGCCGATCCGTCTGCAAAACCTGGAAAACCATCATCGAAACCCCACTCCTTATCAATCCTAGTATTGCAAAACAAAAGCTTATCGTCTCAACATTCAGAGGCGGTCTTTTTGCTACTGTTGATGACGATGTCTTTTATTGCGCTTTAGGCACGGATTGGATTCAACAAAAGATTATTAGAGAAGTTGAAGAACAGAAGTTAACGCCACCGAGTCCGACGCGACGGTTCGGGTTGAGGTGTCATACCGAATTCAGGTTGTTATGGAGGAATAGTAGCGTTCTGCAGATGTATGCGAGTACACCTGTGGTTAAGGACGTGAGAATACGCTCTTTCATCCGAGAAGTCGAAGTTACCCAGCGAAAACAGTTTTTGCAGACAAAAGGGTTTAATATACCCGGTGCAAAGATTATAAGAGAATGGGATGGATGGCATTTAAACGCACCCGGTGGGGTGATGATTGATATGATGGTTGGATTTGTGGCGTTGGCAGTTGAGATAGATGTCTTGATGCAGAACGCCAGCGAAAGGGAGTCTATTGGGACGCCCAGGCCTAGGTTTTTGGATCTGGAGTTTCTACATATTGATTTTGGGACGGCGAGGGCGCTTGGGGTTAGAAGGTTTGAGATACCAATGGTTCAGGGACAGCTTGTCTCTGGAGGGAATGAGATGTCGGATCTTTGGAGGAATTTGTTGGAAGTGGTTAATGCGGGTTCTTCTTCTTCTGCTTATGCTTCTGGTTCTGGAAGAGGTCGGGGTGGGTCGAGTGGGTAGGATCTTTCGGCTCATCTAGATCATCTGGGGTCGGAAGGTGATGATGGTGGCGGGAAGGGGGGTAAAGATTTTGAGGAAGTGTTCGAGAGGTTGAAGTCGGACTGGCGGGTAGGCAGAGAGGATGAACAGGAACAACAGGTAGAAGAAGACAATGATGATGATGAGAGAGTGGATAAATATCGTGGACGGAAGAAGGGTCAGGGGCATAGGAGGTGAATCTTCTTTATGGGTTCGACTTCGAAGCTTCTCAATGTTGGTTTATGTGGGTACCTACATTACCCGACTAATGGTATACCTGTGGAAAGTGAAGATTCTGCTGGCTATTCTTAGTAGACTTCCTGACTAGTTCAGCTTAGACTTATTTCGTAGACGAAAGTTAATACTAACGGCTTAGACGTTTCCTAGTTCTATTGACAATACTTTAATTAAGGATCATATGGACAATAGGTAGTACGTGTTGACAGTATGAGGCAAGTGATCTATAGTCATAAAATATACAATGATCTCGGTAATAGACGAAATAAGCTCACTCCATAAGGCTAACCCGTCGAACTTTTTGATAGTATTTTAGGAAGCTAGTTGATAGACGTAATACGGATTCACTTTCAACTAAGTCATGCGATCACGGTCACTAGACGTGCTGCAGTGACGGATTGATTCCAATGCATCTTTTGTCATTGAACAGTCGTTCATTTAACCAACACCACTATCTTTCGTCGACAACCAGGCCATCTTAATTCAACTTCTTTCGGTCTATTAGGTCAGTTCTTTATCATCAAACCGGTCCCTCTCCCCCTAATTGTTCTCTCTAAATCGTCGATTCTGTTCATATATTTTAGCTTAATGCCAGAAGCTCAAAATTGTTGCTGCCAGTTCTCCTCTCTGTTTTGCATTCTTTTGTTTACAATCTTTCAGTGTTCTCCCAACTACTGAACACCTCCCTCCCAGTCACACCACATGGTATTGCCTCTTTGAAGCTATCACCATCCAAGACGTAACAGCAACCCCTCCGCTAGCTTCTTCCGTCTTTGTCTCCCCCCCATCAAAATACGCAAGCCTACAATGTCGATATCCCGTATCGTCCGTCTTCGATACCGTTCAGACCCAAAACCAACAGTAAGTACCCTCAGCTACGTAAATATCAATCACGCGTCAATTGCCAACCTACCTAAAAGTACACGCTGATCAATTTTCAAGTGCCCGGGTCTCCCCATAAACCCACCAGGTCAAGGTCCCGTCCAACAAGTCCTCAACACCGCCGAACTCCTCTCCAATATCCTCGAGAACGTCGGTCTTCCAACGAAGTTGACATCCAAGGATTCCGTCTCAGCCTTCATCTCTCTCAGCAAATGTCTTCGAGTCTGTAAGAAGTGGAATGCCACAATCCTGGGGTTCAGAGAAGTCCGACAGAAGCTGTATAGGGATGATAAAATCCTCGATGTCAACTCTGATGACAAGGCGATGAAAGAGAAGAAGAAAACAACGATGACGGTCGTTGTTTGTGAACCATTCATTAGGGAGGTTATGCGTTGGGCCAACTTGAAAGAATGTAAACACATGGGACCCGGCGAGTTCCTAAAGAGGGTTAGGTTCCCCGCAAACCTCTATTTCACTCAACCGCCCGTTCGTGAAGTCTCTTTCACATTCTCAATGATCTATGGAAGACGTGTCGATTGGGTCTGTGGGTTGTTTGGCGGTAACCCGAATGAGTATATGAAGTGGGATAAGAAGACGGAAACGCTACGATACTTTTGCGAAAGCGGAGTTAAAGTTGGGGGGATTGCTGAAATTTTGCAGATTATGGAGGAGTATTTGATTAGGGGAACCATGCTGGGAGTGGCTATTGGAGCTATTGGGTGTGGAGAGGAGAGTGAGGGGTTGCCGGTTTGGATTGATTATGATGGGGAGGGGATGGATGGGATTAGAGAGAGCACTGGAGGGATGCCGGAGGTTATCTTGGATATGTTGAAGTTAGCTCGGAGGCAAAGACGGTTTTTGATGGCTTAAGGGGCTTGTAGGTGGACCCTTGCTTGAAGTGGCGGTTGGCGGTATGGAATGGATGGCGGAGGGTATGTTCATGTGGTCTCTTCGGCACCATGTTCATGACTCTTTCCTTCCTTTTTTTTTCTATAATTCCTCAATTAGATGCTGATGGAGGCCTAGATGCCGCTCAGGGCTTGAGCCATATACGCTTTCACTAGCCGGTGTATGGAGATATAGACTTGCTTCTCATGATATTCTGAGAAGTGTTTACTATCACATCGTTGATTGCCTTTAAGCCTCCTCACTATTAATACATACACACAGCTCCTCAGCTATCAATTAGCTTCACAAAATCAAATACTAGTACAGAAAACCCAAAGTTCCCTACAATCCGCCAGAACCCCCCACTATAACCTTCTTAGAAACCCAAAGCGTAACTATAACCTTCTCCTCCCCTCCAAAACCTTCCATGGAACTACCTCCATGGACCTGAAGCCTCCAAAACCTTCTACGCTCAGCTTCTACCAGCAAATCCATAGGCTTCCATAGAACCTCCAGCTCTCATGGAACCTTTGGGCCAGGAGTATATAAACACCCCCTCCCCTCTGGACCTCCATTTCCTTTCTTCTCTCTCCACCTTCCTTACGCCTCACTACCTACCAAAATATCATAGCCCTTAACTATCATTTTTCTATATACCTCATGCCTTTGAAAAAGGAGCTTAACCAAGAGGTAGATAGCCTCTTCACGAAATTTACCACAACTTTCATGTTATCTTTTAACTTTTTTATTACTCTCGTCTTCGACATAATCGAGGTATCAGCCTTCTCCCCATGAGAGCTCTTTTTATATACGATTTTCTAGTATCTTAGGAGCGAAAACCCCGACTCCCATGTGTATACTTCGAGGTTTAATATATATACATACTCGAACCGGCTTTGTCGAAGGGAGAGCTATGGACTTGGTTATGAAAAGAATGGTAGATGGATCTTACAAAGCTGCAAAGCTGGCCAGATGCATCTCGTCTGAAACTCCCCGGAACATGATCTTAGGATCTTGGAAAAGAGAGGGTTGATATTAATGCATCTAGTTTTGGAGTTAGGATATCAATTATGTTTAACCTGTCTCGAAGAAGAGATAAAACTAGAAATGGTAACGTAGGCCGTTCTAGCAGGCGAAGAGGCTGGAAAGATGAATCCCTTTCGGAACCGTTCCCGATCGAACAGGATCAACTGATGAGAACCAGCCAAGATATTCCTCAAAGGGCGGATAAAATCTTCTCAATACCGTACTTCTGACTTATCCAGACAGCACCAGAGTGGAAATGAACAGAAAAGAAGGAAGAATAATAAAACCCGAGCGTCTCAATGACTCCTACACCTACGAGTCTTTTCTTTCGTATAAGTCTGCGGGGTCAACTAAACGAGAAACAAAGTACGGCAACTGAACAACAGAACTAGCCCATCCACAGAAATCTGGCCGATTTTTAACTACATACATATACATCTATATTAAGGTAAAGGGCTTCAAAATACATGAAGTTCGTTCAAATTCTCCTATGATTATATATATATATATACACCTTATCCACCCAATACTATTCTATTCACCAGTCTAGAGCCTTTCGAGCCTATGCGCACTCACCGCTAGGTTCATGAAAAGAACCAAGGAGTATGTGAATACACTACTCAGGCCGCGAATATGGCTTGGAGTATACATAAAGGGGTCTTGATCTAACTGGTGTTTCCTTCTATGGACCTAGAGATTGTATAAATTTATTTACAGGAAAGGGGAAGAAGCTATGGTGACGACTTAGCTATATCCAAAGGTTTAATCCATGCTATTTTGGGTACATCCATATAGCGGTGAGATATATACAACGGCTTGCTTCCGGATATGAATATTCAAGGTTCGGACCTGTGAAAAGAATGAATGTTTAGGCTGCAACTGAATATGGGCGCGAAAAGAATCTTTTTTTCATGTCGGGTTTAAGGAAAGATTAAAGAAAAAGCCGAAAGATAGATGGATAATATATATACAAAGTTGTCAGGTTAACATCGGTAGCCATGGAACTTGCGATTGGAATATTTTACGTTTTTAACCACCGCGAAAGGGAGTGAGGGAAGGTATGTTCCCGGTGGTCTATCAACATCCGAGAAACTTTGCAAAGTCTATATGCATATGTGGTTACTGATTCGTCTGTGATCTGTACATATGCCACGGTCATAATATACAGTAGTAATATTCCGATTTACATCGGAGATACCATAAAATTACAAACGCCGATTATATAAATATCAGGATAGTAGACACCACAACCATCTAGTCCCCTCACGTGCACACGTAATCTGGCATACAACAGGCCTACAACATTTCAGATCCTTTGTATTCATTAACCCTCTCTCAAGGTTTTATCCAGAGCGATCTACTCTCTAAAGGATATACAATGTTAGTATACACCCACCTTCGCATGCCCCATAATATGCACTACAAGATATATAATAAAGAAATTCCAGCTGACAAAATCCTAAATAGACTGGAATGTTTCTAGTCTGTCACCTCTTTGCACTAGAATAATATATTATGTATAACGACTTCTTTGAACCGCTCATGCAAGAGCTAAACAACTAATTTTTTTCGTTGCATCCACCTAATTCGTACCCGAATTCGACTTAGAATATGATATCCGTCCCAACATGATCGAAATAATCAATTCCCAATTCTCGAAAATGGCTCCCAGTATAATGTGGACAGGCGCAAATATCTACAGTTCCAATTGACGCAACGGCTCGTGTTGCAACGTTGAGACTTTCATAGGCAAAAGCACGTTCCTCCTAAACCCCTGGTAGAGATGTTTTCGTATTATGAACCAAGATACGAGAAGCTTTAGCCCGAAAAACCAGCTACTAGACAACTTGGGATGTTGTAAACCCGTTTACCACGCCGAGCTATAAATTTGGTGTGATAAAAAACAGCGAAGAAGACCATTGAACACTTCATATATGCGAAATTAAATATAGAGCCTCTGAAACATTCAAAAAAAACAATCGAGCATGTATAAAGATTCTACATAGGTATACTTGCTGTGATTTACTACTACAAATACCGCATAGTATATGGTCTTTGAAAACGCTGTAATAACCACATTCCCATCCTACGTATGATCAGAATGCGAGGATAAATATCTATATATCAATAACTCTAAGTCCGAAAAAGACCGCTTGGATAAGACGCAAAACTATATATGTTCTTAGCAAAATTTTTATTTTTGTCTAGCAGATACATCAAGTATCTTTTCGATAGTATGTTGTCATTGGAGAAGCGAAGGTGACACCGATAAAATGACGGATCTTCTTTCCTATCTTAAAATATATAGATCCAGGGAAAGTTAATTAACAGCATATATATTCGGGCACTGAGAAGGATAACTCAATGGAGAGCTAAGTCATAATGGCCTTGTAAACATATCGGATTATCAAGAAACGCAGACTAAATATAAATTCAATAAAATCTAAGACGTTAAACCGGGGACTTGTTAGAATCAAGACCATCATCAAGTTCCCCGAGGAAGATTCAAATCGTGAATCTGACGCCTGGATGTTGAAAACTGCATGTTATCGACTAAGAACCAATGAAACCGAAAATCCAGCATGGATTGGGTATTCGAAATTCTAGGCTTAGGATCGATAACATCTGTACAACCACCTATACTACCCACGAAATTATGGTTGCGAGATTAATTAAACATGATACAAACTCTCGGCGAACTTACAGATAGTTAACTATAGTCCCGAAAAGTTCAATGCAGCAGAAAAAGCTGGCCCAAACGCTACTTTCCAATCTAAGCTGCAACTTAGATTGATTCGGCGTATGAGGTATCTAATTCAATGCCTGAAACATAATCTAATATAGTTAAACCGAGCGCATTGGTAAACTGATACGACTTGATAAAGCATATAAGTCATATTATATACATCCTGCTTTTGAAACAGCGACGCATGATTCAGAGCAAAATCTAAGTATGCTTTACCTTACCTCTGAAGCCATGGGTGTGAAAGGGCGGCTTAGATACAGATAAATACGTTCTAGGCCTATTCTTTATTCTGCTTCTTTCCCATCCTGCCCAATGGCCCAGAAATTCTCCAATGAGCTTCTTCTACTTTTGCCAGATTATTGATTCTAGACTTCATACCCCAGCGAACGATATTAAACAGAATTTCAAAATCACTTCGTTGAAATAACCAAATCAGTATTTTTGTAACCCACAACTCAGTCTCGTGCCACAACTGATGATCAACATATATTCATCTGACTGATCAAAACCAACAACAAACTCAGATGTTCCGCCGGAGAAAATTCCAAATATTGCATGCGTGCTAGCGCGAATACATGCTAGGACTCCAAATATCGAGTGTATGATTTCTGCCAATGGAAATGCCGATGGTACACCAGAGCGAGCCATGGTATAAATTGACAACAGATTAAATACCCTTTAAAAGATTCATGCGCTCAAAGAAACGCAGGCCATGCTTTGACCTACGCTGAATAAAAAGAAGGAAGGGATACGTACCCAAGGAATATCGCCGCCAACGAGTCATGGACTATATTCGTACTAGAAATCAGCTATGCATATATATGGTGTTTGTCCAGCTATGGCTATTTGTGTCACTTGATCGACTGTAAGGACTATAATGTATCAGGTTATGCGCGAGCTTAATCTTTCCATCTTAGGTGTAGGAAAGGGAGATGTCGAATCGGTTTCCAACGTCGTAAGACTCGGCCTCTACTTTGTTGGGTATTGATGGAACCTACTCCATAATTTTGTTCGGCGCAATGTGGGATGAGACCTTTTTAAAAAAAGTATATCAAGATCAAAGGAAGAGATATAAAGATATCGCCCAGAGATACATGATATTCACACACGAGTTATATTCTAAGGATGTCTTTCGAACAAACTTATTTCAAAGTTAGGCTGCGTTACCATCACTAACAAAACAATACACCGGACTCATGGACTCGACCAC